CTTTTGAAACTTTCCCGTAGCATTATTACCCAATTCTGAATTCCGGTGCTTGGTGACTGGCTCCCCTAATGCAGCTTTAAGTTACAGGGCCCCACACTCCAAGGTCAAGATACACACAAGTACCTCTACATTGTTGTAGGTACATTGTTGAAGTATGTAAGGGTCTGTCGTTCCTTGAAAAGCTTGCGCCACAGCCACAAGGATCTGTAGAGCTAGTACGTAGTGCAGTGTAGTAACTGCCAGGTGGCAGATGGACTACCCGGCGGAAGTTGGAAGTGCCGTCCCTATTCCTAGCCACAGTTGATACTCCACGTTTTACTTGATTGTACTACATGTAATCATTGTAGTGCGGTAGTACGTACCCAGTTACCGAAAGACCATTGTGTAACGTGAGGCCTTCCATAGGTACATACTATGTAGTATAGTACTATAGTTACTATAGTACTCCTCAAAATAGTTACATAGTACATACCTTGACTTAAGACAGGAGCACATGTAAATATGTAATGTTTGTGGTTCAATGTTCTACATCCATGCAAGGACCAAAGGCTCGGTAAAGGGCGGCCGGCGCCAAGCTATATTGCGGCGACTATCTCAGAGAGCCCTGGAGGCTCGGTTTAGCTCTTAACGAACATTATGTACCTAATATAGTATCTCAATGCGATAGATTTCACTGGCCATTGCTCTCCTCTTGATAAACTTGGTATTGCGCGTCCTCATGTGTTTGTACAAGTGGAAAGGTGGCCTAGATCTAACTTGATACTTCCATGTTAGGTACGTTAGGTATGTTACTGTTGTCTGGCGGCTACTCCTACAGCATAAGCCTCCGCCAATATCTGGTATTGTCCTCTGATATTGCCCCTAAGCGTCAAATTTGAGCCAACTTCGGGCCTACAAATAGATGTCCTTAAAATCTAATGACGCCATGACGCCATGTATGTAAACTGCTGACAGGCGAAAGTTAGGCGATGGCGACTCTTTACCAATAAATGTTGCTCTTATTTGGCCAACCTTTGGGTCTCTAGTTCCTATACTCTGCAAGCTGCTGCTGATCCTTGACGAAGGATAGCTGATAATAGTCACCAGACCATTTGTCCTCCTAAAAGACCTGAATTTTTATTGAATGGTATGAGGATCCGGCGGATAGATACGCATAGAAGTAGGACCGACGTGGCTTGTTATTTCCATATATGACGAAAGTGAGGCGGCAAGGAACGGAACTGGAGATGATAGAGAGGCCGGTTGTAGCCAGTTAGAATTACACATGTAACCTAGAAGCAAGTACATATGGTAAGTAGTTACCTACTAGTACTACATATGTAGGTAGACTTCAATGTACAAGCGCACGCATACGCTGGGATGTAGAGAGAGCACAGACCACAACAGAAGGTCTCTCAGCAACATCGTCAAGTGACTTCGGACTTCGGCAACCGAGACGTTGTGTCCCCTTTCTTCCTCCCGGCGCTGTGTCCCCGGCTTTTCCCAATCATCAATTGTAGTCAAATCGTGCTCGTCCTCGTCTTTTTTAGCCAATTATATCTTCTCTGTTAGACCTCGCTTGGCATGGTTAAGCTAGCAGTATCTCCCAATAGCTATCAGATGGTCATGCTGATCTTCAATCCTCACGGATCTTCTCATGGATGCGTGCTTCAGGTCCTAACCACATGACTCAATTTCTTCGCAGAAGAAGCTTAGGCTCGGCATTATTTGGTAGCTTGGCTTTGGTGATATGCATTCGAAGTACGATGCATGCATACATACTTCCGAAAAAGACAATGCCGTTGTGAGGAGCCGCGGTATCCAACGACTGCCCGAGTGGCCAATTTTTGACGCGTTTCGAGACCCCAAGATCGACCTGTTTTCGTGAAGGCTTCTCAAAGATGATAAGTCAACTCAAACGACTAAATTGCTAGTTCCTGAGGAAGGATGATAAGAATATGGTCTGGACAATAGCAAAAATACCCTTTGAGAGTAATGATAAGCCCGATAGTCCGGAACGGGAACTAACTCTAGGGTTGGTCGGATGCCGTGATGGGGTGTGAAGCTGTCTTCCTGATATGGACGTTATCCAAAGAGGAGGGCTGGAGTAGTAACTCCTTTGGTCTAATACCCCTGAACTTCATTTGATAATATATGAGTCGAGTCTATTTTCTCAAATTATCATTCGCCTGATCCTACTTTTATTATTCGTCTCTCTAACATCTAGATCCAAACGTCTCCAGAAAATCGTCCTGGTGTTCCCTGATTCTTTTGATTTTAGAGCCAATGGAAATTCGACCTCGACACAATTATCTCCACCTCAATACTTTTCCTACTTGAGCCATTCGGCCAATCAGAATATAGAGTGACCAATTTGCACCTACACACCTCAACTCACCTTCTGCCACTAGCATGGGTAACAACCTTGACATATGCCATCGACTGGCTCTCATTCGACGTCCACATTGCTTTGGCTTTTGTCAGATGGGTTCGCCTTCTCTTCGTCTTTACTCTCTACTCGGCAAAATCCACGCGCGATGTGGGTTCCCATCTTATGATGCCTCATATCTGTACTTATGTCCTATGCTCCGTCGACTAGTGAACTGACGCTGTAAGCGCCTCCATGTGAGACTACAAGATTACTGTTGTGCTCCCTTGCAGTTCTGGGGTTGGTTAGGGATGCCGTACTTACCCCAGGCAGACATAAGAGAACCTAACCCAGTTCTTTCGTCCGGTTCTGGTCGGTAAGTAGCCCGAGAGGAATATTCGTGTCTGCATCTTGCTATAAGAGGAAGATGGTATTCGACTTAGCGCCAGTCTTGGTCGAGGTCGAGACGTTATTTCATATGTATAGCGTATAGCTTGTCTACTAGGTTTCAGATTACCTGCCGGGGCAACGACGCGTCAAATCTATTCCTACTTGGTACTCACTCATATGCAAGTCATCAGGAGCTAGCTAGTAACTGCAGCATCGTATTGTAGCTCCAGGATGTTGACAAGTCCTACTGGCTGTTCGTGAAGATGTATATATCGTCAAAGGAGATACCTTCGGACGATCAACATCAGGCAATGTGTACTGACCATTTCTCAACCCGTTTCAGCTTCCTTCCAATGAATAAGCGGTAGTAAGTCGCATTGATACGGCAATTTCCAAAGATACTCGAAGGCTGCATATAATCTCCTAGCCGCGAATGGTTTGCTTGGTATCGGCCAACTGTGAGGCGTACTCTTCTCGGCTGGTCGGCTGGTCGGTTACCACATGGATTCATGGGTCATTCTGCACCTATGTAGAAGCAGCAAATGTACAAGTGCAACTCAGTGAGACATCGGCTATTGCAGGGCTGCTGCACATCTGCATACAGCTGGAGCCTGCATGACATTATGTAGATAGGTATGCAAGTAGGTAGGCAGAGGTTGACTATGTAGTTCGTTAGAGATGTTTATACTATGTATGTAGGTATGTACTAGCATGGCAAGGAAACCGGCAGATATACGGAGCCTTCATTGGCAACATCAAAATGCATCTGATACACAAGAGCCGGCAGCGATATCACCTTCAGGGGAGGGGGGCTCAAAAACGTCCCCGTCAAAGTGACTACGTTACAATGGGATGTTGATATGTGAACATCACATCTCAAAGGAATCACCGAGCCAAGGGATAGATATCATTCTAGAATTCCAATATAGATCTAGCTTCAATAGCAAGCATATGGGCCGATGGAATAACGGCGATGTCAGTCAGTTTCCCGTGGGCCCTTCCTAATCTCCATACACTAGAATCAATACCTTAGTGCTAGATCTGTATAAGCTGCCTCTAGTACCAATAATTGAATCCATTTGGGGATCTCCTGAGTCCTGTCATAAGATACATTGTGGATGTACCTACTTGGTAATGACTGTGTTGAGTATTGACAGTGACTGTGACTGTATTGACTGTATTTTACCTGATTGAGCGGATGGTCGTATATCAGGAAACGCCGACATGTTCACCCCTTTCCGAAAAAGAATAGGGGGAAACATAAGGTTAGTGGATGTTTCCTGATCAAGTGCCGGATGAGGAAAGCCCTTAGTTAACTACCTACAGTTTGTAGGGCCCAGTGCCTTGTAGGTCAGTGCCTTGTAGGTACAATACCTAGTAGGCATGTACTACCTAGTAGGCATTGTATCCATTGTACGTGGGTACCTTGAAGCTTCAGTGTTCGTTCCATGTTCTAAAGTGGGTCTTGGTACATCTGCACACATATTCATAGTACTAGGTACATATGATAATAGGACATGTATGTATGATTTAGTATGATTTGAAACATTGAAGATATCAATTCAATGTACAGGTACTCGGTACTAGTACTGCTACATACATCATTGATTGATATGTAGGTACATACATCCACAAGGGTGGCGCTGCAATCGGCTTGCATTTGCTGCACTGGCCACAACCTGCATCATTTTCAGCTTTGGTTGTTCACTTACAACTTGTACCCATTCCTCCCATTTGCCTACGCTCTTCGGACAATATGCAAGTCGCAACACAGCCCACTTACCACCATGCTCCTCTTTGCCGCGCATGACTAGGATCTCTGTTCGGCCGTGGTATCGGTGGATTTTTTTTTCTTTCTACTCTTTCTGTATGTCTGATGCCTGCCAGTCCCTTAGGCCCTGCCAACCCATTTCTAACCCGCCAACTTACGTTGCCTCGCCTGCGGATGCGACCTGAGTTAGAGATGGTGGTTAGGTATTCTACCTAATGCAAGACAGTGGGCCACCATGGAAAACCAGACCTGCCCGGGTGTCCATCCCATTACCAGCCAGCCTAGCTAGGCATGCTCCGATGGATTAGGAGGGCTTGTGAGGGACAAGTTGGAGAAGATGTTGCAGGGAGAGGGAGAAAATTAATAAAAAGAGGAATAGAACGATTTCTCAATGACACTATGGTAGCTAATTCTCTGCTATAGTATATGCAAAGGGAAAAAAAGGCACCGAGACGGATTTGCTATAACACAACCCCCACCACCCGGCAACACGAGATTCTTACCCTCCTCCTTCTTCTTCACGAGCTACACGAAGTTACTCGTCCACCGTTCTCTTCTTCTTATTTGCGGTTGTAGGCGTAAACGCTAATTCCCAGTCCTTTGGGAACGCCTAATTCCAGTGCCGTCCTTTTTATTACTATTCGCTTTCCCATCTGACTGAACTACCACCCCCCCCTTCCTCTATCTATTTTGCAAAGCCTCTCTCCACCACCCTAAAATATTCCCTGGTCACCTTTATTATTTTTTTTCCTTGTGTCCTCGTGAGGAGCCTACTACCTACTACCACTACTACCATACGATGGCCCCACAACTGTTACCGGCATCGGCCGCCGCTTTTGCGCCCCGAGCATCATCGGTCAACGTCGTCCTGGGATCAAAGGTTGAGCCTTGGTTAACACAAACCCTCAAGCGCATAAACCGAGTCAAGAGGCCCCTCAACAGCATACCACAACATCAAAGATGTCTAACAGAAACATTATCGTCGCCGAATGCTATTTGGACTTTGACCTCGATGATGTTACCTAAAGCGCCCGAGTCGGAATTACGTCAAGATTCTAACCCGTTGATAGAGGCCCTCTTTAACTACCAGCTCATACACATAGAGGCTTACATCGTGCACGTCGACATGGTATTGCGGAATGAAGTTGCTTACAAGTTGACGCCTGACTCGATAGAATCCCTCATCGAGTATCACAAGGAAATCTACTGCGTCAATGCTAAAGCAGACACCTATGACTGGCCCGAGAAAGAGCAACACGCCAAGAAATTGCATGAAGATTTTGTTCAGGCCATCAACAAATTCGTTTATCGGACTCACGTTTCTGCTCTTGAGGGGCTAGAAGAGGAGGGAATGGGAGAATTACTTTGTGGAAAGAGTGAGGAAGTCAAGAACAACATAATGGGATTGTTGAATAAGCCGTTGCTGCCGCCGCCGCCGAAGATTGTCGATGTCGTCCGCCAACCGCCATTATTGCCTAGTTCGCCTATAGGCACAAACATGTGGTCGCAGTCTGTCCATTCACCTGCGCTTCCCGCTCCGGTTGAGCCATGGCGTGTGCTGCCTTCCAGCCCTAGTGTTACGTCTTCGGTAGAGTCGACAACGCCGATATGGGCCAACATGAGCTTGCATGAGATTCAAGTACCTTCACCAACCGTACCTTATAGCCAACCGTATTCGACGGCAGGGATGTTTTACAGTTCACCCATGGTCACCTCACCTATTCCGGCACTACCGCTTCCCAGCATGTTGGCGTCGCAATGCGGTGTAGGTGTAGGATACGGCGGCTTCGGTTGGGATCGATACCAGGAATATGCGACGACAATATGACAATCAACGCCCACCACGGGAGATCGCTATCCAGTGGTCACGACCTCGTAGCAGTGTCCTTAACTCCTATGGCGATTTCGGTTCTTGTTCCACCCCTATTCAAACAAGGCATCCACGGCATAGATCCCATCCCGTCCCAAGGCATCCCGGCGTTTTGCATCAAGTTGGAGCGAACTTTCGATCTTTTGGCATATATAATATTTTGGTTTTCCTTTACGTATTTTTGTTTAACAAGCGAAGCGTCTGATTTTTCTGAGGGTCATATCTCTCAATTTTTACAACCGTTGGCTCGGTCACAAGCTATATTCCTTTCATCTCATCATGGCTGGGACTGGGTGGGTTTCTGATTGCATTTACAAGAAGAGCAGGGCCTCGACATATGTAAGGCCGGGATTTCCTTTTTTTTATATGTTTAAAATAAGAGGTATCAGCAGCAATGCGCCCGATCATCGCCCGGCAAAGACCAGGACAGGACAAGCATTTTTTTTTTTATTTTTTTAGTTATTTTTTATATCTGTTGGATTGCGATGGTTTTGGTTTGTTTTTCATTTTCTGTCAATACACGGCATAAAGCGGCTTTCTTAGACAAAGATACCCCCTCGACCAACCATCCGCGACACTATGGACGACAAATTCGATCCTCCATCCGCGTACTCGCTTCAAGGATATATATCCATATATATATTTTCCTAGGCTTCGGTTTAATGCGTTACGAATGAACGAACGACTTTAATAATGAATATTCCACGAGCTTAATGACGGCTTCTCACGACGAAAAGGACATCATTTGACTCGACGTTGAACCTTTCTCTTCGAAACAAGAAAACCCATTAAGCCGAAAATGGACTTATTCGGTAGGAAAAGTGCATGGAACTGGGTTCCCAAGTTTGCATTTTTTTCCACGGTCGATTCTTCATTGTATTCCGAAACCGACCGACAAAAATCGCAGGTTATCTGAGATACTGCTGTCAGAGGCTGGCACTGGTTGTCAAAGCGTCTAGGCCCTTTTACGCCATTCCGTGATTTCGAGCCGTGGCAAGATCGGCGACCATCCGGAGACGCAATAGATAGGACTTGAATGCGAGAGGGGGGGAAAGATCTCACGATCTCACATCAAAGAAGCTGGGCATAATTTGGAAACACCTGCTGAGCAGGGAAATGCGGAGCCCTTTACTCGCCGTCCTTACCCACATCATTTTAGGTCCATCAGTCGATACCCCGGAACAAGACCTCTCCCCCTAATAAGGCTCTACAAAGCGCCGCGTCGAGTTAGATACCGATGCGACGACAAGCAAGACTTGTAGTCTGTTGCAAAAGCCGATGAAGGGGTTTGGTTGTTTGGTTTTCCGTTAGGGGCATAGGGTTAGGAATGATGTGCGGTAACTCGTAGCATCGTCTCACTACGATACACCCGGAACCTCGCGGCGCAAACGAAAACGTTTCCCGGGATATGGGTGAAGGGTGGGCTACACGGGGAATGCATTGCCGTGCAATGTATTCGCTCAACCCGAGTATGCCTTTGAGGCGCTGGATTATCAGGGCGTTATTATGTCGTGCAGTTTTTGCCCTGGAGGCAATCTGCCGACTTGGTTCGAAGAAAGAAAAAACTCACCCCCTTTGCGTTTTCGCTTAGTTTGAAAGTCACTTATAGTAGTTAATTTAAACATCATAAAGTGCAATGTGCCAGCTTGTTAGGTGTCTTGTGTGAATTTTCATGTGATTATGTTTTCTGATTACTATGTACGTATGTACCTTTCAATGAAAGCGTGGAGACCACGCGGAAGAAGGGATGGAAATGGAAAAAGAAAAAAGAAACGTAACACCGGTGGCATGCGTTCGTGCGTGCTGGGCCATGAGCCTTTTCTCGGCTGATACCTATCTTCTAGGTAGGTACCTATCTAGTTTGGTACCGACTTACCTAGCTGGTTTTACTTTCCGGTCACCATTCTCCGCTGTGTTGTAGCACCTACGATAATACCTATGTAACCTTCATGTCAGCATAGATATGTTACCTAGGAGGTAGTTTGGGTAGGTTACAGGGTGAGAATGGTGTAAAGGGGGAAAGGGAACCCTGGGCTCCTTGTGATGAGTGAGATGGGTCGCGGTGGTACCTAGATCGCAGGTGTTTTATCACCGAACTACGGATTACTAGGTAGGTAGGTAACTTACCTTAAGGAGGCAATGATGTAGGTTAGGTAGGTAGGTAGGTAGGTATTCAAGTACCTAATGCCGAAACAGTCCCAAGGCCAGAGCACGATATTACAGGACATGACATTTTTTTTTTTTTTTTATAATTTGTTTTCGGACGATCAATCGCATCGCATGTTACTCGGGTGGTGTTAGAGGGGGGGGGGGGGGGGGGGACTTTTTACTAGTAGGGGGACAGGGCGGCTTACGACCTACTGGATTTACGATAGTAGCGATGAATAGATAGGTAGTTACTAGATAATGTTGTAGTCGTGACTAGTTGTAGTGTGGTATTCTCGGTACTTCCCTAGGTGCCTAATCGAGGCAAGCAAGAAATTTTCGGAGGCACCTAGGCAGTGAGTGATAGGGCTCCCCCAGCAGTTTCCGCGCAGATCTCGTTCCTTTTTCCGCTCTTGTGCGGAATAGGTAGGTGGCTTGTTGTTTGGTTTAGGGAGGTGGTTTGGGTTCTGGATGAGGTAAGGTCGGGTGTGGGGGATCTCCAGGACGTGCTTCTTCTTGGGTTGGTGAGAGAATGGTCACCTAGTTACCTATTAACTACTGTATGTAGGTATGTAGGTAGTAGTTATGGTAGGGTAGAAATTGACATGTGCTTACTGCGCCACACATTACCATAGCATAGCTAACTATAATACATGCGATATATGGCTGGGTACCAAGGGTACATACATACATACCTAGGTGTAGGTTGTTGGTTGGATGCCTCTTTTCTTCGGCATGTTAGTTTTAACCCCCTACCACAACCTACTTACCTATACATAATGTATGGATTTGCTGTTTCCTCCAGATTCGTCAAGATGGACTTTGCTTCTATTTCTTTTCTTCTTTCTCGTAACCCACGATGCGGTGCTACATAGCGTCGTCAGACCGCAAGGGAGGCGGCGTGGTTGATACCTACCTACCTATCTGCATCAATCTTCTTGCCATTACAAGGCGTAAGTGTATCGAAGGATCTCAAAGCATGAGCACATATATGTAATAAGATGGTATGACATGCGCGCGTGTAACGAATACGATGATGTATGGATTTACCTTCCGATTACCTGACCTGGTATAGAACACCGGAACCTGAGTAGATTCCGGTGTTTTATCAGAAACATATTTATTAGGTACGACGGCATTAAGATGTTATTTCCCGCATACTTTATTGCTTACCCATCCTTCCTTTCGTGGTTCTTTTTTTTTTCGCCTCGCAAAGGTGCTGACGACAGAAGATGCATGCTGAATGCATGAGGCATATTGTAAGATACCTACATACGGCCACAGCGTGGATTTTTATAAGCCTAGTACCCAAGTACCTAAGGTAGTCCTGGATATATCTTGTTCAAAAGAGATGGAATAGAGTGGCGTACTGCATGGCGTGTGGGTGGTTGGTGCGGCTGAGTTATTTATATCCTGAAGAACGAGATCTGGAACCCCCTTTTTGGTTTTCGCCTCTACTGCAGTACAAATTATCACACTACTAAGGTTGGATACATACGATGCTACAGATTCGAGCAGCCAAGCCAGTTCTTTTGCATGATCTCTCTTTCTTTACGACCCGAACACGACAGTCAATCTGGGATGGCGTCAGCGATGTCTATTGGCTGCCTTACGAATACCTATATAAAGTAGAAGAGTAGAAAGGGAACATTGAATCTGATGCATGCTTAGGTACCTAACGGTCCTAACCAGCCGGATCGCGAACTCTGTATCTTTCTCTCTTCAGTCCAGACCTCCAATACATATGTCGGTACAGTAAGTAAACAAACAAGTAAGCTTCATACGCATATGTCATATGGATCTCTTACCATCGGACTTTTTTTGGGGGGGGCTCGAAAAAAGTTTCGCCATGTGTTCCATGTGGTGATACCTAAGACTCGTGCTGCATACAGACTATTTCGCAGCCTACTGCCTACCATATACATATATGTATGTAGGTAGGTTGGTTGGTACTAAGTTACATTGACAGACATCTGGTTAGGGGGGCATTCAATGTAATGTTGGGGGCGATGCCTACGGCTTCTATGTGCCGAACCCGAATCTTCCCTATTGAGCATACATACCTACCTAGGTAGATAAATATCTGCAACAGCCGACCCTCAGTTAGTATGTATTGTACCAGTACCTCCCTATCTACCCACCTAAGTACCTAGACATGACCCTTCCCCAGTTTCTGGGTAGGTAGGTAGGTATCGTGCAGATAACGGCATGGCCGCTACCATTCCCAGTTCAGTATTCGGAGCAGCGTGCCGTAGCCGCGGGCACGAGACGTGCCATATATATATATATATATATGCATGAACCAACGTCACAAGTGCACAAGGCTGTCGTCACGCTTGGAGGACCTCGCCGTCTGTTGTTTGTTCTAGACTACCAACCCACCCGAGATAGAGGCTGCTGAAGATTACTACCTGGCCCGGGCTTAGCTTAGGTAGTAGTGAAGAGGTAAGTGGTCTCCGATAGACCAGACTGACGGGCTCAAGGCAGACACGACCCCGGAGGAAGAAGAAGAAGGCTGGCTGGCTACTTATATTCGGTAGGTAGGTATCATGTAGACTATCAAATCTATCTGCACGAGGTGAGGCCGTGTATTGTCTTGTAACTCCAGCCTTACCTACCTTACCATACCGGCAGGCACGCTGCTGACAGGTGCATTCTAAGCGTAATAAATCACGATAACTGCCACTACCATCCCACGAACAGTTGGATGGACGTTGACTTGGCGTTGGGGGAAAGAAAGCCGTGCGATTATCAGCCCTACCAGCCGTTTCGAATTGCTCAGTCATGCCTACATACTTCGGTGGGCACGTTCGCCGAAAAGGGCCTTCTCATGATACCACAGCCAAGCTCGGGGAATCTACCTACCTAACCTAGCTACTTAGCTAGGCACGTAGCACTCGTCCCTTCGAGCCTCAACATCATAGCTCCTCCGTCTATTCGGCCCCCATTATCATTGTTTACTAAGAGTACCTACATGTGCCATAAGCAATCTATCTCGGGGCTACCTGTACCTGGTTCTGTGCGCGTAGGACAGCATTACCTCCCTACCTACCTACCTACCGTCCTATCCCTACATGAGCCGCACAACAGCCGGCCGCATCGTTTCGGCCCCTACAACGCTCAACGTTGCAGGTTGCACGCAATCTCCACCACGTTTTCCTCGTTCGGGGCGGGCTGGCGTAGCAAGGAAGGGTACCTACCTAGGTATACTATTAGGTAATACGGGATTTGAACGACATCGTGGGGGCCCCCAAACTACATACCGCTGCGTTGAGTGGAGGGGATAGTACATTATCTAATAAGTAGGTACTAGGTAAGTAGACGCAGACTTCTTCCCACAGCCGTTTCCTTTCGGTCCTTTGGCTAGGTACCTAGTGCGGGTTACCTACCTTGACACCACCCCCTGAGCCACTGGTCTGTGATACTCAACTATCTACCGAGATGGGAGGCATAGGCAGGTAGATCTGATATACATACTATCGGCGACTCTTCAAAAACCCTCAAACCGTGCTGAGAGATCGTTGTACGTAGGACTTCGCGGGGTGGGGTGCGTGTGTGTGTGTGAGAGATGAATGAATGGATCGTGTCACAACATATCTACTACGTTCCTGACATCTCAGCTCAAGTCGAGTGTAGGCACTAGCCTAGGGATCTTCAAGGCAGGGTGTGTAAATACTTGCAGATCCCTGCTCCTATGAGTTAAGTGAGGCTCTAGTAAGTAGGACTTTGATGCAATGATCTCTATGCGCAACATGTGGTGGCATGGGTAAGAGAGGCGTGTATTGGTAGTATTATGTTTTAAAACTTCCTATATCTGACTCACTGGGGGTGCTTGTAAACTACACACTGGCTTTGTACATAGTGGGAAGAGAAATGGGTAGGTAGGTAGGTAGATATGCACCTAATATTTGTATGTGCCTATTTGCATGAGAAATAAGTGACGAGCGCGTCAACGAAATAACTACCTAAGCTAAAAATATCCACAACGTTCCTCAACGCCCAAACTAGAATACTAATATAAACATGCGTGGGCACCTACAGCTTACACCTGCGTCACCACACCCCATCATTCCTCATACAGTACATTCTTCAGCACGGCCGAGTCTTCCTTCTTGAGGTCCCGGGAGATGCCCCTGGCGATCCAATCGGCGATGCCCATGTTTGTGATCATGGGGTTGACGCCGCTGGCGGACGGGAACACGCTCGCGTCCGCGACGTACAGGTTCTGCGCCTCCCAGGCCCTGCCATTAGGGTCCACGACGCCCTTGTCCGGGCTCGCGCCCATCTTACACGTGCCCATCTGGTGCGCGGACGAGAAGCCGACGTTGGGAGAGTCGAAGTTGGTGTTCTCGAGAGTCCGGATCCAGGCCGCGAAGGCTGGGTCGTTGATGCCTTGGTCGAAGTCGTGCCCCTCCACCTCCGTCTCGGGGGTGGAGGGTTCTGGCTTGGCGGGGCGCACGAACGAGGGCACGTTTTGGATTAATGGCCATATCTCGGTCGCGCCCTCGATATAGCATAGCTTGGCGGTGGCGACGATGCCAGCGAGTATGTGCTTGCGGTCAAAGGCTGATGGCGTATAGTCTATGACGGGACGGCCGTCCGGGCCGGCGTACACGCGGCCCGTGTCACGGTCGCGGGCTAAGGAGATCCAGGTTCCCATTTGCCTACACTTTAGTGCGTCTAGCTTCCACTGCAATGCGTTCCGCCACGGGTGATCGTACAACAACAAGTAGGGCTAGGATAGGCCAAAATATTAGCTTGGGAGATCGAGTCAAAGAAAGATTAATATGATAAAAAGGGGAACTTTTCGTACAGTCATGCCACCTGGCTCGACTTTGACGCCGTGCCCCTTGCCGTCCAGATTTTCAAAACTAGTGCAGACACTCGTCAAGATGGCCCCTAGGTGCGTAAAGTCATTAGCTTAGCTACCGTGCTGCCGGCGTGGAGTGATAGTTACCTTCCCAGCCCTTGGTTTCTTGGTCAAAGGTGGCGTTGACATGAGCGACAGGGTGTAGATGGAGATTCTTGCCAATATGACGGTTCTGGTAGTATTCAGTTAGCTCGATATACAATAGGTATGTACCTTAGGAAGTATATGAGTGGGTGTGATCTCACTTTCAGTCCGCTCCTCATCAATAACAATGGACTATGGAGTGTCCCGCATGCTACTATCACTTTCTTCGCTCTAATTCGGACTTGTCTCTTTGTTCTCTCAGACTCGGGTGTGTGAAGATTTCCGTCTTTATCCCGTGCCGTCCATGTCCCCAAAATACCCACGGCTCGTTTTGTTCTTTTTTGGGTATCATCGAAGAGTATTTCGGAAGCATAGAATCCCTCAATGAACTTTGCGCCTGCCTCGCTAGCAGCTGGAAGCCAGGTCACATTGGGGCCCTTCTTCCCAGAGGAGCTGCATCCCGAGCCACAGCTTCCACAATGATGTTCAGTGCCTCCAGTGTTCTGAGGAGCCGGTTTCGCGGTCCAACCAAGTTTCTTTGCCCCGTTAAGAAGGACATTTGCCCTATGATTGTGGCGAATATGAGCATCGCTGACACCCACTACCAATATCCGATTAGTACTTTCTTGTTCCAGAAAATCGAATAACGACATCGCTAGGTAGGATCAGGTGCTTTCAAACTTCAACTCCGTTCCCTAAAGCATAAATCTAGATTTTAGGGAGCTAGGAAAAGAACTCACTAAAGTCGGACACACGGTCTAGACAGTGTTGGAATTCTTGGGTGAGGAAGAAGCCAAGCCCCTCTTCCGCCCACTCTTGCCGTACGAACCCCTGAGGTTGGAGACTGGCACTCCAGTTGACGGTTCCGCCTCCTCCCCAACAGCTTCCCGCAAGGATTGGCATAGTCCCACTCGCGTTCTGTAAGGCGCCCTTTGCTTCGTAGAGATATTCACCGGCCGCCTCGAAAGTCATTGGCAGCTGAGATGGGGGAAAGTAGTAGCCCTTGTCAACGACGATGACTTTATGTCCAGCTTCGGAGAGCACCTTGGCGCATACAGCCCCTCCGCAGCCAGAGCCAACAATCACAACGTCAGTGTCAATCGTCTCTACCTCGGACCCAGCCTCAAATTGCATGAAATTGAAGTCAAATGCCTCGCTCGGCCGGTAGTCTTCGGTGATACCTGAATAGCCATTAAGCTCAAGTAGCAAAGGACTGGTCTGAGCAAATAGAAGTTTAGTCATCTTCATGATGGATTTTGCAACGGTTGGCCAAAGGGTGACCCATGATGCATTCCATGACTTAATGATCCCTTCCCGGACATGAACAGGTTGTTCGTGTATGGGGGTACAATATCCCGTGGCTACCAAAGCCCCGATACGAGTTCTTCTCAATTCGTTAGTAACTCCAATGTTCACGACGGGTATGGCAGAGTGAGGCTATATCTTACTCTAACAGATCCAGCATGCCAGCTAACTGCTTCTGACTACCGGCCGGGATGCCCTGAAAGGTACGTTTGAGCTGTTCTATAAACCGTGGGTTGTCTAGCGGGCTTGCTTTAAGGTACTCTTGAAATTGATCATAAGATGGCGGAGATATCATAGACTTCTTAAATTGTTCATACGTTTCTGCATACTGGGACTCGGGTATTTTTAGCTGAGCTTTCCGGTCTGTTACCGCTGACTCGGCTACAATGGAGGGGATCACGGCGTCTATGAGAGCGAAGAGGGTTTTCCATTGTGTCTGGGTGAAATATGTGTCAGGCCCTAATTCGGGAAGCTGAAGAGGTATAGGAGCGCTGAGATGGTGAGTAACACCCATCACGTCTATTCTAAAGATTGATTCGTCTAATGATGGATTGATTATATACAAGAAATGAATCACTTGAGGTTATAAATGGGAGTGGACTGAGTGGATAACTGGCTCGAGATAAATGGGTATGGCTAGTTACCACGGCTTGAATTGCCATCGAATTGCCGATTTCTTGGGAACATCTTTGAAGCGACATGGTCAGTTCGTCAACTAGCTGAGTCTGATCGTCGACTAGGAATGTGTAGAAATAATAGAGATATAACTGAACCGTGCATGACTCTTTACCTATTATTGTTTAGTTTGGCAGTTGGAGGCTGGTAAACTGGTTACAATCGCGGGGTATGTAAACAGATACCTTGGTTACCTTGGTTAGGAAACTTGGGGAAGCCTTGGGGATCTCGGCTTATGTAGGTACTCCAGATGGAGTTTACTTTGTACAGTTTAGAGCTGTTTATAGTATGTACCTAGGTACCTAGGTGTACGGGGAAAACCTGCACTAAAATTATCCATGGATGGATGTCAGATGATTACCTAGGTGTGGATGACTAATATGGCGACAATACTAAAGCAAGGTATTAATTAACCTGGGGAAAGAGAAAAGGTATGGGAATGTAATTGTATATCGAAGAATTACTTGCATGGGTTTTGAGCCGACATTCCGTTCGCTCCGTCCACCCACGTGTTAAAATATATATATATATATAGTTACCTAGGCCTAGGTAGTTATATATAAAGAAAAAGAACAAAAAAAAGACAAAAATGAATCCTACCTACCTACTTAGGTACCTTAGGTAGGTTTCAAATTTGTTGAGGAGGGGGCAACTTTTGACTTGTACAGCTGTAAACTTGCAAACCTGTTACTTCAATGTTGTAAACTTGCCACATCAAACGTGTATCAATGAATGATTTGAATAGGGTACTAGGTAGTGTAAGTCATACTTAGGTAGTACATAACTACATGTATGTAGTAGTCTTCGAATGTGCATTACTAGGTAATTCGTATAGGTATGCAAGGGTATGACTTGAAGTTTGATAAACATTCGTGACATGTGCAATCCCATGTACCAGATATACGGTATGTAGCTTCTGTGAGGCTCTGTGACAGCTTATCTTTCCAAAGACTCAGTGTCATCAAAATCCGCGTCGACACTGACGCGTTAGGGAGTACAGAATTTATGTATGACATATGTAGGTATTGTATAACTTATGTACTGTAGAATGCATATGGCGGATTAAACAGTTATTTAAACTGCATAGTAACCTATTGTAGGCCAAAGAAGGGGGCCACAACGCGGGGCTATTTATATGTAGGTACATATTATAGTACAAGTACAGTTCACCGTTGTATAACTAGAATGAGGGGAAGTCAAACATACATAGTATTTTGTTGGGAATCCATCTAGAAGCTTTTCCTAGCTGGGTAGTATGTACTATACTATGTATGTACGTTGCCGCATCCTCATTTACGCTAATGATTTCAATTGTCTCAGATTCAAAGACTGCCTTCATAGTACATATGTAGGTAGATATATCATTGCTGTATTATTCACCTTATGCACCTTATGAGAGAGGGAGAGGTGAGAGAGGTAAGAGAGTCCCACCATTTCAAGAGTAAGAGTAATCAACCTCAACTCATATACTGGACTTGCTTACTGTTACACATTCCCTGTGGAATATTATAAGAATAAACATCTGTCAACGCTTGTCACCTTGTCCTAGTTGAATTTAACTTTCTCAACTGCGCATGCAGCTATGTAACAAACAACGAACGACTATGCCTCCCTAGTAGATGAGAGTATACTAGCCTAGGTTAGATTATACTAGATCTACATGGCTAGATGCGCGCGCCGAGGACTCCGTCACCGATATTTGGGTTTGGGTTTGGAAACCTCCCCAACGGAAGATGAATTATCTTCACAAGGCAGAGACGGGCTAGACGGGCCAAACGGCCCAAACGGCCCAAATGGACTGGATTGTCCTACCCACGCCTACCCAGGCATCGCTTCGCACCGCATCATACATATCTATATCTGATCACATCATAATCATCTAGGTTAGGCATTTTATTATTACAAGGATCGTTCTGGTCTTGAATTGCCATCGGTAGCAATGCCGCTTTTCGCACGTCGGCCGGCGTATACAACAAATATACGAAGAAGCAATATTCGAATTAATATTCCTACCAATAACTAAAAGCTCCACTAAGACAGGTATGTAGGGTTCCTCGGGAGTCGGGATCTCACATGTCTTCTCAAGTGATACCATGTGTAGGTAAGGTCACTGGTAGGGTCACTGGTAAGGTCACTGGTATGGATATGCTGTCTCAACTGCCCGTTTGGCCGTTTTAACACGAAACATGCATTCTGGAGAGCATGATGGGCTTGAGGGCTTTGAGGGCATTAAGTGCATCAGGTGCATCAGGTGCAACTTGAACTGGAGCACCAACAAAAAAAGATTGGAAGAATTGGAGGAAGGAAAACGTCTAAAATACGTCAAGCGTTACCTAATCGCGATAGGATTGAGTTCGAACCCTTCTAACCCGAAAATCTACAAGGGGGGTTAAATACCCGATTTGGAAGAGTCGGGTCGAATAAGCCAATGACATTTCAGACACATCTACGAAAGGACCACCGCCTTTCAACTGTTGGGCCTTGTGGTACCTGTTGTACCTGTATCACGGAAGGAATTTGCGTAACGGCGCCTTCATCGCCCTGTGACTGGGGCCCCCAGCTCCCAACCCTGCTGTTAGCGTGTCCAGGGTCGTTGAATACCGCGGTTCAATGGTTCAATGGTTCAATGATGCAGGCACACACGCATAATCCCTTGATATATTATAATTTTTTTTATTTAATCTTTCCTTGTGAAATTCTACTGATGGTTAATATGTACTTGATGGCATCACGATAAATGAACATTGTTTCTTTTCCCATTTTCTTCTCTTCATACTAATCATTCTAACCACTCTAGTCCTTCTTCCGCATATCAACTTACAAACACAACCAACCCTGTTAGAGATATCACACGACTATTACATCTTGTCGTGCGCACAGCTCAACACCAGACACAAGTAACATTCTCGAGTCTCGGGTCTCGGTATCAGGATTAGATATTGAATCTTGAGACATATCGAAACGATATAGAGCTCTAATAACAATATGGCTTCGCCTTTGGTCTTTCTCTCGCCTCCTCAGGCGAGCCTCTTCCAGTTCCCTCCGTACGCAGAGCCGCAAACTATTCCTCCACTACAATCCGATTACCCTTTTACCATACCGGACAGTTTATACCTCAATGCATTAGATCCCAAGGTTCCAATTACGATTGCAACTGTCTACGCTGTTACCGCCAAGGCACTCAACATATACAACAGGTCCACGGGGAAGAAGCCATGGGCTATCAGTAAGACTCGAGCATTCCGCGTCTTCGTCATCTTACACAATGTCTTCCTCGCCGTATACTCGGCATGGACTTGGATTGGCATGTTTAACGCTCTTCGAAGTGCACTAGTGAGCCCTGCCGGCCCTAATGGCTGGGCTGGGACTGTCGACAGTCTCTGCAAATTCCACGGGCCCGCTGGTCTAGGAAATGCCTTCAGCTTCAACCACAACTCGGGCACTTGGGATTCTATATCGGGGGTCGGCTCTTTGGGAGCTGATGGTGCTCCTGGCCGAGATGATGCCGGACGACTTTGGAACGGGGGCCTCGCTTTTTACGGCTGGCTCTTCTATGTTAGCAAGTTTTACGAGGTTATTGATACACTTATCATTCTCGCCAAGGGAAAGCTCAGCTCGACACTTCAAACCTACCACCACGCAGGTGCCATGATGGCTATGTGGGCCGGTATTCGTTATATGGCTACCCCTATCTGGATTTTCGTATTCTTTAACTCGGCCATCCATACTCTCATGGTAAGTTTTCGCTCCTACCACCCAAACGTTTTTTATACTAGCAACTGCTAACTCCAAGACAGTACACATATTTCACTGTGACTGCTTTCAATATTCGCGTCCCCACCTTCATCAAGCGTATTCTTACCTCGCTTCAAATCACTCAATTCGTCGTCGGCGCTTCTTGCGCCATGATTCATTCGTTCATCTCGTACTTGGTACCCGTCCAGGTCGACGCTCATTCCGCTGGTGCCCCCATCATTACTTCCCACCCTACTGTCAATGCAACCAGCGCATCTAATGCTGTCGTTGATAATGTGATGAAGATGCTTTTCGGTGCAGCTGGAGCTGCCGGTGCAGGTGCCGTGGTGTCTCCCTCAGGATCTCACTCTACACCTATCGAGTACGCGACCCAATACCAGAAGGTTGACTGCATTACCACCAGCGGATCCACCTTTGCTATCTGGCTCAACGTCGTCTACCTGCTTCCTCTCACCTATCTATTTGGGTCGTTTTTCGTATCAAGCTACTTACGGCGTAGCAAGGCCGAAGTGGTGCGAGCCAAGAGCAACCCAGACCGACGTAGAAGCAACGTTATTCTGGCAGAGAAGGCCAGCTGGGATGCCGCCAAGGGTCTCGAGCGCGAAGTGTACGGCGAGAGCAACGAGGGCGCGGTCGTGGAAGACAGCGATGAGTCTACTGGAAACGGCCGACTTCACCCGTCGTCTGCCGCTAGAGCAACCAAGTACTAAACGTTTCCCACGAATGGGACCAGCCAAGCTTCATTGCTAGCTGTGACGATGATTATAAACAAAAGCCCAAGGCGCCACCGGGACTAATGGGATTTGCAGCAAACCGGGCTGCGGGAAAAAAAAAGAAACCCTTGAATCAAAATACGAAAGAGCTCATTAAAAAAAAAGGCCATGATTAATTGGGTTGGAATGAAGCGCTACATCCACTACCAGCGATACAAGTTCGAGTGATTCATTAGGTATCTATGGGTGGAGTTTTATGGCAGCGGGAAAATGGGAATCGTACCCAGTAGTACGAATTACAATGTTTACAATAGGTGCCTACATAGGTATACATGGTCCAAAAAGCGGCATAGAACATTGAACTCTTTAAACTTCATCTTCGGGACTTGAGTGTTTTGTGTGGCGTGTGAAGTGAGCAAAGTGTATGATACATATCGGTAATGTCGGTGTGCTATTGAATCTGCCTAGTAGTTGAAACCGCCTTCTGTGTTCGATTTTCTTGAATTGTGCATGTGAATTATCACAATCGGTGCTTCTTTGGTGGTTTACGAAATGTCCTCCCCCCTTTTTATTGTCCTGGTCATGCATGTGTCATCTTGTCTTCAAGGTAAAATACTGGAGCTACCTATATAGCAAACTCTTGGCTCATGACATACCAAAGTATCAAGGTAGAAACGGGACTCAATTACTATCTAGGTATGCATCAGGCTGCGTACGTGGGCACTACGCATGGAAATTTGGAGGTCTACCTACCTACCTACTCATCACGTCTCGATAGTTAATGTCCAAATAGAACAGACAATGTGTTATGATCCTGGCGACCTGAGTCAGGGGCTAGACGGGATGAAAGCAATCATAACGAACAAGATTTCCAGGAAGAAGCTGGTTATATACCTCCTATATGATGCATGGCGAGAGAAATACTATCCAGATCTTTATATTGAGCCAACTAGGTACCTAGGTAGCCTTCTAGCAGCGAACGAAACCACATTTATCTCGTCCGTCCGCGGGGTATATAAGCCTATCACCTGCTGGCATAAAACAAAGTGAATGCAGCGGGAACATCCCTTGCCCGCTGGGTTGATGTTCACAAGTTACGGGGTCTACATTATCATCAGTTGCCTGCAACCCGTACTATACCTACCCATAGCTGGCCCATCTCGAAATCGGCAAGAGAGCCATTCAAGCCTTACCCCCTCCCTTGTCTGGACAAACAGAGGACGGAGATTTCGACCTCGCTGGGGAGGCCTTACCCGGGCACCCAGGGGGGGGGGGGTGGCATAGGGAGGGAAGCTAGGCGAGCTTTCGCGTACGCTCGTGATACTTGGCCCAGGAACACTCACCTCGCGTCGCGAACTGCTTTCTTTCTTTCTACACGGCGACACTAGATTCTCATTGTGGAAATTACCTATAAGAAACGGTGAAAAGACACGTTTGTACATGGCTACGCTGATGAAATCCTACTAGCACCCCAGGAGCTATGGCTGCTCATAGATGATGAATGGCATGATTAGGTAGTGTTGCCTGGTTCTACCGGCTACCTGTGACGGCAACTTGTTCTCCCCCTCGCGCACGCTCGGTGTGGGATACTCGGGCTGCCCACATCCACTGCCTGGCACGACATGCCAAACGAGCTCAGCGTCGACAATGGGAAGGTGACATTCGTGCTTGGTAGATATCTCGCAGCCTATTTAGGCAACCTAGGCGTTCTCGGCAACGCCCATTCCTCGATGCTGCTTCGAGGCAGGCACAGACATCATCACCCACTACCTACGCGGCTAACCGGGCATCCAGAGGTATGTATGTGCGAGAGCTGGAACCCGCCACGTCGAATCCGTAACGGTGCCGACCCAACTAACTAACTACAGCTGCGCAAAGCGTAGTTTCTCTGCCAATAGCATTGTCTGGTGCCGTTCGGAGCTCCTTCGATGACGCCGGCGGGGGTAAGACGGTCATGCCGCCAGCACCGCACCGCGCTTGACGTGCCCATGTATGACTAGGTATGCATCGGTCTACCGTCGTGTGAACCACGCTACGGCCTATCCCGTGTTTAGAGGTCTTACATCATCAGGTGGTAGAAAAGTGGCGGTACGCGCCCCCCCTTACCTACACATGCGCGCTGCATCCTCCGCTGTCTGACAGCTACCTAGGCAAAGGATAAGGCCAGCTCTTCCTACGACTCCTGGCAGTGCAAGGCACTGTTCCGCGTACAGGCCGACGAATTGGCTAGCAGTCACTTGGGGTAAAGAACGTCGAGCTGCCAAAGCTTCCTATTGTCGTTACCTATGCTAAAGTGGCTTAGGTAGAGGTGCTGGGAAAGGGGGAAAAGTCCGGGTTTAGGTGCTTAATAACGCTCTAGGTTAACATTTAGTGGTAGGTGAGGGTGTATGATGTGGAAGCAGCTTCTCGTTGATGAAAATCGAAAAGGGGGGGGTGGTAGTGCTTATTACGTACCTACCTTTAGGAGTTGCAGCTTGGGTAGATACCTAGGTAAGTAGGTAGCGTACGCAGACAACGCCTGGACGGCAGGATATGCACACCTATCTTCCTCAAGCGAGGACAAGCTCATGTGTCAGCCTATCTCCCCTACTTACGATCATAGCCAATTTTCATTATATGCTGTTTATAGTGTTACCTTTATGGAAGGAGGTAGGTAGGGGGGTGCTTCCTCTATGATATTGATAAAGGGGTCGCGTACCTACCAGACACAAGAATGACTCCTCGGGGTATCACGTGATTTTCTAGGTATCTAATAGTCACATGACTCTGCTCCGATAGAATTATATGACCCAGTGAGTTTCTACAAGCAGACTACTTTGGGTACATGAATTACTCGTTAAGGCATACAGTCCCATTGGGAATAGAAAGGATTACCCAGTTGTACCAAGCCAAATCTCGTGAAAGCCGCTTTGCATAGGTAAGCTTGTACTTACATCCCGTAGCTAACAGATCCTATGCTAGAATTAGGCCACGCCATACCAACTGATGAAATATCCCCGTCCCACAAAAACACTGACTGGGATTTCTTCATTGAGTCTCTGACTCATCCCTGAGCTGAACTCGACGCTGTGTATCTAGAGACCGCAGATTCACGGATCGAGCGAGCGGGCAAGATAAGAAGCCCGGCGATCTGCCCGGGCACCTACCCACCTATCCGGAAGTATGTATACGGTCGTCTCGCCATCTTATCGCCACAAGCAAATCCATTGAACCTGCGTCATGAGCATCCATCCATCCATCGACAAGCAAAACAAAATCTCCAGATGCGCCCGGGAAACCTTTCCTACCAGCCCGCTCACCGGAAGCAGGTATGATCATCTTCGACGGGGGAAAACCTCCTCTCGGAAACCTCAGAAGAGATAAAACGAACGTAGGTTTACGTCGCAAAGTCAGGAACCCCCCCCCCGTACTCGCAACCCAGCGATCCGGTATCCTAGACGTCATCTCGCAAGCAAGCATCCAATCCGGCTATCTCGATACCAATCCATAGTAAGTAAATACTACCCCATCACCCCCTGATTTTTCATCTCCGCCTCCGCCCATCTCCACGTTTCCCAATCCCAGACCCAGCGATGGCGAAATGGCGGGGAGATAGGGAGAGAGACACACAGACAAGCAGAGATAGAGATGTAAACAGGGGAAAAGATAAGTAAGAGCATCATAGGGCTCTAATCGAACCCATAGATCGTGATGGCGACTTACTTTGGGTTAGGTTAGGTAAGGTACCGCAAGCTACAGCAGGCAGGCCGGATGCGGTTTGGTTGGGTTACATACAGTAGGTAATTGGCAGCCCTAGCACCTACCTACAGTACTTACCCATTGAAGTTTGAGAAGTCCCAGACAGTCTTCTCGCCACCGAATACCTAGACTCATTAATAGTCCACAATTTTGAGTTTTTCTTATATTTTTTTTTCCCGGGAAGCATGGCTCAGCGTGGGGATGGAGGCGGTTTTCATTCTTTTCTTTTCTTCAATTAACTATTCGGGGTAAACCGAACACGGCAGGGCAGGGCAGGGTGTGCGGGATCGCGTGCGGGATAAGTTAGTTAACTGTAACTAACTAAACCAAACCAAAAAAACGCAAAAGAAACTTCGACGCCGATCCCGTTTATTGTGGGCCCCCGGTTCGGTGGTGGCGCTTGGCTGTGTAGGGCCATCTCCGATAGCCTTCCGATAGCCGGCTAACACCAGCTGGATCCGCTTATTATGTGTTTACATCCCACGCTGCACGCTGCTGTGCAGGGTACCTATGTATGTATGTATGTATGTATGTAGGGCTTGGTATTATTAAGGGACTTGGTATTATTAGGTAGGTAGGGAGCTGAGGATGTTGAGATTTGTAAAGGCGCAGGGATATATACGAAGTAGGTACTGTAGGTAACTAGATGGGTAGATGAAGAATTCGAAGAATTATTAAAGTTAGTTCATGTTCGGCTATACTATGTACTAACTTATGTAGTATGTTAAGCACCTGTTTCTCTTTGCTATGTAGTATGAACATACTAGGTTAGTTAGTTAGTCGGCATGTAAGCAACGTTGAATCTTGAGTCCTATTCCAGCGACGGCTACTGCCGGTTCCACCGTTCTGGGCCCACGCTATTAGATCTATGTGGTATGTACTGTGTAGGTAAAACTGTAGGCACACGATAGTAGTTACATACATTACGAGTAATAATAACAGGGTGTACCTACCATAAAGATACTTAGCGGTTTTCACATTGCGTGGCGTAGTCGGGCTTGCCGACAAGGGTTCAAGGTTTGATATTGTTACATAGTATAGGCGCGAAGTAGAAGGAAGTATGTACTACATAGTTTTAGTAGGCATAGTCTCACATGTATTAGTAGTAAAAGGCCAAAAAAAAAAGAGAGACTCGGAGAACTCACCGAGCTAGGAGCGTGTCATTACGTATTAGCCACTTCCATGCCGGTAACCCATACAGGGTATGCCGCTACATATTCCTACCTACGCTAGTGTTGTCATCTAATTATTGACCCTCTAGCTAAGCTAGTCAATATCCATCCATGTGTTTACATATGTATGTAGCTAACCTAGGCATATACTATACTAACCGACATAGTGACAGGAGAGGCTATATCTAGAACCAACCACGAGTATCCAGATGGACTATACAAAAAAAGAAGGGTCGAAATAGAAAGTGGCCCGAATGTTCGTAGACCGGGCTAAAGGGCTTCTTTGCATACATTAGTATGGGCCTAGGTAGGTACGTATTACACACATGCACTACACATGTACAATGAATAATAGGTATTGTCCATACAGATGTTAGGTAGGCACGTACCACGGTAGGTAGGCATACGTGTTATTAGAAATTCAAGGCTACTGGTGGTAGGGGGCAACACCTGGCAACACCTAAAAGATGCCATCGTGATCAAATATCAAATGTAAATTCAGTCCGATGAACCTATATGGTGAGGAATCATTCATGTCATAAACGCCGTGTAACCACAACGACGTCTGCTGCATGTCCGTCTGCCCGGGAACTCCTCAACACCAGGGCTGAAACCAAAAATAAAATCCCTTATCCGACGCCTATTATGCACTCCTTTTGGTCCAGTCTCTGGTCCAGTCATCTAAGTTCCGGAACACCTGGTGAATACCTTGCTCCAAATATGCAAGGCCACAAATGATATACTGCTCCTCCTCCTACCCCTGAATCCCTTGATCATCTTGCCTCGTCCTCATCCTCGCCCTCGCTTCCCACCCTTCACTCCATAAAATTTTGGTATCGAAATTAGTGCATCAAGTGCTGGGTATCGTAGCTCGAAAATAAAATTCAAATGATACCGTTGTGCTATGCATGGGAAATCGTGCCAATATGGATCTAGCCATAAAAGATCCAGTCTATCCTGGAAATAAGAACATCTAGTCTATGTGATGATTGAGTATTCCTTTCGTCGTTGTAAGGAATTTTCCGTCGTGATTAAGTATTGTTGTGTCGTCGTGTATGATAGTAATTAGGTGACCAGGTCTCCGTTCTGCTTCGGATTGCAGAGACACTGGGATTATAATGAAGGAGAAAAAGCCTCCTGGGCTCCTGTTTGCCCTATGTAATAAGGTCACTTTAAAAAGTGCTCCAATTCCAGTCTCGAGGAACACTCAAGGCAATGTCCTGATGGTGACCGAGCTGGCCCTGTATTGCCGTCGCGGTTGCTGGGCTGTTTGGTGTCGTCTGAGAACCTCTGCCGGAGGACGAGTCTTCACTAGAGGCCTGGCTGTTTGTTCGACTACGCCACATTTTGAATTCCGAGAAGCAGTGAGAGCATGCCCGGCTAGGGGTGCCTCTTGGGTTGTAGTTCGCGTCTTGGTCAAGGGGGACGTCGAAAGCCGAGTGCGAATCACAGAAGATGTTGCCACATTTTCGGCAGTGGTGTCGACGTGTCCAGTAGTTGAAGTGGCGCATACACGAGGGTTCGTCACAGATGGAAGATTCCGGATCGGGCTAAAAAGAATTAGGAAGAGTCAGCTGCTGTTTCTGTAGCACGAGGGAAACAAGAATGCAAACGTCATGTGTTGCGGTAGCGCAACCTTTTGACAGGGCTGCATAACTGAGACATGGGGTGCAGATTCGGACATACCTTCCAGTGAAGTCGTGTGGGCATTGCCGTAGGTTTGGGAAACATATCCATATCCCAATCCCAATCACCATCAACCCATTTTCCGCTGTCCCCGGTGGCGCGGCGGCTTAATCGGCTAAGTGCGGCCAGACCAGTCAAACTGATGAAGCTATTGTTTGATGGCAACGAATCGTCATCTTCCTGTACTTCTGACTTCCTTCCGATGAAGTTTTTGGAAAAATGTTCGGTGGGTCGTAGAACGGCAGGCATGTAGAGAGGTCGCAGTCGTTGACGATGATATGGCTTAGGTGATGTTGGTGAGCCATTATTCGAGGTACTCAGCGGCGAGATTTGTTGAGACTGATATCCTTGAGACGGGTACGTGGGCGATTGAACCTGAGCTTGTGCTTGCGCTTGCGCTTGCGCCTGCGCCATTGCCACAGATATATGGTGATATGGGAAGAAATGCGCCTGTGCCTGCTCGGATAGCCTAGGCATAACAAATTCGGTTGCCATCATCCCTTTTCTTACAGATATACAGATGGGGATGGATGGGTGAGGTAGGTTCCGAAGTCGAGGAAGTTCCGGGGGTGGTGATGAAGTAGGCGGGCGATAGGTGACAGTAGTAAGGGTAGGGTACTAGGTACCTAAATTGCTACTGGAGGTTGCTGAGTATAAGGATTGTCGAGACTGGCCAATGTAAGAGGTGCGATAAGCGGCGTCTGCCGTTGCGCGAACCAAAAGCGTTTGGTAATATTTATTTGTTGGACCAAAATGCCCTTTAATATAGCTGAGATCGCCCAAGCATATGACAGTTCCGACCAACCCTTCGCTTGGCCTGCAGTTGAAATAATTGGTAATAATGAAAACGTTGCGTATGAGTCGTAAAGGTTGTTTAGGTTGTTTACCCAAATACTTAGATAAGTACTAGAGCAGCGAATATAGTAAGGCTATTGTCGGAAAATGATTAGGTTTAAATTGGGATGGTGTTAAAGTGCCCGATCTCAACTTTAAGACGGGGAAAAGGTGTTGTTGGTGCACGAATAGTTAAGATAAGAAGCACTTAGAGTACTTTGGTGAGGTAGAGTGCGGATAACGTCCCGGGTTGAGAGCGGGCACCCGGAGAATGCGACAAGTCAGGTATGGCAAAATCGTAGAAATTGACGATAAGTGTAAGTGAATAATGATAAGTTGGAGATGGTCGAGGGTCTAGGTACTTAGGTATATATTGAATGTACAGTACTGCACATTGATTGTACCAACTTCAAATGTTCAAAGGAATAGAAAACAACCTTGGAACTTCAAAATAAGGTATAGTATAGAAATAGAGTATAAGTTCAACTGGTATCAAAGAAAAAGGAAATCGATAGATGATAATGAGGAGGGACTCAGGGAGAAGGTGCAGGAGGGATGCTGATATGATAATAACCTTCTGTCAAAATAACACAACATACATACAGAAAGAGCACTCCTCCGACGCAATAATACTATGTACGTACATACATACATAAGTTGACCGGCCGCTGTGGAACTCTGGTGGAACTGGTGGCATTGGTGGCATTGGTGGCCACTGGGCTGGTGGACCAGGAACCCCTCGATACAATCCAAGCGGCGTCCACTTACGCAGTAGTACTTGCTAGCCAATGCTAGGTAGTTAGCAGCTGCCTAGGCATTTCATTGTTTTCTGATTGGTTGACTGGGAATTAGTTAAGTTTTCCTGATTCAATTCGTACTGTGCTTGTCTTGTCATGTCTTGTCCTCTTACTCTACCCGACGCATGTGCAAGCAATGTGCACGCACGCACCTACCTTTACGATGTTCCCATCACCATCTCGTATGTTCTTATTTTAATATTACTGCTTTTTTATCTTTAACCCTCCATCCTCCTTCCTCCATTTATACACATCCATCATGATCCATGGATACTCTTGACCTGGTACCTTTTTGACTACAAAACAAACACCCTTTATTCTATGGATGATACCTAACTGTTTGATTGCCTACCTTTACACTATATATACCTGGGTATAGTTACCATATACTGTAACTACCCAGGTAAATAAATATAGCTGGAGATATTTCTATATCCAATTTCAGTACCACTAATAATCGTACCTAGTATATATGTAACATGGTATGTTAGATGTTTGTTCTCTCCTCCAATGCAAGACCCTCCAATGCCTCCATTAACCCTCAAGTGCTATGTATACATGTGTACATGCCTGGGTTAGCAACTTAGCATCGTGTAGTAGCTAGGTATGCCTCTGCTCGTCTGTCCTCTTGCCTAATATGTTTAAGGATTACCGATGTTCGGCGCTGGTAACTTACGTCAGGTTATATCCTTGGACTCTTCCAGCCAGCCTTTCCTTTTCTCTCGTTACTACCTACGGTATAGTCTCATTACAGCTTCCCAGGATACTCCTCGGCAAACTTATGACGGAGGATTGATAGCTACATATCTGAGGCTTCTAAGCTACTAGGTCCCTAGCAGCTTAGTAGCTACCGAAGAGACAACCATGTGGGCGATCCTACTTTTAACCACTCAAAAAGAGTGCAAGCAAAGAATTCATGGATGCTTGCTGCGGTTGATGTCCCGCAAAAATCTCCGTACTTGAATTATTAGTTTGTGAGGCGCCGGCGCGCCAGCCGTCTTTTATTACGTTTTGGTACTACAACAGGTACGCATAGAGCAATATATCGCGATGCAACCGGCTTTGCGTACAACCTCATAAACGCAGACATGTTCAATGTTGTCGTATCAGCGTACACACATACCATACCTACGTATATGCATTAGATCCTAACTGTTACCTTTTATCGATTGCCATCTCGATATGTCGATAAGAGCCGCGAAAGGCCTACCACGATGACTTCACAATCCAAGCATTACAGGATCCGTGCGCTCTTTTCTTCAGATCCAAACGACGGCAATGCAGATCTAACTAGTCAACTATCTACATGGCGTAGGTGCTACCTACATAAGTCCTCGGTGCCCCACTCACGATCCGACCACCCGCACTACTTCTCCTCCTTCTCCTCCTCTTAGTATAGTCCCCTTCGTTTTGAAGCTGAAACAGGACCGTACCAAGAGCCACAATGGTATTTTACAAAACGCGCATGATTCTGATCACGAGAGAGTGCATAACATCCGACGCTCTCGCTCGCGATCTTTTATGCCAACCAAACCCAAGAATAACATTGAACTTGACGGCTCAAACTCTGTCGTTCAACAACCATCCATCATTTTCTTGGTGTTTTTAGCGTAGCGATGGCGAGCACAGTCTAGCACAGTGTTTGCGATTCTGCAGGTTTATCTTTGGACCTATGCTGATTGGATGTTGAGACGGCACTAATGCCCGTCGTACGTAGGGATATTCGGCCATTGAGGTCGAGGCTCATCTTCATTGTCTCTGTACAACAATAACTTACAACATACCTACTAGGTTAGGGTGTTAGGGCCCGCTTGACCGCCGAATTTAATGAATGCAATTGTATGTATGTATGTGCCTCACGAGAGTGGCTAAAAAGTGATAACCTTGAACTTTGTGTTGCCTTCTAATTACCATGTCGCTGCTGCGTAGGTAGGTGTGTACGGGATGTACGGGATGTACCACGTTCCTCACGTGTAAGAATTTATCCGCTTTCATTTCATGTTCATGTATGTACGAGGGATAGGAAGGACACAGCGTTAAGTTTGACAAACTGCCTTCTATCTAGTGGTAACGCGAGCCCTCGTGGTTTGACATCATGGTCATGGCTTGACATCATCTTGCCTGACAGATAACTATACAGAATCATATCAACCAAACACCCAACACATCGGGTACACACAAAAAAGCACGGATAATCCATACAGATAGACCAAGATGCCTAACTGGGTATGTATGTAAATCACCTTTTCACCAGCAAGTTTTCGCTTGACATAATGTTCCCGCCGATCGAGTAAGATGCAAGATCTGGAAGATCAGCAAAGCCCTTTTTCGATTTAACTCTTCCTACGTACATACATACATACACACTTACACACTTACAGTAGTATATCCTACGTTCTCTTTCCTACATTACATGGTGTAGTATGCACCCAATATGTATTGGCACCGACTTCTATTGGCAGAAGCGCCGGGCTTAGGTTCCACACAGTGAGGCCTTTTGGGTCCACATAATACATACAGACCAGACCTACTACGTAGTACAGTACATACATAACTAACTAACTACATATACCATTCTTACATACATACATATTATTAGGTATGTATAACATCAATACTATAGGAAAGTGGATCCAGGTATAACTAATAAACCGTACCCTACATCCCCCCATCCTAGTTAGCGTAGCTTGCCCCGCGGAGAGTTAACCTTAATAGAGCACACACGCAAAGAAGAAGGAAAAAAAAAAACAATAAGGGTCCTCTGAGGTGGATCTGACTCTAATTGTGTTATCGCCAAGCTGTGATTGGTCCCTCCCAGTTCCAGGTTATGTAGCTACGATCCTAACCTTAGTACGTACCTAGTAGACTAACTAGGTGGGGAGGGGGCACACTGGGCAGAAATCCATCATTCCAATTGATTTGATTTGATTTGATTTTGATTTTGATTATTCCCCAACGCAGCGAAGCGCCGGCATTGGCGGGGTCGGTACCGGTATCCCGAAAATCCAAGAAGAAGAAAAAAAAAAAAACACCCCTCCGCAACCCAATTCAAGAAAGAAAGATATGAATGGCATGACTCAGTACCTACCTACCTACATACATATCTACCTTACCTAGCAGCAGCTCACCTACAGTAGGTTGGGTTGGGTACCTACACACATGGATAGAGAGGCAGTAAGAGGGTAGGTAGCCATCTCCAAATGCGAGATTGCTGTTGAAGATGGTCAGAATTGCGTGTTCATGAGAGCACATCATCAATCATCAACAACAGACAGAGGATCAAATAATCAAATAATCAAATATATCCTTCAATGCTGGCGTAATCATGCAGAACAACCAACACAAGCACAAGCGTAATCTCCCCTCATGCGGTGAGGAGGATACAGATCACGGCCAATGGAGGTGAATGGAGGTGCTGCGTAGAGTGCCCTTTTTAATCTTTTAATTTAACGAATAAGGTGATCTATTCGACCCCCATTAGATTATCAGGAACACCCTCAACCCATCGGCCGCTTTTCCCGCCCTCCTTTACGGTCACCCTTAGGTCTTGGATCCTCATTCCCTTATCTACCGCCTTACACATGTCGTAGACCGTGAGCGCAGCCGTCGAAGCGGCCATCAGAGCTTCCATCTCTACCCCCGTCTTTCCATCGCAGGCCACAGTGGCCTCAATTTCGATTCGGCTTCCTCCAGTCTCATCCTCACGCACGTCTAGATCGATCGTGACTTTAGTGATGGCAATAGGGTGGCATAGCGGGATGAGGTCCGGCGTTCTCTTTGCCGCCATAATCCCGGCCACCCGGGCAACTCCCAAAACGTCGCCCTTTTTGATTTGATTCTCCTTTATGAGTTTGCATGCAACCTCATTGGTGAAAAGTACGCTGCAGGCTGCCTTGGCGACTCTCTTGCTGGGCGTCTTATCTGAGATAGAAACCATGTGGGCGGAACCCGACTCAGACACATGTGTCAGACCAACGGTCTTATCTTTTTTGGTATTTCTCTGACTTGACTGCGAGAACAGCCGCATTTGCCGTCCTTGTGTAAAGGTAGCCGGTATATTAGATAGCCCAGGGACAAATCGTGTAGCGATTAGAGGTGTATGCTGAGGGCTTCTGACTTGTGAACAACTAGCTGGTATAAGTCGCCGCGAATCTAGCAGATACCCCATTCAGCTCGAGTCTCTTCAATGGCCACCTTGATTCTTGATCATATTTAATTGGGAACATGATCCCTTGTGTGTTTTCCCCAGAGAGCAAAGAATGGTCACCCACCTATGAGTATCATGGGCCGATTTTTCATGTGCTCTAGTTCGCCGATACCTGCGTGCTTGGCCTTTTTCCTTTTCACAGCCATGCCGATGACGTTTAAAAGCCGACGTTCGTTCGGTGACAAATTAGGCTTGGCTGTATGGTCTGAAGTATGTTGTCGCCTATCCGCCTCGACCTTTTTCAATGCCTCATATGCTTCCTCATCTATTGGCTCTCCACAGTTTGATTCTCTTAAAATATCTCGCAACGATACTTCCGCATTTCCAAATAGGCAAACTTTCAGGTTTCCATCGCTTGTGATGCGAAGACGATTGCAAGTTCCGCAAAAGTTATGTGTCATGCTCGTGATGAAACCAATTTTGCCCACGAATCCGGGAATCCTATAGGTCTTGCTCGTGTCGTTCTGATGATCCTGTACTTTTTCCAAACCAGGATGTACCTCGCGGATACGATCCAGCATTTCGGCATAACTAAACATTTTGCCCTTATTCCATTTGTTGCCATCAAATGGCATGTATTCTATGAATCTTACTTCGATATCTTTCTCGCGGGTCATCTCGACGAATGGAATTATCTCCCGGTCGTTGATTCCTCTCATGACAACTGCATTGATCTTGAGCTTTATACCGGCTCCGTGCTTATTAAGCTCAAAAACTTTTTCGATGCTCTTCATTACAGCGTCGAATCCTTTCCGTCGGGTCATAATTTGGAATTGCCAGGGATCCAAAGTGTCGAGGCTCAAATTAACGCCAGTTAAGCCAGCCTCGACCATTCCGTCGAGCTTTCTGTGGAGGGCTATACCGTTAGTGGTAAGACATAATTCCCGCAGACCATACGACCGAAGAGCACCAATCTGCTGCATGAGTGGCAAGATATCTCTTCTAATGGTAGGTTCCCCGCCCGTGAGGCGAATTTTGTTGACCCCTTGAGAAACGAATACGGATGACAGCATAACAATCTCAGGAGTCGTCAACAGTTCCCTTGAAGGGGAGAGAGGAACACCTTCCTCCGGCATGCAGTAGACACATCGGAGATTGCATCTTTCTGTGAGTGAAATGCGCAAGTAGTCATGTTCCCGATTAAAGGTATCTGTAAGAAAGTCCGAAAATGGCTTCGCATCCTTCAACTGTGTCCGGCGGGAGGGTCGAGCAGATGGCACTGGAATTGGGCTATGCGGCTCGGGTATAATTTGAGTTGTCGTAGTAGCAGAAGCAGCGGCAACAGCAGTAGCGACTCGTCGGGAGGAGTGAAATTGATGGCCCCTATCGCCTAGAAAAGGCCGCAGACCGCTTGCTATAAACCATGCTCGACAAGTCGAGAGGGCCTTTTGTGTCATGCCGACAAATAATTCCGCCGAGTCGAGAAATCAAGGAACACTATGCATCATGTCTATTTATTCTTTGTTATTTAGTCGAAGAAATTTGTCTGTGAGTTTCACGATTTTTTGTTTTAAATTCACTCAAATGAGCCAAAAAGAAGTGGTGAAGTGGTTTGAGGTTGAGTTTGGAAATACATCATGAATCGGAGTGAAAGGAAAGTTGAAGCGGCTATCGTCGCTATTTGCCCCATAGTTAGTTACTAGTATACTACTATCTATCTAACCTATCTCCTCGGCGGCTCGGCCCTTAAGTTATTGCTCAAGTACTCAAGTACTTAAGGTTAGTAAGCTCATTCAAGTTGCTGAATGCATGTAACTATGTATTATTAAACTTACACGTGCATGTGCATATTAAACAGACAGCTAAAAAGACTAAAAAGACTGGGTCTTCGCGGGGTGTTTCAGGGTTTGATACCAAATAAATTTGTACCAAAATTACCAAAAATTACCACTAGACCAACGCGGAACAAAGTCCATTGGATGACGCTGGTCCAACGCTAGACTTTTCCCTTTTTTCTCAATGTCAGAAGTCAACAAAAACAAATCAATTTGACCTGTCTTTCACATTTATCCCGTGTTTCTGACTGATTAGCCTATCCAATCACCGAATTCCGTTGAAGCATTCCTACTACTAGGTACGGGTTTTACTTGATACTCACTGCTGGGTATCTGTGCGATTGGTCCTACACTTTGACGATCAGGTCAAGGACTGACTCTGACGTGGTTATGACTTAACTCTCACGATAGCTTTTCTGACCGGTTTCGCTGTTCAGCCCTACTAGCCCACCGCGTTATAATACCTCTGGCAGACCCAAGGCAAAAGGGGCTGAGTAGTTCGAATTCTAGGATTGAACCACTATTGTTACTATGCGATTCTCAAAAACCCTTCAGTGTAGGAGAATTACCCTCAGTTTTACTTCAGTTTTACCTCCGTCTTATCTCGGGTTACAAGAATAAATTCCTTGTTTTCCACCCTAAAATATCGTCACTTCTCTTTCTTGCTATTTTGCTTGGATTACACGACATAGTTCGGATACTAACCTTGGAATTCGAATACTTAGCATCGCCTCACTCATACCCGAGTCCAAATGGCGAACTTATTGCTACACTCCTCCCCTCGAGCATCGTCGTACGGGCTGTTCAATCTTTGGGCATCTCCCGAACCATCAAGCTACCGCAAGGCCTTGCTGGTGGTGTAACGAGCTTCGCCTGGTCTCCTGCCTCTACGAAGGTTTTGGTTGCAGTCGCTGACTTGGTACACGTCTTCTCGGTCCGAGAGGGTGATTTCCATGGAACTGTCAAGATTCCTTCGTCAACTACCAAGACCACCCTCGTCAGATTTGGGGCTACTGATTGCGAAGTCTGCATTTGGTCGTCTTTCGGCATCAAGCTAACTCTAGTTAACTTTGCATCCTCGAGAGCAGTAGAAATTACCAACCCTAAATTTTACAATGCTACTTCTGCAGCAAATGGGTATTCATTTCGTGCGGGCACCTACCACCTTGCATTACTCACAAGGTCGGCTGGCAAAGACATGATTAGTATACATTCGCCAGAGACGAGGGAGATCGAGCGCTCCTGGTACCCAGATACCATCGACGCCCAAGGATTAGCTTGGACCACGGACGGGAAATGGTTGGCGGTGTGGGAATCATCTGCGCAAGCACCAAGGGTCATTTTTTACACCTCTGATGGTCACACATTCAAGGATTGGCGAGGCCCTCTCATGCATGCCCCTCATGACATGGATCTTTTGCAGGACACAGGCATCAGAACGGTCTCTCTCAGCCCAGATAATCGGCATGCCGCCATCGCTAACGGCTCTACCTGCATATGCATTTTATACACCCCATCCATGGCTGAAGCAATGCGGCTCCATCACCCCCAAGTTATCCTGCCCAAAGATACATTGCAAGTGAGTTATCCCTCTCCAATCAATGGGGGGAATTGGCAAGCCCTGCTAACTATGAAGATTTGGCAAGAACAAAATACCTTCCCAAATACTGGCTCATTTTCGACACCGACATTCGTCCGAGCTACCCAAGCAGTGTCTCCCCAGTGGGCAACCCCAAATAGTCACCATGACCTAATATTTGGGTGCAATCTTGCCAAATTTGACAGCTCTTCGTCCCTCCTAGCCACGAGGTTGGAGGAGGCCCCAGGTACGATCTGGATCTGGGATATCCCCACTTCCGATCTTCGGGCTGTACTAATGTTCCATGCCAACGTGACAAAATTAGAATGGCATCCTGTGCAGCCGGAGCTTCTCCTTTTGAGGTGCGAGGCTGACAGCAGCTATGGGGGTCTCGTGTTCGTGTGGGATCCTCTGAGCTGCGGGCCGCGTCCGATCGATATAACGCACCGATTCTCAGGAACCGTCAGTGGTAAGACATACGCCACTTGGTTGACAACCACAGAATCTGCAGCAATATTCTTCACTGACAACTCAACCTGCATGATTATATCACTTGCAGATACGGATGGCGATGTCCTTCCGTGGCAAGATAGCTCAGTGCCTATCGAATCTATCAGTCACAATAGTGACTTAGGTACACGTCTATCAAGGCCTGCGTCGTTTTCTGACAGCGATGAAAACAGCATCGAAATTGACAGCGATGACTACGCCAGCGGCCCAGACGACACATTTCAGTTCAGGAAATTTGTTGGCCGTTAAGATGCATGGCGCTCCAATCTGTCATATCCCTGCGACTGGGAGATAACATTCAATACTCGGTAATGGCTATAGCCATTAGCTTAGGCGCGGAGGCAGGCTCACCTTTTCCGAGTAAAAAGACGGCTTACCTTAGAACTTGGCCGACCGAGAAGCATAGCAACACCCTGAAGGTAAGGTACTCAGCTCTTGGAGATGCCTAGGCAGTATGCAAGCCCTATTCACCTGTTCAGCAACCATGGACATTATTTGACGAGGTTTCCGTTGGGAGTACTTGCGTCGAGCTAAGTCTAGTTGGCTGAGCCGGTAGGATGGAGGGTAGCTTGGATACCAACGGCTTATACCGGTGAGTACGCATAATCCTTGATTGTGTTACTTGACTTTATGCATATCAATGCTTTTGGAAAAGTTCCAATATACTGCGACTTGTTAGCTCATGGACAGTCTACCTACCCAGGTATCCATCAACCTAGGTTAGATAGGATAGCCCATGTTCCCTTTCTTTTTTTTGTTCCTTTTTCTTTTTAAATTTTAATTTTTCCTCTTCCAAATTTAGAACGTACTTGGTCTAGGCTAATGAAATTTACTTGGCAGTTTAAATGTTGACCCAAAGTACTATTACACCATGGAGACTATATGAACAGCCACCCTAGCGACGCTCAATGGCTATGAGTACGCCACTCCAGACGATCCCCCTTGTCTGCAGATCCTAGCATTTGCCCAACATAGTCAAGAAATGCAGATACTCTGATGGTAGAGCTCGAAGCTCGATGGGTTGTATCAGAGATCTCAAGCTTATTTCGCCCCCCCTCGAGCCACCTAGCAGCTATGAAAATGCAATTCCATCTCACTACCTATTATATTAGGTATCCCAGGGCTACCGGGTTTGTGGGATCGGAAAAAGCATTTGGATTAACGACTTACCCACAGTAGACTAGACCGTCATTTCTACATACTTCTCGGAATGGATCGACCTTGTGGTTTACACATGTTCCTGTAACACAATCTCTACTCTGGGACCATCGCTCCATTCTATCCATTACTACTGCATATGTATGTAGTTAGTTCTGTGCCGAAACTCGTCACTGGGTACCGATGACTTCTTCAAGCTACTGTCGTTTGTTATACCCTAGGTGTCTACCTACATAGTAGGCAGGCCTGCCTAGATAGCTTATTGGTCTTAACGAGCCAGATCTAATTCCCCTCACCTCTAGGACAATTCAAACGACACGTTGCTTTTGCTTATACAGTCGGTGGAGAGTGGCTATAGCACACCGGCAGATGCCTATTGGACCTCAAGGGATTGGCATAATTATAATATTCACGGTCTGTACCTTCATAACGATGAGTATCCTACAGAGAGACCTCCAGGTCCAATCGGTGGCCCAGGTTACATTCCTGTTGGCCCAAAAAAAAAGCCCATTAGGCGTCTTCAACACGAGCAGGATCTATCCATTTCACTGGCGTATCCTGCATAATAGCACATAGATCTAGCCTTCAATCATACCCTCAATTACCAAACCCTATCCTGTACTACTCCAAGTGCCGTTTCTATAGTTAACAAACAGAGCCCCGTTGTCACGTACTTCGTTTCATACGGCATCCTCGTACAGCATATAAAGAGCCCCGTCGGGTCGTTCACACTGTTGTGTTCGTTTCACACGACTCTCGTCAAGGGTGCCCTGCCAACTATTTGCAAGCAAACTTCTTAGAAAGCTGCAGCTGTCCGTTCACGATGTCTTCGGAAACCTTCTCCCATCAGGTCCCTATTAATGGGACTATTCAAACCAAAGTTCTCCCTGGAAATCAAACGAATCTGTACTATATTTTGGTTTCGAACGTAAGCTTTTTAAGTTGGGTTGATATCGTGCGACCTCCCACTTTGGATAGCATCTAGATGCTAACGATACGCTGCTGGAAGTTACCATGGCAAACGTCTTGGCAACAGCTGAAAGACCATGTGCGAACAGTGGCTACGGCTGAGAGGGTCGAAGTGTTCAACGAGAGCACGTCCGGCTGGGTCTTGGTTCGTGGCCGAGAAAATTTTGATGCCGCTCTTCGTAAAATTGATTCCGAGCTTCATCTCGATAAGAAAGCGAGGCTGAATGTTAATTACAGGTCTTCTTGACGGAGGTGTTTTCAACGGGCGTCCTCTTTTTGCAGAGGGCAAAAATGCTACGGAGTCGATCATGATTCGAGAGCCCGTAGGGACCTCTACAACCAACGGCTCTGCTTCATCGAGGACGCCTCAAACGCCAAGATATAAAACATCTCCTTCAACTCAATACTCAGCTAGCACACCACCATTGTTATGTTCACCAGTTCCTACAAGCTACGGGGAGGTAGGAACCACCAATACAACACAAAGCTCAGCTTTATCTGTTCATGGTGACTAAAGTTTTATAGTGGACGTCTCCTACGTCGAATTCATCATATGCTACTGCTTCTACAACTTATTCCATGCCAGTCACTATGCCATATGATTACAACGACGCGCCCAGCTGCTTTGCCTACGACACATCAGGTGGCAGCTACGTGGACCAGACAGCTATGGTTTCGTCACCGACAATGGTACAATATCCTTTCGAGACAGGATATCCACAACAATGCCAAGTAGGCGAGTACCAGAACAATGCGTATGCCATGTACAGCACTATGCCTGCTCCACTGGCCAAGACAACGAGAATGGGCGATTCTTCTAATGCTATGGTTCCTACGAGGCAACGCAAGATTATCATCAAGCAGCTTCAGCCCTGGGTCAATTTCCACCAGGTACATGATCTCATTCGCAAAAAAGCCGGATCCGAAGCTGATAAAGTTCAACATATTGACCTGCCCCTAACGGACAGCCAAGAATCGAACAGAGGCTACGCTCTAATCACGTTTCAAAGCGAAGAAGCGGCCAATAAACTAATCCGAAGACTCAATGGGTGCAAGTTCGAAGGGCGAGAGCTAAAGGCCGATTATACCAAAGAGGGAGTGTCAGAAAATGAGACTAGTCGCTCACGGACCTCCGGGCATAAGGAACATAAGGAACGGCGGGACGATAGGGAGAAAAGGGAGAAAAGGGATAGTACCCGAGGGTCAAATTCAAATGAAAAGAAGAGCAAGTCTCACAAATCAACCGTCGTTATCGCAGATGGTTCTTCCCCGACCTCATCAAGGAGGTCTGACCCAAAAGAGAAGCCAAGCAAGCGACATTAAGCTTACCGGGCCAATACAAACCGAATTAGTTGGATATTCTAGGTCCAACATAGTACACTCCTGTGGATTTACGAAAATCTCTCTTTCTTTCGGACAAGAGGATCTATCAGCGTTTGGTGATGACATTCTTCCTTTACCCCTGAATAGCGAGGGCGGTTCACTGTTAGTCTAGATACACCAGGACACATCTGAATGCATCTGGATGCATTTGGATACACGCTAGGGTTGGCAAACTGTCGTTACCGTACTGTACCTACGCACCTGTTACGCACTTGTAGATGTCTATATGAACTGGCTGGAGCATACATATTCCTTGGCCAAATCAAAAAGAAGAAAACGATATTCAAAATGGGCATGGCATTTCGGAGTGTACCTAGTGTGATCTTAGTGACCCCTCGGAGTAGTCCTAGCCAACGCGTACTCATCGTGTTACAGCTTGAACTACTCACTCAGTATAAGAGGTTATCCCCTTTCCAGCCCGACCGACATGTTTTCTCCTTCCGCCCGGCCCGGAGCCTCATGAGATTTCAAGCTCGGCGCAAGCTACCACGTCATCCATCGAGATGGGAAACAGGGCTGAAGGGTCGGGAAGCCAGGATCTGTGTTCACGGCACAACATGAAAAAACTCTTCAGAACCGGAATATGTGCTCGCTGTCATGCCACGTGAGCTATTAAGTTGCGTCTTTGTCTCTCTATCCGTCCGTTATATCTCAAACGCCTTGCTCAGTGTCGTTCGGTCATACGTTCGTACGTTATATTCTGAAGGGATGTCGTCCGTTCCGGCCTTAAAAAGACAGACATGCATGATGCAGATCATAACTGCTGCGGCTATTATGCAGCCTCTATGGTACCTCAAACATAGCTTCCAACCCCCCTTCCTAAAACTAGTCCTCGTCTTCCAATGGGACTCTGACTATTTCCATGGGGCCCTGCTTCCTGTCTCTTGTGCCCTGCTTACGGTTCGTAACCTACCGGATAGACCGTTACACGCCATACACAAAGCATGGACGAATTACATATGTATAACATATGCTACATGCCCCTACCCGCGCGCGGAACAGGGTTCCCCAGCTTCTTCTTACACTGCTACCCGGTGAGATCCCCCCTCTCAATCTATTTCCTTCCTATAAACCCCCACACTTCCGCCTGACCCCCATTTGAGTGTAGGATAACATGGGGGTGGCTTTACGGGTTCTAGCATCAGGCTGCAGGGCTTGGCGGACCATGGGGAAGGACTCCTGTGAGTTGAGTTTTGCTCCGTGTAGCCCCGAGCCGTAGCGGCAACGGCTGCTTCCCCCTTTCGCCAGGCCCCTTTTCTTTGCCGGTCTCCTTCGTGCGATCCAGCAATGCATGCAATGCCCAGCCTTCTTTCCCCTTTAGACAAGACCTACCGATCAACCGGCCTAGCATAGCTAGAAGACCACGTGGGGGCTTTTCTTTCTATCTTTCTTTCTTGCTATTCTTCTTCCATCGATTTTCTCCCTCGTTTTCTGTCGTCTGTCTAAAGTGTAGTCATAAACGTGCGTACAAGATCATATTCCTCTTTTACATACCTATTCTACATAGGTAGGGTACACAACTCCAATACCAAGTCCCCTATCGTGATAAGGAAAAAGAAAGAGAGATTTATAATAATAAAACGTATAAAATATGTATGATTAAAACATGATTCTCCATGGAGAAGATAAAGGGCGAGCAAAAGAAGAAAGAAATAAGTGAATACCGGTGTACATGCGAACTTCGGTCCCCCGGTGGACTCGGCTAAGTTACCTAGTATGTAAGGCTCTTACGTTACCATACCCCCCTTGGCTCGGAGTCGACTCCGACGAAGACGACCCATTGGCCTGGATATTGGATGCAGAAGAAGGCTCGGGGCGTTGCGATTTTGGGCACGGCGCCGCGTGGCGTCCATTAACCTGACACTAGGCGCTGTATACCTACCTATGCACGAACCGCACGGCTATGTTTATGAGGTACCTTAAGTAAGTATGTAGGCAGGTACTCGGCTCACAGCCGCGTCAACACAAGCACGGGTATACCTCTCACCGAGACCGAGACCGAGCTGGCGCCTTTTTCCCCCATCTACTCTGTGTACCTATCCTCCTTCCAAGACGGCTCTCTCTCTCTCTTCGCCGCCTTGTTGCTCGGCATGCACAACCTCTGTAGCCGGGTCCTTTCGATAGAGGCCGTCCCGTGGACGGGATTTCCCAACTCAGAGCTGGTACACAACAAATACCTAGATAGATAGGTATGGAGGCAAATACCTAGGGGAGGTACAGAAGCGCATTTGCCACAAAGATGGCGCACGCCCAGGGCTCCAGACTTTCGCTGCAGGCGACCTGTCATTATTCCAATGTGTGCCACGGCCGCACGTGGGGGGTTTTGCCATTTCCCGACGCGTATGCGCAGGCCACTGGATTCATTCCCCCTTCAGACCAGGCACCTAAGCGCGGCTTTTCCTTTCCCCCTTTCCTTTCTTCGGGGATGACAATGAATATGATGATGATGAAGAGGACGCCGCCGCTGTTGCTGCACCGTAACGGATGGGCAGGTGGCGTTGAACCGCGTAAGTAACACAGCGTTTCTTGGACACAGGGAATGTAATTTCTATATGTACGTAAGTCCCTCAAACTGGCATCGTACCGTAATAACCTCGGGCGTTCTGCCCACCTTCTCCTTTTGAGCTTCTAGTCAGCAAGTACGGAGAATTGCTGGTTACACATCATGAGTCATGGTATGTAGGTAGGTAAGTGCTTGCATTTGGTGAGGGAATTAAAACAGAAGAAGAGAATGATAACTATAACCCAAGGTTAGTGAGATAGACAGATAGATACCTACCTAGGGCCACTACTCGACAACGGATGTACCTCGATCAGATAGGCATCACAGCAATCTATTCTGTAACGGCCGTGCTGTTCGCGCGCACGCCCCCTGAAAATGGGGGCTGTCCGCCAACCAGCCAGCCAGATCATGCAAATGAAACGACACATACCTGGACAGCCTTCCTAGATAAGCGAAAAAAAAAACAAACTCCCCCTCCTGGCTTTTCAAGCCCTCGGCCCTTTCGCTGCTAAGCCACCTCCCACCTCTCGCCTCTATATGTCGGATGACGAAGTATACCTACCTACCTACCTACTTTTTTTCTTTTCACAATCGCAATACCGAGGCGGGCTGAGGAATGGGGAGCAGGAGAAGGGGAAGGAGGAGGAAAAGGTCCCTTTCACGAATAAATTTATCAATCCACGTCCTTGTCGAGATCTCTCGTCGGAAACATGACAAGCGTGGGAAAATCCCTCATACTGAGTAGACAGTACTAAGGTTACAGTGTTGTTTACAAAACTCTCTTTTTGCTTTCCGTCATCACATACCTACTTAGGTGCCGAACGAAAGATTCTTGCAGGGAGGCTTGTGATGGGATGGGAAGGGGATCAAATGCCCAAGTAGGTAGGTAGGTATCGCAAGAGGAGATGATGGGTTAAGATGTAATATTACATTAAGGGGGAGAGAGATGATTGCCTAGGTATATAGAGTTGACGCAAGAGGCTGTGAAGTTATTCGGGCTCCTAGATAGGTGTTCGTTTCCCACCCCGTTCATTCGCCAGATTAACACTCTTTCTCTTGAGTGAAGCCGTCGTCATGGATATAACATACTAGGTATATATAGACTCTAAAAAAGCTCACTGCCTAGGTATAGAAGGTGGTCTCTGAACCTAGCAGATAGATAATGAAGACAACTACAACACCACTACCAAAAAGAAGAGACATCAAATAAATTGGTGATGTCGCTGCCAAGATTTCCCCATCGCATATATCGTAGAATGAAACCCTCGGTTGCCCTGCCGAGAAACGTCCCCTGCCATCACAAGCGGGTAAATACAAGGCTCCTGAGTAGTACTTAGTAGCTACCTAGGTTAGGTAGGTATGGATAAATCCTCGTCCCAGCCCTGCCTCGCCCATGGGTTGCGAGCAGGCACAAATACAATTTCTCAATATCAACCAGTGGAGCCGTCTCGATATCTTCCAACAAATGAGCATATAGTTAGTTGTAGGTCCCCTTCCGCGACAATCGCAATGAGGCCACCCTGGGCTGTTTGCCTTCTCTGCGCGTCATGACGGGGAGGAAGACTTTAGGCAGTAGGTAGAAGAGTAGAAAGGAGTTTCTTTGAATGCCTACTAGGTAGGTAGGAAACAAAAATGCCCAGCTCAGTCTTCATATCCAAGTTACGTATCTAGATTAAACGACCTTCATTTCAATCCTGTAACTAACAAAGAAACAATAAATTACCACTATTTTTTGAATGAATACTACACGCAACGATGAACAATAAAGCCCACGCATTCCCCCATACCCATCTCCCCCTTCTCCTCCCCCTCCTCCCCCTACTCTCCCTCCTCACCCCCATCCTCTCCTTCTCCCCGCCCACCCCCTTTAACCCCCCACCCGTCCCCCTTCCTTCTCACCGAGCAGGCCATCTCCGGCAACGTAGACTGCGCCCCCTCCTCCCTCTCCACCTCCTTCGCCCTCAGCTTCATCAGCTACGGGAACTACACCGCGCTGCCGGGACAAGGCGACGACACGGGGCTGGTGCCGGCGCAGCTGGTGTCGATGTCGTTTGCGGTGGCCAACGAGGCGAATGGGGTTTATACCGTTTGTGCGTTTCCGTTGGGGCATTTGTCCAGCGGGGGGGGAGGGGGAAGGTGGATCGAGGACGCGTCGTGGCAGCCGTGCGCGGACCGCAAGGACACGGACGGCAAACACCGCTTCACGATCGCGACGGGGGCCGCGTTCGCGATGTCGACGAGGTCCATTGCGGTAAACCAGACGTGGTTTTGTCATGATGAGGGTGGGCGGTTGTGAGTCCCCCCCACCCCTTTTTCTTTTATCATATAATCTATACTCCTGTGTATACCTATGTAGGTATACCATATCTCAGTCGCCTCCCTAACCTAGGTTTACATAGGGTCGCATACACGGGCATCTCGAACGCGACGCTGGACATGGCCTGTGGCGATGACGGGGAGTTAGGCGGATACCACGTTGAGAACTGCACGGCGTCCGATATACGGCTTCCGGTAACGCTGCTCTAGATTCAGTGACTTGATAGCAGGAAGAGCAGAAAGAATGGTCTTTAGGTATAGGCAGCGGGATAATCTGGACAAAAAGGTGAATGGGATCATTTCTTTTTAATGAAGCGAATGTGGTAATTTGTATTGCGGCGTCTACCTGAGAGGCAGGTACCTAGTATCCATAATCAAGTCATCAAGCCTAGTGAGTGTGAAGCAACATCAAACCCCCTTTGCGTAGATACCTACCGACCGAGATCAAGCAATTTCCCTGCTATAGTCATCCGTCTGGAAAAGTAACACATTCATACCTTTTGGTTCTCTCCTTTTCTTTCGCCATTTTCCTGCTCCATCTCCTTGATCGGTACCCCATTATACCAAGTAGAAATACCGTGACACTTGCCAGATATTGTCCCACTACTTACTGACTGACCTCGACTTGCTGGTCAGCTTACGTCCAAGCCTTCGAACTCTTGACACCTATACCTATACAGGCGCTGCGGCGGGATCCACAAAAAGGCCACCATCACGATCGTCAGGGGGCGGCTGGAAGCTTTCGTCGGCCTGCTTGAGGAAATCCAACAATTCACCCAGTGCCTTCTTGGTATCCTCATCGAATACTTCGATATTGATCACATTGAAGTAATCATTGCTCATGACATATACCATTTCGGTAATGCTTTTCTCAAGTCCATGATATAAAAATTTGCATAGACTCTCCAAGTCCTCTTTTACGGTGGTGGCTGCAGCATTAAGGATCTGCGACGCATTGCTTTCGATTTCGTTACTCATGTAGGCTTGAATACGCTTGAAGCACCCTGGGCCTGCCTCATTTGCACAGGTGGAATATGTTGTCTCCAATCGCGCTTTGACCGACGAGTTGAATTTTCGACTGGCCTCACGCTGCGTATCTGTGATCTCACAGCCAACCGCGTCGATTATATGGCGTGTGCTATTGATGCGAGTCCCCAGTTGTGATTCAAGGGCGCTCATGATCATGAAGTTTGCTTTCTTTTGGATACGGGACTTCATATTGCAATGGAACATATAAAGTAGCTTCTCGGAAGCACGCGTGAATTCACTCAGGGCTTGTGGGATTTGCTGTTGAAATGAGACCTCCCATGCTTGAGCTAGGCATCGCTTGAGAGGATCAACCAACTCTATACATATAGTTAATAAGCTTAATAGCCCATTTTATGATATAAGTCATTTTAGTTGAGCATAAATTCTTACCTTCATTGAAATCTCGCCAGCCTGCCGTTCCAGAATAAACACCCCTAGAAAGGTTAGACAACTTTGAACATGTATCATACCTACTAAACTCTCAGTAGTAATAGTGAAATCAACGTTGATACTTACCGGCGTCGACAAGCGAGCCTATAAGAATTGCAATACAAGCCTTGATCCTCCCTGCATCGTTTAGGCCAACGACTGATGGTCGCTGGGGCTCGTCTAGTGGCTGCCATAACTGCAATATCGAGATGAGCGAAGAGGTGATTAGTTATGATTTGTCTGTACCTTATAGTGAAGGTTTTTGAGCATGCACGCATGTCCTGTTTCCCATTTACTTAGTGATTCGACCTTTTTGTCAAAGTAGGAGTGGCTTACTTCGGTCAACTTGAGAATGCTAGCCCTTATGTGAGCCACCTCCGTCTCCTTTTCAGTGTCAGAGAATATGGTCCCATTTCTTTGTATAGAACACCACACGTATGGCGAATTCAACACTTGTAGTAGACCATTCAAGAATGACATGTTGTTCCTTGAACGGGCTTTCTCGGCGAAGTTCTTTGCGTGTGCTATTAGCTGTGGTACTTCTGTATCCTCACGGCAGCTGAATCCCTCCACTTTGCGGCTCCTCTTACTCGACCGGCCACTGAGTCCCTGATATGCTTTGCTGCTGACGCAGAAGACACTTAATGCCTGGGCAGCCTTGTCGTAATCACGGAAGTTGGCGTCGGGGTCATAGTCATCCTGATTGTCGCGCTGTGAGTTATCATGGTCAAGTCTGAGGTGGTTAGCATTTCATGTAGAGCTGTATCTACCTAGTATGTAGATCAGAGTCTCATATTAACCCATAGTACTTACTCTCTTAATCCTTGGGCAAACTGTGTACGCATTGTTTCTCGGCTGTACTCATTCCGTTTGCGAATACACAGCGATAATAGTTCAAAATGCTCATTTGCGTAATCATCGCTCAATTCCTCAGCCTGGTCAAGCTCATCGTAAATCTTCTCGTCAAGCTTTTCTTTCTCTTCACACGCGACGTGCTTTTTTGCCCTCAGTTGGTCAATAATTGACCTGATTTGGTCCACCTGTAGAGGATCATCATCCGGGACCTTGGGTGTATCGTTGTTTAGACCATCCCAAAATTCGCTAGCTGATACATACGAAGAAAGGCCATTGTCATCCTCAGGGCCGTCTGTCTTGATTCTCTTGCCTCGTCTGAATGTTCTGGCAGTGGCCTTTTGCTTTCTAGAACGAACTTGGGATGCTGTGACGGTCTCTCCTTTCCGGTGGCTACCTTCTAATTTCTCCCATTGCGAAAGCTGATTATCAAGCTCGCTAATATAGGAAGATAGGGCATTCGAACGACTCTGGTCAGTAGCATTTTGCTGCTCACCATGGTCTTCCCAGTGTTGAACAGCCTCCCCTTTCCGGTTGAGAACATCCAGTTCCCGACCGAGTCCCAGAACATCAGCTGCTTCAGCCAAAGTGATATCATCCGTTTTTGTGCAAACAAATGTGAGTCCCAAGTAATTACCATCATAGTTGAGTTGTTGCTTGAAAGATTGACCGAGAAGCTTATGGGCAGCCTTATCATCGACTGCGCGAGTGATTTGGGCCACAACCCAAATTCCACTACACTTCTCAAGATATTTTGCAGCAACTGCGGCACGGGCAGCATTGGAATCTTCAACACCAGGCTAATACCCTTAAATTAGCAACAACTTCCAGTAAGACTCAACTTACCAAGACTTACTAGATCAACAATCACCGTGCCTGTAGACAAGGCATCAGCTTTAGTAAAGATTCGAACGACTTTCACGAGCGGCCAGAGCTGCATAGTAAGTTGGCCTGCATTCTCTTTATTATGTCCCTCTGCATCCTCAACACCTGGCTCTTTTTGGAGGTTGTCAATGTACTTCATCACATTCTTGTAGAAAAGCTTGGCTTCCCCCCCATTCACGGTTTGGATAGATCCAAGGTACTTGCATATGGCAGCGTCGTTAACAAGCGCCTTTACATCCATCACAGCAAGCTTGTTCCTATTGATGTTAGGGTACACGGCTTTGACCTTAGCCCATGCGACCTCGGCATCGACATCTACCTTTTCTGCTAGAGCCTCCCCGGTAGACATTGTGAGGTCCTGGAAAAGGATCTCTAGTTCGGAGAGCCACTCCTCTGCAGAGATAAATTCTATTTCTGCTCTATAGCGTCGCTCTGGGTCGTCAGAATCATTCCATGATATTTCCGTCACTGCTGCAGTACAAGCTCGAACACAGTTAGTCGGGATCAGTCTTTGTTCATCCAGAAGTGCATTGATGAGGGAGCTCTTCCCATGGCCAGTAGAACCAACGATTCCTAATATAATCTTTGGGTTCCGTGTTCGCATAAGGCCTTGGATTGTCTCTGTGTGCTTAATGGCATCGTCTGTGCCCTTAATCTGGCTTAGTTTTAGTGAGATCTCGCCTAGAAGTCCAATTCCAATTTCCTTGCAATGGCTGAGAGCCTCCCCTGATCTAGTTAGGGCAGCTTCTTGTAGGCGAGGAAAAGTTGCCAAGTGAGAAGGTAAGGGAATGACTGAGGTATCTATGCGGGACAGCGTTGCTGGTACCACGTCAACAAGCACATCACTCTTGGCTGGCATCTTCCCCTGGCTATAAGAGATGCCCTGTTCACTGGACTGAGCACTGCCTTGCTTATTATGTTTAGTTTTCTTGGTAACTTTAGGTGTTAGCACGGCAGCTACAGGCCGATCAAAGGCCTCTGCTCTCCGTCTTTCAGTTGGCATATTCGAAGGTGGTATGAGATAACTAATAGGAAATGCTTTTTTTTTTTCAGTGTGAGATAGATAGAGGACTTTTGTACAGCTGCTGTCGTAGTGAATCTTGTCTTCTAGCTTTTTGAAAGAGAGGTAAGTTGTAAAATATCAGCGTTGAAGGAAATAGAGTATGAAGAGCGAATGTCTTCTTAAGACAAGAGAGAATGACAAGAGAGAATGAGAAGGAGGAGGAGAAGGCTCCCAACTAAATAGAAACCACAGACGATAGGGTGACGCAATACCTAGAGGAGAGAAGCGTGAAGAAAGAGGAGGAAGAGGTGAGGATGTGATGTGATATTGAGAGATCACATACATAGAAAAAGAAAAGTTGCGAGGCTATACTGCCTGGCCCCTACCTGGTATGTACCTACACTCGATGTGAGATGTGACGAGAACTGCCCTGGGAAGAAGGAGAAGAGTTCAAAGTGAACTTGAAGGTTATTGAGTACATGTAGGTACAAAGGCCAATCCATACTGATGTAGTTTATAGAATCAGAAGTTAACCTTGGGTACCTACCTATCATGTTACTTGATGAAAGTCGGGTGTGTATGCCCTCTCATGTGAATTGTAGCATCAAGATGAGATGTAGTTGACAAGAGTGGTGATACTACTAGTAGTACATGTAAGAAGATTGAAGGAGGATAATAGTGCTTACGAAGCACCTCAGTGGCTTGAATAAATTATGTAATGCGGTTTAACAGGAACGCGATATAGCAATTACAATTATTAGCGTTAGTTAAAGATTACCTCTTGTTGCATACCGTTTCAATGTAACCAGTACATGTAAGTAATCGTGTTCCAATCATGTCACCGCCTACCTGATTAGGTAGCTACTAGTGATTCCTCTCGAACACAACTGTCGCGTTCCTAAGCAAACCATCCATTGTTTCTTTTATTTTTTATTTTCTTTCCTTAATCCTAGCTGCACTCCCGCAGCCTACCTCCTAATACTAGACCACCGGTACCTACCTATGTGCCCAGGTAGATGCAACTTCACGGTCTCTACACGCCCAAACGATACATGCATTCTTCTAGAGCTTGATTAGCTAGGTAGCTTTAGGAACGGACACATTCGTCGAAGCCTCGAAAGTCAATAGCAATATCCTTTACGACCTTTATCGAGCCTTATTGCCCTGCTGCTTCTCACTACTTCACCCCAGCCTTGCGCATACCTATTAGCTTAGCTAGCTACTTTGTTTTTCCAGTGAACACCAGTAATAATGTCAACAGTCACCGCAACGGCGCTGCAGAGCGCATACCCCCCCATCATCCCCCTCTCGTTCAACGGAAACCAGCCAAACACGATCCGACTATACCCGCTGTCCAACTACACATTTGGCGTGAAGGAGACACAGCCCGAGGAGGACCCGTCCGTTATTGCTCGCCTGCGACGACTTGAGGAGCACTACAATGCCCATGGCATGCGCCGAACCTGCGAGGGCATCCTCGTCTGCCACGAGCACAACCATCCCCACATACTCATGCTGCAGATCGCCAATGCTTTCTTCAAGCTACCCGGCGACTACCTCAAGCCAGAGGATGACGAGATAGAAGGATTCAAGGCACGACTGGACGAGCGACTGGCTCCCGTTGGCAAGCTAGGCGAAGGTGAAGAGCCCGGCGACTGGCAGATCGGCGATTGCCTCGCGCAGTGGTGGAGACCCAACTTCGAGACGTTCATGTACCCGTTCATCCCGGCCCACGTCACGCGACCTAAGGAGTGCAAGAAGCTTTACTTTATCCAGCTGCCAGAGAGCAGTACGTTTTAAACCCCCCTAACTTTACTTAGCACAAGTTACAAGCTTACTAACCAATACGTTCTTATTACAGAGGTTCTTAGCGTGCCCAAGAACATGAAGCTCCTTGCCGTCCCCCTCTTCGAGCTCTACGACAACACAGCTAGATACGGCCCTCAGCTCTCTGCGATCCCGCATCTCCTCAGCCGATACAACTTCGAGTTCGTCAACGAGAGCGGCGAGATCGTTGCCGCCACTCCGGGCCTAGGGCCAGACGGCTTCGACCTAAAGACGAAGGTTCTTGCGGGAGGCGACGAAGACATGGATGATGTGAAGGGAGAGAATGGAACGAACTAAGTGACGTTGTGATAATGAGAACTTGGTGAATATGGAACATGGAACATTGGACCTCGACGTCGTCGTCGACACGGAAAGGTTCAGTTCAAGACGAGGGTCCTTGCTGCCCATTAATGTTGCAATCCTCAACCAATTCAATGGAAGCCGACAAACAATGAGGGTCATCGACACACGAAGATTGAGGAGAAAGTAGCATGGCATTTATAGTGCACGCTACTCACCTAATTACCCGTTCGAAGGAAGCCTCCGTCTCGCACCAACAGTTAGGCAAGGATGGAATGGTGCTCGGAGTACTGAGGAGAACCGCCCTGTCTCAGGCAGCTCATGATGTCCCATTGGGCTGCATATGGGCTAGGTTTTCTAGTTTGAAGAAAAATGGAATGGACAATGAATAATATTGATTATCTGGTGATCGATCCTGTATTACTATTTTTTACCCATTGGGTAGGCATTGCTCATGCCTTCTCACCCTGAATAGTAGCTACTACCCGCCTTGTGTGCTTGACGTCTCGGAACTCGAGATACCAGATGCCTTGCCATGTTCCCGTAGCCTTCAAAGGGCGGTTTAGTAATTGTACTCTTAGGGTTTTTCTTACAAAAAGGATTTTAAATTTCAAGTCAAAGGGGTTTCTTACTAGTTTCCCATCCTTTATAGGGATCGTGACACTCGCGCCGATCAGCGCGGACTTGATATGTGCCTTTGTTCCCCATTAGCACACCCGCACCAACTCATCCCCACGAGCATATACACCTCTTAGGAATAGGCAGGTTAGGACAGTTTAGTTAATGTGTTAAGCTTACCGGCATATCATCGCTCCCCTCCGCACTATGCCTATACAGCTCCTCGCCCTTGGGCCCTGCCTCGGGTGCAATGCGGTCCAGCGCATCCGTCATGTCCGCGCGCACGTCGTCGTCCCAGTTCTCGTTCAAGCTGAGCGCGCAGCTCGTGTGCTGCACGAACAGGTTCAGCAGCCCCACCTTGAACTGCCGGATCTCGGGCACCGCGCTGACGACGTGGTCGGTGACGAGGTAGGAGCCGCGCGACCGCGGCGGGAGGGTGAATTGCTTCTGCGCCCACGACATTGTTGGCGGTGGTGGTGGGGTAGCGGGGCTGGGGCTGGGGCTGGTGTTGTGGGAGTGGGAGAGATAGGAAAATGGGAGGGTGATTATGTAGTGGAAGGCGCCGGGGAAGAAGGATAGCAGGAGGATGGCGAGGAGGAGGACGAAGAGGGAATTGTGGTAGATAGTTGAAGAAGATGTGGTTGCGGGTTTAGATGACGGCATAGTAGGTAGTAGGAATAATAATTTGTTGTTGCATTTGGGAATGCGGATGCTTTGACTGGGTGGACTGGGTGGACTGGGTGAGCTTTAGTGGGGTGCCCCGCGGTAATATACAGTTAGTTACTGGGTACTAGGTAGGTCACTGTAGGTGTGCTCCACCCCTGGGGGTAAATGAATATAGTGCCTGGATATGTTTTCTAGATAGATATGTAACTAGGTACATACTATATATAACATCAACGTTTATTTATGAATTTACAAAGGATACGGGGGAGACGGCACTAGGTATACCGCAAGTAATTCAAAGCACACTACGTGCTTTTATTTGACCTTCATAAGGCTACGTCTAACTTGTGCAAGCTAGTAGGTCTCTCTGACTGGCCAAACGTAATATAAGTTGTATGTATGTACACAGTTGAATTAGTTCAACATCTATGCTAGGCAATCAAAGAGACTAGTGAACTAAAGTCCATTAGGCTGGCGATTGTGTTCATGCCAACGGATAAGAAGGCCGTGGTAGTGATTCCAGGTGTTCTCGGTGATGTTCGTTTGCCTAAATAGTAAAAACACATTAGCGATTCCCTTATTCACGAAGCCTAAGTCTTAATCGCGTAGAATATGACTTACAAATGGGAGACCACAATATCCACAAGTAGCAATCTCAGGCTTGTCTGTGTTGATGAAGATTCTAGGATGTCCCGCAGGACCACCACCACCATCGCATGCCACTACTCGATCATGAGTCCATCGGACGGGTTGTTGGTGGATGAGCTCGATAGCTGCTCTAGATTGTGGCTGGGTTATAATTAGCTACAGTTCTTTCTGCCAGTGCTTGGGTTTGGTAGTTGTGCTATCTATCTTACTTGAAGGTCGAAATCGGTCTGCTCGAATCGTGGACCTGTCATAGCCGTCGCCCTCGGTCTTTGACTCCTTGACCAGATCTCCTTTCGATTTGGTGCTTGTTTTAGTCCTCTCTCTTCATTTTCTTTGATGCCTAGGGACTCTGCCTCGCTCTTCGTTTCCGGGGTAGTCTCGGCTTTGACTGCGATGGGTTTGGTAGTGTCCAAGACTTGCGCGGAGGCCGCAAAAGTACGTTGTGCTACACAGGCTCGCTGAGGGAGCTGTAGAGATTTTCGAATAGCCAATCGCGAAAACATGGTGTCGTATGGTTGTCGTCAATTGATAGTGGTACTGGCCTTGGAACTGACCAAAACCATTGAACTTTCAATGTTAATAGAGGTTGATGAGGTTTGAGGCTGGCAGAATGGAAAGCTCGGGCCAATTCTGTAAGTGGATACTACTAGTAGTACTTGGTTACATAATGCTTAAAGCTCGAATCTTGATAACTAACTAACTAGGCCCAGTTTTATTTTATCATTTATTTTTATTTTTCCAACTTCTTTAATTTCAACACTTTAGGTGTCGAGCTTTTAGTGTTCAAAGTGTTCAATGTTATCCATTGCAACTAAACTTCAAGCTGTATCCCTCAACCTCAACATCAACATCAACATCAACATCAATTATTCCCTTGGAATCTACATATCTATCCAGATATTTACGTAAATCCCAAGAAACTGACTGCTTGTCGAGTAATCTTCTTAGGTTGACAGAATGGCGACGCCAACACCGCCCAAGACCATGTCTTCGAGACTATTAACTATGAAGTTCATGCAGAGGGCTGCTGCATCACCTGCCTCATCTCCTACTACACCAACTCCAGATGAACAACCTGCAAAACGCCGCAAGGTATCTAGAGTTATACCTAAGAGCTCTACTCAACGCGACTTCTCAGACTCGCTCGCGCAAATACATATAGATCAGGCCGCGGTGCAGGCAGCTATTGCAGAAGAGGAGAGGAAGCGTCAAGAGGCTTTGGTAAAACACGCTGCTGAGCTAGGAGATGCGCGTTGGGTACTGGATGTGCCAGACAAGGATGCAGCCTCCAATCGTAAAATCCAGACACTGAATGTGGTTCAAGTTGGCTTTGCTCAGATTGATTCCCAAATTGATTCCTCCGATGCTGCAGGTTTTGATGCCGAACCAACTGACACCTCCTACCCTAGAACCCCAGTGGTCAGGCGATACAACATGGATCGCAAACAGGTAAGCAGTTGTTTCAGTTCGTTTTGCGATAAGTACCTGTAGTGTTGTGTTGTGTTTGCTTTACTTACCCGAACGTAGACATCCAAAGACTCCGACTCCGACTCCGACAGTGACAATTCCAGCTCTAGTTCTGATTCTGATTCCGACTCTAACTCCGACGCGTCTTCCCCAGAAAATGGATCAAAACGAAAAACTTATGGAAACAGACCGGAACCCCTCCGAACAGCTATACAAAGCAGACGTAGTGCTGAACAGGAAAAGGCTAAACAATTTGCCGAGAAACGCCGAAAGAAGGAGGTCAGGCTTAATAACACCAACTCACCCTCCACCTCTGGTGGCTTGCTTTCCATCTCCTCTGGAGGGAGCACTCCAGCTCGACAGGCCATGAATTTTACTTGTCATCGATGTGGTATGCCTGGACACAAGATTGCAGATTGCAAGAATACACCTAAACGTACAGCACGATGAGCCACTGGGCTTTTGATCATAATATGCGCTGAAACTCGGACCCATGTCATACCTATCCAGGTGCATTCGGAGACCGATGCAGGTTTCCAAGGTTTTCGTTGGAGTTGATAGCCAACATTAATGCGAAGTCATACTTAACAACCCCTTGGGCCTGTTTCTCGAAATGTGACCCTACCTACCTAGGTAGGTATTCGCCTATTCCCCTTTTTCGGTAGAACCCGCTAGGAATGAGAACTCACAAACGTAACCTTACTTTACTACTCTGTAACTTGCTCTTTTAGACATGATTTGCGTGTTTGTTTCATGGTCCCGGAACAACGACAGAAACAGCAAGAGATTGTATGCATGTAGCTGTGTCGCCACACCCGTGAGAGTAGATTGCGATACCGAGCTGTGCCAACATTTCACAGAAGGAGGAACACACTGGTGTGCTGGGAATACATAATATATATATGTACTATGTAGGTATAACTATGTACTCTGTAAAATTTCGCGAATAGCGAGTGGCCAGCACCTAGGTGAGTAATTTTCTACTGGGCTTCGGCGTCTTCTCCGGTCACCTCCGTCTAGACCCTCGTCGGCCAGCCGAGTTTGACAACTGTGAACCCCCTAGTCACTCCTTACATCTGGGTAAGGGCTACTCATAACTGGCTGATATGGATGCCGAGTAGGACCATATAAGACCACATACTGGAACACAGCCATACCGTACAGGCCGCGGTGCAACCCCAATGGTTATACGAAATCTGGGGCTGCACTGTCACCAACATACTCAACGTGCGTATTCATGGTATCCATGTATCCATATACCCATGCTAGCAGATCCCAAATCTCGCTATGTAGAATCTTGAAATCACATGCATATACATACATACGCTAGAGTTCGAACTTTTGTACCTAGCAGGTGGAGCGGTATGATACCTATCCACATCTTCATACTATGGCAGTAGGACGGATTTATAAGCTATATATAAGCTACCTTATGTGTAGTTCAATATAGTAGAAGCGTTTTGGCGAGCCTATATGATTAGCTTCTTGTCGTAGATCCCGGCGTATCAACGCGTTTCGATAGTTTGCTGACACTTTGGATCGGGGCCTCATGAGCTGTACGGTATGTATGTACTACCAGAAGTTTGATGAAGATACAATTACATATATCCGCCAAGTCATCTTATCCAACCTCAAGATTGGCAAAGTTCCCAGTATCATGAGGTGACATTAGATGCCTTCTAGACCATGACAAGCGCTGGACGAGTGGATAGACATGGCGCGTAAGCCCATGTTCAAGCGGTCCGTGGTGCGGTAAATCGTAACTTCATGATGCACAGATCCCGCTTACCACTTACATATTCCAGGGCTGCATGTGGCACGGTATTGATGTTGATTAGCAGAAGTGGTTTAGATCACCTTCTTAGCGCATATGTCGGACTTAACACCCACTGCCCCATACTGCGTACACAGACACATATGGCATATGCACAGTACATATGTATTAGTGTAGTAGTTTGCCGATACACTATCCACATCAATACAGTAGAACTCGCCACCTGGTTTCTGCCTACCTAATGGATCTTAACCTGTGCCGCTACCAAAACTCCATGTTACCCCGTCTTGATAGAAAGTCCATCTTATAGGCATGGGTTTACCTAGGTAGATAGCATTGTTACCACATTAGTTACCACAAAGGCCTGGCCGAGACAAGATGGGCTTTATCACGGGTAGTCAGGTCTTAATATTTCCGTCCGCCTCGGTTGGGCTGAGAAAAAGCCAAGGGTCTTGGGACGGTGACCAACCGGGAATATTCGACTGTACCCGGCCCCTGGTGATTTGCCGCCAATCCATGTAGAAACGTGGAGAGATGGGTACCTAGTCTTCGATGCTATTTTCTTGGGTACATAACATGGGCCTTCTTTTGAAATACCTAACCTAGGCAGATATTTCATGTCATTTTACAATATCAATAAAGCAGCGATATCACCTTACCCAATTCCTCATTCGGGGAATAGCAGACCTCGGTACAAACTGAAGATTGAATTGGTACGGTTTGATTAGGAGTCAATAAATTGAAGGTCAATGGGCGTCGATGCCGTATTCGCCTTTCATGAAGCTTGTACATACATATGTAGGTGCGTACTATGTACATACTTGCCGCAGCCTTTTTTCCGAAAGACCATAATTATTATCTCAACCCTTTGTGGCTTTCAATTGCTTCAGCTGCCGCTTAAATCTAGGTTAGACATCTTATCCAGCCCACATAAAACTTAGGTTCGTCGGTCTTGGGGCTTTTTGGCGCTGTCCGTTCAGGTTGAGTCTGGTTGACATGTCTATCCTCTTGGAGGGGGGGCTTCTTGAGCTTCCAACACAATTAATCAAGGTCTAGTCTAACCCAACAGCCAGAAGGTCAGCTTGACCTAGACGCGTTAGAAGTAGTTAATTTGCCCAAACGAGAAATATCAAATCAGGTCCAGCGGTTAGGTCGCCAATAGTTTAAAGCCTAAGTGAAGGGCACACCTGCCTGCCTACCTGAACTGAGAAAAGATCATCGTCAGCTTTTCAGTTCATGTGTAGATATCGTTCCAGTGAGCCAACTCCCCCACCTTTTTTTATCTTACAAAGCAACGCAACAGCTCAACAAGATGTGCTCTTCTCGCTAGATAGTATATGAAAGGGGGATTATATTCCTTAAATCTCACCGGTCTTGGTATATTAGATTTATAATCAGTAGTAGTGAACTTATAGCCTTTTATAATCCCTGAAGTGGTATATGTACATATATACTGCCATTGAGTCTCATAGACCTATATATAACGTTGGAGCTATAACATTGAAGCAACATGTAACTACATATGTAGTTACATGCCAGTATATACATACCGTCCTGTTGAGTACTACCTATTTACCTAGTACCTACAAGTATGTAATGATATGTTGAAGTGCATTTAAAGCTACTATAAAGTCTATAAGGCTACTTATATGCATGTTTATGCATATAGCTATAACTAATAGCACCTAGATCGATCATCCATGTGGATACATTACATATGCTACCGTCGACTTACGACGTATGTTTGTACATAGTGTTCATTCCCTCACATTCATGACTTCAATTTTGATACTCATGTACAACCGCACATGTGTGTGCGTAGTAGGTTAGGATACATACTATATCATCACTCATTCATTATTGGGTACTACTTGTAGATATAATTGATGATATATGTCAATCTCTTACTATATAGGGTATTAATATAAATCATATATCGTTTTTCTCCTAGTAACTCATTCCTCACCATCAAGAACGCCTTACAGGTATTATACAACTAGTCAGTTAGTTCAGGGTATACTCAAATGCCTTACCTTGCCTTACCTTACTTACATACTACATAGAGTAGTACTACTTACTTACTATGTAGGTACTAAGTAAGACAATGACAGTGCAGTTCCTTTTTACGTGACTGATATCTAGTTATATTTTATGTATAGGTACCTATATAAATCTCTTCTTATTCGGTCTTCTCTTCGTACTTTTTTTTTTTTCTTCTCCTGCAATCCCCCCCAAAACTTCCGTCTGTCCCCGTTTCTCATAAATCTCTGAACAGTAATGAGATCTGACTGATCAACCGCCACCATCTGCAGAAAATACGTCACCGGCTTCGGAACATTGAATCAAAACATTATCTGTTTTCTGGGCCGAGACTTGGACCCAATCGACTGGACTGGACTCTGGAGTCTGGAGAGAAAAGCTACATACACAAGATCCTTCATATCCATATGTACATATACATATACTTATTAATCTAGTAGGTACGTAATGTCTGATATTCAACAATGATTTGACAACAACATTCAGCATTACATATATGTTGAATTGATACACATCATTCATTGCATACAACCTTGAAGGTAAGTACATCTATTAGTATGATATCTATATGTACATATGTACATGTCAATTGTCGTTGGGTACCTAGTACTAGGTACCTATCTACGTACATATGTACAACATTTGAACTTGAACAATTCAATGTTGTCAATTGATACGCACATGGCACTACCTAGTACGCACTTAAGTACCTAGGTACTTTGCCTTATTGCCATATTAGTCCGCCGTAAGAGTCTTAAACCCTGTGGTAGCTAACTAGGGCTTGCTTGCATTTTTTATTCCTCAACTACTCAACTACTTTACTACTGTATCCCGCCTTCCTACTTCCAGCTTTCAGTTTTCAACGTCGGCTTGCCACCGGCCCCCGCGCATTAACTATCTGTACCTGCCCTTTTTAAAAAAAATACCTATCTAACCTTGCCCTTGCCTACATAGTATCTACTTTATTCACCTAGTGCTAATAGGTATTTAACCTAGTCGACGAACTACCTTGGGTAACTACTATACTGCATATACTGCATTTATTGACTTATTCGATATTACTTACTTACTGTACCTCATCAAATAACATTTTATTTAATTGCGACCCGATCATATAATCCCCCTAACCTCTTACCTGTCTACTCAGCAGTCACTCAACAGTCCAGTTGAGTCAACCTCGCCTGATATCTACCTAGGTAGGTAATATCAATCTACTATACCTAGCTGCTATACCTGGCTACTATACCTACATACCTACATAGTAGATACTATACCTACATAGTAGAAAACAAATCGGAATCCGGGCTCCCGGCCAATCTACGAAGCCGGCTTGTCGACTTGTATTGTATGTAAGTAAACTACCACTAGACACGCCAGTCATAACGCACATCAAGCACCCTTGACTCCCCGAATCTCTGTTGCTGATCCATACCAATATTACCCGTTTTCCCTGGGAACCTGTCCATCCATGTTAATATTGACAATACAGCGGAGTAGACTGTCATCTCGCCCTCTGGTCCTCTGGATCTCAATTTGAGTCTGTCTTCTTTTTCGTCCCTTGCAGCTTCTAGTCAATTCTTGCAAGTACCGTTTGGATTACCCTCAGAGTGAGAATCACGAATTGGTTCTGCATTTTCTATATAGGTGCTTCAAGCCCTAGTAGATAGGTGAATATCAGAAGTCAGGGTGAAAGAAATAACGAACAACTAAATTTACACTTTAACCTGGGAAGTGGCCTGCCTGTCTTGTCTATATTGACATCCAGGAAGAAAAAGCGATCTGCTTCTCACTGCAATCTTGCCGCTGGGTGTGTGGCCTGCTAAGTAGTCGTCAACGGTTTTCAATATAGAAAGCCGCTCAGCAGCCAGCTGCTAATACTTTACACAAAATCACCTGCTAGCCAGCTTGCGAGAGAGACCTCTTACGGGGCTTATTCAGAGACGATTTCTACGAGTTGGTAGAGGTTATTTTAGGTATCCCGCATAAGCAAGCGATACCACTGGTCCGACTCGTGTTAGTTGTCAAATTGTGTTACGAACCCAGGCTTGAGAGTCAGCCAACAGACTCAAGGGACGGAACGAGGCGAAATTACTTCCACATTAAACTTCTCCCAAGTCATTGGTAACGACCTGGTCCTTGTTCAAGGCCCACGTTAGCGTCTCCACCAAAGCCATTGCACAGACTACCCCGTCGTCCGTTTTATCTGTCGACTTTGCCCGAATTAAAAGTCGTTACTTCATCCGCCACCAAGTTCAAGCTCGTTTCTGCTCGGCCCCCTCGAGTTTGGTAGTCGCCTAGGTCAGACCTGTTGAACCCGGTCTTCCCTTTCGATCTTCTCTTGCAAAGATCCAGTGTCCTGCTTTACGTATTGTTGCCATTCGCCATGGACTCCACGCCGTCGCAGCACATGCCTACGATAGAAATCGCAATGCGGGATCAACAAAAGCCGGTTGAGCGAGTCACTGATCAGTTGGAGGTACCTTCCTTAGACGATCGATCATACCGCGTTATACGGCTGCCTAACCAACTAGAAGCGTTGTTGGTTCATGATCCCGAGACAGACAAGGCCAGCGCTGCCCTCGATGTTAATGTTGGTAACTTTAGCGACGAGGATGACATGCCAGGCATGGCCCATGCCGTGGAACATGTAAGTTCCCAGAAATCTATTTTAGACACAAGGTATTCGCTAACAGGGGACAAATTTTAGCTTCTATTCATGGGCACAAAGAAGTATCCTGTGGAGAACGCATACAACGTATACCTCTCTTCGCATTCGGGTAGCTCAAATGCTTATACCGCAGCTACATCGACCAACTATTTCTTCGATATTGCAGCCAAGCCTAGCAATGGTGAAGAACCCTCTGCGACAAATTTGTCTCCTTTATATGGTGGCTTAGATCGGTTTGCCCAGTTCTTCATCGAGCCTTTGTTTCTACCGTCAACCTTAGATCGGGAGCTACGCGCCGTCGACTCAGAAAATAAGAAAAACCTTCAGAGCGACCAGTGGCGCCTCAACCAGCTAGAGAAGACCCTTTCTAATTCCAAGCACCCCTATTGCCACTTCTCAACGGGGAACTTCGAAGTACTCAAAACCATACCCGAATCTAACGGAATAGATGTACGGCAAAAGTTTATCGATTTCCATGAAAAACACTACTCTGCCAACCGAATGAAGCTCTGTGTCTTAGGTCGAGAGCCTCTCGATGTCCTTGAAGAATGGGTCGCTGAGCTGTTTTCTGGTGTTGTGAACAAGGATCTTCCACAGAACCGTTGGGAGGCTGAAGTACCGTTCAAGAAAGAGCATTTGTCTATGCAATGCTTCGCAAAGCCGGTAATGGATTCTAGAGAGTTAAATCTCTATTTTCCATTCCTTGACGAAGAGTTCATGTACGAGACCCAACCGAGTCGATATATCAGTCACCTAATTGGTCATGAGGGCCCTGGGAGTATAATGGCATACCTCAAGTCTAGAGGATGGGCTAATTCACTGAGTGCTGGTTCTTACACCGTCTGCCCCGGCACGCCTGGGATATTCGACTGCCAAATACGTTTGACAAAAGAGGTAAGCAATATCAATGTATTGGAAATGTTTTGTCTAATCTAATCTTGCGATGCAGGGTCTTAAGCATTACAAAGAAGTTGTCAAGGTGGTTTTCCAGTATATCTCACTCCTCAAGCAGACACCCCCCCAAGAATGGATATTCCAGGAACAAAAGGGTATGGCAGATGTCGACTTCAAATTCAAGCAGAAGACACCAGCGAGCCGTTTCACGAGCAAGATAAGCGCTGTGATGCAAAGGCCAATGCCGCGAGAGTGGCTACTCAGCGGGCAAAGTCGCATCCGGAAATTCGACCCAGAAGCAATTGTCAAAGGTGTGGAGCTCTTACGGCCTGACAATCTTAGAATGACCATAGTGTCCCGCGAATTTCCAGGGGAGTGGGATCAGAAGGAACAGTGGTATGGCACTGAGTATAAGGCTGAAAAGATTCCGGAGGACTTTCTCGAGGAGATTTCCAAGGCTGCTCATTGCACCGAGGCAGAACGTCTGCCCGCTCTCCATCTCCCGCACAAGAACCAGTTCATTCCCACCAAATTGGAAGTGGAGAAGAAGGAGGTTGAGAGACCAACTTTGGCGCCTCGAGTTATTCGAAACGACGAGATTGCACGCACATGGTACAAAAAAGACGATACGTTCTGGGTGCCAAAGGCGAATCTGATAGTGACTCTCAAAAACCCCATCATCTTTGCCTCGGCCGAGAATTCGGTCAAGTCGAAACTCTTCACCGATCTAGTTAGGGATGCGTTAGAGGAGTATTCTTATGACGCCGAGCTAGCAGGTTTGCAGTATAACGTCAGCCTTGGTTCGCGCGGACTGTTCGCGGAGGTATCTGGTTATAATGACAAACTACCTGTACTGCTGGAGCAGGTCCTCATCACCATGCGAGACCTGGAAGTCAAGGATGAGCGATTCGAGATCATCAAAGAGCGGCTGACTCGTGGCTATAAGAACTGCGAACTGCAACAACCATTTACACAAATTGGTGATTATGTGTCATGGCTAACATCTGAGCATGATTATGTTGTTGAGCAGCTAGTGGCCGTGCTACCTGGAATCACAGCCGATGATGTGCGGCAGTTCTATAAGCAAATCATGTCGCAATTGCATATCGAAGCCTACGTACATGGAAATGTGTACAAGGAGGACGCCCTGAAGCTGACAGACATGATCGAGAAAATTTTGAAACCTCGTCCTTTACCAAAGGAGGAATGGCCCATAATTCGATCGTTGGAATTCCCACCAGGATCAAATTTTCTCTTCCAGAAGACATTGAGAGATCCTGCTAACATCAACCACTGTATCGAGTACTATCTTCACATAGGTGACAAAGGGGACCGCTTAATTCGCGCTAAGACACAACTTCTGGATCAGATTATTCATGAGCCAGCCTTTGATCAGTTACGAACGAAGGAGCAACTTGGTTATGTCGTCTTCAGTGGCCTCCGAAGTTCCGCGACTACCTATGGATTCCGGTTCATCATACAGAGCGAGCGTCCCTCAGAGTATTTAGAATCTCGCATTGACTCTTTCCTAGCTGCGCAGGTCGCCTCGCTCGAAGAAATGAGCGACGTGGACTTTGAAAGTCATAAGAGAAGCGTGATCATCAAACGTCTTGAGAAAGTTAAGAATCTGGACCAGGAAACTGGGCGACACTGGGCGCAGATCAGTAATGAATATTACGACTTTGAATCAGGTAGGCTACACATCCTCATCTCTCTATTATTGTACCCCATCAACTAACATTGTGTTTAGCTCAACGAGACGCTGCACAAGTCAAGAAGCTCACAAAGGCAGAAGTGATTGAATTCTATTCTACCTACATCAACCCCACGTCACCGACACGGGCCAAGTTGGTAGTACAACTGATTGCCCAAGCTATCAGCCCCAAAATAAAGGAGGCTGAGGAACTGAGCAATGGCGACACGGATGCTGTTTACTCGAACGGCACAGAACCAGAATTAATCCGAAGCGTACGGGATTACAAAGCAAGACTTTCAGTGACTTCAGGGGCTCGTCCGATCAGAGAGCTTAGCGATTTCGAAGAGATAGATTCTAAGCTTTGAGGCAGTCGTGCAGGGAAGCGTGTGGTAGATTATAGAACGCAAGAGAACTATACCCCCTTTGATTATATAGTTCGTTACAGCATGTTTTAGTTCTGGGCTGAAAGAGAGAGAGAGAGAGAGAGAGAGCGCAAAAGCAGCCTGGTGTTTCTCCAAGTGAGACCCGAGTCACTTGAGAGTCATGGAACTATGGCTTCTTAGATCTGCAGAGGATACCCTTTGGAAATGGTGCATACACAGTAGTAGGTTGATGAGGCCATGTTTGCTATTTGACCCGAGAAGGCTAGTTGAGACCGACCTTCTTAGAGGTAGAAGATTAGAGACAAATACAGCAGGCATATGAAAAAAGAAGAAGATGAGACTGGAATCAGAGACGCATCCATGCATGTGAATATTGATGATTAATTAAAGGAAAGGAAAAAGAGGCCTAACAGTATATAGGCGTTCAAAGTGTTCTGTCTTGATTTTTGATTCACTTAGAAGATTCATGTAAGTATGTATGTCTAGATGTACTAAGTAATACATACATAGGTATGTACAATGTGTGTAGTTGATGTTTGTGCATATTGAAGATACAGTGATACACATGTACCTGCCTATTTAAAGTCTATATCATCCATGGATGTTTATTTATATCTCACGACCTGTAGAAAGGGCGACTGGTAATTTGCCAATCTTTGACTTTCGCTCCAGATAGCGATTGCGTTGTGTTACCCACGTTAGCCTGCCTACCAGGCCCTACCTACTATTAAACCTACATGTACATAACTAAATCACTCCTACTAACGCAGATGAGTACTAAATTTTGCGTTCCTAAGGTTCCGAAAAAAAAAAAAAAAGAAGAATTCATTAGGCGGATGCACTGTACTTATTAAGTACTAAGGACCTAAGGTAAGTTTTGTGCCTTCCTTAGGAACGGCAACAATAATAATATTTTTTTTTCCTTTCATCTTGAACTCTTCATCTTTACATCGCAAATATTCAAGCTTGCGGAAAACTTATCATCTTCATAACCTCGCAACTCATTAAGTTCTTAACGCACTAATATTTTGTACTTAGGTACACAGGTCATCTTCATTAGTCACGGTCTACTACTTAGGGTTAGTTGCCTTAGTAGCTGGAGTTCTTCGGTTCTTCGGTTCTTCGACACATATTCTTTCGTCATTCTTTCAATGCGGCGGTACCTGGCTACGCCTTTCTCCGGCCATTAAAGTTCCGGTACGTTAGTTTAGTACACAGTTCAGAGAGGTGAAAACCTTAATGCCGAGTATCTCCTATAGGTTGATCAGGCTGAGCTAACCTTTCCAACGCAAATACACTCATGCATGTGTATACCTACATACACATACATACATACATACATACATACATACAGTAACGCACTTGACATTACATGCTAACTCATCAAAACATTAGATTGTTCCAGTCAACAAAGATATATGTATGTACCCTCAGGGCTACATATACTTCTCGATACCCAATACCACATGCACATTGATTGCATCCATTACATACTTTCAGCATCGAGTAAGTACATATTGTACTGTACCTAGGTTACATATATGTACAATACAAGCAATACTAACGTACCTACCTTACCTAGTACATAACTACAGTCATCAAATACAATAGGTACATATCTACGCCGTAACTGCGCTGTTCTTGGTCAATCTTGGAACGTGCTGTTATAGTTGCCTAGTTGTGCTGCTACTCAACTAATAACTAACACATCCATAATAGTTACCTCCACTGGGCTTGGGTTGGTCTTGGTTTGGTTACGGTTACCTACCTAGGGTATTTTATTTTTTTTCGTGCGGCGAACCCCAAATATTTCAATGCGCATCACCGCCCACATAATACCACCACAAACCACCACAAACATTGAGCCACTTAGGACCAACCAGTCCTTCTCACCGTAGGACGCAACATACAGCATAGGTATTCCTCGGTGCACCAATTCTTCTTCGAACACCACCACCTTCTCCGAAGATATATTCCTACCCTTTTCCCACCCGGCACGGAAGGTTACCGCAACTAGACGGGCTCGATTAAACTACGAGCCTGTCAAACGGACACCGACATAGTCCCTACCTACCCATACCTCCAGTTATACCCTACCTAGTACTACATAGGTATATGTAGTAGGTACCTGTGGCTACAGAGTCTTCCGACACGTACGTGTGGCACACTGGCACTAGGACTGCCAGCCGAAAAAGTATAGGTGCACAATCTACAAGCACTGTCGAAACAAACAAGACTTTATTCATAGGATTTATACCTATTATACCTCAGTCATTTTACCTATTGTACACTGTATTCCCTCATCATCCCTTCCCACAACTTCAGTGTACTCGTATTCTACACTATCCTTCTAGAGCTGCTCTACGCAGCTCGCCGCCAAGACGTCTTCATCAAAGAAAAGGAAGATCTCATCTCGTCAATCTGCTGCTGCTGCTAAAAACAACAACTTAGATAGCACGAGTCCCTCGGACACGCCCATCCAATCCTGCGAACAAGACACTGATATCAGCTTCTCCTTCTCTGCCGAGTCCGACAACCTTGGTCCCTTATCTGCCCTCTCGCCCGCTAGTCACCGTGCTGACTCTATTCCTCCCGCTTCGAGCCTTCCACCTCGACTGCAAACCAACACAAATTCTTTCAATTACGTTGACTACGCCTCTGCGGAAAGCTCACCATCGGGTGCTTATGCAGATCTAACCATCAGCAGTGACCGCGGTGCTGATACTCCCGCCCCGGACCTTGCCTCCACTCCCATCAGTCTACTTCCGCCTGGCCGAGAGTCCTCGCCTTTTCCTAGAAACACACATCATCGTGTAATGATGGGTGGGGCTGCTGATTTTCCAGAAAGAGCTTCGTCTCCCTTGAAGCGACGCGCTTCCAGCATGGAACCCGACAGTATTGAGCAAGACGCAAACGAAGATGTCGATATGATTACTGCGCCCACGTCAGACACCGTGGACACATCCAAGTCGGAGCAATCCGAAAAAGTTGATACTGCTGAATCGTCTTGTTCTATCACAGACGAACCAAAGAACGAAATGGTTAGAGAAGACGGGGAACCAATGGACATTTCACCATCAGGTATGTGTGCCACCGACACAAACTGGATTCATGAGGTTGACCGACCCATCAAAGGATGCAAATTCCCGGTATCAATTGAGGCCCACGTAAAGGCCATCAGGACCCTACTTAAAGATCAATATAGCTCGCCACTCAAGGACGGCCAGGAGTGTTACCTGGTCTCGAAATCCTGGCTCGCCAAGGTACCGGACGAACAATCACCGAAACATACCGTTGAAGACTTGGCTGCAATACCGCCAGTCGATAATTCAGATATCATCCAAGAGATCATTGAAGATCCCTGCGTTGGTAGTACCATCGACCCATTAAAGAAGCAGTTTGTTTGCTTGAAGCCGAAATACGACTCGGAGCAATTTGAAGCATTTCCTCCTGCTGCATGGGATCTACTTATGCAGTGGCCTGGACTAAAGGAAGGCCAATTACCAATTCGCCGTGAGGCTCATGCCACAAAAGAGGATGGCACAGAGATCAGGTGGGAATGGCATCCGCCTATTCTTAGCATACATCGACTTTGGTCTGCGATGAGTGTGCATCCCGTCGAGGCATCTATGAAGGCCAATAACCCAGGACCGATGAGATTAGTCCGCAGTGCTAGTACATCATTCCAAACGTTCTTAAAGCAGGCAAAGATGCTTTCAGGTATTGCTCTGGAGACGAGGGTCCGAGTCTGGACAGTTCCGCAACCGCCAACCGGTGCTCAGGCGTGGAAGCATCTTGTAGATGTTGAAACGTTCCTGGCACTTGAGAAGAACTCGGAGCGAGAACTCATCGATCTCAGTGATCGCACTAACCAGTCGGACACCAAATCGGTAAAAACGCTAAATTTCTTTGGTATTCTACAACCACAGGCAATCGTTCTGGATCTGAACGAGACTGGTACCAACTGGACGTCTAACTCGGTATCGGCTCAAGCGCGAACATCGCTGCCTTCCAGAAACACTTCAAGCTCGGCTATAGTGAATCGGAATTCCAAGAGCGGTCGTTCTAGCCCTGTGCTCCAAGGACCTCTGACTCGTGGAAGGTCACAAAAATCAGGACGGGTCCCTGGATGCGTCGGATTAACCAACCTGGGCAATTCATGTTATATGAATGCTGCCCTTCAATGCGTCCGAAACGTGGAAGAATTAACCAAGTACTTTCTCTCAGGCGAGTGGGAGAGGGAGCTCAACCGGGAGAATGTTCTCTCTCACAATGGCGACGTGGCTGCCGCATATGCCCAGCTACTTAAGGAAGTGTACAAAGACCCTTCGCCGGGTTGCGTCTCACCCCGTCAGTTTAAAACTACGATTGGCAAATATTCGACGGGATTTTCTGGCTATGGACAGCAGGATTCCCAAGAGTTTTTGGGCTTCCTACTTGATGGTTTGCAGGAAGATCTTAGTCGGATTAAGAAAAAGCCTTACATTGAAAAGCCGGATTCTACGGACGAGATGGTAAATGACGCGGATGCAATCCGACAGATGGCGGAGAAGGTTTGGGACATTACCAAAAAGCGCGACGATTCCGTCATTGCAGATCTATTCACTGGCTTATACAAATCAACGCTGGTTTGCCCAGAGTGTGGGAAGGTCAGCATCACATTCGACCCTTTCAACAACTTGACCTTACCCCTTCCCGTGTCAACTAAGTGGACGCACACGGTCAAATTCTTCCCGCTCAATGACCGACCGATCGACATCAAAGTTGAATTAGACAAACATGCGAGCATTAAGAGTCTCAAACAGTTTATCTCTGTCCGAACTGGCGTATCTGTTGATCGTCTTTTCGGCGCCGAAGAGTGGAAAGGACGGTTTTACAAGCATTACACCGACTTTTCATGCGCTTCGGATGACATTGGGGGCAGTGACAATGCCTGGTTTTTTGAGCTAGAAGCTAAGCCTACTAACCTTGGTGCTAAATCGCAAAAGCAGCAGAAACTCGGAGAGGCTGTGAGGTCCATGGTAGACGAGGGCGAGCAAAATCCTTCAATGCCATGGGACAACGAAGAGGCCGAAAGTTTGCTCGTTCCTATCCTCCATCGACGACCAACAACCGGGAAGAACAACTATTCTTCAGCGAAGTGGACTACAGCTTGTGCACCACACTTTATCGTTGTCACACCCGAGGAGGCCAGGAGTGAAGACGCTATTCGTCGCAAAATCCTAGAGAAGGTGGCGACGTTTACTAGGGGCTCCTTCTTTTCTAGGGTAGAGGAGGCCGACAGCTCCGATACTACCGAACCAGAAATGATAGGGCCCGGCGGCTCCGATGAGGGTTCCTCTAATGAAGTTATTGCACAGTCAGTAAAGGGGGAAGATGACATGGTTGACGTTCAAATGAAAGACGCCAACAATGCTCGAAGGTATGTGGTTCAAGTCTCGGAGCCATAAAAACAATCACTAACCTATAACGTAGTACCTCTCGAGTGAAGCACCAATTCTGCCGGAGGAGACCAGCCTGGGTAGATTCCGAAAAATTCCTCCCCCCTCAATTTCAAAACCTATTCACTATGACCATCTACAGTGAAAGCGGTACTCGGCTTCCAACCGGCATGAATAACATTAACGACAATATTGAGTATCCGAACATCACCCTCAGAGCCCCGCCTGGAAGTCCTTCGTCGGAAGACCAGTGTGATACAATCACTAATGGTACAGCCTCTAATGAAGACTCAAGCTCAGACGAAGCTCCCCGGCGGAATTCGGGCCAATCCTTCACGCGGATGAATGATGAAAGTAACGATGAGGATACCGGTGTAATTTCCAGAGTAAGTTTTACCCAGTGGCTTCAGAAGAACAATCAAAATGTCCAAAACTACTTGGCACATTGGATTGTTTTTTGGTTCTATGCTGACCCATAACCAGACGCAATACCGCTACAGCAAGCACGGTAAGCAAAATAAGGCCAAGGGTAAACATCAAAAGCACAACAAAACGTATAGTAAATACGGAAAAGGCAATAAAAAGGGGCGTCAGCAGCAACAACAGCAGCAACGCCAGAATAAGGGGAAGCAGCATGCCTTAGATGTCGAAGATGCCTCTAACGCGGACGAGGTTCGTTACGATGGCGGTCCCCTCGTCCGCTTAGGGGAAGCCCTTATTGTGGATTGGTCCGAACAAGCTTATGACAGCATATTTGTTGGCAGCAGTGTTTCATTCCGGGATCCGTCACTGACGACGTGGGATTCCTGCGAAACTCTTCCCGATCCCGAGCTAGAGAAGGCCCAGGCCAACCGCGAAAGACGGGAAAAGCACGGCATTACGCTTGAGTCGTGCCTGGACGAGTTTGAGCGAGAAGAGATTCTTTCGGAACAAGATATGTGGTTCTGCCCTCGCTGTAAGGAGCATCGCCGTGCTAGCAAGAAGTTCGACCTATGGAAGACCCCAGACATCCTGATCATACACCTCAAGAGATTTAGCTCCAGTAGCTTTAGAAGAGACAAATTGGAAGTTCAAGTAGAATTCCCTCTAGAGAACTTAGACATTAGTTCTCGCGTCTTGCACAAGGAAGACGGGAAGTTGGAGGTCTACGATCTCATTGGGGTTGATTCTCACTGGGGCGGCCTAGGAGGCGGCCATTATACTGCTCACACGAAGAACTTCGTGGATAACCAATGGTATTTGTACAATGGTAAGTGCGAGTTCTCTACCAAGCCACTGTCTCGTTACTAACTTGAGTAGATTCTTCGGTGCGGCCTCCATCGTCTAAGGAACTGGTGGACAAGTCTGCATACTTGCTGTTTTACCGTCGACGATCTGAGAAACCTCTTGGTGGGCCTCGCTTCCAGCAAATTTTGGACAAGTTCGTAGACGATGAGTCTGATGATGAAATCCAAGAGTCGGGGGAAGGTCAGCGTCTCGGCGAGGGCTTCTCCCAGAATGGGTCGTCGAGCGCTTTCCAAGAAGCAGGAGCTATTCGCCCATATCCAAATCCAAAAAGTGGTGGTGATTCGAAGTTTGAGTTCGCCACAAACAACCAAGAACAAGACTGGGATTCTAAAGAAGCTATGGCTGCCGACGATATTCATACAAACTCATCCTCGGCCGCCAGGGTCCATCGAAGCATCGAAGAGGACGAAGGCATCGATCTAACGGAGGATAAGACAGAACCCACCCGGGCAGGCTTTCAGCCCCTTCCAACCAACAATACTTGGAACTTCAGCAATATCCCGAACCAGGATGACCAGGACATGGAACGAGTCCCTTCGGAAAGCCCTTTCGATTCCGGTGCCGCCTCTGATGAAGCGCAACATGATTCCTCTGGCGATGAGCGAGTTATGAGCCCTCGTACGCTAGATTTTGACTCAGATGTCGAGGGATATCCGGGCATGGCCAATTACCAGCTGTCTCCGCAACCCGACGTCAACCCGCCTTCTTACACTAGCGAGAACGCTCCTGACTATCAGGGCCAAGTAACTCTGGATGATCTACAAATCCACGAGATCCCGCCCCAGGGCGAAGCTGGGGAGGAATCTGAAGACGCCGCGGAAATCCACTTAGACGAAAGTGATAAGATCAAGCTGGGATAAGTCATACCGATGGCGGGTAGTTCTTGCAGGCAACGGCATGTCCGACGCGAATCAGACGCCGTTGCCCAAGTTGTAACACTTCTATACTCTGGATGGGCTATGGTTAACATCCAGATTCATGGGACATCTGGTAGACGACGGCTTATCAGCAGCCGAAGTGACCCAGTTATGCAGGACGTGGCCATATTTGAATGGTATGGCAAAGAACAAAACCATTCATGATGGGGCCTGCTGTAGTTTCATGATAGAGACACATGACAGCACCCTGGACCCCATCAAATACGAGAAGAACATGGATTATGAGGACAGTATTATGAAGATAGGTCTACTAGATGGATCGCTAGATGATCCAAAGGATGAATGAAATCATTAAGAGAGGCGTATGCATGCATGGTAACGGTACCGCCCAATAAAAACGGTCTGCATTTGGCCTTGTGTGTTTTTACTTGGTTCAGGTTTGCCTTGAGTACCCCTGGGTTTTTGTTTTTGTTTTAAACGCATTTATGTAATTCTCCCTCGTCAACCCCCCTTCCTGTCTCCCTAAGTAGTCTCCGGATTATAAGGGTCGTTGGGATGGGTCATGTGGAAAGGGGCTTTGGAAGAATCACATAAAATAGGAGATAAGAGACCGATGGGGATGGAGGCGGTGGGGATGGGAGAGGTGGTAGGGTAGTAGGGAGTAGGGTGTCGTTGAATAGATAGATTATTCAACAGATTTGCGTATGGGTTTGGTGTTGATTTATTTGTGCTTGTGTTTGCGTGAGTGGGTGATGGGTAGATGTGTGTAGGTGCCTAAGATACGTATGTGTTTGTGCCTCTGTATGTTCAAGTGACTCAGTCGCCGGATGGATGACTAGGTACCTATGTAAGTATCTACGTAGGTTGGGGAAGTTGTGCTATGAACTTATGTCAGGTAGATTTATGTTTGTGTGGTGTCTCTTAACTACTGCTTTCTAATACGTACGATTAACCTAGGGCTGTTCTTGTGGCCCTGGAGGAGACTCTACTAAACCAAATTACCTACCCATCTCTGTTAAATACCTGGACAAGAGTGAGCCGCTCTTTAGTAGGTGGTGATGGGTTTCAGTTCCTCCCGGTGGGCTATGCTACTAGGGCTCAACCGTCACGGAGCTCCTGGACACATTGTTTTCTGCGTGTCAGGTCTTCGGAGATAGAGGAAGAGAGGGTACGCCTTTCGCTGTTGATTACCCCCTAAGTTTGGATTCCTACGTGAACAGCGTACGTTGCGTGTGGCGTAGACACCCAGGTAACTTGGTAGGCAGGTACAAGGTCCATGTGTATGTATAAGTGTGCAAGTTTATACATACCTACCTACCCACGAGATATGAACATGGACTGTATATACCTATACCTATACATACCTACTCAAGGCATCATATCATCACGGAGAACGAAGTATCATGAAGGGGCAAAAAAAGCCCTCGAGGACCAACCGGACTCCTCGGACGGGGGATTTTCTTTTGGTGGATAAAAGGTATCATCACTAGGTAGGTTAGGTATCTATGTACGTACGTGCGTACTTGCTTGCGCGCGTACCGTCAGCCTGGAAACCAACTTGCTCGGCGAGGCCGAAAGAGCGGTAGAAAGATGCCTTGGGGAATGAAGGAAGGAATATTCAAAAAAAAAAAAAAAAAAAAAAAAAAAAAAAAAAGTGTAGGCATGTAAGTATTAACGTAGGTGCAGGATTCTCTTTTCTATGGTCACATGGGAGAGCTGGTTGTTGTTGTGTGGGCAAAGGCAAAGGAGCGAGCGCGTGATCTCTGTTCCCAGCTGGCTAGATTAGGTAAGAGGTAGGTATTATTAGTAAAGGGGGCTTTATAATTCTTTTTTGTTTCTTTGCTAGTTAATCTTTGTTTTCTTATTGGCGTTTTTTTGTTGTTGTTGTCACGTACATACATACATACATACATACGTACGTACGTACCTAGCTTCGTATAATACCTAGTATAATGGTCGAAGGCGTATTATTTATTATATTGATGATCATTAGCTAGGTAGGCATGTAGGTTATTCTAAGGAAAAACAATAATACCTAAGGTACAATACAATACGTCTACATATAGGTACCCTAGCAGTTACCTAACACCTAACCTAGTATGTGTAAGTGTAGGAGAACAATGTTGTCGATGCAAGTGACTTGTCAGAAAAACCTATGTGTCCCCTTGACGTGGGCGTTTCTGATAATTACACGACCCTTTTTAAACTACTTTTCGGAGTTATATGAGTTGAGGTAAGTAAGTGGGCTGGCTGGCTGGCTGGCTGGCTGGGGAGTTGGCCAATAGGTAGGCAGGTAGTTATGATTCGCAGAAAAGGTGGTGGTGGTAAGTGCGGCTGATAGGTAGATTTCGGAATGGTGCGGGAATGTAATGTTGGAAAGCATAGTTACATAGTACAGTCGCGCGTTATTGGTCTGGGATATGTTTGCTGTGTATGAGATACGTTATTCGTTCGAAAATGCCTTAGGAGTATGATGTGAAGAATGCTTTTCGTGAGCAGGCATGCCTACATGTAAATCGCCCCCGGCATTCATGATATGTTTATAGTAGCTTTAGGTAATTCCTTTTTTTTTCTCTTCCTTTTCTAATATTATTATTACTCCGATACGACTGTGCCTAAGGATTGTTGTATAAGTAACACCGATATACGTAAGGTACATACACATGCCTGAGCTGATGACATGCTGTGTGGCTTATTCTAGACCATGTCTTCTGAATGCCTGTCTGTTCGGCCACGCCTTATCATCCAGGAAATGATATACATAGGTAATTCAGGGGGGGTTCCAATAAGTTATCAACTGGGGGAGAGAGAGAAACTCTTCTTAACTTTAGTCTTAACGATCAACAAGTAGGATATAGGAATCCATACGTTATTAAAATTAAGGTGTGAGTAAATGTATGTGCTATTAGCAGGTTGGAGGCTTGTTTGATCTTAAGAGGGTGATGGGCTGATGAGTAGTAAGTTCGGAACTGAAAAAATACATGTGAATTTTTGACTCGCTGTCGGTACATTCAAATGCGAGTTGGGCCCTGCGGCTCGAGTGTGTAAACCGTTAGATGCTATTCGCCGCTCACCTTGATATCTCTCGCTGAGGCTTACTCTCTATCCAGAGTTCTCGGTAGAATATAAAAAGAAACGTCGGTTCATAGAGGGCCTTTTGTTCCACATGGCAACTGGATATTATGCGTTACGTGGTATTCCATGAGCCGTTGCTGATAGTAAAGAGTAACCAGCACCGAAGCCTCGGGTCTATGTCGTCGGTATGCAGGGACAACGAAACCAACCATACCTATAGGCCACACCGGTTCACCCATCTCGGTTGAGGTTTTGTGATCCAGCTGTAGCAGCTGACGAGTCGCGGAAGTAGGAATACGACTCTTCTTGGCTGCGGAGGGCATGAAACGGGGTTACACCGAGGCAGCAAGGCGATCAGGCTGCGGGGTGTCCCCGTTACATGTTATACATGTTATACATGTTATCCAATACCACATGAACTGTCCCTAGCTAGGTAGGCTAGGTAGGCTTCGATGGTGGTAAAGAACAGTTACTGGACAGCTAGTGGATGGGTAGGCAGACAATGCTGCTTCATTAAAATAGCTTCATCCATCGCTTGTGAAAGCTGGGGAAGTATTCCGGCAGAATGAACCCGATGCTTACCACATCAAGAAGCATTGATCATATTGATACAATACAGGGTACCTAGTATACCTGGTAGTTGTGATAAGGCTTGCCTTACTTAGCCTTGTTGCTTTGTCAATCCCCGCCAGATGAAGAAGGTATTTATCCAAAAGGGTAGCAGTAGAGGCGATTGTGCTATACAACATTGAAGACACGGGCCGAGATAAGTAGTACAACTGTGAAGTGGGCATTGATAGATGTCACCAGTATGGCAGTATCAATCAATGTCAACGGTACTAATGTAGATACCTATGATATGGTCTGTGGTCGCTACATCAATGATATACCCAACCTAGTAGGTTAAGAGACGTGTGATGTTCACGGATATGTATTATGTAGGTACATACTACTAGGTTAGTAGTATAGTGCAGGGAGGTTTGGATCATTTAAGCTTATTGACATACCTAGCAGCCCACCTGTCAGGTATGGAGGTACAATACATGTAGGTCCTACCGTCCTACAGGTACCTCCAGGGCTACTATGTATGTAGGTTGGATGATAACTAGACCTAGGGTAGCTACTTCGTAAGGTAAAACATTTAAACTCGGCCTAGGGTCCTATTCACATTAATTGATAACCTTACTCCGTACCTACATATGTACATAACTACCTAGGTATTGTACATACACATACATCCATACCTACATGTAGGTGATAAATAGTATTAATTGATGTATATACCTATCTAACATCAATATACATATTCACAATAATTCATTACCTGACCTAGTAGCATTCGCAATGTTTCGTCTTGGTGGGGTTTTCTGTATGAAAACCCCAAGATCTACAAGTACGTGCTCGTCGCGACAAAAGTTGCTACCGTAAAGGGAAGGTCACCAAGAGGATGCGGGAAGAGCTGCTGTTTGGGGAAAGACAGAACCGAAAATGAGACATACAACGACATAATATCGAGCAAAAGGGGCATAGGCTGGAGGGGGGTTTTAAAAAGAGGCAGTGCAAAAGAAATCGGAACTTCCAAAGGGAACATCATGACATGGAATGATATGCATCTAAGGGCTTGGATTAAATCAATAATGGATCTATTACCCAGGTTAGTAAGTGATAGATCAGATCTTGACTCTTAAGTCTTCAGTCTAACCTACCTAACCTAATGCAAACGGCCTATATTCCAGAACAAATTATCTTTGTCATGTCAACCAACTTACTATATAATCTGTATGTCTGTATTACTACTTGGGTAGGTTGGGATCTGGATTGACGATGATGATGAATACATGTACGTCAACTGCTTGTTTGTAATTGGATCTACCTCTATAAAGTTCATACTAGGTAGTTTATTATGGGGTTGCGCGAGCTCGCATCAGTTTGACGACCATATTCATCAAAATACTTTCAAATGTTAAGTCCAAAGAAGAGAGTCAAAAGAGCCCAGCTAATAAAGATGAAAAGGTAAAAAGGGCGTCTAGCATGACATGAGTCTGGAGTCTCATGAGATGTACATAATGTACTAACTAGGTACCTACTCTACAGAGTCTCTAGTAATGTGCTTCATGTACTGTACAAGGCTAACAAAGCTGGTTATCGCACATTTGATTGGATGGCTGAATTCATCTTCTCCCGCTGAATACCCGCTTTTCCGCTTTTCTCGATGGTTCGTTACCAGCTTCCAGAAGACTGATGGAAGCCTTAGAGAAGCCTTGGAAGGCGACTAGAAGCCCCACTAAGGCTTGCTAAGAATACCCGTGGTTGCTCGGTCAGACAGGGGGTTCCCGGACCATCACACAGGGAAATTCAATGGCGCAACCAGTCAGGTCGACTTCTTCCCTGAAGCTTGTCTTTTTTAGCGGGTTTTGCTTACGATGCCACGCATGGATCCAAAGACGTAAGCAGACCTGAATCGGTCCTCGACAACCTACTGGACGGCAGCCCCGAACCTTGTTGTTGTACGATTGGAACTTTTCTTCTGTTCTTCTGTTCTTCTTTTCTTCTTTCTTCATTCTGCACATATACACTTACATCCACCCTCCTCCAAGCTTTCCAACTTCCAACTTCCAACTTATGTACAATACATTCCTACGCAATACCTACTGTAAGTACGTATCAATTTCGCCATCTCTATTTATTGGCTGTGATAGGTAATCGGGAATCTCAATCATTTAATGAGCTATTCCCATTGCAGCTCTTTTACGAAAATGAACTGCATCAGCCGCACAATTCGGATTGTTGGCTGGGAGTTGCGTAGGGACATAATAGATAAATAGTGCCTAGCCGATCATGCCTATTTGGTACCCTAACCATAGGCCAACATTGAAGAGCACAGATAACGATACTATGTAGTATCCACTCATTGGGTACATATACTAGTAGTACCTAGATAGTATTATAGTATAGTAGATATCTGTTGTATCAATGCAATGTAATTGTTTGGTATCGTCTCTGAATCACGAACTCTGCGGACTGTAGAAGGCAGGTGGAGGGGACTGAATGAATCCTTGGTCTTGGTCGGGAAGGTACATACATGCCTACATACACATACCTACATAACTATATGTACATGGAAATCTACATACCTTGCTTCGATATGAGGGGTACGAATTGTTACATATGATAACATTTTTGAATACATATCTACATACATGTAGTGTATCTACTATCTAGTGTATGCATGTATGAACATTGAACGCACTTGACATCTTATGGATACAGTGCGTATCATCACACATAGCGTTCATGGATCTTCCTGTACTAATACCTACTTGTACGGTAAACCATGTCCCTCCCCCCCTGTTACCAGGTATGAACGTGGTTTCCAAGGACTCTCTTTCGCATTCGAGATGGGAGTGACAAGTCGATTCATACCACTCGGTATCAGGTACTAGTTAGTACTTGACGGCCCCCAATTCCGCGCATCTACATTTTTTTGATCCAAGACTCTGATGCAGAATGCGACCAATACATGTGAAATAGGCATCTTAAAACCGACATCATCCACCACGGCATTTTATATTTTACATCATTACCTATCGTCGTCATTAATCTCTATCTTCCTTACGTGGGTAGGCATACGTATACTGATAGCCAGGTACCATGTACTTTATTTATATATCGTTGATCAGATCAATAGGTATTGTACATAGTTATATCTACACAGTATCAATTGCATGTGGTAATGGCAAGTATATACCTTGAGACCGACTACACTCCTTCTAGCTTAGCAACAGCCCATGAGGCTTGACTTACCAACCACCTTCATAGGTCTCCCCCAAATTCATTGCCTGCTAACTAGGTAGCTGAGGCAGGTAGGTATGCTACCTCCTACATACTGTTATGTAGCACCCTACGATCCTGCCGCCGAATTTATTAGCAAATCTCCAGCTATACAGCTACATGCGGTTTAGTGTCTTGCTCCTCCATATCCTCCATATCCTCTACCATACATACATGTATGTACTGCATGTGTCAACTACATATGTGTACCTACCTATGCATGTACATATACCCATATGTACGCGTGTAATGCCTTATGTATGGGTATATGTATTCAAAGTCAATGTTTAAAAGCAGGTAGGTACATATGGTGTTCGACACGTGTGTACCGGTTAGCAGTACCGGTACTGCTAGGTACTGTACACTGCATTATCCTACCTAGTACCTACTAGGTACTATTACCACTACTAGACTAAGTACTAGTAGCACTTGAGGTAAGTCTACTAGGCTACCCTAGTACCTAGTAGGCAGTAGTTAGTGGGCCTTTGAGTTCCCAAGCACGCACCTCACTGCCGTCGCACTAAAAATGACACCCGATTAATCGCAAACTTCACTTGTTCCCCTTCTTTTCCTCCCTCCTTATTGAACAAGTCAGTCCACTTTGGGACATTTTTAGTCTATGCCCTTTTCTGTTCCGTCATTCTCAGGGTTCCAGTCATTGTTTGTCACTTCGATTATTCCGATTATTTCGATTATTTCGATTATTTCGAAATACTTGTTGTTCCTCCCGCCTTTATTTTACTTTATTTTTTTGTCGAGGTCACATATACCAACCCGGCTGTATTACAACCATTCAACCATCCCTTTCTCGTCCGTCCATCGACTAACGTCCCTCCCTCAACTTTCATAATTAGTTATAACCTGAGTAATTTCGGAATCAATACGTTCAACTCGACCACTATTGTATTATTTCTTCTTTTTTTTTTTCATTATTTTTCTATTTTTACTTTTTTTTTTATCTTTTTGACCCGATCAACACGACCAGCCTTTTTTTCCGCGACATACCAGTTACCAACCAAACAACCCGCGAAACGTCTTTTTTTTATCTCTACCTCTTAAGACGCTATTGCGAAAACACCTATCATCCATTGATCGCTATTTTCGTTCGAGTGTAACGTCGTGCCTTTTTCCAGAAACCTGCAGTAGAGTGTGAGGCGACCACCTTTTTTATTTTCGGCTCCGTTCCACACACACACACACACACACACACGCTCGATCAAAAGTAGCACGAATAGCACGAATAGCACAGAGATAGGCACGCATAGCACGCATAGCACGCATAACACCCACAGCACGCCTATGTGCATCTTCGCCTGCCCCGAGGTCCCATGTTACTAATCTATTGCACCATTTCTCGACACCTTGCTTCGAAGCCGCATAATCAATAACTACGGCGCACCTACTCTGTCGCATGCGCCTTAGGCCCTTTGCCTTTTTGCCTTTTTTCCCTTTTCCGATTCCTTGGATGTTTGAACCTGAAGTGTGACCTAATCTGGAGTGGCAGCCCATTGAGGCACCCTCTGTTATTCTTGAATTACCCTACGACTTCTTTTGCGCGTCGACTATCACTCCTTACTGTCGCACATTCGATATACTAAATCGACCACGAGCTAAGACATCGCTCAACTCCCATTTGTGACTCAATTGATTACTTCTTTTATACAATTCACTTACTCTTGCAGTCCGGCTTCGGTTGCGACACCAATTGTGACAAGACAGATCTTCGTTGGCGGAAGTGCTCCGGTCGTCAGACTGGATGCCATAACCCGCCGTGATGGATAGTGCAACATGCAATGTCATCTACGTGGATCGTAACGTACATGAGGACCGATTGCTCGAGTCTTCTAACACGGAACTACCCGAACCTGCCGAACTTCAACATAATCTTCGACTCCTGTTGAACGCTTTTGGTGACGGTTAGTTCGTGGCGCGAAACTCATACTCTGATCTGACTACTGACATTCTGCATAGTGTACGTGTGTACTAACGGCGCTGCCTGTGTATCTGAACTGTTTCATTTACATGATACCTCTATGGTAGAGCTTAAGCCGACGCTTGTACTGATCGACACACCACATAACGAACAAGTGCTGGAAACGTCATCTCCCGAGAGGGATTACTCACCTTGTTCCAAAGTCTCGAATGGCGAATTAGGTGATGACTATGCCGAGGGAGAATTGTATGGAATCAGACTACTCGAGCAGATTGTCTACGAGACACATACGAGAAGCCTCTCCAGACTGGTCGTGCCTATTACTCTTATCAACTTTTCTCTACTGCGAACACCACCCACCAACGATGGCGCGAGCGACAACCTAGGACCACCGAGTTATGCAGATTACCTCTCTGCGGTGCCCGATGCTACTAACGGATTATTAACTAATCGCGCTTTACTGAGGAGATGCCTGGACTCCGGCGCCGTGGATGTGATGGCCAGCCCGCTGCATGTCAAGACTCTGACGACGCTCGAAGTCCATGCGTACCGTGCCCACAAGGAGGCTGCTAGGGAACAGCAAGCACAGCTAGAGATTCGAAGGGGCCGTAAACGATCATGGGTGGGCGTGCATGAAGACCAGCCATACTCGTATCTTAGAGAGGCTATGGTGTCTGGGTTGATGAGAGGGATATGTCGTTCGGATACGGAACCCGAGGATCACGTCGGAAATATCAAGATCAATGTTTCATCAGAGCTACGATCTAAAATTGCCGAGGCTATTAGCCGATGGCATTTCTGTGCCCACGACTTCAGTAATGATGCTCTTCTCATCGCCACCGTCTATATGTTCAAGCATGCCCTTTCTATGCCGGAATTGGAACCATGGCGAATACCTACTGGTGAGCTAACGATTCGTGTTTATCATCACCATTATCTGACTAACTTGTTGCGAAATTCTAGAGCAATTAACGTCATTTATTGTCGCAACCCGTGCAGCCTATAACACCTTTGTGCCCTATCACAACTTCCGACACGCTGTCGACGTTCTGCAAGCTACCTTCAACTTCCTGGTGCAAATCGGGGCCTTGCCACCTTATCCTCCCCAGCCCAACTCTTCCGTTCCACCGAAATCTCCATTAGCAACGTTGCTGAGACCTTTCGAGGCATTAACTCTTCTCATAGGAGCGATCGGTCACGATGTCGGCCATCCTGGCGTAAATAACGGCTTCTTAATTGTACTCAATGCGCCCCTTGCGCAGTTGTATAATGACCGATCTGTTTTGGAATCTTTTCACTGCGCAGCTTATTCACAAATACTCCGGAGACATTGGCCCTCAGTGTTCGAAAACACCAAGATGCGTACTCTGATGATCAGCTCGATTCTGGCAACGGATATGGGCCTACACTTCGATTATATGAAGAAACTCGGCGACCTTCAGGATAAGTTGACCGAGAATCATTCTATCGATGGCTGGAATGGGCGTATGATAGAAGAAACAACGGCGCTCTTGTGCTCTCTAATCATCAAGTGCGCTGATATTAGTAACGTTGTACGTGTCGCGTTTGCCACAGATCTTATTGTATGTGCTTAATACTAAACGATTTTCATAGGCAAGAAGACACGATGCTGCCCTGCAATGGATGTACATCCTTTGCGACGAGTTTTCGAGACAAGCGACGATGGAGGATGAGATCGGCATTGCATCATCTCTGGTTGCGCCCCCCAAAAAGAATCTCCTCTCACTTGCCCAGGCTCAGTTGGGCTTCATGAACATGTTCGCCATCCCCCTGTTTCAAGGAGTTGCTGACATACTGCCCGCGATGCGGTATACCGTTGGTGAGCTTGAGACAAACAGAAGACTCTTCGAAAAGACGGTTGAAGAAATCCCAGGAATGGAAGAAGAGCGGAAGAAAAGGTTAACGGAAGGCGTGCCCTCGCCTCGTTCTCTAAGCTTCGCTATGCAACCGGAAGATTCGGGTAGTTTTGCGATAGACGGAGCAAAATGTGCCATGATTCCGAACCACGCTGCCATGAAGAAAGCCAGCTCGTCACCACCCGAACAACAACATCATATTCCTAGTATACCAGGACAATACAAAGAGGTCAGCGGCATCTCGGTTGGCTTCAATGGCGTTGCAGAGTACATAGCGAACGATTCGTTCAATATCAACGAATCGGAGAACAGGGTGATTGGGCACAACGGAAAGCAACGCTGTAGCGAAACAACAGATGGCAGTAACTCGGTGCCGCCCGGAGATTGGCAATCGCAAGCTACGAGCGCGACTACGGGAAAGATGCCCATCTCGCCAAGTACCCAAGGTACGAGCATCGTTAGCCAAGAATCCCTCGAACAGCACTGCGGCCTCCCTACCACCACCGTCACAACCCCGGATTGCCGCACCACAGCACGGATGGCGGTTCTTGAACCTAGCCATTTTGAGGATGACCCTAATGGGCATGCGCTTAAGCCAGAGAAAATGCTCAAGAAAAAGACGAGTAGATTCAAGATGAACGTCTCGACATTTTTCCGAAGAAACAAGGGGGCTAGTTCACCATCATCAGGCGGTTCTTGAGGCTGGACGTGATGAACCAGGGACCAAAATGACACGTACGAAGCATGAACGCATTGGACGCACGACTGTAATTAGTCGAACGACAACGAAGCATCTTGCTTGCGAGTTCTATTCCCTATGAATCAGGCAACTATTTGCGACAGCACCGACACCGATACCGACACCGTGGCGATAACCTGAGCTGCAAATCGGAACAAAAGAAACAAGGGATTTCTCGTCAAACGTATATATTGTATACTAGTGAAGTACGATGGGACGATTACGCTAAATTCTAGTGGCTTTCCAAAGTCTCGGGGAACAGTGAGAATTGGAAAGCTTGAGGGGTAGGGAAGCCAATGGCGGCGAGGGCGGCGGAGTTACATTACCGGAGATGCATGCATGGCGTTCAGGAAAACGGTCTCGTGTAGGGACCGGAATTTGCAGCCTCTTATTGAGAAGAGGCTTGCACGGCGGGGTAGGGCAAACCAATGGTGTTCACATTCTAGGTGCCTCGGAGGTAGGAAGGGCGAGGGGAAAGTTATATACTTTTAAGGAGAGATACCTACTTTTACGTCTCATAGGAGGCCCCCGAGGAGAGGAATGCAAAGCAAGAAGGCACAAGAGATGAGAGATTCTCAAGAAGCTTCTTTTTTGTATGAAATCCAGTTGGGTGAGCTGACTAGGGATCGATCGTCATTCCCATATGTTCACTTCTGTAAAGTTCTTTGAACGACATGTACGAGTATACGAAAGCACAAGGCAAAAGGAAAAAAAAATAAAGACAAAGTGAAATTATTATTACCTAAACAACCCTACATTGCCTACCTACATAATGATCTGGAGCTCTGCAAAATGGTGATAGAGCCGCCAGATGCGCGAGATTCGTCAGAAGACTAAGAAATGTGTAAGAAGTGTGACCAATTAGCAATGGAGATGTTTGCTATATCCTCCTGCGCATTGACATCATAAGAAGCTCTCATTGGATATGAGCCGAGGGGGGTAGTTATTAAAAATTATTTGAACTTTTACTTTTTATTCCCTTTACACCAGCTGCATCTAGGCCATTGTATGTAGGCACCTACCCATGTGGAAATAGAAATACTAGGACATGCAAGCATGCATCAAACCTAAAGAAAATAGACAAGTTTGTGTAACCTCCAAAGGACCCTTGAGGGTTCATCGATTTATTGAATTGATGACAATTAGATGTAATTCATTTGAGCTAATAAAGAACATTGAAAGGAAGAGGGAAAAGAATAGCAAGATTGGGAATTCTTTCAAGTCGATCATATTCGATTACATCAAACTGCCTAGCTACATAGTTATGCAGGTAGTAATTGAAACCTATATCCACTTCTGTACCTAAACGAAGAGAAGAACCATGTAACTACATTGTAGGCAGGTTAGGACCTGTTAGGTATGTATGTATGTACAACATTGAATACAATTTCCGGCACTCCCATTGAGGGTTGGTTCCCTTTGACCCAAAGACGTCAGCCAACTTGCTTGTATGATTACTACGATACTCCAGCTAGTTATTTACATGCATTTTGCTTATATATACTATAACTAGGTACAATACATATCTATCTAATGTCTAATATCCAAGTAGGTACTGGCATACACCAGACATATCAGTAACTATATGATACCTAGTATACCTAGGTCTTAGCAGCTACTAATATCATTGATGTAGTAACAGAAAAGAGAAAAATACCCATCAAGTACATAATTAGGTGCATTACTAGTAGGCCCAGGGGTTCCCCAGCTTTCAAACAACAGTGCACGCCACATTTATAGCAGGAGAAGCAGAAAAAACGGGGGTGTAATAGCCTGTGTAGAAGCCGACAGTCGGCAAGCGGACCTCAAACCCCCACTAACTATCAGCCCAAACCGATGTAACTGCCCGCAGGCTACCTCCTAAGGTTAGGCAAGTCTCTCAAATTGTCAATGATCATTTTAGTCATTTACTCGTTCGGATTTTAGAATTTTAGAATTTTAGAATTTTAAGAATCTTGGAAGGAACAAGAAAGCCGACCAACTTAAATCATATTTTCCCCCTCATTTTTCCAACATTTGAACATTGAAGCTTCTCAACGTTGAATCCCGAACTGTTTAGAAAGTCACTCCTTTCCAAATTCAATGTTCTTTGCTTAACCCCGCGCCAACCTCCGCCCTACCGCTCGGTCATCTTTCACCTATCCTATCCTATCGTACTTGAACGGTACTTCAAGTTGGTAGATAGTACTGTACATACAAGGAAGGTATTTACGTATTGTTCAACGCTACTACCCTTGTGTACTTTATTATTTTTTAAAACTTGTACAATTCGTTAACAACATTTGAAACTCTTCGTTATTCTCATTATTCGTTTATCTTTATTTTCTAGCCTTCTATTTTTCATCTTCACTCTTCACTTCTCTCTCTTCTCTCTCTTCTCCTCTCCTCTCTCTCCCCCTCCTCTCCTCCTCTTCGGCACTCGCACCCTCCATTCGGAATTATTGCGCGCGGGTCGTAGCACAATTTGCATCGATATCCATCAATTATGAAACATAATCATGGTGGAAACCAGGACTGTGGTGAGTTTCAAAAGGGCAGAACCAACGCATCGTATATTCATGCCTATGGCCGCTGATCCTGCTGCCAACCAACAAGGCGTCGAGAATATTCAGCAGGATGGAGACCCTGAACCACAACGCGGACGCGGCTCCACGAGGAGCTCCAAACTCTCTGCACCTTTACGATTGCCCAAGAACCGGAGCACTGGGAACCTCGCTATCGTGGCCGAGGGTCCCGAGAAACCCAGGCTGAGGTTCTCTTTCGACTCCGGATCAGGTGTAGCCGAATCTGACCAAATCACAAGGTACGTTTTCTTAAAAACTGTGAAGCCTATTTATTGTATGGATCCCTCCCCCAATCCGAGAACAGGCATATAGTCACGATGGAGGGAAATAGGTATTACCAAGTACCTGACATGACCTTACCTGCCTACACCACCTCAACCTTGTCACATGCTTGTGTGCTCAGCCTCTCTTACATACATATGCACCTACACACCGAAAGTCTCGTACCAAGCCCATAAAAGCAAATGGGTTATTAAACAGAAAAAGAAAAGAAAAGAAACCTGCAAGTCACTAGTGGGCTAATATATCGAGGTTGTTTCAAACCGACAGATCTTCCATAATCACTGAGCACGACCATGGTTTGGGCATCTCTGGTTTACGACGCATCCGTCAACATCCTAGCCCGCGTACGCCTACCATGCCTTCGACCGCCGTTTCTTCGCGAAGCCAATCCACCGGCATCCATCGCTCTACCTCGATGACTATGATGCTGCCTTCGGGGCACCATACTCCATTAACTCCCGGTCCCTCCTCTCCCAACTTTACCGAAGACCTATCCCGGTTCCCTTCCGAGTCACTGCACTCCTTCTCCTTCGCGCACCAATCCGAAGATTTCATACACAACCGCCAGAATGTCTTGAAAAGGTCTATAGAGTTCATGAAGGATCGCATGGGATGGTCTGTTGCGTCTAATGCTGGCATTGCCAGCGCCCAGGCCAGAGTGTCCGGCGATATTGAAACCCAAAATATGCTTGATCTACTAGCTAGGGCCCAACTCGTTGGAGCTGGTAATCTGCCGAATTTTGATCCTTCCCTCGTTCCCGGCCCGTTGAGCGGGCCTGCTCAAATGTCTCACGATAACGTATTCGAGAAAGACTTCATACCACGGACGAACAGCCCCGAGTCCTTCTTAGCTCCGCTCATATCCCCTTCACCTACCCAAGAGCTTGGAACCGATGATGTAGGTACTGCTAAGGTGCAGCCTACCAGGGGCGAAAAGGACCATCCAACGTCGAAATCGCTTTCGAAACAATCGGATACATCACAAGATCAAACAGAGTCTGAGAACTCTTCGAGAACGCCAACGAATGAGAGCGGCACTACCGCCAAGACATCACCCCCAACGTCCAAGCCCCCAAGTTTACGGAGGACAATAACAGACATAGGTTCAGCAGAGGTTCAGCAAAAACTTATAGATACCATGGCACAGCCGTTTCTTTCCGCGTCGACAGAAAATTACCCTCAGGCATTGATGTCTCCGATCTTTCCGTCACACGCTATGGGTTCATCGCTCAACACGCCCGGAGCTCTAGGACCATCAGTGCATGGTCATGCAACTCGATGGGTTCCTGCAGCGCAGGCTATCTTCACGACAGAGTCCAAACCCCCATGGACGATATTGGCCGCCAATGACTTGGCTTGCCTCGTCTTTGGTGTAACGAAAGCTGAGGTTCGGAAGATGGGCATTCTGGAAGTTGTACAAGAGGAGAGGCGGGCATGGCTGGAGCAGAAACTCCTACATTCCAACCCTAACGACGTGAGCCAATCACCTGCAGAAACCGTGCCCCCGCCTGTATCTTCCGTTGGCTCCTCACTGTTAGGGGGGCGCGGTGGTATCACAGCGCATCTTTTAAGTAAACCTAATTCTAGGTCACAGCCCCCGAAAACTCCAACGCGACGCGCACAGACTGTTCATAGTGGGGACACAACGCCATCGAAATCCCGAGTTGCAAGCCACCGGAGCTCAAAATCTAGGGGAGTACTGCTCTGTGGCGATGTTGTGCCTATCCAGAAACGCAACGGTGCAACGGGCTCTGCGAGCCTGTGGGTCAAAGAAAAAAAAGTTGGGTTGATTTGGGTTCTCGAGGAGATTCACGAAGATGTAGCTCTATTGAGGCTTGATGATGACGGGGTAGTTATCAATATCTCGGGAGATACGGGGCCCATGTGGGGAGATGAAGATTTGCAACCCGGTATGGATATCGGCAAGTTGATTCCACGTGTACCGCGTCAAGGTATCGATCCACGGTATGGTGCAATCGATTATGCCCAGATCACGAAGCGCAAGTACTTCACCTGCCGGCACAGTGACCAAGTCAACATCCCCGCCATAGTCTCTCAGACAAGAGGTCAGACAGAACTTCGTGTTTCAAGCTTCCCTCATATGGCTGGGATCATTGTGGTCTCGCCCGATACTCTCAGAATCAAAAGTTCAAATTCCGCATTTTGTGGGGCTCTCTTTGGGTACGAGAAGCCAGAGGGACAGTCAATCGAGAATCTCATCCCAGACTTTAATAAAGTCCTCGAGATCGTAACTAACCACGATGGGGTGCAACTTCAAGACGGTATTGTGATACCTGAACATAGCTTTAGGAAAGCAGCGACTCTGCTGGCCCTACACAGCGGAAACCTAGATGCTGCTGCTACGTTTCTAAACCCTGATGGATTGCCAGCTAAGCACCGCGACGGCTCAGAGCTGAAAATTGACGTTCAGATGAGGGTCGTCAAGAGTGAGGCGCAATCTGGGCACGATTCGGGCTCAAGCGACGATGAGTCACACAGCAGCGACGTGGCTGTGACGGCGGTCGAATCAGAAGTAGTTTATGCGTTATGGATCACATACTCCCGACATTTGCACACATCTAACATCAGATCATCAGGTGCTGCAGCATTACGATCTCCGATAGCCTCTGGAGCAGCGTCGCCATTACATCAGCCTTCGCCTGGCCAAACACCAGCACATACGCCACAGGACATGAACTCGGATACGGAGGAATCCAAGTCACGTCCTACTTCTGCCGCTTCAGCACTATCACAGCAACTTAAGGTAGTTGCGATGACTGCAGCCGCAAAGATCTCTGGAGCATCGAAAATCTCAGATAAAACACAATCAGCAAACCCTCAGGCCGACGCACCGCCCCGGAAAAAAACGATTGACGATTTTGTGATAATAGAAGATATGGGCCAAGGTGCCTATGGTCAAGTGAAATTAGCAAGGTACAAAAACAACAGTGCAAAGAAGGTTGTGCTGAAATACGTGACGAAGCGGCGGATCCTTGTTGATACTTGGACCAGAGACCGACGCCTAGGCACCGTACCTCTCGAGATCCATGTTTTGGATTACCTTCGAAGAGATGGGTACAAACACCCCAACATTGTAGAAATGGAGGATTTCTTTGAGGACGAGACGAACTATTACATCGAAATGGCTCCCCATGGATATCCAGGAATGGACCTCTTCGATTATATCGAGCTGCGCACAAATATGGAGGAAGATGAGTGCCGAAGCATCTTCGTCCAGGTTGCTAGGGCAATACACCACCTCCATACCAAGGCGAAGGTGGTTCACCGTGATATCAAAGATGAGAATATTATTTTGGATGGCGAAGGAAACATCAAACTCATCGACTTTGGAAGTGCGGCATATATCAAGAGTGGGCCATTTGATGTTTTCGTCGGCACCATTGGTATGTTATTTATTTTTACCAGACTCCCATTGATTATGTTGACTAATCTGATATCTGTAGATTATGCGGCTCCGGAGGTACTGGGGGGTCACCCGTACGGTGGCAAAGAGCAAGATGTGTGGGCTTTGGGAATTCTGCTTTATACAATCATCTATAAGGAGAACCCGTTCTACAGCATCGATGAGATCATGGACCGCGACCTGCGAGTACCCTACGTAATCAGCGATGAAAGTATCGATCTGATCCGCTGCATGCTGAACCGCGATGTCTTGGCACGATATGACATTGAACAGGTGATTCAGCACCCCTGGTGTCAAATGGATTGAAAAGATGAAAAGATGATGGGAAGGGAAAGCTGGGTTATCCGATGAGGTTCTAGGAGTTAGGGAAAGGGAGGAAAGAGAATTCGGAGGGGAAGGAAATGGGGCTCGCACTTTTTTTTTTGTCGGAGAGGAAGGAAAGACAGATTTACAGCATGATACCCAGCTCTTAGGAATTACAGACTCGGGGAGTAGGAACCAACACGAAAAATTACACTTGGTATACATGCTGGGTTATTCCCTTGATTTCCTTTTTCTTTTCTTCTTTTCCCCCATCAGAGCAAATTTCAACTGCTTCGGTGGAATATGGCATACAAGCTCTAGCGTGGAGTTGTTATTCTTTCTTCTTCTTACAGGCATGACGATGATACACAAAATTCAAGAACGGCAGGTTTCGGTACAAATGAGTTTGGGGATTTCCTTTTTATATAAATTCTTCCTCTATTGGAATATCTTGGGGTATGGCGTTCGGCGGTTTAGTCCTTTTTTTCATTATTTCACTTTGTCTTTCTTTTTGATTGTTTCCTCGTCTTATATATATAGACCATGGTCATCCCTTTCCCCCCCTTTTTTTTTCATAAAGTCAAGGGGTTTTGGTAGCTACATAGCTACTCGCGGGATGAACTTGATTGGTTGCGTAGTGGGTAGGTGCGTTACGCTATATTGCACATTAACTATATACACATAAACATGTAGGTGAAGAAGACGAATAGGGAAGGAAAGAAAGAGGTGGGAAGGGTTGGAATGGTGAAGGTGAAGGTGAAGGTGAAGGAGGGTAGATTAACTAGGTAGGGGGTGAGTTACGATATGCGAAATGAAAGATGAAATGAAAATACATTCATATACACATCAAGGATACGATACGATACGACACGATACGATAACTACCTTTAGGTACCTATCTTTATGTCAGTCAGTCAGTCAGTCAGTCAGTCAAGTCAGTCTTTCTTTGGGGACTAGATTGGATACATGCATGAGAATGGGATTTACAACATACCTACACATGTATAGGCTGAGTAACCTAGCTAAGCACCTAGGCTAGGTAGCTGCTTACATCTACATCTACATCTAAATACACGGCATTCGTAAAAAATCTAGCAGAGGTTGATTGATTGATTGATAGTTGATAAATAGAGTCAAAATCGTGTTGAGACCAACATGATAATTCACTTGTACATAATGTCTCGGTAGTTGGGTATGTACGTACATAGGTACAGTAGGTAGGTATGTATGTATGTCTCTTGATCTGGGTATATTGAAGCTTCTCCCATCGTCGTCCAACAAGCAAGCACATAACTATATAAACTACTCCAAGGTACTACTCAGAAGCAGACTCTTCAAATTCCAATTACCATGCATGCAAAACTGTCGACCACGGGAGCCGAGGACGTTCATGATTAGGTATACCTATTAGGTAGGTAGGTACCTAGGTACTAGTTGCCTAATCTCAAAACCTCCTTGGATAATTACCTACCTCCCTACCTACCTGGGTACCTCTTATTAACTCTTCCTCTTCTGAATCTCCTCCAGCCCAAAGATATCATCCGGCAGAACGCCCTGGCCACCCCCCTCACCTGGCGAGATCTCGCCAAAGAGAAAAGCCGTGCGTTCGCGGGTGGCGCTTACGGAAGGTCTCTTGCGCTGTGGTATGCTGCCGCTGCCCGATGACGACGCTGGCTTTTTCGAGGGGAATATGGGTGGCTGCTGATGGGATGGCGATGATAGTGATGACGAGGAAGAGTTGACGTCGGGTTCTAGCATCCAGGAGAAGGAGGACTGCGCGAGTGATGAGCGTGTGGGAATGGGCGCTTGCGGACGTTCTAGCTTCTTCTCCGTCGCTGGTGTGCCGGCGCCTAACGGGTCGTCGGTGTCCATTCTATCCAAGCCCGGTATTATAGACGAATCGACGGTTGAAGGATTGGTGGTGCTCTTTTGGTGTTGGTTTCCAGGTAAGGGCGCTGACGGGTCAAGGGCCATGGCTGCGACGGCATCGCTTAAGGATTCCGGATCGACCATGACGTTGTCAGTAGCCAGAGTCCCCACTGTTGTCAGCGATGACGCAGGCTCCTCCTCATCCGGGAGAGCCATAGTAGAATCCTCAAGGTAAACCTTGACAAACTGTAGCTTCGCAGCGGCGAGCGTGAGAGTCTCCTGGAATTTCTGTTTGTCTTCTAAATCGGAACCGGCGAGAGTCTTCAGCGTAGAAATAGACTCGTCTAGCAAAGAGGCTAGCCGCCTATTCCTCCGGTCCATCACCGCCACCGCTCGTGCCGTTGTGTTGGATCCAGGTTCAGCGAGGAGGTCCTTGCCTGCTTTCATAGAACTCCTAGCTTCCTGAACGTTGCGGCGTATCTCCACCATGGCGTCACGCACTGCTTGGTTAATGCCGAGCTTCTCTCCTCTTTCCAGGACACCCTTAGCCGCACCCTGCAAGAGCGCTTCCATACCAACTTGCGGAGACCTGAAGCGAGGAGGGGATAGAGGCGACCTAGTGCCGGCAAGTTTCCGCCGTAAACTTGATGCAGTTCTTCCTGGCGTGCTCGTCCCAGAATCACCACCAAAAGATGAAGGTGGTTTCCCGGTATATTTTGCTATTAGTGTAGAGCCACCAGCCGAATCTAGGTGATCCCTAAGATAGACTGCATCATCCACGAAAGTATGTGGGCCATGTTGCAGTTGAGGGGGAGGGTATTTAAGCAATAATTGCAGTGCGACAGTATAGTCCGCAGCAAGAACTATATAGCATTAGAATTGGAGGACAGTTTTGATTAGAGGCATGTGAGTCTTACGATCCCATCTTATCCTAATTAACATCGCAGTACAAACCAGATCTATTAGTTTAAAGGACGGGTCTACAGAGAAGAGGGTATCCCAAAGTACGAGCGTCTGGTCAAAAGGGAATTCGCGACTGAATAAGAGACGGACCCAACGACTACGGTAGACGAGGCAATACATTAGTAACTCATCCTCGAGGAGTAATAGATAACTTACATTAAAAATACTTGGGGTAATATTTCAATATTTTTGAGGTGAGTTGAAAGTTCAGGGTCTACTTTGAATACACATATCTCGTGTATATACTGGCTTCGCTCTATGATAGAGGATGCTGGTGAGTGTTGACCTAATGTTGCAGAAAGTGCATTGGTCGCAGCCTCGCTCACTTCGTAGAATGGTTTTGCGTTATCCATGACTTTAGAGAACAGGGCGAAGGAATCATGCTCAATGAAAGAGGCATCTAGGAATTCCAACATTCTCAAGTCCGTTGTGCCATCAGAAGCCATGTTGGCAGGGTCGATAGCATCTTGGGCTACAACATAAACGATGGGCGCCAGCAGTTCATGCATACCCTGGCGGTATCCGCCCACGTCTGGGTTGAGTTTACAATAGATGAACAGAATATCCAAAATCAGCGTCTGAATATGAGCCTGGTGATAAAAAGGCTCATCTGGTAAACGTTGAACATCTTGAAGGATCTCGGCCCTAAGCACTTCGTCTACACGGAGGGTATTCCAAGGAGACTAGACTAAGTTAGGACTTATACCATGGTCTCAGAAGAATCATCTTACGTCGGCATCATCCGCTAAGGGATCGTCAGAGGCGGAAGTGAGATCTTCCGGATGTTTAATATATCTCAGAAAGTGGTCCTTCAAAGAAGAATATGTACTTCGTGATTCTGATAGGCTATGAGACCAATCTGCGGTGTTCGTGGTCTGGGTTAGTAAGAAGGCCTGGCGTTCAACTGATATTAGTATACTTGCTCTAGGCCTATATTTCAGTGAGTGTGAGTGAAGTTCACCTTCCAGCAGAGGGATCTGCATCCCGAGATACATGGACTATTGAAGCCATTATCCTTAACAGCCCGTTGTAGATCGGCGAGGCTGGTGCAGTATTGAAGAGTTTCTTGCCACCGTATGCTAAATGAGATGAGATTAGCTTTGACTGACTAAGGCAATGGATCAATATATATGTGGTTGCAAGTATGTATAAGAAGTAGAGATACCACTCACGTCGAGTCGGCTAGAGATCTCATTATGAAGGCCCAAGTCTGTATGGGCAAGGTGAAGGTATTGGATATAGAGAACCTGGTAGGTGCAATTTATGTCTCTCCCCGCATGCCCCCGATAACTATATTAGCATAAAGGGGGGGCTCGTCCTCCCCATCTATTTGGCGAAAAGGGGAGACAAGAGAAAGGGAGAAGGAGAGAGATTGAAGAAGAGGCAGAATAGAGAAAGGAGAGAAAGGAGAGAAAGAGTTATCCAAAGTTAGAAAGACTGGCAGCCAGCTGACAGCGTTCAAGTTCCCGGCAATTACCTAGGTATCCATCAAGATAAGAGCATTGGCCTTATCGAAGTCCCACACCGACCCCGCGGTAAATTACTTACATACGTCAGTCAACTCTATTCAATACTTCGTACTACATTTGTACCTTAGTGCGTCGATAAATATGTACATATTAAACTACATATAACCTCATAGTTCAATCGTAGCTTCCAGCATATGCCAACAACCTTTCACAACATTGAAGGAATGACCACCTTTTTATATAAAGCCTTCAGTTAACACCCAGCCGTCCCCTGGCCAAGGTTCATCCCAAGCCACTGGATTTAGTTGTGTAGGCATTGCTACTGTGAGATACTATGTATGCGTGTATGCAACCTGGTGGCCGCATAGCTCTTATGCAATCTGGTTGATCTAATTAAAGAACAAGCTTGTGTTGCGTGACTGCCTGTGTTCTGACATATTACTGTACTATGTATGTATCTGCTAGGTACATATCAAGGTACAAGTACATAGTATCGATGCCATAATGGGGATCGATCTATGAAGCTAACCTTAGTCAAGTTCCATCTAGCCATTTAAGGTTAATAATCCGGTCCACCCGTTCCACCCCTTGGAACCCCTGCCACTGATCAAGACCACTTACCACTGAGTCGGCCCCAGTTTCTCGGCTTCAGCCTCAACCTCAACCAACACAACATTGATCATTGATCATTGATCTCTTCTTGCATAGTTTGTTCTTATACCTTTTCTAACCATTGAACCGATGAACAACTATGAAATTAATGTCTATACTCTGACACCACGCATGTAATTTGTCAACTGTTGACCTTAACACCGGCTTTGATATGTCTGCTGATCTTTTCGCTGCCTTCGAAGATGTCGAGAAGCCTCCTCCACCACAGGGACAGCCACCTAAGGCTTCTTCTCAGGCTTCTCCGTTCACAAACGACCCATTCTCTTCAGTAGTCAGAAATGCTCTAAACACTAGCTCCCGACCTGAGCAAAACAAACCTCCATTTACTCAGCAATGGAACAATAAAACAGCTTCTTGGGGCGGTCAGCTGCCAAAAAATCAGCAGTCGTTAAGTTCAAGTACTCGGACAAGCACACCCTTGCAGCCTACTCAGTCTAAGGCTCAGGAGGATGATGATGACGATGATGGATGGGGTGATTTTGAAGTCGCACCAAGCGTAGTTAGATCATCTACGACGCCAGTAATAGCAACAGCTCCGGCTCCGACTCCGGCTCCGGCTCTGTCGGGACCGACGACTCAACAGTCGCAACGAACCAGGGTTGTGCGAGCATCAACTATGGACCTAATGACAAATAACCTCCTTGAACTTGATAGTTTATCTGCATGGAGAGATGGAGCGAGCGCGCCATCGCGGACACAAGCTCCACCTAAGCAGACCAGAGCTCCGGCCCCAGCTCCGGCCCCAGCACCCACCGTTGCTCCCTCAAAATCATCACAGCGAACCTTTAATACTAACCCAAACGTATTGTTTGACGCAGACGACTTTGAAGGAGAGAAGATAGATGAAGGGGATGACGACGATGATTTTGGAGAATTCGAGACAGTGGCTTCCCCAATACAAACAGGTCCAGACCTTTTAACGCATGACATATCTTTGCGACCGGGGAACACCAAAATACAATCCGCTCAGAGACCACAAGGCTTGAATCTAGGCAAACCTGCTTTTTATCCTCAAGCACCACGATCGCCATCGTTCCAGGAAAGAAACCCATTTCCCGGACTTGCAATCGCTCCGGCCTCAAAGAAAGAGCCCGCAAACGAACCATTGACCTCGCCTACGACTGCATGGCCATCCATTGATCCCACAAAGTCGGCAGGGGGCGACAGCGTTAGCGGTGATTGGGCCGCATCTGATAGTTCGAATAAAAAAACAAGACCAAATACAAAACAAGGCGACTCGAGCTGGGATTGGGACTCCGAAGAACCCATTCCGCCGCAACCGGCAAATATTCAGGCGTCCGCAGTTGCGCCCAAGCCTAAAGATTCAACCTGGGACTGGGATCCCGATCCCGTTGATATAAAAACGGAACAACAGAATGATCGCCCTGAGGACAACTTACCGCCAACCAACGTTCCCCCGCCGTCCATACTATTATCAATGTTTCCACAATTGTTCGATCAAGCGAACACGTCACTATATAAACCTGTTGGCGGACAATCCCTCTCCATAAAGAATCGCGTCTTATCAAATCCAAAAACCATCGAGTTCCTCAAAGGTTATGTGGCTCTAGCAACAGTCGCAGCCCGGATCATCGCCGGTCGAAAGCTAAGATGGCATAGGGACAAGTTCCTATCACAGCGAATGACTATTTCGGCGGCGGGAAGCAAAGGGATGAAACTTGCCGGCGTGGATAAGACACAGGCTGCTCATGAGGACCGTGAAGCAGCCGATGTTGTAGCCAATTGGAAAGAACACATAGGTCGTCTTCGATCCGCGGTGGCTGCTGCCAACTCATCAATCAAGAATAATGCGGAGCAACTAAAGATCCCGGAGATCAGTGAGTCGATGCAGATCCAAACCGAGAAGGTAGCCCCTACTGCGCCTAAAGCTTGTCTCGTATGTGGTCTAAAACGCAACGAGAGGGTCGCCAAGGTTGACCACGAAGTCGAAGATAGCTTTGGCGAATGGTGGGTTGATCACTGGGGCCATCTAGGATGTAAGAGGTTTTGGGTACAGCATGAGAAGACCCTACGCCAGAGATAATAGCCAGTCGCATGCCGGGATTAGCATTGCAAGCTTCTCTTAGCTATAGCAGACCCTCAGATCGTGTTTGATCTACCCCTTTGAATATCTGGCGCCAATTTCGGCTACAATGGCTGCAGGTAGTGTCTAGAAATGCGCCTAACCTCTAGATTCAAGATAAAGCCTAGTACAGGACATGATCCTAATCGAATATCTAAACAAGGCTTTAAGATTGCATCCTCAGTCTTCATTAACATGCGACTCCGAGAAATAGACGAATCAGAGACTGCGTGGGTTGATCAGCCGGACTTGGAATGCAAGCTACATGAGGATTAAACGTACCCCAGCGCTTCTAAATAAGCAACATTTCTGAGGCTGTCACCCCACAGCGAACGACGAGTAGCCGTTTACCAATAGTCTTATGCTTGACCAATTAGTGACTTTAGACAAGGGGTCCATACTTTCTCGATGACATGCATCGCAGCAAACACCTTCTCCATGTCGGAGGTTTCTCCTTCAAGACCTCAATATACCTCGTCAACTACCACGGTAAGTGGGGTTTATTATCCGGATAGCGGAACGGAGGCTTGCGACAAAATGCTGCGTCTATCATTTTTTTTGACCGGTTACCGTCACTAAGCTATCCGTTCGCTTTTTCCGCGCCAGGAGACGTGCAGAATCGTGTCACACAACATCTTATGGCCTTCCTTCTATTCATGGAAATGTACTGCTGGCAGGAGTTGAGCGACTCAGGTGAATAGGAAATAGAAGGTGTCGGCGCGATCTCGGAGTGTTGACACAGGACCGGATACTCATATGTAACAGAGCTATGAATGCTTAGTTGCCATCATTTACATCCCTTGGGTAGTAGATTCGATATCCGATCTAATCCAAGCTTCGCGGTGTAAAAGATGGATTATAAGCACTATCCTCAGGTATCCTGACCAAACTAATGATCACTTCAACTTGTAGCTAATGTCCCCAAATCTAAATCGTTTGTAATTATTAAGGTGTAACTTCTTTGGACGAAGCGAGTCCTTGAGGAAGCGCCTCGCACTGACTCTCTTCGCGCCTTGACACCGAACGCCGTACCTATTCCCTTGAAGAACTAGCCGTGAAGCGGTATAGGTATAGGTATAGATCCCGAGCTGCATGTTTACAGTGAATAAGTGAGGGGGCATAAGATTATCTAGCCTTGGGATTCTAAGAATGCAACCAATACGATGTTAAAGACTTTATCATTATATGGTAGCGAGAAAAACCTGTACCTACCTACCTATGTAGGTGGGCTTCATTTGAGGGGTGTGCGTGTAAGTGTGTGTGTTTGGACTGTATCTGAAACCCGAAATACAGAGACCAAAACTCACAAAAAGTTGCCACCACCGTCAGTTGTCAGTTTTCGGTTATTTAAGCAGTTGTCCGTGTCGTCCTATCAGCCTGGATTTCGAGCATGACACTTGCATAGCCGACTACACACTCGGCCGGGGTGAACCCGTCGACGTGGACACCACGTTGTACGAGGTATATATTTGGTAGAATACTGGGTATAGTAGATTCGGTAGCAAGCTTGAGGAGACCAGTGCCGAATTCATATGTATATATCAATCAGATATATATGTAGGCATGTACAACTATAATGCAGTACTTCGATGTTCCTATATTGGGCTTTCTATTGTTTGTCACGTGAACTAGGATATGTGCATACTATACATGCCTACCCTAGGTACCTAGTAGTTTACGCCCCGTTACAGTTTCCACTATGTAAACGTGAACTTTGTTTCTTGTGATTACTACAATCATGCTTGAGTTGGACCTGCTTCAGGTACTTGCCCAATGAAACCCCACGTACATTCGCGATACCTACATGTCCTGTCCTGTAGTAGTACTTAGTATACATATGTATCCCACATTGACGCATTCCGTGGGGTGCATACATGGTACATATTATGTACTTGCATACTATGTACTATGGTTAATACATTCATACAGATCTGAAGTTCTTGAATAAAGATTGATAGGCTGTGAGCTACATAAATACACGGCGTTGCCTGATTATAAGTCAAACCATGATAATTCATAAAAAATGTATACCCGTTTTATATGCATTAGATAATCAATGATTGAGAAATATTGAAGGGAAGCAGATAAGATCATGATGTAGATGGAGGGGCAGGTACAAACTTCCCACTGCTAGACAGTGCTAGTCTGCTACTTCCTACGTAACTACATGCTACATAAAGTTGACACTACTGGTCACGGTACTTGCGATAACTTAGGACGGAACGCTCCGATTATGTGCATCGAAGCTCGATCATGAGACTTGGAGCGAGTAGGTGCCATTGAAGGCAACAGTTGACATATTTTCTATGTTTTCCCTCGTCACCAAGGCAATCAAAGAACGGGGCTGCCTTGAATAGCTGGAAGCGCAGCTACCAGCTAATTTTGCCAATACACACCGTGACCTTGGACCTACATACATACATACATACATGTATGTACCCCTCATAATAGAGGGGCACATATACATATATTCTATGTATAGTACAATACAATACATGCCCTTAGTACATAAGCTAATAGGTAACCAGTATATGCATGTAGGTATCTAACATGATAAGCATGTCAACGGTACAGGTTCGATTTATAAACCCCCTCTTTCTTGCCCGATATGAACTTTATAATTGGCTCGACAACTTATTTTACTCAGTATAGACATGTATATTTACAACTTGTCTTGTTTCTAGTTATTACATACGTATGGTCGTCGCAACCATGCATGATACCTGTGTAGAGGCAATGACAATGAGTTGACTTGAATAAATTTCAAGTCACATGTTGATTGCCGATCCCTACATGTCATATGTAATATCGAAATTATTGTTGCTAATAAGACAATAAGATATCGATAAAGCTGGCATTGATGCCAGCCACTAACTATATAGACTGGATATCTGCATACATGTATACCCTACTACCGATTATGTAGGTACGTAAGCATTCCAAGTATAAATGGCCCGAAAACAACAATACATCCATGTCGATGACATACAATACCTACTCGTGCTGTATCAATGAGCATTGTTTTCAAAGTACATGTAATAAGGAAGGCACAACGGCGCATGGATTGTCGAGGAAGTAAAATGTAAATAAGGTAAGAGTACATAGTACTAGGTAGAAATATAAGGTAGGAAAGTACAAATACGTACCTACCTACATAGGTAGTAAGTATACGACATTGAACCCGCAAATATGTATACATCATCTCAGTTATGTCACGTAGAACCACTAGAGGTAAGTGCGCAATTAAGTTAGTTAGTTGGGCAGGTGCATCCATCAATACTTCCTCATTGATGTTATCATCTACAAGTATGTATGCCAAAAAGCAGGTAGGTACCTACTTAGGTACCCAGTATATAGGTATATGTACGCCGTATGGGTAGGTAGGTAGGCATGTACTACCTAGTAGGTATTAACCTCTGGTGCTACTACCTACAACATTGAAGAACGTGCTTGCTGCACCCGACCTTGTCCCAAATCGTCAACAACTAGCCAGTCACGGTTGTTCCATACCTTAAAATTGCCTACACTTCTTTATTCCCACACACTTCCTTTCGTCTGTCTCTCTCACACTTCTTCGTAACCTTTTCGTAAATAAGCGGTCTCACTCCAGAAACTCAACTTCTCTCGTCCTCTCTTATACAACAATTGACCGTACTCATTCTCCCTCTTCCTCCGCCCTTTACCCTTCACCCTCAATCCTCCACCTCACTTCCGTTTCCTCTCCCCTCTCCCACCCCTCCTTATCCACAAACCGTTAACCGTTGACTCTTTCTCCAATTCATACAATCCCCTCTTCTCTTCGCGCTTCTTCGTTTTATCGAATCCGAAGTCTCATCAGAAAAGGTAGATATACATCTGTTCACCTTCTTTCAAGCATTGGACCTTACCTCATTGAGGATTTTCCATCTCATCACCGCTTATCCAACCCTGGTCGAGTGTACCCTTACCTACCTAGACCATCTTGGCCACCTACCGAGACCCAGCCGCCAACGGTCCTTGTCTCCATCAAAAAAAAAAGTCCCCGTTCTCGCGTGGATGATGACACCAAGACCCTAGTAGATCAAGCGCAAAACAAAAAAAAAGAAAAGGGAAGAAAAGAAAAAATATTCCCACCCCGCATAAGTCACCAAGACCCAGCCAGAACAGAGCAATAGAAAAGACCTCAAGCAACAGGATAATACTGCGCAGCACAGACACACAGCGCTGCAGCAAAAGGTCAGTCAAGTATGCAGTGCCCCGCCTTTCAAGCCCCAGTTTCGCATAATAGCCTTTCCTTTCTTCCTAATGCTTCTTCCTGCATTGGTTGTATAACCTTTTTTCCCTATTTTCACAACCACATGTCGAAATCGTGCAGATGCAACAGCCTCTGACGAGATAAGATCTGTTTGTTAATCGCGTCTCGACCTTTTCTTGGCCATCTTCTCTTCTATGAACCTATGAGCCTCACTCCCTCATATTCTTCCCTCACACCCCTACATTCCTACATAATCCATCAACGGATAACTTCCCCGCAGCCACATCAGCTTATCAGAGCTAACAACCTGCAGCCCGTCTTTTAAACACCAGATCCGGAGCTTATAGCAACCCACTCTCTTCCTGTATGTACCACTTTTCTATGTATACCCGCCCCCATTGAGCGTCACCCAACAGGATCTTCTGCGCCCGTATCTTTTCGGGATTCATCTTGAAGTGCTAGTTCTTCAGATCAACCCGGCCCGTATCGCCGAGTCGGATGCAGCTGACATATCACCTAGCAAACCCACACATCCACCAAACACAATCATCATCAACATGTCTGTTTCTCAAGACGCACTTTCGCCAAATGGCAACGACCTACTTACCCCGGTTGACCAACTCAAGCTCGATGATAACGAGCCCCGCTTGGGCCCAGACGGCGAACCCGCTCCTAAGACCGACGAAGAATATGCTGTAGCGCAGTTGACTCTTCGCGCCATCGTCTCTTCCAAGGAAGCCGGTGTCATTATTGGCAAGGGAGGCAAGAATGTCGCCGATTTACGCGACGAAACCGGCGTTCGAGCTGGCGTGAGTAAGGTTGTGCAAGGTGTGCCTGATCGCGTCTTAACCATCTCCGGCGGCTGCGATGCCATTGCCCGAGCTTACGCCAACGTCGCTCGCTCGCTGGCGGAAGGAGCTCCGGCCGTAGGAATGGGCGGTGTTATCCAGGCCAGTGGCACCCATCGTAAGTTTTTCCCGGTTTGCTACTATTTTGCGCACTATGCTAATTTGCCACCACCCAGAAATCAAGCTTCTCATCTCCCACAACCAGATGGGTACTATCATTGGCAGAATGGGCCAAAAGATTAAGTATATTCAAGATATCTCAAATGTGCGCATGGTCGCGCAGAAAGAGATGCTGCCGCAGTCTACCGAACGAATCGTCGAGGTCCAAGGAACTCCCGATGGCATCCGACAAGCCGTCTGGGAAATCTGCAAATGCCTGGTTGACGACTGGCAGCGTGGTACTGGTACTGTACTTTACAACCCTGTGGTCCGAACGGCTCCCGGTGGTACAGGTTCCATAGGAGGCAATACTGCTGGTTCTGGCAATTTGGGCTATGGCGCATCCAGAGGCGAGTATGGTAACACACGTGTGATGCGAACAGGCAACGGCGCCGACTTCAGCAATGGGAGTACACGCCCATACAATCGCCGATCGGACTCTGATGCGGCCACCCGCGGCCCGCCGACGCATGATGAAAACGGTGAGGAGATCCAAACGCAGAACATCAGTATTCCTGCAGACATGGTTGGCTGCATCATTGGACGTGGTGGGAGCAAGATAAGCGAGATTCGCAAGACTTCGGGCGCCCGTATCTCCATTGCTAAGGTATGATGATTTCAGATATCTGTAATGGATTAATTACTGACGTCGTTACATAGGCACCGCATGACGAGACCGGCGAGCGAATGTTCACCATCATGGGAACCGCGAAGGCTAACGAATCGGCACTTTTTCTGCTGTACGAGAATCTTGAAGCCGAGAAGATGCGCCGTAGCCAGGCACAATCACCTGAGTAATCTTTGGGTGGTCACTATGGAATGTGTGGCCAGCTTGAAGAGGCTGGGGATTCATAACATCTATCCGGAGTATTTCTAGTGTTGGGTCTGATTTAGCAACGCACAATGCGTTTAAGGGGCACTTCAGATTTGACTTGCCGCAAGGCTGACCAACCTTGGTCTGGGTGGTTCCCGCGATATGACATGACGATGATTTTCTCCTTAATCAGAGGCAACCCTCTTTATTGCCTCGTCTCAATTCCTTTTCCTTAATATTTCCTCGACATCCCCAACATCCCCAACATCTTACGGACACGTGGGTCCTGACACATGACGCACGGCAAACTACCGGTAGCTACTCGACATCTCACCTTTGCGCAACGCTTCCGATAGCTCATATTCACCTGACACATCCGTCCCCATGCGTCAGCATCTTCGTTGTATCGACTTCCATCGAACATAGGAGATACGGCCTAATCTCACCATCTGCTTTTCACTCATGCACCTTACACACTACATTACAGACTACAAACTACACACATCGATCATAATCAACCTCTACATTTCTTAGGCGACTCCGACTAACCTCCTGCCACAATACAACTCTACTCCCTCGTTTTGTCCTCTAGTCATTAATCCGGAATACCCCTCTAGATTACTCCAGCTTCACAAAATCAAATAAAAACAACTCCAACGGTGTTTTATATCTTATGGTCGGCTCTTACCCCACATCCCACATAGTCTTTGGGTTTGGCCTCGGTCAAGGCAAAGACTGTTGAAGAGGCCGGGTACCAACCTAAGCAGCAGCTCAGCAAAGGGGGTGACATATTTGGAACGGGGTGGTGTGGTGCCATAAGTTCTCTATGATAGCATAAGGACGAGGGCATTTAGCTTAGAAGGCAATTCATTCATTCTTGACGTGTAAAAGGGGGAATTGGACCCGTTATTACGTTTTAGTCAGTACCCATTCCTTCAACCTCGCACACGAGGAATGGGCGCGATCTTCTGAGAGATGTCTAGATTAGGAGTATCTAGCAAATAGACAGAGGAATAACTTGATACAAAAAAAAAAGAATTCATGCGCATGGCCATTAACTATATATAGCTACTTAACCTCTTGGTTTCTCTCTTATGTGATTCTCCAAGTAACAACTGTGTATTGCGTAGCATGTAAGCGACATTGAACTTGAAGCTCTGTCCCGGAAATAGTATAATTATGTACCTAATGTACGAACTTCGAAGATGCTAGGGTACACTGTAGTTACCTAAGGTTAGTACCTACAGTAGGTAGTACTTACTACTAGGTATCAAGTATTGTACAATACAATACAAGTGCCTAGAGCATGCATAGAATAGGCGGGGCGGCTCTCACCGCCCTATGTAGGTATACTATGTAGTATGTATTGTACCGTAGTACAATACCTAGTAGTTACCTAGGGTATAAAGTATGTAGTTCTGCCGGCAGTATTTACTTTAGTGGCCAGATTGTCATCAGCCATAAAGTTTACGAGCTCGTGAACTCGTAAGTATATATTTTAAGTATTTCGAGATGCGCATCGTTCAATGTTCCCACCAACATTAGTAGCACATGCATGTAACATGATGATGATGAATTTTTAGTTAGTTAAATAGTCAAACTCGGTCCTTCATTCACTTATTCCATTTCGTGTTTTATTCCATTCCACAGGTACACACCTAAAAAGTACACAGGTAGTCATGGCGCGTATAAAGCAGGCTAAGCCAGTTGAGCGCCAACCATCGACCGAATACATTACGCGCCAGGATCAAAAGTCGACGCCTTCTAAGAGGAGGGACGAGATGGTGTCACAGTCCAATGGAGTCGCTGAAAAGGCGACAGCGACATCAGCGAAGAAGGAAGCGGGCGTCACGCAATTGGTGATTGCCGTCGCTGGTATTTACGGGTCCTTGTACGTATCGACTCCCTTTTGCGACAAGTTGCGACAATGTGCGATTAGTGGAAGAGGAAGGTGTTGCTAATGCTAGAACCGTAGTTTGACCTGGGCATACCTACAAGAGAAGCTCACGACGACGCCGCACGGCCCGGTTGGCGCAGCCGAGGTCTTCAAGTATCCCGTTTTCCTCAACACCATCCAGTCGCTATTTGCCGCGGCCACCGGCGCCGTCTACCTCTACTTCAGCACCCCCGCCGGCCGTGCCGTGCCCCCCATCATCCCCTCGCGCCGCATCTTAGCGCCGCTGCTCCTCGTCGCGCTGACGAGCTCCCTCGCCTCCCCCTTCGGCTACGCGAGTCTCGCCCACATCGACTACATCACCTTCCTGCTCGCCAAGAGCTGCAAGCTGCTGCCCGTCATGTTCCTGCACATCACCGTCTTCCGCCGGCGCTACCCGCTGTACAAGTACCTCGTGGTCGCGGCCGTCACCGCTGGCGTCGCCGTCTTCACCCTGCATTCGGGGAAGGCTAGGAAGAGCAGCAGCGGTAACGGCAATAGCACGTGGGGCCTGCTGCTGCTGGGCGTCAACCTGCTGTTCGACGGCCTGACCAACAGCACCCAGGACTACATCTTCGGCGCCTTCCAGCCCTACACCGGCCCCCAGATGATGTGCGCCAACAACCTGATGAGCACCGCCGTCACCGCCGCCTACCTCGTCCTGAGCCCCTGGCTCGTGCACACGGGCGTGGGCGAGTGGCTCGGCATGGACGTCGCGGGCAGCGCTGGCGAGCTCGAGGCAGCGCTGGGCTTCATGGCGAGGCACCCGAGCGTTTGGGCGGATGTGCTGGGGTTCGCGGCGTGCGGTGCGGTTGGGCAGGTCTTTATCTGTGAGTTTAGCCCCTTCCCCTCTCTCCCTTTTCTCCCCCTTTCCAGCGATATCAACCACGTATATGAGATATATACTAATATCAAATCAAATAGTCTACACCCTCGCGACCTTCTCCTCCGTCCTCCTCGTCACCGTCACCGTCACCCGCAAGATGTTCACCATGATCCTCTCCGTCGTCGCCTTCGGCCACCGCCTCACCCGCATGCAGGTCCTCGGCGTCGGCCTCGTCTTCGGCGGCATCGGCGTCGAGGCCGCCATCGCCCGCCAGGAGAAGCTGGCGAAGGAGGCGGCTAAGAAGCGGGCTGGAGGTGGGGAGAAGAAGGAGCTATGATTGTTTTTTTGCGTTTGCTGCTCTTGCTTCTACATACTCTTATTTAACACCCCCCCCCCCCCCCCCCCCCTTTTGTGGGAATTGAATGTATGGTTTCAGACTTGAACAAAAGCGATCATGTTCGTGTATGATATGATACTTGGCCCTTTATCATCCAAGTGCTACCTAGAATCGGTAGCATGGATACCTACCTTCATATACCAGCTTGCGTTTGCGTTACGTGTTGGTACATGGATCATCAGGATGTGGACGTGAACGTAGATAGAGGGTACCTAGTATGTAACATGTGGCGTGTAACATGTCACGTATCAATCAATGCCATTGAATTTTATGTACATAGAAGAAAGTGGGAATGGCAAATACAATTGTAAATATACCCTGCCTACCTGTATAGTATGTGTATATGTGTATGTATGTATGTATGTATATGGTATCTACCTCTACATGTATGAGAATAACCAACCGACATACCTAGGTCGATAGCATACCTAGAACCAGCGAGGAACGAACAGTACAAGATTCAAGATCTCTATTATTAAGTATTATCGTAGCCACTCTGTGATGGTATACCTATTTTACCTATGTACTACTGTTGGGATCCATCTACTTCTACAAGTGATCCAAGCCCTTTAAAAAAAGAAGAGAGCTTAGTACACTACTGATCTTAACAGCCCTCGCCCTCGCCATCACAGAACGAACTACTCATAATGAATTTCGTGAACCAGACACGCAAAATATTTGCATGTCGTTTTCTCGATTGCCGTTTGTGTATTATATTTACATGGTGGGATTTTTTGGTAGGGGCGGCATCCCCTCTCCCGAGTTTATTCCCAATTCTCCCCTTGCTTTTTCCTTCAACTCCTTGCAACGCCATTGCTTTGCTTGCCTACTTGCTTGCCTGCATGCTCTGTGCCCTCTACTATCTCACGCGTTGTCGCGTGCGAAGGCCGTATTGTTGCCACCGAACATCGTGATATGTAGTGAAACCTACTTTCAGCAACGTTTTGCTATTGAAAGTAGGGGATAGCGAGGGTAAAGTAGCAGTCCGTATGTCCTGGTATCGGATCCATGCCGTTTTTCTTTCCTGTATGATGTAGGTATTCCTGGACACACCTAGAAATTGAATTTGCCTTTATCCTTGAAATTATCCTTTCGGAGTCCATCTGACCAACCGAAAACAAAACCGATCCAGCGAGCTCTCCGACCCTTTCAGAAGAAGTATCGCGATAACCGTCCGGGTATTTGGTTGCTATCATACCGTGTGCCCCTAAATCAACACCGGAAAAACAAGAACAAAATAACTCGAATAAAAAAAAGAAGCGAGAGAACAAGGAAAAGCAATAATAGTGTAACGTGTGTAAACAAAAGAGAAAAGGGCTGAGTTATCCCAACTGAGGTTTGGGGTTAGACTCTGCAAATCTCGTATTGCGTGGTCGCGTGTCACGTTTATGATCCTAAATCGAATGGTATGTCCAATTCGAAGTGGTCAGGCTGTTTTACACAATCCAATAGGCCATGCAAAGCTTTGCTGTTGCCATGGAAGGATGCTTGAATAAATTAAGGTATGGTTGCGGCGGTGGAAATTAGAACAAACAAAAGGGCCGCGTCTTGTTAGATACTGATAGTACGAGTTCGTTGAATTTGCGTACAGCTCCCATGGAAATCTGATTGGATCATAATACGTCGTCGATTGATCGAACAATAGGAGTTTCCCCCTTGGTCGGAGGACTTCTGGGATCGGCTACTTGAGATGGTCGCCCAAAAGGGAGAAATGGATCCCTTGGAAACATCGTTTGCCGTGGAGAGAAGAGCCCCTCGTTGGGTGTTGGGGGCGATTCAACAAACTTCAATCCTGTCATCTCCGTGTAAGAGTCGTGTAAAGGGTTGTTGGTCATGGTTTCGGCTCTTGGTGACATGAGGGCATCATCGTCCGGCGAAGCAGGGACAACTTCTACATCACTAGCACCACCAGCACCACCAACACCACCGTGCTCTTCCGTACCAAATCCACTCGGGCCGAATCCACTCTGGCCAAAATTTAGGCTGGAGAACCCAAAATGCTGCGGCCCATGTCCGAAATGGCTTGGACCAAATCCGGGTGTTGGGGGAGGTTGAAAGAATGCGGGAGACGGAGGCGGCTTGAAAAATGACGGCGTAGGCGGAGGGCGTAACGCTCGGCTAGGCTCGACTACTGCCGGTGCCGGTAGTGGTTCGAAGAATCTGGGTGGTTCGAGGGAGTTGCCAAAATTGAACCGTCCAGGTTTCCCAGGATCATTCTCGTCCTCCTTTTCGGACCAGGAAAAGGTTGATGGTGCAGACGAAGGGCCTGGAGAAATCGCTCCCAGGTTTGGGGAAGATTTTCCACGGGAATGGTTCTGGCCGCGATCTCCCTTGAGACTATTACCACTTCCCTGCTCATCATCAGGTAACGGCGCGGTCAACGGTTCCTTCGATGGGAACTCAATGGCATTTGCAGAAAGGGTAAGGCGATGCTTCGTGGGGCTTCTTCCACTTCGAGGTCCTGCTGCGGATCGAGGCAACTTCTTAGATACTTCCTTTTGGAAGTCTTGCAAACAATACATCAGACGCATATTCGGACTGATCCACCTGCTCTTCGACTGCGCGGCGTAATAAGCATCATTGACAGTCAGACCAGGGTTTTGATAAAGACCATAGGCAATGATCAAACTAGCTGAACGACTGGCGCCCTGTTGGCAATGGACAAGAACCTTTTTTCCATCCTTCGTTCGACGCTCAATTGTCTCGCATAGCATCATAAGATCCGTTGCAATGTCCGTGTTGTGCTCCCACGGCATATGAATGTACTCAGGTTCAGAGAACGAGGTACCCTTCGGAGTTGTGGGCGTCTCCGTCATGTTGTGGTCCGAAGAAGGAGGGTACTCGAATGCCGTTGCAAAACTGTCGTTGGTCATGGCGGTGTCTGGAATAGGTGACTCTAGTTGTAGAGCCTTATGATTCCCCAATCGATTATTCTTGGCGACGGCCTCAAATGGGTTAAGCACTTCACGTGCCACGTTAATCACTACGTCAAATTTTGACGCTTCCTCGGCGGTCGGTTCCAAATAAAGGTAGACATTGTCCTCGTAAATCGCAATCGGCCCATCGGGATAGCCTGGGGATTTCTGATCTTCGTTGTTTTCGGGCTCAATGAAAGGCTCAAAATCCATCGCAGCACGGTTAGCTAGCTGCGTCTTGATAGGCGAATCCTCTTCGAGAATGGTGGTATCAAAGCCTGGACCATGGCATCCTTGTTTGGTTGGTCGCAACATCTCAGACAAGCCTGAAGTACCACGCTCAAGGACTGGAGGGAAAGTCATACCACCAGATGGGCCAAAGGTTGATGACTTCAATCCAGAAAGCATATGAGGGGACGACGTTGAGTGTTTGAGAGATCTTCGCTGCGCAAGTGGGGGTAGAGCAGGAGAACTGGGTACCTCGAGGGTTGTTGGTTGAATGTTCAGTCCTGTCGAATCAGTTCGGAGACTGAGCTGGCTAGGCTTTCGCTTCATTCCTGGAATCTTGGGTTTGATGAAAACAGGCGATGGTGGTTCGGATACCAGGTTTGAAGTTAGCGGGTTATTGAAAGGCGGTTGTATCGATAAGCCCTTCATATTCCTCTTTCTAGGAGACGGAGAAGTCATTGGTCTCTCGCGATTGCTTAGATCATTTACAGACAAGTTGTTTAGCGTTGACGGTAAACGACCCATTGTGGATGATAGGCCTCCGAAATTGGTGGCTGGGAATGAATTCAGAGGTATTAAATTGACAGGTGAGTCTGGAGATGATGAGGGTGAGGGATCGGAAAGTGAAGAAGTATCGGTGGTTAAAGTTGTTGTGGGGGAAGAATCTGCGGATTCGGAATTTTGAGTCGACGTGCTTTCTTGGTGACGGTGCGAAGAGTCAGGTAATGGTCGCAACAAATGTTGTTGTGGCAACCTATTGACAAGTTGCCCTGACACACAAGACGACTCCATCTCCATTAATTTGGGGTCTACCACTGTTACCAATTCTCTCTCGTCCATGTGTGAATCAGCCTCAGGGTCGAATATGGACATAAATGAGGGTATTTGATCCTCATACATCCGTCTAGCTGTGGCCGACGGCATTTTCCGACAACACCAAGAATCACTCTTTTCTACTCCTTCTTTTTTTAACACAAACAATTAATCTTTCGTCACCTCTTAATTCGATAATTCTTGGGTTATTCGACGGGAGCCGTGTTTTCGTAGTGTTTCGCCGTATTTGAATTAGTCCAGAAGGTCAAAATAATTCCCACAAGAAACAACGTTTTTTGAACGAAAGATGTCGCAGTCTGAAGGTGAGGACAAAGCTTTGTACGTACAGCCCTGCTGTATCCTTTTTTTTTCTCCTTACGCTTAGTTCCTTTTTTCTTTCTGCTTTTCTTCTCTCCTTCTCTTTCAGTATGGTAACCACCAAGCTAATTGTGCCCAGTCAACCTATTGTATACTGTTTTTTCTTAATCCAAAACTAACACGTTCCATGCCCTCTTCGTTACAAGAGACAACCGTTGAAGAGGCAACTCGTAGTCGCGTTGTTGGGAAGTAGCTGAAGGTAGAACAGTACCAGAAGGCAAATGAGGAAAATAGAATTAATGAGCGGATTGTAAAGAATATATGATAATATTAATAAAGGACGGAAAGTATGCGAATCTTGTTTCTCAACTAGAATTGCTAGGTTTCAATAGCCATCAGGAAGATAGCAAGCGCACTTAAGCCAAACTACCTCAGGGATGTCAACCTAGGCGATGTCAAATGTCAAATGTAAAAATGTAAAATATAAATATAAAAATGTGTGAAGAATTGACCGTTTGCAAATGGCTAAGTAACGGTTAGTAGGGCAGTGCGGCGGTTGGCGATACAAGGTCGACTGCGGCAGTGTGGGATATGAAGGGAGGGTTAAAGAATCGTTAGGGTAAGATTGATTAAATCGGTTGGTGAACAAACGGGTTCAGAGGGACAGACACCAGCACCTGTTGCACTCTGGCGCGCGCAAGTCGTTCGAAACAAGGAACAAGGGGAAACAAGGGGAAAAGGGAGAATGGTTAGAAGAGGACAGAAAAAACCCGGAGATGGGCGCAGGTAGAAAGAGGAAGAGGAGACGGGATGGCGGCGCTGGAAGACGGTGTAAAATGTTAAGTGTAAGAAGAGTTGAATATTGAACTGCGAACTTTTGAGAGAGGAGGAAAAAAAGAATGGGAATGGGAATGGGATTGAGATTGCGCTAGACGGGGACCGGGACTTGGCCCTTGGCCTTAGCACAAGGCCTACAAGGGCGGTAGAACTGGGGTACAGCCACTATAGACAATGGCAGTGTTTGAAACAAGTTCGCTACTTGTCTTTGGCCTAGAGCGCTAACAAACATTCAAACTTTTGAACTGCAGAGGGTGGAGTCCTCCTGTATTGTACATTAACTACATATTATACCCAGGTACATACTGCATAGTACATAACTGGACATGGAACCCACATTCAAGTTTAATGGTATCCCCGGTTACTTATGTACCTATGTATGTAACTATAAGTATGTAATAGGTACTTTTTAATCATGATGTTCAATGTTGCGCTAAATATGTAAGAGAGATCAATTATTACCTCAATGTTTCCCAGCGGTTGCCCTCCTGCTGCTGATGAAGCACTATCACCTTGACACATAATGTACATCTCACAACTAGGGTGAGATGCGAGTTCTGAACTGTATGTTGTCTACAAGATGCGGGTGGTTCGTTAAGTTACTAACAGTTAAAGCGTATTGCATTCTGACTGGTCTATTTGGACAAGGGGTTTGCCTTTGCGAAACGAGACATTGGCCGAGACAGGGATGGTCAATACTAGGTATTCTATTAATAGAGGTCTGCAGCTCAGTAGGCGCCGATGATCAGCCAATCAAGAGACTGGTGCCAAATTTGGCCATGCAGCTGATAATTTCACTTCACCAATCGTTTCTTCTCAATGCCAAGCAGAAGCCGGAATTGGCGCATGTGGCTTGCCAATTTATGAAAATGCGGCGATACTCCAGATGTCTGTATAACTCAAGTTTCTATGTAAGTATATGATATACTATGTAATAATGTATGTATGTATGTAACTACATAGATGGCAAATTCTACATAGTTATCTATTCTAGGCCGCAAGCGGCTCTTTCAATCTTGAATAACCTGCAAGATGGATAGTCGCTTACATACATACTATGTATTAGTATGTAGTAGTATTAGGGAGGTGGCCTAATACGTATCTACTAGTTTAGGTAAATACATCTATACATACCTACCTCCCTATCTAGTATGTCGTATATAACCATGTCAAGGCATTTCATGGGATTGATCCAACTGTCTGACCGGATGTCTACCTAGGTAGGTAAGCAGGTATAAAATGTTACAACCTCTCTCTCCATAGTTACCATTTTATTTATTCTTCCCTCAAGACTAAAATCCGTCAGGACTTCACACTTCGGTCAAGAACGAGGAACCTATGAACCTATATGCCCTTACTTGAAGCAGTTATCCTTATACTACTATGTACGTAGGTTGAAATGCCAAGATGAACGTAAATAGCAACTTGCCTAACGGTTAGGTAACTACCTATCTACTTACATACTCCCGGTAAATTGGGGTTTTCAAGATCATCTAGCTCTAGGTTCCAAGATTCCTTCTAGTCTGAATACCCACGCAAAATCCTCATTTGCTATATTTACCATCTTTACTACGTAAGCAAGGGACAAAGGAACGAAGGGACGCGAGTCTGAGTCTCCGTCCGTCGTTTTACTTGACAAAGCAGGTGACCAATCATGTAATAATTAAGGTTTATAAAAGCTATGGCTGTGAAGCCCCTATTCATTCAGAAGAGTTGACAAAGGAAAAAAAGCATATGAATCATAAGTTGCCACTCGAAGTGCAGCAGAGCCTCATGTTTGTGGCGATTCCCCTTAGTCGACATATCCATGGTCTATGGCCTATGCTCCATGATCACACATGGTCATAAATATAGCACGTAAGTGGATTAATGAGGCTGATTATTATCTGTTTTGGACATCTGGATGTTGGAACCGTCAATAAGGGCACTTGTCTGGAAGATGTTGACCAAACAGCTGTGTCTATTATATTGGGCCTGTAAACTTACTTCGTACTCATCTAGCTGGCATGCTAGGTTTACATCTACAAAGTGGGAAGTGAAAATTGCGATTGTCAGTGTTGACGTCCAAGCGCGCTGTTTGGGAATACTACTAGTTTAGTAGTAGGCTAGCATCGACTTCCACATCACTGGCTGCTTCGGCTACTGGTGCTACTAGTGCTAGGCAGACCTGAAACGACCGCGCCTTGACTTCTTTTTTCTTTTTTCCCCCTCGTCAGAACTAGAAACGGATCTTAGTTCTTAGTACAGTAGTGACTCGTGAGTCTAGTGACAAAGTAGTGTACCAACTTACAGACCTAGGGTACTTAGGGTAGGATCCTTATACCGACTCCCGGCGCTAATAGGATTATATTTATTTTTGTATAACTACATTTTTGTATACATAAGTATCGTTATTCAATGTTGTCTGTTGCCGTGCCACTTGTCCAAGTCAAGATCAGTTCAAAGTCAGATTCGCAAATCATATTCCGTTCGACTACCGCACCAGGAGTTGGAACTCTTTGTCTGATCTAAATCACATGGTTCTCATTCAAATATGTCTGAGGATTTGGTGGGTTATCTAAGCACCTATATCCACTGACCTACTAAAGCTTCGATCAGTGAGACGATGCTTGCATGTTTACATGCACATGTGCGTAGATTTAATAATAGATAACTTGAGTTAAAGTCCACTTTCACATGGGATAGGTTTACTGTTTGTCTACTTGCTGGGTCACTCACTGGGTACCTCGGCGTGTGGCACTCACACGACCTACTACATAGGTAGACTAACGGCCATTTAATGAAGCATCCCAACTTCAGGATTCGTAGCGCATCTGGGTCAAAATTATGGCTATCTTGGTTGCTTTCTTAGCTAGTTCATCTACTGCCATGTACTTATACATATGTAGACTGTGTGAACATCTACTCCGTAGTAGCCACTAAAAAGAGAATTCGGCCCTCCACTCTTTAGGAGACTCGAAATCATAACCTCAATGTTGGGTCTTCGATCTCTCTCCCTACATAGTACTCAAACCATCAGGGATCTAACAACACCAACAATGCCAGCATGCGACTAAGTCCCGGAATACTGGTTAAGGCTTGATGAAATTATAGTAATCAGATCTGCTGGAAAGTGGGAATTACTTGAGCAATGAGAAGTTGAGCCATCTGTCGTACCCTACCTAACATTTATCAGGTAGGTACGCAGTAGTAGGTGCATACGTAACCTCGGCCACCAGTGCTCTATCGAGCCAGTTCATCCGCACTCGGCCACCTCCCGGCCTACACTACACTAGGCCTCCGATTTGGACGGATCATCCCGGGATGATCACTAACGATGTCCCCTAAAACATAGGTAGTTATTGCACAGTGCCTCTGCAGCGATCCTCGTTCGATGCCATACTCCCGTTGAAGAGCATCATCAGTTGCTCCAGGGCGGCATACGAGACAAACACACCTACCTAGGTATAGTATGTAAATACCGTTGATTGAGGCTCAACTCTGCATCATCCTGAAACATATCAGCCATATCAGTTCGTGTAAAAAGTTTGATTAAATGAGTGTTATCCCCCCCTGCTGCCACGGACTTTGTCGCCTTAGCCAAGGCGTTTGATCATCTCCAGGCATATGGAGAGATTTCCGCATGCGGCTCACGCGATTGTTCTTCCCGATTTCAAGAGCCCGGCGACCCTTGTGGCTCTCCGCCAAAAATTACTCTGATCAACCGTTGGTAGTTCTCCTACCGTATGTATCTACGGAGGCATGTATTGCATGTATTGCATGTATTACATGTATTACATGTAGTACATGCAATGTACATACATACTAGGTATGTAAATATACCAAGGCTGTGAACGGAATGCGTCTTATTTTAAGGGCTCTTCTTAAAAAGATACATTGGCCCCACACATAAAATCTTATGAATCCAAATGTATCTTCCTTATCCCTTGCAATCAATCTAAACTGAATACGGCTAGCCTAGCCAACAGCTGACGACAGCTGTAAAGACCTGTCACAGCTGTAGTAATTTAAATAAAATGGAAAGAAATAAAATAACAGCTGTAATTATTAAAAGACACTTGTAATAATTGAATGGTAATTGTATTAATATTTGAAAATAGCTAGTTGCGTAGTTGGCCTGCCAGCTGTAATGGCTTGTTTGCCAGCTGCGTGGGGCTTTAAAAGGGCTGTCAGGGCTTGTGCGACGCTGTAAGAGGCTTTTCTGTAAGCAAGACAGGTTGAAATCAACCTGTCTTGCATACAGGAAAATAAGAGCTCTTTTGTGGGGCGCTAAACCCCTTATAGTTTAGCTTTGGACCCGATTTAAACAGTACATTGCATAAAATAAGAGATAGGTCTTACAGCGTAGTACAAGCTAATGACAGGGGTCTTAGAGATTTGTGCAAAAAAAAAAGGTGCTCTTTTAGGTTAAGTTCTTTTTTTAGCGTGTTTTTGAATATTTTGTGCAAGGGATCCACAAGCTGTAAGGACCCCTTCTTAAAATAAGACGCATTCCGTTCAGGGCCCAAATACTGCTATAGTCGTAAGTAGATTAATCCGGGAATCCCTTCATATGTATCTACAATCTATCTAAGATTGCCATTTCTCGTAATAATACGGTCCCGGATACTAAAATCTGGTACGGCTGCAACGACTACATACGAACGTACATTAATGTGAACCTAGGCATGTGCATATGCATTCGCCCATTTTCCCCAAAATAAGGTGAACTCCATGGACAAAATACATCGTGGTAGAATGAAAAGGAAGCCTTCTCGATCCATTACCCAGCAAAGACAGCCCAGTTGGGCACGACAAGTCCAACCCCGCAATGATTGACAAGACGATTCCTTGCATCTGCGACCACCAGACTATGTCTAGTGGACGTACTGTAGATAGATAGACCGTAGGTAGGTATCTAACCTAGTGCTTACAGGCATGGGAGAATGCAATGCACAGCACAGCACACCTACGATGGGTCTATCAGCCAACGTGGTTCAACAAAATTCCTGTAACGAACCAGGGGGGCATTTTTGAGGGGATTTCCTCTGGACCTCTGCAACCGACCGTTAATTTCTTGCAGGACTCCGCATAACTAAAATACCAAGCCCGCAACCATCTACATACATCCCATATATCGATCGTATCCAACCAACAAGTCAGCCAGGTTTTTACATTCTTAGGTCCGTTGGCCAGAATCGCTGGATTAGGTGATTACCAAGTGCATGTATGTATAGCGTTCTACATATATACATGTATGCCTTCAGTGTTGGATACATATGTAGACAAACATTAACCAGTCATGAGGCTAATAACTGTAGGACAAGGCGGAGAGATAATCTTCTTGTGTCCCTAGTCATATATCATATTTCCTCCCAAGATTCACATATATGTAGCACAACATAGTAGGCACAGATTTATGTACGTTGAGTCGTTGACGGCTAAATCCGTATTGTTCGTAACTACATGGTAGATAACTACCAACCTAGTACCATGTATATGTGTGTCCCAACCCCTGGCTACAAGCTCGAGCAAGAGCCTTCAACCCAGAGTCTGGGGGCTTCACACACACGCCTTCTATTAACTATGACCAGCCTCCTCATTACCTAGATGGATATCGTCATTTTGATTGGCCCCTACAACTCGCACGTTCGCACGCGCGACATCTAAAACCCGACAGCCATTATGATTGGAGCTTTTTTTTTTCTCGCCTTGCTCGCTTGATCTTTTTTACCTACCATGTAGCAGTAGTTAGCAGTAACCTACTCCAAGCTAGTACGAACGGAACTGGATGAACTATTGCAAGCCCAAGCCCTTCTAAGTTCTAATATGCTAATATGCTAATATGGCTTTCCACCAACAGGTTTGGGCGCTCACCGCCAACTTTGGCTGAAGTGAAATGAACACAAATTAATATGAGGGAAGTCGCTTATACCTGAACTACGACGAAGTTTGTATTGTACATGTATATTAATAAATGTAAACCACTTTTATATGTACGTATTTACATACACACATACATACAGCATACATGGTACTTTATCTTTCTCCATTATTGACGAGAGCCCCTGAACCATACTTTGTACGTCCTTATACATCGCAGATCCTTCCGTTAGGGACCGACATGGGCAGCACAGACGGTCCCGAATGTAAAGGAAGCAGTTAAGCAGTTAATGTAGGGAGCAGGGACGGCTATGATGATGGTGCCAATCTCATGGTCACGGACCTCATCTAGGTATCAGATTACCCATGCATCCAAGTGGCTTCTTAGTGGCACTCGGCTGTGATGCGTGGTTGTGTGTGGTTGTTTCCCGGCGGTTTTGTGTCCCACAGCTAGTCTGTTTCTTCTTAGTGCCTCTTTTTTCCATACTGGCGCTCCAAGCTCATCTTGTAATAACTCTTCTTTCCATGACAGTCATGACTGCGAGTCCGGCTCCGTATGTACACGTCTAATCCTGATGTACGGCCTAGCCTAATTTGGGCAAAGAGAGGAGATGTCTTGAAGGAAAAGAGCAAGTAATAGGGCATGATCATATGAGTATATGGTCTGTGGGCAGGACCAGATGGGACCAGAGGGGTTAAATAATACCTACATACATGTTAAACAGGTTTCCCTACTGGATATTGTAGTTCTGGTAACTTGGAAACATTGAACAATAGATGATACCAATGTTAACTTAGGTTTGACCTCCAACGGGCCATGTGCAATGTCCATCATACCTTGACCTTCCCATGACACCCCGGCTTAGGCTAGACGTTCGTGCTGTTACCTGTGTGTCCCTGCCCTGGCCGAATCTGAATATGATCGAGGATCCCGATTCACTCTTGGATTTCTCCTAAAACCTTTAGCACTAGAATCGATCCTCGGTCCTCTCATACCATCCAGTCGCTCATTATTTGCAAAACTACATTCCTTCCATTTCCTTTCTCTTTGTCGTGGCCGTTTCCGTGATCACGACGATAACCTGTGGGACCTACGCAGAGCGATAAGGCCATCAAACTTCTACATCATCGATCGATTTCCTTGATTTTTAATTCATGCAAAGCACAAAAAAAACAGCGTTTCGAGCCCTGGCGATTCTGAAGTACGAGCTAACTAGTGCATACCGACCCTATTGGACGAATAATAATACGGCATTTCGATTTTTTTTTATGAGAAGCGGTGGACGAATACCAAAAGCATAGTTGGCATATTATAGCATTGTATGCATTATACGCACGCATTATAGCTAGGAAAGAGGGAAGAAAAAGAAGTTTAAAAAGTTGAGACAAGGACGAGGGAAGAAGGACGAGATGGAATCGAATTCTAAATCCGAGGCAATCGAAGCCTCTAATGGTAATGGTAGGTAGTCATTTCCATCTTTGTTTTTTCCCTACCTAATTTTTCCTATTCTTTTTATTTTTATTTTTCTTATTCTTATTCTGCTTTATTCTTACTTGTTAATTATGTTTTTCTTATTTGTTCTTTCCAAACTCTATTGTATAGTGTGCACTCGGCAGGAACATCATCCCTACTGTATACCCAGTAGGTTACTGTAGGACCAGTGTAGGTAGGTACTGTAGGTAGGTAGGTATCACAGTTATCAGTACAGCGCTATCCAGCGCAAAGCAAGCGCAAACATTAAGCGCAACCTTTTTTTTTTTTTTTTTCTTTCTTCTTTCAATTTTGGTTATCTTTGCCCAGCAGTGACTGGAGCCACCAAAGTTTTTCACTAACCCAATAAATCTTATGCATAAACAGGTACAGCATCAGCAACAATTGACCCATGCGCGTCCTCCCTTTTACCTTCTCCAACCACCAATTCCAATTCTATTCCCGCTCCCACTATCGCGTCCACAAATCCGACAAATTCTTCTACACCCTCTAAACAACACAATATTCTTCTACACGCACACCGACAAAGTCATAATTCCTCTAAACTCCCCGCCTTTCGCTTTGCCGATCGGAAAAAAGAATCCATACAATTGCCTTCGCTTCTGCAAAGCCACCACATTCCACCCTCGCCTGTCTCACCTGATCCGGAGCAATACACCGAAGCGCAATCAGCGCAACCAGTGCAACCAGTACAACCTGCGCAGCCAAACGCCGTCCAGGATTCAACCCCACCAGTCGCACATAATCATCGCAATACTGGTCATACTATTGGTAACGATACTGACTCTGTCTCACCCAAACAATTGCCAAAAGACGTATCGAGCCCTCTCAGGTCTCCCAGGTCTCGGGCATCCACCTTCCAATCCCCCACTGCCCTATTGACTGCCACATCGACATCATCCCACAACGTAAAAAGATCCGCTTCCTTGGACTCTACTGCTACTGCCGCTGCCACGACTGCTGCTACTGCCAATAACAAACTTACCTCTAGTGCGATCAGCGGCAAGTCGCCCACCGATTCGGCAGTCACCATCATCACTGCACGACGACCCCGTCATAAACGTGCCCTTGTCGTGGGCGGTTCGATAAACGGGACTGCGTCGTCTCAGCGAATGCATGCGACTGATGATAGTCAAACTGCGATATCAGGAGAAGAGATAAGTAAGGGGCCAGCGCACGGGCAGCGGGAACTATTGCTGCCAAAGACCATTCAGAAAACAGCAGCGACAGATGAAAGGAGGAGCTCTATGGTGAGAAGACCACCTGTATCTTACAAACCGCCTGCGAGTTCCAATAATTCAGGCGGAACCACATCTATCCCACCTATTCGATCATTCCGATCTTCCGGCGAACGACGGAGTCTTGTACTCGACATGAATGTCCGCAACGCTCGTCCCTACGATGGGGGCGATGACTACGGTGATTCAAATCATCGCGACAGAACATTGCGTGCATTAGAAGGAAGGCGTTACGAAGATGCATCGCAAATAACACCGCCTGACTCAGCAGGAGATCGTCCAGATGGTGATGATAGCGGAGATCTATTTCTAAAGATTGCTCGGGAGGACTCTTTACGACGCGGTGCAAATAGGAATGGAAACTATGGGGACAATCAAAGCGCCCTGGTAAGTTGAATTAATTATCTCTTCCCCTTGTTCTGTTTCATAGCGCACAGAAGTGTCATAGCACAACCCGGATATGCCTCTACCCTCTGCACTAGCCACTACTGCCTTTTGTATAACGCGCGCGTGCTTTCAAGATCGTCGCGCTCCAGAGATTACTATACATCTACCCGCAAATTGCTTGTTATCAATGCTTTTTTGATACTAAAGCCACTTCATTTTTTTTCTTATTTGATAATCATCTAATAAGTTTCTCCTCAATTAACCTCTTTTTTTTAGTCTCGCGTCTCCCGAAGTAGTCGGCGACCTCTCTCCATGGGGGTTTCTTCATACCAACCATCGTCACCTCCCCAGATGACGCGACGCTTATCCGACCAGGAAAGTTCCCGGTCAAGAGGTCCTAGTGATGATCAATCAGGGGAGAGAATTGCTCGTACTCTGACGTACAGAGGAGCCGTCAGGGACAGATCTTCTGAGGAGGCTAAACCTAAAAGCACTAGCACTCCCTTTCGTGCTTCTCCATTGACGCCGCGATCGTTGACCTTCCAAGATGCACCCTCTGAGCAAGGCTCCGCTTACAACAGAAGGAAAGGCTCTGTCGACAATGGCAGTGGCGCCCCGTCTCGCATATCATCTCTAAAACAATCTAATGTCAACTACAGCCACCCTCGTACCTACAGCTCCTCGCCTCTCGTACCAAAGCCAGCAGAATCTCAAAAACACGATTCCCATGCAGATGATGTTAATCATGGTGTTGAAGGGACAAATTCTACCACATCGACTGCCGCCCCGTCCACAGTATGGGATGAGCTCGATGATCTCAAGTCCCGCATCCACCGTCTAGAACTAACTGGCAAACTTCCTCCAACTTCAGGCGCCGCCATGTCGCGGGCATACGAGGAGCGACCACCCACAGCCCACACTAACGCCACGACCCTCTCTGCCTCCCCCAAACGTGGCTCCGGAAATGCTGTGCAACCACCAGAAACGAATACCACGCAGAGAGAGGCTCATCCACTACTCCACTCGGCGTTGACTAAATCAAAAGATTTTCTTAGTAGGGAAGTCTTTGAAGCCCTAGAAACAGCTGCCAATGATGCTCTAGCCCTCTCCCTAATGATGGGCATGCCTGGTCAGCCAGGCCCTATTGCCAGTGGTGCAAGTAGTATTGGTAGTGGTACCACCGTCACCGACCGCCAGCTCAGACGAAAGGCAGATAGTATTTGCCGCAGTCTTACAGAGCTATGCTTGGCCCTTAGTGAGGGGGTAGCACGAGGCAAGGCACAGCAAGTGACTACGCAGCAAGTTACCGTGCCAGCGCCGGAGAACCCCCCGGCCAGCCCTACCATTACAAAATTCTCGGGGATGGCCGCCGAAAGGCGGCCCAGTGTTGCAGATCGCACGATCACAGTTAACATGAGCCCGAGAGCCTTGTCCCGCTATGAGGATAGGCGAAGTAATACGAGTAGTTCACTTGCAGGGAGCTCGCTAGCGGCCCCACGATATAACACCACTTACAGTTCTACTGCGCCACCTACACCAACCGATACCACTGCAGCGATTGCAGCTGGGCGAAAGACTGCACTGCTGATATCTCGGAGTCGTCGAGCCGGGACGGAAGAACCGGAGGAAGGGCGTAAGTCATCTTTACTACGAACTCGGCGCGCTACAACAGAGGAGCCAGAAGACTTCTCTGACCGCAAGCCACCGGTGGTTGTCAGGGGTCGTCGTGGAACGCTAAACAACAGAGATGATGAAGGTCGTTTTCTCCCGCCCCCTCGCGCCATTACCGAAGTCCAAGGAAGCCGATCCGGAACAGGTCGCGAGTACAGCTCACAATTACCTGCGGCTCCGTCAAGAGAACAAGAGGCTCTGGCGTCTTCGGCTTTACCTCGACGACGATTCGGATCCTCGGCACTCAATACCAAATTAGTCATACCAGCAACTACGTCGACCAGTCTTACAACACCATCCCGTCGTTACTTTGATCGAACAACGCCGGACCGTGAGATATATAACGTGGCAGAAAGGATTGTTGAAGAAAGACCTCCTCCGCGGCAATACGCAATAGCTCGTGCTCGACACGGTAGTATCGACAAGCGAACGAACCGGACAGGTTTGGTTGCAAGCTCTCCCGTGAGCAGCAATTATCGATAAGGCCACGAGGAGGATCACGACAGGCTCATGACATTTGTAATTATAGAAGGTCGTTTGGGCGAAGGCATTTCCCCCTCGGCCCCCCAAAAACAGAGTAGGAAACTCGGGGGGGTTGGACGGATTGATTCCATTTGTTTTTTTGGGTTGGGACTTCTTTTATTTGGTATAATACCCCCTCCGCCGTTGCGAGATGTTTTTTCTTTCTTTTTTTAACGACTTTGTTGGGCCGTCATTGGCGAGGCGTGCACCGGAAAGCATTGTTGGCTGTATAGCAAAAGGAAGGATCAGGAATATAAAAGCCAGAGGACCAGTGTATATGGCATATGGTATTTGGTAGGGCAATGGAAGGGGGTTGGGGGGAGCCCAAGAAAGGGGGATTGTTTGCTTCGATACGAAGCCGGTCTTGAGGCTTAAGGGCGTTGTGTTATCATCATACGACATAGGCTCTGAAAGGCAGGCTTGATTGGTACAGTCGCCTACCAATGTACTATGTAAATAGGTGGCCTGGAGGAAGGGATGGCTCCTAATAATGTATGAATATTAGGGGTTTGAAATGAAGATAAAAACCATAACACCTTTATCCTGTTTGTTGCAAGCTTGAAGTGAAGAAGGGTGTTGGTTGAAAGTGTTGAGAGAGTATTTATATGGTTATTTTATGGTTATTTATATGGTGAGGGTAGGCTAGGTGAGGGAAGGTCCCTGGGTTAGGCAGGTTGAAGCCGATGACTCAGGTGGATTGCCAAGCTAATAGTGCTAACTAGGCGATACAGCAGTATCTAGTAGTATTACCCAGTAAAACCACTTCGGTGCCTAGTACTAGGTACCTATTACTAGTAGTACCTAATATGTCAAACAAGCACATTGCGGCTCGTTAAGCACTCCTCCCGCTGCGCTAACTTAGTCTAACCTTAGCACTTTTCAAGCACTTCACATTTTACAAACAGACATCAAATCACATGGTATTTATTAACTTAACCAAATTCCTGTCTTTTCATTCTAAGGCCTCCTATATAAATAGATACTCTTATTAGTATCTAAACCTCACCACCACATTCTCCCCACCCATCCTCTTCAAAATTCTATCTCTACGCTGCTCAGTCGGGCGTCGGTGCGGGCGCCGGTGCAAGTGCGAATCCCTGCCACTTCTGTTTGCGCCGCCGGTGCATCATCATCACCATCATCGGCACACTACCCCCACCAGTTTCTTCACCACCACCACCACCGCTGCCGCTACGCTTTCTGCTGCTAGTAGTGGCTTGTATAGTCTGCGGGAAGGAGCAGTGATGGCGGATAATGACGAAGGAGCGGCGGAACGCATGGGGGATCTGGCGCTTAGGGGGAGAGGGGGGCGTCGCGGGGGGAGGGGAGGGAGAGGAGGAAAGTCGGACCGCGATATGATGATCTCGAAGGCGCTGTCGTCGCTGTTGAGACATCAGGCTACGGCGGCGGGGGTCGAGCTTGATGTCGAGGGGTTTGCGCCGCTGGATCGGGTGGTGAGTTTCTATCTCTTTTATTTATTTATTTTTTCATTATTTTGCTTTCTCTGTTTTTCTGCTCTTCGGGGTGTGTAGGTAAGGGGTCAGGTAAAAAAAGAAAGAAAGGGGAGTCCGTAATGTAGTCCCACCAAACTAACAGCAAGACGGGGGGGTGTGACTAAAAGCTGCAATGGCCACGCATCCGCTCCCTCAACCCGTCCATGGACGAGATCCGGCACGCCGTCGCCGACAACGAGAAGCAGCGCTTCGCCATGAAGCCCAAGGACCCGGCCGCCATCGCCGGCGACAACGACGACCCGGCTGCCTGGCTCATCCGCGCCAACCAGGGCCACAGCATCGAGCTCGCCGAGGAGTCCGTGCACGAAGCCATCACCCTCGAGGCGGGCAATGTCCCGGAAATCGTCGTCCACGGGACTTACTTCGCCTTCTGGCCCGCCATCCTCGCCTCGGGCGGCCTGAAGAAAATGGCCCGCCAGCACGTGCACTTCGGCACCGGACTCCTACCCGCCGACGCTGGCAACGACGTTGGGGCTGGGGAAGATGGGAAACCGAAGGTCATCAGCGGCATGCGCTCCGACGCCGAGCTCGTCGTCTTCGTCGACGTGCAGCAGAGCCTCCGCGACGGCGGCATCAGGTGGTGGCTCAGCGCCAACGGCGTCGTGCTCACGGACGGCAACGACGAGGGTGTGGTCCCGCTCAAGTACTTCAAGGAGGTCAAGGGGAGGAGGCAGGGGGTGGGTGTGCTGTGGCGCGATGGGGAGAAGGTCGCGGATTTGCCAGAGGGGGTTGTGGCGAATGTGCCGATGGGGAAGGGGGGCAGGGGAGGAGGAAGAGGGAGGGGGAGGGGGAGGGGGAGAGGGAGGTGGGATTAGGTATACGGCGGGTTTTGAGCCTTGATGACTAGGTACATAGGTAGTATCCCAATATAAATAAGTATTGAGGAAGTCTTTGCTGCTATATATCTTTGCTTCCCACGAAGCTGCGTACCCCTATACCCCTTTCTCGACTTCTTAGGTACCTACTTTGCCTACCTAAGGAGAAAGTAGGTATAGGGGGGAGAAGAGATAGAGTGATGGTGATTATGATCTGTAGTTATAATGACCTCCATATGTCAAGTGCTATAACTATACCTAACCAGAAGTATATATCCGCGCAAGTAGATACCTAACCTAGGTAAATACCTGAATGTATTCAAAATAACACAATCGCAACCCTTTGTATATAAAATTCCAAATACTTTTTTTTTTTAAAAAAGGGGGTGGGAAGAGGGGAGAAAACTGGACGTTTTTACGTCCCCCCCTAACATACCCCCCTTTTTTTGATGTTTTTATAATTATCGATCCCAACTTCCATACACCCACCTACTTGGCATCCCCCCCCCACCCTCCTAACCACCTTCAACCCTAATTCCTCCGTTCATCCACACCCACGTCCTACCTCCCCACCCCTTCAAGCACCAACAGTAACAACAGTACTACTCAGCACCGCCCTCACCGCAGACGACAAGCTCGCGTTAATAATCGTAGTCAGCGTCGGCGTCGGCGTCGGCGTCACGAGCACCGTGACCGGCACCGAGGCCGTGACGGTAGCGGTGCTCGGCAGCGGCGTTGTGGCGTGGCTCGCTTCTACTGCCTCTTCCGTCTTCGTTTCCGTTGCTGTTTTTGGCTTCTTCTTCTGCTTCTTCTTCGTCTTTTCTTTCTTGGTGACGGTCACGGTCGAGACGGAGGCTGGGGGGGTTGAGGGGGAGGGCGCAGGGCATGTGTTGCTGATGGTGGTAATAGCAGTGGCGGTGAATACGGTGGTGGTGATGGTTTGATTCGCGGTTGTGGTTGCGGTTGCGGTTGCGGTTGCAGACGTGGTTATGGTGGCGGTTGAGGTGGCGGTCACGGTTGTGGCGTTGGCACTGCGAGGGATCATGGCGGGCACGGCGTTGGGGTCGTAGGGGACCTCGTCGCCTTGGTGGCCGAAGCAGCTGATGGTGCCGGTCTGGTCGACCTGTAGTATGAGGGTCCTGGGGTCGTCTGTTTTTGAGTAGGTGAGAGGGTAGTTCTTTTTTTTTATTAAAAATAAAAGCTCTCGGGGGTTTACTTGGAGATATATAGGTATGTAGATATTAGACTTACTGAGCTTGATCATATTCGGCGTTTCGTCAAAACGGGCTTCTCCTTTGCACTGGCATCGCATAGTCACGAAGTACTCGTCATCCGTGAAGTCCGGGGACTTCCAGGGACCGGTGTAGATTAGAGCGCACGACTCGCAGGTTTTGGAGAAGGGGCCTATACTTTCCGTTCGGAAGTGCGCGTCTGGGTTGGCGGGTAAAAGGACCGATTGGTCGTTGGTGATGCATCTGTAGATAGGAATGAAGAGTAAGTTATCTACCATGAGGTATATGCATTCTTTCTGATTCGGAGCTCGGTAAGGCACGGGGAAAGCAAAAGGAGATGTATGCTACGGTCAGGTACGGGCTGGTGAACTTACTTGTCGAGGTCTATTCTCGTCGTGCGGAGCTGGCCGCTGTTCCCGTTGTAGCATGTAGCCGTGAACTCGATACTAGGCTGTCTCATATCCTTTGGTAGCGAGTTATCCCAGTCGTGTCGTATTTCTCTGAGATAATACCAAGGACAGATTGCCGTGCTGAAAGTAACCTTGTTTAGATCTTGCCCTGCTCCCTGGGATGCCACCCCAAGACAGAAGAGGGCAACAACGTAGACGAAGTGAAAGATTCCCTTCATAATGTATGCTACCCTGGCTTGACTTGGTGAGAGACCAATCCCTTTCTTGTTGAGATGACTATGGGTGGGAGATTGTGTAAAGACCACACAGTAGATGCCGTGATACTGAGGGACGTAGTTGAGAATTATGAGCTTACTTAAGGACTTTGATTTATGCTAACTATTTAAGCATTAATGATCTCTCACATACCTCTGCCATTCATATATGAGCTAACAGGATGAACTAAGTTTAGGCTATTAGTAGTACCTAGTGGAGGTAATTCAGGAGTGACGAGTGCTATGAGTAAAGGGGTCTGTAGGTATATAAATTCATAAAGGAAAGTCGTCACAAGGCAAACCATACTTTCTCGTGTAGCTATATTATCATAATAAGAATGAGGCGGAAGTTGGTCATCTCATGTCCGTCATAGTTATCATGACAGTGGCCTGTATCGGACAGTTGGGGATAATGACGAAGCTTTTCCCTTCTAGAATTGTGACACACATACATAGGTAGTGTAGTAGTCCGTTCATAGGCACTTATATCTAGTATACTCTTATACTATCGGGTTGAACCTGAGTCCCCTTTGTGACTAACGCAAACAACCTGCGAGTTGCCAATTTATGCTGGGGCCATGTTTCCCAGTCATCTGGGCAACTCACTCAGCCTCTAGGACTCTCATGTAGATATCCCAAGCCACTAAGAATCAGCTGGAGCAGGGAGTTTCTTTTCCTTGACAGGCCCTAAGCCCGCCAGAATCCGTTCTCTCTTCTCAATATGAGGCGCGGCTATCTCGGTCAGAGGCGTCAGCAACTGCTCCGCGATCATCTCTTTGGCACATTTCTTTCCGAAAATATTCTTCACATGACCGATATCCTTTGGTAAAATTTTTAAACCCAGCATTCCTAGGTCAGGAAAGCCGTCATAGAACCCTTCAGTATTACAGGGCGATATTTTATACTGCACATCCGGATAACCGAGGGTCACGCAAAGCTGGCGGACTTTGTCTACTGCTGAGACCTCGTCGTTGTTGTAGGGTGATGCGATCCCCTTGGGCTGAGTCTGGGTTGCTGTCACATCTACACCCGGCGCTTGCTTCGGCGGGGGCAGCGAGACTTTTTGTCTCTTCGCCGGCGGAGATTGTTGTGTTGTTTGCATGTATCCGTTTTTACGCAGCCATTCTACTGCACACTTGGCAGCATACTTCTTGGCGTCCTTCTTGCGTACGAAGGAGGGCTCCGTTCCATCTGGAAATAAACCACCATTAGGACCAGGGAAGGGAGTTGGGCTCTCCTGGATCTTCACCCGGTAGTACCATCTTTGCACTCCTTGTGCAAAGGGGCCGGGCGCCTCTACAAAGTCAATCCCCCCAGTTCCTTTCGTACGCCTAGCTCGATATTCTACCAAGGGATTAGCATTGCAGCCTTTGTGACGAGGTTGGACTATGTTGATATGGTAATGAGATTTGCTTACCTTGCAAATACCCAATCCAGTTGGTATTTTCTAGTTGAGGTTCAGGTTGAATCGGGGCCTCTGGAGGTAAGGCAAGCTCAAGTTTGTCTAATAGTTTTCGTTGAGTATCTGTTATAGGCGCAGGAGAGGAGTTCGTAGCCTCGTATTCTTGCTGTCGGCTGATCCAATTCTGGATAGCCTGATAAGTATTGGAGGATACCATGGCTATTTGTATAAGCTTTTCAGGAGATGGATGAGGTAGGGTATGTGGAAAAGAGAAAAAGCGTTGAAGGACTGGAAGGTTTCTTAAAAGTCTAGGATTTCTTAGAGACATTCGAATTCAACATTGGGCTCAATATCGATTTTCCTTCATTGGCTGTTAAGTTAATGTTGCACTATTACATATCTATGTTGGTATTACATGTATTAGTACTACGATTAGTAGGTACTATGTAATTCGGTTAGTTTCTATGCTTGATATCATGTGCTTGCTATCTGACTAAGTTTAGCTGTGATGTTGAATACCGATTTGAATAATAACAAGTTAACAACTACTAACCTAGGCAGGAGGTAGATGAACCCAAGTGCCCCCCTGTAGATCACCTCAAACTCCCCCCATTTTAGGCCTAGTGTCCCGCTATAAAGCCCACCCAGAATGGGGCTCGGTCACACGAAAATCCGGAGTTTAGCGAGTTGTAATTGGCCATATGACTGACAGGGGCCCACCTGATTATTTGAACTTTCGAGTCTTATTTTTGGAGTTTTGCTGGCTGCAAAAAGCCCAAGCTTCAAAGCTTCAATCTGCCTAAAACCACACAATCCATCATCAGTCCAAGCTGCCGCTTTAGTGCATCCTATATCGTTGGAATCGCCTCAATTAGAGCTTCCAAACAATATATGTTTCAGATTGATGCGATATCTGAATCTGAAGTTATTTGAATTTAAAGATTAAGAAGCACCTGAAAAAAGATACATCTGTAACCAATACCTGGATCACGTGATAGCCCTCGGCTAGCGCCAACTGCCTTTGCTTCAAGAAATCCTAAAATAACTTCGCAACTACCGGTCGCATTAATCTGAAACATATATCATTTGGAAGCGCTAATTGAGACGGTTCTAATGATACCGGTTGCATCAAGATGCGTCCATTGAAGGAAAAGTTATTAAGGATAGTATGTTAGAGGCTAGCTGGAGAGCCCGGACCAGCGCTATGTACTAGGGTGCGGATAAGCTTCCGATAGCAATTTATTTTTAATTGATTAATGATTAAATAAGAATCAATTAAAGATCAATTAAGAATTAATTAAGAATTAATTTATAATGAATTACAAATTAATTATAAATCAATTAAATTAGAATTAAAATATATAAAATATTAAACTTAATAATTATTATAATTATTTTTTAGAGTTTTGCTATGTGCACTACCTATTTTTGCTATTAGGGCCTTAGGTGCACTACCATCAGGTATTGTACATCCCATAAGTCCCTTAAAACTTTAAATCCGGAGCCGCCCCAGGCTCTCCAGCCCTTCAATCTTGAATAACTTTTCAACCACATGTCGCACCACAATGCAACTGGATTCAATTGAAAGGGAATTCAATTCCCAATTGATTGATATAGGTCTCGGATTAAGGCAATGCGTGGTCGCGAAGTTATTTAAGTAAATAGGATGGCAAGCTGGGGCCACGTGACTACCCTTAGGGCCACACTAGGAGCTCTTGGGCCATGCTAAGAGCCCTTAGGCCACTTGGAGCCAAACCTTATTCAACAATTTCAATCTTGGATAGCTCCATGAAATATATGGCTACAAGCGTGCAACCGGATTTGATTGAAAGAGAATTCAATTACTGATTGATTGATACCAGCCGCAATTTGGGGCGATACGTGGAAGAAGAGTTATGTTGGTATTTGTCTCGAGAGCAGTCACGTGACACTTACTAGCGTGGCCCCAGGCGGCTCTAGGGCTCTTTGGCGGCTCTAAGGGCTCTTAGTGTGGCCCTAAGGGCTCTTAGTGTGGCCCTAAGAGCTCCTAGTGTGGCTCTAAGGGTGATCACGTGCCTCCTAGGCCACCACCTATTTACTTGAATAACTTCGCGACCACGTATCGCCTCAATCCGAGACCTATATCAATCAATTGGGAATTGAATTCCCTTTCAATTGAATCCAGTTGCATTGTGGTGCGACATGTGGTTGAAAAGTTATATGGATTGAATTGATGTTGGCAGCTGGGGGCGCTAGATTAGGGCCGGATTTCAAAATTTAGGGCATGTACTGGTACCTAAGGTAGTGCACCTAAGGCCCCGATAGCAAAAATAAGTAGTGCACATAGCAAACCTCATTTTTTAAAGTTATGTTTATAATTGATTAATAATTAATTATGAATTTTTCGTTTTTGAAAAAATAAACCTTAAGAGATAAAAAGTTGAACCCAAGTGCCTAAAAAAGCAGTTGAGCCCAAGTGCCTGTCCGAATGAGGTATAGTCGTCGGCCCAAAATGGGGGGAGTTTGAGGTGATCAACAGGGGGGCACTTGGGTTCATGTACATCCTCCTAACCTAGGTTACTACCGGTAGGTTACTAGGTTAGTAACCTAGATTTGTATGAGAGAGAAACCATAGACAGCGTTCCATGTTGTGCAAGATAAAATGAAATAGTTAAATGGATATTGAAAGCTAGGGTCTCTAGCCAGGCTAGTGTATTGTACTAGGTTAACCTACGGCATAGTATGTATTGTACATATGTAGGTAGTGGGCTTTAATGGGCTTTAGTGGGCTTTAATGGGCTTTAGTGGGCTTTAATGGGCTTTAATGGGCTTTAATGGGCTTTAGTGGACCCTTTCACTCTCTTTTACTAACTTGGACTTTCCAACTCGAACATCAACCCGCCTTCACCAAATTCCCAACAAACACAAAATATCCAAACTATGAGCAAACCCGGCTTGTCGTTTGGTCTGAATTTGGCCAAGAAGCCAGGTGCTTCGAAACCTGCTCCTCCCAAAAGAAAACCCATGTTTGGCGGTGATGATGAATCGGACGATGACAACGCGAATGGCCCGACCAACCGACCTCAAGCCACCCAAATATTAGACTTGGATGATTTCACCACCCCGTTGCCTGATTCCAAACCGACCAAGAAGCCTGCACTCAAGTCCAAAAATGGGCCGCCAACACAACCCCCAAGCAATAAAAGCAAGAAACCACAGATTTCCATGTACGGGGACCTATCGAGCTCCCTAGAATCGCGCAAGCACCGCGAAGCTGCAGAAGGGCTCGACCCTTCGATATACGACTACGACGCCGTCTACGACTCTTTAAAACCGGAGAAGAAGGTCACGCAAGAGGATGTGGAGAGGAAGCCGAAATACATGAGGAATTTGATAGCTTCGGCCGCAGTGCGCAAACGCGACGCCCTCATCGCCGAGGAGAAGAAGATCGCGCGGGAACGGGCTGAAGAAGGCGAGGAGTACGCCGATAAGGAGAAATTCGTCACGGAGGCGTACAAGAAGCAGCAAGCAGAAAATAGACGGGTCGAAGAGGAGGAGCGCAGACGCGAAGAAGAGGAAGCTAGGAAAAACAAGGGTGGTGGCATGACAGCATTCTACAAGGATTTACTGGAGAGAGGCGATCGACAGCATACCGAAGTCCTCAAGGCTGCAGAAGAATGCGCAAAGGCGGGACCTGGGGAGAAGGAAGAGGCGAAAGATGAGACCGTTAAAACCGAAGCAGACATGGCAAGAGAGATCAACCAAAAGGGTGGCACCATTGCCATTAATGAAGACGGTCAAGTTGTGGACAAGCGCGAGTTACTAAAAGGGGGTCTAAACCTAGGCGCACCAAAGAAACAAGAATCTCGAAAGGATGCTGGCAAGGGATCGGATCGGAGGGACAATCAAGGCTCTTCCCGTGGCTTCGTGGGTGCTGGTGGAAAGCAAGGTATGCGCGAAAGGCAAACTCGAATGCTCGAGGCGCAATTGGAACAGTCCTTAAAACGCACCTTGGAGGAAGAAGAAGAGGAGAGGCAAAAGGTTGAACGGGCATCCAAAAGCCGCAAGACCGAGACCGACGTCTCGAGCGCCCGGGAGAGATACCTGGCACGTAAGAGAGAGGCAGAAGAGGCCAAGAAGAAGGCTGCCGCGGAGAAGTCGTGAGGAGAATCTATACACCCGTTCTCGTTTTCATCGAGACGAGAATCCCTCCACCTTGATTCCGAGGCCTTCTCATTAATGTACAGTCTAAGCATTCGTGGTTTCCGACTCCTTCGTAAGCTTTTCATTCCCCAAATTTCCGCGTCGTTCCCGGCTCGTAAAAGTTGCGTTGCTAATGTACAAATGACCACAAGGCGAAGGGGTATATCCTGATACTGCCTACCTAGCTAGGCACATAAGGTATCCATGATTCCAAATAAACCTCCAGGTTTTGCAGGTTTACTGCCCCCGTTGTAACCGATTGATATAGGTGGTGCTGACCTGGTTCCACGCGGACATGTACTTCTCCATGCATTGGGTGAAGCAGGTCTGCTCGCTGTTGGATAAGGAGCCGCCGGGTTTCGGTACGCACTTTTCGAAGCAGTGCTCGTTGATTTTCTGTACAAGTTAGTCTCGGTTAGAGCTTTGCCGTTCTGACAAAAATAGGTACAGAACATATAAATATATGTATATGAAGATCAATCCGAATTCGTTGGATTCGTTGGGAGGAATAAAATGCATACCTCGACCAACTGCCTCGCATTTTCTACACCATATTGTGCTCTGACTCCCTTGACAACCTCGGCTTTGATTGCTTCCGATTCCATGGCGGGCGATCCTTTCTTTCTTTTTTTGATAAACTTATTTGCAACCGGTATTGGGACGTGGCTGTGGTTGACGTCCGGCTTAAGAAGTACGTTCAATGTTGTATCAATACTTTGTCTTTGTTAAGCGGACTTTAAAAAAGTTGAATCTTCAATTGAATTATTTTGTTGGATTGTTCGAAAAAAGTCTTGGCTGTCACTGACGTTTCTTATGTGGCTAGTGCCTACTAAAAGTCCTGGTGGCTGATTAATCATGTCACCAATAGTTACATACCTACAATCTATGTAGTATGGAGTACTAGGAGTAGTACCTACACTTCTTCACCCCTTTCAAGTTGTCTATTAAAAACTGTTATCTCTTGTCCACAACATTGGCCACGATGAATTCTATTGCGTTCTATACTATGCACTTATGTAGGTAGGTAGGCTTGGATCCGTACTACCTGCCTACACTTGGTATCGAGGAAACCTACTAAGTACTCCATTCTCAATCCACAACTCAAGCCTCACTTCTGGGCCCCAATCGCTGCATCGTATGATGGAGGTGCTGGCATGCTTTGGTTAGAGCCGCCAAGCTCTATGATATAGCTATGCTTCTTTTGCTCGCCATAGAATCTCCTTAACTTGAACTGGTCCGCACACACTGTGAGGATAGAGAAAACGCTATATATAACCATTTAGTTAGCTTTGAGTCTTCGTGTACTCACTACTCGGTGACATTGTTCAAGAGGGCAAGCAGCTTGGAAGTAAACACCTACCATCCAACGATAGCCGCGGCGCAAATCGCACTCTTCCCGGATAACCCGGCCTTCACAGCCAGAATGACATCGGCAGTACTGACCAGGGTAGTCAGCACGCTGCTGCCCATTACCGCATTCCTGAACGCAATATCACAGCTAGTGCGTTGTTGTCGTCTTGCCATCTGATAGTTCTTCCACAGCACGATGAACAAGATGACATTGAGGAAAGTGGTCAAGGCACCCTGCGATCCGGTTAAACTTGGTCGAACCTTAGGTGCGCGTGCACAAGTAGGTTAGGTTGGGTGCTTACCACAGCGCTAGAAACCCAGGGCAGGGTGGAGTTTTTTGTGAAGTCATCCTCGAACCTGTCCACGGAGGGGATATCGGAATCGGAATCGGCTCTGCTGCTGGGCCGATAAAGCACGAAGGTCACGGTGCCGACGACAAATATGCTGAGCTGGCCCAAGACGACGAGGGTGTGTACTACCGCCCACCAGTTTACCGCATTTTTAATAGAATCACCCATTTGCGCTCAGGAGTATACGAATAGGTAATATCGCGCCGACCCAGACGAAACAAAGTTTACAAGTTCGAGGGTGGTTTGGACATCTTTATGTAGATTGCCTCTAAGGCAGGGCACCTCAGTATGTAGCATTCTAGAGGATCACCAAGCATAATCCCAGCAAGTGGCTAGGAACAAACTACCAGTAGTTATCAGTTCCAAGTGAACCAGCGTTCGGTGGCCAGTGACAAAAAAAAAGTTTGGTTGGAATGTTTGCTGTAGAATGGATTGAATGTCATGGGATTTGGGGCCCCAATCAAGGGTCGAAACTCAGCCCTGCAAGCGATTCCTCTTTTAGCTTCCTGTCTCGGAATGTGTGAAGGGTTTCTGTTTAATTGGCTGACAGTGAGGATTGCAAAGTTCGAGCTTGATTGTTCCAACATTGTTTCATTCCTATTACATGTGGTTTCGATGTTTGGAATAGAAGGATTCATGTATAATAGGTAAGCTTAAGTAGTATAAGTAATATACTGTAAATGCAATAATACTTGTTGTTTGAACATCAAGTTGTTTCGGTATGATATTTATATAGAAATCAGATATAAATCTGAGAGACCAACATAGTTACATGTAACGTTAGCATGTGTTGTTATTTCTTCGACACTGGGTAGTTATGGCTATACGAATGTATGTACTTCGTATGTAGCGCTGAGGTGGGGGACACTAAAATACTAGGTACAATACAATACCTAGTATTAACCTCGGAGGCTCGGACTCGGAGCTTGAAGTACCCATGTGGCTACTGTAACTTTAAGTACATAACAAATCGTTGATCCATAACTATCGGTTGAATGCGCTAAACTGTAATGGCGAAGCTAACCTTAGATAGGTGGTGGCTTTTGTGGGTTTTTATTGGTTGCCCCCGCAACGGTAGGAGCAAACTTAAATAACACACATAAAAGTCATAAAAGTCGAACTCAGTTTCTGATTTTCGCTATTTTTACCTATTAATTAGTACATCCCTCCCAAATCTTCCAATATTCACCAACGATATAACTTATACTTTAAACAACCAACCAGCTTAAGCACACTGACTATACTTTAGTAGGGTGGCTTGCGACTCTAAAACTATGGCTGGTCAAGCCCTCGAAGCTCGATTCGAGCGTATGTCCGTTAATGATGAGAACGACTATCAAAAACCTAAGGTTTGTAAATTTTATTGCTGCTTATCCGATAACGTCGCTTACCGTAGGTATAGTCTGCTGCGACATCAACCAAGCTGACACATAGCTCGAGTCGTCCAAATCTATTCAAGGTCGCTCTGCAAGCACAGAGCGGAAACACCGTCCCCGCCGTCACCGCCGTCACTCTCCCATCCCAAGCCGCACAGCGCAAAGGCACTCAGCCCCCCTCGCCCACAAGTAGGAAACCCCTCCCATCTGCAAGTGCAGCATCCAAGGCCTCCGACGAACAAGCACAGGCGGACAAAGAGAAGAAGTCAACTTCCTTAATCGAACAGCCATATGGACCCAAACAATTCCATCTCGGCATGTTTGAAATCGGCCGGCCGCTAGGAAAGGGTAAATTCGGACGAGTGTACCTGGCGCGGGAGCGGTTAACCGGCTTCATCTGTGCACTGAAGGTGTTACACAAAAGTGAGCTGCAGCAGGGTCGAGTCGAGAAACAGGTGCGAAGAGAGATCGAGATTCAGAGCAACTTAAGGCACCCCAACATCCTGCAGTTGTTCGGCCACTTCCACGATAGCAAGCGTGTCTTTCTGATCCTGGAGTTTGCCGGCAAGGGCGAGCTGTACAAGCACCTGAGGCGCGAGAACCGCTTCCCGGAGTGGAAGGCATCTCAGTATATCGCGCAGATGGCCAGTGCCCTAAGGTACCTTCACCGCAAGCACGTCATCCACCGGGACATAAAGCCCGAAAATATTCTCGTGGGTATCCACGGCGAGATCAAGATATCAGATTTCGGCTGGAGCGTCCATGCCCCAAATAGTAGGCGGCAGACCATGTGTGGAACCTTAGACTATCTCCCACCAGAGATGATCAAGCTTGGCGGCTCAGATAACTACTATAATGAAAAGGTGGATCTCTGGAGTTTAGGGGTGTTGACATACGAGTTCTTGGTGGGCGAGGCACCGTTTGAAGATACACCTGTGATGACGCAGAGGAGGATTGCCAAAGCTGACATGACTATTCCGTCCTTTGTGAGCCCTGAAGCTAAAGACTTAATTAAAAGGGTAAACTTACCTGCCATCCCTAACCCTCAAACCTTCTACTAGTGAATCTTACCCGCTGACATGAGTTAAAGTTACTAGTTCTAGATCCCGATAAGAGGATACCTCTAGAGCAGGTCCAAACACACCCTTGGATCGCAAAACACTGCATCAAGGGCGAGCGGGCAGCAAATAGGGAAACAGCAAATAGGGAAAAGTCGAAGTCGGAAAGCAAACCATGAACTCGTGGACATAGGACTTTGGCGACTCTTTGCGTTGCATGCATATACATATGAGAGTGTAGGCGTTAAGGGATAACTAGCATACATCTGGATTACGGGGTGGACGGACATATTTGCTTTAATCAGTACTCCGTAAAATAAAACCATTGCCATGCTGTTCCAAGCAAAAACAAAACAAAACAGAACAAAACAAAACAAGAAAATGAGTAAGCACGCTAGTGACATTATCATATCTCATTGCTTGTCGTCCAGACTACATAACTCCTCTTCACTATGAGAAGGGGGGGGGATGCTTATGTAAGTAATAGCACAGGTAACTACAAATACACACAGTCTTTTTTAAGATTGGCTGTCTGACTTCAAATTTTTGTTTTTTGCTCTCTCTTCATCTTCATCTGTAGACCTCGTCGAAGGGCCGGGTATCTGAGAAGCACGAATCCCACACCTGGTTGACCACCTTGACGGCCTCGACGTCGTCCTTGCACCACGGCCGCGCCATGACGGACTGCACGGCTCGTCGTCGCACGCACTCCTGGAACTGCTGCGTAAGCGACCAGTTCCCCCGCGTCCACGCCTCCTTCGCCCATCTGCACTCGCCGCTTAGCATGGATGCGCGGATCTGTCGAGCATGGGTTAGCACGAGATGATGGATGATGGCTCGCTTAGTTAAGAAAAAAAGATGGAACAAGCGCTAGCAGAAACCAAAAGCTTACCTCGGTGCAAGCCGCATGCTTCAACCCCTTCTCCCCATTCCAATCGACCTTCCACCTTAGATGGTCCCACGCGTGCACCATCTCATGCGACAGCGTGTCCTCCATGTGCGCCTGGTCCTTGATGACATCGGCGCATATGAGGATGCCGGACCCCGGCGAAAAGCCGCCGCTGGCGCGGTGCACGGCGCCGTCCTCGGTGAGGCGCGCGGGGCACCGGCGGCAGAAGACGTTGGACCTGTCGAGGGAGCCGTTGAGGGCCGCGATCTTCTGGCGCAGGAAGATGACGGTGGGCGAGTGCGCGAAGGCCCAGTCCCGCAGGTCCTCGCACCGCGCGCACAGCGCGGCTTCCTTCTCCCGCGCGATCGTCTCGCGGTAGTGGAACTTGCCCTCGGGGGTCATGGTGTTGGTTATCGCTTTGAAGTAGTTGATCCATTCGGAGGTCGCGGGGTCGAAGCCTGTGCGCTTGGGGTCGTTTTTGACGATTTCGGGGAAGGAGGGGGGGGATTGTGGTTGTTGCTGTTGCTGTTGCTGTTGCTGTTGGGATAGGTTTGTAGGGGATGCGGAAGAGGAGGGAGTGGACTGTGGATTCGCGTTCGACGTTGGAGCGCCAGGTGCCCCTGGTTGTGAGGGTTGCGACGACATTGTGGATTGGATTTGAATTGTATCGATATAATTATCGGGGGTCCGTCCGGGTTGTGAGGTTTGGCAAATTGTCGTCTTGAATCTTCAAATTGTCGGAGGTCGGCAGAAGAGCTAAATTAGTAAGCTAAGGAATTCGATAGGCTACATTACTACCTACAGTTAGGAGGTACCTAATCTTTTGCGGCCCGTTGGCGGAAAGAGTACCGAAGGCGGTGAACCAAATCCGAATCACTATTGAATTATGTAATTAACTAAGACCTATGTTATTATTTGCGTAGGTACATAGTTAGTTATTTGGACTTTTTTTTTTTTTGAAACCGATCTCGGTCAAGCAAAGCTCACACCGTCATAACTCGTACCTGAATACAAACCTCGTATCGTATCTACAATCCAATGAGAAAAGCTCACCGTTTTCAACTCGTTGGCAACCAACCCCCTTTTCTCTACATATGCCAATTCGTAAATAGGTAACCTTAGTTAAATATATCTTTATTGCTCCACATCAACAACTATTCCCTGCAGCAGATCGTCGTAGATACATACATACGCCCTACGAGCCATGGCTGATCCAGGGGACCCAACGCCCTGTATGTAAAGATTTCTATTTATGTAAATTTGTTGCTTTTTAGTAAATCTTTTTTAGTTGCAGCGGTGTCAAAATTTGAGTGTGTTTTGTGTTTTGTGTTTGGTGTTTTGAGTGTTTGAGATTCAAGTTGTTGCTGATATCTGACTGAATTATAGCAGACATGAAGGGCCCCAAGCCACTAATAGTTGTTATTAAACTAGGTAAGTTGAGCTTTACATGTCCTCCTTTTATATCTCATTTTTGTGTCACTCGCTATAGATGAATGAGTCGAGCACACGCTAATTTACATATAGGAACAAGTTCCATTGTCGACGAGAAGACTCATGAGCCATTACTCTCAATCCTAAGTCTTATTGTTGAGACTGCTGTGAGGTTACGGAAAGATGGACACAAAGTTATAATTGTGTCGTCTGGCGCCATTGGCGTCGGTCTTCGACGTATGGATGTCGACAAGAGACCGAAACACTTATCCAAGTTACAGGCACTTGCAGCTATTGGCCAATGCCGCTTAATAAGTCTATGGGATAATCTCTTTGGACACCTCCGTCAACCCATCTCTCAGATTCTTCTTACAAGAAGTGATATCGCAGACGTAAGTGAGAGGATTCCGGTATCAAGGCTTAGGGTATGACTTCTAACCAGGTACTATAGCGGACAAGATATTTAAATGCCCGGAATACTATCATGGAGCTCCTCGAGATGGGCGTCATTCCGATCGTAAATGAGAACGACACATTAGCAGTTGCCGAGATCAAGTTTGGCGACAATGACACACTTTCAGCCATCACAGCGGCTATGGTGCATGCCAACTTTCTATTCCTCATGACGGATGTTGACTGCTTATACGACAAGAACCCCAGAGCGCATCCCGACGCCCAACCGATAGAGGAAGTTGAAGATATCGGAGCAATCCGCGCAGACGGTATGAATCAAACTCAACAAGATATTAAGCATCCCATACATATTGCTAACGAAGTCTTAGTCTCTAGCGCTGGATCGTCTTTAGGGACTGGTGGCATGGGTACCAAGATCGTTGCCGCTAGGCTCGCAACGTCAGCTGGTGTCACTACAGTCATCACTCGATCCTCCTCGCCAGGAAACATCGTCAAGATAGTTCGATACCTCCTAGCCACTAAGAAGTGTACTTTATCACCACACAGCCGCTCAGGAAGTGAGACCGAGGATTCCCTATCCCATTCCACAGCCTCGCTAGCCCTCGACACGTTAGAGAAGCCACCATTACATACGCGCTTCCTGCCCCTCTCCCACCCGATCAGAGACCGCTACTTCTGGATTCTCCACGGCCTGGCCCCGCACGGTACTATTTATATCGATGTCGGCGCGCATCACGCCATCTCAGACAAAGCCGGGCTCCTCCCGGTAGGCGTCCTTGACATTGAGGGCAGCTTCGCGCAGCAGGAAGCCGTGCGCCTAGTCGTTGTGGAGCGGAGATCCGAGCCAGGGCCAGACGGCAAGCTCTGGGAAGGCCCCGGAGTCGAAGTCGGGCGCGCGCTGGTCAACTACGGAGCCCCTGAGATCCTCCGCATCAAGGGGCACCGCAGTACGCAGATAGAAGGTCTGCTGGGCTATGCTGATAGCGAGTACGTGGCACACCGGGAGAACATTAGTTTGCTCCGCAGGGAAAGTAGACCGGTCACGCCTGTTCTAGATGCAGTGGCCGAGAATGGTGGGGTGGCTGCTTCTGAGAACGAGGTTAGCTTATAGACTTTCATTCTCCCTGTTCAATAATTCCACATAGAGTAACGGCGTCCAAAATGAGAAGTCATATTTATATGGTCCGGAAGAGTGAGAAGTTGTAACCAACAAAAAAAGAAGAAATTTTAGAACCACCTCACTAAGTAGATAGCAGGAAGGGGATCAATTTATGGGTTGTCTCATAAGTGAGAAGCCCCGGAGGACAAAGTTCATATAGAGTACTAAGTAGGTAGATAGATATAGCCTTAGAACGCCCCCAATGCATATAACACGAGTAAATTCCAAACTCCGAGCCTCCCCCTTCTCCCTCCTTCCAACGGATGGCCCTTTTTTAATCACACTTTTGTATATACCGTCCCCCCTTCCCCCGGACCAACTCAACGTCGGCCAAATTAGGTAGGTGGACTTCATAGGTATCTATGCACTTCTCTCCTTCCCAGTTACCTCGACCTCAACCGGCAAACAGCGTATCCTCGTCTCTCAGGTACTCGCCGCAGTCCGCCTGCCGAAAACACACGATGCCGGTGGGGTCGAGGCGGCGGGCCTCGGCGGTGCTGCGGGCGGTGACGCCGAAGCCGAGGGGGGTGTCGCTCATGCTGTAGACGACGACCCCTTGGTGGCTGGGGCAGTCGTCGGACCAGCGGCCGACGTGCGCCTTGACGACGTTGCCGCCGTACAGGAAGGGCATCTCGCCGTTCGGCTTGATCCACAGCTTGTACCGCGCGTGCTCGGCGAGGATGGGCAGCGCCGTGATGTGCAGACGGAACTTTCCGGTTTTGGTGAACTTGCCTGTGCGGGCGCTGGGGGTTAGCTGGCTTGCCTGGGCATGTAGGGAGGGAAGAGGGAGGAGGGGAGGGATTCTATTTTAAAGGATGGGAGGGCTTAATATACCTAGACAGATACCAAGAGATGCTAGGTTGTCCCGTGCCACGGAGGTGGCTAGGTTTGCGACGGAGAGAAGAACATAGTAGACTCTGTCGCGATTCAGACGGAAGACATATCGGTCGGCGTCGGGGGAGTCGTCGAGAGGCGCGATTAGGTTTTTTAGGGAGTTTCCTGTGTAATTTGCTAGCTTCTCAAAGAGAACCTTTGTCTCTTGCTCGGTTAGAGGCCTCATCGTGGCCGTGTTGTTTGTGTTGGGTTTATATTTGTCGAACGAAGCTGGGCTTGGTTTAATGCAAATAGCAGGTAAAAAGATACTAAAAAGTTATTAGTGGGGTGCTGCTGTTCGCAAAGTTTAGAGATGGAAAATATTCTGCCGCTTGGAAATTTTGGCGGTGAAAAAAGGTACTGAGCTAAATGGATGGGGGAAAGTTCCCGGTTGGTTGAACTCTCATTTTAGGTGGGTCGCTGTACAAGGATGTCTTGCGAACTTCTGAAATTTTGAATTTCTTTACTAACAATTTCTCAAATTCTCACTCTCATACTCAGTCAGCATACTCAGTCAGTTGAGTTTTATAATTCACATTTAGCAGTCTTCAAACCATGTCGGCCATGGCATCCAGACCTATCAAGAAGAGAAAGCTTACGCCTCCTCAATCAGACGATGAGGGAACTTCTCACAAGTCTGGTGGGAGGAAAATCAAAAAGGCATTCTTAGTAAATGCAGCAAACTGGAACTTGGAGCAGGACTATGAGACGAAAGCCCGGAAGGGGAAGAAAAATGACAAGGAAAGCACTCGCCTGCCCTTGAAACTTCCCGGAGGACGTGTGCAAAAGTTCTCTGCTCCAGCCGGTGAGTTACAGATTGAGGAAAGTGACGACGACTGGTTGGAAGGCGGCCAGGATGAATCTGGGAATGAGGAAGCAGGACATGAGGTCAACGACAACAGACCCAAGATACCCGAGCATCAGCAGATTCTAGAAGCCAAGGAGGAACTAGCAAAGATAGCTTTGCTAGTCAACGAGGATCCTGACGAGAACGTTGGCGCTTTCAAGGCTTTGGCTAGGATCGGACAATCTAGAATCTTAACTATTCAAAAACTCACCTTGGCTACCCAACTGGCTGTGTACAAAGACGTCATTCCTGGTTATCGAATAAGGCCCGTGGTAGAGGATGCGCCAGAGGAGAAACTGTCCAAGGACGTTCGGAAATTAAGGACATTCGAGTCATCCCTTATCTCAGGTTATCAGGCTTATGTGAAGGACCTCACCAGATATGCGAAGTCGGGACGAAACCAAGCAGGTCGCGGCGGTCAGGGGCCGAGTATTGCGAGCATCGCCATAACCTGTGCCTGCAATCTACTGACCGCTGTACCACATTTCAATTTCCGGTCGGACTTGATTAAGATCTTGGTCGGGAAACTGAGTACGAGGTATGTCGACGACGACTTTAACAAATGTCTGGCGGCGCTCGAAACCCTTTTTAAGGAAGATGAAGAAGGCCGCCCTGCGATGGAGGCTGTTTCGCTCCTCTCGAGGATGATGAAGGCGAGGGAGTACCAAGTGAATGAGAGCGTCGTCAATCTCTTCCTTCACCTCCGCCTATTATCGGAATTCTCCAGTAAAGGATCCCAGGACGCCATCGACCGGGCAGATCCCGTCGGCCCCAATGGCAAGAAGCCGAAAGGAAAGAAGGAATTTCGTAATAAGCGGGAACGGAAGGAAAGGAAAGAGCAGAAGGCGCTAGAAAAGGATATGGCCAACGCAGACGCTTTAGTCAGTCACGAGGAGCGTGATCGATGCCAATCCGAGACCCTAAAACTAGTGTTCGCATCGTATTTCCGGATCCTCAAGCAACGGGTACCAAACCTCATGGGTGCCGTTCTCGAGGGTTTGGCCAAATATTCTCACCTAATTAACCAAAATTTCTTTGGCGACCTACTCGAAGCTCTGAAAGATCTTATCCGGCACAGCGATGCCCTTGAAGAGGAGGAAGATGCTGAAGAGGAAGACATGGACGCCGACAGCCGAAACACCTCCCGTGAAGCCCTCCTCTGCACCACGACAGCTTTTGCGCTACTCGCGGGCCAGGACGCCCATAATGCGCGCGCAGACCTGCACCTGGACTTGTCTTTCTTCACGACGCACCTCTACCAAACGCTCTTCCCGCTATGCTTAAACCCCGACCTCGAGCTCGGCGCGCGGTCCCTGCACCTGCCGGACCCGTCCAAGCCATCGAATGCCGCAAACAGCAATAGCAAAACTAGCAACAAGGTCAACCTGCAGACAACAACCGTCCTGCTCATCCGCTGCCTGACCGCCATCCTCCTCCCGTCCTGGAACGTGCGCTCCGTGCCCCCCCTCCGCATCGCCGCCTTCACAAAGCAACTGGCGACCGCATCGCTGCACGTGCCGGAGAAGTCGGCGCAGGCGATCCTGGCGCTCATCGCCGACGTCGCTGGCACCCACGGCCGCAAGATGGCCGCGCTGTGGAACACCGAGGAGCGCAAGGGCGACGGCACCTTCAACCCGCTCAGCGACAGCGTCGAGGGGAGCAACCCCTTCGCGTCTACCGTCTGGGAGGGCGAGATACTGAGAAGGCATTACTGCCCTAAGGTGCGGGAGGGTGTTGGGATTGTCGAGAAGAGTTTAGCGAAGGCCGAGCGGTAGGGGGGTAAATGGGGATTGGGGCGTGGGGATATGGTAGGGGGTTAGGGGTTAGTCATATAGCATAGGATACATATCTAGGTATCTATGAAAAGAATAGGAGTTCACTCTCGAAAGAGATTTGTTCTACGCAGCAGTAATTCCCCATAAGTACTTACTCAAGAAAAATAATTTTTCAATAGGGTTGTCTCTTTTATATTGAAGTCTTCCAAGGTTTCTTCCTCGTTAGGTATCCTATGTAAGTACCTAGTTTATATAGTAGTCGACAATTTTTGAGCCTCACTCTTCCCCCCCTTGCTATAATATTTCTCGTGCAACGAGTTCAGGTCTCTAGATATGATAAGCCCGTCTACCTACCTACGCAGATAGGTACCTAGGCAGAGAAGTAAGCTACAACCTAGTTTAGATAGGTATCTACACATATAACAGCCTAACCTAGGTAAAACAAGGAAAGGTTGAGGTAGGTAGAGAGAAACGGAAACAAAGTCCGTCACCCAGTACTCAACATCTAAACGTAGCCATTACCTACATTTCACCATCTTAGAATCATATTTCAGAGTAAAAGGGTATATTAGCCTATGAACACAGTAAAACGTTCCTCTTTCATGAGAGGCCACGTTGAGTAGGTACCTAACCCAGGTACCGGGGATTTGTGCCCATCGGCACTGCTCTCTTGCCTTTCCCAGAGCCTGGCGGCTAATACCTAACGCAACTAATGGTTGCCCAGTATCATCCAATTAGCATTACCGTTTGTACTGCCAATTGTAAATTATTAGACTGGGCCTCATAGGCACCTCTAGGGGTAGGTAGATGTGTTGGTGTTCACAAGAAACATATCAACGCACCACCATAACTCATGAATTAGGTAGAGCATGAGTTGGCGTATTTGCAGTATCTCTGCAGATATAGAAGAAAGCGTAATCATTCGCGTGGCTTGGTACCCAGAGTACTTATCCCACACACAATGAAATGGAGATACCGAGATATATCAATACCTCGTAGGTAGTGAGCCCTAGTGAGCCCAGCGCGAGTCCGCGAGGCCCGGTCCTGTTGCAAAGCCATTGGTTACAATTCGGCCAGGGGAACGATGAACACGACTATGGCCACGCTTCTCGGCACTGGGCGGGTCAATGGCCATTGGATCTCCCAGGGACTCTGGAGATTTGGGCCGGTTCGTGTTCCATCGCGAGGCGCTAAGTCCTTTGCGCTTCGGCACAGCATTGCTTATGATGCTTCCCGCATCGCTCATGGTGACATCGTCCTGAGATACCTGGCGGGTTCTGGAGCGGGAGATGGGTTGCAGGACAGGCTGGTAGATCGTCTGTTTTCCCTCAATGTCTAGGATTGATGACTCGTTAGACGTAGTGCTAGGCAAAGAGGGTTGAAAAGTGCTGTTTCTCTGCTGTGTATGCTGGGCGATGAGAGTTCCAAAGCTTTCCGTTTGAGGGGATAGTTCGAAGTCCATGAGATCGTCATTTTCTTCTTCTTGAGAAGCGAACGCGGTTGACTTAGAAGATAGCGAAGGGACTTGGGCGGGCGAGAAATAGTTGCTCGCGGTAGGCTGACTAGGGATCTGTGTCTGTGCCTTGGATGAAGAGGTAGTAGTAACACCGAACTCTTGTCTGCCTGTGTGAGTTGACTCCATCATCGAGTTACCTCTGTTGTAGTTTGGAGATTTGGAGCCTTGCTCGCTAGGTTTCATGCGCTTTCGGCCAGCTCCTCCACTACCGGGTCGGGGAGATCTAGCTCGGCCTTTAGTAGTCGAGTTTGGGTAGGGACGCATAGCAGAGCGTGAGGTTGGCTGGGCGCCATTAGGTACAGCGCCAGAGTTGCTGCGCTGGCCTTTCTGCGAAGGAGAATTTGTACCGGAGCCTTTTCGGGTCGTGTCGCCGTTTTTTGCGCTCTTGCCGCGGCCTCGTCGATTTGTTGGCTTTGGTTGACGGAACGAATCCCGCAGAGCCTTAGCATCCTCTAGACTTCCGAGTTCTTGCATCTTGAGGGTTTGATGTCGGACTTTCTTTAAATAAGTTGACACTAGAAGTTCGTAGCTAGCCTAGAGGAACATTGCAGGTGGCTTTAGTAGGGGGTTTCTTACTATAGCCACCAAGGATGTTTTAGGAGGAAGTTGTTTGTGAGAAAGAAAAGAAGTAGGAAGGAGGGAAAAGAATTGAAAATAAAAATAAAAATAGAAAGGAATAAGCATGATAATAAATACGGGGGCTCGAAAAATGAGAAAGGGCAGGAGCTATAGTGATACTCAAGTCGTTATGTCGTTATGTCGTTATGCCATAGAGACATGTATCACCATTTTAGGTACCTAGGTAGCAGAGTCGATATAAAGAGCAGGAACCCCTTAGTAGGTAACCTGCAGTATATGCCATTCATACTTGCCTATTTCCCTCGTATACCTAGTACCTATACCTGGTACCTATGTATGAGCTCACTTCAACTTAACATGCAGTTCCCCCCTTTTATTCTTCTAAATCCATTGGGACTTGGTTACTATATGCAACCCAGGACTTACTACATGTACATATGACGGTACGTCTATCAGTGATTCTGGCAATACGAGACAGTGCTCCTTTGATGTGTTATTACATCGTTCCATTTAGCAAGTTTCTTGGCCATTGGAACTCGCAGACGCAGGCAACCGCCAAAGTACAAACAGCACAGAGACGCAACATCTTTCTACATGTAGAGCACCTGAGATAATAATCCATGTATAAAAACACATCCAAACCATAACCCCTATCACAATGGTAATTATCTGTACTGAGAGCTAACTGGTATAATGCTTAGTTAGGATTATGACTGCGGTGGCCCACGATTATGCTGCTTTTTGCTACCAACAAACGTTTCGATAACGTTAATGTTCGTCTCCTTATGCTCAGTTGTTCTTGCCTCGTCTAGCCACATCACCTCGATGACCGGGACATGCTGCCGTGTAAAGTCGACCAGAGCCTTTGAGCTTGGAGCACCTTCCCTCAACCCTATGCAGGAGACACGAGGGATACCCAAACATTCCGACAATCGATCCTCACAGGCCTTTGATAGCCCCACTAGCCGAGTAGGAGCTACCATGGGATGTGCTTTCGAGGCAACAGCTACCATTTGAGGTAGATGGCCATTGAGAACATTTGGCTGCCCAGACCGAGTCACAAAGATAGCCGAATAGGTAATGGGTGGTTCTTGACAAACGCCTTTGTCTTCAGCATTGGACTTCCCACTGTGTTCCTTGGATGCTGTCTCCTGCAAATAGCGTGTGACAGCACTGAGACCAACGTCCACATACAGCTTGAGTTCCGGTACAGGAGGAGGAGGGAGATGCTGAGGTTGTGCTATAGGTGCTTTGCGCTTCCGCTTCCTCTCACGTTTGCCGTTCGATAACGTGAGGTGCTCTGAGCGGTATTGACCTAAAGGGGCAAGCAGACTAGGCTCGGTTAGTCCACACGTCAGAGTGTAGGTAGGTAGGGCACAGAAAACTCTGAAATCTAAAACCATTGACCTGAAATAAGCCCTGTAAAGAGCCCTTGAAGTCTACCAGCCAAGAAATTGCTGACTTACTTGCATAGAAGCTCGAGGATTGTGTCTTGGTCTTCGAGATTGATGTTAGGCCTAGGTAGTATTTGAATTAGCCTTCTTTCTTTGATCTGGCTCAGAAGAGATCAGGGCGCGTGTTTGTTACCATGATATTGCTGAATACGGTGTGTCCAGTTGGTACACGATTCTTTTCTTTCTCTCCATCTTGAGATGACAACCCGACGTCTTAGCAAGGCCCGTTGTCGTTAGATAGATGGTGCAAAGTAACTAAGGTTAGGTAACTATTCAACATTTCACTCTTCAATATTCCCTAAAATATCCTGCTAGACGTGAAAATATATTGCCAGGCCCTATATCTGCCTAGTAGGTAGCTAGTATTAAACTGTAAAGGGACTACGATAATTGGAAGAATAAGAACTCGAAGGATAAGAATACTACCTACGTCAAGTGGAACCCTGCCGCTTTTAGTATGTGAGCTAAGAAGCTGAGCAGTCAACCGAGCCAATGGCCAGTGCACGCTGTATGTACCTATACAACTCTCATACATACATATAACATAGTAGTATTAAGAACTTAATAAGAAGGAGTGGTATGGAATAAGGGGAACATTGAACATTAATTTTTAATGAATATGTAACCTATCTGCATACCTACTACCTAAATATTTACACAATACCTACAGTAGTAGGTACTAGGTACATTGGTAGTAAGTAAGGAGGTAGGTACCTAGTATATACGACCTTAAGAATTGTTGATGCTGCACTGATTATCAAAGCTAGCTTGCTGGTGATCGACTTTCAAAAGTCCGAGCAGATAGCTCAGCTTATGTGAATACGACTTTCAGGAACCTGGTTTCATCGATTAGCTTCTGTTCCTCTTGACCTCCAGAGGGGATTTCTATTTGTAGATATGGCTTCCTTGAGGCCTAGGTAATTCTAACCTCGTGCCAAGAAGCCCGAGAGATGATGAACGGCGACATTAAGTAACCTACCAAGTACTCGCGTACATTACTACGGTTGCCCAGACTTACCAATCTATGTAATGAAGAGAGACAACGCTATTTATCGATGGACTCTACGCCATAACTTCTTGATGGTATCTAAATCTTCCTTGACGCCGTCGCTGTCTTCGTGCTCCTTCGAGACTTCTATCTTGGATCTTAACCGGGCCACCACAAGGTCCAGGGCTAGCTTTGGCGAGGCTAGGGACAACTCCTCTCGCAATTTGACTAGGCCGATTATTCTACCGTTGCATATCTGCCTGACAAGATCTTCCGCCATGTCCTGACAGTTACTCGTCAAAAGATTGTAGCGTGGATGCAGTGCCATGTGACGAGCTCCTAAATCTCCGAGTTAGCATTGAGAAGGAGCACGGTTCACCGACTCAGCGCACCTAGTGCTTGGATCTCCTGATGGGATTTCGTCGTTTCGCCGATGTAAAAACATGAATTCCAGGTCGCGATGAATGCGGGGGTGACCTCTGTTATGCGAAAATAATTCTTGCCGAGGACCGTGAGTGCCATTTGGTCGCTCATAAGGTCGTAGCAGTATGAAGGATTAAAGCCGCGATCGATTACACACAATGCCCAGTGATTGATGCTGTTCTGGCTCATGCCGATATGCTTTGCAAGCAACTCGTAGGTGGTTTTTGATAGCTCGAATTTGCCGAATTCGATGAAGGTGGTGATGAGAAAGACGGCTTTGTGAGTCGCAGTGGGATCCCATTCGAGGGGCGGCATGTTGATAGCCGGCTCACCGGTAAGCTTTGCCAATATCAAACGGAGAAATTCATTCTTTTCCTTTCGGCGCCGTTCTCTCTCGACATTGGCTGCAAGTTTCTTGGCCTCCGAGGAGCCCCATGATTTGCTTTGTTCCCTAGGTATCGATGGAAGACACCGTGTTAGAGTCAGATACTTGGACTACTTCGACTATGTATGTATGTATGTCGATATTGTTTGGGGAATTTACATGGAGCAAATAAAGAAACAAACAAACGTTACCATTTTCCCCTGATATATTCTTCCGTGGCGGCCCCAGCGCCTTTTATCTTCGCTAGGGCGTCAAATCCCATCCTGCTCCTGCTAACCATATAACCGGGTACTTAGTAGTAGTCTATCTATCAGCTAGACGGATAGATCGTAGAAGAATGACGAAGTTTAAGTAGTCCATATACATATGTATGCATTTCTCATTTTCCCGTTTCCCGTTTCCCGTTTTCCGAATTTCCATACGGAGTGGTCCTAGGTCTATCTTTTCCCGCTTATGTATGTTTATTCGTATGTATGAGTGCGTAATACGGACGGCTATGCGGCTGGCCCAAGAAACTAAACAACATGGAATATATGGGCCTTATGTACTTGATATGTACAATAATGTGCATATCAAATGTAATTATAGCACCTACCTACCTATCTACCTACTAGGTAATGAATAAGGCACCGAATTCAACTAGTATGCAGGTGATGCATCCATGGATGTCTATACGCGGCGCCTCTAGTGTAATATGTATGTATAAGCGCAGTCTATCTTGGGGCTGATCTAGATTTCCTTTTACTATGTCGTAGTTAACAATTTAAGCTGTATGTAGCTCATCCCCCAAAAATATCTGTATACATGAATGGACATACCTAACCTACATCGTAATGTGTAGATATAATGTGTATAATGTGTATAATGTGTATAATGTGTAGATAGTTATGCATGACATCAACATTGTATAATTTAAATCACACTTGGCGATTGGCAGTAATTGGATTTGAACAATTTAAAGCCCCATGAGATGTATGTATGTAGTATGTACCTCGGTGTGTCAGGGCTATGACTATGTACTAGGTAGTATGTACTATGTAGGTACATGTAGATTCACATACATGTGCACTTGAATGTTTGACACATGTGCGTTTTGTTTGGCATTAGTCATCATTCCCGTTGTCTGCTATGCACTAGCTGCGGTAGGGATTACTAGGTATGCAATTAGACATTACTAGGTAGTTTATCTTACCATTCAAACACATCAATATCGATATTAATGTTGTACAGTATTAACTGTATTATTACAGCAGTAGGTATTAATGCCAACAGTGCGTGCAGATAGCTACAACTTAAAGCTACCCTAGGGCCTAGATATTGCATTGTATTGTACACTGTACCTAACACTACATAAGCACTACCTACCTTAATTAGTAGTACCTAGTACTAGTTAGTGTTAATGATGTAGTTAGGGCAATTGCAGTGATAGTTAAAGTCCCCACTTCAAAGCTTACACTAGCGCGTCATCTACTTCCAGAACCCTTCACTCAATCATACCCAGTATTACCCACAAGCAACTGAGCATATTCCGTACCCATACATACTTGACCCCATACCTCCCTCCCAGCTTAGGTAGGCATGTACATATTTCTTCGAGTGCAACAAGGAGCTTTCCATCCCAAAGGACGATCCTCGACTCACACAAGCCAGCCTTATTATTCCCCTACCTTACCTGTCTTGCCTATCTATTTACATCCATACTACCAGACATACTACACAATTGTCTACTTACCAGCCTACCCACTCAATTCAGTGTTACATCATATTCTTCATTGAACGTCCTGATTGCTCTATCAGGCATTAACATTGAATACTTTACTTATTGGCTACATATAGCTCTGCCTGTGTTGCACTTCAAGAGCATTTGATCATTCATCAAGCATCAACTATCTAACCTACTACAATAGTATGTAGGTATTGATTGTAAGGATTTATCATTGTTCAACCCATTCCCCATGCAATTCACTCAAGCTACATATCTAGGTACCGAGTTTCGCGACTGTCTTGTTATTGGGTGAGTACATTATTTTCCTTTTTCGTGTCTTCTTTTCTCATTTATTTTTATTTTTTATTTTTATATTCATGTGTCCCTCCTACCTATCTACCTACCTACTCAGATTGTCCTGTGGGATTGCGATGACCCAGTGGGACATTTCGAAGAAAGCAATATTTTAAAAAAAAAAAAAATATTGAAGATCAAATCAATGGACCCTAGTTGGCCCCTACCTCCTACCATTTACCTACCTACTTACCTACCCTAGGTACCTACCTACATACCCGGGATTAGTAGCAGTCCCCTAAAGGTTAGCTAAGCTAGGCCTCCTACATACGGCTACTACTACGCAGCTACGGTACCTAAGTTTAGGTAGCTGAAGCTCTTCCAAGGTTCCAAGGTTGTGTCTTTCACACCTGCGCACCTACATAGCAACTTGCCAGGGCTGCCTTCCTAACTTATTCTCCACAACGCCCCTCCCCCACCATTAGCCAGACCCAGAGAAAGCCCCCCGTCGACCACCAAAAAAGTAACTGGAGCTTCTCCAAACACTAAAGTCCATCATCACAATTCACACCAAGCTTGTACTATCTTTCCTCTACTCCTTAACAAGGGCATTTTCTTCTTAGAGAACTGCGAGAATTGTATTTTCCTTTCTTGTAACTTTCTTGATACCCCTGTACACCTTTTATTCACTTCTTTATTCTTCTTCTACTTTTCCTTACCATCTATTCTAATCCTTTCCTTCCATTGTTTTACCCCGCCTACTTTTTCATCAACCCACATGCTAATTCTGGAGTCTACCAACAGCCGCCGAGCCTTCTCGCGCGAACGCCTCAAGCTTTGTCTGGAGCTCCACGATTATCCCCCTTTCCGACCGTGTCAGCTAGTTCCAGGTACAGATGGATCAAGATACGAGATCATCCGAGCCGCGAGAACGTGCAATCTCCTCTGAGCCTTGCTCAACTCGTCCCAACCCTTTCGACGACAGTGATATCTCTGCCCGAAAACGTCGTAGGACCTCTCTTTCTGGCTCTAGAAGCGCGTCTGTTGATACTATTCTATCTCGGGACGATCTCGCGACCGCGTCCGACTCCAATATCATGAAGGTTGACACACCAGAGCCTCTGCCACCAAGCACACCACCTCGCGCAGAGCACACCACAGAGCCCACTACAGAACCTGTATCGAGCAGGGTCACTATTAACTTAAGGAACGTTGATAGCCTTGAAACTACTCCCCCCTCCCCACCTTCTCCCACACCTACACGCCTCAGAAAGGATATTATAAAGGTCAGCGTGGAAGAGCCAGAAGTAAACATGATGCAAGAAGCATTAGCTGAAGATACATCATCTTCTGCATCCGAAATCGATAGCCCCGAAGCACCTACAGTATCCTTTGACGACGATCTAATATTCTGTGGCGCGCAACCCAATGTGACGTTACTGGCAGATGGCAGAGCAGCGCAGTTCAGTACTGCCATGCTCGAGTTTCCCTACCACACTGATGGGGAGACATATCAAGAGACGGTCCATCGCCTTGCAGATTACTTTCGGCAACGTGCGTCGAAACCCCCCAACCCATCTCGTCACTCCGTTAACGATGCTGCAGAAGCTGTGCATGTCGATGAGGCCTTGCAGTCTTTACTTTCGTGGCTGAATAGGTACATAGATTGTGCCCATATTGAGTTGTACCCCATGGTTATGGAGGCATACCAGGAAAATAAACAGTTCTGGCAGGCTCTTCCTGACCTTTTTTACACCATAGCTCATAGGTATGTGGATCCTGCAGTTAGCTTTATTGGGACATTTAATTAATGAAGTTTCTTTTGTTTAGATATGGTCTATCAAAGTCAATCCAGACTCGAGAGATTGTCGGCCAGTTATTAGTGCAGATCGCAAGGCTATCCGCATTCCTGTTTGCAATTGACTGTCGAACACTCACGCAGGCCACAGGCCCAGAAGATGCCGAGTACGACTTGGTATCACCAAGTTTCCTTCGATTACTTGGATCCGTGAATATGAAAGATGACGACCAACTAGCTAACGGCTTTGTCTATCCGAATAACCTGGGATTATTGGATTCTCTCCATATATTCCAGGCAAGCAGTGCCGATTTACTCGGTCAATTGAACCGCTTCACTGAATCCATTACCGCCAATGTGCTCCAGTCCCCAAAGAAAGTAATGGACGGTCTTGTCGGAGTCTCTTGGCTCATGGACAGCCTCGTACGCGACAGTTATAAGAAGCACGTCTTTCCCGGAGATATCGAGCCAGAACTCCTTAACCGCTCGAGAAAGAATTTGGATTATGGTACAAGTTACTTTAGAATTGTTTCGGATGCTATTGATCTTGTGGTTGATAAGTCCATCAACAACCTAGGTTCCGAAACTGCCGCAACTCTCATCTCTACTCTGGCGAGCATTCTCAAATATAGTCTGCTGAGCGGGACTCCAGAAGCCCAAAACCTCATAGATCGTCATCGCCGTCAGCAACCTGATATCCTTGATTCATTCAGACCCGAAGCAATTTCCATAGAATGGCGAATGCGTGTATACTGTAAACTGGTAAGATCACGCCAGATGCAACTCAGAGTTACAGCAGCCGCAGCCTTGTGCGAAGATCTAGTTTGTCAGTGGCGAACATATATCGATCGCCATGAAAGCGGAGAAGACAACCCATACATAGTTTACCTGCGATACTTGTCTAATTATCTAGTCGATACTGAGATAGTTGACTATCTCCTTGGGCCAACATGCCATCCCGAGATTACTCAAGCAAGCTTTAATATCGTGGGATTCTTAGCCGTCACCAAGACTTACAAACCAGCGCAGACAGACCTCCTCTGGCAAACTTTGACCTCCACACAGGACCCTCGAATATCTGACGCTATAGTTCGTATGATGTCTAAAGTCGTCGGCTTACTGGATCTTGAAAGCTTGGGTTACATGTGTGAAAAGTACTCCGCCCTACCGATCGAATCTTTCTCTTCTTGCATGCGGGAATTTTTCGATCACGTTACTAAGCAAATGCTCGAGAAGATGTCGCCATACAATTGCATACCTCTTTCCCCTTACTCGATATGCGTTCGGCTAGTACAGGAGTCTTCCATCTATGGCCCACAGGGCTCTGTACTATATCCAGAGGTTTACCACTTTGCTATGTCAAAGTTTTCCTCTCTTTTGATGGGAGGACCGGACGACGAAGGGCGTCAGATCATGTGGATGAATTGTGTGCAAGATATTGCCGCCAGGTCACGATCAACGACTGGCAGTCTCCAAGTCCTTTATACGCTAATGAGCAATCCACAAGGCTTACTTATGTTGATATCTCAACACAACTTGACGCAGCTCCTCGTTGACGAACTCGAAACCACGATTGCTAATGCAAAGGCAGTTGGATTTACGCCCGTCTACGCCCACGCGATTGGTGTTGCTCGTCGAAAATTTTGGTCTACAATCATCGTAAACCATGGTTCCACTATTGACGCAGAGCTTGGTCAGCGTCTCTGGGATCTTCTGGTTGGAAATGGTGCTGCATGCCAAGATGATAGAAAAGTTGCTTGGGACGATTTGAACACGGCTCTGAAGAGGACAGGGCGAGGGGACAATCCGTTTCTCAAGGCTTGTTTGCGAGAATACTTGCCCAAATTACCACCTCCATGCTATTGTGGGGGCTCGCTCGCATTTGTCCGGGAGGTTATTATTCCCCTCGCAAACGACATTAATGGGATCAATCTAGATGACGACGTTGGCCTGAAATCGGTAGGGATAGAATTAATTTGGCAGATGATTCTCACAGCCCCGAGCCACACCATCGAAGAAGCGGCCATTTCAACGCTGGTTGACGACATATATGTCGATAGCAAGTCAATTATGTCTTATCCTCTCCATCGCGCACGGCGGGTCCATTTCGCTCTTGTCCAGCGGTGCCTTCAGCAACTCAAATCTGCCGCACAGAGTTTGACGTCTTTTGGGGAAAGTGCGCCAAGTGATGACAGCCAGTCATTGGATGCGGACAGCCAACGGGAACTCGAAGAGTTACAATTCACGAGATCTCTACAGGTATTGATAGCGCTTCTTAAGGCATTGCAGACAAGGGTGCATTTTGCGGCACCCGACTTGCGATCTCTGATGCTACAGGCCCCTAGCCCGGTTGACGGTGATCTTGCGGACCTGAAATATCAATCTTTTAATGGTGACGACCAGACAGATATAAGGCCGCTCAATATTGGACTCAAGAACACTGCCGCATCGCTTCTTGCTAGCTTGCGTGAAGCAACTGGCTTTGACAACTACCGACTGTACTATCGTGGGCAACCTCTAGCGCCGTCGGAAACTGATATCTGTAGGTCTATCGGAGATCTCGACATCAAGAATGGATTGATCCTTGTGAGAAGAGAATCTGGTATTGGGAATACTCCCAAGCGTATCAAGCCAGGCGCATCGCCACTCGATATCGAGATTTTGAGTCATTTTAAGGACCTTTGGGAGTACTTAAGCATGGAGGAGAAGTTGGCGCGGGAGGTAAGCTTTCCCTAATTTCATATATAGGATTATACTGACGACACGATTTTAGATCTACCAATTTCTAGTGTCACTCCCAGCGGACGATTCGATCTTGACGGCGTTTGAGGATCCCGCAACGTCGTACCGAGACTTTTTCCCGCTTGGCCAACCTTTCAAATCGCTATATGCCCTACATGCGCTCCGCGAATACCTTAGTACCCGACGACTAAAGAGCAGTGTGATGCAGGTGTCTTCGCTGGATCGTGAGGTTCAAGTGAAGACTACCAACGATCAACAAGAAGCTCTAGACAGGGCAATATCCTTGATCGTGGCAGCAATTTGTGACCCTGAAGTTGTCGAGCGAGGCTCGAGCGAAGCTCTGAAACTCAAACTTAGCCTTGAACTTGTGGACAACTTTCTTCAACTATTAAAAGGTAATTGGATTTGTGACTCCTTTGACTTGGTATTGGCTGACTAACTAGGTGAAGAAACTACAGATATGGAGGCTGTGATGCCACTCTTAAACCTGGACTTCCAGAGTCGACTATTTCTGATACTTACCGGCGCGGCAGCAGCTCAGACAGACCAACTCAGTATCGAACTAATTAATCGAGCCTTTGAGGCCTTGCTCGAGTCTTGTTCCAAGAGCAACACATTCTGGTTGGGAGTCAGGGGTCAAACAGGGGTACAGAAACTGGTTCAACGGCTCCTTCTCGACGACCAACGCCCCATAGTGAGGAAGAATATTGCTAGGCTAATCACCTTTAAGTGCCTTAGCGATAATGCTCAACCCGGTGCACGAGCATTGGACTTTGCCGAGTTGTTTTGGCCTATTGTATTCCATCTTATTCCTCGAGCTGTTTCGGAACCGAGCAAATGCGAAGAGACGTTTAACCTCTCCTTCCAGTTACTTCATAAACTAAGCAACGAGAATTCCGCCGCGGTCAACTTGCAAGCTTGCATCAGCCAATGTGGACAGCTTCTGCTGTCCTACACAACTACAGAGGACATCGCTCACCCGAGTAGGGATATTGTAGCACATGGGCTGATTACGATTCTGAGTATTGCAATTACGGATGCAAAGGCGAGAAACGAGCCAATTCAGATTCCTCCACATTTTGTGTCGAGATTGTTCTCACAGCATCTCTTCCCACCTGATAATGAGGATGAAGCGCTGGTGCCAAAAGTGATGCTCAACACCTCGTCACGAACTATGCTTTATGATATCATATTCACCCTGGTGAAAGACGATGCATCACTTTCCATCCCCCTGCTTAACAGTCTGGACATGCTCACAGAGCACCGTGCCACTTCTGGTACGGAAGTGTACAAGTATGACCTTCCACAAGCTTTCGAGAGATCAAACGCTATTAGATCATCTTGCGGATACGCCGGACTACGAAATCTGTCGAATACCTGCTACCTGAATTCTCTCTTCACACAGTTATTCATGAACGTTGGATTTCGCCGCTTCATGCTCGAGAGACCAGTACCAAACCGGAATGCTCATAAGTTGCTCCACGAGACTCAATTATTATTCGCATACCTACAAGATAGTCGAAGACGTTATGTGGAGCCGAGTGACTGTGTAAATCAAATAATGACCTATGAGGAAACGCCCATCGATATCCACAATCAGATGGATGTAGACGAGTTCTATAGCCTTCTTTTTGATAGGTGGGAGTCGCATCTACTCACGGAAGCCGATAAGAAGATTTTGAGGTCATTTTTCGGGGGCCAGTTGGTTCAACAAGTGAAGTCTAAGGAGTGCCCACACATCTCAGAGCGCATCGAACCCTTCTGCGCAATCCAATGCGACATCAAGGGCAAATCCAGCCTCGAGGAAAGCCTTCAAGCCTACGTGGATGGCGAGATTATGGAAGGAGGTAAGTTCATTCGTTTTGCTTCAACGCTTGCTGTTCTGACATTATCATCTTAGACAACAAATACAAGTGTTCGGATTGCGACCGGCATGTAGATGCGGTCAAAAGGTAAGTTGAATCTGGGTTGCGATCAATGCCCTTGATGCTAATTGTATAAACAGAGCATGTCTGAAAGACATTCCCGATAACCTCATCTTTCACCTCAAGAGGTTTGACTTCAACCTGAGGACTCTCACACGCAGCAAGATCAATGACTATTTTCCGTTCCCTACCAAACTTGACATGCAGCCGTATACCATCGAGCATCTAAGTGATCCTTCTCAGAACACGAAACCGGACATGTTCGAACTGGTTGGAATCCTCGTACATTCTGGTACGGCCGAGTCCGGCCACTACTATTCGTATGCTCGAGAACGACCTACGACGAGCGAAAGGCCGTCATGGATTGAGTTTAACGACGAGGTGGTCAGCGCGTGGGACTCCTCGCAAATGGAGAATGCTTGTTTCGGGGGATCGGATCTTCGACCCCAATTTGAAGCCGGTACCACGTATGAGAAGGTTTACAGTGCCTACATGCTATTCTACCAGCGATCTTCCTCGCTGCAGAAGGAGCAAGATATGCTGAAGGCCTCGGGCCAAACTGGTCCTTTACGAGTGGAACTTGACAGAAGCCTCGAATCAATAGTCAGGAAAGATAACTGGTCCATCGTTCAGCGTCATTGCCTCTATGATCCAGCGCACATGCCTTTTGTGTACGGAGTGCTCGTGCAAACGTGGGGTGCTAAGTGCTCCAAGGACCACATCAGAGAAGGCCTAGCAATGCAAATTGCACTTGGCCATTTGGACCAGATTGCATCTCGAGCTAAGGATCTTCCGGATTTTGACCAGCTCAAGACCCTCGTGGTGAAGGTCTGCCAACGATGTCCGTTATGTTGTTACTCGTTCTTTGACTACTTTGCACGTCACAAAGAAGCTCTGCGCATGCTCCTGCAGAGGAACTCGGACCTAGCAGTCCGCCACGATATAGGAAGACTTTTCATACACGCTATTTCTGTCATCAAAAAAAGCTTCCCAGGACAATATGGCCCGTATGACGATGACAGCAATACAATGACAGGCTCAGTAACAAGCTCGAAAGATCGGAGACCCCTTGTCATGAATTCAGTATTGGATCTATTTCTGCATCTTTGGGAAAACTTCCACACACGCCTCAATGCCTGGCCTGAATGCTTTGGAACCATGCTTGAATTCGCTCGGATGGGGCGTCATGAGGCTCTCATGTTCCTAGATAAGGACTTTCTGTACAAGCTTCTCATGGTAATCACGGTTGATCAATCCTTTGATTTGTCGACTCAATTTTCACGACTCCTTAGTTCAATATCAAGGCGTACGACAAGACCACCAAATTACGAGAGCATCATTGCCTTGATCGATGAAATCTTAGCCGTCATCGACCCAGTAATAGGCCAGGCTCACTTCCTTGAGAATGCATGCGGCCGATTGTCGATGGCGTTACAACAGGAGCCAGTTCCATTCACAGCCCAGGAAGTAAATCTAATTCACAAGGACTGGGGTAGGAATCAAGGAAACGTCTTTGCGGATAAGCTCATCATGCTCAACCAAAACCACATTGCCACCGATTCCATAATCCAGCGCCTTATTGCCTTCAGTCACATGTTAGACTATAAGATATATGTGACGCTACGGCTCGGAATCACTGGGGAGCTGACTTCTAATATTGTTTCGCCATATCTGCGTGCTGCAGTGACATATTGTCGCCACAGTATCAGTCCCGACAACGTCCACCGCCTAATCAACCATGTTAGTAATCAATGCAAGAGCCTGCAAAACGCGGAAGGAAGGTCCTTTTTCGAGTTCCAGAGAGACGTCTACGATGGAACACGGAACACGGGTGAGACGAGCTACAGTATTCAGCTGCAAAGTTTGGAGAATATCCCAAAATGGGCTCCAGGATTGTTAGGATACATTGACCATACGGTCAGTGATGATGTGGATAACTTCTTGCAAGGAAAGCTATTTAGGTATGGTCCTTCGCCAGCTCTCGGTGATAGTGTTGGTGACCTTGAACTATCGCACACGGTAAACTCAACAGCCAAGCGTCTCGCAGTCAGTTGTCTTGAATATCTACGGGATACATATGTTTCTCGTGGAGCGCAAGCAGCCCGATATACGGTCACTCCTTTGAACCGAGTCATAAAGAAATGTGAAGCATATTTCGGACTGGACGAGGAGATGGAAGATGATCTTGAAGGGCAATACTTGGAACTCTGCCAAGGTAGGGGAAACCTCTGACACGAGCCACGCTGTCAATATTTGACGAACTAATTATGCTCTAGCGGTCCTGGAACCGATGGATAGACTCACGGTCGACGAAATAGAAGAGGATGGTTCCGGTATGTGGAGCGACTCTACCACGGCCACCATGGACTATGACTGACGAGGTCAAGATTGGGAACAGTCAGTGGGCTCCTCGGAGCAAATGGACAGCTTTGCAGATGCCGGCATACAATTTGACCGTTCACGGTCCGGCTGAGTTGTACGAGGAGGCTTTGAAAGGTAGTGTGCAAAGGCCTACCCGCGGCTGCCCAACAGCATTGGGTTTGATGATGGGGATGAATCAAGATGACGATGGTATTAATCACGACTGATAGTGGTAGACTTTATGATAGGCCGGCCGGATAGACGGATAGGCAAACTAAGGGTCAATGCATAGTACTGGCGTGCTGGGCGTCTCAAGGAAGGGATGAATGATATTTGATAGTTGTTCCGCTGAACTGGAACTGGAATGAGTGGTCTAGTTTTACTAAACCAATCTATCTAATTGTACGAATAAAGTTTTATTCCACACAAGTTTTCGTAATGTTGGTTTCCTCTAGGTGCCCAGCAAAGGTGTAAAGATGGCGGGTAGAAGGAACTAATAAAACGACAGATCACCATTTGTTTCCTGTATAGATGAAGTCACAAAGAATGACATTTCCTACTTGATGGAATATTTGCAATTTTAGATGATGGAACAGCAAGGGGGAAAGAGGGGGGGGGGGGGGGGGGGGGGAGAGGAGAGGCCAAGACCTTGACGTTGAGCTTTGCCTTTGTATTGTACAACTAATAGGCGTCCGCTCTATTTTTGGTATGTACTATGTAACTACCGAGATAAGCCTAGCCTGGGCGTGAAAATGTGTAGCTATATTTGGATCATACCTAGTTACTTTTTTAGCCGCCGTGCTTAAACAGATGCGGGGGAGGATTCCCTGGTCTCTGACTGGCTGGCTTTGTTAAGTATTTTCCAAGGTTTTTTTTTTTCGTCAGGGTTCAGGAATTCGCGATTGGTTGAGATTTGATACGCCAATAACCAGGTATGGCCCGCCATCACATCTTTTTTGTGCATGCATGCATGGTAGGGGACATGGTTCGTTCGGGGGGGTTTTTAGCAAAGCTGCTAGGTACATAGGTTAGGTAGAAACTAACTAACAACTTGAATGATCGAGAGCTCCCTCTTCCTGGAAGTTGAACTCTTCAGCGGTAAATGGGGAACCTAAATGGGTTGGGAAGGAGATTATCAACTACCTACATAAGCTTTGCGCACGTACAAGGTAGTCAGTTATTACATACACCTGACTTGGGTCACTAACTAACTAACTACCCGGACCCTAGGGTAATGTAGTAACTAGCTGTGCGTGCATATGCACCTCGACGCACACACATATCGTACGTGTGTAAAAGCTGCAGGTGGCATATGCAGGCTAGGTCTTTCGTCTTTGTCTAATGGTCTAACGAACCACTCACAAATCACAAATTATTTCCCAGTTCTCCTGAAACAAATAAAAAAAAACGGTAGGTAGGTAGATTAGACGACAAGACTGCATGTGGTTACCGGCCTGTTAAGTGCTTGCGTGCGGTGGATAGATGGATGGATGAGGGGGGCGGGCCTGACTGACTGACGCTAAAGATTCTCTGGGAAATTCCGAATAAATATAGAATTTCTCGGTTTGGGGGGTAGGTAGTCAGGGCCTGGTAGGCAGTTTCTCTGAATGAGTGCACAACAAGAAAGAGAGAAAGAGACAGAGACATCTGACAGGGAAAGCGAGGGACGGAAATGTAACTAAACAGAACCCGCTTGCTTCCCTTGCGTCCCATCTCATGTTCTCCCTACCTATGTACGGGTAGGCAATTACCAAAAAAAGACCCCCCCCCCCCCCACGACCCAGTGTACTGTAAGAGCGTAAGCCATCGAATGGTTTTTGTTTCAATGTTTTCGTTTTTCGTTTGTTTCATCGTCCTCGAAGCGCTATGCTTTTTTTATCTTTCTATCTACTAGGTATAGGTATGTTAATTAATTCTACTACCTATGCAATGTTTTGGGGAAAGGAGGTAAAAAAGTAAAGAAGCTTGCTTCCTATGAGGAATCCTTGGCTTCAATTCCCAAGTACCCATACCCATACCCATATCCTTTCTTGGACCAGATTTTGGAGAAGACCCCTGCTTGAACGAACAACTTGTGATATCCATCTACACATGCACTAGGCCCCCCCTTCCCCCCTTCCCCCCATCCGCTCCCCTCACCTTCTCCCCCACCGCCTCTTCATTTATATCTAGACCACTGCCCCCCCTTATCCCCCAAGGCGTACAAACATTTTCTTATCACTTCGTTGCCGGACGGATGACGATATATCCGGTCTAGTGGGTTTCTGTTTTGTTTTTCTTTCTTCTCTTCCTTATCCCTATTCCATTCGTATTATACAACCGAGGAAACATTCATTATTAAACCTCTGTTGGCTTGAATCTTATTGCAGTGCGGGACACTTGTTTATTTTGATATTTTCCTGTTTGAACGTTTGGCCGTAAATACATTTGACTCTCCTTTGCATTGCATTGCACTCGGCCGTCATGTCGATTATCAAGCAGCGCATCTCGTCACCCCTGGAGGCGGGGACCTCGATCCTCGATGTCTCCAACCTGCCGTCTCACCTCACGGAGGCTTTGGAATACACGTCCAAAAGGCTCGCGAGGAAGGCCTTGCATATCACCTTGGTTGTCGTGAGGAGAGACTACCAACTCCCAAGCGTGGTGCCGCCGTGCCGGACACCACCAACCTCACCGCCGCTCTCGCCGCCTCCCACGCGTTTCACCTCCCCCGTAATTGGGCTGAAGCAGTTGGTACGAAGAGGCACAGGAAACAACAACAACATCGCCACACCTATCACATCGCCCACTTTCTCACCACCTCCAACGGAGGCCCTCCCTAGTCCTCGCCGCTGGGCCGTGCCACCTACACCCGGTAGTCCCCCGATCACCCCAAACACGCCATGCAGCTTTGTCACAGCCTCTTCTACGCCCCCGATGACACAGGGGCCCAACGAGTTCGGCATTCGGCTGGTACACACGGGTTTGCTTTCGCCCAAAGCTGAGAAGGTCCTACAGACGACGATCCTCAAGGCCGAGCGAAAGTTCCGCATCGGCACAGGCTGGCTGCTGCCGCCCACCACCACGGCGTCCTCGTGCGGGCTGAATCCAGACTTGGTGGTGCGGAGCATACTGCAGAACGAGGTGCTCTTCTCGTCCGAGGGCCTCACGTTGCTGGGACTCGACAGGCTGTACACCTTCAAAGCGGCGTTGTCCGCGTACGCTCGCTGTATGTACGGCGGGGGCACGTCGTCGCCATCACCCATGTCGCCGACGTTTAAACCCACAGACAGCGGCACACGGCTGGAAGACGCGGTGGACTCGCTGCGGCGCCTGGTTCTCGCTAATGGCGGACGACCAGTGTCAAGGTCAGATGTGTATCGGAGCTACGATTGGTTAGGGATCAACCCCCGCGCGCTCAGGGACGTTGAAAGCATGTACAGGCGCGCGTACGGTGGGCCCGAGCGGGCCGGCGCTTTCGAACTAACACGTGAAGAGCGGGACCGTGATCTTGATCGCGAACGCGAACGAGTACGTGAACGTCAACTGCAGGAGAGACCCGTAGTCAAGATTGGCGCGCCGCCCCCGCCCAAAACGCCGCCGCGAACGCAGACCACGCCCGTGCTGACGCTGAACACGCAGCTAGCCGCTGCTACGACGGCGAAGATCTTGAGGCCAAGGCCTAAACCCGTGCCGCGAGACTTACCGACGCAAGGGGTCGGGACGGCGGACGAGAAGGGGTTGGTAAAGGTGACGGATGTGGAAGTGGAACCTGGGGTTACGGAACTGGAGATTAAGGTCGATGGTGTGGTGACGAGAGATAAGCGCCATTGTGACGAAGGTGACGGTGACGGCGACGGCAACGGGTGTAAGGAAAGAAAGGGAGAAAGCAATAGCGGAGACACGGCGCGGCTGGCCCCGTGTGTACCTCTGTGGACAGGGGGGATCTCGATTGACGAGCTACTATCGCCATGCGACGACAGTAAAAGCATCGTCAGCACCATCCGGCAATCGCAAAGACTGGGCCCGACGACGCCCAACGGGTACGACGACATCTCGCCCATCACGCGGGGCGAGTGGGGGTTCTTGTTTAATGGGGACGGGTGGAAGGGAGGGAGGACGGCGGCGGTGGAAACGTGCTAGGTTAGATAGGTATGTAACATACGTGCCTCCTAACCTACACGATTGCTGTTCGTTCGTATGTAGGAATAGGAGGTGCTAGGTATATACAGTACTACGTAGTAGGCATTTGGTGTTTGATTTTGTTTCCCGTAGGATAATCATGAGGACGAGCGAGATACGAGTATGAATATAAACAATGAGAATGCAAATAAGAATGAATATAGATGAACGGGCATAATAGATTTAAAAATTCGGGATATCTCTTGTCCGCGAGAACCAAACCCGCGCATTCAATATGAAAATAAATGTCTTGATCAAAAACGCCAGGCCATGCATGCGGTAATCGTGATTATGGTTTACATTTTCCCTCCCTTTGTAAGCAAAGCTTGTTCTCCTAACTCATATTCTTCTTCTCCTTAGGTAGGTCGGCATAGCGCATACGTGAACTGGGACATAGGTATGATACGGTTCCCCACGGGGAGACAAGTAATAATGATAGTAAAAATTACCGCCATCCGTACCGTGAACCGGCCTCGTTCCGGTTGTTCTTCCCCTTGGCGAAGCTCTCCTCGAGGGCTTCGCGCTGAGTCTGGGCCTGGGTGACGAGCTGGCGCAGGTTGTGCTTGCCGCCGGTGGCGATGGAGCGCACGGGGTTATAGGCCTGCTGCTGGCCCGAGGCGCGCAGCTGCTCATTGTGCGCGTACTCGCGGTCCGTGTCAAACATGACGACCTTGCTAGAGGCCATGGACGCGTCGGGGGCCCCGCGGCGGCCGAAGAGCTCGCGTCGCGCTGTGGCGGATAGGTTCATCTCGGATGCGATGCTGTCGAGGGAGGGGTGGGTGGAGGATGTGGTGGCTGATGGAGGAGCGGCGGAAGAGGAAGAAGATGTTGCAAACTGCGCGTCGTAGGCTGCGAACTCGTCGGCGGGCGAGGTGTCTTGGGTGTCGAACATAGGTTCGTAGGCGCCGTTGCTGTTACCGGCGTTCTCTTCGACTTCTTCTGTTGCTTCGTCCGGTATGGAAAAGAGGGATATCTTTTGCTTTTTTGCGGGCGGCCCTGCTGCTACTTCTTGCTGCGGTGATGGCTCGCTCGTTTGAGGGGTTTCTTTCGTAGAAGCGGCGCTTCTTGACGTTGTGGCTATGAACTTGGTCGTATTTTTCTTGTTTGACTTCCTAGATACCGAAAGGGGCTTAAACATCAACGGTTTCCCTACCAGCTTGACTTCGTCTGCTGGCTTCTGCTCGGCGGGTATGGAGGGCTGTTTGGTGGGAACGTCTGCATCTCCGGTATTCGTCTCGTCGTAGTGTCCTCCATCGCTGTTCCCATCTACCTCCCTACTAAATCCTGGCGCAGAGCCCGTCTTTAGGTTGACTCCGGGTCTTGGTGGTGCTTTCCCACTACTACTCCCAACTGAAGGCTTTCCTGCATTTTTCGGGGGAGGGAGTAGGGAGTTGAAGCCGCTGAAGGCGCCGCCTCCTCCACCTATCTTGGCGCGTTTAGAGGGTAGCCCATCGCTTGCGCCATCTGTTGTTTCGCTCTCATTTTTGCCGGATGAGCTTTGGGAGAGGTTGATGAGAATCTTGCCCGGCTTCGATCGGTCGACAACTTTTCGGAAAGGCTTCTTGCCACTCGCTGTTGCGGTTACTGGCTTCGAGGACGGCGCGGGATTAGCAACGGCTTCAGAGTCAGATTCCGAATCTGAGTAGTCGACAAGACCCATTTTCAATAGGATGAAATCGGTGTGTAGTTTATGGGTTTCGTTTGGTGAATGTGGTTGTAAAAGATGAAGAAGATTGAAACTCGATCCCACAGTACCAGGTAAGTACCTATTAGTTAAGCTACTGCCACACAAAGATTGTGGCGTCACTAATACGGGGCGCCTATGTGGCGCCAGAAGTTCTGCAATTTCTTCTGGATAGTTCTAACTACAGTGCGCCACTAAATTATTCGTACTGTACGCATAGATGGTCACCAAATCAATTATTTTGAGCTGTGTCGTCGAAAAGAAAGCTCATCTCTCCGCTGCCGTCTGGACTAATAGGCTTAGGGTCTAATATCTCATTTAGAAAAGCCTGCCCTTGTCTGACTGAGTTCTTTGAGGCAGCGGAGGACTGTTCGGCGGGAGATGGTATCTTCCTTTTTGTCGGATTTTTCTTTCAACTGGTCAGCGATTTGTTGGGCAGACCACTTTTTACCTGTGCTATTGCGGGTGATAAGGTCGGCAACGTCGTTTGCTCTGGCGCGTACTTTAGACGGTCTACCGGATCGTTTTGCATCTTGAACGTAACTAAGAAGAACAGGACTGCCTTTCACGTAGCCGCGCTCCGTGGCCTTTTGCAGGAGACGAGAGAAGCCAGCTAGGGATATACCCGTAACCTCTTGGATGCGTTTACGCGTAGCACCTATTCCAAACAAGGTAAGGGCCTGGCAGCGTACGCCGTTGTCTATAGGCATTGTTGGGAATATCTTCCAATACCAAAAGTGAATAGTAAGTGATTAGGGTTAGGTAGGTTAAAGCTCAAATCGAACGTAGGCTGAAAATGTGGAATATGATAGTTAGGTATGTACCCCTTAAAGAGTGGCGCACTGTAAACCAACTCAAAGGAATTTGTAGAACCTTGAAACTTTTGGCCTCAGCCTTCGTAGGGAGTCATGCACTATAAAAAGTGGATACCGTAACAATCCATTGTCATTGTTTCTCTTTCTCCTTCCACATTTCACATTTCACATTCCCATGCCTCCCAATAACATCTGCATAGCACTTCCTTGTTATTAGTATCTCCAACAACAAGACATGGCTCGCCCTACAAAACCTTAAGCCCGAACAGACACAGCCTATATCAATCGCACAGGCAATTAGTATGTAGGTACAAATCAGCTGTAAATCACGTAACTAAAACTGCGTTTAGACCATTTCTACCCCTCGCGTGATAGAAGTCAGTGTCTTGGCTGGAAGGGGAGTGGGGTTCAAAACACCATTATCATAATGTATGTGCAAAAGAAAAGGTACTGGGTACCGGCCAAGAATCCTCTCAATGTCAGCTGCAATGCTGCATAGATTGATAAGATGATCTTATCTGATCGAACCCATGCCATACCTCCTTCGCCTTCAGGTACCGCCGACCGGAACTACGAGCTTGGCTGTTTGCTTAGCAGTCTTGGTATTCTTGGTATTCTTGGTATGCTTGGTATACTTCGCAAGTCCCTTATAGGGTATAACGCTCGTGATAATGCCTGCTAGCTTCCAGTGACTTTCTATACGCGTAAGAGTGTATGTAGATACTTGACGGATATGCGGTACCTAACTCAGGGGCCGAGCAAGAGTATCTTCAACTACGTCCATACTGTAAGTAGAGTAAGTTCTCTTTACATAGTAGGGATGTATCCACCCCCCTATAGTCCTCTGACGTTCCCAGGCCATGCCTGATGCTGCAGCCCTCAACGTATTGAACTTCTTCGACTTCTAGTCTACTGTATCCCTAGAAAGTCCAGCTTCGTATCCTAGCATTGCGAAACATGCTTCTCTTCCCGAGGATGTGGTTCGACGAGTCCTGCTATATGCGGTGACTCTTCGTATCTTCGGGGAGACTGAACCTGGTAAACCCTCGTCGCATATTCGACATAATTCTTGATCAGCCGCGCTAGCCCGCTCCTCGGGGCTGAGGCCTCTGATAGCCATGATCTTGGATGATGCTGAAGCACCGGTGATGGTTATGAACCAAACCCTACATAGATTCAGTCGAGGGAAACCTGCCTTGACCCAGGATATGAACGAGACAGCGTTCGCACTGCTGCACAGCGGTGGCCAGTTCGGAAAGCATGGGAATTCATGGGACTTGCTGGAGAATGACGGCGAGGGTGAGAAGCAAGGCTGGAGACTGAGTAACTTTGTTGATTTTATGCGCTATGTAAAGGAGATCTTCCATCTCGAAGGCATTGGTGAGTTCATTGCCCGCCTCCTTTTCGATACCCATTGTGTGGGGCAAATGGATATCTCCAACGCTTCTTCAGTGACAAAAATTACGAATTGATTTTCATAACTTAGATCGAATCTGCTCCGGAGCCATCCATTAGCACTCGCTAAGTATATATAGTGCTTGATGCCCAGGACTGGAAAGCTGTCGGTAAGGCAACAGTAGTCGATGTGAGTGCCGATATACCCCTACCCCTACCTAGCTAGGTACTTAAGGCATCGCCTATTACATTACCAGGTACATGATTGGGCATGCAGGACACTAACATGGAAGTAGGTTGGTGGATCTGCGGGTCACGATGCTATCATTCTAGCGCAAAACTTCTCCGAACTCGCCGTCACAGTCCAGGATCTGCCCAAAGTCAAGCCCGTATTCGAAGCCAATCTTCCCGAAGATGTCAGGGACAGGGTGTCGCTCGTAGAGCATGACTTCTTCCAGCCGCAGCCCGTACAGGCAGGCATCTATATATTCAAGATGATTCTCCATGACTGGCCAGATCGTGAGGCGGCTAGAATACTGCGGGCATTGATTCGGGCCCTTAAGCCAGGTGCCCGCGTCATTATCTTTGACTACATCGGTAATCAGGGAGGGACAGAAGGGCCAGCTCTGCCACGCTCAGTGCAGCAAATGGACACGGCCACAGATCTGATATTGGTGGCGATGTTCAACAGAAAGGAGCGTCTTGTTGAAGCTTGGGCAAAGGTGTTCCGTGACGCTGACGAGCGCTTCGAAGTGGCCAATGTTAAGGCCAACCCGCAAAGCTTCTTTGCTGTCATCGAAGCAGTTTGGCGCGGATAGATCTAGGTATCACGTTGCATCTTGCGGAGTTACCCCCCCTTTATTTGGCGGGAAATGCGAATGGCACCCGTGAGGTGATCCCCCGGTACCGATTACCCCGAATTCCAAATAGTACAGAGGCGTTCGGTCGCGCATGGACGTATGTTAGGATGGGCAAAGACATGTCTCAAAAGTAGATATTTATACTTCGCAGCACGGCATACGAAAGAAACATGGGGGGTTCGATGTTGGGTCGTCTGACGGGTCATTTTGTACTTACGGAGTAGCTCCCGAAGGAGCTAAGAAGCCAAGATTTTATCTACTTACCGGCGTTGCCGCATCATGATCCAAGGTCGCCAAGGTCACAAAAACGGATGCAGTTCACTAAAACTATTCGCGGACGCTAACACCTATGCCTAGTGTAGTAAGGCGGCGTACGTAGGGAGGGTTGGCAAGTTTCTTGTTGTGCTATCGCTGACATGGGTGCAAATGATGTGACAGAATGTAGAGAGTACCTACCCTACCTAGGCTGCAGTGCAGAATTTTTCTTGTTTTGAGGTATATATAATAGAGCTTGGAACCTGACGGAGAATCTGACAGAGTACCAGCCGCCATTGACACTTGTCAGATATATAGTCAAGTGTGCGAACTCGTACTTTTGGCCTTCATTGGAATCAACTTTGTTCCCAATATATAGTCGAAGCAAAAGACTCAAGTACACCAAAATGCCTTTAGTGGTACTTCCTGCCCGGGTACCTGACGTCGAGTCAGTGTACGATATGTATTTTGAGGCATTCAAAGATGAGCCCATCACCGAGTTTCTCTATCCAAGAGGTGTTGATCGAAAAGCGCACACAGAGGGGACGAAGCAATGGTGGTCACATGACACCATAGGGTACACAATCAAATGTTTGGATACAGACACGGGCAGTATCGTGGGGATGGCCACATGGGATTTATTTTTGTGGAATGGAAAGAACAATGGATGGGAACGACCAGAAGGCATCCCGTGGCTGGAAGGAAAGGAGAGGGAGAGATGCGATGGCGTCTTTAACAACATGTGGGATATGAGAGAAAAGCTGTTTGGCAATCGACATCCATATATCCGTGAGTGAACGCGAAACTATACCTACTAAGTACCTAATATTGCGAGACCTCTTCTAACACCATGAGAAGACCTCAATGTTATAGCTGTGCACCCAGATCAGCAACGACGGGGAATCGGACGTAAGCTCGTTCAGTGGGGTATCGACATCGCAGACCAACTCCAATTGCCGATATACACAGAATCATCCAAACCCGGCCTACGTTTATATGAGACAACGGGATTCGAAACGTTGACACATGTGAGCCTCGTTCACAAGGAAGAAATCACCGGTCAACCAGATGCCGAGGTCCCTCTGGTGGTAAAATTGCCTTCCATAGCGAAGGGATTGAGTTTCAAGGAATGGATAGATGCAGGATATCCAGCAGACTACCGCATTCATGCGAATGGAAATGGGAAAGTTGAAGAGAAAGTCAATGGTAATGTCAATGGCTTGCAACAGGGAGGAGTGGAGGTTTGACGGAGATGACATCGAATTCCATGGATGTAAAAGAAAAGAAGTTAAAGGAAAAGGGATGCGGTGACTGAAGATTGTAAAATAAATGTTAGGATACCTAGTGGTTAGACTCAAATTCAACTTAAATCTTAAATTTAGGTTCCTACTGTTAACCCTAACCCTGGTGAATATAATTGAACCTAGCAAATGGTACATAGTTACCTAAGCAGGGACAGGGATTCTCCGGATTTCTTTTTTTTTAAAGAGAGCACAAACCACATTGCGGTACCAGCACCTGTTATACTTCTAGTGGTAGGGTAGACAATAGTGAAGCCACCCCTGAACTTACTTCCAAGTTACCTAACCTAGTACTTAATACATCAACAACCAAATTCCCTCGACAGCTACATAATTTAACATCAATTACCTGTCCAGCACTGAGTGCCTCTTCTGTCGCAGTACCTACCCACCTACCTACCTACCTAGTAACAACGAGCACATGAGATCTTTACTATTTTAAATACATATCTAATAATCTTCAAAGTGGATAGTATGGTCGTTTTATGAGAATGACTATTATCAATACTTCCTTTTGGTTTATTAAGTTAGGCTGCTGTTGTCCAATATGTCGCTGATTCAAGTGGAGGAGTATGTAAATGAACCCCTCCTGATGCCATTCCCACTGCTACCTCTTCTAATCCCACTACACTACACTATACCATAATTATTAGGTGTTGGAAGTTGAAATGCTGACCTTCAATTCCCTTTCTCAGATTGGTCTCCTACCAATTACGTACTAGTTACCTTAATGAAGTGGCTGATGGTGTCGGCGAACGCCTGATCACTATCAACGACAGTTTCCTCAACACTGCTCCTTTTAAATCCGCTGGCTGGCGAACGAATCCTTCCCACATAAAACGAACCCACTCTCCCCCGATACCTACTGCCATCGCCTCTGAATACTTTCAGGCTGCCCCGAGATCCACTGGCCTGACCCTCGAAGATGAGGTCGAAGAAGGGGGTATGCTCACTGGTGGTGGTGCAGATACATTGGGACCCGGCGCTCTGAAGCGACGTAGAGAGAGGCGTCGAGAGCAGATGGAAGAGGAGGATAGCAGTGATTTGAGTGACGAGAGCGACGATGATACAGATCAGCGGGCCGCCCAGCAAATACGATTTGCGAAAATGCCCCTTAGGACCCGCGCAGGTTCCTCGCCTATCCAGTCGTCCAATCTACGCCAAGCCACCAATATGTCATCCCCACGAACTACCCCAGCGCCTCGACGAGGCTCACAGCCTACTCTAGAGACCGTGAAGGAACGACCGCGGCGAGACACTGTCACTAGTAGTGAGGTGTCCTCCGACAACGAGTTTGATGCTTCAGGTTTCCACAGGCAGAGGGAAGCCGCGAGGACTAGGGCTATGAGATCACACTCCAAAGCTTCCGCAGACGCAAATCACGGCATGAACCGCCGAGAAAGTGAGCTACTGGCTGAGGAGGATGAGAACTCTGATATGTCTGACACCTCATCTGCCTTTGTTGCAAGTGTTGATTCAACATCAATACTGGATACCGTCGAGAATCCAGCTGTTGGCACCTCTCCTGGCCAACAGGTCGTCGGTACGGTACCGAAACAATTGCTTCGACAGTCTACAGTCAGGAGGCCGCAGCCTTCACTACAGCCACAGATGCTTCAAGCCCTTCCACCTCCACGGCCCATGAGCACCATAAGACCCCTGAGCATGCTTCAGCCGCGCAGCTTACTTTCAGATGCCTTCAAGGCCAAAAAGACGAAACCTGCAATGCCATTCGACAAATTTGCATCTCTTTCAGGTCAGGGAGACCCTGATCCTCTCAGAATACGTATATATGCGCCATTCTCCGAGCACTCGGACACACCTTTTGAAGTTCTCATTCGACGTACCATCCAAGAGGCGGATGGAACGTTTAGACCGGTAACTGTAGCGGAGTTGATTGGGTTGAGTCTGTGGAGATACCATGCTGAAAAACTCCATCCTCCTGTGCCCACCGACAAACTGAATGTGAACTGGTGGACATTAAGAATGGTTGAAGAAGGCGGAGAGGTTGACGACGATTTCGAGCCATTGGATCGTAAGAAACCTGTGAACTCATTTACGACGGCCAATAATAGAGCAGCAAGATCACGCTCGGCTTCCAAAGCTTATGATGAATTCGCACTGGTGCAAGCTTCGGAGGCTGGTTTCGCTGACAACCAAATCCAAACACCCCAGTTCCAGCAGCAGGACGTGGCAGAGGAAGTTGGTGACGAGGAGACGACTCCAAAGAGTACCCCCCAACCTCAAGCTTCCCCGTCAACAACCTTACATCCGCGGACGAACCCTATCATCACCACAACTTACCGAGCAGATACGCCACTGGCTGATAAGCCACCACCTCAAGCATCCGCTCCAGCCACTGCCAGAGGACAGCACAAGCTCCTGCGCGTCCGCATTCTGTCAAATGATATAGCCCCTGGACAGATGGTTACCCTTGATGTAACGACAGATATGTACCTCGCCGAGGTTCTTGATCTAGTTTGTCGCAAGAGGCAACTTGATAAGAGCGCACATGTTTTGAAACTCCCCGATTCTGGCGCCGTAGTCTACGTAGACCGCACAGTATCGTCAATCGGCAATGTTACAGACTTGGAACTCCATCGTCGTCGGTTCGCGACAGATGGTCCTCTGACGATTACAGGTTCTCCTAGCAGCCCTTCCCCCAAGGCTCATATCTGGAACGAACAACCCCTAAAGGGGAAGAAGAAGATTCTTACGACACACCCTCTAGCTCAAGAAACCATGATGCAAGACGAAGCTGGCAGCGGCGATGTAAAATACAAAAAGTACACGGTCTGGCGCAAGCAGCCGATGAGGTTTGTTGGAATGAACGAGCGAATCCTTGTGATAGATGGCGAGTATGTGTATATTCAGCCATCCTCCGGGGGCAAGGCAACGCGCGAAGGTGGCAAGACTACGACTGTGCATTTCAGCAATGTCATCGGATGCAGCGTGTCACGCCGCCACCCAACCTATTTCAAGGTAAGTCAATATCAATCAAAAGTCCATCTACGCATACGTTAGAAACATTGACACTTGGAAATAGCTACTTGTGTATAAAGATACTGAGAGCAAGAGGTATGATTTCGAGGCTAAGAACACCCAGGAGGCATCAGAAATCGTGCGTGAACTCAAAAAGGGAATATCTCCATACAATAGGGACATCTGAAAGCCGGATTCAGGGGATGTTCCTCAAGACTTTGCTATCTAGGCCTGGATAGAATATTGATATAAACGTCGGTGAGTTTTCTGGGTGAAGGCTACACGTGCATACCTGGGACATGTTCGCCCCTTTTTAGTGGGACAAATGTATGTCCGATGGATAGCGCGATGTGCAGCGACACTATGTCGTCCCACTACATCTCTACCTACACAGCGTTCAAAATAACGATATATAGTCCTAGTGTTGAATAGTACAAGTGGCCCGTTATCGGGCCTCTCAGGCGAATTTTCAGAGAAGCAGTGACAACATACGTGGTTGTCATGGAAGTGAACTTGACTACACTGGGTACCTATGGTAGATGGGTTAGCAGCTACCTATGAAGTCCCCAGACGTGTGCCTGATGTATCCCTTTTACATACATGTATGTATTGCGGCTACTCGTTAGTAAATTATATGAAGATAACTGTTTGACCTATAATAAGGTTGGCCTATGTCAGGTATATATGTTCTTATTTATATTATATTGTAGTTCACAGATGTGTTCCGATCGTTGCATAGAACGAAAACACCAGCATATAGGAGTCTTCACATACTAATGTTACCTTATATGAATCCATCACCTGGCGGTATATATCCATTGCATTTGCATATACATGCATGTATACTAGGTACCTACATGTATGTAGTTGCCAGGAGATGTATACTAGGTATGAACATCAATATATATCCTTCCATTAACGTCTTGCCTGCCAATCGGGTACTACGTATATGCAGGTACCGGCTCTAGACGTGTTCACACCAATACATACATGTATATAGAAGTCAAACCGATCCCACACTAACATTATAAAAGGTCTACCTACAAATATGCGTACATCTAACATATTGAGGGTTGAAGTACTAGTTTTGAGGTGGGTATATGCAGCTACACGTATATGATGATGCATCGGCCCGGTTTGTATGTTTGTACCTCGAGATCGATCAGGTTATAGGGGAGATTGAGCTAGTCTACGAAACCGGTTGCAAGGTTTTTCTTACTTCAAGGTATGTACTACTAATAAGACATCCCGTTTGGACGATAAGGATGGTCAGGTGTCTACATACATGTAGATAGAAGATAGATGCTTTTACCTACATCGAAGGGGATACTACATATACATAGTAGGTAGTGAGTTGAATCACAAGTAGATAAGGACCCAAATATTGTCACAACATCTACAAATGTTACAGGTAAATAGCTTCCGTGGGTACGAGACGATGGTCTGGTAAAATCGTTACACGCCAGGAAGTCAAATTACACCAGCCGGTCAGTGTACATCCTGAGTTTAGCTATAAAGGATGGATCACAATGGGAATTTTATAACTTGAGGCGGGCAGCAAACATGTAAATTGGTTCGTGTAACTATTGGGTATTTGAGTACATTGTAAGGTGTATAGGTTCAATGTTCAATGTTGTCGTAGGGCGGGTGGCGGCAGCAGGTGTTGTTATACCAGTACCTAGGTACATATATGGGTTTATGCCTGAATAATAGGGGTAGAATACTACTAGGTAGAGTAGATGGTAATAAACCTGTCTAGTCCTAATTCGTCCATATCTCGAGGTCGATAGAAGGCATGTAGATCAGATCAGTAACTGATGTCGTTTACAGGTGATGGTTACTAGGTTACTACCGTGTAGGAAATTCTAGGGAATCTAGGTACCTGAGGCAAGAAAATGGCCTCAATTAATAAATTTCATTTTTTTCATTTTTTATTTTTTATTTTTTATTTCGTCCATTTCTGGTTTAGCTACTTTGGTTGTGGTGCTCCTTCCTGGATCAAGATCAAATCAGTCCGACGTCTAGGTGCAAGATATAAACGTACCATTGTTGAACCTTTCCTCCTTCCACTTCCCATTTTATTCCTTCTTCTTTCCTTCTTTTCCATTTCCGCACCGCAATACCCTTTGAACTTTTTACCTTCTCGTCTCCCACCTTCCTACATTAATACACTGGCCAACGTACTTGCCTGAGGCACACTCACCACCTAGCACCCACTTACTTACACACATCATCCCATTCTATTTAAATTCCTTTCTTTTTTCCTTTCTTCAATCTTCCCTTACACAACTACAACAACATTCTCCATTAATACTTCTACACCTTCGACAAGTATATTTTGTCGGTCAACAAGATCATTAGATCATTACTAGTTGTATCGTCAAAACATCTCACGAAAGAAAAACGACCAAGAATCGGAAAAAAAAACGAAACATCTTCCAATTGCATACTTTGAACACACCCTATCGAACATTCAAGATGCAGTTCACTAAGACTTTCGTCGTCATGGCCATGGCCGCCCTCGGAATGGTAAGTTACCTCGCTCGTCATTCTCTATCCCATTACCCTACCGTTTTCCTATCTATTGTCTCCTCGGACAATCCACCTTCATACTACTTTAGTTTATCTTGATCGCTAACCTTGCTCACCTCACAGGCTGCCTCTGCGGTCGAGATCGTCAAGAATGACGAGTCTTGCACTTGCAAGCCCGTTACCGCCACGGTTACTGGCCCTGCTCCTGGCAGCGTGACTGAGGTTCCCGGTTATGGCACTGCCACGATCTCTACCATCTATGTCACTGTCACCAACACTGAGTCGTCCTATGTGACCGAGACTGGAGTTTCTACTCCTGTCATCGGCTCTTCCACCGAGACTATCTCTGTCCCTGGTCAGAGTGGCACCGAGTCTATCACTGAGTCTATCATTGAGTCTACCACCGAGTCTACCACTGGCCCCATTTCAGCTACCACCGAGGCTAGCACCACCGAGACTGTCACTACCGAAAGCCGCATCACCGGTAGCAGCATCACTGGTAGCTCCACTGAGACTCACCATTCCGTCACCGCTAGTGCTTCTCACACCAGCAGTTACCCGACCCCTTACCCGACTACTCCCAGTGCCGCTGGTGTTGTCATGGTCAAGGATGGTGTTGTTGTTGCCGCGGCAATGCTCGCTGGTTTGGTCCACTTCATCTGAGAAAAGCAAAGGAAGTAACTAGTGGAGACATTTTGGCACCAGAGCAAGATGGTCTTTTCACAACTTCAACTTTGATTCTTTTCTATGGATACATGAACATTACCATACTAGTGGTATCGGATTGGCACGCGTGGATGATTATGAGACTGGGTTTATGACGAGGGAATGCATTCTATTGAGGCTCGTTGCATTGCATACTGCCTTTTTACAATTCCCCCAACACGCATAAGGAAAAGTAACATAACTTTTTTTGGAACCATGAATTCGTTAGCATAGGCTTTGAGAGTTTCTCATAGGACAGAAACATGATACTCGGGCAATAGCTGCTTAATAACATGGATTGATCACTACTACTACTACTACTTTTGTCCCTCGTTTTCATCGTGACTGTAACAATCGTAGCTTAAAGTTGACTAACCTATATATGTAACTCCAATAATCGTACAGTTCTACCTCCGTATTACGTATGTACCTCGGTGTGTAGGACCTGTGTACCAATAGAGATGTCTACGTACGAGTGGGTATCTACTAGGTACAGTATCCAGTATGTACGTAATACACGACACAGGCCGACACATAATACACATGTAGCCGTTCTCAAATTATGAAACCTTCAACGTGAAGGCTGTAGATATTTATCGACAGTGGTAAGGCCGCTGTAGCAACCAGCAGTCAATTGTACGAATTTATTCACAGGTGCTCCCCATGAACCTGCAACCCTAGAGCAGCACTGAGTATAATTTCTTACCAAAGACTTGAACTATATGTAGTAGCACCTCAATCTGGTTCTTCTCTCATTGGTATATGAGTAGGTACCTAAGACATATACCTATATATTAATAGACATACATAGGTATGTAGGTACTACACCTAACCTAAGAACGTTACCGAGTACCTACATCTAGCTAATTATATACCTAGGTACCTGCCTATCTGCCTACCCAATTCCAACCCACCCTAAAGCTTCGCCCCAACCGTACGCTTATCCTTCACAGCGCTATCCATCCTCACACCCTCATCATCCTGCTCCGCAACCGTCAAGTCCGGCAGCACGGCCGGCATTATGCGTCGAGGACTCGATCCGGGAACAACGCTGTACTTCGAGAAGTCCTGCACCCCGCCGCCGACGTCGGTGCGCAGGAAGTCTTCGTCGAGAAGTAGACGCCCGTTTACGGAGGCGGGGGGCGCGCGCAGGATGGCGAGGATGGCGGCGGAGAAGATGGTGGGTTTGCGGAGGGAGGCGGCGACGGAGGGGTCGTGGGTTGTCGGGGAGAGGGTCGCGGCGGATTCGATGCCCTGGTGGGGGGTTTAGTTGGTTTGGTAGGATGTCACTTCTTTCTAGCAGGTCTTCGGCAGAAAAGGGGGGATATAGAGGATACAAAAAAAAAAAAAAGAAAAAGAAAAAGCGCTTACCACAGCCGGCCAAAGACTGGTAACCGCCATCCTATCCGTGATACCCTGGCGCTCGAAATCCATCGCGAGACCCAGCGTCAGCACGCTCATGCCGATCTTCCCCATCGCGTACGCCGTCTTGCCGCGCACGAAGCGGCTGTAGATGGGCGGGCTCACGACCACGATGCGGCCACTCCCGTCGTTGCTGCTGCTGCTCTTTTTTAGGTGCGGCAGGCAAGCCTGGACGGACGCGTACAGGCCCTCCGGGTTCACGCGCTGCAGCAGCTGGAACCGCTTCATGGGCGTGCTTTCGACCGCCGACCACCAGATTGCGCCGGCGTTGTAGATGAGGACGTCGAGGCGGGTGTAGATCTTTTTTTTTTGGGAGGGGGGTGTTAGCTACCAACGTCTCCCTCTCATGTCTTAGATTAAAAAAAAAGGGGGGGGGGGGGGAGGTAGCTAACCTCGATAGTTCTATCAACCAATGCCTGCACGCTGGCAAAATCCCGAACGTCCACGGGTATCGCTGTCGCGCGGCCCCCGGCTTCCACGATCTCCCGCTCTACGGTGCTGATGGTGGATTGCGCCGAGTTGGGGTCTGGCGGGAATGGCGCCGTGCTGGGAGCATTGTTGCCCGTTGATTTGGCCGCGACGACCACTTAGGTAGGTATTGTTAGAGCGAAATTCCTTTCATTTTTTTCTTCTTCTTCTATGAGCAAGGGGGGGGAGGGGGAAGAGAAGAAAGGGGTGTAGACGTAGACGTACCGGCATACCCGTTCTTGGCTAGATCAATCGCGATCTGCCTCCCCATGCCCCTGGACGCGCCAACGACGATGGCCACTTTCGTGTTATTGTCCATTTTTGCTCGCCCTTCTTTTCGTTTAAACTTATCAAGATATGCTAATTTCTACATTCTCAATTTCTCATTTGGAGAATTAAGGGATAAGAATGATATGGTATAAACGACCTGATCACTAATCTTTCCTACACCGTCATCGTCCACAGCTTGCTTGCTTGGTAATGCGAAGCGGAAGGCCGAAGAAAAGTACCGAGGTTCGTCATTAATGAATGCAACGCTGTGATTATTGCATATACCTAGTATGTAACTAACATATACCCCTCTATACCAATAATACCTATTTATACTATGTACATTAAAGCCCCATATTAAAATAGGGGTAGATATCTCGAGTTACACGAGCCCCTGACATGAGTGAGGGTCGACGAGATGTGATGTGTTCAATGTCGTGTGCCTTCACGAACAAGAACAGGAACGGACCTGGAAACACCAGATCTACATATGTATGTAGCAACCTGGTCATACCTGCCACAGAATCTCTAACTTGGGTACATAAATCTAATAGTACAAGAAAAAAGAATCCTGTTGAATTACATATGCTGGTCTTATGTACGACGGCCGGGTACCTGCGTGGTGCGAGGAGGGGGCGAGCAAGCAAAAGCAAGCAAGTGAAACAAGCAAGCACTCATGCAAGCAAACGCACTTTAATAGAGCCACGGTCCTACAATACTTGTATTAGTGCTGTATTCAAGGGGTGACCATTTCCCGCATTTCCGCAAAGTCAATTAAAGATAGGAGAGGATATAGAAAGCAGGGGGGGTGGCCTTACCCGGGATAAATCTATTCTCCTGCTCCCTGTGCGTCGGGATCTTCAGCACCTCGCTGTGTATCGCGTTCATCGCCGCGAGCGCATGGTCCGCCGCGACCACCAGCGAGATGTTGATCTTGCTCGCGCCCTGGCTGATCAGATAGATGCCTATCTGCGCCTTCGCCAGCGCCGACAGTATCTCGTTCGACACGCCGACCATGTTGCGCATCTTGTGGCCCACGACCGTCACGATCGCCATCCGGCTCGGCGCGACGGCCACGCGCCCGAACCGCTCCAGCTCCTCCGTCAGCCGCTGCAGGGCGCCCGGGGCCAGCGACTGCACGGCGAGGCTCACGTGGCGCTCGCTCGTCGTCACGAGGTCGACGAGGATCTTGTGCCGCTCCAGGCGGTCGAACACCTGCGTCAGGAACCCCTGCGACTTGGTGTTGCGGTTGCAGACGACGTTGAGGAGGAGGATGTCGTCTTTGACGGTCACGGCGGTGGGCTTGCGCCGCTCTTGCTCGGCGCCGTGGTACCCGTTCTTGAGCATGAAGCTCGAGGGTGGGGTGGCTGTGCGGGACGGGACGCTGCTGCTGATGGTGGGGCTGGTGGGGGGTGGCGAGTCGTCCCGGGTCGAGGAGGTGTATACGATGGTCCCTTGCCCCGACGGCTTGAAGACGTTCTTCAGGCGCAGGGGGATGCGCGCGTCGCGGATTTGGTCCATTGTCAGGGGGTGGATTACCTTAGCCTATACGTCAATAATCTACGATCTATGGTCTATAGGTCTCGCTTGAGGAGTTTGGAATCAGCTCACCTCGCTCCCGTAGTACGTGAGCTCCGTCGCTTCTTCGGCCGTCACGGTCGATAATAATCTAGCCGAGGGCACTTTTCTCGGGTCTGCCGTGAAGATCCCATCGACCTCTTTCCATACTTGCAGCTCTTCTGCTCCGACTGCTACCGCGCACATGGCTGCGCAGAGGTCGGAGTACCCTCTTCCTACCGTTTGTAGCAGTGAGTCGGGCATTATGCCGAAGAAACCTAGTACATTACTAATCAGTACCAGCTCTTTTGTGGCCGATCTGCTCGGAGCCACTTACCGGTCACGATAGGGATCGCATTTCCGCACTCTCGTATCCGGTCCGCTATCTGGCCGGATAATACCTGGTAGAACTTTGGTCCCAGCCTCTCCAGTGCGGTTATTTGATCGTCAACGGAGCTACCGAAAGCCGTTGCAATTATGTTATCTAGGAAAACTGGCTTTGCTGGTGTGCCCTAGGTAATGCTCAGTTATCTTGATAGATTGATACTCTCCCTCTGACTTCCACCAATGTGTTGGGTAGCTAAGTACTAGGTAGGCAGGTACTCACTGTGCTAGTCAGACAAGCCGCAACAATCATGCACGCGAGCTTCTCGCCCAAGGAGATAACCCGGTCTTTGGACCGTGGCGACAATTCGCCGATAATCTGAATGCCGAATGAGTTTTCGATCATCCTCAGAGCAAAATTTTCACAAGTTTAGCCACTCATACCTGTGCAGCGAGGAGAAACCTCTTGAGGCTCTCACACTCCCTTCTGATGCTAGCCGCCGTGTCCTCGAATATCTCCTCGGGGCCGAACGCCCGCGCCGAAGAATTCGCAAACGTGTTGAGCGCATTCAAGTGGTTGTCTTTGATCAGGTCCACGATGTCAATCAGCTTCTTCTGGGCGTCGATTCCTTGCTCCGCGAGAGTTATGCATTGTATCAGCAGACTGGTCGTCCCGCTCGCCTTCATGGTCCCCGAGAAGGCAGAGCAGACGACGATGAGGTCATGTCCTATAGCGTACTGCGGAATGATGCTGCAGCAAATCGTGTCCAGTAGTTTTCCCAGGCTGGTCCCGCCGTACTTCTGGACAAGCCAAGGCTTACTCACCGTTGCGGTCACCATGACGGTATGATATCAATAATTACGTAGGCAGGTGTGGTATAGACGGTGATATGAAAGGCTTATCCCTGCGGCCGAAGGGGGGAAGCGATTCTAAATTAGGGATAAGGGGAAATATCTTTGTTTGTGATGAAGAAGATGGTGTGTTTATTTGTTTTGTTGTCCCCTTACATATTTGTTTTGAAAGCCTAATCACGCTGGCTGAACATGACTTTTTTATGCGATCTCCTGAACTACCCCTTTGGGCGGAAAGCATAGAGGAGGGCCTGCTACTATTGCCAAGAAAATCAAACGCTAACCCGCCAACGGTGACGGGGAGGGAAAGGAGGAGCTAGAGGTGGGGGGCGTCTGTAGCGAGAAAGTCACCGAGAGACCCGCCAACCACAGAAGCCGGCGGGGTTGCGTCAATTTGGGACAACGGGATAATCACCAGGAGAATGGCGAGGAAACAAGGAGAGATAGAGAGCAGGAGAAGCAGGGGGGCAGGGGGGCAGATGAGGTGGATAGGGAGGGAAGCGCTCGGCATGAGCCGATTACAACACCACATCTTCATCCTTCCACGGGGGCGGGACCTAAAGAAAGACGCTAGCAGAGCACCAAGAAGTCCCGGAACGGACATCACTGCAAGGATAGATATCGCAGCTCGGCTCGAATTGGGAAGCCAGCATGCCCGCATGCGGATAACACGTAGTCCCACGGCCGCAATAGTGCGTGCAATGAATGGTTCGAAAAGGGAAGAGGAAAGGATATGAGAAGGGAATGGGAGGTGGGGAGGAAGTTACCCAAATCCCGGCCCGGCATTCATTGATAAGGCCACGGGAATACTTCCAATGCGCCTAGACGGATCTTCGTTTTCCCACAAGAAAAAAAAAGGGGAGAAGTTGAAAGACTGAACCGTCAGGCTTTCCGCCCCCCCCCGTTTTCTTTATCGCTGAAGGGGGGCGCGGTGTTTGAAATTTGTAGATTTTCATCGTTCGGTTTGCTATTTTTCTTGGAAAGATATAGGATCCTTCGGCCGTACGTCGATGAAGAATCGTGAGATGATGAGTGAGGGCTGTTTTTTTCGTTTGCTCGCCACTCAGATTACGACATGATACCTTACATGATACCTTACTTACATGGGCTAGGTAAGCTCCAGTACCTTACCTACTTTTGCTAGGTGCCCAGGTAAGGGGGTGTGAGCAGGCTCTGGGAAGAGAAACCGGGAAACGCCGGAATGATTTGATCACGTCGATATGTATCTAGCTCACCAGCATCAGCATCAGCATCAGCACTGTTCTGGAGGTATCTTGCAGCCCAATTCGGCTTCCCGTGGCAGATTTGTATTACGACGTAGGATATTCTAAGAACTTAATTTGCCCCACGGGGATAACGCCGACGAGTGAAACCGAGTGTAGCATTTCATCTGTACGTCTTGCTGTCTGTCAGACTCACACCCCCTTCACGATATTCGTTGGAACACAATGTGTTTCTCTCGCTCTCCGATCGGCACTTTATCGAGCCTATACTACATGATAACCAATATTCTGGAACACAAATCACTGTGCCGAGGACGGCAAATTAGAAGCCGTCATCAACAAAATTCGGATAAGTAAGAGGAGGCTGCGAAGTTGTACTCGAAGAAATGCGAGAAATCATCGTAGTAGTTCCATTGTCAAGAACTACTAAGGCCAAATACATGCTCATTAGGCATATAGCAGTACTCCGGTAAGTAAATTGTGGAAATATATCGTAGTGTAACCTCCAGAAATGATCAAGCACACGAGTAGATAACATCAAAAAACTCCCCAACTCGTAGGAAAAGATCGCTAGATAGAAGTACAAGTAACTTCGTAGGAGACATGTTGTACATGCATTGTAGCCTTCTCACCAAGACTCAACCTCACCAGTCAAACTATCACCGCCAGGTTGCATCGCATGATCCTCCAGCCATGCAGTGTCGTTATCAACAGACCCGTAGAACTGGGGAAGGTCCCTTCTCAGCTTCTCTAGTATCAGCGTGCCGAGCTGTTCAAACTCCAGCAAGAATCCATCGTGCCCATCCGACGACTTCAACATAGCCAGCGTGGCGTTTGGTAGACACGCTGCCAACCTTTCTTGTTGTTCGGGCAGGAACAGCGCGTCCGTCTCAACGCTGACAACTAGCGCTCCGGGAGGGGCTACGGCAAGAACTCTGCGCAGCGCACTGTCGCCGTCTCCATTCTCCTCGTCAGCTTGCACCCTACCAAGTGTCACATCGTGTGCGTCCATCTTGTTAGTGATATGCAAGTAACAATTGGCGTCGAAGCGCTGGATAAACTTCTGCCCCTGGTAGTGCAAGTACCCCTGAGCCGAGAAAGAAGGATCGCGTCTTGCTGCCCAACTCTGTCTTTCCGACCGCTCCTTGGCTGTGGAAGTTTGTGTCGGTGTAGCTGTTGCAACAGGGACGTCCGTACGTGGTAGATCAAGAGGTGGATCCTGTACAGGTCTGGATTTCTGCTGCCGTTGGGGTTTTCGGCCGAAGCGCGCATCGAAACTGACGCACGAGCGATACGTCAGCATGGCTACCATGCGAGCAGCAGCTAGACCCGCTGAGGGTTGTCCCTCTGGGCGCGGCTCGTAATAGCCATCGTCAAACTTAGGGTCCGAGTAGATGCACTGGCGTTGCGCCTCTGCCCAAGAGATGCCCCAAGCACTGTGATCCGCAGCCGTTGCGATTGGAATGATGCTTTTAACATATCCCTGCTCAGTGCATAGTGGCCACTCGAGAGTGGTCATTCCGCCCATCGAGCCCCCAATTACGGCTGCTACAGATCGGACGCCTAGAGCGTCAAGTACGTATTTATGTGCTCTGGTGATACGGGCATATTATTAGTACCGATATTACACACAAGTATCTTGCCCCTTTGTGCGGGAACTGGACTTACCGCACATCGTCACGAACTGTTGTCTGAGGAAACTCGCTGGCATATGGTCTTCCTGTTCGCGGGTTTGTGGTAAGGGGCGAAGCGCTTCCATAAGGTGACCCTAGGACGTTGGCGCAGAAGATGAAGAAGTGCGCTGGGTCGAATGCCTTGCCGCGACCAAGCAATGGACTCCACCAGTCGCTAATGTCGCTACTACCGGTAAGAGCATGACATATCACCAAGACGTTATCTCGAGTCTCATTGAGCCGACCCCATGTCTTATAGGCGATTGGACAAGAGTCTAATATCTCTCCTGAATCAAGAAGAAGCTCTGGTATGACCGCGAATCTTTGCCCCTGGATGAGGCTCGCGTAGTAATTTTCTGAACTTGAATTGTAATCTAAAACTGTATTGTATGAGAATAAGTCTCGAGATGAATTGGGCGGGGTCTACTTACGAGCTGCCATGTCGATGAGTGAAGTTTGCCTTGTAGTCTTCAGTTTGATATTGGAATTAAATTGAACTACCAAGGCACACTTAAACAAATTGGGGAGCTCGGTTGGTGGGGAGACGGTGGTCCCAGAAATCGCCTACTTACCTGGTAGCTGAGTACCTCCTGTACATATGATCAAACCATCGTGGCTCTATGGGATTCTACGGGTACCCAGGGATATCTTGAGTCCCGAAATATGCTATTGAGCCCAACAGCCAAACGGCATGTTGTTGCTACTACTACCACCACCACCACCACCACTACTACTGCTACTGATGATATTGCTACCCCCGCAAAGACTGTTGCAACGGGTATTTCATTTGGAGTCCCCAGACCGAGGACCCTGAGGTCAACACGTACCTCCTTACTACCGGTGTTCGGACTAAATTTGTGCGGACCCGGGATTTGATCAATTCGGGATCTGCGTCGTGCTGCAGAGTAGTAGGCATGACGCCGTCCCCGTCGCACTGCATGCCGTGTTTCGACCCCACAATGCAGGACTGCCCTAGTAACTGAGCAACATGATCGTATATCTGCCCTACCTATCATTTCTTATCTTGTAGTAGCCTTTTTTTCTATAGCTCTGATTAGCATCGTGACCATTAGTCGAAACTCTACCCATAACTAATTTAAGTAGCTTCAGATCATCCCTTGGCTTTAGATTTGTGCGAGATAAGACGGGGACCCATCCAGTATTTTCAAATCCCATAGAAATCATAATCCTGACTAGATCACGTACGTAATATGATAGACCCTTAATCTTCCTTACTTCTTTCTACTTAGGCCCGTGCGACCCCTTCTTGTGCTCAGTAGGTAGTGCTCAGAGTCACAAGTCGGATTAGAGCCTCTCGGACCCGCCCAATTCTTGATATCATGGCTTCCGCTTCCAATCGCGTCGTAAAGATAGCTGCTGTACAGGCCGCGCCTGTTTCCTTCGACCTCGATAAGAGCCTAGAGAAGTTGACGAAGCTTACGGCGGAGGCGGCCGGCGCAGGAGCTGATCTTGTCGTCTTTCCGTAAGTTATTGCAAGACTAACGAATATCAAGGCCTTGTATTGATTCTCTTATGCAGGGAGGCCTTCCTATCTGCTTACCCATGGCGTTATGCCTTTGATGCCACTATTGGCACTCGAGAGCCCCGTGGTAAGTCAATTTTGCCCTTGTTAGAGAAATTGACGTTGCAATATTGAACTTATGCAGGAAGAGAGTGGTATGCGAAATACTACGATTCAGCTGTTGCTGTGCCTTCCCCCGCTGTTGACATCATTTCCAAGACAGCTAAATCTCACGGAGTGTATATCCAGGTTGGGATTATTGAAAAAGAGGGGGGCACGCTGTATTGCACAGCCTTATTGATTGGTAGGGATGGGTCGGTGCTCCTGAAGCATCGTAAGGTGAGTTGAATACACTGCACGTTGGTTTAAAAAAGCCTTCCAAGACTAAGTACCGATTATCAAGTTGATCCCCACAGCTGCGGAGCGCTTAGTATGGGGTAGGGGGGCAGGAGACGGCCTGGGCGTGGTCCAAACTGATATCGGCAAGATTGGTACTTTGATATGGTGAGTTCCACCATTGCTGTTCCAGGATAATATTGAAAATGTTAACAGACACGGTTAGTTGGGAAAACTATATGCCCGCAGCGCGAATGGCACTTTACCAGCAAGGAGTCGAGTAAGAAGCTCCCCACGTTGATGTTTAGAGGGAAAGCTGGATTGACTATATCAATAGGATTTACTTGGCGCCCAATGCGGATGATTTGCCATCCTGGGTCGCGTCAATGCAGCATATTGCCAAAGAGGGACGATGCTTCGTCGTGTCTGTGAACTCAATGTGTAGAGTTTCGGATTTCCCCAAAGACTATCCGCCATTTACTGCCGAGCACCACGACCGAAAGCCAGATGGCTCCAAATGGGAACCTGACGATATCATCAACCATGGAGGGTCCTTTGTTGTAGGGCCCCTAGGAGTCCCCCTGACCCAACCAGTGTGGGACAAGGAAGCAATCATCTATGCTGATCTGAAAACGTCAGAAGTGATAGAATCTAGGGTGAGCTTTGCCAGTGTTATCTTGACTCGTATGAAAACCAACTGACAAGTCACTTCTAGCTTGACTTCGATCCCGTTGGTAGTTATGCTCGCCCAGATGTCTTGTAAGCCTTAGCCGGAACTAAAATTCCGCAAGCAGATTGGTTCATAGCAGCTAACGCATCAGCAGTACGTTAACAGTAAACACCAAACCAGGGACCAATGTCAATTTTACTCGATAGTCCCAATGGGTACCTACCTTCAATGTTACGGGCAGTCAGGAATCCTGAATCATGTATGCCGAACTGTTTCATCCACCGGGACAAACACGTGGCTCGCTAAGGTGTTGATTCAAGTTTAGAGATTGTGTTACGTAGTTCGCAGGGAGGAAATCCATAGATAGGAATAAATTGTATTGTGCTTGTTGTGTTACCACTCGATACTCAAGAGTGATTGCTCCTGAGTCATGTGAAAGTACGTAATGTCTCTTGTAAGCACATCCCAATCATGTGGAATCATCCAATGACTAGATGGCCTGTGAGCCTCTCCGGCTTCTACCAGAAGCGAACCAAGATCTCGGGTCCTGGCGCAGTTTACAGGGATAACCGAAGACCGCTGTTTGTAGCAGCCGCCATTATAAAAATGGCCATGAACGTGCGGGGAATACCATGCCTCGCATCATGTAGGTGACAAGTGTAAGTAGGGCCAGGTGTGTACGGGATTTCTCCCGGGGTCGCTGGCAGTCAAGGTGTGGGTCCCCTATCATACGACGGCACTGTGAAAATAGAGCTTCGGGCTTTGCTTCGGTGTTGCATTGCAGTCACAGAACAGCCAACGGCGTCCGGGTATTCACAGTAGCAAGCATCTTATCTTGGTGCGGGTATGTATCTTTGGCTGACGAAGTAGAGATAGAGTGTGGGGACATGTAAGTATGCTTCCGTGATTCGATCGTCCTACAACTTGTCCAACATACCTACATATTAAGGCTGAGCTTCGCTTTATAAGTTAGAGTTGAGAACACATCTAGACGTTAAACATTTCGAAATATTCAATCAAAGACACTTTTAAAAAGCACCAACCCGTTTTATCGACTCCAAGATGTCTCCTCCAGGATCAATTAGTAATCTAGATTGGTATACCACTATATCACCTCTCAGAATGGAAGAACATACCTGACAATAAATTTGCAATAGGGAGCCCGGCTTCGATACGATTGCCGTCCATGGTGGGCAGGAACCCGATCCCATTAACGGGTCAAGAGCCGTACCCCTTTACCAGACTGCGGCGTATAACTTCTCCGACGCCGCTGATGGAGCAAGCAAATTTGCTTGGTCCAGGGACGGGTATGTCTACACGCGTATGGGCAACCCTACCAACACGGTCTTCGAGAATCGAATGGCTATGCTCGAGGGGGGTGTAGGAGCTGTGGCGACTGCATCCGGTCACGCAGCACAGGTAAGCCACTACCCCAATGAATGCCGATTAATTTTCATAAGCTTAAAAAAAGTGACTTCAGTTCATGGCATTGACGCAATGTTGTGAACCCGGACACAATTTTATAAGTACTAGTTGGTGTAAGTTTTTTTTTCCAGTCCCTGGAGATACAAAATTCGGAGTTGGATCACGCTGAGAACATGGCTGCTTAGTATATGGCGGCTCTTTCAACCAATTTCGAGTATACTTGAGCAAATTTAAGATCGACGTCAAATGGGTCATCGGGAACGACCCTGCGAAGTTCGACGCGGCTATAGATGAGAACACGCGGGCCATCTACATCGAGACGATCAGCAACCCCAAGCACAGCGTTCCCGACATCGCAGCGATCGCCGCCGTAGCTCATAAGCACGGCATCCCTTTAATTGTTGATAATACCTTTGGCATGGGCGGGTATCTATGTCAGCCAATTAAACTTGGGGGTATGTACAAAACAGCACATCACGATCCATCTCGGGAAGATGCTTGTAAGCTGACTTGAGGCCTAAGCTGACATCGTTACCCACTCGGCGACGAAATGGATCGGTGGACACGGAACCAGCATGGGCGGTATTGTGATTGATGGTGGGCACTTCGATTGGAGCGCTTCGGGAAAGTTCCCCGGGTTTACGGAGCCTGCAGAAGGATACCACGGGATGAGATTTTGGGAGACATATGGTAACAAGGCTCTATCGGCTAAGCTGCGGATGGACAGCATGCGTGATCTCGGCCCCTGCATGAGTCCTTTCAACGCTTGGCTATTTCTGCAAGGTTTGGAGACACTCCCACTCCGCGGCCAGAGAACCGTCGAGAATACACTAAAGCTAGCCGAGTGGCTTGAGGCCAACCCGTGCGTCGCCTGGGTACTGTATCCGGGCTTGAAGTCACATGCGGACTATGAGTTGGCAAAGAGGGTCATGCCGAAGGGAACCGGCGGCGTCTTAACTTTTGGTGTGGTACGTAAGGCTGCTCTTACTGTGTTTTCTGCATACGTGCTTGTGTATACGTTCCTGCATACCTAAAAGTTTTCGTATGACGCTGACGTTGGATCATATAGGCCGGAAAGGTTGAGCAGGTTCGGGCCGTCGTCGATAATCTGAAGATGGCTAGCCATTTGGCCAACGTTGGAGACTGCAAAACACTCATTATCCATCCGTGGGTTACGACACACCAGCAGATGCCTGACGAAGAGAAGATTAAGGGTGGTGTTACCCGTACGTATATCATCTCAGCCTACTTCGCTACTTCGTCATAGGAAATTGCTAATCTTTTTGTTATCAAAGCCGATCTTCTTCGGGTCAGTCTGGGAATTGAAGATTTCGAAGACATCAAGCGGGATTTTGAGCAGGCCTTCAAGGCGGCTGGACTCCAAACAGCGGAAAAGAACGGAATAGACCCATTTCAAACAGCTATGAACCTCGTCAGCGGTGGGTTTATGGGCAAACTGGCGACAGGTCCACCCAGACCTGGCACGGACGGTACTATAGGGTCTTGAAGAAAAAGAAGAGAATCAAGAGATGAGGTTTCAGTGTTAGTAAGTTAGTACATAGTACATAGTACTACATACATGTAGGGTAGATAGGTGTATGTAGGTGTGTTAGGTTTGATGTTGGTTGGCTGGGGGGTGTGTGTGTGAGCTGCAGGTGCAGATTGGCGACGGGTATATGCATTTCTGTATTAACGTATATTATCATAACTGCATAATACAATATGCTGTTTTTATGCATGTCTTATCAACATCAATGATTATTACCTAAACATTCAACATTGAAACAACCGAGGTACGGGTACATAATACATAATACACAATACATAATACACAATACATAATACACAATACATAATACATATATGTAATACTTCAAGTTGAGATTCATTGTTCATCATTGTAATCTTCGTCTCAATTCCGAGAACATTCAATTCATAGTATCTACAAGCATCGTAACTTCAAAGCTCGAATTCTCACAATGGGTGGCCGTATTGACTTGTATATCGACCTCGGTAAACCCACCCGTCTCCTATCTACCCAGTACCTAATACTTCACCTACCTTACCTAGGGTACATGAACATGCGAGGACATCATTGATGATGATGTCGACCTGACTTGCAGCGTAGAACAAAATACAGATACATATAACTAACACAGCCAAAACACAATAGCGTCGATATACAGCTATGTCGTATTCGTCCAAGTCCTCAAAAACCAAGACCTGCTGAAGCAACACTCCATAGAAGTCGAGTTAGTCTAACCTAGTCCTATTTATCAAGTTACATCGTGGTTACTATGCTGGCCATTGATAGGCAACTTACATAGCAGTTATGTTGGAACCAACAACTAACAACACGTGACAGCTTCCACCCCGTCCTCCTGGGCGCCATCAATGCGGGCTCCGGTATGCATGCATTTACTTATTTATATACCTACCCACATACCTACATACGTGATATGTACATCGTGTCCAGCACCTATCAGCAGCATACATATGTTTTTCCCTACAAAGCCTCAATTCTCCACCAGGACCCAACGGCGCGGACAGCGGTCCGGGCCGCAAACCCCTTTTTCTTAGTTATCCATTCTTCATTTCCCTGCTTACCTACATATTGCCCCTACATACTGCCCCTACATAATACTTATCCACTTGCTGTACACGGTACCCATCAGCATCACATGTCGCCACTAACAACAAACACCGATACCCACACACCACCCCCCCCCTATCTCCCCTCCCTACCTACCTCCTCACCAACCCACTAACGCAAACCCCCCCACCCAGGCAACACCCCCCCCTGGACCCTCCCCGCCAAAGCCGCCTACGGCCCCCACGACACGCGGCGCTCCCTCCGCGCGGCCGGGCTCCCGCACCTCTCCGTCCCGGCCCTCGACACCCTGCTCGTCGCGGCGCGGACCCAGCTCCCGCTGCGGGCCCTCCACCACATCAAGGCCGAGCACCCCGGCGCCGTCTACCTCGGCGCGTGGCGCCTGCTGTTCCAGGCCTTCTGGGACGCGCGCGCCCCGCCCAACACCCCGGACGCCCTGGCGCGCGCTCTCCTCGCTTCTCCCTCCTCGTCGGAAAAGGAACACCCGCTCTTCACGCCCGCCCAGGCCTCCCGCATCGTCGACAGCGCCGCCTCCGGCTCCCCGCGCCTCAAGGACGCGCTGAGGCGCTCGACCGCCGAGGCGCTGGAGCGCGGCGCCTTCGGCGCCCCCTGGCTGTGGGTCACGAACGCGAGCACGGGAGCCAGCGAGCCGTTCTTCGGCAGCGATCGCTGGGGGCATGTGTATGAGTTTTTGGGGCTGCCGTATCGGGAGCTCGAGTTGTTGCCGGTTGGTAAGGGGGCTAAGCTGTGATTTCTCCGGTGTGGGGAGGAAAAGGGGAGAGGGGGAGAGGGGGAGACGCACACGCGGCTATAATCAGAGTCAGTTTTTGGTCTTCTTATTCTAGTAATGCCATGTACTTTCTAGATAATAATAACAGAATCTAGTACTTAGGTTTAAGTAGGAATATGTAACAACATCAAGGACCAAGAAAATCGCATCTATTATTCCAGTATCTAAGTACGCTATAAGGCAAGTATGTACCTATGCATGTATTATCATAACTCATCCAAGAGTGTGTGGGTGATTCGGTACCTCCTAGATAGGTACCATTTATCGAAATCCCGCCTAGGTATATTTGTCTATACTTTCTTTTCGTTCAGTGGTCGTAATAAAAAAAAAAGGGCGTAGCATCGTGAAGTCTTATCGACAATAGCTGCAATGGTCCAATCAACATCGCTCTCCGTAGATTACCTGCCTGTTCGTTCGTTCGTTCGCTCGCGGGATAGATAGTAACATCGGGCTACTTTTCTCCTCTTTCATTCTCCTCTCTTTCAAATCGTCTCACATCTCACATCTCCGATCTTCGTACCCGTACCTCGTTCAAGCCAGTTTCAAAATATCTTTCTCCGTGTTTCTCCTCTCCCTCCTCGCCCCTATGGAACCCCCCGAAGTCCACGTCGTAGCCTTGTTGATGGTCTTCTTGCGCATGATAGCCAAGATATCCTTTTCCATCCTATCGATCCCCTTCTCGATCTCATCATCCTCTTCCTTGTATCTCTTCTCACGCTTCCGGTCTATGAAGTACCAGAATAGCAAGATGACAGTCGTAAGCGGTATTGTGACCGCGAAGTATACCCACAGGAGTTGCGAAACGTGAGCGCTACTCCCAGAGACGCCGCCGCCTGCATCCGAGTCTACAGTAGTCAGCTTCAGGTTGTAGGTTTTTGGGAGGTTGATGAATCTTGAAGGGAAGGGATTGCGAGAAGGATAAAATCAACAGCTCACCGGCACTAAAATCAAAAAACGTCATGCTGAAGACAGAGGCCATAAAAGTCCCAGGGAGAAAAACTGCACCGAGAAGAGATAGTGTCTTCATAGCAGTACCGTCACGTTTTGTGGCGTGTGCTACTCGCCTCTGCTGTGAAGCAATCTCCAAATTGAGTTTGGATTCTTTCTGAGCCATGATGTTATAGAGCTAGTGTCATATGTCAGTGGCCCGTCTGTGAATGGGAATGCTCAGATACTCACGGCCTGTCGTTGTATGTGCAACCTCTCTAATGTCGTATGAATATAGTGCTCCATTCCTGTGAGCTTGGCCCTGAAGAAATCTAACCTTGAGAGCATGCTGTTATGCAAGTTTCCAAGCTTCTTCGCACGCCTCTCATCCGGAATGTGCAAGCCTTCCATGAATTTCTGCATGGCCTCCCTGAGCTCTTTCAGGATTTCCTGATAAGCCTGCGGCCGTTTCCACAGAACCTGGGAATGACATTCCACTAAGTCTCGGTTGATTCTATCCACGTCGAGGTCCATATAGACTTCTCTCTCCTCAATCTCGTTACGCATGGTGATAGCATTTTCAAGTCGTCGCAGCCAATCTCTTGCGTCACGTTGTCTCATGTCACCCTTAGCTGACAAGTCGTGAGAAAGAATGATGATTGGAAGTATAAGGGGATGGCCAAGTTCAGAACGACAAGCAATCAGGTGGTCGAGTGCCTCAAGAATGTCTGAAGACTCAGTACCTTTGACAAACCCGGTGGTTATGCAGGTGTTGTAAGAGTACGAGAGCACTATACGAACAAATTAGTGAGAGCGCCTGGTGAAATATAGTGAAGCATGCTCTATAACCATAGAGGTAGAGATACATCTGTAATATACAATGATATGAATGATGATAAGGCAGGCAATATAAAAGTAAGTTACGTACTGATCTCCCATCCACGGGTCTTGCCTTTTTTGCGCACATCGGATTTCCGAAATATGATTTCTGATACATGTTAATTTTCATTTTCACTATTTCATAGCCATCTGCTGGCCATATAAGGACGAGCATGTTGAGGGTTTGCTTACGTAGATGGCGATCATCTTCATTGTCATCATGAGAGCACCAAAAGAATGGGCCGACGAGACTGCTACCCTCAATTGCCCGAAATGGAAGATGCCATGTCTATGGTATATAACAATTAGCATTGGTGATTTTTAAAACGGTTTAGAGATCCATTATGATCTAAAGTATGAGCTGTTGGTTCACTCGCTTATTTCAAGGCCGCAACCAACCGCCATCAAAAGTGAGGGGAAATCATTCTGCAATATGTACATACCCTCACCATAGATTCATAGGCATCTTTCTTCAGTGATATGTGAAGGGGCTTAAATGTATCGGGGTGTTGGGCATCTTTCTGAACTCTGTGCACGAATCAGTCTCAGTCTCATTCCAGTCTAAGCCCTATACAGCCTCACTCACATCAGACGAACCCCATCTTGCAATTTCACCCCCTCAGCTAACATTGGGGGAGCAAATGCGCCCTAATATAAATCAGTATCATAGCTTCATAAATCGTGATAAATCCTTAATGAGAATGCTCGCCGGGATGTACTCTACAGCACTCAACTCAAGGTGAACTGGTCCGAATCAGAGTAGACTTACATTTCGACGAAGAAAGTTCTCAAAGTCATCTTGGGTCACTAAGGGGTGTTCCTCACAACTGTTATAAGTTGGGTCCTAGTGTAAAACAAATAAGTCAGTATTGACTAATCCCAGTCCATTAGATATAAGCATGTAATACTGGTGAGCAGTAAAGATAGCATTCCATGGAGTATGTATGTCTATAGAATTTTAGGATTAGAGAAAGACCTACGGAGTAATTGAGTATTTCTAGGTAGGTCGTCTTTTCCTCAACGGTCTTGCATTGGTCGACGTGATATCGAAACAGATAGTCGTCCATATTTCACACCGTTCGTTTAGGAAGTCTTTAGCTCTGATAGATAATGCCAAGCAATAAAAAAAAACATAGGTGAGCATGTACAGATATATCTATCTATCCAAAAACCGAATGCCTGGGCAATGCGGGTTTAAAACATTTTCGATTAAGCTTCTATGGAGGATTGTGACGTGCAGAAGATCGAGGCGCAGACTGAGCTATTCACGGGCGAACTATGAGGCGATGCTTGACCGAACTGTTTGCTTGAGGGTGAGAAATTGTAGGTTGAAGTTGTTGATGAGCCTGTAGGTGCATAGATATGTAAATAGGTAGTTAGAACATTAAACATTGAAATAAGGGAGAGGCGGGTAGATTAGTAGCCTACCAGGTAGGTTTAGTGCAATTTGTATTAGTTTGCACATGCATGTACACATGGATGTGTTGAGCAATCGAGTCTAGAAAATGATAATGAAAAGGGATTGGATGAAGAACAGGGATCGCGGCCTGGACCCGAATTATCCGCCCTAATCTATGCCGTTAACATAGTTAGTACCTAGTCCTACATTTTACTACCTACATACATATGTATTGTATTGTACATGTAGTAATCCATGGGTCGTAAATTAATTCCATGCAACTTGTACTTACATTTTGTACTTACATTCATAGATTATTACCTAGTACCAACATACGTACTAACCTTAAGTAAGTATCGTATTATTATATGTACATAAGTACGAATTCCTCCATCCTCCTACAAAACCTATCAACTTGAAGTTTAGCAATCATCATTGATGCGTGGCTTTCCCCCAAAGGCCAAAACGAAACCCCTCGCAAGATAGTGACATGTTTCCATGCTAGTTGTCCCATCATGTAACTATATACATACATACATATCTGATCACCGATTTATGTAGCACTATAGCATGCAAGAATTCGTACGCAGCTTCGGGAGACCATCTCGGGTTACATATAGTACTTTGCAGAGCAGGGCGCAGTACTTACTAGGTATCTAACCTAGGTACACGGTACCTTAGCTATCCAACATTGAAAGGTCAAGTGGGGGGTTGCTCGCTCATACAATACAATACAACATACCTACATGGTCCTACATAGGTCGGTAGATAGGTATCAATAATCCTTGGCTTTATGGATATGGAAAAGAGCCTCAAGCGGGTCACTTCCATCTCTTATGAAGCCAAGTCATAAACTTACATACATACACACAATACTAAACGTGGTCCAGGCCTTTCTAAGGCCAACGTACGATACCTACATATACATATAACTTGGAATGGCACGGTGTATGTAGTGTATGCTTGTTGAATTTTCCTAAGGCTACGTACGTACGTATGCTATGTATGTATGTGCTAGGTAGGTAGGTAAGTAGGTACCTAGACATCTACAGCATACCTCGGTTGGTCTCCTTTTTCTTTTCTTTTCTTTTCTTTTTTTTGATCAAGCGCCCAGACGATCCCCTATGTTTGCCCGGGCGTAAAATCCTCCAATCCCGTCAAGACTTTTCCTAACCGGGTTCATAACATTTCGATTTGAATGTTCATGCAGTTGTACCGTATGGCCCTAAACCATCGCTTCATTTGAGACATCCCCTGGTAGGTGCAAAGCTACCTACCAAAGTTTTCGCCCAATCTAAACCCAATGGTCGTCGCCGTTTGGATTTATGAATACAGTAAATCGCACCTCTTCTAAGAGCATTGATAGGACACCCTATTGATCCCTCAGAAATCGGGGAATAAGTAGCCATACCTACAAATGTCATGTTAGCTTCACAACCCAATTCTCTCATTTTGTAGTATATTAGCGTGACTTACTCGTCGCTTCCTGGCTGGCCATATTTCTCTGTTTCTTCGGGATACCTGTCAAACTGGCTGGCATCACCGGCACCGGCCTTGACCGGAGGAGTGTACGGCGCATCAATGTCTTTTCTGGATAATCTGTCCCAGGTAACTTCGGCGAACCAAGGATGATTTTTCACGTCTTGCGACCCTCCATACAGATTTCCCAACCGCTTTGTTAGATCCGGCGTGATGAGAAGTTCTAGTAGATTCTGAGCATCGGGATGGACGTATGCCGGATACTTGACCTTTCCCCTCAAGATATTTTCGTAGATTTTCATTGGTGATCCGCTATCCCAGAATGGCGTGTAACCACAGAGCATCTCGTAGATCAAGATGCCCAAAGACCACCTAGACCCCTAAGTTTTAGACAACCCGGAAATTTGGTGGAGGTTTACAAAAAAAGAAAGAAAACTTACCAGTCAACTGATTTATTGTAGCCCTTGTTAGAGACCACTTCGGGGGCCAGATAGTCTGGGGTCCCGCACAAAGTCCACGTCTTGTCCGGAACCCTTTTCGCGAATCCAAAATCTGTTATCTTGAGGTGTCCGTGACGGTCCAGGAGTAGATTTTCGGGTTTCAAGTCCCTATAAATTATATTTCTCGAATGCAGGTATTCTAGCGCGAGCGTGACTTCTGCGGCGTAGAATTTCGCTACCGGGTTTGGGAATCGCTAACAGGTAATAGTTAGCAACCCTACGTATTCGAGTCGGATGAGATGGATAACGCACGCCTGATTTCCTTAGCAAGGAGAATAACTCGCCACCTTCAACAAAATCCATAACCATGTAAAGATTCCTTGGGTCTTGGAAGGTTCCCCACAACGTGATGAGAAAGGGATGCTTGACTTCGCCGAGCATACGTCGCTCATCGTTGGTGTGTTCCACCTGCTTCATTTTGACAACCTGAGCCTTCTTCAAAACTTTGATTGCATAAAACCTTTGGTTGTGCTTCGATTGGACTAGATGAACACGCCCAAAACTGCCCGTGCCAAGCGTTCGGAGGAGGTCGAAATCGGTAAGCGAGTATTTGCCCTTTGTCACTCTAACCTCGGAAAGTGTCGATTGGTGGTGCTGGTGCGCTTGACGTTGCGGCGGAGGTGCACTATGATGACCTATTCTCCGTATTAATCAAGGAGAAAAGAAGCTATGGTTTTGCGTATTCCTTACCATCGTTCTGCGGCATGTTGATCAGGTTATTGATGCTCGGTAGGTTTTGGAGTGATCCTGTCTGCGCGGGGCTCGGACTGGGTTGGGCCCCGAATGGAGCATCTTGCTGGACTGCTGGTGGATTCATTTGCGGCCCTCCACCAGCTGAAGCCGGTATATCCTGACTAGATCGTGTTGTTGGTTGCGATTGGCGCGACTGGCGCGAGTATGAGGCCGTACTCGTGGCGGATGTGCTGTGAGTAGGGATCGTGGTGAGAGAGTTCGAGCCGAACCTCGAGGAAGTTGGGGTGATCGGTGTGACAGGAGTAACGGGAGTGACGGGAGTGACTGGGCTCGTGGGTTGGCTAGAGACAGAAGGATCGGGCTTTTCCTCCTTCGTCCGCTTCTTCTTGAGGAATCCTAACGTCGGCATATGAGTTGGCTTTAGACAAGTGAGGGACAAGACCCTCGTAACGATAAATGTCTAAGATATTCGTGATCCCGCAATGCCGGTTCACGTTGCAGGTTAGCTATGAGTACCTAGATAGGTAGGTACGTAGGTAGGTAGCTAATAGCACAAGTCCGAAAGCCGGCAACTGTACAACTTTTCAGCAAGTAGGGGAGAGGGGGAATGCCCGGGTAAGCTTGATGGTTCCTATTCCCAAGGTATATTGGCCAGGCAAGGCACCTAAAGTAGGAAGTTACTAGGTAGGTAACTAGGTAGGTAGCTAGGAGGGTAAAGAGGCAATTCCAGTTTAGAGCTGCACAATATGCAATGCTCCCATCCGAAAGTATAAGGATTTCCAAGTGAGGCCAATTGCTTTTAGTAGGGAAACTACTAACAGAACAAGAGACCAAACTTCTCTCTTTTCCAATAACAACTAAATGATAAATGTAATCCTGGTACAAAGAACTGTATGCTAATTGATCCAATTAGGTAGTTGTAATTTCTTGCGCTGGGTGAATTCTTTCTCCGACAATCTATACAAGAGTTAAAAGATCGTCGTGGGTCAATTCGATGGGTTCAACGGTCGCGATCACAACCACAACGTGGATAGAGGGGATAATTGAATTGGGTTTCGAGGTCGATTGAGTAAATACGAAGGATGCGATGTGGCGCAGCGATTATGGTTTCAGGCAGCAAGTATTTGAACAGGTCTTGAATCCTCGTAGCGAAAAAAGAGAGGTGAGAGATATTGTGTGGGAAGAGATCGGGAGAGCGGGAGAGAAAGAGACTCGAAGAGGCGACCGACTGGGCAGTGGACTGAATGGACTGGATGGACTGGATGGACTGGATGACGGCGGAGCGGGCGGGGAGAATAAGGCAAGGTACCTACTACGTAGGTTAGATGCTTAGATGCTTAGATGCTATAGGTGAAGAAGCAAGTAGTACCCAAATAATAACCTTGAAGTGATGAATGTGTAGGGTACTAGGTATATACAAGTCCTAGACATTTAGTGTAAAGGATAAAGCAAGAGAGTCCGAGTAATGTCATGTAATGCAATCGTAGATGTAGGTGTAATATCATACAATATCATACAATATATGGTATGTATGTATGTATGTATGTATTGTATGTATGTTAGGCCAAATATAGGTAGGTATATATATGTAATACCCTACCCAACATCACATCAGGGGGAGAGAAATGGGAAAAGAACTAACATTGAAGAGCAAAATGAATTAGGTAGGTATATGTAGGTGTTCGTTTAGGTGTTGTAGGATAATAGCAGCAAGTTAGGTAGTGTAGCAGCAGCACTGAGCACTGAGCACAAGGATTCAATGGTCCAAGGTTACATTCAAGTTGGCAGCTGTTTTCCCCCCCTAATACAAGTGCACATGTGGCTCAGGTTTTTTGAACGTGTGGGATTCAATCAAATGTTATGTTCTTCAGTTATGAAGGTTAGGTAGGTAGGTAGGTTAGGTAGGTTAGGTATGTAGATAGCGTACCTAAAGAGTAACCAGGTGTAATGTAAGTAACTAAGAAGGTTGGTCCATCGAGAGGATCAAAAAGGTGGGGTTTTCTTTTTCCCTTGTTCCCTTTTTTCTCTTTTTCCCTTTTTCTCTTTGCAATTGTCTTGCTCTCTTGTACCAATCAACTAACCTTAGTGCCAAGCGGGGTTAATGATGATGAAGGCTGAAAATACTGGCTAGATGCAAAGTAAAAAGCTTCATACAAGAAAAGCCCGCATCTCCAGATTTCTACAGTTCTTGACTAGGTAGACTGCCATTTTAGCGTTATAGCGTTGTAAACTATGTCTATTTGATATTAAAGCTCTTAGCAGAATAAGTAAGTACATACATACCTAACATGCATACCTAGTAGTTAGTACCTAGTATGCACAATCAAACATTGAATATGTACCTACCTCGAACCAGGGGGTTTGTTGTGGAAATCTGGGAGGAAATCTCTCAATCTCTTGTGGGTATTACGTAGATCCTTTATAATAGTGGGCAATAGATGGGGGGGAGGTTCCATCATCATTCAAGATCGGAATTAGATAAGATCCTAACGGCCAGCGTTGCATTATGTAGTTCAATGTTCTATATAAAACATAGGTAGTATTCGGTTGAAAAGAGACAAAATATTGACTCTATTGTTGGTTCTCCCCTTTCTGATTCATATACATAACTACATACTCATACAGATAAAAAGCCCGGCATTACATTGATGTAGGTTAGGTATTCATGGACACTTGATGCTTCTCACACCACGTACCTTGAGAGGTACATACATATTCGAATACATCTCGCTCATGCAGGAGATGCTTCGGCCTTCCGGCCTTTTCGTCACGCTTAGTCGTCTACATACCTAGGTAGGTACTATGTATAGCATAAACGTGGGGTGAATTCCATGCAAGTTGATGTACCTAGCGTATAACATTGAAGCTCTAAGCGACACCAACGACTAAACGGAGATCCTTACGCCGTTTACGTCATCGTCTCGAACATATCATGTGCATAGAGTCGAGATGATGTTGTCTGTAGGTAGATATCTGCAAGTAAGAGTCTGGCCCTGGTGAGATATATCTATGTAAGCGTTTAGTAGCTGCTGGAGATGTACATATAGATGCTGCTTGACTAGGATGAATCTGCGGGGGTTTAACATCAAATGTAGGTAGGATGTAGCAAAAGAAAACCATTGTTGTAATACTGAATGCTGGATCTATACCTACCTAGGTATACTCACCTAATCTAGTAGGCATCTTGCGTACATTTGGAGGCAAAAGGCATAAGACGGAATCCGCCGATCACACCCTTGCATCTTCATATCATACATTACAGACATACATGCACAACCCCACGTACAATCACTTCATCTACTAGTAGTGCCGAGGCGTGATAACAGACAGTGACCATTGTCTCCTAAGAGTTCGGTTGGACTTGGTCTGAGCTTCTCGCAATTCGATAATTTTTCCTACTGTATTTGAGTACTACCCCTTTAGTTTTACATTGCCGTTGGAACGCCTGCCAAATCCATAAGACGTAAGGATACTGCATGACTTTACAAAAAGACCATACAGTCCTCTAAAGTTTCATGTGCTAGTGATATTTGTGTTTTTGACTCGTTCCGGCATCACAACTGCCTCCCCATATCGACTATGTATAATAGTTATCCCCTTTAAAATCGATGGCTCCTCTTCTTGTTTGATCGGTACGCCGCATAACCCACGTACGCTCCACCAACAACCAATCCAAAGATCAAGAACTTGAAGAAGAACCAAGTCCAGCTACTACCGCTGGTCGGCTGCTGAAGCTGAGGTGATTTCGCACTCCCTTTTCCGGGCGTAGGTTTGCTGGTCGAGCCTCCCGTTATATACAGATTCTTAGCATCGATGGAGATGATGTCGTGGTTATCACTCAACTCGCCCGTCTCGGCGCTGAATCCAAGGTACGTAACGGAGGGGATTGCCGGGGGCTCGCTTGTTTCAAAGCATAGCTGCCACTCATCTTCGCTCTTGTACTGGAGCTCTAGCTTCAACGATTTGTCTTGAAAGTAGGTGAGCTTTAATTTGGTTGGCACAGTAGCATGTCGGATGCCCCGAGCAGAACAGCCAGCAAACTCGGTGTCCTTTCCGTCGTTATCCTTGTTATAGGATGTCTTGCCATCGCCAACCATTGCCATAACGTACGGGAAGACTACACCGGGGCGGTTGTTCTTGTAGGTATCGATGAAAATGCCAAGGCCTTCAAAGTTGTCCGTATGTCCAAATACTGGTCCCAACTGTCCCCGCTCTTTCGTAAGCCACATCGCAAAGCCATCGCCATACAGTTGGTTTTTTCCGTGGATCTTGAATTCAACAGTGACTTCCCAGTTCGTCGCAGTAAGAGGTACTCGGGAAAATAGCCATCCATTCTGCGACGGGCGGTCCGAGGTGAGGCGGATATAACTAAATAGGAGTCATCAACCTAAATGCTCGTTGGGTCGAAATGATAGATATCAGGTAATGACATACGAGTCTGTCCGAACTATAGTGTCACCTCCAAAGTCATACCACCGGCTTTGCATATCGGAGTCCAGGTAAGGCTGTTTTAGTGTGTGGGTTCGCAACTAAAGGAGAGATAGGTTAGCAATAGCTTCAAAATGGGATTAATATATTGTGCGCAATACTCACAGCAATCGTCCTGATATTTCCATCTTCATCGCGACTCACAGCACCCCAAGCGGTAGCCGCCAGCCATAGGGCTGACAGCGCTGGGAACCACATAATGCTGTCAAACTCGACTCTTGGGGGATATCCGAAAAAAAGAAAAGCGATAATAATATGCAAGGAGAAGTGAAGAAAATGATGGGAGAAAAGGAAAGTAAGTATAAACCTAAAGCGGCGCAAAGAAGGCGCTTGTAGTGGTTGAAATTTGATCCTGTGAGAAAGCAGCGAAGATTCCACCTTCAACTATCAATCAACACAGTGATATAGCTGGCTTCTCCTCAGCCGTGCGAAAAATTCTGGGGACTCTGGACGATGTTCCTCCAAGTGGCCAGCTTGTTACACTGAGCTACCCCTGCTTAGCTCACCTTGTCACGCTATTTGAGTTGAGACTAACTACATATGTATACCTGATATGTACGGTAACTAGCCACATCATGACATGTAATTATGTACCGTACTACCGTACGACCGCCACGAAATTCAAAGTCTACAACTTAGTTATCCACATTAAATTCAAGCCTACGTCAGCGGTTAATTAATTGCTACCAAGCAAGTACAAAGTATGTACGATAATATTACAAGTATGTAACATGTAATTACCCACATGTTGCTTCTTCTTCCTTCAACAACAACAACACTAATATTTCATACACTCAGATCTGCCTCATGGGGCATTTCTTAACTTCTCAGGATGCTACAAATATCAAGCAGTCCGTCGCCAGTACCCTCTGAGATATTCGCCCTCGTCGCGCTTCTCGTCCTCTCACTTATTGTTCTCCTAATTTTGCGACATTATCTCCCGTTGCGAACGACACCCGCCTTCCTACTAGTGCCCGTCTTCTTTGCATTATGGCTGCCTGCAACCATCGTTCTTCTCGTGCCTATCGATCTCGCTTCTAATGCAAGTACCGATGATGATGCCACGAAAGGCATCTGGCTCCCTCCCAGGGCTCTGCTCGTGTCCTGGAGGATTTCATATTGGCTGACCTTTGTCTTGACATGGTAATGGCCGTCGCGCAACTCCCCCAGGTTGTCTAAACTCATATGCCAACACTCTTTCTCACAGGTTCATATTACCCATCCTTGCCGAGTATTCCGACGCCGGTTATCGCGAGCCCAGAGATCGCATATTCTATTCGTTGCGCCAGAATGCCCAGTATTACGCTCTTGTAGTCGGTTCAGGAGTACTTGGTCTCGTGTATTTCTTCATATCCTACGGTCCCTCGTTCACGTCGCTAAAGGGCCTGATACTCGCCCTTGCTTACTGCTGGGGCTTAATCTTGGCTATTTATCTCATGGGCCACGGTCTTGTTGCTATACCCCGAAACCTGGTTAGAAATGCGAGCGCCAGCCGCCGACTGCGACAACTCCAGGGCCAAGCACCCAAGCTTTTTGAAAAGATGGAGGATGCCGCTTTAAATCTAGAGGATTTGGAGGTCCAAGTATCGGAATTGAGTAAGCGCAAGACTGGAAGTGCCAGAGACTTCCAGGACTGGATTGAGGAACTCTCGGATATATGCAATATCCCGGAATCTCGCCCAAGGAACCTCTTGCCTCGAGTGGAAAATGATAGTCGGATAATTCCCACAGTTATCACCGCGAAATATATGGCCGATCTGACTCGGCAACTAAGCCGGGCAAGACATGCGAAATCCCGATACGTCGATGAGTGGGATCGCTTACTTAACGACGCTTCATGGACTCAAGCGATCCTAGATTCCGCGGGGTCGAAGAAGTTAAATATAGGGGCAAGCTCCCCAGGCTCCTCCTTTTTGACAAAGGTCACTCTCCTCACACCCTACACAAGATATCTTGTTCACTTCCATATCATATCTTATTCCCGCATTTTTCTTGGCGGCTTCCTCGCCCTCGGCTCAGCCTGCATCATATGGTCCGAGTTAGTAAAAGCGGTTTTACCATCATTATCCGTTATCCGATTTACCGTAGTTCATCATTGGACGGGGGACAGCGGGCGGGTTGGCTTCGCAGGCCAGGTCATCGCTGCGCTTTGGATCATGTACATGTGCACGGCAGCTCTGCATTCGGTGACCGAGGTCAAAGTGTGGCGCGGTCGCGCTCTGGTCCGACGCAACACCGCCCACGAATCAGCGTTCTGGTACGCTGGCCAGGTGGCCAAACTCAGCGTGCCCCTATCATACAATTTCGTCACTTTCCTATCTCGGGACATATACGAAAAGACGACCTTCTACAGCATTCTCGGACAATATGTCGACCTTACCCCTCTTGGAAAGTGGTTCGACTATCTATTCCCCGTACTCGTTCTCATCCCCGTCTGTGCTACCCTGTTCGGGTTATACGGCAAGGTTAAGCAATTCTTCGGCTTCGGCGACATCGTGGACGAGGACGAGGAGAACCAGCCCAGTTACGGGTCCGGCTCCTGGCGCGAGGGGCGAGATCTCATAGAACGCGAGTTGAACGGAACCTCGATCTCCAGGAGACTAGACGAGGCGGTCTCCCGGTCGGCCAACGGCCAAAACGGCCGCGCGGCTCCAATATTAACGGTACCCGCGGCTCGCAGGGAATCGCCGCAAACACCGTTCGCAACCTCGCCCTCCTACCACGACGAACCCTCCAGAAGACCAGCGCCGTCCTCTCGGCCCGGCATCTCCGACCCGGAAGCCGAGGACGACAACTTCTTCACCAACCTCGGCCACCGGTTCAAGAACACGTTCGACACCATCGATGCCCCGAAATGGTTTCAGGAAATAGGCGACGGGATCAAGAAGCCGAAGTGGATGGGTGGCGATGACGGGGCTGGCGAGAATAGTAATAGTAGTGGGAGTGGGAGTGGGAGTGGGAGTGGTAATAATAGAGCAGCGAGAAGCGATTCGGATATACGGCGGTGGTTTGGGGGCGATGGGAGGATACGGCTCTAACTAACTAAAGGTTTCGGATAGGGAGGTAGGTACAGTAGGTAGGTATGGACTACTACTTTCAAAATTCATACCTTGGAAAGACATATATGCATAGTATTATTAATTCATGACATCAAGATTTATATTGCATGCTTATTGATTCAAACTTTTACACGCTGTAGTTGAAAATGGTGATGATAACTGGACGCTCTGTTGGCATTGTTGGATTTGGGTGCTGGCATATAGTTACATAGGTAAGGGAAAGGAGGTAGGTAACTATGCATGCATAACTAGTCTTCTTTCACTTCGAAGTTCATTAATCTAGGTATGTACAGTACAGTACAGTACAGTGCTATGTAAGTCGGTGTACGGTTTTCTTCTAACGGTTGAACAGCAATCTCTGGTCTGGTCTTCTTGTTTCTTCACGACTGCGCAGTGTCATATCCCAGGTAGCCCGACGAACGCTCTTAACGCCGGTATCCACCGTGGGAGGATGTAGATCGGGTAGATGGCGACGGAAGCTACGAGCAGCCCGGTCAACTGTCCATAGGAATGTATTATTAGCATTTGGCCTTTTAAGTATGGGGGGGGGGGGGTGGAAAGGGGTTATTTAAGGGGAACGGTGGGGGAGGAAGGGGAGGAAAAGGACCAACATACCTTCTCGAACCAAGTATGAAAATAAATAGCCGTCATGAGCAACATCCACAGACAAAGCCCGACAATCGCGAGCACAAACTTGCCCCCAAACCCCAGCGTCCTCTCCTCCTCGGGATTCACACCGTTGCTCTCGGCCTCGACGCCGGCTCCTTTCACCGCGCCATCGTGCATAACGATGGTCCTCTCGTCGCGGCCGCCGAAGAACCCGGTGCGGTAGACGACCCAGCCGGCCTCCTGGAGCAGGAAGAAGCTGCCGAGGACTAACAGGAACACGTGGCCGCTGATGTCGTGGCCCCCGCTCCAGCGGCCCCCCACGGCCCGGCACGCGACGGCCGTGAGCACGTCCGCGGTATCAGCGACCCCCCCCACCACCGCGTCGCGCGCAACCTCGCACTTGCCGCCCGTGAACCGAAACCCTCTATCGATGATGGCGGGGCCGAAGCACCACTGCGTGACCAGCACCCACCAGCCCGTGACGAGCGCCCAGCGCACCACCGCCCTCGCGCCGCGCGTCACGCCACCACCGCTACCACTACCGAGGAGCGACGGGTGCTTCGCAATAAAGACGGCGAAGGCGACGGTGATCCAGGCCCAGCCGCGCTTGACGAAGAGGACGTTGAAGACGTTGTCCTTGCGGGCGAAGTAGCTGGGTGCCTCGCTCGCGACGTGGGACTGGCCCGCGGCGTCGTACGCGGCGCCGCGGGTCTGCGGGCTGAGGATCGAGAACAGCGCGCCGAACGTGAGGAGCGTCGGGTACACAAGCAGCACCAGGGTCTCGAGCGGCGTGGGCAGGTAGGGTGAGTTTCGCTTCGAGGAGGAAGAGTAGGATGGTGGTGGTGTCGTCATCGTTGTCGTGCCGTTCGTCCCCCCGCCACCAGCAGCCATCTTGGTTTGTTGTCGTGATCGTAGCGGAGGATTGTTATTATTATTAGGATTGCCGTAGTCCATGGTGGCGGAAGGAGGAGTAGAGCATGGGATCCCTCCCAGTAAGTAAAGGATTTCTTTTTCGTTACGTTTTGCCTCCTACTTATTATTATAAGGTCCCCTAGTTATTAGATAGTATACTCTGTAGACTCTAATTTTCTAGAATAACTAGAATAGAAATAGAAATGAAAGATTGAAAAGACGCGACGACCCGCTCAACTCAAAATTTGAAGAAGCTTTGTCGTTTAATACTGCTAACCTTGGAACGGATGACGTTGACTGCATGTGGCATTTAAGAGAAACTTGGAGGTACCATGTAGTTACCCTACTTCAATACTACATATACCTGCCTACATCCTAGTACTAGTATGCACTGCATAATATTATGCACTATTAATGCATTCACAATTGTAGTTGAGACTACTATCAATGCGTTGCTCTCAAAGATTAACTACGTTGCTGCTCAAAACTTGTAAAGCAATCAACTTTCATATAAGTCATGCATAGTATGGATATCTACAGGATGAGGTACCTAGCTAGGCTGTATTAACCGTCACTTTTCCCTTGTTGACATCCTTGGCGACCCTCGCGATAATCAAGTGGTATCTTGAAATGCATCATTTTACCCTCCCCAGAATTCCCATCATCCCTGATTTTGTATACACATGGATATCAACTCTTCTTGATTCCGAATGACGTGGGAAAAAAATCCGTATTGAAATGCCATTAAGGCCACAAAAGAAGCGAAGAAAAAAGCAAAACCCTCAAATACCATCAATGCTCGCCTATCATAGAAACAACCACGTGGGTGCCTATTTATGGATTCATAACGTGTGGCGTCGATCCGCAACCATTGGAGGTGGTCGTAATAATTTCGGTTGCCGTTCTTGTTGAACGGGTACGATTCGGAGTACAAGCCCCAGGAACCACGCTTCATGGCGTCTGGGAGCAAGTTCCCGTCGCCACAATTGTTTGCGTAATCGTCACCGTCACCACAGAGTCGTCGTCACCATTATCGACAGCACCACCATCGGAGGTTCCCGAAGGAATTGGCAATGTCGTTACAGATGCCGTCGCTGAAGTAGCGAAAGTCACGTCTCCGTTGGTCGGCGTCGAGGCCGGGGCAGTCCCGGTCTGGCTCTCGGTAACGACTGATCCTGATCCTGATCCTGATCCCGACCCTGAACTAGAACCTGATCCAGATCCAGAATTAGAGCCAGAGCCAGAGCCAGAGCCAGAGCCAGAGCCAGAGCCAGAACCAGAACCAGAACCAGATTCAGACCCTGATCCCGATCCAGATCCTGCAGTCGGGGTTGCAGTAGCAGTGCTAGACGGTACACTTCCGGACTCTGTCGCCGAGGTCGCAGCAGACGATGTAGACGATGTTCCTGCAGAGTTGCCTGTCTCTGGCTGCGATTCTTGTCCAGCGCCAACTTCGAATTCAGCAAGAGCAGCACAGAAGGTGTTCCTGTTGTCTTTGTCAAGGGCGATCCCTTCGCCATCGACGGTAATCATATTCACTGAGGCCTTAGTGCTGAGTCCAAGGATGTGAATACCAGTGGAGTCCTCGATGCTGAGCATATTGTCTTGGCAGTTCTGTTCGTCTACACACTTTTGGCCGTAGTTGTCGAAAAAGCTGTATAAACCAGCGCCGTAGAGGTAAACCGACGATGAGTTTGTGATGCGAAGTCCCCAAGTACGAGCGCAAGTCTTCGACGATCCATCACATGACTGTTCAAAATCTGGGTCGAAAAAGCCTTCAAGGACCGTAGCGCCACTAGGGGCAGCTGGGTTACCTTGGAAGTACGCAGTCTCAGTCTGAGCTACACCAATGAAAACGTTCTGGGCATTGGAGAACTGGTAGTTGTATAGAACGCTGTGTTCCGAAGCAGTTCCCCAAAACCAAACAGGCTTTTGCGACTCGACGAGAACACCACGGCCGTTGAAGATGTTGATCTGGTTGTGATCCTCCAAATCGAGCTCGTGATCAGCAACCCAGAACCAGCAGTTCTCAATGTACGCCGAGGCTGTCTGTGTAAGATGTAGCATCATGAAGGCACCCATGCACTCGGGGTTGACTGTCGTGGTAACATTTTCGTTCTTGGTACACTTGTCGGATTGCAGCTCAGTCCCGGCAGTGCCACCAACGCGGAAATGCACGTCCCACATACCAGCCGCACCGTTCTGAGATCCAGCCAAGTTCCACTGCATGAGAATAGCACCAGGAAGAGAACCCTTGGTTTCGAGGATCAGGTCAGACATCTCAACATCGCCAACCTCACCGACTTCGCCGATTTGGAGAACAGGAACAGGCTTAGTTTGGTCAGCGAACTTCTCACCTGACGCCATAAGAAGCGGCCACATCTCTCCGGTAATTTTGATGTTCTTGGGGACTTTAACAGTGTCGGTTATCAGGTATGCACCGTGGTCGAAGTAAATAACATCCCCTTCTTTAGCATCATCGAAGATCTTCTGGATTGCTGCAGTATCATCGGTTTGGCCATCGCCTTTGGCGCCGGCCGTCTTCACGCTGACGAAACTGCTGGACGAGAGGGCCTCATACTGAGGCTTAGCGCGGGTGAAGATCTTGCCATCTTCACCTAAAAGAGGGCGGGCCATACGGACACCGTCTTTCGCTGTCTGGACTGCCTTGCCGCTGGTTCCAGTATACTGACGGCCCTGGGCAAACCCAACGATCTTTTGATTACCTGGAACCACAGTAGTCTTATCTTTCGCGTATTGAATAGCCGTGGGAACAGATTCGGTCATGTCCACGTTGTCGATGATCAGGGTGTTGTTAGTGTCCGGTTGGTTGGTCTGGTAAAGAGTGCTGACACCAACTTCAACGTTGGAGATTTTGCTGTCAACGAGAAGTAATGATCCGACGGTAATGCTGTCAAAACCGCCACCTGTCATGTCAATACCGACTTTTCCGCCGTTGATCTTTATATCGTGCATTAACCAGACCCAACTCCAGATCATGTGAATGGCCGTGTTGCAGTTGTTGAAAGTCATGTTGCGACTTGTGTACTGCTGGCTACCGATGTCAGCTCCGATACCTCCGCCGTTGAAAACGAGATCGGTCATGAATCCTCCAGAGCCATTCTCGATAAACAAGCCTTTCTGCTTGTTTTCCTCACTGGTATCAGGGTTCATGTTGAAGACGATGTTCTGCAAGCTGGTGGCTTGTGAAACTTGCCAGTGGATACCAGCGCCTTGACCGATCGGCTGGTCCTTGATATCGATGATGAAATTGCGAACTTGGCGGAAGAAATTGTTCTGGTTTATGTACCAGTTCACAGCTGGGTTGACTGAGTTGTCATAAGGATTCGCGTCAATGACCGCCATGCCTACGAAGTCGGCAGTCGCCTTCAGAGTTGGGATATCGACTGCATCACCAATAAATTGGGTGTAGTAGGTCTGGATAATTGGCTTGCTGACGATGTAGACACCTGGAGGGAAGTATACAATAGCCGGCGCGTTGGTTCGGGAATCGCATTTCTCGATACATCGGCTAGAGCCATCTGTAACAGCCTTGTTGATGGCGTCTGTGTCGTCGGTTGTGCCATCTCCTTTAGCACCGAAGTCCTTGACGTTGCGGAAGACCTGGTAGTCTTGTTCACCAAATGCCGCTATTCCTTGACGTTTGATATCGGCAACCCAGTAGCTGGAACTAGCATCCTGTGTCTCTGCGGCAGCAGACAAGTTGACTTCGGCGGACAAGTCGAGTCCAGCCACGGGGTTGGAAAAAAGGCGCAAGGCCAAGAAAGAAGCCGTAAGGAACTTTGAAAGTCCCATCTTGAAGGTAGTGCCAGCTATGCTTAGATGGGTTCCAGCAGTATTCTCTGTACGGGAAGGTTGACGTAGCTAGTACTTTTCAGAAATCAGTCAGCCGCTCCACCAGGGAGATTGTTTGTGTAATAGAAAATGTGGTCAAAAGAGTGATGTAGTCAATAAACACTGGTAAAGATCCAGTCTTGATAATAATAGGATATTTGATAGAAGCAAGAAGGGAAAATGAGAGGATATTTGCTAAGGGTAATGTAGAAGTGGGAAAGGAGAGGAAGAGAAGCAAAGTGTATAAAGAAAAGGTGGGAGGGTTGCATTTATATGTGTCTTCAAATTGAAGAAACAAATAAGCAAGTCGAATTTTTATTATTGTGATTGTGTTGTTCTCGTAAACTGACCTCAGTGACAATGACGATTGTTCATGGAAGGTCTAGATTCGACAAGGATAAAGACAGAAGGTAATGGGGCTTTATGCATGCGGGTGCAAGGAAATGCGATGGCTCCGAGTTGTTTGTGAACCGAACAAACGGGAACAATAAACATCGGATCGAATCAAAGACTTACCAGTCACAAAAGGTCCTTGGTTGGTGTTTGTCGATTCAACCCTTGACGTGGATATGGGCGCCGGGCTCACCTAGTCAGACTTGGGTAAGTGCGGTTTCTTTAGGGTGCTTGTTTAAAAGGTGAATGATCAAATGAAGGACTTTAGTCAGAAAATATTGTAGGATATGAAAAAGGAATGACTAGAGGAAACCAAGAAGTTGGAAGAAAAGAAGTAGTGAATGGAGATGGAGATGTCCATAGGAACACTGTGGTGTTGAGGGGGAGGGAGAGATTAGTTAGAGGCACTGTGGTTGGCTTTGAGACACAGGCGCCTGTTATATCCAATGAAAGGATTGGGTCTGACAAGAACTCCTTACCACCTAATCACTTTACAGGGTTGATCAACTACACTACCTAAGGGTTGCTCCTTCATCTTTTCAGGATTTCCATCTTAAAGCAAGATCAGTTGCCACATGGCGGCATACGGCCCTGGGGGAGCATGGTACGGGGTACAAGGAAAATAAGTGCGATCATGTCGTCCAATCAAATTTGAGCCACTTCCTGGAAACAGCAAGAGCTAACCAATCGCACCTACCCTAGGTTCAACTATTCTCAAAAAATGTTTGGATGACAATGGATGTACAGTGTACCTAGTATACAGTGTACCTAGTATACAGTGTACCTAGTACACTACTACATGTAGGTACTACATGTAGGTATTCTTGGGGGCATTTGCCAGGTCCCATGTTGCTCCACTACTACGTTCTATTTCTTTTCCTTGTTTATTAATGTTTGCACTTTGCAGTCATCTTCTTGTACATTCATGCTCAAGTAACGCATTAACTAATTGAGAATCACAAAGTGGGATGGGGAGATCACGGCCCTTCCCGTACTATCGAATGTCCACACAACAAACCAAGACCAGAGACCAGAGTCTGGCCAGGTGCTTATGATGCATACATATGTACCCGTACTGTGTAGGTACAAGTACATGTATTCTGCAATGGTCTGTGATCAATCCAGACAAATTGTATTATTAGTCCTAGATATCTTCAGTCTTGAGAAATCCCCAGTACTTGTAAGTACATAATCTAACTGAAATCTAACGTCTTGAAAAGCCCAGCATCGATATGATTTGACCCGAGGATTTGGGGCTTGGAATACGGCTTTCAAATAATCAATATAGCGTCGACAGTATTGGCCCCCATTGATCAGTGTTCCTGCATTTCCTGCAGGGGTGATGCAATCCTTGCATTTCTTTATGGCTGATCATTATGCAGGTACAGACTCACTGTACTAGTACATATTATGACATGATTACCTATGTATGCACACGTCAACCACGTACATATGTATGTATGTATGTATGTGTGAATGTACATGTGCTTCGTCGGTTAGATAGGTGCTCGAGCTCTAGATATCTTTATTAGATCAAGATATGTGCAACTTGAGTCTGGAGCAACATTTGAAATGGACAGTCCATACTCCTACAGCAATGCGGTACAACTAAGGGGTGGCCTATGCATATGTATACCTACATGTACTGCGTACAGTATACGCAGTCTTCGGCTAATCGAGCCTGACTTGATCCGATGAATGGATGGAATCGAGTGACGCCTAATTTACGAGGTATGCTACGATTCCTATGATGTTGCCTGTACTACTAGGCTGAGTGTTTGTTAGGTATGTATTGTACCTAGGTGGGTAGGTGAATAAGTGCACATCCATATATTCAACAGGCAAGGTAGACTGACGGCAACACAACTTAATATACACACCTGAGTTATCATAGCAATAGGTTAGAATATTCCTATGTATGCATCGTTGTCGTGTACCTTTCCAATATGTAATGTGCATGTCCACGAAATCACAAGCAAAATTACGCGTAGATCTCCGATGTTTCAGCGTTTCAATCAAATCGAGCATTTGTAGTTCAACAGCCAACCGTTCACATAGTACGGCTAGTACGCTAGTACATAGTGCGCCGCTGGATCGCTAGCCCCTGAACCGGGGGGTTTGCAAAAACCAGGGTTCAATCATTGAAGTTGGGTCCGTGTTTCATGACATTCGGGCTTGGTACTAATACTAGTAGTACTACTAGTAGTACGTCACTAGTAGTTCGAAGAATAGGGTTTCAAGGTTATGCATCCCCGCAATAACCCCCTAGGTAGATCCTATTACTATTTTGAGCATGTTTTCAAGACCAGTGGAAGCGGCTAGGCAGCATGGTGGATTAATAAGTACCTAGCCTACTACTTTATCGACGCCTTTTTATTTATTTTCCCCGTAGGGCAATGGATGCTACCTAACCGCCCTAAACCATCCTATTAGGTACTAGGTAAAGACCAAGGATCTAGGGGTTTCGGAAACTTCTTTGCTTCCGCTTCATTGGCTGTGGATTCACCGATTTGTTCGGTATGAAAACATCCAAACAATTTTAGACACTTACCTACCTAATCAATATTCATTAATATCATTATAGTGCCTAGGTAGGTACCTAGTATTGGTGTTGGCGTACTGTAACTTTAAGTCTGTAACTTACTAGTAAGTACCAAAGGGCACTCTAGTTACCCTTCTATATAACCCTCCCAACGCCATTTACCTAACCTACTTAAAACACCCGCGCCTCTGAACGACTAGAATAGAAGTCCAATCACAGGCCGGAGAAGGTTTGATCAAAGATCTAGTCAAATCCGGTGAGAGCGTTGACATATGATGAGTGATGATGTCTTCATCAACTACAAACTAGGGGCAAAAGGTCAACTGGTGCAACTGCAATGCAATCAATCATCTTATACACGTATCGTATTTATTAAGTATTTAATGCGAAATACCCCAGGTTAGATACCTAGCTGTGTGAGACTGTGAGTAAGAGATACATTTTGAGGGAGATCAGAATATCTATTAATAACTTGGCCTATGAAATATACTCTACTCATTTCTCAATTATGTCGTCTTAGATCGTTTCCGTCGAATACCTTCCAACCATCAACAGCAAAAAGGAAGTTTCTCATCACTATACCGCAACACGATAGTAAACCACATGACCCGTATTAACCTCCATGGATTTTTCTAGTCGTCAGGTCCTCGGCTCACGTGCTGTTTTGTTGGCGACACTTCATGAGTGGCTGTATCTTCTGGCCAAAGTTATCCACACCTTCTAGGAAATCATCAAATGCTAGCATGATTCCTTTCGTCCCTGGCACCAGTGCAACTTCATCTAGCATCCTCGCGATTTTCTCATAAGAACCCACAAGGGTGCCCATGTTGAGGTTTACAGCCCCTTCGCGCAGGCCCAGTCTTGTAGCTGTGGAGTGAGTATCAGCCTTAGTATCTTTAGATGATTCTGATTTCATCCAAGCCAGTGCCTCCTCGTCCGCGCCATCGTTGTATAACTTCCACTTCGCCTGAGCCGCCTCATCCGTCTCATCGGCGATGACCATAAAAAGGACGTACGAGCCGACATCACGGCCGACTTTGGCAGCCGCTCCGACTAGACGAGATGTGGCTTGCCCATATGCCGTGGGTGTGTTGATACCGGCGCCCAGGGCAAAGTTGAAATCCGCGTGCTTCGAAGCGAAATCAATGCCATGTCCAGACTGTCCCGCGGCAATTATCTTAACGTCGTCTTTAGGTCGCGGAGATAGCTTGCAGTCCTCCATTTGGAAATACTTTCCCTTGAAGTTCGACACGCCGCCCGTCCAGAGTTCCCGCATAACTTGCACGTATTCGGTCGCATAGTCGTATCTGTACCCAAAATACGCGTCACCTGGCCATATACCCATTTGCGAATACTCAGCCGATTGCCAACCGGTGACAATGTTGATGCCGAAGCGGCCGGGTGCTACGGAATCGACCGTAGTAGCCATGCGGGCGACTATCGCTGGAGGTAGGGTAAGGATCGCCGCCGAGGCATATAGCTTAATCTTAGACGTGACAGCGGCCAGGGCGGACATGAGCGTAAAAGACTCCAAGTTGTGATCCCAAAACTCGGTCTTGCCGCCAAACCCACGCAATTTGATCATGGACAACGCAAAATCGACGCCGTAAGACTCGGCTTTTTGGACGACCTGCTTGTTTAGCTCGAAGCTGGGCATGTACTGCGGTGCGGTCGTGGAGATAAGCCAGCCATTGTTGCCGATGGGGATGAAGATGCCAATTTCTATGGATGCCATCGTTGGGGGAAATGGTACATATGTCTCAACTGCGATGAATTATGTTTGAACAATCAAACAAAGCAAATAGCTATACACGCTCTTCCCTCCTTACCCCCTTCGGCAGCTTCGAGGTTTTCGCGCGAAAAGTATAAGGCCATAATCGGCGAAGACTGCTACCATCGGCACAGCACCCTGTTGACCCCGCCCATTGTCGCCAGTAAATTACTAGTCGGATACAGTATGTTGGGTGGTCTCCCGGCGTGGGTTACATCTGCATGGCAAGCTGGAGCCTGTGAATATGAAACGATGATCAATGATTGCTCGCACAACACACGCACAACACACACACATATATTTGCGGGGTTCGTATGATCAACTTGTTACTTGAGCAGCATTGCTTCGTCATTTCATATACTGGGTAAGTAATTGACTTGCCAGAGTATTGTCCAGTTGTCAACTCTTTGAAAGCCTGATTTACCTGCATATGTTGAGTTAGGGCGGATGAGATTTACCAATAGGTACGTAATTTATAATCAATGATATAAAAACTTCAATAATGTTATCATTAACATACAGTAGTTACATGAACTCTGGCACGCTACTACGTACAAAGCAAAGAGTGGTGGAGGGCGTGGAGGGCGGCTAGGGCGGGCTCCCTGGCGACTTCTGGCAAGTGGCAACACCTCGCTTAGATATCTACATGGGTACTAACCTTAGGTAACTTACATGCACACATGTGGGTAACTTACATGGGTATGTGCAGAGATCAGCCCATGGATATCCATCCATGGATACCGGGTATATGTACTTGGCGGCTGTCGAACAGCTGACAAGAGACCTTAACGACATCTGGACATCTGGGCATCTGGATCTCTTATGAAGTACTTAGGTACATATCGATACTACCAACTTGAACTTCAACCACATTCTTTAAAATTCCGACTCCAAGATTCAACTGTCAACGCTCAACATTCTCGTCATCCGATCTAACTATATTAAATGAACCTCAGCTATCATGGCAGAGATGACACGACCAACTGTTCCAGCAAAACTTCCAAGCCTTGTCAAGGCAGCTTTTGATAAAGCACGGCTTTCTGGTGACTTAACGTACTACCCGACCCAAGTCGCTGTCTTGGCACCTAATTCTATCCCAGTGAGTAATAGAGAGTACATATATGTTAATAAATAGAATATAGCGATATTTCTTACTGGCTTATAACTACAATCAATGACTTATTATTTCACGCATCTAGTTTCAGCTTCGTTTCTCGCCAGCCTTGGCATCAAAACCCAAAGCTCCCAAGCCGAAAGAGCCGAATGGGAAACCATTCAATCCTTTCGAAAGTCCCCTACCCGCCATGCTTATCGCTGATTTTCCGCCGTCTCACCGACTTGTCTTGAACAAGTTCGCTGTTGTACCTGAACACTTCCTCCTAGTCACCAAGGAGGTTAAGCCCCAGACCCACGTGCTGGAAATTGATGACATAGCTGCGACTTTTGCTTGTATTCAAGCCTACCGAGTAGAGGGCCAGGAGCTATTCGCTTTTTTCAATTCAGGGCCAAATTCCGGTGCTAGTCAGCCACACCGACATCTGCAGCTGCTACCTGTCCAGTCTATGAGGGATGGACTGGAAAATGTAAATCAGGGCAACGATTGGAGTGTACTGGCAGACAGGCTCAGTGAGTCTGGCAATGCACTGCCATTTCAAGTCTTTACCACAAGCATGCGTCCAAACATGACCGCGGAAGAGAGGCATAGCGCGTATTTGAGCCTGTATAGATGTGCCGTCAAGGCCGTCTTTCCGCAAAGTGAAGCGCGTAGCGAGGAGGCTGAGATTAGTTATAATTTTACAATGACCAGCCAATCGATGGCCCTATGCCCGAGAATGGCAGAGGGTACAATGATCAAAGACAAGTTCGGCAAGGACATCGGCGTCGTATCACTAAATGGAACTGTTTTGGCCGGCACCGCTCTCGTCAAGAATGAAGCCGAATGGAATGCTTTACGAGAAGATCCCAATATGTTGCTCGGCGTTCTCAAGGGCATTGGCCTACCATCCTAATAACAGATGTTAAGAAAAGCTCAGCTGGAAATAACATGAGAAGCTACTAGCTACTCATGCAAAAATAGCGATAGCTGTGAGATCCTGACGCTACATGGTCATGAACATTGCCTATTGCAAGGCTCTATTATTGTAAGTACATACTGATCCTTCCGATTTCCATCCTGATATTACATTATCCGATCCTAATACACAGACTTCAAAGATCCTTATCATACAAACATACACGCTCTCAAGGCCAACACACAGACTTTAACCAATTCGTTCATATCAGTCGAGCGTAAGCCATTCAAGCTCATTTGCAATCACGCCGTGTTCTCATCTGCCAGTTCCTTCCATTTCCTATGGCACGTAGCACTACCGAAATGATAAGAGCCGCCGTGATTAAGGATGTAATCGGCGACTTGTCCCCAGGGTATTCTAGCGGGCAATATGAGGCTATTTTCTCTGCTGAGCTTGCGAACCGCTTTCTTCAGGAGGCGAATCTGTGATAATCTCATTAGCCAACAATCTACTTCGCATAGTCTTCTCTCCTCATCTAGGAAGCACTAACATCGTTTTCTTGCCATTCGGGCTTCCGTTTACGCGCTTCCTTGTCCTTTGTCAACGTCCGGAACCGCCCCCGTAACGTGGACTCAGCTTCGGTGAAGTTGCCCTTACGCCGGATCTCTCGGTACGTCATGCCTGACAGCTTCGATCGCACTAGAAACTCGTCCTTGGCCGACCGTCCCCCATCCCCGATCCTAACACTGTGAGAGTTATCACGCTTAGATGATCCTTCAAACCCGGAAGACGACATATCATCTTGGCTTTCTTGCTTTACTTGCAAACTCCGGGTCTTGTGTGGGGTTTGTTGGATGCTCACGGAATGCGAGGGGGGTGCGGGCGTCTTATCTTTGGAGGTTGATGAGCCGGGAGAGGCTATTTGTGCCGGGCGTGGCCTTCCTGGCTTGCTGGGGAGATCCTTCCTTTGCTTTTGCGTCGACCTCTGAGAAGGGAACGAATCACGAGCGTGATGATGACGGTGATGGTGGCTATGGGGATGCTCGAAAGAAGACGCACCCATATCGGAATCTCCGCCTGTGACTAGATTGGCATGGATTGATTCTGACGAGGAGGTCGGAGTCGGCGACGGTTGTAGTCGCAGCATCTTGGGAGAAATGGTAGAAGGGCAGCTCGTCCAAGCGTTTCCGGAGTTATCTTGCATGGTGACAGAGTCGTGTCCTTGAGCGCTCTCGGTTGCATTACTGTGTACCGCCATAGGGCTGAGACTCATCGCGGCCATGGCTTCAGAAGTTCCCGAGGAGGGTACCGGGGAAGAGAAGCTATTAGGTATAACCTCGAGGCCGTCTGGAAGCTCCCCGAATACGGGCAGGTTGGAGTAACAGTTATTGGCAAGGCCGTCGGGGAACTCGGCATAGTTTATCACTTGGTTGCCCACGGTCGTATTGTACGTCTGCCAGGGGAAATTCTGGGGGTCGTTGCTTGCCCCATAACCTCGAGCATAGCCGTTTGACGTGCGAAGGTTTGTTAAGAACATCTGCTCGTTTCCCGCTGTCTCTTTGTTCTGTTGGGTGTGACTCGGGTCAAAGTCCCATCCAGGATTTACGGCTGAGACACTAGCGGCAGCCGTTTGGGTTCTGCCGTATGGCGTATTCGTATCAGCACCCGGAAAGAAGTCATTACAAAGGCCCTCAGTCTGTGGAGGCAATCGTAAGTATTTGCCCCGACGATGCCGCCCATCTGGGTTGAGCGATGATCTTACCGTGCAAACCTCATCTCCGCTATCCGCAGCCATAGGTTGTTGGAACCACGGCTGGTCGTCCATTGTACACTTCAAGTATTGCTGAGACACCAACTCGTCACGATCTGCCCAGAAATTGGTGAAGAGTTGTTGACAAAGAATCTGCAATACGTCTTCTTCAGAATAGCTGCGAAACTGAGACTTGGACGCAAAGTCGTTGTCACTCGGCAGAGAAACGTCCAAGCAAGACTGGGGTGGCATCGGGTTGATAACCATCTTCGATATATGCCTGACCTTGGCCTGAGATCTTCTGTCTTGTCTCCTTTTCTTCGCCTCGAACACAAGCCGCAGCCCCCTCTTGCACCAAATCCTCACCGCCGCTTCTATCGGCCTTCTGCGCGAGTTTTGGGCTACGGAATACCTTCGATACCCCGCTTGGTGCTCTACTAATAAAGGGAGGGGTGTTGGGTATGCTTGCAGTAGGGCCTGGCGGTCAGGAACCGGTGTTCTTGGTAGCGATGCAGGTCTTGTGCGGCCTCCCGACGATGAGTTAGGAACCGTTCCCGTGGGTGCCCTAGATAGATTATGGGGTGTAGTCTGGTGACTAGATTTGAGGATAGAAACCTGAGCGGTTGGCGCTGTGATGGGAAGAGCTCGAATATGAATAAGGAACTCCTACGTGTGATATTCGTAGTGTTTAGTAGAGGGGAAAGGGGGGCAAGAAGGAGTACAAGTCAAAGTATCTATGAGGTGGCAAGTTCATCCACCTATTGCTAGCCTAGGAAGATACAATCCTTTTGTGTCTTCGAAATCTTTCGAACTACTACTACATGGAAGTAGGCGAAGAAGCGACTAAGCCAACATTCTAAGCATCCCGGGGCAAGGAACACGGTGCAACTAATATACCTTGATATGATTTATTCCTTTTCCAGAACCTCCTCCCATTGTCTTCCCATACGATCTACCTATGAGGGCGTGCTAGAGATTCCCGGGCATTGATAGGAAGTGGAGAACAAGGGGCCGAAGTGGAGGAGCGGGAAGCAAGTCTCTCAAAATGGACTTTCGATGCCGTCTTTCATCACGGGCTACCTGGTCCTCCCACTGTTGATCAAGGCTCACGCTTTGGGAGGCGTTGATAGAGGATTGCCAAGGCGCCTCATCATTCTCCCTGCGGCTGTATCTCACCTACGTAGGAGATATCATTATCATTCTACAGCGATGGGGCAACTAGCTATTATCTAGGTCAGTACTAGGTATCCCCCCTAATGCAAACCAATGCAGGAACTAACGATTACGGAATGCAAAGCTACAGCCATATATGCAAGTGATGGATGGATGGATACCTGGTATTTCGCATTTGGATACTGTGTTTAAGTACAACAAACTCTTACCGTCTGTACACGGGAGAGTCCTATAACTACTAGCCAGCTAGGTATGTAGTAGATGAGGTATTTGAACATTGACCAACCAAACTACCTACCAATACTACCTCAATACTACCACAGCAACTAAATACAATACCCTTCTAACATGGCTCGCTCGTCTGTTTGACTACATGCTTAGGCCACAATACTGCCTGAACGTTTTGGCAGCTGCGAGCAAGGACAGCGCGGGACCCTGCTTCTGTCAACATTGACAATTTACTATCCAGGCTAGATCCATAATGATGTAGGTTAGGTTGGTTGGGTTTGTCAACTTCAAATTCCCCAACATGAGTATTGCCGACGCTTAGTTAATGTATCCGTTATTCGAACCTCAGTGCCCACTCAGGTCAGAAAGATTCATAATGGTCTAGGCCTGGTGCGGGGGAAGGGGTGTCCTTCTGAGACTAACAGCCGAGACACCATGTGCGAAGTATGTCTGAGAGGCAACACATCATATACCATACCTACATATTATATTATGTACCTCGACAAGCAGGTACCTACATATGTAGGTACCGGTAACTGACGACATCAGGTAGGCAATGTTTAACATTCCATGCTCCCCTTTTATTTCGTATCTTGGCTCTACAATATGTATATTTCCACCTACATACATCTAGGTTGATATGTAGGCACCTTTTGCAGGTACGTATGGTTACAGTGTGGATGTAGGTACATATAGTACCATCCAACATTCAAGCCATCAACTTTCTTAATATATCACCATGCCACCTTTATGGCTGTCACATTAAAATTTGATATATCGTTGAGATCTAAGATCCTTGACCCCAGGGTCACGGTATTTGGGGGACAATCCCCCGGTAAGGCTGTTACTTCTTAAGGACGCACAGCGGCACAGGTAACACGCACCTGGGCATGCAACACACATGCAGATTAGTACGGAAGAGATCAAAGACCCACCCTACATCATCTCGAGATGCTGGAGACCTATCATTCATCCGGGAGTAGATTGCCGAGTAACTAACATTCCCATCTACATATAGGCATGTAGCCTGCACAACACCTACCTGGTACATCTGGCACACCAAATTGGGCAGACACCAAACCACGGGTTGATCGGTTGGCTCCGAAATGAGCAGCCAATGAGAGCCCCCTGGGTAACCACCACCAATGCCCTTACCAATTGCCAACCCCTTACAAGTCATCTTACCCTTTTTATAAATTTTCGTGACATATTTGTTGAACAATGTATGTGGCAAGGAGATAGACAACTAGGTTAGGTACGTAGTAGTAGTAGCAGTAGTATCAAGTAAGCCCACCGATACGTGCCTCTCCTCCCCTTTCCGTTAACTGCCAGATAACCTCCTCTCGTCCCTTCCAGGAAGTACATAGTAGAGAGAGACCCATATACAGAACCACTCTTCAGATACATATCGTTCGTAGCAAGTTCACCTGCAGCTTGCATGCATGGGAATTCAACTCAAGAACGCACCGCACATAGGCCAAGCCCGGCGTGCTCCCGTGAACTAGAGCAAGAGCAAGAGCAGCAACCAGGTATACGTACATACGATGGGTCCAGTATGTGTTACTACCTACCTACCTACCAACGAGAAGAGAGAAGACAACCCTCTTTACCCCCACCATCCTGCGTTTGAGACAAGACATGACTGTTATCGTTAACAGAAAACGGTGGTCCATGGCTCTGTGCAACCAACCAACCAACTTTCCCTCCCCCCCCCCCCCCCCCCCCCTTCCCAACAAACCCCTGGCTCGCTCGGCGCGTGAATCGAGCCTCCCGCAGATTAAGCCTCGCTGAATTCGGCCTTTCGTCAGAAATGATTGTAATATATGTTTTTGAGAGAGAGAAAGAGTCACTTGTCTTTCTACATAGTTAATGACGCTTTGAGAGAGAGAGAGAGCCGGGGCCGCGCCATGTTGCCCGATTGGCTAGAAACTGGATGTCCCAGCATTCATCTACGTACGTAGGTATCTACTGGGTGTACTGGGGTATCTAGTACACTGGGTTGGTATGTAGGGGGGCCTATGTATGTAGGCCAGATCTATCCGTTTGACGATGACGCCCCATGCGCGACGAGGGCAGGCAGGCCTGGGTTGCTGGGCCTCCTGCACGGCCGATTCGGCACGGTGGAGACATTAGGTAGGTAGAGAACCTCTTCTCTCGTTCTTATGGTATGTATGTATGTATGTAGGCAAGTAGTGAACATGCTGGTCCTGTCTATGTACATGTGTAGATACTAAAACTCCATCCCAGCCAGGGTCACCCTCACGTTAACGGGAGGCACTCGCCCCTGTTGCCACCGAGAACCCTGGAGAGACTACCCGTGATCTGGCACTATGTAACCAGACTTCGTCGTGGAGGTACTGAGTATTCTGAGCCATCTCCTTTCACGTCATGATCCTAGCCACTACATACATTAGCAGCTTAGGTAGGCAGGTCTCTGTTCCCTGCTATTACGTGCTATTAGCTACAGACCCAGGTTGGGGCCTACATACATATGTGCCAAGTTAGAGATTCGATAACCCGCGTAGGTACACAGCATTTCGAGCGCATATATCACTGCAGGTGCATGATCTATTGCGGCATAGATCAGATATGTGCTGAATTAGTAGTAGGTAGGTAGGTAGGTAGATAGGCACGTGGTTCTTGAGGTCCCCCTCTCTCGCCCCCCTCCCCCCTGGTTATATGATAGCCACCTGGGCACAAAAGAGATTGGGTGAAACAAGGAGGTTGGTCTTTTAATGAGAAATGGCTATCTATGTATGGAGACCGGTGTGTAGGTGTAGGGTCACTACCAGGTTTGTTGCGTGGAGAGGGAGGGAGGCTGATAGATATGATTATAATGGTACATGTAGTTGAGTCGTTTGCTACAAATGTACCTGGTTAAGTCAACGTCGATGAAGTTCTTTTCTTTTTTTCTTTCCCCGTACCTACATAATCTGGATATAGATACATACATACATGTAGCTAGGTTAGATATGTAGTGTCCGAGTTCTTCATTTTAATCATGATGACGAGAAAGCAAAAAGAGAAGTTAACTGGCTTCGCTCACAAGACCGAAAGATTGAACTACTGTGAGTTCACAACATATGTATGTCCTGTGAGGAACGCTGAAGCACGTTTGGTGGAGAGAGCGAAGGCCAGAGTGTAAATACCCCTGAAGCTATCACTACAACTACACTACATTCTCAATACATACATACTATGCATTTCTAGTGCAACATACAGTGTATATGTATGTATGTATGTATGTATGTATGTAGATAATAGGTAAACGTCATTACCTCATCCGTACAAAAAAACAGTGGAAGCCGAGGCTCTGCCGTTTTGAGTCCCGTGTGTGGCGTCATTAAACGCCCTATTTTGTTTTCAGTTTAGCGTCCAAACGGTGCCCGGGAGCCGGGTTAGTCATACAAGTACAATACAATACAATATGTTACATTCAGGGATGGATTAGTATGATATCCTACTAGCCGACCAATCGGCAATGGAAAAAGACCCACTACATCCAAGCTCCTCCTATGTAAAATGACAGTTACGATGAGTGCACAGACGACAGCCAATCTAATACGGTAGGAGCTCCCAGCATTCCAATTGCTCTCCTAGATACATAATTACCTTCAATTCTAATAATTCTAATAATTCAAACTTGAACTTATCAACCTTTCACCTTTCCAATGTACATAGTAGTGAGTGTAACAACATCACTTTAGGACACCTCTGGGCGTAGAGTCTTCAACGACGACAACAACCTGTAAACGGTAGATAATTTCCTACCTGGTAGTCTTCAACAGACATGCCTAAGTCGACGACGATAGTCACGAACTCCTTTTACTCATTCTCATACTCGCACCCATACCCGCACTCTCACTCTCACTCTCATCCTCACTCTTATCCTCATAATCTCACTGTTACACCTTGACATCATTTCCCCTTATACAGCTCCTACTGTTGTTATACATAATCCTCGCCATGTCTTCCGTAACATCGGATACCGTAGAACAGCCGGTCCGCATCGCCATCCTCCTTAACTCGTACCGCTCCCGCATCCTCCCCGCCATCCGGGCCTCGTACGAGCGGACCATCGGCGCCGTGGCCCCGGAGGCCAGGCTAGCCTTCTACGAGCCCGCTAACAAGGGCGAGTTTCCCGATCCGGCCTACTTCGACCTCGTCGTTTTCGGCGGGTCCAATGTCGATCCCCGCAAGTCCCTCCCCTGGATCTTGGATGTCCACGACTTCCTCCGTCGCCTTGTCATCCATTTCCCCGAGAAGAAGGTCCTGGGCATCTGCTGGGGTCACCAGACCATCTCGAGGGTCTTTGGCGGCACGGTCGTCGAGGCTGCGCATCCAGAAGTAAATCTACTTTCTTATTTTTTTCTGTCTCTTTCCTAACCTACCTACCTCCCTACCTACCTACCTTCTAAGATGCTTTACCAACGCAAACTATAAAAATGTACATATACTAACAACCCTTCCCGTAGATGGGCGTAGCCACCGTGAACCTCACAGAAGCCGGGCGGCAATTCTTCCCGGAAGCCGCCGCCCTCGGCTCCTTCCAGCTGCAGCAGCACCACCGGCGCGAGGTCGCCCTGGCCCCCGCGGACTTCGTCCCGCTGGCCCAGGGCAGCCAGTGCCTGCTGAGCGCGAGCAACACGATCCTGACGTTTCAGGGCCACCCGGAGAAGGACGCGCAGACAGCGCGCCTGCGCATGCACGACTCGCTGCGCTGGTTCGGCTTCGACGCCGCGCTCGACGAGAAGGCCTGGGTGCGCCTCCAGGAGATGATGGACTCGCACCATGATGGTCCGGCTGTCTGGCGACGCATATTGGATTGGGTAAACGAACCGCCGGTGCTGGGAACCGGGATGGGGGATAGGCTGAGTCGGATCTAAGCTACCTGGGTAGCCTTAGTTCGGTGTTGATCTGATAAAGGACTTTATGTTTCGGTTTTTTGTATTATATGGGTCTTGTTAGGCGTGGAGCAAAGGCGATATCTTTGTGCCGCGCATTAGTTTGTGGCATTGGGTGTTATTATGTAGTGTTGATATAGAGGAAAGAGTGTATGTCTACCTAGTAGGTATCTATAAGTGTCTATGGATATCTAGTACATATATAGGTAAGCAGTATCATAGAAAATGTGAGCGGGTAGGTAGTTACATATAAGCAGTCCTCTTTTCTATGTACTTCCTCGCCCTTAACTGATATTGTTGAAGTAGGTATGTATTGTTCGGTCTTAGTAGTTTGATACATCCAATATCAGTGTGTTTACGTACCTACGTAGATATTAAGATGCCATCTAGAATAGGTGTAGCTCTCATAGTGCTCTATTAGCCCCTATCTAAGGGCATCTATGTACCTAACCTCCAGCAACATGTATCGATTAGGGGAAAGAGAAGGGGGTAACAAACGTGATTGTAGATAGTTACCCCTTTTCACGTCGAACAAGATATTTGATGGTTTTTGCACACGGCTTTTTACGTTGTACGTTGACTGATGACAAGAGGCTAGTTAGCAGGGCCAAGGTAAAGAGAATAAGTGTCTAGGTAACCTAGGTTAGTACGTACCTGATCACAGAAAGTCATTGATGGCTTGTGGTTTGTCTGACTTGGAGTCATCAAGTGTTTTTATACTGACGAAACCCCTCTTTGCAAAGACTGTGCCGTCAAGTTCGCGTTGATGTATGCTATACCAGGGACGTGTCTATGATATGGTCTCGCCTCCCATTAGTCAGTAGACGTCTTATGTTATAGGGTCAGCTAGAAGGGATGCTTGTTATTATGGTATAGATAGGCCTGTGTTGTTGAGTCTATGACACATTCCTGGTTTGCTATTAGTTAGTTAGGTGCTAGGGAGGTGTCATCTTGATATCTTCAGGCTGGTGGACCCTGTTATATGCTTAGGGGTATAGGGTTGCACCTAGTTTTACATGAGGAGCCACCTACAGTATAAATCGCATGCTCTTGAATATATATCTAAATATATCTAGAAATGCCCACCAAGTAGCACCATCAACACGTCTCCCAACCTTAGGGGTCCGATAGATTTCATTAGCCACCTAGGTACTTATATATACCTACTCACGCGCACCCACGCCTGACATGGCACTTTCCGTTTCTTTCTCCTTCGGCTCGTTTACTTCACAGCGCAGGTTGGGAGGTACATACAGCTCCCGGCACTTCTACACCGGCTACTCCACAACACCGCATCGTGTCACACACACATCACAGCACGCCGTCACCCTGTGACCACCTCGTCGCATCGAGACTCACTTCTCCGGGCCGTGGAGCTCATGATCCACGGGCTTCGCTGCGTTCACATCACCTACACAGTCTACCCCCCTCAGGCTTCTTGAATATGTTGAATTCTCACGCACGTCTCATCGTAGCATAGCCAGCTCCTTCCTACTCAATGTGCCCGCATTCACGAAGCAACAAAGCACAAATGTTGCTGGTGCGCTAGCCCCACTCACCTATACATTGGCACTGCGCCAGCCGAGATCGAACAAGCCTACGAGGGATCTTCCTTCCACCTTCCTGCTTCTAGGTCGCAGGTCGGGCAAGTTTTTGGAACAGGTTGTGAGCACGACGCGGCGCTTCCAATAAGCGCCAATTGCGACACCCGTCACAAAGAATTCCATAAAACTAGGCAGGAAAACCCATGAAGAAATCGCTACCCGAAGTTCTTGTGGAGACCATAGCACAGAATGGGTGGTGCGTGAGGATGCGTGGTTCTCGACTATGCGCACACCCATCCCCCCACCTCCAGCTCTACCTCAACGCTTTTGCCCTCCCACGGGGCAGCGGACTACAACTCTCGCCGTCGAACCTTCTGCTGCTCTCAAGCCCCAGGCGGGATGGATGGGCAGTGAGAACCGGCGTCGAGGACAGACAACGTGCCTGCACTGGCATCATCATGGACGAGCACCCGAGACTGGGTAAAGTCGAAAAAAACAACAACAAAAAATCTTACCTACATACATACATACATAAAGCAACACCCAGGTACATACCGCTGCGCCCCCGCTGCGACCTAGCCGGCAAGGGAACCCGAACAACCCAGGACGGGCGAGGCAAGCGTACAAAATAGCGGTTCCTTTCCTTTTTCCCGTTGTCTCTCCTCGCCCCCTTTTCTCCAAATCCTATCTTCCGCAGATGATGCACCCTCGCGGATACCTAACGGAGATAGATCGATGGGAAGAAACAACCACCAACGAATGCTCCCGAGAAAGAAAGAAGCTCGTGGAGCCGTCGCCGGGCTCTGGGTCAGCAACCACATACGGTATACATGTGGAGAAGAGGAGGAGGAGAGCGAGTTTGGCGATGACACAGCGGAAGGAAATAAATGTCGCCTGACTGTTGTTAGGTGACTTCTACGGTGACCGCATTGATTACTGGCGATGTTGATTACAGCCTTCTCTCTCCTTGGCTGAAGCTAGGTAAAGATCAACACGTTAGTACCAAGCAGCGTAGGTCGTTACGCACTCAACAAAACAAGCACACAAATTATTTTAGAATATACGATTATGAAATCACTGAGCATGATGTATTATTAATTGACTCTTAGTATTGAAGTGCAGAGGGTGAGAGAGCAATTCTATTTCTATTATGTACTGTGGTTGAAAACCATGATACAAATCTATATGCGGCGCGTGATGTATGTGTGAGTGACGGGATAAAACTGGACTGCCTTGTAAACAAATATAATAAAAAAAAAGGGGTTTGAATGAAGAGAAAAAGGGGGGTTTGTGGGGAGACAAAATGTCTTCCATGCAGCAAGTAATAAGCGACCAGTCCGTACTCCTGGATCTAAACATGTACAGCCACCTCCTTTTTCACAAGCAAAATCGGATCTAATACAGATAGTCCAATCCAGTCTGAGCGATGATCTCGCGAAGAAACAATCTGATAAGTCTCCTACCCCGTGTGGGGACTTTATACGCCACGCCATGCTTCGCCATAAAAAGCACACAAAATCTTGCAGAACTGAATGCTCCCTCTTCCCCAAGCTCATTTCCCTTCCTCCTGAACCGGAACCTTTGAAGATTCACCCCTGGCATAGCTGGAAACCGTCGTGGGAAGGAAATTCGTAAAACTTGGGTTCTTGGATACTCGTGTACTGCAATGCAATGTTTTATCGAGGCCAATGAATTCTCATTGGTTGTAATTAGGTATTATTTCCATCTGATCTCTAGCGACCCTTGTCTGCCATTTTATATGAACCCTGCGCGAGAAACATCGCAGGCAACTTCATGTTTGCGGGTAGTCTCGAGCATCCTAATGTTCGGCACATCGGCACCGAAGTCCATGATGAGGATCTTGGCATCCTGCCCGGTACTGACGATACGTCGGTAGTCGCACTTGGCACTAAGCACCCAGCTGGCATGCCAGCCTGGAAAATCGAGCTGCTGCTCGCCAGTCTCCATGTCAAAGACCTTGATATCGGTATCGTAACTGCCACTGATGAGGCGTCCGCTGATACTGTCAATGTGCAGGCTGCGGACTAAGCTCTCATGTGCTTGGATTTCGTGTAGGCATTCGCCAGTGTTAGCGTTCCAAATGCGAATGACCTTGTCGCTTCCAGCCGAGGCAACAAATCGACCGTCTTCAGAAAATTGGCTGCAAGCCAACCCCTTAGTATGGCCTGCAAGCTCACGGATCACCTTGCCGCTATCAATATTCCAAAGCTTCACAGTGAAGTCACCAGAGCAAGACACTAGGGTGTTCCCACGCATTTGCACTGCATTCACCGGGCCAGTATGGCCGTTCAGCTGCTTGATAAGAGTGCCCGTGGCTCGATCCCACACGCCAATGCTGCAATCCTTGGAACAAGTCACGATATGTTTATCATCAAATGCCAGGTCCAGAACAGCCGCGGTATGGAATTGAAGGCGTCGGACAGGTCGGTATCCAGAACGCACACTATAAATGATACAGGTAGAATCCGAGGAGCCAGTTACCAGAATATCATCATCGTACTGGAGACAGAGGATTGAGGCACTGTGGTGAATCGGAAACGAGACAGTGACTGGAACTGAAGCGTTTATACGTTGATTGTCAGGAAACAAGGCGTAATGTGTTGGGTGACCAGCCGAGTCGAATAGAAGTGAGGTATCATTGACTACATCTGGCGGTCCAATAATGAGACGGCATTGAAGGGTATGCATATCCCAGATTCGGATAGTCTTGTCTCGAGAACCAGTGATGATTTTGTTCCTAGTAGTAGTATGTTAGCAGGAGGGTCCAAAGAACGGCTAATGCTTAGAAAAGGGGCCCATACTCATCGAATTGCTGGCAGTAAACACTGTCCATGTGGCCATTCAAGAAGACAGCACGTGCTTGTTTTCCGATCTTCCATCGCCTGTCAAGCTCTTCCCGGGCTTTGTATATCTTTTGCCAATCGTTTCCAGGGCGGATTGAAGGCACGCCGGAACTGGTGCCAGGCTGGACAGGAAGGCTAGTGGCGTAGGTAATTGTCTTCTCTCTCAGAAATGATTGACGCCAGACGTGCTGATCCTGAATTGCGCGATGCCATAGCTTAGACACTCTGCTTGCCGTTGCTAAATGAGCGGCGTCCAAGTAAGATAGAATATGCACGGCGAGCTCAAAGGGAAGCCGGGCGATGAAATCATTCCTAATTACTGATACACCTTGCTCCTTTGGCCCATTGAGCTGGGAGGTAGAGGCTGGAAAGGCAATGCCAATGCCGCTCTCACGATCATTCTGAGACTCGGCAAGGGAAACTAATTCGTGATATTGTCGTGTAAACCCTAGAGACTCGTTCTGCAGAGCCACGGCAGCTTTGGCAGCCGCACCAGTATGCCAAGGAATGATTGGGGGCGCAGAGCCATTGCCAGGGACAGGATGGTGAGGGAAATCGGTCACAAGAGGCGAGTATATCGTTTCGAGATGACCGGCATTACCGCATGATGCCCGCGAGTGTCGAAAGCTGGTGGCCTGGCGTAATCTATGCCATGGCGAGTGTGAATGAGAGGTCGCGGGTCGCATTTCGGTAGCTGACTCAGAGCTGCGGCGCTCGCGGCGAACAATGCCTTTCAACGATAGGGATGCGCGCCTGATCTTGCCTTTGAGGGATTCGCCAGACTTGGGCACATCGTTATTTCCATGTGATTCTTGAGTATTTCCCTCTTCGATGGAGATATCACCGAATTGGTGGGAAAGTTCATGCTCGCCCAAGACAACGGATTTCGGATGGCGGCGCCACGGCATTGAGTTGCTTCCATTGCGACTCTTTCGGAAAGGATTCGCAGTTGTCGGTCTGATGCAGTCTTCTTGTTGGTCGCTGGTTTCCATACCAGTGTCGTGCGAGAAAAAGCTTGCGCTCGACGATGCTGCAGTTCCATTGAACATTGTCGTCGCAGGTCTTCTCGACGAGGAACCGGAGGAAGAGGACATGACCATGGCGAAGGCCAAAGAAGCGTGAAAGACTTTAGTTAGATATATTGATCGATCACACAAGGTCTAAGGATCGTGAAGATAACGACAGTTTAGGCGATGTGCGTATAAAAAAAAAAGACGAAAACTTTGTAACAAAGTATTAAGGATGGGATGTGATGAACATTAATAAAAGATAAAAGATAAAATAAAAGAAACAAAAGAAGAAACAATACGATTCAACCCTCGGCGTGGGAAGGAAAGAGAGGCGGAGAGGGGATATGAGTATAAGAGAGTGAGGTGAGAGAGAAAGAACGGATGGTTTGGTTGTTGGAAGTAAACAAATTTGCTGGTAAGCCGAAAAAAGAATGAGTGTTATTAGACGATAATGATAATTATAGGTGATGTAGCGTTGTATACTACCAGCGACCAGTGTAGCGACCAATGTAATACTGGTAGGTAGTGTAGTCGCGTACGTGTTGTACTACCCTAGGTTAGGTATGTAGTGAGGAGGGTAGTGTTCAAAATTCAAATGCAACTTTGAACCTTGAATTTGTTATGTCCCGAGTCGTTCAGGTTTCGTGGCTGGTTACTGGTCAGCGTAAGAAAAAAAATTTAAATAAAAATATCCAAATGCCTGCACCCAGCCTGTTCCCCAACCCGACGAATGTAACTTGAATGTCACTTGAAGGTCAAGGCATCTAGCAGCTAGCTCCCTAAACATATCCACTTAGCGCAGCTGTTAGTGTTAACTTAGCTGGCAAAACACCATATCCCCACTTTATTAGCGCTACGTACCTATGTACGTATACTTCACGCTTTATGTGTACATGTAAGCATTGATTGCCTTCAGTGTTCAATGTTTCTTCTCCTTCATTCGCCTTCCCCAACTGAGGTGTTAACGTGTAAAGGTAAGTCGTCACTTAATATATTTAATCTAAACGCAAGATGTTTCCAGAGTACGATCCTCATCCAACATTGAATGTTCAAAGAACCATTGAAGCGCACCAGAAAAGGTTCAATGGGTACGAACATTTGTCGCAGCACTGAGTCAGTCTACTCAGGGGCACATAGGCAAGCACTAGTCTCTGGACTTCTTACATTGGTGCTGGTATGAAGCCTTGGATTTTTAAATAAGCCTGTTTCCTTTTCTTCCTACTACGTATTCAGCCAAACACGACTCGCAAGCTTGCCAAGAAGCGGTGCACTCCAGCTCCAGTGTGTTGTCAAGAGGCAAATGCCCAAGGTTGGGTTAGGTACCTGGTTAATAGTTAGAAAAAGAATTGAAGAAGGGGAAAATGGGAACAGTACCAAAGCAAGGGCTGACAATGCAGTAACGGCGGAAGCGAAAGTCGGGGATCCCCGTCTACGATGTACCTACAATACCTACTTAAAACGGCACCGTCTATGGACCTAAAACCCATATCCGGTTCATGATTGTCTCTCACCTACATGTATGTACTTGTACAAGTGCCTAATAGTACTGATCTTCCCCCGACCCCCTTTCCCTTAATGTTCTCCCTTCAATATTCCCTTCTCCTTTCAATGTTCCCTTCAATGTTCGTCTTGTTTAGTGTATGGCTAGATACATTAGTATCTATGTAAGAACAGACATGCGCATGACTGTAGTAATTGCATGTAGATGAACATTGATTTTGCATGTATCATGTACTAATGTACTAGATACTATGTACCATGTAACTATTTAAATTCATATGCACGAGTTGGTCCTTTTTTTAAGGTTTGTGCCCCTTGTTTCAGAAACCCCAGATTCCCTTATTCAAAGAATGCACAATACTACATAGTTAGTACGTAGTTATCTAGGATAGGGTATGTACGTTGTAGCCTGTAGGTAGGTAGCCCCGTGACTTAATCAAGCTGCCAGGTACCGTCTTTCAACCTCTTCGCCGGATCACTACATCTGTCTTTGTACCTGCTTACATGTAGTATGTATGTACCAATCAGTATGCCCAATTAACAGGATCTTGTCAAGTTCAACATTTGAAGTTCCAACATGCATATGTACATGCATATGTAAGCGCTGTTTCTATTTTAACGCTACATGTAGGTACATGCATATTATGTATCTAGGGTACTACTATGTATGTACTAGGCCTGTAGCCTAGGCTGTAGGTAATCTCCAGCTTAAAAAGCTAAAATTATTCTCCGCGAAAATATTCCCGTCTATTCCTAAAGCGCGGCTGAGATGGTGAGCAGTGCGGCCAAGGATTCCATGGATTCTTCTTTTTTTTTCGTTCATCGGAGCCAGGTCGTATCGTACATTACGGTACATAGTATGCAAAGAGGCATCTTAATGTGATACCCCTGTTCATATATACCGGTAAAGGGTTCTTCATTATTCATATAACTATCTACCTAGCCCTAAACAACTCCGATGTCATCATCTCCTTCATAGATAACTATTAGATGCCCTCCGTGAGCGCGAAATTACATTACTACAATTTGTTCAGTCGAGTCCCGAGTCCCGAGTTCCCAGTCCTGAATCCTGATGTCGCCTTAAACTCCTACCGGCCCGTTCTAATCACGGAAAATAACACCTCGTCTCATGCCCAAATCTCTGTTGACCTTCTCAAAGTGGTCCCGATGTTCCTTGCGTGCCTGTTGGGTTTCCCGTGCATCAATTCTCCACCACGGATTAGAATGGCGGTTAAACAGCCGCCAGCCTCCGTCCTCCTTTGTCGTCTTAACCTCTTGGCCCCGGAGTACGATAAACCACCTACTCATGGCCGGCTTTTCTGGCTGGCATCGGAAAATCCCCTTCTTGCGTTCTGGGAGTAGTTCTGTCATCTGAACCTCGCATTCGTCCAGTATCACAATTCGCCATTCGCGGCGGCGAAAGGGGGTTTTGTTTGTAGCCTGGATCTTGTCATCCATGAGATGTTGGACCCTGTTGTATATGTCCGCTTTCAGCAGGAAGACTCGATTGGCCAAGTCCTGGGCATACGATTTTGCCTTCTTGCGATTTCTACCGTCGTACTCATCAATCCTCTTTGCATGCAAGTCGGCGAGCTCGCTCTGACCGTATGATGTGACTGGGTTTAGCTCCACGAATCCATCATCCAACGCCGTCCACTTAACCCCTAATTTCATTCCACAAAACGTCTTCCAGGTACGCATGTCCAACGTATTGTCACCATAGACAACCTCCCAAGCTTCATAAGCCGTCTTCCCCGGCTCGTTTTCTAAGATGGTACTATTCATAAGCAGTTAGTGTCACTTCCTATAGTGCAAGAGGGTTCAATCTTACAGTCCTTTCCGTCCAACAGGGTCCGGGTAGGACACCATGGATGAGACGGACAAAGCGTCGTCTTCCACATCGCATACTCCTTCCGCCATGGTTTCAGCGTCACCGTCCTCGCCTAATGATGTCCTACTTGAGCTTGAGGGTAACTGTGTAGTTTCATTTGGCGAAGCCATCATTGATTCTGTCGAGCGTGGGTAGCTCTAATAAATGCGAGTAAATGGCCCAGAAAATTAAGGATGATTGATCAAGGCTCTCGAAGGCAGCAAGACGCTTTATTTATCGTCGAGTCTCACACCTTACCTAGATTTTCTACTGATGTTTCACATAGCTCTCTTCGCAGACGCGGGATGATGACCGGTCTGCTTATTATTGCAATTACGTTGCTTCGGTCGCGCAGTCGGAACATGATTGGGCGCCATCTCCTGCGCAATGCCGTTCTAGCAGCGATAGACGGGATGTCATCCCACATATCAATCGCCCTTCAATGCTCTAGCTCGCTCCAGAACCTTGCCATTCATATAACTAAGATCGATATAAGGTTGACCATGTATTTCCGGTAGATTGTCAGCGATCGACATGGTTTGGACTAAGCTCCGAGCCGTTTAATATGCTCTTGTCTCGAGTCACAGCAGGCTTGTCCTCGCCTAGCCACAGACGTTGGAATGATACTAGCACAGCAGTCTGTCATATTGCGCTAAATATACTTCTGTATTTCCACGGAAGCCCCCCCTCCACCCCTATACCTAGACGTAGGGGGGATCACGCTATAGAAAAAAGAAAAATAAGGAGAGGCCTCGTAAAATAGATGGTATCTGACCGCCGCTTCCAGGTTCAAGGTAGGTAACTCCAGAGCTCAAGGTCCACAATGTCGGTCAAACGATTGACACAATGCTTTGGTGACAGGTTATCCATGAGCGATGGCCGAGCTTGTGGCTTGAGTACGCACTTTTCATGCTTTTTTACGGGATCCGACGAAGTTCTCGTGAAGCCTGAGGCTTCAGGCAGGAGTCCTGATATACTATTGGACCCTCTGCGCGATGTATTGGCCTCGCTCGTTAGCACGGCTAACGCTGAAACTCAGCCAATGCATCAGCGTGCCAAAGCCACTGGACTTTGGGTTCGGATGGATGAAGGGGTCCTATGGCCACGTGGATATTTTGTTCTATCCCCTCGACCCGCTCCCCTCTTCCGAGTTTCTCGATCCAACCCGGAAGCTCTTTGACTTTATCGATCACCATGTCCGTCCTTTTCTGTGATGAGACAGTGTATTTCTTTACCCCCCTCTGCCACGTCGGTGCAAGCTCACCGGCGAAAGCAAGCGCCCTCTTAATAGCGGTCAAGTCTTTATAAGTAGGTATCCGAAAACGGCTTGCGGATGGCTTAGTCCACTTCATTGCTTCCTCGGATTCGACGGCATTTTTTATAAATGCTACAGCAAGAATTGCAGACGTCGCCTAGCTTGGACCCTCTGTTCCCAACAATTGTATCCTTGTCGTCCCTTCATCGTCCCCGATAACCTTTCTTATGGTGTTCTATCATGGCTTTTATATCACTCGGCTTTTTCACTATCCCGCCGCCGAAGTAATATATTCTTTTCAGGTGGGCTTTGTGGGGGTTATCGGTAGCGTTTACTAGGTCTGTGGCTCTTCCGCTACTTGTTGGGGGTGTAGTTTTGATGTGCCATTTTGCAAAAGGGGTGGCGTGTGGAACTGTTTACACAACACTAGGAACTCTACCTCGAAGCCAAAAGTTGCCATGGTAGAAACCCTACTCGTACTTGAGATGTCCATGAGCGATGGAAGTTGTCGTATTTTTAGGTGGTTGTTATTGGCACAGAGGAAGACAAGTCAAGCATATCTTCTAAAGGGAGTCCTCTCCTGATAAATCTCGAACATTCTTTGGAAAGCTTGGCTGGCCCTCCTAACGTAAAACAAGACTACTGCCGTGGAATCGTTTCCAATTCATCATAAGATAAGTGAGGAACCTATGATAATCTCGATGCGACAGAAGGGCTATGTTTGTGCCTGCCTGCCTGTCTATGCAGCCAGCCTTGCAACTAGCCCCTAAAGAACCTGAGAGTTGCTATGCTACTAACCCACCTTACCGATGATTCCATAGACTCAGCTGAAGAACCCAACCGACTACCAGGCCGCTGCAGTGATTACATACTAGGTATCTACCTAGTATATGCCAACAATAATGTGCATCTATGCACGTAATTGCCTTTTAGCATGCTTGAAGCCCAAGTATGCTATTCGATACCGAAGGCGTGGCAGACCTATCAACACCATGGAAATAGTAAAGCACGACATTTCCCTCTTCGCCGGTCGAAAGATTGTCGGCTGCAATCAAGTGGGCCGAGCCTCTATGTCTAGCCACCAACAAAGGCGAGTCGCCAGCCCATAGTCGTTGGATCGATCTACCTGACCTTTTACTGGTTTCACAACGTACATATGCAATCCTGCGCGATGGCACCAATGCTATCAATGGGCAATATACCGCGACCCCCACGCAGGCACATTGCGGCCAAAGCCTTTTCGGACTTATACGTGATAGGTAGTACCTACATATCAGAGGCTGATCTGAGACACTGTCTCGGGCCAAGATAAGAAGGCGAACGGTAATGTGTACCTAGTAGTGTATGTAACGCTCTCTGCATAATACCATTGTTATCCCTTAACCCCTGGGCCAACATCATGATAGAAGGGAAGTTGTTGAAAGTTATGTGATGTTGTTTTTATCTAGTCTGGCCGTTCCCGTCCCGGAACAGCTCCCGGCTACCGTTTTGACATTTCCAGCCCGGCCCAACAAGGCCACTGTCACACCTCCTAGTAGGCATGTAGGTGAGAAGCAGGGATTCTTGCCGTCCCGTCCTCCAACATCGTATCAGCACCGTTGGCGCGCGCCTCATAAAGAAAATAAATTCCCTAGGGGTTTTTTTTCCACGCCGGTTTCAATTATGTACCTACATAGGTATGCGTGCAGATAGTTTGTCGGCTGCATCTCGTCGTGCTGGGCTTGTGAAACTATTTAGTACATATTGTATGTATGTACATACATGCAAAGGGCTGTCTGACGCAATCATACATACATCTACATCTACATCTACATCTACATCTACACCTGCACATATCCCTATAGCTCAGCGCTGCTACATTATCTAGGTACCTGCCATTCAAACATGTATGTTGAAAAAGAAAAATGTGAGCTGTCATAATGCGTAGTATACATAAATTCTAAGGGCCAAGTTCATGCTACATACATACATAACATAAAATATACATGCACATAAGTTAGTATGTGCCATTTACAGGTGTACCCCCAATCTGTTCAGCCGCTGGGATTTCCATTTTGAGGATCTTTAGCTGTCGATAGTTACTTACCTATAGTTTTATGGCGATGTGTTGCAACCACGATATTCTCTTCGTTTTTATTTTAGACTTGAGATAAGTAAGCGACGACGACGCCTGGAATATCGTCACGCAGCTCTAAGTTTACTGTCTTGGGTAGGCACCAACATGTACTTGGGCAAGACGGGGACCTCGTGGACCTTGATGGACATCGAGGGTCGAGACACGATGAATTCAGGGGAACGAAGGGAGCAAGGGAACAAGGGAACAAGGTTGTTCCAAACCGAGTTGGTTGGCTCTCTGAACGTCCCCAGAAATTTCAATTGGTCAATTAGGAATTGTCTTACCCCGTTGCCATCACGGCCACGTTTCTATTGCTATTGCTCGCTCACTTCTAAAGGCTCCATCTTCTTCTTCTTCTTACTTGCATACTACAGCACATAAAGAAACAACAGCATGGCGCCACGTCAATCTGTCTTGCCCTTTACCTACCGCGCCTTCTTTCTCATCCTCGAACCTATATCTGCACTTGTCGGTGCATTCTACGCGCACTTTCGGCAGCATGAGTACCTCAGCCTGACGACGCACACTTCATCGCCGCCAGTTCCCCTCGGCACCTCGACTATTTTGTCTCAGCTCGCCAATCTATACTTCCTCTTCGCACTGAACGAGGCGTTGGTGCTCCGGTCGACGGGTGACCTGCGAGTGTGGCGGACCGTGCTGTTCGTCCTGCTGGTGGCAGACTTTGGACACCTGTACTCCCTGCAGGGCCTGGGATCGTGGGTTTACTGGGACGTGCGGCAGTGGAATGCGATCGATTACGGGAACGTGGCTTTCGTGTATCTGGGCGCTACCTTACGAATCGCGTTCCTGGCTGGTGTTGGAATAGGGAAGCCGGCCAGTATCAAGAAAAAGGCTTGAAGGAAGAACAAAAGAGACTTCACTTTTTGGCCAGACTCCACACAATTCGACTCCGGGGGTTTTTTTTTCGGTTTTTTTTTTCCATTCTAGTTCATCAACTCACGAATGGATTTTTACACACCGATATCAGCTACGATAAAAGGCATTGCGGATTTCTCTCGGCATATGAAATACCGCCGTGGCGATATCAAGCTTCAGGGATTCGTCTTATCGTCGACGCTTGAGTGGTGGAATATTCGGCATAGACATCGGATTAACCATTCAGACCAACTAAAACAGAAATAAAATGAAAATAGAAAAAAAATAAAAATTCCATCTATAAGTTGTTGGCTTGGAATTATGTACATTCGGCCCCTCTTTCGCGACTACCTACGTAGGTAGGTTACCACATGGTACATATTGCTCCGAGATTGGAGCTACATACTGTACATAGATGTGTGTATGGATGTATGTAGATACACACTTACGTACATGTTTCCAAGCGCTGCTTGCGCGCCCTGTGCGGATAAAAGGATCTTTAGAAAGATGTCATCTACTATCCTATGTACCTAGCTGCTGGGAAAGTGAGTATTAGGTACTAGGTTAGGTACAATACATATCCCACCTCCCTACCTACTTGGGTAGCTAGTTATGTAGGTTAGGTAATTGCTAGTTTGAATAGGTAGTAGAATATGGGGAGGGCGAGAGGGGGAAAGGGGAGCGAGAGGGGGACCAGGGGGGAAACAAGGTGGAGAATGCGACTTCGTGACTTCAAATATCTTGATTTATCCTGTCAACCCCCTCCCCTAACACCCACCTCGTTGTTGGAACATTTGGAAAGAATAGCTCTTAGCATACACCTATCCAGTACCTACATTTTTGTATCATAACAGCTATAGTTATACCTACCTATCTACCTACAGTACCTTACCTCGCCTTACCTACCTAGGTATACTTCCCAACATGTCCAAATACGACCAATACGAAGGCTTCCAAGTCGAGTCCGCCGCGACCTGGACGGAATTCCACAAGAACAAGTTCGACACCAAGCCCTTCGGCGACCACGACGTCGAGATCAAGATCGAGTGCTGCGGCGTCTGCTCCAGCGACGTCCTCACCGTCAGCGGCGACTGGGGCACCCAGCCCTTCCCCCTAGCAGTTGGTCACGAGATCGTCGGCAAGGCCCTCCGCGTCGGCCCCAAGGTTACCCTCATCAAGGCCGGGCAGCGCGTCGGCGTCGGCGCCCAGTCCTGGTCGTGCTTGAACTGCCGCCAGTGCAAGAACGACAATGAGACGTACTGCTCCCAGCAGGTCGATACCTATGGCGCCACCTGGCCCGACACCGGAATCGTCACCCAGGGCGGCTACTCGTCGCATGTAAGAACACACGAGCATTGGTATGTATTTTTTTTTTTTTTTTTTTTTTTTTTTGGAATCTTGAACAGTGATTTTGTTTCAAATACTCACCCACTCCCACCTACCTACCTACCTACCTATCTACCTACCTATCTACCTATGTACTTATATCTAACCGGATGGGCCATGTCAGGGTCTTCCCCATCCCCGACGCGCTCCCCAGCCCCCTCGCCGCGCCAATGCTGTGCGCCGGGATAACAAGCTACAGCCCCCTCGTCCGCAACGGCGCCGGCCCCGGCAAGAAAGTCGGCGTGGTCGGTCTCGGCGGACTAGGCCACTTCGCGGTTCTGTTCGCCAAAGCGCTCGGCGCCGAGACGTGGGTGATCTCGCGCACGCACAGCAAGGAAGCCGACGCGCGGGCGATGGGCGCCGACGGGTTCCTCGCCACGCAGGACAAGGACTGGAACGGCGCGCACCTGAAGACGTTCGACCTCATCATCAGCACGGCGAACAGCTTCGGCGAAGGGTTCGACCTCAGCGGCTACCTCGCGCTGCTCGACGTCCACGGCAAGTGGGTGTCGACGGGCCTGCCCGCCGAGGCGACGCTGAAGATCCGGCCCCAGGACCTGCTGGACAACGGGTGCCTGATCGGCGCGTCGCATCTGGGGAGTCGGCGGGAGATGCTGGAGATGCTGCAGCTGGCGGCGGACAAGGGCATCAAGTCCTGGGTCGAGGAGGTCCCGCTCTCCGCCGAGAATCTGTCCAAGACGCTGCAGAGGCTCAACAATAACGATGTGAGGTATCGGTTCACGATGACGGACTACGATAAGGCGTTTGGCGCGTAGAGAAGCGTGAAAAGGGGAAGAGAGAAAGAAAGAAAGAAAGCATAGATGAACGAGCATTATAATACCCACCTCCCCTCTTGGTGCAACCCACAACATTCCGCTCTAGATAGGTAGACTAGGGCAGTATGGAGGCTGGAAAGCTCCTCTGATAGAAATAAATAAATAAAAACTTACACATCATAACATCTAGTTACCTGGATACTTACATAATTAGCTGGGGTAGAAATATCCTGGATATGTTTGTTAGACGAGGAGATTCAATAGACGTCAGCTAGGTCCCTGCTTACATGCATCCGTAGTAGCACCACGGTGTACGTACTACCTACATACCTAGGTAATCTCCCGCCCCCAACTCCCCAGGAGAAAAGGTCGTAGTTACCTAGTAGTTACGTGGAATCTTCTTCGAACGATACGTTCTAGTACTACATATGTACTCGCTTACACCTACCTAGACACCTATGTACAGAAAGCTGATAAAAACTCCGGGCCCATCACGCCACGGCGATGAATGAGGCTCAGCCAAGCGAACCGTCCGAATCCTTCGGGGCGTAATCTCGAAGCTTACGGTGGAGCGACCTGTTGGCAATACATATTTATCTACAGCAGCTCTCACATAAGCAAATACCTATCCATGGTACTTACATAAGTACCTACGTTAGATACTACCTTAGCGTCAAAACCCACTTCGTAGAAACCGTATATATACCACATTTATACCGCTTATACCGAAATACCTCTCAAAAAAAGTTAGGGAAACAGATAGGTTATATTTTAGAACGTTCCAAATCAAATAGAACGTTCTATTGACTTTGAACGCATTCAATTAGGAGCGGTATTTTTTTTGCGAGCGGTATCCAAATGGCAGCGGTAACTTTTTGATTGAACGGTAGCTGATTGATTACCGTTCCTTGCATATTCCTTTTTTACGAAAAATTGAATATCTGTATATTGAGGTTTATGCATATATCGCATATGCATATTCTTATATCAGATATTTCATATCTTATCTTTCATATCAGATCTATTATTTTCTTTATTTTCTTTTTATTTTTATTGGTTTTTTTTATTTGAAGATATTTTGAAATTTTTACACATATACTGAATTGAACCATGGACCTACAGACTGATTTACTGATTTACGAATTCTACGGATTTTACCACTACGCTACAAGGCATTTATTTAATTATTTGCGCGCGCACGTAAGTGGTTTGGTTGTTTTAGTATAAGAGGGTATCGTGGGCGGCCTAAGGCAAACACCAACATTGGATAGAAAAGCCGGCACCATTGAAAGTGCCAATACCATTAAAAGGTATATACACCTCTCCAAAGGTTCCAACAGCTGGAAAGGTTCCAAAAAGCCAAACGTGCCAAAAGGGGAGCGGTATATATCCAGCAGAGCCCAGCAGAGCCGCAAATATACGGCTTTGCAAAGAGACATTGGTATATTTGCGGCTCTGCCAAACTCTTTAGTATATATGCGGCTCGCTTAAATAAAACGTTCTAATCCAATAGAACGTCCTAAATAAGAGCAGTAGATATACGGATCTATTTGGGAGCTGTTTGATATTTCAACATCTCGAAATGGTTGCGGTTCTATGAAATTAAGAAGTATATTTACGGTGGTTAAATGCAAATGGAATATATGCGGTAAACGCGAACCCCCCATACTCCCCTATGTAGGCTTAAGCCCGGTGAAATCGTTCAGTCGTGCGTTCATATGTATACGGGAATCTACATACGTACCTAGGTACCTAGGTTAGTACATATGTAGATAAAAAGAGCTGCGTACAACTGTAAACAGACATACATATGTATCCTGCCATCATTGATATCAATATGTAATTTAAGAAGTTAGGTGCCTATGCGAAGTAGGTATATACACGAATAAATTTTAAAACTCCATGCTGGTTTCAATGTTCAATGTTTAAAAAAAATATGTTCCTTTCCCCCTTTCCAGCCCATATGTAACTCCCAGTCATACCGCTGTGTTCCTAGCGTATGGGAGTCAGCAGTAGTCCTATAATGCAAATGATATCCATCCGTCCGTCCTAGTCCTCTAAATGCAGTAACCCTAACCCTAACCACCAACCTCGTCGGCATCTGCATCATCATCTCGCATGATTCGTCGGCGACGTAGGTAATTCTGCCACAAACTGGCGTTCCGTATTGCGACTATCGAGTTCCGAGGCCGGAAGGTTTAGTAGCGGGCTGTAGGAGTGGTGCTTCTTGTTATCCGCGCTAGCCGCGCCGGTCCATCCGCTCAGCTCGGATATATGCGACGTGTGCCGGCTGTCTCCGTGCCAGGACTCTTGGGGCGGCGACGACGAGGGCGGGGGATACGGGTGCTGGTGGTGTGTGGGGGAGTAGGGCGCGAAACCTGGGTAGCTGGGACTCGGGTACCCCGGACTGGGCGCGCCGGAGTGAGTCCCGTCTTGCCATTGTTGCATGGCGGGAGAGTATGTGGCTGTGGTTTAGTTAGCATTTATATCACACAATCCACGTCTAGTGAATGAGGGAGATGAGTTAAGACTACAGTCTTGTTGACGTACAGTAATCTGGGGTCGGTTGGTCATTGCCTTTCTCCTGCTTCTTGCGTCTTATCCAGCCGCATCTGTATGCGACGAAGGCAAGTATAATTGCCACGAGAGCTGCGCACCCAATAACGATGCCTATTATTGCACCTAGCGGGAGCGTATAGCCGGAAGAGCCCGGGCTCGCAGCTGTAGTAGACGTCGAGCTTGCGATGAAGACCTCGGCGTTGGAGGCATCGTCGCTCAGTATTGCGGGCAGCAGGCTCGCTGTTGGGCATCCACTGTTTTGACAAGGGTTTATATCACAGCATCCTAAGAAGGGCTGGCTTCCCGCACAAGTCCACCAGTTGCTGGAGTTCCTAGGCGCCGCGCAGTTCTGCGGCGGTATGCTTGCGTAGTAGTCTGACGAGAAGCTCGTGGAAGCCAGGGAGCTTTGCGGGCAGTTCCCGCTCCCGTCCGCACACGGGTCGATGGTACAGCACCCAACGAACCGGATCTTTGCGGTGTCACAGGCGTAGAACTGGCCTTTAGCCGGGCATGAGAGCCCGAGGTCAGAGGTGGATATTGGCATTGTGGTGTGAAGAAGAATTAGATATATGTAGTTAGGTAGTTAGGTATATTAGTTGAAATGTATTAATGATTAAGTTACCGATTCATCACACAGTTGGAAAATACTCGGAGAGAGGAAGAGCGGGAAAAGTAAGAAAGGAAAAGTAATAGAGCCTCTCAAATCCGTGGAACCGTTGCAGCAGTAACCAACAGTCTTATGAGGAGACGACCTGTCATGTTTTGGCTGGGTCAGTGAATTATGCAGGTAGACGCACGTTGGACGTATGTAGATCCATCCATATCGCATGGCGGCTTGCCCGCAAAAGCCATTGACGGAAGGATTAGTGTAAGGCTCGGAAAGTATTCACCTCTACGTTGTATCTACTTAGTATCTCCATAGCTACTGTATGTAGCTCGTAGATACTGTATGTAGCTGTATGTAGAGACCTACACACACATTACCTTTTGCCAAGTCAAGATAGATACGAGACCGACACTGAGGTACCTACCTATTGTGTATATAGGTGGCAGTGCTGAATACCTAGTACTCGAGATTCTCGATCAAGAGAAGCAAATGACGATTCAAAAATGTTGGTCTGGGCTCATGTGCCTTGTAAGTTGTTGCATAAGGATGCGGTTTTGGTTGCTACAATGTTGTATTTTTTGTATTTTTTTGTATTTTGTATTTTTTTATGTTGCAACCTAAAAGTCAAGACACTAATTTAGGAATTCCGCATACTTTTGATTGGCTGGGTCGCATAGTGGCTGCGGGGCGTAGCTTACTTTGGGTGGTGCTAAGCAGCTTTAAGGTACCCAGGCAGTAACAATCAGTGTCAATCACCAACAAATGCTACAATGCTAGGTAGACCGTAGTACAGCAGACCTACTGGGAATCCCCACAAGGCTGGGGATCTACTATAAGCTAATTTCAATCATATTCCTCAGTCTTTTCAGCTCATACTCGTAGCCTCCCACTGGAAAATGGAAGCCTAAATATTCTTGTACCCATTAGGTCCGCTATGCAGGACTATGTAGGTAAGTATCCATACACGTGTATTTATATAGAAGAGAGCCAAGATTCTAGGTTAGCACGACACATGAACCTGAACGCAGCAAGGCCAAAGTATTTGCTGATGTACGGTGTTGACGGTTGACCAAGCAGCCAAGTCCATACTAGGTAGGTATGTAAGCAACATTGAGCACGAGTGGCAAGTTCAATGGTGGCGCTCATGGAAATGGTTCATGGCTGCTCGAAGGATGCGGATCGTCTTGTTCATCATTCAAGTATGTCCGGGGGCCGGAACAGCTTAGTTATTGGGGATACCGCCCGGCGCGCCATGTGATCATTACTAATCAATAACTACATACACTAGTAGATCACCAGCCACTCTTTAAGCCGCAATAGTTAACTAGTAGTACAAGTTCATGGTAGTATGGTACATAAAAGCCCTTGGTGGTCCGTGCACAACTTACAGCCCCGCCCACAATCGAATTGAATTTTCGCTTGCCCTGGTCCCACTAAATTATTTGTGTGAATTATTTGTGTGAATTTTGTGAATATTCCTCTTTTCCCCAAGCACGAGCCGCAACTTTTCATACTCCTCGCGACTTCATTCCAATTCAACTAACCCAACAGCAGCACTCTTTGCGACTTTGTTTCGGTTTCTTTACCATTAACAACAACAAAAGCCGCAACCATGAGTGCCTCTTTGAACAAGATTGCGCCTAACAGCCCTTCGCGCCAGAACCCCTCTGAGCTCGAGACCAACATCGCTGGCGCTCTTTACGATCTCGAGACCAACACTGCCGACCTCAAGTCTGCTCTCCGACCCCTGCAGTTTGTCTCTGCCCGAGAGGTGAGATCCAAATGATTTTATGATACCCTTCCCCGGATCTTCTCAGATACCTGGGACCGCTTCTATACCGACCCTATTCCATCGAGCTTCGACTGTCTTCAGAGAGACAGCATACTCCATTCGAGCATGCAATCCCTGCTACAGACGATTCTTTTATACTTGTCGATTGGTTAGATAGTGGTATAGGACGGGAAGCGGTCCAAGGAACACACTTTATAATGTGTCCTGGAGCTCGCCTGCTGACTTTGGGTCTTAATTAGATCGAAGTTGGCCACGGCAAGAAGGCTATTGTCATCTTTGTCCCCGTCCCATCCCTCCAGGGCTTCCACCGCGTGCAGCAGCGGTAAGTTATATCTATAAATGATTCTTAAATCTCTTGACTTGAGAGACGTATTATATACTAATCTACCCATCACACAGTCTCACTCGTGAGCTCGAGAAGAAGTTCTCTGACCGCCACGTTCTGATCCTCGCCTCGCGCCGCATCCTTCCCCGACCCAAGCGATCTGCCCGCTCTCGCAACACCCTCAAGCAGAAGCGACCTCGCTCGCGAACTCTGACTGCTGTCCACGATGCTATCCTAACTGACCTCGTCTTCCCCGTCGAGATTGTCGGCAAGCGTCTACGCACTAAGGAGGACAACAGCAAGCTCCTAAAGGTTATTCTCGATGAGAAGGAGCGTGGTGGTGTTGACTACAGACTCGACACCTACTCCGAGGTCTACCGCCGACTAACAGGCCGAACTGTCACCTTCGAGTTCCCCCAGTCTGGCGCTGCCGAGTACTAGGGTTAAGCGGTTGGGCGTATCTGGACGGGGCCTGGGAGAGGGATTGGTCATTTTGCCGCGTCGTTTACATATAGTAATGACAGCATAGCAAGATCACTGGACTGGTGGCCCCTTAAAAACATTACCGGCATGGCGTCTACATAGCTTGTAAACTGAATTGACAAGCTGGTTTGCTCTGATGAATACTTAAATTAATTGCACAAACTACCATTTTGTGTCGTGTGCCTCATGCTAAATTCTATTTCGTGATCATTTCGTTGCCTCCATCCATCCATACCTCTATAGGTATGGGCTTCAAATCTCCAAATTTCCAAGGGGTGGGTATCGTAGAAATTTCTCTGTCTCATCTCATCTCATGCCTCTTCTCACGTCTCTCTTGTTTAGCCTCATTCCTTCTTCTTTTTCTAAAAGCTTTACCTAGCAAGATAATATCCATTATTTTATTCCTGGCTGATCCTCCCAATCCCAATAACACACCAGTACGCGAGCTCCTTCTTCTCCTTGGAGTCCTTTTCCTTGCCGGCGGTGGTGCCGACCTGGTCCTGGGACACGTCGCCCTCCCACTCCAGCCGCACGAACATGGGTATCTCCAGCACGTCCTCGTCCTCGCCTAGCTGGTCTGGGCTTAGGGGCGGGGGAGCTGCTGGGTTGGAGCTTGGGTTGGGGTTTGGTGGGATGGGGGTTATGAAGGGCTCGCTGCCTTTCCGGGATAGAGTGGGCGAGTGCATTTCTTCGCCGCGGAGCGAGGCGGGGATCACCTCGACGACGATGCTGACCCAGTTGCGGCCGCGCTCCCAGACCTTGCCCGCTTCGGCTTGGTGCATCGCGCCCTCGTGGCCTCGGCGGCGGCGGCCCCCGGAGCTGACTCCGCCCACGACTCCGCTGGTTCCGCCGGCTCCTCCAATACCGCTGCCATCTTTGTCTCCGTCTTTCAGGACGTCATCGAGGTACATGTCGGTGTCGGTGTTGGCGTCGATGTGGAACTCGGGGCATAGAACGGTGACGCGGGACGCGAAGCGCCCGGGGGTTATGGAGGGTGTCGCGAGCGTGACCTTGACCTCGTCGAACATGAGGTTCTTGAAGGTAAGCAGAAACTGCGCGGGCTGCAGTGGCTTCAGCAAGCCCCCTCCTCCGCTGGTGTTTAAGGGGGGAGGGTAGGGGGTGATGTTGGAGGAAAAGGAAGACGTGGTGGAGGGAAGGGTGAGGGCCTTGATGGATAGGGAGGGGATGGAGTTGTTGGCCACGAGGCGGATGCGCCACCGCGTGTTGCCGACCTTGGACTCGGGCTTGCTAATGATGTGCCGGCATACGGGACATCGCTTCGACCGCTTCGTGCGCAGTAAGTACGGAATCGGCCAGAGCTCGTTTGTGAAGCGCGCGCCCTCCTCGACTTGTGTCTGCGCCTGGTCACCCGTCACGGTGCCAGCCCAGCCTTCGCTGCGCAGCTTTGCGACTGCCGCATCCTCGTCTAAGTCGCTGACGCGGAAACCCTCGTCTGCCGCGTCTGCCTCGCGCATCGTGCTAGCCTTGGGCTTAGGCTTAAGCCCCACCCCGCTTACACTGTTGCCTGAATACAAATTCATGATGCGCGAGAGAGCGCCTGGTGAGTTGAAACCGTAGTCGGCTATACCCGATAAGCCGCTAGAGTTCGACGAGTTGAGGTTATTCTGGGCGGCGTAAAAGGATTTGAGCGCGGAGAATCTAGCCCGAGCTGTCTCTGTAGCTGCGTTGTCCGCCTTCTTGGGGGATGCTTCACCGGGTGCGGCGGTAGTGGTAGCAGAGTGCTTGGAATGGTCTTCGCCGTGACGGAGGCGGGCGAGCTGGGCAAAGATGCCTTGGGGCTTGTCGAACTTGATGTCTATCTCGGACGAGTTCCAGTTGCAGTAGGAGCAAGTCATGATCCACGGACCAGAGGGGGGTGCGGTGGCGGCGCTGTCGGCTGATAGGAAGGAGGACGACTCAGGCGCCGACTCAAGGGATTGCACGGCAAGCGGTCCTATGCATATTGGGCATTGGAAACAACTACGGGTGCATCTTTATGGAGAGAATAGTGTTAGTTTATTGCCATGGTCGTACGGCACAATATAAGCTATTTACCTGTTTCCTTCCGTCTTAAGACTGCTGCTTCCAACCTCGAAGAGACAGTTGGGGCAATAGATAGTGACGATCTCCTCGGCGACACATCGTGGACAGCGAATCTGATGGCACACATCGCAATACAACAGGTACTCTAGAGGATACAAGCTATAGTTGGACCGCGGGGCGCGTGGATCGAAGGTGCATTCGTCGTCGTCATCGGCCTGATCCTTTGATGTCGGGGATGGTGAGTCGTCTAAAGGACGACTGCGGCTCGACGCTTCATAGCAAGGGCATTGTATGTACGTGTAGGGAACGAAAGGAGGAGCCATCTAGACCTCTCAGGGCGGCATATTTCAGCCGTAGAGAATGAGAAGTGAGCTGTGAGCTGTGGGCACTGCTTCAAACTAAGAGGCAGTGCGTCAAGGGAGCGTTGTACTTTCAAAGTTGGATAGAGGGGTGGCTGTTAGTGGCTGTACATATTAATGGATGTTAATGAAATAATGAATCTTTACTATTTAGTCAACTGGTAACTATTAGTTATGGAGTTTCTCGTTTGCATTGCTATGCACCTAATAAGCTACTACTAGGTTAGTAGTATTACATGACTTTATGAAGCTACAGGGGGCATTATTATGCTGTAAAAGGTCCCGAGGTTTGACCGATGCTATCGATAAGATGTAGTTATAGTTACTCCGTATGTAAATGAAATCGCAATCTTGGAATCTCGAACTCTTCTTTCATTTTTCCTCACTTTCAAACAAATAAATAAACAAACAAAACAAACAAACAAACAAACAAACAAGGGATGTATTGCCTGACTGCCAGGACCGTGTCCAGTAACTCTTATTATTCTCTTTTTTTCTAAGCACTTGCAGTACCACTGTCAGTTTCAAAACCTTGGCGAGCTTCCCAAGATGGTTGTTGCTATCAAGACGAAATATCCGAGAGGCCTTTAGCTTCAGCTGACAGGTGGAGAGTTACCGCATCATCCATCCTAAAATGCCATGTTTTATGCAAATGGCGCGAGGTTAGTGAATAACAAGGCCACACAAGACATTCAGCACCAGCAAGTTCAGACCTTGCGGAGCTCAGATCATTATTGATGCCAACGTCAGCATCCACAGTCCAGTGAAGCTTAGCCAGGTACCCAATCTACACCTTGGTCTCATTAGCTTTTTGGTGATTCACTTTCATCTCAAGAATCATCATAGAGCCGGTTGTTAAAGCGATTGAATTGTCTGAGCCTAATTTAGACCGAACAGCGAGTCCAACCTCTTCAGTCTTGAACATTGCTGTTACATGTTGGTACAAGGTTTAAAGGATGTTGATAATTCGGCCAAGTGCCGAGAGTCGCATGTACTTTGGTCAAAGTCGGCCAACTAAGCTCTTACCTCTAGCGACCCTCTCAACCTTTCCGTCCCATGGAGTCTTAGTGGACATTGAAGACACTATCCACACAAGCACCAAGTGACAACACCCTTAGATGCCTAGGACTCAACTTAGGTGTTATCTTAATGTGAGTTCAATCACCGCGTGGTAGATAGACAGGGGGGCAAAGTCCTGCTAGAGCTTAGAGTACCCGACTTCTTGGTACAGACGACAGCTTGTAATAGGCCATCCACCTTTGCTAGGCTACGGTCAAGCACGATGATGACAGGCTCCGAAGGACATCACAGTTTACGCCAACACTACGCGTAGTCGCTTCGAGTTCTTCCCCGTTGAAGCAAATTGTAATATACCGTGTAATCGAGTTGAAAATTCCGAGCTTGCGTGGAGGGTTTGGAGATTATATTTCGAAAGACTCTTGAGTCTAGAGAAAGCTTATGATGTTCAAGACTTTTGGCATCTTTAAACCCACAGACATATACGTGGCTCACGGTGCCTGCCCAACCTCGACTATTCGTAGCTATGGACAGAGTCCAAAGTTCATGTTTCCCCCCTACTTAGGTATGATTTGCTAGAAAATTACCTTCGCAGTCAACAGCACATTAAGCATTTTCGACCCAGACTTCTAGCTATCTATGAACATTTTAGAGTAAAAGTAACACTATTACTTCCTGCTCATAGCATAGGTCTTGGTGGTTAGCTTCAGAAGTATCAAAATCTAACAACAAGGCTCCAGTAGACTGGGTAGTCGTCTTCGTCCTACGTCCGCACGCAACATGGACGAACCGCTCATGCGGGATATGTTTCTCTACAACGGTGTATCGGACAGATCGCGTGGCTGGAAAACGAAGAAACCCGACAAGACTATGGAAACGCGTGTATCTCGCACTCCCAGCGTTATGAGATGGGATGGCGCCTCCATGTCAAGCAACGCCTGGGACAGCCTGAAAAGGGTATGTTTGCAAGACCGTCGTATAGCACACTGATATATATGCTCATGGAATTTATGCAGGATACTGAACTATGGTACCGAAATGGAAATTGCTATATCCATCTTTACGGTCAAGGACAGAGTCGTAGAGGTCCTGCTTTCAAAATACCATTCTCTGGACTTTTGGAAGCAGACTGCTATCCTCTCATCGACAGATTTATGGCTCGAGGCGTTCAAGACTCGACGGGTAATCAAGAACGCGATAATGGCGATCCTGCTAGGCAGAGTCGCATTGAACTCTTCATACCAGCACCCCCCCGATCCGATAAACAGCAGTCTTATAGATACCATCTAGCCACCCGTAATTTCATCGCTTTCGTCTTTCGCAGATCCGTTGTTGGGGAGAACTTAGGAACTGCTCTAATCACTCTCATGCATAGTATGCATGAATTCCGCACTGACACCGTGGATAATGTTCAGGATATGATGAGTTATCTGGATGAGGAAGGATACCTCAATCTTCAGAGCAACCCAACGCACGCATTAGCCATTCTACGTCTAGCAGAAGCCTTCCAGCTGAAAGACCTCTACATTAACGCATTTGCGCACTGCTGCGGTATGAGCGACCGAATACTCGCTGTACCTGAATATCAGGTCAGTCTTGATGGTTTTCACTTCTCGAATGCTGCTAACACGAGCCAGTTGGTATCTTCCGTGACTCGAAAGCTCATCCGTTGCGGCCGGGTTGAGATGAATCTCAAGCTAGGGCAGAGCTCGAACATGGTAGGAACATTTCTCCAATATGAATTATCAGAGGCGCACCTAGGTCTATATCCTGGCGTCCGAGAACATCTCGAACGGTTTCGAACTCTCCTGCGGGAGTTTTATACTGCCAAATTTGGGTCTTATCCACCACCGTCTGTTGATATCCGCACAACAATCTTCGAGATAGATATCTTCCAGGAGATGAGAGCTGACTTCGAGGCTCTGTTCCGATACCTGGTGGATGAGACATTTGACATTACGCAAAGTAGCCCATTTTTAGCACGAGGGGGAATCTGCACTTGGCAGAGCATTCAATCCTTTGACACGAGACATGACTTCAAAACTCTCTTTAACCCGCTTCCTCGCCTCCCCAGTGTAACCCAGGAACGGACAAGGAAGCCAGCATGGCTGGGTGGATGGATGGGGCGAGGTCATAAGCAGCAAGAAGTCACGCACACAGCTTTATTAAGAGCTGCCAATCATAGAGTCGAGCTTCTGCATAACGGATTGGTGAGAGTATATCGCCAATTCGAAGGCGACTTAGTTCACTTATCTAGAAAGGCGGATAGATCGGAAAACCTAGGGCCCATGGATAGTCGAAAAGTTCGCTGGATCTTGATATATGGGATATACCAAGCCCTCCGGCAAGCAACAGAAATCCCACCCGAAGTTGGCGATAGTGACGATGCTCCTTATCCTCTCTGCATATCTACTGCGGATCTGCCGCCATGGGACGAAGGTCAGCCGGCGCATGGACTCATACGGAGACAAACAGAGCATATCCTTAGAAGTACTTCGATACCAGCCGGAGATCGTAGCTCCACGAGAGAGCCAACCCCACACAACCAGAGCTTGGAGATTAAGCCGGACATTGACTACTTCGCCATCACCCATCGTGGAGACAACGCGAAGGAAGCCAAAGAAGAGCGTCCGAAGTTACGCCAATCTACAAGCTGGAGAGGAAATCTTAGCAGAAACATATCTCGAAGTCAGGCTCCTCACAGTTCACCAGCGAAACTTACCAAACCACGGCCCACTAAGAACGACCAGTCAACCAAAAATACCCCATATCATGAAATTGTCATCCAGGGTTACGGAAATGGGACACGTGGGATTGGTGGTTCGCCCGTAGATGTGCCGTCACCCGCGGTACGTGCGACGGTCGAAGAAGAGGTCATATCTACATCGCCGTCTCGATATTCTTACAACGCGGACTCCAGAAACTCCGAGGAGGGCAGTGTGGCGAGGACCTTGGATACGTCGATTTACGAGAGTCCGCTAGGGGGGCCGGTATGTGTCGAGGACAGCCGCCGCACCAGCAGCACATACTCGCACAATGACTCGGCCTCTCGGCGAAGCGGGCCCAGCAGCTCCACGGGCACCCGGCCCAGGCGCGCGGAGGACAAATCGCTCGACCCCGCGTGCGGGCTACTCCGGCGATGGCCGAGGAGCGTCGAGGAGAGCGACCCGCGGAAGACGAAGGCAAAGGCCAATGCCAATGCCAAGACAAAGATAGTGGAGCCGACGCCGCCCACCGACGTCCGCAAAGTCTACAGCGTCGCCTCGCACATCGACATGCCGACGCCCCGGACCCCGACCCCGTGGGACCAGGTCAAGTCCACGATGGAGGTCAAGGCGACGAACTGGACCGCCAACGACGTGCACCCCGAGTGGGAGCAGTACACCGACCTCGGCGGCCTGACGGTGCTGAAGTCGGGCACGGCGTCCAAGCAAAAGGTTGCGCCGACGGTGCACTTTTAGAAAGAGAGGTTGGGGGAAAGGTTTGCAAGGACCCTTTTCGCGGCGGTTTTTTCTTTTTTTTCTTTTTTTTTAAACCCCTCCTCTCCCCCTATGATACCCGTTAGATCAGAGGGGGGATTTCGTTCCTTCAACCGGGCGTTTAGGCGGATGGGTAGGTAGGTGGAGTTCTAGGTACGAGGCGGTCCAAAGGGTCCGCGATACCGCGTTATGGGAATTTTTCTTCGTTATAAGAGCATATGGAACTGGGGTTAAGGGAAGGGGGGGGTGGGAAGGTTGGTACTCGGGGTATGAATTAGTCCGCCTTCGAGTTTTCGGCATACCTACCTGATATACAGGTGAGTAGGTGGGTAGGTAGGCATATAATTGTCGGCACTTAAGCCTCATAATCTATCAATAACTAGAAAATTGGTATAGACATGTGCTCTCCACAGCTACATACAAAGATTCGTGTTCCCCCCAGCTTGCGCCTCCGCTTCGCTTCGCTTTTAAATCCATTACACCACTCATCGATAGTTTTTATGCAAAACCCTGGCTAGGTATATATCAATCTATATAAATATATATCTGATAAATAGGCAAGCCCCCTGAAAACTCACCTACCTACCTACTCGGACTTGGCCGCCCTCCCCGTCGACGCGGCCGTCAAGCCCTCTACGATCTCGCTTCCCATGACGTAGATAAGATAGCTGGGGAAAATGAGCCATAGGCCACTGTCCCCACTGTTAGTCCAAGACATACGATACGAGCCAGCATAGGAGGCAATAAAGGGGTTTAGAGGACGAAGAAAGGGGGCGTACTTGGGGATGATCCATAAGAGGATTAGGTCCTGGAGGTTGTTGTGGCCGATGTTGTCGTAGTTGGAGAAGTACTCTTGTAGCCCTATTTCGGGAGGTTAGTGCCCGCGGGAGTTGATGGTCGGTGTATGATACCGGAATATGAGATTGAAGAAGGATAGCGAAAAGGGGCGATAAAGGGGTGTATATTTATGTGGGGAGGTCGGGGTCGGGGAGAGGGACACTCACAGTAAAGCGCCGTCTTGCTCAGGGTCATGACCGCCGCGCTGAATGCAGTCAACACGGCGATGGCAGCAGGTCTCCCACTGAGGACCTTTGCGTTGCCGCGACCGGTCTTGACGCCGGCGGCGGTGGTGCCGCGGGCGAAGTACAGCCACAAATAGACGAGGTACATGGTGGTCTCGAGGACGTTGAGGGCGCCCTGGGCGCCGGTGAAGCCGTTGCCGGCCTTGAAGGCCTTCCAGCCGTACACGTGGTCCACCTCGCCGTACAGCTTGTAGGGCGTGTACAGCGGCCAGTGCAGCGACCCCCCTTCCATCGTCAGGGGACGCAGCAGCACGTACCCCGAGTCCCACGCCACGAGAGGCAGGGACACGGCGAGCCAGAAGAGGGTCAGGCGGGAGGGTGCGTGGGCCCAGAGGCGGGAACGGGAGGATGATGAGTTGCGTTTGTTGCTAGAGGAGGGAGAAGAGGATTTGGGGGCGAATCGCGGGGCGGGCGAGGCGGCTTTGCTTGCTGAGCGTGTTGTTACCATTTTGAGTGAATGTTGTATTATTATTATTCTTCTTCTTCTTCTTTCTTCCTTTTTTCAACGTTCTTTCTGAGTATACTAAGTATTAGGTACTGGGTAGGTAGGTAAGGGAAGGGAAGAGAGTTAAACACCCTCGTTCAACGTCTCAATGTCTGAATTTAACGCGTCGATGATGTGTCAAGGACAATAATGGATTAATATTAATGTAGGTACCGGTTAGGTGTTTTATGGTGCTATGTATGTAGTATCAGAGGTGCTAATTAGGCAGCTGACAGCAACTAGGTTAGTACTACATATGTATGTAGATATTATGTAGGTACATACTAATTATCGGGTACATCCATGGATACAATACCTAGTAGTACATATGTAGTATACCTACATAGTAATCACTGTATGATATACATACGTGTAGTACAGCGAAATGGCACCAAAGAATAAAATGGATGCGGGGAAACAACAAGTTGGAAGTCGAATGGGATGTGAACTAATACTCCAATGACCCATAACTTGCCCACCAATCAGGTGCCAGGAGGGTATACCCTAAGTAGGTACCTACATATGTAGTACCATATACGTATTGTACAATACAATACAACATTGAATGATTAAATACCCCTCCATGCTTCTTCACCTTCCCTCCTGAGAAAACACCAAACTCGTTCGTCTTTCGTTTTAATGTCACTCACTGGCAGGCTACCTAGTAGCTAGATCTTAAAAAAACATGGGGGCCGGAAACTTCGTGATAGTCTCTATTGATGTTCTATTGAGGCCGTCCAAGTTGTACTCGTGAAACTTGGGTAGGCATGATGCAATGAAGAATACCAATTCAGACAAGTCATCATCTCCCACCTCCCAGCCTTGCGCAATGGTGAGATACCGGTACAGCTCCCTTCTTAGGGGGGATTATATCAGACTCATGCCCCTCGAGAGTTACCTGACCTTGCTAGATCCCTAGGTTAGATGGTTCTTCTCACCTTCAAGCTTGGTATGAATTTCCACAGCCTCAAGTACTGAGAGTGATGGGCGTATTCAAGGCTCATACCATACGATGTCATCCAATTCCAAAACTCGCGGCTTTATCAAATCGTGATAGATTCGAACAATTACGTCAACTTCTAATGAAACTAGTCCCTAACGTGCAATGCTTAGCCATGACCTACGCCTAGACATTGCTCCGCCGATTCAAGGGGCAATCCCACTCGTCCATGGTTGATGTCGCACATTTAGACACTGCGGAGCAAGTCATACGACTCATGATGTCTGACTATTAGTTCCAAGAAGGCGACTTCTTGATAGGATCACCCGAAGCACGATTCCTTCGGGATGCTTCAACGAGAGTGGGACCAGCGCCAATTTTCCTGAGCGTAGGCAACTACGTAGGAGTTGCTTTGGAGACAGCGCAGGCTGGTGATGAGGTGTGGGTTCTACTCGGCTGCAACGTATCCCTATTACTACGACCACGTGGAGAGGGCAGGTTCAGGATTGTGTGTCCATGTTTTGTGCCTGATATTGGGGAAGGTGAAACCTTTCTCGGGCCTCTCCTAAAGAATATTCGAGCATGTGTTATTTACAACAATAATCACGAAACTCGTTATAGGGGGTTTATAAATGTTCAATCGGGCGAGGCTTTTTACGAAGATCCGCGGTTGAAATCATTGCCTTTGCCCCCTGGCCGGCTTGCCGGATTCCGTAGGCGTTTATCTACACATCCCAGTGCGATAATACACGTATAGCTAGAGATACTACGAGAACGTGGGGTGGACTTGAAGTGCATCGATCTTGTGTAGTTTAGTTGGCACATTATCTTAAGTTAGGTAGTCAGAACTGGGTTGGATTGCCTGAACCAAACTAGCTGAGCAGAAATCCGAGACGATAACATACTCTGACATACGAAGCCCCTATTTCTACTTGCATCCCACGCCCGATTATCCCTAGACACCCCCGAAGCTGGATTTTCGAATACCGCAGAATCTGCAACGACAACACTGCGGGACAATGAACACATTGGGAAGCCACGAAACGTGATAGGCATATTTCTTGATAGGGGGAGAGAGGGGGGGGGGCGCCGAGAGAGAGCCCCGATGCCCTTTCTTAAATTCGAAATGGCGTCTCCGATACTTCGATGATAAGCGGCTGCCTGCCTACTACCTAGGTAGCTTTCAGGAAGTAAAGGAAAAATAAAGGGCCCAAGTAAGCGATATACATAACTTCACGCAAAACGACTTATTCAGACGATCGTTTTTTTATAAAAAAAAAAAAGCTTCTCATTATGTAGAGCCAGTATTATATATAGGTACCTAGCCAGTACCTACTGTTGTGATAATACAACCGACCCCCCCCCCTCGGGTATCGCCCCAACGCCATGCAAATGCAAAACCCCCAACCTATCATTTTGAGGTGGTTTTTCTTTTCTTTTACCTAGGTAGGTACATACCTACCAATTATCAAAATTGCCAAACCCACCGACTTTGGCTTTCTTCTTGACGGGCTCCTCCCACACGTCGACATCCTCCTCTATCATCTCGTCCTCGGCGATCTGCTGCTTCCTCGCGGCCTGGAGGTACTTGCCGACGCCTGCGCCGGCGCCGGCGCCCTGGTCGACGGTGCCGTCCTGCCGGACCCGCTTGCCCGTCCACGTGATGCGGTCGTCCTCGGTGCCGCCGGTGCGCTCGATCTCGGCCTTGGTCTCCGCGAGCTTGTCGCGCTCGGCCTTCTGCCGCTGGAACTCGTCGAACGGGTCGAGGTAGACGACGACGTCCTTGATGAAGATCTTGTTCAGGGGCCGGTCCGAGCCGTCCGTGGGCACGGCCTCGATCTTGCTTAGCACGTCGGTGCCGCCGACGACTTTGCCGAAGATGGTGTGCTTGCGGTCGAGATGCTTGACTGGCCGGTAGGTGATGAAGAATTGACTTGAGTTGGTGTTCTTGCCTTTGTTTGCCATGCTGAGAATGCCTCGCGCATCGTGGGTCAGTGGGCCGTCGAACTCGTCTTGGAAGTTCTTGCCCCATATGCTCGTGCCCCCTCGTCCGGTGCCTGACGGGTCGCCTCCTTGGACCATGAAGTTCTTGATGTTGCGGTGAAAGGCAACGCCCCTGTAGTAGCCCTTCTGGGCTAGCCGGGTGAAGTTCCAGACCGCCCTAGGCGCATACTCGGTCTGTAGTTCGATGTTTAAATCGCCTAAATTCGTCTCGATCCGTGCGTAGCCTTTTATCTTCACCCGCTTCGGTTTCAACATGTATTCTTCGTCCGTGAGCGTGGCTCGCTCGCCACTGGTTTCAGGGGTCAATCCCGTGCTTGTAAAACTCGCCGCAGCTCTTCCGGTGGTATATGCTGCTGCATTGTAGGCTGTTTTCTTATCCTGCACCATGGAAGGCCTGGCATTGTTACCCGCGCCAGTCTTGGTAAGGGCTTTGGAACGATTGATATCCCCGGCCGCCTCACGCTCTCGCCTAGCCTTCTCCACAGCCTCTTTCGCCCTCAAGACCTTGTCGCCTACTCTGCCCAGGGCATTGATATTGACGTTGCCTTCTCTTCTTTCTTCCTCCTGTTCCTTGGTCAAGAGCGCATCCCCACCGTCCTTTAGATGCTGGAATTGACTTAGATCTCTGCTAGCGGCGTTTTGTGGATCCTGCAGAGTGATTATGTCCGAGCGACTAAACTCTACGTCGTCGACAAGGTCTCGCCACATCTTTGCTTTGATGTTCATCCGCTCCACCGTCTCCCAGGCAAAAACATTCGCATAGGTGCCGTGTCGGATGGCGACGATATGGGTGTTGTCGGTAAACACTTTGAAGCTGACAGGATCAATCAGGTCGCCCTTTTTGTCACTGTCTAGCCCATCTGCGCCTTTCGAGTCGAAGTCGCCGTTGCGCGCAAAGTTGAGTTTGATGAGGTCGCGTGCTGCTAAGGGCTCCCCGGTCACGGGATTGGTCTTGTGGTTGTCAAGCCATTTTGAAATAACCTCGACATCGAATATGGTGCCATTGGCAGTGCAGACGGGGTTTTTGAAGGGCTGGAGACTCGCGGCGCAAAAGTTGAAAGGTAGTCGTTTAAAGGACGTGTCAGTGTGAGTAGACCGTGAACCTGTGCTTGCTGAGAAGGCGTCCGAAGATGACCATTCGGAGTGTGTGATGTATAGTTTATCTGTTCCTTTTCCCATTATTATTAAAGGGGTGGTGTGAGAGATAGACCCGTTATTTGTACAATGCGAGTAGAAAGGCGGAAAGTGAAAAGAGGAAGATAGAAAAAGAATTTGGAGCTTCAATATGACGAAGTTTACCAGTTATTACTAACCTAGTTAACTACCTAGGTACATAGTATGTATCCAATTAATCCTAGAAGCAAGCGTCGATGTTGATAGGTGCAATAGTCCATATCTTATCGAGATCCTAGTTGCTTACATAAATTTAGCTCCCTCATGGTCGGTTTCCACTTGCGTCTACCAGCCCTGCTAGTCTCAAGATTGGCTGCCGTAATCATTAAAAAAGTGGCACCGTTTCGTAACGCTGCATTGGCGTAAACTCTACTATGCCTACAAACTACAGCGACCAAACCGCCACTGGCCCACTGCCAACTAAGCTTCAGGTACCTTCGGGACAACATTTTCTTCGATTGTGAATTAATTCATTAATCTTTTTACCTGCGTAGCAACCCAATTCTTCTTTCGCATACGCTCGCCTTTAACTCCTCATGTTTCACTACACTCTTGCCCTGTTCTAACCCAATCTCGCATTCATTCTGCATTCGTTCTTGTCCAATTTACATTTGCATATGTGATAGCGCATACAGCATCTTGAAATACTGAGGACACATTTATTTGCCAAGGCTGCCTCGCGCGGCGACAATCCAACTCCAACATATTCAAGATGAAGGCTTGGTTATCCACGTTGGCCCTTGTGGTCATGTCCCTTTGGACGGCTCAGGCATTGGAAGTACAGCTGGTACGAGAATCATATCCTCTCTAAGTTATGGTATCAAGCTGATCTTTTTTCTCTTTCAAAGGACAATACCGAGGAGAATCGACAGAAATGTGCCGGTATGTCCGTCCCATACATACGTCAGCTATCTATACGAACCTTACTGATCCGCCGTACTTAGGCATGTACAGCAGAAGCGCCTGGGGTGGTCCTGTTGACCCTTTCGTTCTCACCGTATTTCCAAACAAGACGTATGAAGGCGATGCCGACCCGATTGTTAGCTTGATTGTCTTTGAATGGAAAGACCAGGACTTGATCGGTGTCTACCCAAGCCCTGACGCACTCCAAGTACGATCGATCCACGATACCTCCTGATCCGGGCGAAGGCTAATAATATTATTAGAAGGAATTGATCTGCGATAGTGAGAATATTCGGGTTGGCCTGTGCAATGATACGGACATTGGCGAGTGGATTCTGTCGCCTAACGCGACGGAGAAGTCGGAAAGCCTGATCCTGACCCAGGCCATACACCTCAAGTCTGCGCCGCCTATCAACTATCCAATCAAGAAGACTGGTTACTACTGTGTTGCTGCCTATGGACTCAACACCGAAGAGTTCATGGGCGTCGTCGAGTTCCGGGAAGCTTATGGCGAACTTCCTGCCACCGTTGTCCCCAAACTCCCATTCTATGGAGGAATAACCATTCTATATGGTGTGGTTGCAGTGTAGGTTTTGAGGCCATATCATGTTTGAACGATCCGCTGATTGTGACCAGGTTCTGGGGTTTCCTATACTACCAGCATAGATATGATATCTGTAAGTGGTTAACAAAGTCGCTGCTCAGTCATAAGTCTAACCAAGCTGTATAGTACCCGTGCAGAATTATATCACTGCCATCCTTATCTTCCTCGTTGTCGAGATGCTGATGACTTGGGGATTCTATGGTAAGCCGAATGACTTGTCTTGCAATAAACCCAGTTGCCTAACCTATTGCAGATTATCTAAATCGGAACGGTTCCAACGTCGGAGCCCAGGTCCTTCTAGTCGTGGTTGCAATCCTTAATGCTTTCCGCAATTCGTTTTCGTTCTTCCTACTCCTCATCGTATGTATGGGTTATGGAGTCGTCAAACCCTCTCTTGGCAAAACGATGGTCTATGTGAGATGGTTGGCTATTGCCCATTTCGTTTTCGGACTGGCCTATGCCATTGCTAGTCTGCTGATCTCGCCCGACACAGCCGGTACGATATGCCCTAATTGGTGACTAGAAACGCAACTTGCTAACCTAACCATAGGTCCCTTCGTACTACTCATTGTACTTCCATTAGCGGGTACTTTGACCGCCTTCTACGTATGGACGCTCAACTCGCTCAACTTTACCCTTAAGGATCTACGCGAGCGCAAGCAGAGTGTAAAGGAGGCCATGTACAAAAAGCTTTGGTGGTGCATCCTAATCAGCATTCTTGTCATCTTTGGCTTCTTCTTTTTCAACTCCTTCTCGTTCGCCTCCGCCTCCGATCCCGATTACGTCCCCTTCCACTGGAAATCGCGGTGGTTCGTTCTTGACGGATGGCTAAATTTGGTCTACTTTGCCGATGTAGCCTGGATCGCGTATGTGTGGAGACCTACGGCAAACAACAGAAGATTCGCTATGAGTGACGAAATCGCGCAAGATGAAGACGGCGGGTTCGAATTCGCCGACGTGGGTGCCCCTGACGATTCGGACGATGATGATGAGGAAGCAAATATTGGCTCCAAGATCACCACCACGCGCTCGGTCTCGACAAGAAACGCCCCTACCGCATCGCAACAGTCACAAACAAGAGCACCGACTAAACCAGAGACGCCGCGAGACTCTTTCGACGGTGAAACAATATTCGCTGTCGGAGAAGATGGCGACAAGTTCAGCGACGACGACGATGATGATGACGATGACGATGACGATGACGACGACGACGATCGCCGTCGCGGCGAGGGGTCGAAGTTGGTTAGTGGAAGAAAATAGTAAGATTATCCCGGATCATAGGATCATAGGATCCCGGTGAGGCAAGGGCTGGCATCGAATGTGTGTTTGGGCTACGCACTTTCATTACTGTATTATACACGCTCTATGCAAGGCGTTGGATGCTGAATTTGCGCCCTCCTTGCTTAGGTACCTTACCTAGGTAGGTAGGCCTCTTAAGTTAGGACAGGGACTTCGACCGGCACGGCATGAATGAATAGGCCGTGCTCTTTGAAGCAGATATCGAAAGAGAGAGAGAGAGAGAGAGGCACGAGCCCTGCCTGTTTGCTCGTATTGTATTGTACAATGGATGCAAGTACGGATGTGTGTGTACGTAAGGGAAACGTAAGGTATGAACAGAACTCGGGGCTTGTTAGGTACCTGCCTAATTGTTTTACTATACATACATGGATACCTCATAGCTAATCATGAATGATGCAACTGTGTAAGGTTGAGTGGTGTTTATGGGTGGAATTGGTGATTTGTGGTTGTGTATTGGCTGGCTGTGAACTACATTTCGGCTCGTGGTCTGATAATAGGTAGAGCCTTGCTTATATGTGCACTATCCCCCCCCATCCTAACACCAACTAGTAGGTAGAGGCAGGTATGGTAGCTACCTAGGTAGACAGTAACTCTTTTCTCGCCTCGTAACCCCCTTTTATAACTACCTGACCTAGGCAGGTACACACACACACATCAATCAAGCCGCCACATCCCCACCAAACCCAACCGGCCGCCTCCTGCCGCCGTTCTCGGGGAGTATAGCGAGGGCCTTGTACAGCTTGCCCATGCCGTTTGGACCCCGGTCGACCAGCCTCTTCCACGAACGCTCGATCTCCCTTGCCCTGTCCTCGACATTCCCGGTCCCTGTGCGGGAAGCGAGCATCTCGGCGCGCTTGCCGCCGCCCATGGCCTCGAGGAAGTGGGCCTGGTCGACGGGGCCGTGGACCTCGACGCCGGGGCTGGCGCGGGTGGCGGCCTCGGCGAGGGCGAAGAAGTCGACGTCGGCGCTTAGGTCGACGAGGCCCGGGAGGGAGAAGGGGCTCACGCGGCGGTGGTGGCGGATTCCGCGGAGGGAGTTGGCGGGGATGGTGGAGGGGGGGCCGTAGTCGAGGATTAGGGCTGCGCCGGAGGGGTGGGGTTTTGGGAGGGGGGGTGGGGGGTTTCTGGGGGAGACTGTGGAGGAAGAGGAGGAGCGGGAGCGGGAGGGAGTGGTGGAGGGAGGGTTGGGGCCGCCGATGCGGATGGCGAAGTCGGAGGCGTAGAGGGAGGCGTCGGGGCATATCTCGATAAGGGCGTTGGGGATTTCTTTTAGGGCGCGGTACCGAGGGGAGGTTTCGGGGAGGTAATTCGCGTGCCGGGTTGCGGAGGGGCTGAGGGTTAGTTGGAACTCGGGGACCGGGTCGTGATGCTCTGCTTTGGGGGAGCCGAGGTCCGCGTGCGTTGTCCCTTTGGGTGTGGGCGACACGACCATTTCCCGCCATTGGCGCGTGGCAAGCTTAGGCTTTGTGGATGATCCTGGCGGCGAGTTACTGCTACCGCTGTCTGTCGTTGTTGTTGCTGGTTCCTGAGTTGCTGGTGGTACGTCGACCAACTGGAAGGCGTGGATAGGCAGTGCGTCGAAGAACTCATGAGCAACTATAAAAGGCATCTTGCTCGGGTCGTTCGGGATAGCTTTGATGGAGTCCGTCCACACAACGGGTAGGCCGGAGTACTTGGATGTGCTATGCCAACCAATTTTTGACTCCGTCATCACGGCATCCTCGCCGCACAGGAGGTTCTTTTGGGCCAGTCGTAACTCGGCACTAGCTTCCACCATGTAAACGGTGTCTATGGCAGAAGCAAGGTCTTTGAAGTTTTTCATAGTCTGTCAAGAAGTTAGTTGAGGGTTGAAAAAGAGCTGAAAAAAAAAAGCCATAGACTCACTCGTAGCATATCATCCATCAAAGTCCCCCTACCAGGGCCAACTTCGATGAGCTCGACACCCTTTTTCGGCGACCCTTGAGACATCCATTCTGCCACAAACCAGACACCGATGAGCTCGCCGAATATCTGTGATATCTCTGGGGAAGTGATGAAATCCCCTTTTCGGCCGAACTGATCACGGTCTTCTTTTATGGCCCCGGTATAGTATCCGCCAATATCGGATGTGAGGCACATGCGCATATAACTAGCCAAGGGAATAGGACCCGTTGTCTATATCTCATTATTCTTATTAAATATTGTGTCTAGGCAGATATATGTAAAAACAGAGAATTAAGACTTACATTTATAGCTTCAGTTAACTGCTTGGCTAAAGGTGTAGACCATTTCCTTTCCTCATCTTTCCGTGCCGGGGTTGCTACGAAGCTCCTATAGCTCTGACATGTAGCTCTTGGGGCATGAGATATTGGCCGTCTTGATAGGCACTTGAGCCCATCTCGGGCTGTCTTCGAGACAATTAACCTCATACTAGGCCATTAGACACTGATTCATCTCATTATGAAAGAAACGAAATTAGATAGGATAAAATAATTTGAATTTGATATTTCGCAACTTCTAAGTCTCTGAAGCTTCTCCAGCTATTAACGTGCTGCAACTAAAATTCCCCAATTGCTACTAGTTAGTTAGGTTAGTAATTAGTAGAATGCATTTTTTAAGCTTCCGAGGTTCAGAAATTCCCCCAAAATAAGGCCCGAGCATTCACCGAGCTAGTTAGGGAATTACGTAGTTAGTTCTAACTTCTAAACCTTTAGTTAACTACGACGTACTAGTAACTAATTCTTAGCCTTAGACACTACCTAACTCTCAGATTACACCGCGATCATCTACATACCTGCCCTAGGTAGCACTATACATACTGGGCACTGCGTATAGCACCCTTCATCCACAAACTTCAATTAATAAATGGACGAACAATGGATGTGATACAATTCCTTTATTCATCTTAATGCCCATCGACATAAGCACCAAAGCTCTCCATTAAATCCCCCAACCACTGCCACATACGAAGTAGCACTACAACCCATTGAGACAACGACAACTATGGCGGGAAGGTCCCGCTGGGCGGACACAGAGGAGGACGCAGCCCTCGAAGCTAAAAACAAGCGCGAAAGGGAAGAAAAGAAGCGTCTGAAACTCGAAAAGGCACGAATAGCAGCCGAAGAAGAAAGACGCGCCCAAGAAAAGGCCAAGGCAGAGGCGGAAGCGGAAGCAACCAGGCAACGAGCCTTGCAAGAAGAGCCGCAGAACCAAGATGGAGAACAGTACGATAGACCACCTGCTAAGCGACGAAAATTGACACCCGAAAGGAATGAGAAAGGAGGTGGCGGAGAAACCGATAACGAAAGCAATGCGAAGCTCCTACGGTTCGAGAGTGGCAGCTGGAGCAAGTCGCGCAGCGTCGAGAATTACGACAAGTTGAATGACATCGAGGAAGGCTCATACGGATGGGTTGCGCGAGCACGGGAAATCAAAACGGGCAAGGTAGTCGCGCTGAAGCGTCTGAAACTCGACTCGTCCGACACAACAGGCCTTCCCGACACCGGGCTGCGCGAGATCCAGATCTTAAAAGACTGTGAGCACCGCAACATTGTCCAGCTACGCGAGGTAGTAGTGGGCGACGACACGTCCTCGCGCATCGAGAACGTATTCCTGGTCCTAGAGTTCCTCGAGCACGACCTCATGTCCATCCTCGGGGACATGCCCGAGCCCTTTCTGGCGTCCGAGGTCAAGACCTTACTCCTGCAACTCGCTGCCGGTGTCGCCTACCTGCACGATAACTGGATCTTACATCGCGATCTCAAGACTTCCAATCTTCTCCTCAACAACCGTGGCCAACTTAAAATTGCCGACTTCGGCATGGCCCGCTACGTCGGCGACCCCGCTCCCCCCAAACTCACCCAGCTCGTCGTCACCCTATGGTACCGTGCCCCGGAGCTCCTCCTCGGCGCCACAACCTACGGCTCCGCGATCGACATGTGGAGCGTCGGCTGCATCTTTGGCGAGCTGCTCGCCCGCGAGCCCCTCCTACAAGGAAAAACCGAAGTCGACGAGCTCAGCAAGATCTTCGAGCTCTGCGGCATCCCCACCGACGAATCCTGGCCCGGCTTCCGCCGCCTCTCCAACGCGCGCCTCCTCCGCCTCCCCAAGAACACCGCCGCCAACACCGGCCCCGTCATCCGCGCCCGCTTCCCCACGCTCACCTCCGCCGGCAGCGCCCTGCTCACCAGCCTACTATCCCTAAACCCCGACCAGCGGCCCTCCGCCAAGGACATGCTGACGCACGAGTTCTTCCGCCAGGACCCCAAGCCCAAGCACGAGGCCATGTTCCCCACCTTCCCCAGCAAGGCCGGCCAGGAGCGCCGGCGGAAAAGGTCGACGCCCAACGCGCCGGGGCGCGGGCAGAAGGCCGCGGACCTGGGGAATGTTGATTTTAGCGGCATCTTTGCCTCGAGGGAGAAGGAGGAGAGGGGGGGTGGGTTCGCGTTGAGGATGGTTTGATACACCCTTGGCTACCTACCCAAGGTACCTAAAGAAAGGTATTATCAGATACCTACTACTACTACTACTACTACTACTACATATATACGTGCTTATGTTAGGAGGGCTGCGATGATATAACGACATCATATAGCCCAAAGTCTGTCAGTTGGTCAGCCAGCCAGCCAGCCAGTCAGTCATCCATTAGGTACACATATGAAGGCAACAAGAAGAGAATGAAGACGAAGACGAGAACGAAGAAGGATGAAATAATGTACCAGCATCGCAATGAAGCAAGCAAGCATAAATGCATACCACCTATAAAACTTAGATCGGGGCCTCTTATAAGAAAGCAGTTACATGATCACGATTGTAAATTTAAAATTTTAACTTCAGTTTGCACCTGTCTAGGCGTGTGGTTGTGTCATTAAGAGCTAGCTATGTGTATAGGTAGGTAGGTGTGTATGTATGTATGTGTGTATGTAAACTGTCGCCATCCATTTCCAACCCGATACCAGAGCAGTGCAAAGCTCCCAACACCACCCTTCCTTCCTTCCTTCCTTCCTTCCTTCTTCCCCTTTCCTTACCTTTCCCTTTCCATTTCCTTTCCTATCCTCTCCTATTCGCTCCTTTAATTTGCTTTCGATCCTGTCTATTCTTTGCGAAAAGAGCGGAAGTATTCGATACTGCAGATGAAAAGGATTGAACCAGATTAAAAAAGATAAAAACGCCACTACATGATCTTGTAAATATAAAAAAGAGTAGTATATATCCATATAATCCCCCCTTTCTTCCCGGGAAGATTCAACCGTTGTTTATTAGGGCGGTTTTTTACTTTGCATTAAGATATCGACGTCACGTGGCTTCCATAATTTTATGTGCATTGTTGTTTGTAAAAATCAAAAATGTTGTTTAAATCATCGTCGTAGACTGACTGACTGCTAGATGTGGTAATCGCTAGATAGGTTGTCTGCTGATGTTGACATTGTTGTTGTATTTGTTGTTCTGATCCTCATCCCTCATCGACTACAGCAACGCGGCGAAGCCCGTCACGTACCATGTGAAGCTGAACAGGGTGATCAGACTCATGGTGATAGCGAAGCCGAGAGCTTGGCGGTCAGTGCCTCCCAACGCAGCACTGCACGTAGCGCACTTCCACTCGCCGAGGTCCTGGTACGGTCGGGCGGTGTACAGGCCGAAAGGCGACCCAACGAACGGCGCCAGGTATCCCGGCTCCGTGGTCCCACTGACCTCCGAGTCAGAGTCGAGGATGACTAGCGTGTACTGAGCCACGAGCAGCGGGCTCGCTATGGCGCTCTCGGCATACTTCTCCGTGTCCCACGTGAATGTGGCCGTGGGCTCGAACGTCATGTTCTGCGTCAGGGTCCATGTGGCTGTGGCAGTGGAGCAGGATATCAATACGTCGATGGCGGAGGGGGTGCCCTGCAGGGATGTGTAGTTCCAGACCCACGTGATGGGGGTCGGGTTGCCGATCCGGTAGAGTGATGTTCCGTCGGTGATGGCGGGTGTGATCATGGCAACGCCGCCGTTTCCATCGGTCGCGTTGAACGTTTGGTGTGTGGTGGCAGTGCTATTGCCAGAGGCCTTGGGAGCCGAGCCTGTGTTGAGGTTTGTGGTCTTAGGTTCGTTGGAGTCCGCGGTCGAGGTGGAGTCCTTCTTAGTTGTCGTAACTGGAGCTTCGTCGCTCGAGGCAGTTGATGTGGGTTGTGCAGCTTTAAGACTATTAGCAATCTGTTTCTCTTCCGGCGTGTAATGCTATTCAGCAGAATTACATACATGCTGTTGTTGTGCCATCATCTTGTCGGACTACAAGCGCATCTACATCTGGAAGCCAACCTGGCCATGCTGATGTGATAGGGGCACAAGCGAGGGCGAGGGCCAAGATTTGATTAAGACTCCGTGATCCCTTCATCGTAATTGTCTTGATGGAAGAAAGGCGGGAAAGTGAGATTGGACGGTCGAACAATTCGGAGAAATGTAAGGGGTGCGTAGGAACAGTACGCCACAAATAAATAGGTAAACACTCGAAACCCAATAACAATAATTATCTCCCTTCCTCGGGATTGGGCAGTGGCCGGTAATGTCTCTCCCACTCTCGCTCTTGTGTGTTCACTTCGATTCGACTTCGTGTACTCGATATCCTATTTTCCTCCGCCCGATGATACGATGTGAATGTGGATTTTCCGATAAAAACAAGAATCAAGCAAATATGCAGCCAACCAAATTCGGACTCCCCCAATGAGGATGTAAAATCACGGCTTGTTTATTATTTCTTCCTTTTGCCAGACTAAGCGAATGTTATGAGTACTGAAGGGCAAGCAAGCAGTACTAAAAAGCGAATGACAGGTTGAACGATGAGATATTGGGATCAATTCATCGGTGTGTGTTGGTGAGGTGGTTGGAATGGGAATAAGGAAGAAAAAAAGACACAAAAAGACAAAATACGGGAAGAGATGGGATGATGGGCTTCAGTGTGGTACAAAGTACGAGGTACGAAATACTTTCATGCCTTGCATTTGTCCGCTAAACATTTGAACCCTTGAAATGGAAGATTCGATTGGCCAGGGTCAGACCATGAACACGAGAAGTGCTGGTAGGAGCTGGCAGCCTGTGGCAGGAGTAACATGGCACTCACTGCCAAAAACGGTTTGGCGAATTCGGTAGGTGCGGTAATCGGGTTACATTCTCATCCCTATCGTGGATTGTGACTGGCTCTGCCATTTGAGATCCATAATCGTGGCGTAGGGGTAAAGGACCTCCGACTACTAAAGGTACCCGGAACTTGAATTGACCTAGAATCTTAGTGGGTACTTGCCTACAATACTACTATATTGAGATGATATTACTGGGGTATGTACTTTTTCTTCAATGTTCTTTTTTTCTTCAAATCTTCTTCTTGTTTTGGAAGGCTCAAGTTGTTCCATCATATATCATGAGGTACTGTATGTTTAATGTTTGTTACCGTCTCGTTGGATCTTAGATGGTATGTGACATGAATCATAAGCATACCTGTATTTACGAAGTACATATGTAAGACCAACATGAAGTAATCCACAAAAGTAGTTACCTGCCTACATCTTCATGTGTAACTACTACATAGGTATGTACCTACCACCCCCGTCGAACTAGTCGCAAGTTGAAGCCGCTACAACGTTAACTTGTCTAAAAATAGGATTATTCAACGTCGTCTTATTATCCAAGTTTATGTGCACCTAAATTTGTATACACGGGTACTTACCTAATAGTCGACTACAACTACAATACTTTTATATCCACTCAAACGACCTCACAACATTCTTGAAAAGGATGATGAATAACTAGTAGCTTGATTAATCTTGTGAAGGTTATCATGATAGTCATCTTTTTTCTCAACCCCACCATAGTATCATGCGTAGTACATAAGGAGCATTACACAATGCAGACGGGAAGGTTAAACGTAAACGCAATCTCTTAATGGCGAGATTGACAAGACTCTTAAATGTGCGCATAATACCTTTGAATATGTATGTCTCGGCATACCTATGGACTCAGAGTTCACACACGTACTCCATGAGCAAACTACTTGCGTTTTTGACATACACTTGAAATATCACAAGGAATCTCATGAAGATGAGACGTGGTGGTCTTGGGATAAGACAAGAAGCTTACAATAGAGGGTAAGCAGAGAACTGGTGATGGATTGTGTGGGTTGGCAGTACTTCTGTTGATATAAGTCACGCTCTAGTTAGTATTTAAGAATCAGTCGTCAACTAGAAACATGCATAATAAACATCTAGATCAGCACTTATTAGCTTGGATTGTTAACAGGAGTCTAGTGGGCTTCCTAAGGGGACCTAGGCGTCTAACAGCTAGCAGATATATCAAGAGGACTGGCAATAAATATAGAGAGCTTTATGTACTTATAAACAGACCGTACCCTCCGCGTATATGTCCACAGCTCTTCGTGTACTATTTTTTTTGTTTCTCTACCTTTTAGTTAGGACATACGGCATACCTATAGAATCAAGGAGTATAAAAATGAATGTGCTTCATGATACACTCAGTACACCGTTCTATCAACTGGAGGTTCGACAGATTGGGGATCTGATGGCAGCCTTAGAGAACACGAAACGACTATCGCACTATGTAACTAAAGATCGTGGGGTCTAGAAGGATGCAACTGAAATTTATAGATAGAACACCTACTGTGTTTGTTCATTGCTTCCTATCTCGTATTTGTGATATGAGTTTCTTAAAGTATTTTTCCTTGTAGACAGTTTGATTGTAGCCAAATTAACGAGCCCTATCATTAGAAAAGTTCAAAGTGAACCCAATAATCATCTCGATTCGTTGAAGAGAATAAAAGTCTAGGTCTTTCCTGGGAGCAAGGCTTCCAGCATTTGTTCATAGGCCTAAATGAATACAGTGAGAAGATACGTGATTTGCACACTTCATGCTACCAACTTCTCACTCTCAGATATGTTCGTATATCTATGGATTTAACAAGGAACCTGAACAATAGGGACCATTCTCTCACTTATTGATTGCCGTATAATGTAAAAGATCCCCTGTAGGAACCATCAATGGTGTTTATGATACTTGAGTAGTATCTAATATACAGCCATATATATATGATAGCACCTATCTACTTGAGCTTCACGGCACTCTCTCACTATCTAGTCAGCGTCCTATCCTTTGCCCTCATATTTACCATAGTAACCATACCCATCCCTGGTTATCGTCCGATCTATCCTATCCAGTAAGTGCCCGATACAGGCCAATCAGCAGCCATCATGTTGATTCTCTCGTGGTTGCCTTATTTATAAGGTATGAGGTTTGCTTTATTTTATTTTATTTTATTTTACGTAGTTGTCCAATGTAGGTAAGGCGTACCAAGTCACCCTCGGGCAGTCATCCTAATCACTCCGCCGCCTGTTTTCTATTTAAATAATTTTTTCCGTCGGTCTTTTGTTTTGTTTTCCTACTTCCTTCATCCCAAGAACGTCGTCATCTAAACAGGCAAGTTTCGCCGCCATCTCATTATCATCCAAATTTCCTGCTCTACCCTATTATTCACGCCTGATTAACAACTACATATACATCGAAATTATTTTTGTCATTGCTAACTTATTTTCCATTAGTATTCTCGCGTGAACGACACGCAATATTACCAAGATGGAGTCCCTCGAGTTCGACTGGGTACGAATCGACAAAGTGTATTTCTATACACTTCTGCAACTGTAAGTTACAAATCGAATTGCCTTTACTACATCCTCTCATAACGACGTATAACTAACAAGACTACTCGACAGGGCCGATATTGTAAGTACTGGCAATTGACGGCCCGATTGAACTTGTGACCTGACTCGGCCGTTTAGCACGAAGAAGAGCGAGTTGCAGGAACTTTCAAGCCTAGCAAGAACGCCCACACTGTTGTGTGCCTTCAGAAGAACGAGTATGAAGACCTTCTGAAGATCATGAAGCATCATAGTATGTAGCTAATTCTCACCCACCCAACCTGCTTTAACCCTAAGTATTCTAATTATTTTCATCAGAGAACCTGAAGGCCAATCTCTCGGCCGAGTTTGGATTCACCGAGGCGCGTCTCGAAGTAAGTAGTACTATTTCCTGATCACACTTAATCTTCCTAGTCTCCCATGAACATTCTATCCCATGGCGAAGTCATTTGATCCTCTTACTTGAGCCTACTTGCTCCATCGGGACTAACCAGTCACAGCAACTATCTTGCGATCTGCCGACTAATTTGGAGCGCACATTCGCCGAGGCCAGCACTTCTGCCACCGGACGCGATCCACAGGCTGATCAGGTTGTTGGTGATTGGCGAGCCGGCATGATGTTATCACGATCTCAGCCATTCCTCCCCGCGACCTCGGGCAATCAAGGCCCATTCCTCCCCGCGAACTCGGGCAATCAAGGCCCATCCCAGTCGTCCTGGTCCCCTCGAGTCTACAAGCCAGTTTCTGACGTTGGAAGTGACGAGCAACCCCAGCTTCTCGCCTTCCCGCTTTCGTGCAAGCGAACTGTCCTGTTGGCCCATTTGCCGCATGGCGTAGCCTATTGGGAGCTAAGCCGAGCCATTTCCGGTGGTAATCTAGTGGACCTGTCAATCAACGAAGATGACCGCACCGCCCAAGTTTCTTTCCTCTTGGAGGAAAACGCTCGAGAATTCTATGAGTTCTCAAAGCAGGTCGATGTCCTGATTAAGGGCAAACGGGTCAGGAATTCCCCCACCCTTTTCTAGCAATCGCTTGACTAACAGCTATGAATATTACAGGTCCTTGTTAAGTGGCCTGCTGATCAGAACTATCAAATCACCTCTTCCCTCCGATCGCTTATTGCCTGCGGCGCCACCCGCAGTCTCGTCATTCGAGACTGCGATGAGAACTTAACTGAATGGAGTGTCCGCGATGACCTGGACCATATTCACAACCTTGTTATTATAAAGGTTGCATTTGTAGGACGTGACTGTTACGTCCAGACGAACTCCGTCAACCACGCCTTCTATGCCAAGACATGCCTGGCAAGCCAGCTGTAAGTATTCCTTCAAACAGCCTTGGATGGAAAAAGACTAACAAGCATGTCATAGGAAGTATCGAGATTGCCAGATTGATTGGGATGATGACGAGTGTGACCGACCACTAAACCCCACCTGGAACATGGTATTGACCGGTAACCAAAATGAATCCGGACCTCAGCAGTCCTACAAGGATGACGTGAGTATGTACTAGTCTTGTGATGGCTCCAGTGATCCTTTCGCGTTTTGCTTTAGTCCTGTGTATTGAACAGGCCATGTTATGAGAGGGAGTCCAAAAGTACAATGGTTTTTATCGAAGAAAAGAAAATGGGCAACTCATGTGTGAAGCCGGAGTCATAGATTGCTAGCTATGAACTGCCCCTATGTACCTAGTCACAAATTGAGAACTCGGAGTTGCTCATTCATAAGAAAAAAGGTGATGGAATGGGGTATTTCCATTACTACTAATCGTGAAGTTTCGTAGTAGCAGATTGATGAATATTCTAGTTAACCTAAATCAACCTACAGACAGGACCAACCTCGGGCCGGTCCCTTGGACATACCTAGCCTCATACCCAATAGGAGGTCTTCCATACAAACACAGCTTCTAGAATTAGCAACCCCCACGTTTCTGTTAGCCCCACCACATGGACCCGATACCGTGGACTTGGATTATCTTGATTGATCGCGCTAACTTCGGTAGCAGGGTTAGTTGCTGCAAGTACTCAAGTATTTTAATTCTCTCTGTCTACATACTATGTACAGTGTCATACACGTGTATTGATGCATGTGTGTCTCATGTAAGTGATCTCCCTAGGGTAAACTAAACGGTTTTAAATAGTAGACTGTAGTATACTAGGTTAGGTTAGTTATAGGTATTTGGAGAGACATACATGTAGTATCACAAAGGAGCAATCGCTAGAGAACTTAATTAATATTTGCATCTTGTGCAACTGCATGTTGGAGGGGTACATACATACTGATATGATTAGGAGGTGACTCCGATGTCTACGTATCGTACCTACTGTACTATGTAGTATTGACGTTACTTTTCTTGTAGATCATTCCTTTGACCTTCTACATTCTTCATTCGTATTGGTAGCCTTTTGGTACATTACTCTGTATCTACAGTATGTATTTATACTCTGTATCTATAACCATTGGACTGGCGGTTTTTATGTATCTGCTTACGCGACTATAATTTCTACAAGATACAGACAACTATAGCCATGACACTCGCCAAAGATCATTTCCACGATGTCATTGAGTCATGCCATAAATCAAATATGATGTTGCAAGGCATATGAATTCCAGATTTATCCCAAGATTGTTTGGGGCCTCAGCGATAGGCATATTGTATAAGTACCTGACCCTTTTAAGGTAGTCATCTATGTATTGATTGGGCATGCACGCTACCTACCTAGTAGTAACTAGATTCAAAATCAAGATGTATCGCATCTTCAGAAGTACTTACTAGTACATGTATCATCTACAAAACCCGCATTAGCAGAATCTGGCTTGCTTGGCAATCATGGGTGCAATCAGCACGAGCCACGTTCCCTACAGTGCAGGTGCTAGGCCGATACATACAAGCTTATCAGCCACAATCTCACTCCTCAAGCTTCTTAATCCCCACCTCGGTAGATCTTCCACTTTTCCACTTTCAACTCAGAATTACAGTTGACAACTAGTACCACTACTGAATCTCTTCCTAAAACAAAAACAGAGAAAAAACAAAAACAACAACAGCAATTACAAACAGTAGGAATACTTTATTGCACTCTAGCACTTTTTACTTTCAACCTTTCTTTATTCTACTTGTGCGTAGTGGTAATTTTCCACATCGTTACAAACTCCACTTGCTTTCTCCCCCCCATCTCTATCAGCTTATTAGAAGCTCTCAACCTCTCAACCTCTCTCTCTCTCTCTCTCTCTCTCATTACCCCCACCCCACCTCACATCCTAACTCGACACCTCACCCCATTAATTGGATGCTGCCCAGTCCGACTACGCAGTTGTCTTTTGTCTTTTTCCAGCCAGCCTCACTTCTATGATTATGCGAAAAGGTCAACAGTGTCACTGTAATGCAATTCAAAATGACGTTGGAAGATTGTATGCTTTATCTCTCCTTCTCCTACATTCAATCGCTTGTTCAATTAGGCGCGAGGGTTAAGCGCGTCGGGTCGCTATGAGCTAACAGTTTTGTAGGGTTGGACGACCTTTGCGTCCGCTTCATCATTAATCTCCCGAGAGAGGATCTATCCTCTGTAGCCCGAATATGCTTTCAAATCGAGGAGGCACAATGGTTTTACGAGGATTTCATCCGCCCTTTAGACCCTACCCTACCCTCCATGTCCTTACGAAGCTTCAGCCTTAAGATGTTCCAGCACTGCCCGCTGCTCGCATCATTCTCTGCCGACATCCATATCAAGGCCTTTGAAGAATTTATGCAATACAAGACTAGAGTACCCGTCCGTGGAGCTGTCATGCTCAATGAACATATGGATGCCGCTGTTCTGGTCCGAGGGTACAAGAAAGGCGCGAGCTGGAGTTTCCCTCGGGGGAAAATCAACAAAGACGAGGACGACCTCGACTGTGCTGTTCGCGAGGTCTACGAGGAGACTGGGTTTGATCTTCGAGAATCGGGCCTCGTCAGCAGAAACGAACCAGTACATCCTCTTGAGGTTACTATGCATGATCAACAAGTGAGGTTGTATGTGTTCCGTGGTGTACCCGAAAACACCGTGTTTGAGACGAGGACGAGAAAAGAGATTGGCGATATTAAGTGGTATAAGGTCGAGGATCTCCCGGCCTACCGTAAGAAAAAGGGTGGAAGAAATTACGCCACCGATGGTCCTTCGAAAGACAAATTTTACATGGTGGCGCCTTTCATGGTCCAGTTACGGCAGTGGGTAATCAAGCAGAAGAAACTTGACGCCCCCAAGATCGGCTCCGATATGAATTACCACCACCATCAGGGATTCTACGATGATAATTTGACGGACGACAATGTGGTCCACGAGCCAACCCATGTATCGCCTAGCCGAGGCACAAACCCCAAGTTCATTGATAGCGCCACGGAGGAGTTACAACGTCTTCTTAAAGTTCAACCTCCGACACAAGGCTTACAAATCCCGACCCCTACCTCTACCTCTAACCAACTTGCGGGACACACACTCTTGGCTCTTTTGCAGCCCAAGTCAGAGAACGAACAGCCGGCGTATAGACATGTCCAAGCACCTCCCTACAACACCTTTACCCATGCGCCGCACGAGCACCAACAACCTCAACCTCATCATCACCATCAATACCCTAGTCATCCAGAGCAAAGAATGCCTGCTCCCGAGTACAGGATGACGCAGCAGCTTCCAACGGAAGCAAATGTAAACATGGGCTACTCACAACCAGCCCGAGCTCGACCGTACGTAAATGTCTCCACTGAGCTCCCTCATCCCCCAACCTACTCGGAACACCCCCCTCAATTCCGGAACCAACCCGTAAACCTCGTACACCCGCAGCCCTTACCACCCCAAGTACAGAAGGCAATGCTTCTACGTGGCATGGCCTCATCTCCACAAATCGCAGATTCTACTGCCAATCGATCAGGCCCGTCCAACTTTCCATCTGGGTTATCACAAGAAATCCAGTATACCACACAAGCACCCCAAGTACATCACCATATTGCGCAGGGTGCTCACAACGAGAACAGAATGCCTCCTCAGTTGCCTGTGCAGTCAGCCAACTTATTGAACGTCCTCAAGGGAAGTGCCTCACAAGCGAATGCTGGTCAGCGCCCTGGCTCAGACTCACCGCACCAGTCTACCAACGTACATGCTGGCCAAAGCCACCCGCACCCGTTCCCTGCCTCCGGCAATGGAGGCAATGGATTCGCTGGTCAGTATGGTGCCCCGGCCATGCAACCCAGCTTTAGCAATTCGGGACTGCTCAAGAGTCATGCGTCCACCCCAGATTCTAGCGCGCCACTTGCGCGCCCGACCGACAAACATCGCGCAGGTTTGCTTGACATGTTCAAGAAGACGGGGTCCCCATTATCGCAGGGCCAGCTTGATGGAGAGAGCGAGAAGAAGAGGCAGTGGAACAATTCGTCCCCCTCTACTGCAAACACTTTACGGACAGCGGCCCACGAAACCGGGCGCCCGATGGTCATGAACCCTGAAACGAACCTACCATTTGGTGCCCTCAGCATATTATCTCGGTCTCGGCCCAGTGCCTCGCCAACTGGAAGCGCAGCTGTCTCAGCTAAGCATGCGGGTGACGCCAGTCGATATTCAGCCGTGGGATCCCAGCCAAGTCCGAGCCTATCGCATGACAAAACCTCGCCTTCATTCACGAAGGCACAATCGCGTCCTCGTCAGTTGCCACCACCGAAGACACAGCAGATGGGACAGTCATCGCCCAGATCTTACGCCGGCTCGATGCAATCGTATCCGTATGGTGCTAGCCAAGAGGCGGCGTCAAACACGTACTTATTTTCGAATCCACCTTCAGCGTCATCGTTGCCAGTCCCAGGAGGTTTACAGTTCCGGAAGAACTCAACGACAGAGCACAAGAATACTCTCCTATCCCTCTTTGGAAAGCCGAGTTCGAACGCTGAATCAAGTAAGGGGAAGGAGGTGGCGGTAGCGGATCAGTTGGAGCCTGGGGATACTCAACGATCTCGATTAAGTTCCTTCACTTCTGCTGGGGGCGAGGCTACGATGGGAGTGCGAGGAAACAAGTCGAGACGTGGGAGCCAGGCGCCGCCGCTGTCGCCTGCGGATAGGGACTTTTTGATGAATTTCCTAGAGTCGGCATCTGGCAATGTTAGGCGTTGATCGTATTTTGGCGCCTTTCACGATATAGAAGGGCTGGCAGGAAAGAGAGAAGGGGGAGGGTAGATTTAACGGTGCTAGGCATAATGGGTAAAAGTAAAAAGTGCGGTCATTGGAGCTATTGATAGTCGTTCGTATACCCTCATAGTTTTAGGGCGGGCGTCGGTCTATTTCGCATAATATGCGTTTGACATTTCTGCATTACCCGAGCTGGCCGATCGTTCTTCGTGACTGTAAGTGCATACGTGTATGTACGCCTGTCTACATAAACTTTCCACTGCGATACTTAATTTTTACAAAACAATACAAGCCGGTTTGTGTGTAGGTAGCCTATATGTACGTAGGATTCAATACCTAGTAGTTACCTAGTAGGTAGTGTACCTATTTACTACCTACTATTCCTATTGCACATAACTAGGTGTTGGATCTGTTGATGTTCATCTCTCGTCTATCTTTCTGACATCTCATCTCGAGCTAAAATATCACCTGCATATAACTAACATTAGGTATTAGGGGGGAGGATATGTCTTGCAAATCACTGCAGAAGGAGTAAGTACAGTTGATGATATGCACGTGTAAGTAGCAGGTACCTAGTACACAGCTCCCTAGTACATACTTACCTAGTAGTTACTACCTGGTTAGTAGGTTAGAGCCTAGAGGTGTCAGGGGTGCTAAATATAGGCGTGGAGGTAATAATAAGGTTTACGGTCTCTGGTGCCCCACCAACGGTAAGAAAAGGGCGTCAGTTACCTCATACATATGTTACATATGTACTAAGGCAGGTGCCATACATTACATACCTCCAGCTAAGTAGTATACATACACCTACGTATTATAGCAACAACGCGTTTCGTCCGTATTTCGTATCATTTAACCTTTTAAACGCCTGACAACATACATCGACCTTAGCTGCAACCACGGCTTGTTTACGAAAATCAATTACGAAGTCACGCACCTACGAATACACAACTCATAAAAGCCTAATCAAGAGCCTCTCTCTCTCCCTTTAATACAGAATACTCGCAACAACAAAACCTACCTACCATTACGGTAAAAAAATACATAATCAATCCGACACCAAAAAAAATCGAAACAGAAAAGATGGCGCGACTAGCTCAAGCGCCCGCGACCCCCGGCCGGATCATATCCAACTCGGGATCCCTGACGGACCTCAACCGGCTGCTCGCCCGTCTGCAGGACAACATCCTCCACGCCAACGCCGAGCGCGAGCTGCAGCTGCGGACGAACGAGTATGAGCGCAGCAAGGCTAAAGCCGTATGTACTCTACCTACCGGCCTACCTATCCTCTTTCTCGACTCGTGCAAAAAGAATCAGGAAAAGGAAATGAATACTTACTAACCTCCTTCGCGTACTACTTATTAGAACATCGACTACGCCCGAACCCTCCTCACCGGTCTAGAGCAAGACGCGCTGGCCATCAAGGTGCACTCGCGTCGGCAGGAGGCGCAGGCGGACCTGAACCAGAAGCGGGAGGTGCTCGAGCAGGTGACCGAGCGGTACCTGGAGATCGAGGAGATAAGCCTGGACAGCGACGATAGCTCCGAGGGCGAGGACCTGCTGGGCGAGATCATCCACACCCCTAGCGAGAGTGCGGCTTCGACGTCCGGCGGGGCGGCTCAGCAGGGAGAAGAAGAAGAAGGAAATAGTGATGATGGCGGCCCAAGAGAGGAGGAGTACGGATCAGAAACAGACGCACACGGCTGGAACGATCCCCCCGAGCCGCGAATACCAGCCCAACCCCACCCCACAACGACCGCGACATCGTCTTCCCAAATACCCAGCATAACAACAACCGCAACACAGCCTCAGGAAACCGGCACATCAACAACCCAAGCCCTCCGCCCCCGCACCCTAGCAAAAGGCGACTCCCAACCAACCACAACCTCCAACCCCGAAAAAGGCGAAACTACCGCCCTCCGCACCCAGCTCTTCTCCTCCCACCCCTCCAACCCCACCACCGCAACAACCGAAGCCCTAATCGACCACCAGCGCGCCCAACAAGACGCCCTAACCGAATCCATGATAACCATGGCGCGCTCCCTCAAGGAGTCAACCCACCGCTTCGCCTCCGCCCTCCGCGAAGACGCCGACGTCCTCGTCGACGCGGGGCGCGGCCTCGAGAAGGGGGAGAACGGCCTCGGCGCCGTCGCTACCCGTCTCGCAAACCTGACGCGCGTTGGCGAGGGCAAGGGGTGGTGGGGGAGGGTGCTGCTGTATGTGTGGATAGCCGGGCTGGCGCTTTTCGCCCTGGTGCTGGTTTTTGTGTTGCCGAAGTTGAGGTTTTGATTTTGATTTTGATTTTTTTAGTGGATAAATCGGAGAAGAAGAAGAAGAAGAAAAGGAGGAAAGGAAGATGGAAAGAGGGGTGATAGTGTAATTCTGGCATAGCGATGAAATGGGATGGGTGGGGGAAAAAAGGGGGAGAAGGAGGTGGAAAAGAAGTTAGGTAATCGCAGGATGTATGTACGTATGTATGGATGGATGGATAGGTGTAAGGCTAGGCTAGGGTAACGAGATGATGATACCCACGAGTAAATACCTACTTACGAACAGACAGCTAGGGAAGGGGTTGAAGCAGAGAATGAGGTTCACGATCACATCCAGCCCCTCCCTCCCTCCCCACCTAGCTAGATCTATCAACAGAGGTTTCTACCGAAGAGGAATCCATGATATCGCGATAAGTTATGTGTTAGCAATCGTCAGTTATTGTTTTATCTATTTGTTATTTGCTATCACAGGGACGAGGTCAAACTATTCTACATACGTAAAGGGGCCATCTTGGCCCATCACCTCTCCCCTTCAGTACTGAAAGATGTTGAAAACAGCATCTGTGAGCAAAAATAAGAATCCACACATATAGTGAATGATACACTGTCCAAGGCCGGACGCTCAATCCATATTATGCCTCCCAGGCCCCTTCCTCTGTGCCTTTCCACGTGGACGTGCTTCCAGTCGGCTTAGGTACCTACTTTTTTTCCTTCCGGTACCTATTCGAATTATATTCGAACTGTCGGCTCATCATTGTTACTTACCATGCCTCTGAGTCTGGCCTGTACCTAGTAGCATTCCCAAGACATGATAATTGCATAACTACGTCTATCCTATCTATCGAGGACAAACCGCGGCCGGAAAAAAGGCTTTGTTGCCAATCCTGGTGGTTGTGGGGCTTTGGCTTAGGTATGTAGGTGTAAACGTCGCACCCACCCTCCCTATTGACACCCCGTTGAAGATGCCGGTTGCTTTCAGTATCCGGCGAAGGAGGAGGAGGAGGAGGAGAATAAGAAGAGAGAGAAATGCATTTTTTTTGAAAAAAATGTTGTGGACGTGTAGGTAGGTAGAATAAGATTTCTTTTGTGTGTGTGCGGTGGTGCTGTAGATGAAAAACTTTGACTTTTCTTCTTCTGGTGGACTCATAACCTTCATCTCCAGGGGACAAAGGGGAAGAAGGCGTGATCCCTTGAGTAAAGCTAATGCTTGAACTGAGAAAACTATATACGTAATTAATAGCACAGGTGCCAATATTATATATAACACTCCTGGAGTCATCTCCATGAAAGGAGCAGCTACGGCGTCTCCTAGCCTACCATTATCCTGGGTCAGACTATTTTATTCACTATGACACTTATAAACAGAGCTCGGGGGTATCTGACAACTAATACATAGTATTTACATTTCAAGAGCGAAGGAGCCCTAAAGCAAGGACACCATATGCCCTAGGCATTCCTACCTCCCTCGTTGACCCCCAACGACAGTAGATGGGTACAAACTCAAGGGGAATATCTCATGGGTATCATTACAAATCAGCCCCTAGCAATCTAGCCTTTACAAATGTCCTGCTTTTTACAGTTCAAATTGAACGGATAACACACACAGAGACAGACCCTTTTCCTCTAGAAAAAAGTGCTCTTCTTCTTCTGCATCTTCCCGGCATCTGCACTCCCCCCTCTCCTACGCCCCGAGTGAGGTAGAGGCTGGCTCGACGACGGAGCAACTGCATGTGGGGCCATGCCGTGGAACCAGCTACTTAAGCCTCCCCCGTGCGGTCGCGGCTCAGCGCTCAAGGGCCGCGGCGGTGGAATTGGGGGGTGTAACTGTGGGCCCTGTGCAAAACTTGGTCCTGCACTTGGTCGAGGAGGCAAGTTTGGTTTGGGGCCAAAATCTTGTCCTTGTATGCCGAATTCTTTCAGCAACCTCGCTGTCTCCTTGTCTACTTCAGCATCGCGGCGTCTTCGCTCCTTTTCCTCCTCATCTAACATCCTCTTGATGCGCTTCTGCTCCTCACGTTCCTGTTTCTCACGCTCCCGTTCCTCTTGCTGGACTAGTGCTTGAAGGCGCCTAGTTTCATTTTCGATTCTGGCATCCTGAGGCGGGGTTGGCTGTTGCGTGATAGGCGAGGTAGTGGTAGGTACATTTCCCAAAGCACTGGTCATGACAGGCGCCGGTGGTGTTGAGGTTGGACTTGGACTTGGTCGTGAATTCTTGCGCCTAGTTGGCGCGCCAGCAATATTAAAAGAGTCGCGGCTAGGGAAGAGGTATATCTCACGAATGACCTCGGCACCAAGCAGTAGTACAACTTCGAGACCTTTGCGATCCTCTATGTCTACCCTCTGTAAGTTGGGTTCGTATATAGTGACGCTGGATTCCCTCCCGTGCTTAAATAGTGCTATGGTGATGTCTGGATCCTTGTTCTTTCTGCCACCGATCGAAGTTCCCGTCATATAGCATGTCATGTCTTTAGAGAATTTGCTGTCTCGCTTCCACTTAAACATGATCTTGGGGGTGATGTTGCTTGCAACTGGTGTGGTTTGTTGGCGATCGACCTTGGCGGTTGAAGGCATGCGAAAACTCTGTTGTGGCATCTCAAACTCCCATGACTCCTTTCCGGTCCATGTACTCTTCTCTCCCTTCACCACAACCTGCTGTTCCGGGTTATAAAGCTGTATGGTGAATCCATCGGGTATGTTAGGTACAGGAGGGGGTGGAGCGCCATTTAGCTGTCGACTCTCGGCAGCGGAAAGGGGAAGTTGTTGAAGTTCGGGCTCAATCACGACTTCAGCAAAGATGACATCCTGAACGCACGCATCTTCTAAAGCCACGGCATATTTATTCTTCGACTGGGGTAAGTCCGGATTGATTCTCTGAAGGGAATATTCGGGCGTGGGCTCAGAGCCGTTCTGTGAGAAGTAAAGGACATCAAGGAGCGGGTTATTAGACGAATGTCTAAAGAAGAAGGTTGGCAAGTTCTCGTCGAGCATATTGAAGATTATCGCAATAATTGCGCGCGAATGGTGATTAGCGTGTACCTATATACTTTTTTATGATTGGGGCGCTCTCTACTTGACAGTATGTAGTGGCCAACAAGAATTTGCAGATGGGATAGTACATGTATGAACAATATGAACAATATAAGATATATGGTGTATTCGGAAGTTTGAAAATGAAGGAAGTCGAATTGGAAATAAATGTCCCGAAAAGAGTCGCAGCTGACCTGATGTTATGTGGGTGGTACGAAGTAAAGAAGACGGAAGGTACTGTACAGGTGACGAGGCAGCTGCGAGGCCAAAAAGCTAGGCGCGAATCGGCACCGTGGATACGATAAGCATGGAAAGATGGAAAGAGAGAGACAGAGAGAGGCTGAGTTCTACATAGTTACAAAAATAGCGGAAGCATGCCAAGGTAAGCTCCCCAAATGACGAAGATGTTCAATTCAAATCTTGGGCTCTCTGGTGGCTCTCTGGTGTTTCATAACAAACAGTTATCTACCTAGGTAAGTACTTAACTAGTAGATCAGGGAGAAACTAATATTAAATATTTGAACATGAAGCCATGTACCTAAAATGTATCCGAACCAAAAAGCATTGAATCTATATTGGAACTTGGAAGTCATGAGAATTGTATTCAATACAAGTTGAAAAGGGACACCGAAAGTTGGGGAAACGTTAAATGTACGCGTGACATATACATAGTAGGCATGTAGTTGCCGAGAGTTGTTAACGCGAAGCAATTCGTTTATAAGTCGTTTGCAGCATTGAAGCCCCTCCTTCTCCATGTTTCATTGTCGTCATGTGCTGCTTTGCTAACCTAGCAAATTGCTAACCCTGCCTTCTTTATGTTTGCGCCTGGTAAACCGTGAACTGGGCTTACAGGGACCCTCCCGGTACTAGTGGGCTAGTAGTACTGTAGTAGCCGTTTGGTGCCACAGACTTGGAAGGGCTGAGGAAAAGGGCTGTGTTTAGGTTCAAGGTTCCAGTTCCAACTTCTTCAGCTGCGCTTTCCGCTCACATTCATAAACCTCGCTCGGCCAACTCAGCTTCAGCATAATCAACGCGCGGCCCATCTCATTCCTTATAGACCCATTTATATCATTTGCATTATGTACATATATACATGGAACTCTCAGTGCTATGTATCATTGTATCATAAGACTTGATTGTTACACGAATACGTACTGTTCGGTGAGTTCCAACATGAAGCTCGGTGAATTATGAAGTCATGCTATGAGTTTGCCATGTAAGATGAATATTCAAACACTATAAACTATGAAGATACTCTTTCGAATCAGATGGGTACCACATAACTATAGGTAATATCCACAAACATATATGTATGGAGAACATCTACTCCTAAAAGAGGGTTCGACATTCATATTGAGGTTTGAACGTGAACAAATCTCTCTTTACATGTGCGACGGCCGTTATCATCCGCTCCTCTCTATATCGTCTCTCCCACTAACTCCGTTTTCTTCCCCGGCTTTCCTCTAGATCCTCCCAACATTGGAAAATGCATGGTATAAATGCTGAAAAGAGTTGACCTCAACGCCACCCAGAGAACGGTCCTCATTCATACAAGATTGTTAGACGAGCGGTTGAAACATTGTGCGGCGGATGGTCCTTGTGTACTAGGTAGTTTGTTGTTGTTGTTGTTGTTATTGTAAAGTGTTGTTGGCTAGTGAATGGCTGCGAAGCCAATTGGCTCCGTGAGAGCTGGTAGTCCTCGAGTTCTGGATAGACATCTCTCCCCCACACTTTCTAGACCAGAATTAATAAAATAGAAAAAAGGAAAGAAACAAAGCTGTAGCATCAGTGCAGAAATCAAAATTGTATGGCAATCAATTGAAATCTTGTTTAGTATCGAATAGCACGATTCATCACCGGTAGGTGGTTTGCTGCGTCGCGCTTATTTCGCCTGGGATGGCCGGCATCACTGGTACTTCTCCACGTTCCCGCGCCCTGGAACTTGCTCTCTTCGCCCGACCTGCCTGCTGGTTGACCCAGCTGGTGATAGACCGAAATCTGGCTGGACGGTCCTCGCTTGTCTCTGTGTAGATCGTCTCCCTTTTTGCACCTTCCCGGCTCATCCAAGAGTCTCGAGATCCCTGGGCAACACCTGGCGGGGCTTCTGAAGTTTTCTCAGACGTAGGCTGGCTGGTCTCAAAACTTGGTGCTACAAAGAGGTCACCATCGCCAAATCCTGACGAGATTGACGATATTTCACTGGCTCGGGTCGCTGTTCGTTTCGGCGGTCGAAACATATCCGGTGGTGGACGGGATAGTTCGGATTCATCGTAGTAGGGCTGGGCTGCATATGACCCTGAAGTCGGATAGACATTGCCATTTGCTCTTGTGCCTTCATTTTCTGCTTGGGGCATATCTGCAAGCACATTGGTTACTGGATTGCCTCTCAGCGGTTGTCGAACGGTCCCTCTCTCGGAGCCTGAGGCTACCGAACCGATGGCACCGTTAGCGCCCGTTGAGTTCATCTTAGCAGGACCGTAGAAGCCCATGCCAGATGGCACGGCACCGTATTCGCCTTTCTCATATTGGGGAGGCGTCTCCTTTGCCATGAACAACGTAGGGCCATTCCAAGTGCCTTCTGTTGGCTCTCTGTTTCTCATATACAGTTTGTCGATAAACCCTATGCCGGTGCCGCCACCAGAACCCGGAGTTTTATTTCTCTTTAGTACCCGCCAGACGATCCATGCTATAAAGCAGAGTAAGATGAAGGCGCCTTGATAACGTTGTTTCATTAGTATTCGTCGATCTTTTGTTGGAGAAGAAGAAACAAATCAGTCCAACTTTACTCACCTATTGCGCCAGCTCCAATGAAGACGTGCTCTGCTGTACGGTTTACGTGTTCCTTATGAACCTCTTTTTCGCCGTCATTGTCGCCCACGCTAAAACCCTTGGAAGGCTTCGGGGTTGCCGTTGAGGTCGTTGGAGTTGTTGTTGGAGTTGTTATTGGGATAGGTGTTATTATAGGTGTTGGTGTAGAGGTTGTTGTGAGAGTTTGCTGGATATCCGTGGCAATCGACGATGGTGTGGGATTTCCGTCGCCTTCCTGTTTAGCCCCGGTTGAAGGTAGAACAACTCGGCTCGGGTCGAGTATGGTCGGCTATGAGGTCACGAGTTAGTATTCATCGTTTTATTTGAAGTTAAACCGAGGCGTACCAAAGCAAGTGGCGTTGTGCGGATAGTTGGCGAGGGCGACGAAGGCCGCGGCAGAGGCACGGTCACGACATCTGGCTCAGTAGCGGTTACTTCACTTGGAGGTCGCGCAGTCATGGTAACCATAGATCCCGAAGTGGGCACTGAAGTTGGTGGAGGTGGAGGCGGGGGCGGAGGCGGCGGAGGCGGCGGATCGTCATCGTCGCTGTCAACGTCATCAATGTCGCTGTCTAGGCCGCTATCAATGCCGCTATCGCTATCAAAGCCATCGCCAACACTGTCGTCTTCGTCGCCAAGCGCTCTAAGTGTATTGCCGGGTTTCGCAACACCTATTTGTTCGCCATCGTTGCCTGGGCCCGCGCTTAACTCACGTATATCACGGTTGATGTCGCGTTGGCGGGAGCCATCAGCGCTTTCCCCTCGTTGCCGAATAGCATGACGAGCCTGCAGTTTTCTGCTCTTAACGGTGCCACCTTTGATATCCCTTGGCCTCAACAAGCCGCGTAGTTGGATAGTCGACCGCAGATCCATCTTGGATGATCCCTCCCATTGTTGGGTGTCTCCAGTTCGTCGTTTGTTATCAAATGACACCATGTTAAATACTCCTAAAGACTGTTCGTCGTGCGCCGAAATGCTCTACATCCAAGCACCTATTTCAACTCCTTGTCATGGCCGATGGGCAAACAACACAAAGCGAAAGGGATAAGTATTTGTGCAATCGTTCCCAAAGTGTGTGAGGCTGAGTTTCGAGAGAGCAAGAACGAGAACGACAGGACGGAATAAATTCAATACCATAAAATAAAACAAAACCCCTAAAAATGGGGTTAACAAATTGAATACAAGAAGGCCCGCCTTGAAGAAGAGAAAAAGAGAGGGGAAAAAAGAGAAAAGAATATAACAGCCAGTGTTGTCGGCGATCTCAAATATTGATATAGAGAAAGAAGGAAATGCGATTCGAAAAGAGTGTATCAGATTCGGGAGGAAGGTCTCGCACTTGAGCACTTGAGATTCGGGTTCGGGATATGCCAATTCAGTTTAGTGCAACGTCTCAAGGATGCACAGAGGGGCCCCCTTCGACAACCCCTGAACAATACCCCTGACTGGCTTATACCCCTGTTCAGCAGAGTCATGTCGAATAATTCCATCATAGCACCTGCCCGGGCTCATACCTGCATACCCTAGGTAGTCAAGTCCTTACTGCTGTCGACTGGGCAGTGGGCAGTGGGCAGTGGGCAGGCACTGCTGGATTAAGGTAGTATTGCCCTTCGTCTTGCATTGATGCTCTGTAGGCCCAGCCTATCATGGATCGAATATTGTATACATACGTAAATCTATACTCTATTCCATAAATGCCTCTGTATGTCATCTCAATAGTGTAGTCGCCTAGTAAGGATGATAACTAGATGTCACTTAACTATCATTGGATGTTAAAGACATAGGTGTTAGTGATGTTTACACGACAGGTGTCAACCGGGTCATGTTCTGGCCTTGATAGACTTAATAGGGACATCCCAAGGAAACACAGAGACAACGGCATTTTCAAATGGTTTCGTCGACGTTGTTAAGGGTGAGACGTATCGATGGTTGCCAGTTGGCGCTAGGAGAGTAACGACCTACTATGTAATAGGTATGGTACTGTAGAGTCGGGTACGACGTAGACGCGGTCTGCATAGACTTGAGGTTGAAATTGTGACAAATTGACCGGGGTATCCAGTCTCAAACAGGGATTTGTTGCGGGGGACACCAGAGTTTCAACCAGGGTCACCGACCAGCGGCGCCTTACTTGACCCAGATCGACGTCTTACATTCCTCTTCATGAACCGTCCGCTTTTGATGATTTGCTATTATTTTTCGACTCTGATATAGAGTAAAAATCCCATGATAGTTGCAAAATCATGAGCAATATTTTTCTACCAAGTACTAGTTACTAGGTACTTAGGAAAGGTTATGGCACCGTTATGCATTGTGCAATGGCATGCATGCGTACCAGGTATTATACTAACCTAGGTGCATTTAGTCAACCGGCTGTGCTTAGAGGACTTAAAGGGTTACTTATCCACCTCTCTACCTAGCGTAGGTGGTAATGGTATGCAGAGGCTCGGCGCCAACACAAGCCAAGAGATTGGAAGCCCTTCCAATATGAAAACGATCTGCTTCTATTCTGTTAAGCTTTTGGGACTGAGTATCCGGGTTTGTAGACCTTGTTAATAATAACGGCACCTGAGCTCTTCTGTTATTATGTAGGAGAAGAAGAAATAATTGATATTTGAATCTGAACAGACATTGAATTATGTGGGTAAGGACCGTTAGGTTGTACCTACTACCTAGTAACCTTAGTTGAATACTATGTACGAGTCTACGACATAGTATCAGGTAAAAGGCACTATGTATGTACAATGCCCCAAAGTTACTAGGTAATACCATGTACTCGCACCATGTTAGCCTTTGCTATGTAGATATGTACACAACTTGGGCAAACGTTTGAAGTTTCAATGTTAGAAAGAGTCAAGACTCAAAAGACTGTCCGAATTGCATCCCGATATTCTCCCGGATAAGAGATGACCAGGGTTTCCGACTCTGTCCAAAGAAGAAGGTCTTTCCGAATAATGGCAAGCGTGATGAAGATGAATTGAGGAATTCACTTTTTTAACATTTGGTATATAATAGTACTATTCATACTCCTAATAGTAATACTATTCATACTCCTAATATTGAGTACACTTGCATATAGTACCTTACACTCTTCATTGGTTACATTACGTACGACATTATCAACATAAATCCTGAAGGAAAAGTAACCCTGCCTCAATTAAAGCCGAGTATACCACCTCACGTTACCTTTTCATATAAGTCGGCAGATTCCCGCCAAATCGGATACATCTATCTGAATGGCTATCCGGGTCTCTCTCCTCACTGAAGCAGATATCCCAGGTGCGGTATCCGCCATTCAGTAAGTACATGTACCCGTATTATCTCCAGGGCTGCTTAAGGCTTATGTAAGGCTTAAGGGGAGAAGGGGGCGTGCGGCTGATCAGACGCCCTTCGGCTCTTCTACCAGTCATCATCATTCATGCTAAGTTGCTAACCAAACCCCCGTAACCAAAAGGCAAGCTTTCGCAGATGATCCTTACAACAATTGGATATTTGACAAATCTAAGGTATGTAATTATAGCATTCTCTCTTTTAACCAATTCTTTTCAATCCTATTCAATCCTATTCAATCGCTTTTTTTTTTCCCTTTACAACTGTGCATGAATACTGCTACCTGTATAGCCACCTTAGCCACCTAAGGTGCAGGTATTCGGTAGGTAGGTTATTACGTATAAGCCCGCCTTGGTTACCAATATGCCGTCAATATGCCGTTTCTTCAAGCGCGCGGGGTTGGCCGCGCAAGCTGGTGATTACGCATACTATGCCGTACACACTTCAAAATCAGTCTGTTAAGAACGATTTGTTTCGCCTCATGAGGAGTGAAGGCTGAGTCCTGCGCATGATTGGTTGGACTGAGTAAACATCAATGCTTCCAATGCTTCCAAGAATGCCTTCAATGCTGTATATACCTAGTACTTAGGTTACTACAATAAGTTAACGTTGCTCGCCAGTTCAATCTCCAACGAAACGCGGCTTCTCTTGGCATGCGATGTCGATGGGGCATACGCAATGGTATTTTCCACGTTGCCAAAGAAGAGGGCAGCGACGAAGTCCTTGGTGTGGCTTGCTGGCTAAAGCCACGAAGGGCGGACCAGAAGCCTACTTGGCACGACTGGATCGAGGGATGGCGACTGTGGCTTAGCCAGATCGGAATGATCCTCTACTATGGCCGAGGGGGCCTGAATGTCGACGTGAGTGAGATCTCTTACCTTTCCCAACAATCTTTCCGCTCAAAATAAGCCTTGATCTTCCCTGTCATGAATTAGTTGCATCTTGCCGACCATCCGTTATGGAAGGGAGACCAATCGCAACGAGAAGTATGGCTTTGAAAAGGACCCCCGGCATTCATATGCGCATGGGTTGTTTCAACGCCTGTGTCAATTGAGCGATCAGACCTACAAGTCTAGCTACCAAATTTCCCACCTCCATCCAACTCAATGAACTCATTCCTGCTCCGAGCTATCACTGACCTAAAGTCGAGCATCTAGCGTTATTACATATGGAAGGAAACTCAAGCCAAGGCCCAGTCATCTGTATGGACCGACCCGCGAGGGTACTACTTCCTCAATATCATGGTGGTATCGCCCAAAGCCCAGGGCAAAGGAATAGGCCGGCTTATGATGGAAGCCGTGACTAACCAGGCCGATGCCGAAGGCATGAATTGCTATCTTGAATCCAGTCGTGACGTGCCTAATATGCAAATATATGGTCGCTTTGGCTTCAAATTCGCGAAGGAGCTAGAGTGCGATGACAATGGCACAGCTATCAAGCTCTATGCTATGGTCCGAGAGCCTAATGCTGAGCCTCAAAAAGACTAACCATAACCGCAATAGCGTCTTGCCGCCTGTGAGTTCTTTACATTTACATAGGAGCAACGGCGGAAACAACGGTGGGAATATGAGCTCAGGGTTCAATACTCGACGAAGCCAAGGATGTGGATCTCTCGATATTCTGGCCATGGGACCGATGTTTTACGAAGTCACAGCACGCAGATACGACGTCCAAAAATTGATCATCAAATCCAAACTCGACTCAATGAAGGCACGAATATATCTTGGCTATTTTTTCTATTTTACGAAAGGCGCTTATTTCAGGGTCTTCTAATACAGGATCTAATGTGGGAAACATCTTATTACGTTTACCGCGCTGCTGATCTATACCGATAGTTATAGCCAAGGCTAACTCCAGAAGAGCACGTCCAAGCAAAATGTTTGATGATCAACTAGCAACCACCTGGAAATCTTTTTCACAAATTGATAAAAGAGTTTGGGCAAAAATGCCACATCAATACCGGATACGGATTTCTAACACAACTCTGACAACACATATTTACATATTTTACCTGGATAACGAAATTACATTATGATAATAGAACCAAGATCTTTACCATTATCACAACTTACAATCTCGCCGCTATGAAGTGGACATGGCGGGATCTATGCATGCATGTGCTTGAACAAATTCCGTGCTAGAGACTCGCTCGTAGGACTTCGTGCACGCACCGCTATACTTCAACGTTATCTTAGTATCTATGTACTACTTACCTACTCATGAAGATCCGTGGATCAGTATACGATATACTCAATAAGCTCTAATGCACCCAATAGCAAAGTCTCTCCTCCTGTAACTAAATGCTATCGCCAGCCGGCGTACATCTCAGCAACCACTAGGTTAGACTGCTATTTAGTATAGCTCCACCACCTAACTACCCACCTAGATAAGTATGTCACATCAGACCCAGAGCGCGAGGATCGCTCGAAACATTCACGGAGTACGATAACTAGTTAGTTTGCAGTGGTGTTGATGCAATCAGTCAAGCATAGGTGGTGTATGGATCTTGTCACGAGGCGGAACCCAGGAGACGCAGAACAGTACCTACATAGGTAGTTATCGTTGTTTGCGCGAGGATCTCTGACAGTGACAGCTCCTTGGAGACTAGGTATTTACCTACAATGGAAGCTACTTACCTATATATAAGTTGGTAGTTATGTACCTATAACTAGTTACATGTAAGCTGTCTTTGCTCTATATAGTATAGTATCTAGCCCCTCCCCCCATATGGCCCCTATGTAGGTAGACAGACCCTTGGTAAAACACCCTTTTTTTTTTTTTTTTTTTTTTTTTTAATTCTTTTTGGCTACATATTTATGTAGGTACCTACCTATCTACGGAACCTCTTACTCACATAGTTATATGTAAGAGGCATTTAATAGTTAATAGTCGGTTGATATACATCCAACACCATGGTAGGTAGTTAAGGGGCAAAGAAAAGAAAAAGAAAAAAACCTACCCTCGCAACCTCCCTAACCTAACCTTAGGGGTATGCGGCGTGTAGAGCTCTTCTGGTACCTACCTACCTACCTACCTACCTACTATATATACATAGATTCCTGCCTAGGTAATATCATAAGAGGGACAGGATCATGTCCGTTCCAGTGTTCCTACTTAATATCCTACATACATATCCAGCCTTGAAAGGTATAGGTACCTAGGTATGTAGGTACAGGATCATGAGAATGCTCCAACTATCTATTCATGTTGTTTCTTGCCAAGTGAGATCGTGGTCCAGCTCAGATTAGTAAGTAGTCCGGAGGGCGGTTACTCGGCTCGGCCACCGTTGCTGGTTCATCCTGTCGGTCTGTGTTGGTTCTTGTAGGTCTGGGGTTGTTTGAGATCTCGTATATACGCTATAGGGTGCGTATCTCAAGCCTAGGTCGGGTCGTATAGGAGGTTGGTAGGTACCTAGGAGATATGTGCCATATAGAGACTGAACCTCCGCCTACCTATGTACCTACCTATCCCTACCTGGTAGATAGTATATCACGCACGCATATACTCTTAAAGAAAAGAGAATCACAAAACAACGGGAACACAGATCTACAGTATGTAGTGTTTAATGGAATACCTCCTATTATCTATCATAAGGGTTCGAACGAATACTAGGTAATGGACAAGACCAGGTTAGGCAAGGTAGGTAAGATAGGTAGGTATCCATGCAAGCAAACGGAACGGAACCAACCACCCTCCTCCCCTTATAACCATCTATCCATTCATCATTCATCCATCCAGCGAACCAACCAATCAACCGACCGACCATCCAACCAGCAAAGCCCTTTTGTATATCGTGAACTCTATCCTGACCCAGGTACGTAAGTACCGAGGGAGGATAGAGTTTTTCGTATACGGAAGGGGATTTGGAGGGGAAGAAAACGCCTTCTATATGTGTTATGTGTATGTGTGTGAGATAGTAGGTAAATGTGAGTATGCATGTGCCGTGCGTGCCATGAATAGTGTATGTGTGTATGTGTTTGTGTCTGGGTATGCCCCCATCCTCTCCTTTTCAAACCCCTATCCGAGACATTCCTTTTCATCATCTTGTTTCTTTTGGGTCTAGGATTCTTCTAATAACTATTATACACGGGGGATTCAAGCCCACGTAAGTAGGTAGGTGAAATCGGTCATGGGAGAGAAAAGGTTTACGTATCTCTGATTTGAAAACCAGGAGAGACTAATGGAACGAGGTGAAGCGTTATCCGAATAATGCTACTGGATAAAGTGAATGCATCTATTCTCGGGAGACGTCTCGTCCATAGACCTTGGCCTTGACCCAATCAAGGGCGACGAGAACACGGTTGCGTGCTAGAAATATGTCAGCATTATGTATTTTCATCGAGGTTTCAATAAGGAGTGGATAGACATACGGCTAAAGCACATGCTCAAGTAAGCGCTTCTCCAGAAGAGATAGGTCAGCTTGCCACCACTGGCGACATTGCCGTTCAACCATGCTACGTCGGCAACGGCCTTCTCGCTACCAATATAGGCCAAACTGCCTTGGTGCGAGTAGTGGAAAGGCTTGATATCCCTGATGCGACGTAGCTGCTTCTCGAGAGATTCGATCTCCTGCGTCTTGGCTGCCGTGTCACCGGGCTGAAGGTTCAGGCCCGCGCTAAGATCACGGACCTTCTCCTCCAGATTCTCTGTCAGAGCCATGTTGTTGAATAGTCTTGCTAGGAAAGCACCCTCTTGAGAGGCGACCTGAGCGGTGGGTGCGTATCCAGCTACCGCGCAATCACCAACCGCCCACACGTCCCTTGTACCTTGAACGACAAGGTACTCGTTCACAGCGAGGCCACGTCTTGAATCCTTCTGAGCAGGGATTTGTGACATAAGGTCTCTAACCACTGGGCGGAGTGTGTTGCCGGTAGCCCATACGAGGAGACCGAAGGGGATGGTGACCAGGGACCTCTTGCCATCGGGACCAGTGATTTCGGCTTCGACCGCCCTATCGGTCACTCTTTTAACCATTGTCTTAGTCATGATGTCAATGTGCTCCTCCTTGAAAGTGCTCTCGGTGTATTCAATAAGCTGCTTGCTGAACATGGGTAGTACGTTGGGTAGGGCCTCGATTAGAGTAACCTTGAAGCGGGGAGCAATATCGGGAATAAGCTTCTGGATATCCTCATCGAAGAAGTCTCGCAGCTCTCCGGCAAACTCAACACCGGTAGGGCCACCACCAACAACTACCATGTGGAGAAGACGGTCGACCTCTTCGGGCGCTTGGTCCTTGAATGCAGCAGTTTCAACACAATCCATGATCTTGGTACGGATAGACTGAGCATCCTTGATTTCCTTCAAGAAACAGCTGTTCTCGCGGACACCGGGGATGCCGAAGGTAGCATTCTCAGCACCGACGCCAATAACAATCATATCGTAAGGAACATTGGTCTCGCTAACTTTACCCTTGATGTCGCTGTTGTCGGTAATTTTGACAACCTTGTTCTCAACATCAATGTGTGTAGCCTCAGCTTCGTAGAATTTGACAGCAGCTTTCTTGTGACGTAGGATCTGGCGGATGGGTTCCATGATAGAGCGGTGCTCAATGTTTCCAGTGGTACAAGACGGTAGCAGAGGGGTGAAGAGGAAGTAGTTTCGCGGCGAGATAACGATGACATTATAGTTGGCTGTGTCAAGCTTCTTGAGTAGAGCGACTGAGCCCCAGCCAGTACCTAGAAAGATATTACAATTAGTTAGAGAAGGGAAGCTAGGCTGGGAAGAAGCGCTTGGTTGTACTACTTACCAAGAATCACCAACGTCTTCTTGCTCGGGTCCGGAGTGAATTGATCATCTGGATGACGGTCTGTGTAGCCATCATAGATGACAGCACCGACACCGGCAAGAACGGAGAGATAAGTAGCACGCCATAACCACTTCAAAGTAGTACGAATTCTGCGCGGCTTCTTGGGCGGAGGAGGAGGAGCGTCAGAATAGGATCGCGCAAATTGGCGAGGAAATGCGACTGCTGTATTCCGTGTTCTTGCGATTAAAGTCTGGGAGAATGACGTCGGGCTGAAGCTGATCGCCGGCGCATTGGTACGGGTAGACAGCTGGCGAGCAGTGAGCCTACTCAAGGCCCTCGATGTTGACGCCATCAGGGGTCTTAACCGGCGACGAGGTTTACCAGGTCGGTAGAGAGGAGATGTGTAGAAATTGAAGGTTGTAGGACAATCAAAAAAGGTGTCGTAGAGTAAGAGAATATTTGGGATGAGTAGGTACCTAATAGAAATACTTGCGCGAAAATGGACTCATCGCCAATCAGCAGCAAAAGAAAATATGACTTGGACCGTGAGGAATTTTTAGGTGGGTCAGAATTGCTTTGGACCCTTTTCTTTTTTTTTTCTTTTTTTTTTTTCCCTTTACGACGTACAGTACTTACTTTATTACTTCCCTTGTCGCGGGATTACTTTTCTAGGGAAAGAGCTTGGGCCATTAGGGCCAAGACGGCACAGCTACCAGGATCTCGATACAACGATACCACCCACATACCACCCGGGCATTCGGCATAGTGAATAGACTAAACTATTTATGGGAAGGTTTCACGTAAATTAATTGGACAAGTCAGCCCTATATAACTGTTATAACAGTAATATGCATCAATTGAAGTATTTTGTCCCAACTCAACCCATCACATCTTATCCTTATCGAGACACATCCATTCACCCTATCGCTAATTTGTTGTCAGTTGTCATTGTCACGAAAAGCTCGGTTAAGATGGGACAAAGCTTATGTATGTTTATTATAAACTTCAAGGGTAGCTTAGGTACTACTTAGTCTGTGCCGCATACTTTTATTTCGCTTGACATTGCATTTGTTTTACACATCTGTAATGATTAGTATTTGACGAATTCACGTACCGAAAGAGAAATATCAGGGTGGATATTAAATGTCCACGGATCCCGGGTGGTCCACTTCAAGTCGGCTATTTATTCATGCCGGGGTTATGATCAGCCAACCTATTGTAGTTCATACACAAATAACTACCTAGTAATATTGGGATAAAAGTTGAGCATCTTGAGCATCTAGTGAACTTCATCAGCCTTCTTCTCCTCGTTTCCTACCTTCTCCCTATCTCCTGTCTTCTCCTTATTCTTACGCTTCTTCGTTTTCTTCTCTACTTTCTTCTTATCCCCCTCATCTCCCGTATCCTCCTCATTCTCAACTCCCTTCTCATCCTCGATTACCAGAGGCACCGACATCCTCGTCTTGATAACATAGTACATCGGGTCCTTATACGGGTGAGCTCTAGAAAAGGGGAGCTTGTAGTTAGCAGGGGGGGCTTTTTTAATGATTAAACCTTAAAGTCACAGGAAGAACGATCACCTCCAAGACTTAACATAGTTATAGATAGATACACGAAAACAAACAAAAATACCAGGGGAAAAGGGGGGGTGGGGGTGGGGAACCAACTCACTCCAGCAGCGCCTTCACCGCACTCCTCATCGTTTCCCCGTCAGGACACATCGTCTCGACCCTAACCTCACTAACCTCCCTCAAGACGCCCACCTCCCCCATACCCGGGTCCGCGTTTTCCGCCGGCCGGAACTCCGCTCGTCCCGGCGTCGACCAGCAGCACTCTGTGTACTTCACTCGGTTCCACGGGTGTCTTCCCGCGCCCGCCTTAAACACCGCCGCCTTGCACGCCTGCACGGCCGCCTCCGGCGCGTAGAACACGAGCATGAACCGTTTCCATGCCGGCTTGGCTAGCGCTGGTAGCCGCGGTTTCGCCTTCGGACCCGCCGGAGCAGTAGCAGCAGCAGCCTCCTCCTTTGCTGGGCGGTCTATCCCCGCGTCTTTTGGCTCTGCATTCTCTTGTCCATCCGGTGTCGATGACATCAACGCCTTAGATACCCTTGCCATCCCGACCAACTTTGTTCCTCCATGTGCGTGTGATGCCGCTATTGACGGCCTGAATGCTCTCATCCCTATTGCTGCCATCATTTTGAAGTATCTGGTTTGAGATGATTAAGAAATGAGCAATGAAAACCGCGGGCTGTAGAAATTCGAAGAGTATTGTCTTATACAAACTGTAGTGTCTGCTATTCGAGTCGATTGGAAGACAAACCAATCGTAGAAGACTAGAATCTTATAAAAACAAAAAGGCAATTTATCCATAATGTTGGTTACGTACGCGGGGCTACAAGCCATGTACGTAACGTTTGAGACCTCTGGAGTTTTAAGATTGTACGTGTCTTGATTGGCCGGTTACAGCTACATACATCTTGCATCCTGCATCCTGCATCTTGCATCGACTGGAGGCTTCTCCCCCCTTTAAGAATAAAACACTACACTACTGGACTACATAACCATAACCATAACCATAGCCATAGTCATAACCATCATCATCACCGCAAACCCCTATTAACCCTATTAACCCTATTAACCCTATTCCTATCAGCATTAAAAGCATCATTAGAATCAGAATGCATAATTTCATCGACGGCATCTTATTGCCCAATCATTTATTGTGGCTTCTCTTTTTTTTCTCTTTACGCCGCTCTACCGAGATTCGTAGTAATCGTATCCATAGAACTTATATAGTACAACAAAACTACCGAACCCGCACTCCCTCTCCCCTAAACGGACTACCTTTCCGACGTGGATGCCGGCATCTCGCCGTACCTTCCTCTATGCCTCGTAGTGTCGTACGCATTTATTACGCGCGTCTGGCTTTCATCCGCTTGTGAGAAAGCGTAACCGCGTTGCTTCCTCATCCGCTGTACCTGCCGGACCTTCCTGATCGCCTTCTGGAATTGTTCCATCCTGTTCCTCTTGTTAGCTATATCCAACGCTAAATAGTGACATAATGTGGGAACGACTGCTTACCTTGGACGATAGTCCTGGATGTTGTACTTCTGGATTTCTTGAATGTGATGGTACGTCTGCGGGTAGTACATCCTCTTGGCAAATTTCCAAGAGAAGTCACGCAAAAGACAGAGCATGGGCAACGCCACCGTCTGCAGCCAGAAAACGGGATTGGCAAATAATTTCGGCACCAGCCCGTCGTATTCCTCCGAGAATCCGAGCATAGGAGCGACTGTGGCATAGATGATAACGAACACATACCAAATAAGCATGCTGCCCGGAATGGCCATGACGTGATACTTTGTCCAGTTGCTCGTCACCAAAGCAGCCTTTCCTAGAACGGTCGCAAGTGTTGCCGCATATAGAGCCGTGCCCCAAACCCAATGTCCCGCCATCGTGCCATCACCCAGCTTCAAGTCACTATACCAGATCAATTCAGAGAAAATATACAAGACAATAGAGTGGTAGACGGCATTAGCGATCCATGCGGCGAACGTGCCGATCTTGAAAAATTGATTTTGCTGACCCAGCGTGTACAACTGCGGATAACGGTCAAGTAGCCTTGCGGAAATGAACTGATCGAGGATACCCATGACCAAAGGAGGAAGCACGGTATAGAAAACATTGTAAAAGGACAATGTCCAAGATTCGAAGATAATTGCGCCGGAGAAGACGTTTTGGAAAGTGTACTACTCATGTGTTAGCATCGAGCCATATGCCTTGAATAATAAGGGGGTATGAATGGAGAATACGTTCACTTACCCAAAATTGCGTCATGTACAGAGTGATATTTTTGTAGAAGGAAAAGAGAATCGTCTTGCTGATCCGCTGATAACTCCATGCGCCATGAACGAGAGTTAATTTGCGGAGGAATCGAAATTGGGCGATGGAGATATCGGCTGACCGGGCAGCCTGGAGACCTTCGACACCTGAAATACCGACACCGATATGAGCAGCCTGGATCATAGATACGTCGTTGGCCCCGTCGCCAATGGCGAGGAGAATTTCCGGGGAGAACTTTTTGACCATCTTCACAACTAGAGCCTTCTGCAACGGCGAGACACGGCAACATATGACTGCCTTGCACATCACGGCCAGATCGAAGAAGATCTTCTCCATGTCCGGTTCCAAGGCGAAGGTAAGGGATTTTCCATCAATGATAAGGGCTAGTGTATCTATTTCAACGGATCCATCTGCATTGTTGCGGATGGCGTCAAGTTTCTTTTGAATGTTATCGCGGGTTGCTACGGCATTCTCTTCATTGACAATAAGAAGCATCATATCTTCGCTTAGCAGCTTGGAGCTCATGCCGATATTGATAGCTGTTTCTTGGCGATCTCCAGTCAAGACCCAAACCTTGATATTCGCTTGCTGAAGTGTGTGAATAGTCTCCGGGACGCCATCTTGGAGGCGATCCTCGATGGCAGTTGCACCTAGTAAGTAAAAGCTGTGCTCGATAATCTCGGCGGCCTTGTCCAGCTCATCCGCACGATTACCGCCCACGGTAGTTTGGGCCTTGTCAAAAATAGAGTGCCATTCCTGATACTCATGTTCGGGGATCTCGCGCATTGCTAGACAAAGAGTTCGAAGACCTTCAGATGCATACTCCTCCAAGTGGAGTAAAGTTTGCTCGACGTGCGGGTTGTCCTCGTTCAATCGCTCGAGGATGACTGTGTCTGCGCCTTTACAGTATAATCGAATTTTCCCATCAGGGCATCTGTATATTGCTGACATTCGCTTTCTCGTGGAGTTGAACTCACAGACAGCCAAGAGCTCATATTCATACTCTCTGCCTGCGACTTCGATAATGACGGATCGTGGTTTGCGAGCAACGAACGTATAACCCATGGTCACAGCTCCCTGAACTAATGCGCCCTCATCAGGAGAGGCAGCTTGGTACTTAATCTTGCCGCCCTTAGCTTCCTCTCGTTCCGGAATAACGGTATGGCAGGTTGAAAGAAGTGCCAGGAAGTGATGTATGGCCTCAGAGCTCTCATGCGATTTTAGGTTCTCGGCCAGTCGCTTGAAATCGTGAATTCCAACTTCCACGCCATCCTGCATGGTAGCCCTTCGATCCTCTGGTACCTCATCTGCGTATTGTATGCCGCTGATTGAGCATTGCTTGAATTCCATCATGTTGCACGTCAAAGTTCCCGTCTTGTCCGAGAAGACAAACCCAACCATGCCCAACTCTTCCACCAAACTTGACGTTCGACAGTTTGCAGGCGTATCCGTCTTGTCGTAGTAGATATCCAAGTCGTCATTTATCAGAATGCCATGCCAGTATTTGACCATTTCGACAGTTACGAATAGCGAGATAGGAACCAATGAAGAGAATAAGACCCAATATGTGACGAGGTCCTTGAATATTGCCTGTACAATTTCCCCAGCATCGTCGAGTGTATCCAGTTGCAAGTATGGAATCGAGTCGGATCTGACGGATCGGAAAACCAGCTCCCCCACAGTACAAATAATGCTAAGAACGAGAAGCATACCAACCAAGGCAAGGACCAGCATGTTGAGTTGTCGTTCGACTTTGGTTCGCTTGATCGGGGCCGCAGTAGCGTTTCGCATAAGCTTCGTCTCATGTCCCGTGAATACCACTATGCCGTGGACCCAGGGCGTATTCCTGAGAGTAGCACCTCGAAGTAACAACTGCTCTGGGGTAAGAGGCAGCTCCTTTTCCCCTCCACCGGCTTGCATAGTCAAAGTCGCTTCATAGGTATATAAACTACTGTTCGGCTGCTCGGATCGTACTCTGCCCCCCAGTCTACTTAATTCCGCCGGGCTAACCATGGTGGATGTCTCTGGCAATGCCTGCTTGATCTTCAGGTTAGTTTCACCATCAAGGTTTGCAGTCTCAATATAGCACAAGCCCTCCGGTTCGGAGCTCGCAAGCAAGACGATATCAGCCGGGAAAGGCTCCTCTGATTCAACTCGCACAATGTCTCCCACAGACACATTGATCCATTTCGTCTGTTCGAAGGCCGAGCCTCGCAGAATTTTAGCCTTCGAGTTATTGAGCGCACTGTCGGCCTGTTTCCTTCGATAATCTTCCACCAGCTCCTTGCCTGCAGATACCAGCAACACAACAACAAGAGGGCCAATGGTGGTATAACGATTCGTTGGAGACAAGTTCGGAATTTGCTGCAGTGCCGCAGTGAACAAGAAGAAGACATTGGCAAATTTGGAGAATTGCTCGATTAGGAACTTAGGTAAGAAGGTAGCGACGTTATATTTAGCGGTAGAGACGTGGTTGTCGACGTATTTGTTTGCTGCATTCGCAGGGGGGTTGTTCAAATGGATGATTCGGGGGCCGAGAGTTGACGGATCTGGTTTACCTCCACCAAAACCAAACCTGAAGTTCTTCAACTCAAATTTCTTGCCCTGCTTCGGTGGCTCAGCTGAGGAATCTCCGCGCCCACGGCTTGGCTCCGTCAAAGGTAAGTCCATTTCCGAATAACCTTGCTGTCCCATCCCGAACATGTTTTTAGCTTTGCCCAAGATTCCACCTCCTAGTCCCAGTACACTATTGCGGTTCCGCGCATTAGACCGACCATCTGAGTCGCTGGTTGCGCCTATAGCTCCTCCATGTTGATAATAAGACTGGCCATCGTCGGGATAGTCGTCGAAGTCGTCGGCATATCTCTGGTAATTATGCAAGTCAGAGGTTTGGCTGTACTGTCTGTCAGCCTCGGCCATATATGGTGCACGAGGATGTGAAGCGCCGGCGCCCATTGGTGGGTTTTTTGCTGTCGGGTGGGTAGCCGGGTTGTTACCGCCAACAAAGTCATCGTAGGATACTGACGGTCGACCGTTATTATCATCGTTCACGGGTGGTCTTTGTCCGCCATGGGGAGAATAGTCGTCGAGGTCAAGTAATAAGTCATTGTTAGAGCTGGAGGAGCCCCCAGGAGGCGCCCTGCCAGCCATGTCGCGAAGGGGTTCGGGTTACAAAGGGAGGAAGATGGGAGGCATGCGGGCATGAAAGGAGGTAATGATGATGATAGCAATGGCGGTTATTGAGTCAGTCTAAAGCTGCCTGCTTGGTTGCATTAAATAATCAGAGTCTTTTGACTTTCGTATACCATAGTCATGAGGTGGAGATCACGGTTGAGTTTCAAGGATTTATTCGAATAGAAGAGGATTAGGAGTCGTGGTCACTGGTTAGGCTGGTATGTGGTTTGTTTGTGCTTAGTGCAGGACGAATGAGCGGGAACACGGGGGTGGTTCAGGGCCGTGAAAGATGAGAATGTAAAGTAGCAGATTACTGGGTCGAAGAAATAAGGCGACGATGAGGGAAGAAAATAAACGTCAAAATCGTGAATGTTGAATAGTAAATAGGTAAGTGATTGTGGGATTCGTTGTTGAATTTAGAATGGATTCGAGTTAAACAGGCGATGGGCATTGAATGATGAGCGATGGAGTATGTCTAACAGTCTAGCAAATCTCAGTGCTAACAAATTCAAAGGTACCGACGAAACGCAGAAAATGTTAAAAGGGTAACATCAGCATCAGCATAAGTGGATCTCCCTTTCCCACCTTCGTGTAGTTATGTACATTGTACGACCGTTTCTCTTTTGCACAGCCTTCCGTCACTACGATCAATATGATACTAGTATGTCTCTAGTAGCCAGTAAGGTGACTGCCTTGATGGTAGCCTATGGGGCGTGCGTAACACAAACCAGTACCACCTGAACGTGCCTGCCAGGTCCTAGGCCGCCCTACCTAAATATACCTACATCTCCACCATCAATCAGCGTAAAAGGCGCTACTATGAACTTTCTTTCAGTTGACACATCGCCCTAAAGCTTTCAAAGATTAGGTACCTAGGTAGTTACTCCTAAGCAGCTTAGCAGCTAGGTGGCAGGTGCATGTGGTAGATACCCTAGGCAGATACGAACCCTAGGTAGATACCTAGATACTACTAACTACTGGAGGGCTTCAAGTTTAGGGGGCCAATGCCTGCATATTAAAAAGGGTTGATAGTAGGCTTTAAAACAAAAAATATGTACGTGGTTGGCAAAAGGGCTAGTTTCAGGCGGGTCCAATTAGCGGGATTAATAAAGGTCAAGTCAGGAACCTCCTTATGTACACCACGATCTAGTACCGTACATACCTATGTAGGTATGTACTGTACTAGGTTAAGTATCTTCCATACAGATACAGTAACATAAAAGGAGCCACGCCTCTTACCTCATAATTGATGCGATGCGCAACATTCGCCTATGATACATATGTTATGTATCTATGGTACTTTGATTCGAAACGCCATCTCCGACCCCCAAAGAAAATATAAATTGGGATTGCTAATCGCAATTGCCATTGACATACTGACAGTACCTAACTATACCTTTTCTCCCTTAAGAATGGAATTCGAAGCAAATAGGAAAAAGGCTACCAACATACTCAGTGCCAACCTATGTAGGTACAAGTACAATGCATACATCTGTTTGCAGTGTGCACATCTGTTTGCACATCTGTATGTGCATTGGTACAGGTTGGCTTAGCCTTGTCCTCGACTTCTTCGTACTTGATCAGATTTATTTTTAAATCTTTCATTTTTAAATCTTTCAGGGGCTCAGATAAGTTAACTCTTTCATCGTGGCGCCCTTCGCCGCAGCTCCAATTTCTACCCTCTACGCCTCCTATTTAGTCTGCACATCAGCCACGCTATACTCACTCACGTGGATATATACATACGTAAACACGACGATTTTCAGCTTGAATATTGTCATCATAAGTCTATATGTTATTTAATAACCAAGAATAAGTATACGTGCACTGAACCAACACGGGGTATTGACACACGCCACCGCGGTGGATACATAACAGTTATACGACGATATAGAGGCGATCCTCATATCGCCCGTCCTAACACACAGCAAGCAACCCAACAAACCAACAGATAGACACCATGCAGTAGCAATATCAGACTGCATATGAACCGACTAGATGGCTTATAAGGATGCCTTCAATTCGTCTCCGAGAACGCTTTTGATGAAATCGCCGATGTGCTTGTTAGCGAGCTCGGGACATTGGACCAAGACCCAGTGGCCACTTCCGGGAATAATCTCCTGTTTGAGGCCGCCAGCAAAATGTTTCTCCTGGCCCTCTGCCATGGCGGCCGGTAGCGCGGCGTCCTTCTCGGCCACGACCAACATGGCCGGCATCGGGAACTTGAATTCGCCGTTCTTCGCCTGCTCCTGCTCATCATCGGCGTTGAGCGCACGGGTGCGATACCAGTTGGTCGGTCCGTGCAGGCCGTTCCGCGAATACTCCTGGACGTAAAAGTCAATCATCTCTCGGCTGACTAACGGAGACGGCTCGACCCTAGCTACGTTCTCCTCGATGACGCCAACATCCACGCTAAACGCAGGCTTGCCTTCCGGCGTCCTGCCACCGAATATGCCGTTAATGAATCCTCGCAAATTTTCGGGCGATTTGTTAACTATGTTCTCCGCGACGGGACTAGCCAGCTGGAGCTGGTATCTGAAGTGCGGTCTCCTTTTCACCACATCCTCTAGTGAATGCTTAACCGTCGACATAGGTATGAAAGGCGTGCAAATACTGAAAACTGCACGGATTAATTCCGGATAGTATTGTGCCATACGCCTATTTTTACCACACGCTCTAGTCAGCACACATAACTCACAATACGACACGTGGTCTCCAAGTTGAAGAGGTAAGGTAAGCAACCAGGTTCGTGACTAAAGATCTGGCAAGACTCGGGTATAGCAAGGAAACTCTGGAACTTACCAAACAAGAAGACCGCCCCAATCATGGCCACCGAGGATAATCGGCTCAGGTGTGTTCTCCTTGACGATGGCCGCCATATGAGCCGTCATCTTCTTTAAAGTGTACTCTTCGTGGGACTCTGGAGCGGAGGTGCGTCCGTATCCCAACATATCCGGAACAATGACCTGTAGATTCAGTGACAACAGGTAAGGGACCTGATATCGCCATCCCATGCCAAGGTCAGGGCTACAGACATTGTCAGCTGAGTACGGCAATATAAGGCCTCCTTCAAGTCAGGGGGGGTACCAACAAGCCATGAATGAGAAGAACTGTGGCAATGGGCTTGCGCTCCGGCTTAGTCAACATATAGTGGTACGTTATATCCCCAAACGAGGTGAACTTGTGTTCGACCCGAGGATCGTTAGGGACCAATGCGCTGGTAGACATATTGATTCACGTCTATATCTACTCAAGCAAAACGAATTCTATGAATGATACCGCAATGCAAAAAACGTGAAGTGGTAAGAAAGGAGCTTATGAGAGCAAAGAAGAGTTTAAGTTTACTACACACATATATATGTGTGTGTGTATAATGATAGGTATATTATATAATAACATTGTTTTTTTTGGTCCTCGGCACAGCCAGCCAGCCAGTCACCCTTACTTACGTACGTCAAATATTTCGACCGAAGACTTATCGGGGAGGTCCTAAAAGTAGTATCGCTCGCCGGACCTGGGCCTGCCATGCCATGCCAGGTGGGCGGGTCGTAAACACGGGAACTAAGATAGATATGTAATGTAGGTACATACAATGATGCTTGTCTGAACTTTGGGCCGTTTCGAAGACTGGGAACTTTGTATAATTCCCGCCTGGCCAGGGTTTTATACACCACCTACATACCTACATATGTCATAGCTGATAGTGTAAGTGCTTCGATGCTTGATGTAATGGTATGTACGTAGGTAAGGTTCCCACCTATCACGCATGCTATCTGTATCCATGATGCAGCTAATGGCTAGCGTCAGCGTACTATCCTATGCAGAATCTGTTTCAATGCCTTATAACTATAACTACTAGGCTAGGTAGGTAGGTATCATACTTCAAGGTTATGTAGGTATGAGAAAAAAAGATGCCGAGGTTCAGCTATAATTTAACGGGATAAGGGCGGGCCTGCCTAGGTTAGGTAGGTAGGTAGGTTAGGTGCTTGTACATACCTAGGTTAGAGTATCGGATGATCGAAATATTTACTTGAATGTAGGTACAGTATGTATTGTACGTACAATGTGATAGGATACCTACCTGTATAACGAATGAACGAATGTAGAATTAAAAAAGTTCCGGGAGCTGAGTAACGGCCCCGGTAGTCAGCTACAACATATATGTAGTAGCGATCCGGTTGCCCAACCAATCGGCAAATACCTACGCAGGACCCAACGTAGTAAGTAAGTAAGAAATACATACCTTTAAGTTACTTACATACATCTACAATAACTATGCAGATGTAGAGAATAGCTCCGTGGCCCGGCCGAGTATCCACCTAGGCATACCATACATACCCAGCTTACACCAATACCTACTGTGCATAACCTACATACATACCTATATAGGCAGTTATATGTATTCCGAGAGCGCCGGTGCTCCCGGGCTCCCGGGTCCTTGTAGCACAATAAGTCAACATCCCCTATTACGTAGTTACCTGAATGACATGCATTCTTACCAGTGACGAAGGGTGGCTTTGAGGAAGCGCCGGAACTCCGGAGCTGAAATATGAGCGAATGCGAATCCCGTCAACGAATTGCATCGGTTCTTAAGAGTAGCGGCTTAGTAATATCCTATAACCTCCTTCGAAAGGGGTCGACGCATAGACGCATACATAGTATTATGCCTCGGCTCTTGCAGACTACCTTCCTTACCTATCTAGCTACGGGAGGCGAAGCATTGCCAAGGAATGGATGCATACAACTAAGGTCTCAGCTACATATATGTATGCAGAGGTTGTTAGTACAGATACCTACCAACCAACCCAAGCTCCTTTTAGGGGGTCATACACATATTTAGTATATAAAACACCAACAGGACTGCCAACATTATCAAAAAACAGTCAATTCAGTTAATTATTGGATATCGTCAAGCGCGTTGAAAACCCACTATCAGCATCGGCTGAGCTTTTAGTTGGTTCCGAGAACTCGAAACTTACATTGGAGGTCCCGCCTATCCCACCCCATCCATCCTGCCCAAAAACCTTTTCAGATAATAGTTCCATGCTGTGATATAACTCCATGTCGTGACAGGAACAGACGTCACTTCCCAAATCCGTTACCATTGTTTTTCTCTCATGATACCCAGTAACATAACCGGAGGGGGAATAAAACGGGAAAATAAAAGAAGAAGAGAAGGAACTGGGGGACGCAGTAGCTTAATAGATTACCGTGTCCTCCACTTCCTCAATCATGACGTCGTCTGCTCTGTCTGGCTCTTTCTCGTGACCAGCCTTACCGGAAAACGAGGGGGGGCGGTTAGCAGTGGGAATGGATTTGGGAAGATCAGTAAGATGCTCATCATTAGTTTTGCTACCCACTATTTCCTTGGGCTCTGATGTAGGAGGTTCGGATTCGATTTCGATACCTAACGCCTCTGCTCTCTGCTGTTTCTGTCGCTTGAATTCGTGGACCTCTCGCTCGACGGTGGCCTCGGCCTCTCGTATTTGGTCCTTGATTATGTCTTCCTGCTCCTCTGTAGGATCCCACGGCAAGTAAAACTAAAGATAATGATCAGCTGACGAGTCAAACGATTAAGTACACAATAGTGTGGCACTTACGATCTTGGGGGTACTCCTAGTCTCCAGGAAGCGTGCCATCGCGAGCATATTTGCGTGTCTAGTTTTCATCTAGATATATCATTAGTTTGAATAGCCCTAGAGGTAGATACGTCAGGGACTAAGCTAAAGACCAGCTTACCACTCGCTCTTCGAATCCAAGCTGTTCAATTTGTCGTATATGGTTCAGCTTGGCTAGCTTCTCTTCTCTCTGCTTATCATATTGGGCCCTCTGCTGGTGAACTTTGTCCTGCTGTCGTCGCTCAATCTCTTGGCGTCTCTTTTGTTGAGAGCTGGAAGTGGTTTGACTTAATGTGCTTAGCAAACCACCGAATAATCGCTTCCCGCGCTTCTTTTCTTCCTGCTGAGCATTTTCGCGGCGATCTGTGCTGCGTTCTGTAGGTCTCGACAGCGCTCCTGTAGACTCGCGATCTTTTACATTGTTTTCTAGCTTGGTCCTCTTGAGCGACTGGTTAAGGTCATCTGCAGCCGCTGGTGGGGGAGATGAAGCTTTTCGCTTCGGCGCATTGTCCTGGCCTTTGTCTGATTCGGTAGCTGTCCTCGAGTCGGTGTCGCGTTCTGGGCTGCGACTATGGCCATTTGGCGCCCTATTCTTTCTTGGTTAATCAAATGCGACCAATAGAATTAGCAGGAATTGCGATTTCTCACGGTTCGTTGGCCGACATGGCGTCGGGTATTCTTAGACCTAGGACGGATTCGGTACCATTTGTGAAGTAGAAATTCGGTTCAAAAAGATCAGTATAGTGGTCAAAAGAAAAGCAAGTTAGTCGGTTTTGAGCACAGCTATAGTTATTTATTCTTGGTAAGAAGTAGGGTTAGAGATTAGAGGGTCGCGCACGAGGCTGAGGATAAAGTCACGTACGTACGTATGTCTGTCCTACAATACCCAAGGTCCTCAAGTGCTACCTATAATTTACTAGGTAATGTATCAAGTACTTGTACGAAGTAGTACCTAATACCTAACGGTTAGGGTAGGTAGTCAGTACAATACCTAAAAGATTGGAACGGGGCCAAAACGCCGATGTGCGACATTCAATGATTGAACACTAAAATGGCAAGGGCTGTCATAGCGCCTGGTTGGTGGGCTGCCGTTGCTAGGACATTGCCAGGACATTGCCCAGCAGGTGCTTTGTGCAATCATGCATAGAGGTGCATATGTAGGCCCACTGATGTCGCGCTAAAGAATTGAACCTCCAGAGTTCAGTGGCAAGGCTGAGAAATCATTCGGAAGGCTAATATTTACAACTTTCGATATCAACAAAAAAAACCTCTAACCTCCAAACTTATTACCTCGGCTTCCTTACTTCTATAAAATACCCCACAGCCAACCAATATGTCTCGACATCATCCGTAAGTCCCCTTATACCCATACCATTCGGCAACAGCAGCAGCAGCTTTGCTAACACCTCTCCTCCTCCTCTAGCGACCTCGTCATGTGCCGCAAGCAATCCGGCATCGCCATCGGCCGCCTCTGCGACAAGTGCGACGGCAAGTGTCCCGTGTGCGACTCCTACGTGCGCCCCACGACCCTCGTGCGTATCTGCGACGAGTGCAGCTTCGGCAACTACCAGAACAAGTGCGTCGTCTGCGGCGGCGAGGGCATCTCCGACGCGTTCTACTGCTTCGAGTGCACGCGCCTCGAGAAGGACCGGGACGGCTGTCCCAAGATTATAAATCTGGGAAGCTCGAGGACAGATGTAAGTCGTATATATACTTGCCCCCAACAGACCTCCGGATTATGTATACGTGTGTTTGTGTATGTCTAGATATCTAAATGCTAACTCATGCTCTGCAGCTGTTCTACCAAAAGAAAACGAATCGGACGGGATACTAACCTCTCTGTTGCCCGGGTCTGGGCTGTTTGGATTTGGGGTTTTGCCTCATGGGACACTTGTTACAGACGTCGCTACGTTGTCATGTTCTAGCACCAAGAAGCATTGTTGTACTCTGATATTAGCATTATTTTGGCCGGCGTTGAGGTTATGGTAGTCATGACAATGGGTAGATTCGATCGATCAATATACCAGCTACATACGTTTGATGCAAACTAATCATATTTGGTATTAAAACTATTCCCAACTCTTACAGCGCCCGCCGAAAAATCAAGCTGCTCATTACTTCACAATCATTACTATACGATATACAAAGATACCTCAATTTCATATCCACGTGGCTAGCTAGATGTAGCTGACCTTGACTCCCATTCCTGCTGTTGATCTGACCTTTTCCCACCCTGTTCCCAGGATCCGCTGGATCCGCTCACGCACGCCCCTTCTACCAAACATGACAAGGATTCCAATGATAAAAGCTACAAATCTAAGAAGCAGCCTAGGATTGGCTGTCAGAGAAGCCCCTAGTTGTTCAATGATTTTGCGGATATGGGCTATGATCATGGCAGCTCGTGCGCCGAGACTCGGAGGTGCCGCAGCTTTCTTCCCCTTTGATACGGACGACTTAGCTCTCGATAATGAAGATCCATTAGCTGCTCCATTAGTGCCTGTCCGGGATTTTTTCTTGGATCCGGGAGCACTCGGAGTCTGCTCAATACCGTAGTCGATCTCGCTAGCTTCACGTTTGGCTCTCTCCTCATCCAATCGGCGCTTTTCTCTTGCCTCATTTTCCGATCTTAGTCTCCTGGCCTCTTCGATATCCTTTTGTAACTGCTCTTCCTGTCTCTGTGTTTCTTCACGTTCCCGCCGTTCCGACGCCTGCTGCTCATCCTGTAGACTCTGGAGGGCTTGCAAGAAAGCGTCTCTCCGCTCTTCATCCAGTACTGCACTAACACTGATGAATTCCCTGGCGTAGTCCCACTCATTGTTGCGTAGCAAGACGTGTAGCGTATAGAGTTCTAGGATCTTAACTCTAGCATTAAGGTCTCGAGGAGTGTCGGCACCACTAGCACCCCTGGAATGAGACCTGCGAGATGACGGATTTGCCTCCAGCTGTCTAGATATATCGAGGTTCGGGGCAGTTGATGTAGCAAGATAGTTCTCTAGTCGTTTTTGATTTACTGCTTGGGTTTTTGCGTGTGCAAGCAGGAGTGTTGCTCTGGTTTAAATCGTCAGTATGTGCCACGTACAGATGACAAGCCGTCACAACATGATGCGAGTATACTAGATGTTGTCCAAAATGAACTTACAGATTTATGACGACATCGGAATCAACCTCTCCCTCGACGCCGTGATATCCATACTGTACCACCTCTTCCCAAACATCGCCATCTCGCACCTTTTTACAAAGTGTACGCCACTCCTGAGACCCGAATGCCTCTTTACCCTCGTCGGGATCTAACTCCAATACGGCATTTAGAATTGTTAGATAGAGGCTCCACACCTTGATCCTGGTAGATCTCGAGGCTCGGGCAATGGGTGCAGGTTCAGTCAATCCATTGACATCCGAAGTCTCAGTTGATGGAGTGATTAAAGGTAGGACTGTTGATAAGGCTTCGGGTAATCGACGCGTAAGAAATAGTTGTGAGGCTTGGCGGTATGCTTTGGTTATATTGCTTGATGATGGACGAGAGGATGTAGTTGCCAATGATGATATAGAATTCGATATGGAATTAGAAAGCACCTGTGATCCAAAGTTTGAAGCGGTAGGGCTGAGCGTTGCGGTGTGAGATCCATCGAACGACATGTTTCCAAATAGTAGTTAGAACAATCCGAGTAGGAATTGAACTACTATTCGTAGTAGAAACGATGGTAGGTGAGTTACTAAATATTTATCAAACAAAGCTGGACGCGACGATAAGAGGTACCAGCAACAAAAAAAAAAAGTTTCACATGAAATTAAAAAAAAAGGCCTGTGTTAACATTGATGTTCAATGTTATTATGGTAGCCTTAGGTTGGTAGGTATATTATTATGCCTTACCATCTACCTCGCCAATCCGGAGATAGAGAGGGCTGAGGGCGGAGGGCGGAGGGGGAAAAAAGGTTTAAAGGATTAGAACGACTGTAAACTGCACAATGCACATGCAGGAACAACACATCTGGCATGTGGGACCTTACGAGGTCGAAAGTGCGTCGCGCCTTCTTGGTCGGTGATTATGGGTAGAGTTGTGCCTCGGTACTAAGTCCAGTACATGGGTAGTCAGTACTAGTCACCCTAGGTAGTTATTTCAACCATGGTCCAAGCTTTAATTATCTAATCGGATGCCAACCGTGCTAAACCTATAATGGAGCATTTTAGTCCATTTTAGTACTTAAGTAACTACCGGTAGCTAAAGCCGTCACATTTAACAATGAAATGACTTCACTTTCCTCAATGCACATACCACCTACTATTACATAGTAACACCACCTGGCACGACCGAGGAAGAGCAGCCAATTACTATATACTATTACATGCATCTCTAATGTATGTATGACCTATGTACTACTAGTAGTATATAGACAGCTATCATATTTGCCACCTAGGTGGCGTTGCCTACCCAAAGGATTTTCCGATATTCGCAGCATGAATAATTCCAAAGACGATAGTTATCCGGAGCTTGCGCAATCGTGAAGCGGCAACCAATTGAAATCCAGCCAAGGCCCATGAGGATTTAGCGAGTAGCCTTATAGAACACCAAGTCTACAGCTGGCTATTATATACATGCATGCCTACTTCATGCCTATAAAGATATAATCAACATTATCTTCATATCTGGACCATGACATCGAGTCAGGACTATGATATCAGCATTCTTCCAGTATTCTGAATTCCACGATTACCCCTGGCTTGTAATTCCTAGTATGTTGTGCTGCAAGATCTAGCAAGTGACCTATCCATAGCATATGGCCGACTCCGTACGGAATAGGGGCTAAATCATATCTAAGTACAGGTGTAGTAGTAAAAGCGCACAACCTCTATTAATTTGTCTCTTCTTATAACACTGTGTGCATATCTAGGAACCTGAGGCTGTTAGAGACTATTAGGTCCTCTGCCATTCATGGCAGCTGGCGCAAAAATGCGCAACCGTGTGGTTTGCCATTGTATGCGTGATTGTGTGTGACAAACGGTGCGCTGTCATTGTTGAGAAATACTCTCGATATTGTCCCTGAGAATGGCATCATCCAGCAGCTCTACTATCGATTCACTTCCTACCCCCATGGTTTCCTTTGGAAAAACGGCCCCTCCCTCTATTCGACATCGGCAAGGTCAAGATCCTCTTTCAAAGTTGAATTTCACCACTTCAATTTGGAAAATTCCTGATCCCTTCAACATCTCCATCAACTTCATACTAATTATAAAGCCACTGGAAAGGTAAGAAAAAAAATGGAGGTCAATAAGAACAACTTCTTCTGGGCGCTGCCAGGCATCCTGGAAGATATTCAAAAATCCCGGTTCGTCGCCATTGATGTAGAGATGAGTGGCATCTCTAGTACTCTAGGCCATGCCAGCCAGAAAGAATCCATGCAAGACGCGTATACCAAGGCCAAAGACGCCGCGGAGAATTTCCAGGTATTACAGATTGGTTTTACCTTCGGCCGCTTCGACGAGAGATCGTGTAAGTCCGTTTTCTAACATTATAGCAAAGAATAACCACAGCTAATTGTTTGCCGTCAGCGGAATACGTGACACGAACCTACAGTTGTTACGTCTCACCGTTGATCCCAAAGGGCTCTTTTCCTGATGGACTGGCTCGGCATCTCGATCGGAAATTCAGCATTTCTCTGAAGTCATATGAGTTTCTACGACATCATAAGTTTGACTTCATGGAAGCCCTAGACAACGGCATTCCTTATCTGAGCCGTGAGGAGCAGAAGTATGCCCATCAGTTCTTCTCGACCAAAGACAGCAATAATGACAATATTGATCTGTCGACACTTGACGTAGCGTCACGGCAATTTTGCTACTACGTCAAGGAAAGGATCGAGGCATTTGTTGGTTCAGGATGCCCGAAGGTATAGTTTCCTCTCAATGAGTGATGCTTGTGAGAAACTAACAAATGGCTAGGGAAAAGAAACTATCATCAAGAACCCTTTCGGAGACAAGCTAAACGGTTTGCAAATCCGGCTGATACACCAACTTCTTCGTCAAAATTTTCCCGGACTCGCCGCCAAAAAGATACTTACTGGCCCTATGACAGGCCTCATCTCTATCATCCCCGCAGATCAAGCCGAGAACGAAGTAAGTAATTCTTACCCAGAACGTCTTATGAACAGCAATTACCAGGACTATTTGACTAATAAAGTAGGCCAACACTCGGCGGCGCCAGAAGAGCAAAGACGCAGCTTCTCTATCTGGTTGGTATCACCCTCCCCTTCTCCCCGACGCAGGTCTTCTAATTCGCAACACACAGGACTCCAGATCATATTCGAAGCGTTGTCCGGTGGATCCTTTGCCGACGCGATCAACCCAGACTGGACTTCCCAAAGCCCCTGGGGCTCCAAGGGTAGAAAACCAGACCGGCGACATAACACCGAGAAGTTCGACTTCAAGAAGTGTGAGGCTAAATTGAAGCAGAACCGACCGATTCTAGTCGGCCACAACATGTTCTACGATCTAGCCTTCATCTACCACACTTTCTTTGAGCCACTCCCGGAAAAAGTCGATGATTTCCTTACCCGCATCCACGGCCTCTTCCCGCGCATCGTGGATACCAAGTTCATGCACATGAAGGGAAAGTCCATGATGGCGCCGCGCCAGGCATTGCATGACCTCCATGCCGCGTACTCCACCCAGCAGTTTCCAGTCGTTCGCAACGTAAAGAGCCCTGGCACACCTGCGGCCGGCCCTCACAATGCCGGATATGATAGTAAGTCCCCGGGCCTTTCTGCTGCTGGAACGTTGTTTTTCTAATCAAGCTAGGCTCCTCGACGGCGACTCTGTTCCTGAAACAGTCCTACACCACCTTCATGAAGTCGACGTCCTTGGAACTGGAGACCCAGGATGATTCCTACAAGCCCAACGCATGGGGCCCTCAAGGCTTGGGACAGCCGAGTCGTCCCGCCGCCACAAGGTAAGATCTATTTGCATCTACTCACTCACAGCATATCGCTAACTTTTTTTTTCTTTATAGTTCCTACGGTGCGGACGTATGGGGCGAAACCGGCGGCGCCACCCTCCTCGAGCGAGACGAAGCGGAAACAAAAAAGTCGCTGCAGAAGTGGACCGTCCTCTCCACAAACAGACCCACGTCCCGATTTGCGATGCCGGCTGCTCCCCCCGCAGTCCCAAAGCCGCTGCCGCAAACCCAGGCCAAGCCCGCTCAAGCCCGCTCCGAGCCAATGTCGGGTGAGATATACTCCCAGATGGAGGAGTATATCATTCCCCCTTGGACGCACGGATTCTGGCGGGCGTATGGCAACAAGACGTCCGTCCCGGGAATTGGCGGCGTCTCGTTTGTCTAGAGATGCCCGCCTATCTAGTGGGTAGGTATTGGAGAATGGGGTCCTCTCGGATCGTTAATAGGGATGCTAGGAAGGTATACAGGGACTCTTCGAGGCTTATCTGGGCGAGCATTCCAAAGTTAGGCTTGGGATGACTACGCAGTGGACGATTTTCGAACAGAACCTTGACGACTTGCGTGATGTAACTATAGTGGATGATACCAAGGGGGGTGGGTGGATTACTGAGTAGGTATCCAAGGAAGGTCTAAGCTTTAGTTAGGCTTTAGGGATTTCTCTATCAATCCGTAAATACCTTTACCAACGAGGATGAACAATTCACTGAAGTACAGAAATGGGACTGATCAACAGAACTTCTCGTCTATAAAAACAAGGTTCAATATAGTCAGTTACATTGCCTTTTGCAGTTTTTGTGTTTGTAAATACAGGAGGCTAGTGGCCCATGATTGATGTCTACCAGTTCTATCGATCCGCCATCATGTTTCTCAACGGGTGGAAATACTCATACGGCAACCTCTTCTTCAACTCCTCCTTTGTGAGCCAGTTGAAGTCCTCGAGCCCCAGCTTGTTGCCTTTTAGGTTGGCCTGTCCGGCCATGATTCTCCCCTTGAGGAAGAACACCTTCTCGCCCCGCTGCTTGATGGACGAGTCCTCGTTGAACTCGGGCTGTGTCACGATATGGGCTACGGGCACACGGCCTACCAGCCAAGTGTTCATGTTGACGCCTGCTGCGGCCTCTAGTACTCTGGCGGCGGTCTGTAAAATTTAGTTAGCGTGACGATGCTTTACATAATTAGGAGAATAGCTGGGCTTCACAAACCTCGTGTAAGTACTCATCCGTCGGCACATCTCCGCTCGGGAACTGCCATTTCCCGTCGCTGCCACGGACAAGCAGATATAAGGTCCGATCGAGCTTGCGATCTAACCTTCTTATATCATTCGTCTTGTCCGCCTCGGTGATCCGCTCCATCGGCCGCTCCACGGGCACGATTTCGTCCGGCTTGGCCTCCTCGCCGTCCTCCGTCACCCGGTTCTCGGCATCCTTGAGCAGGATTTCCCGTATCCTCTCCTCGCTGCTCAAGGAACTTCCGACCAGCAGCTCGTCGTTCCAGGCGTTACGTCCCTGCGCGTAGTATCGGCCCAGCTCCTTGGCCGCTATCCGGCCCCGCTCCTCGAATTTGATGCGCCAGTCCAGGTCGGACGCCGTGTCCTGCTTGAAGAAGAGGGTGTGGCGGAAGGGCAGCACCAATCGCTCGTTCAGGCGCTTCTGGTAGAAGTAGAATGCGTTCTCGAAGGGAGTGAGGGCGCGGGTGAGCAGAGGCGCGCGGGTCAGGATGATGCCGGATTTTATGCGGTATTCTGGTCGCCGGGATGCGGTCATGGGTGGGTGAGGCTGTGATTCGGTGGGTTTTAGGTGGTGAGCCTCGGCCATGGTGGCGGCCTCAGCATTGGCGGAGTACGGTCTGAATTGACCATTTCTGCAGCTGGCGCATATGCTGGGTGGTCCTCCTGATGGGCTCTCTTAGTATGATGTAGTATGATATAGTATGAGGTGGTAACGGGAGAGGTTGGAGGGGTTTTAGGACGTCAATGGGACGAACGTACTTTGTAATAATTTAGTGACAGCATTTCCACCTCTACTTGAGACCGCCATGGTTAGGATGAGCGTTTTGTAGTGGCTCTCCTAGGCGGGGGGTTTATGAATATGGACTTGGGAATTGTTCGTGATCGCACGATCAAATAATGAATTGGTAGGTAGGTGATGTACCTGCACCTACATACAGTAAGACCTATCGAACTTTTTTCGCGGATAAGACCCGGATAAGACCCAGATAAGATCCTTGTCTGCTTTCAGTTTAATTCGAGATTGCTGGAGAAAAGCTGCCCCAGTGCGTCTCATATCAAGCCATACGCTAGTTACAGCTGGAGCTGCCCTAGTCGCTCCAATCACTGATGTTACATGCATAGTACCTAGTACTAGGTATTGTACAATACATACACATGGCATACTACAATGTAACTTTAGCGGGTACACATGTCAACGGTATTACTGTTGTGTACGTATTTGTATGTGGCTGAAACAAATGCACTACATTGGAGTACCTTTATTTAAAGTTCAAACGGATCCGTCGGGAGGTCAACGGTATTGTACATACAGATATGTACTGTTACTATTACTGTTTTAGTCTGTTACTGGTGTATTCAACTGTATTGTACATATCAACGATTGAAAGTCGCTTCCTTAGTGGATTTCATTGGTGGCTTGATTTCAAGGTGGAACCCGCGAACGGGCAGTCGTCATCTTTCTATCCGGGGAAATCTAACATAACTTTATTCCTAGTTTCAACTTTCTTTCCTGCCCCCCAAACGAAAAATGTCAACTTGTCCACCATTCGCACCGATACCTATTCCTCCCAGATGTATTCACATTGACCATACCAGGTATTCATTACTCGTTGATAAGTATCAAATTATATACCCTACACCAACGAGTCCAACGAGCTAGACACCACGAGCTAGAATGCCAGCGACGTCATATTGGTGCGCGAAGGCAGTCATTCGTTCTCCATCATAAGAAGTTTCAATGGGATCCTCCGATTGCTCAGATGACCTGTGTATGGCGCCTGGTCTATCCACGCCCTCGGTAGTCTCAACAACCTTATCCTTGTCACCCTTCATCATCACCTTCGTTGTCGTCTCTCTTCTGGTTTCCCGGAAACTCTTTCCTCACTTATCCTACGTTCAAAGTTCTCGCGATGGTGAAGACCACTTCCTACCTTCCGATGCGCCTCCATCACTCCAACAAGCCCATGCCGAGCATGGCTCCAAATCTATACGAAGACGATTAGCAGCCGCTGCTTTCTCCACCACCATCGGCCTGGCTGCTGTTCTGGCTGAACTGATATTATGCGAGATATCCGAGTTAGTCAGCCCTCACGCTCGTGCGGTAGCTCTGCGTATTACTGTTCCCACACTTCTGTTCCTTCTCATCCTCCTCATCCCTTTCCTCGAGCTACAATCCTTAATTACTAGCTCCGGCTGGTCTTTTCAACGTACTTCCAAGGGTCGTGTACCCAGAGCTGCCTGGCTGCTTCAATTTGCGCTGTTTGGCATTTGGCTATTTGTCTTTTGGTCGCTTGGGAACTTTGTCCCAGTAGGAAGCGAAGCCGTCCTCTCCAGCACTCAACTGCATAATGTTCGAACCGAATCCGAATCCTCGGGTAGCTTAGCGCGTGCCTGTTTAGAGCGCATCGGAGTCATTGGTATTTCCCTTATGGCCTTGTTATCCGGTTTCGCCTCAGTCTCATCGCCGTGGCATACATTCGGCAGTCGTACATCACGACGTGCCGTGACAGACGTAGATATATCCCGTAAACAGGCCGGTCTTGACGCGACAAACGAGATGCTTATAACAAAAAGACATCATCTTCAGAGTCTACAGCGAAAGGTTTCCGAAGCCTCTTCGGCCGAAAAACGTGGTTTTGTTACCAAGGTTATTGGCTCTATCCGTGGCGGGGGCGATGAAGCAGAAATTCGAACACTACGTCTCGAAATTGCTGGCTTGGAAGCTATGGAAGCTAATCTATCCTCAACTCTTTCTATGCTTCGCTCGAGGCAAGCCGATTCAGCCCGCGCTGCGACGTTTTCAGGGAAGCTTCTCCTGATACCCACCTACGTATTCAGCGTATACTGTGTTTATCGAATTGTAGCGACTACTTTAACTACTTTGCGACGTCTTTACTACCCCGCTGCCTCGTTTTCTTCTTCGGACCCTATCAATCGATTCCTTGGCCTTTTGGCTAAGCACTGGGATCCAAAACTGGACCAGATTGCTTGGGCTAGGCAAATCTCGTTCCTGCTTTCCGGTGTCATACTTGCTGCCAGCGCGAATAGTGCGCTTCAAACTTTCCATCTCTTCGCTAAGTGGACACCTGGACTCTTACACCACGCACAAGCCAATATAGCCCTACTCATCGGACAGATAAGCGCTATTTACGTGATATCTGCCGCGTTGCTCTTACGAAGTAATCTACCCAAGGAAGTTGGCAGCGCTGTTGGCGACGCACTTGAGAGTGCCCTAGAACCGGGCTTCGTAGACAGATGGTTCGAGGGCTGGTTCCTCCTGGCAAGCGTAGTTACGGCTGGTGGTATATGGTTGGGTGGAAAGATCGGCGAATGGAGCGAGGAATGGGACGATATCGGGATGGAAGAAATGGGACAGAAACGATCGTAATGAAATAATACACACCATGACCAAAATCATGAAACGAGTTCTTAATGTCATCACGCAACAACACGCTAAAACATCAACCTCGTCTACCATTTATGATTTTATAACCAACGAAAGCAGTAGCATTATTGGCGCGCAAAGAAATATCAATTCCTCACCAGGGGGAACGACTACTTACTAGGTAAGTTACCTAAGCATTTGACTTACTCGAACCCGGACATCTATCTACCTGTGCCTACTATCATCGTACAACGAAACTATTTGACCTGCCACAGCAAGGTGTGACCTCCATAAGATCAGCATGCCATATCCGCTTAGCCGCACTTCCTTGAATACTTCCCCAAAAGCACGGTTTAAGATTCTAGATCAATGACTTGTGGAGGTGGCGGCTGAGGCTTACGTGCTCCATACTGATACAGCAACATCTCTACCTGTTTCCGAGCTTTCTCAACCTGATCTTCCATTCCCTCCGACTCATGCCACAGTGGTTTTGTCTTACGACAGATGTCAAGCGGATGCCAATCGCACCAGGGATATTCTTTCTCTTCTCCATGAGGCAAATCTCCGTTGGGTTCGCCAATCATGTTCGCATCACGACCTTCGATAAGCAGACTCTGTACCCAAGAATCCTCGAGATAACTCACGGCTTTTTGAAGCGGTGTGAATCTGTAGCCCTTTGGGTGTGGATCTGCACCTCTCTCAAGGAGCATCTTCAGGAGCTGGCCAGTCACCATATCATCACCACCGAAGCCTTGTTTATTTCTATATGGGTCTTGGAGAGCTATGTACACAATGTCGGGTTCATTTTCGAAGTTCGCCCCGGCGTTGATGAAGAGTTCGAGGAAGTCGAGTCGCTTCCACACGACACACATATAAAGTAATGTTATACGCTCTCCTTTATGGAAGACGTTCGGAAGGGAATCGTCATTAGGTGGATCGATCGTGAACTCGTCCGTCCACACAGCACGCTTTTCCCTAGGTGGAAGTTTCTCGTAATAAGAACTTTGCAAGTACTTCTGCGCAAACTCCGGCCACTCGAGCAACATCAGGCTAGCTAAAGTCCCAGTCGGTCGTGAAGTATCTCTGGTCTTATTGTTGGGCGGTGCTTGCTGCGAGATAGTATCAATCATGAACAGCTTCCTCCACCCCTTAAGTTTTTGGCGTATGTTTGTATTTGTGAGGGCTTTAATGTGTGGACTGCCAGGTATTAGACAAGCCACGACGGAATCAAATAAGTCCTGGTCATTGACGATGATACTCCTTCGGCTCCCCCTGAGAGCCTGATCAGCCATTACGAGACAGTGCTCCTCGTATCGAGTTGGATACTTTTGACCCTGGGGGCGATTTCGGCCCCATTGCCGCAAGCCATTGAACACAACCTGTATCTCCAGCTTCCGGACATCGGTTTCTGACACAGCAAATTCTCCTGCTGGCCTGGTCCCGTTTAATCTTGGTGGCGCAAACAGAAACTCCCTTACGGTGTAATGGGCAAAGCTGACTTTTTGAAGAGGCATGACTTCTTCGTCGCGTCGGAAGAGGGAAGTAGGCCTCTTCTTTATGTCTGTGGTCTTGATCAAGCAGCCGAGGATATCCTTCAAGGTTTCTGTGGTATACTTGTGTATAATGCCATGTTGCACGTTGTGAAGTGACGCTTGTACGAGAACATCCGCGCTCTTGATGTTTGTGGTGTTGCTGCATATAAGCGTAAGAGCCGTACGAGCGAAAGCGCGCTCCTGAGTGGTTCCGAGGATCCTTTCGTACGTGTCGAACAAGGTCTCCGGCAAATCTCCAAGAGCCTCCATTACCAGGTCCTTATCAAGTAGGCGCTCAAGGATGTTGATTTGGCACGCAACCCATCGAAACCTAGACAAGACGTCAGCAAATCTCGAAGGGTCAAGCAACGATCCTACACTCACATTCCTCTAGCATTCCTTGCCAGCATAATTCCTACCCTCTCTTTGAAATGCGGGTCCCATACCTTGAACCTCGTACTTCTCGCGAGTTGTTTCCAGACATACGTTTGTATTGCCTGCATGACGTCGGCGTTTTCCATCGTGATCTCCGTATAGGGATCAGGTCTATCCTCATCATAATACGCGAGATAGTGCATTTTATTATGATGAGGACCATCATCCATGCCAATCGTCGTCATGGCCTCCCGGATGTCCGGCTCGTCACGGCTCGTCATCAACAACGACACGTGGGCGAACTCAGGGGCCGTGCCAATCTTGATCAGTACGTCGAGTAGCCTCTTTCGTGGGGGTTTACTTTCGTCGACGGCATCTACCACCAAGTAAACCCGCCGACCCTGCCGCATGTAATTGCGAGAGAGGGCCAGGAAGCAATTCATTAGGCCCGGGATGGTGAACTGATCTGTCTGACTAAGTTCATCCAGCTCCTTCGGGATGAACCGCTCTACCTGTCGGCTCAGGTCTCCGATGATCCAGCGCAGGAAGGACATCGTCTCGTCTTGGTTATGCTCATTATGACAATAATAATACGAGCACCCAGTGGCTCGGCAATGTCTCGCGATGCTGTCGATGAGGAACGAGGCCAGGACTGTCTTGCCGGCGCCCGGGATGCCGTATATCCAAATGAAACGGCGGTACCCGCCGGGTTTGTCGGAGCCCCCGCCGAGCCACTGGTTCCAGCCTTCAGACTGGGTCATCCACTCGCACGTCTCATCCTCTTGCTTGTCGTGCTGCTCGCGGTGGAACTCGTACATGTCGATGTTCTTCGGCTTCAGCCAAGACAATACCCTTCGCTTTCCACCGTCTGTTTCCGAATCATGTCAGCAATAACCCAACCCCCTTTTCTTTCTCCAAGAGTCGAACAAAATCTTACCATCTAAAGTTGCTTCGATATCCTTTACACTGGTGCTGATAGCCGTGAGGTTCATACTATTCGGTGATGCTTGTTAGCATTAGCCCAGAATAAACTCCTGCCTCTCTTTAGGCAAAATCTTTATACTTACGAATTATCAGCCTGGACGATCAAGCTGAGCTGGGTCTTATGTCTTTCGAGCCGCTGCAGCAACTCTTCCGCTTTGCGCTTCTGGAATACCGGCCACTTCAGTCTCGCCTTGAAAGACATCGAAGCCATGGTACGCTTGGGCGGGTGTCCTCCTGCTGCTGGTGCTGCTGGTGCTGCTGGTGCTGCTGGTGCTGCTGGTGCTGCTCTTGTTGTTATTGCTGGGGTCGGTGGCCTCGATGAAGACGACGGTCTCGTCGTGGACGACCTCGGCGGGAGGTTTTGTGGATATGCCCCCGCGTAGCCCGCATGCGTGTACTGGGGGCCCATCTGCGCCAGCAGCAGACTCGACATCTGGGATGAGGTGGGCCGCGGGCTATGGTATTTCTGCGCGTCCTGTGCCGGCGCCTCCCGCGCCACCGCGTACCTAGCGTACGGCGACGACGTCCGGTGGGTTTTCGCGGGCGCGTCTCTGCGGGCCTCCGTCATCGTCGTGTCCCCGCCCTCCGGCATCACCAGCTTCTCCAGCTCCCGCAGCGTCTCCTGGCACTGCATGAGGCATTCTTCCAGCGAGGCCTGGGCGGCGGGGTCGATACCCTCCTCGAAAGTCATGCTGAGGGTCTCCAAGACACCTTTTAGCGTGTTCGCCTCGAGCCGGATGCTCTTGATTACCTGGGGCGCGTCCTTCACGTTCTGCAGGTACTCCGTGAACCCCATGACGACCTGGGCGGCTAGCCCGAGGGTACCGGGGATCAGGGTTATGGGGTCGGGCATGGTGGTGGTGGATGTCTAGGCACCCTAGGTAGTAAATGGTACGAGGAAGAGTAAGGTGGCGACTCTGATGGAAAGTGAGGGAAGGGGGGAAAGAATATACGGTTCGGGCTATAAAGCGACCTGGTTATAGGTATAAATATGGCGTTTTGTGTGCTACCTACCTGGGCATGTGGGTGGGTAAGCGTTCAGGGGAACAAATTCATGGAAACAGGAAGCGTACCTACCTAAGTTAGAAACATTGATGGCTATAGCCATCGCTACCTAGCAGTGGGATACATGCTGCAGGCCAGCTACCAAAGCTACAATGATAGGTAATAACAACAACAACAACAACAACAACAACAAGCAGAAACCGCGTGCTTCTTTCTTCCTTGCTGACAATGCTTGTTACTGTCCTGGCAAACATGACGGGAGTGCTCTGTATGATGCAGTCTTTCGCCTCAAGATAAAAACAGGTCCCTATTTTGGGGGGGGGGCATATAGAGTAATTTGTAATAATCGTTATTCCTCTTTTCTTTCTTCTATACCACCTACCTTGACGTATCTTCTACGAAATGTAAATCATGCCCCGACTTTGCATACTTTAGTAACCTAGATAAATACCTACCATCTCCTAGGCACTCATCCAGAGATTACTCCAGGCATTGAAGTTCAACCCCCCCCCCCATCCCCCCCTATCCCGAGCACCTAGGAGATACCACATCTATTACCTACCACCAAGCCCTTACAAAAAAAAATTTTCAAGAATAATTGGTCATTATATTGGATAGTAGGTTACCTACCTACCTACCTAACCTAGGTAGGTAGATACCAAGTAGCATTATATCATCGTAGCGAAACAATCCTTCTTCCCTTGAAAAAAACAACAACAACAACAACAACAACAACAGTAGAATAAACCTTTAGTACCTAGGTAACTAAAAAAGAAAATAATCAAAAGAGCCTCCTGATATCTTCCTTTCCTTTCCTTTCTTTTCTTTTCTTCTCTTTTCTTCTTCCTTCGTCATCCCTACATCTCTACACTCATTCGTTACAAAAGCCCCGACGCATCAACATCATCGAGGCTCCCTGAAAATAGAAAAAATAAAAATAAAAAACCGGCTGGTCTTCTATTTTGTGTACACACACACACACACACGTTCACATCTCTCTCCCTCTCCCCTTCTCCCCTTTCTTTTCTTTTCTTATCCAACATCCAACATCCATCCATTCCACTCTTACTCAGCCGTCCTCCTCCACAAATCCCGCATCTGAATAACCCCCGGCACCGTCGCGATCGCGCCCACCGCCAACTCACTCAGCAACCCCCCCTCCGTGCTCCAGTGTACCGTAAGCGGCGCCCACGCCAAGTTCCTCGTCAAGCTCTTCGCCCACGTGTCGCTCCACTCCTGCTCCTCCCGCTGCACCTCCGCCGCCGTCTTCTGCTGGACGCTGGTGCCGTCGGGGGCAGTGGTGATGCCGAACTTCTCGGCGCGGGAGCGGCGCCCGCGCTTGCGGGACTCGTAGAAGAGGCGGCCGATCTCGACGCCGACGAAGGCGGCCCAGAAGCGGGCGCTCCACAGGGAAGCCTTCTTCTGCGTCGCGGGGGACCACCCCAGCACGCCCTTGGCGGAGAGGAAGGCGCCGTTCTCGAGGGCCTGGAAGACGATGCCCGTTGTGACTTGGACCCAGGAGATGGCCGTCTCGATGCCGTCGTCGTCTTTCTCCGCTACACCACCACTACTCTTCTCGATCTCCTTGCTCTCGCTATCCGCCTTCTTCGCCTGCTGCCGCCGCGCCCACCGCTTGACGACGAGCCTCCGCAGCCAGAAATACATATTCAGCAGCCCCCACAGCCTCAGGAACGTCCTCGCCTCCGTCAACATCCCGCTCAGCGCCCTGAGCCTCTTGACCGCGCTCAACGCGCCCGCCACCAGCGCGCTCTGCGAGGGGAACAGCGCCGCCTTGCCCGCGAAAACTAACGTAGCCGAGGGCGGCAAGCTCGCAGCAATAGCGATGAATCGCTGGGCGCTGCGGTGGATGGCGGGGCGGGTGAGCAGGGACTCGAGGAGGGAGGCGCCGAGGCGGGAGCCGTAGCAGAGGAAGAGCAGGGTGGTGTCGATTCCCGAGGGGGTCTGCAGACAGCGCTGGAGGTGGGCGAGGAAGGCGTCGGCGTGGGAGGGGGCGGCGGCGAGGTAGGCGGCGATGGGGAGGGAGGAGGGGATGGAGGGGAGGGGCTCCGGCTTGGGTGCCGGGACGGGGGCGGAGGAGTCGGGCACCGGGTCCCCGGAGGGAAGGTCCGCGGACGTGGAGGTTGGCACGACGGCCTCGATTTCGGTGGCGCTCATTGTGGATGATTGGGGGGATGTTTCTTTTGGGTGTTGTTTGTTATTTGGGTATGTGGATTGATTGGATGTATAGAAATGCAAGTGTAGGTATATGCCTAAGTAGGTAGGTAGATAATAGGTAGGTTAAATTGTAGGTAGGGAGCGAAGAAGGGAGACAAGACAAAAATGCCGAAATGCGGCCTCTATTATCGATCTAAGGGGGAAGGAGGGGGATTTCGATATACTTGTTGCTTGTTCAATGCTGCTTGTGGCTTGTGCTTGTGCTTGTGCTTTTGCTTGTACAATAAATACTTCAATGTTGGGTATAAAGATCTAACTCAGAGAGCAAAAACCAACTTGAACAAAGCGTAAGAAGGTACCAAAATCATAAGCAATGCAATCGCAATATAGTTGTATCAAAAAGATGCAAAAAGCGCATTTCGCGATAGAAAGAAAAGATCATTAAAGGTTCAAGTTACAATGTCAATACGATAATACTACTACACTATGTAGTTACATATGTAGGTCAAAATTGCATGGATATGCCTTGCATACAGCTTTGCCTAGGCTGCTCAGGTACCTCGGTTCTCCGGCTCCATCACTTTTTTGTCTCCATATTATTAACCTAATAAGTTAGCGGTTTAGCCAAATTGCCAGACCATCTACCGCCTTTCATTCTCCCGAACCCGCCGAATCACCCAGACCAGTGATACTGAACTGAATAATTATCATCACATCTCCTCGTTTCTTTTCTTTTCTTTTCTTTTCTTTTCTTTGTTACATAGTTTAGACAGCTCTAGTTTTGGTGTCTCTAGTGTACAATGTCGTGAGCTTTACACTCTTCTTTGCCTCCTGAGTATGCTTAGGTGCCTATTCTTACAAGCCCACTCTCCTCCCGAGTCCCTTTCCTACTTTGTAGTATTAAAGCACTAAACTTGTCATCAATCAAAATACATATCACACATTAAGGCCTTGTTTGCCATGCTTCTCTCCCCAACCTTGCGAACCTCCCCTGAGGTGATGATGCTACTTCGTAATAAAACCACTCGTAACGCCAACCTTCTGGTATCATCTCGCCCCGTATTTTTAAAGCAAAAAAACATTATCGACTCTCGGTCATAGTGTACATCCTGTAAACAGGTACGGCATATGGCACGGTGCTATTGCAACAAAATGGCAACCACCAAAATTCCAACTGCCAGTATTCTCGCCTCATATCCTAAACAGATAGCCTCCGAGTCTTGAATAGGCGATGGATCGAATGGGCTACCGCCAATGAAAGGCTTTGGCCTAGCCTCTTGCGTGCTGGCAGATGACGTCGCTGGCGGCGTTTGAACTGCCTCGCTAGTCGCCGTAGGTGAAGGCGTAGGCGAAGGTGAAGGTGTGGTTTGTATCGTGGTTGTGGTGTCTTCGGTTGAGGAACTCGGAGCCGGCAGCGAAGTGCTGACTAGTGAAGTGCTCTCCGCATCGGAGCTTGATATAGACAGGGTTGTCTTTGACTGCGTTTTTTTGGAACTGCTCGTGGTACTGGTAATGTCATCCGACGTACTTGTCGGTATCGTACTGAATCCCTTCGTAGATGTAGGTTGCACAGTTACTCTCACTGTCGTAGTTCCGGGCGACCCAGGGCATAGGGCATTAACTACACCACCCGATAGAATAATTCCAAGCAGCGAACCCGAAGTGACACTGAGATCGCCACAAGCTCCTTCTATTGTGTCCGCCGCCTTCTGCAGCCCCGCCACACAGCTCGCTGAACACAGGTGCCCGTCCGTGAAATCACTCCTCTTGCAACCATCAATGTTGGCTTGGTAGGCGCGAATGCAGCGTTTCGATATTTGGCCCGACGTTATGAGCTGAAATTGGGACATGTTGAGTGCTGAAGCGATCGGGCTCGAGGCCACGGCTAATAGTGCCATAAAATTTAGAAACCGCTTTCGCGGCCGCGGGCGGCGATGCGCCATCTTTGAGAAGAATCCCTTTCGTACCAAGTTAATCTTTTAGAACTTTGTCGAAGTCGAGGGCTATAGTAACACGATATGTCGCTTTGGGTGATGGCGGGTATTCCAGGGACTCAAGAGGCAATTGACCACGATGTTTATCCCAATAGGAAACGAACCTATGACATATGCGAAGCCGCCGGGCTACCTGATACCCTTGTCAAACGAATTAACCGTAACGTGGAAAAGTCCAGGCCGATCGAGGAAACCCCCAGGTCGAAACACAAGCTGTGTCAGGTCGGAGGATGTACTAGTCGTAAGAAACTTGACTCTAATACTTGGTTTCTCGATGGTTCTTCCGTGCCGATCTTGGTTACTAGGTTCTCTCCGCCATAAAAGCAGTTGATTTCAAGGATGCGAAAGCTTAGATAAACCTGTACCTTGTGTTGGTGGTGATATCAAGAACTCCTTCTAAAAACCAATAGCACGTATTGCATATGTAGCAATCAACAGATTTCAAGAACAAAGGGAATTAAAGTCGTCCGGTTCGATCCACGGGGTAGAGTATTCTCATATAAGGAGGTCCGTGGTGCTCGTCCTTTGGCGTAGGGTGGCAAGGAGCGAGACGCGAATTTGTAAGAGGGCCGAACAGCAGGTTAGAGATGGGAGGAGGCGGGTAGAGCAGGCGAAGCAGTAGACCGCACTAATTATAGGCACCCAATTTGTGGGAATAATGGTAAGAAGGGAAGGAGGGGGCTTTGGTGACATTCAAAGAATACGAAATGGAAATGGGAATGGAAATGGGAATGGAAATACTAGGTAGGCGCCGGCCTAGTAGGTACCTAGTAGGTATGTATTAGAAAATATAGATGTTGAATAGAAGAAAGCACAGCTTCTTTGATTTTAGTTACACAAAAAGAACAACGGAAAGCTCAAGCCATTGTAAAGAGCGATGACGGAAATCCAGGGCATCGAAGGAAAGAGAAAAAAGAGTAGACGTAGTAGTTAGATAGTTCTTACCTATTCCTATGAAGGAAGGAGGGAGTGGGGGAAAAGCCAGCCAGGACTTGGAGGCAAGTTGGAGCGTTTACCTAACTATTTCATATCGTGAACTTGCCATCTTAGCGATCTTAGCGATTTTACAGGGTATAATTGGTTACCGTCGACTTTATACCCCCTGACCCTGGGGACCAATCGTATGGGAACATCCGATCTGTGAATGGTGCCCCAGGATTAATTCTCCTCTGCCTACTGCTAAAGATACAGTGAGCCAATAGAATTAGGACAATGATGTAGTGAAGAGGAAACGAAACACTTTGGGTGTTTGAGGTGCCGACTAACTTTCCCCCTTGCTGGCCGTTTCATTGGCCCAAACCGACGTTTGTTCTTGGTGAAATGTTACTTTGTACTTTAAGTCACTTTAAGTCACCTGACATGTGCTATTTATTTAACTAACCCTAGGGTATGATTCATTCTTAATCATGTTCAATACTACATACATACTAGTAGTATAACCAAAGCAACTTGAAAGTGAGCACTACCTATTATTCAGTAGGCATAACCCTATTGATAGAAGCCGGCATATGCTTCTACACTGCCTGCATTTTTTCAAGTTACACCATGTACATACTTACAACTGAGTCATTCGCCGGCTTCAATGTTGTTCGAGGCTTCGAGCCAATCCAAGGTCTAGCTGCATTACAAGTGTCTGAAGGCTTTCATTATAAAAGTCTAGCACCATACACCCTCGAGCAATACAGCTGAGAATGATATTGAGCAACGCCGTGCTAGATAGTTGCTAGTTCAGCTCTACGCCACAATATTTCTTATCACGCCCGGACTGCAGACCCCAGTGGAGTATACGATTCGCTTCATTTCCCCAACTCTTTAATATGGCACCACTCAGCCGAGAGGAAATCACTTCGCAAGTCTTCCAAAGTCTTGCGGGGACACCCTTTGAAGCCTCATCTCTAGATGTGCTTTCAGGGGGCACGGCTAATTTCATATACTGTGCAACCCTGTCACAGCCACTGGAGGACGGGACGAAAGAGGTTCTCATCAAACACTCTGAAGACTATGTTGCGAACAATCCCAACTTCAAGTTGACCCTGTCTCGTTGTGTATGAAGGACCTATTAGAAGAAGCTTAACTATTAGGCAAGCTTTTGCCATCATGCTGACTATTCGTAGCGTATTGAAGAGAAATGTCTCGAGGCTCTATCAGCTTTTCCCATTATCGGGAAAGCAAACGAGAATGATCCTTACAATTTTAGTGTAAGGACGCCCAAAGTATTCCACTTTGACGAGAAGAACAATAGCCAAGTTCAGGAGTATCTACAGAACGGGATCGATTTGAAGACCTATGCATTGAAAACTTACCTTGGATCTGATTCGGAGACGACAAAATATCAATGTCTCCAGCTTGGAAAGGCCCTGGGGAGTTGGCTTCGAAGGTTTCACGATTGGGCTGCGCAGCAGTCTGAACTACGAAATGTGGTCGCAGGGAACGAAGAAATGCAGCAGCTCAAGCATATGATCAACTTTTCGTGGCTACTAGACCGAGTTAAACAGTTTCCCTCCATCCTCAGCGATGCCGAGAGCATCTTTGAAGAGGTCAAGAAAATGGCAGCTTCGGAATTAATTGATGAAACTCAGCTACAAGTCATTCATGGAGATTTCTGGTCAGGAAAGTGGGTGTTCTTTCCATATTTACCGTATATATGTATAGCGCTAATAGCACACCCAGCATTCTTCTACCCAAATACCCAATCCAGGAGGGCAGTGATACACCCGTGTTCGTTATTGACTGGGAATTGTCACAACTAGGAAAGAAGGAATTAGATCTTGGCCAGATGATCGCTGAGCTGTACGAACTGAAGCTATACAAGGGTATGCAGGGCGGTTTATGGATGGTCCAGGGATTAATATATGGTTATGGCACGGTGAACGAAGACTTTATTTTCCGCACGGCAATTCAATTCGGGACCCATTTAGTCTGCTTTGGGACATCGGTCTCAGGTTGGGGCACGCCGGAGCAGGTAGAAAATTGTGCGCGCATCGGAAAGGAGATCATAGTACATGCGTGGAAGAAGGATCGTCGTTGGTTTGAAGAGGGCGAACTTGCTTGCTTGTTTAGTACGAAGTAGAGCTGGGTAAGCCTAATTTATTGATGGCCATGGTGAATAGAACATACCGACTTCGATTGAAATGGACCCCAAGGTTCAATAACAATGAAACCCATTTTCTAAATGCTCTAACCAGCTGATCAAGTAAGAAATTGGCAAGAAACTACATACATCCAGGGCTACTACATTCAGGGGCGAAACTCGGGGAACACTTTAGCACGTGATCCACCGAGAAATAAATTCGCAATGAGTCAAACTCAAAGGTTTTCTACTAAATTATTTCATAAATTATTTCATAAACCTACAAGTCTTAAAGTTGTTATTAATTCCATCAGATAAGCTCTCAGGAAGTTATTGGCATTGAAGAACTTGTGCTATCATATTGCTCATATTTCTTCGTGCCAAGCAAGGCCATTAAGAGGAACATAGAAAAAAGGTTGCATCGTGGCCGATGACGACAGCGGCAGCAACCCCGGCAGCGGGGTCTTGTCGGCCGTGCAACCGGTGCAAAGAACATGAAGGCACCATAGATCTCCGAGGCGCCGAAAGGGTGTGCCAGTACGTTATTTTCATGCACATGAACACCCATACACTATCGAATATCACTAACCGCAAACCCACAGAACCTGCTTCGCCTACTACGTCTCCAGCAAAGCGATCAAGCGCCTGGAGGTGCTGCAGCGGAAGGAGGCGACGGCGGGGTCACAGCAGCAGCGCGGGTCCCAGGGCCGCGACAGAAGGCCGCAGCGGTACCTCGTCGCGCTGTCGCGCGGCCCTTCGTCTACGGCCCTGCTGCACGTGCTGACGGAGAACGTGCGCCAGCAGCGCGCGCGCGGGATGACGGTTGCGAGGTTCGAGTATGTTGCTGTGCATGTTGTTGTCGATGAGGGGGAAATGGAAAGGGAGAAAGAGAAGGAGGAAGGGGAAAAGGAGGATATCCTATCGCCCTACCGCGCCCACTTCCCCGAAGCAGAACTCCTCACCGTGCCCCTGAGCTCGGCGCTGCAGCTTTCCTCCGTCGACTGGACGACGCTCCCACCGCGAGATGACTCACTGCCCCCGGCGCAGCAGCTCCAGGACATCCTGCGCCGCCTACCCTCAGCAACATCGCGCGCCGATATCCAGAGGCTATTGGTGCGCCACGTGCTCGTCGCGGCGGCGGCGGAGCAGCGGTGCGATGCGTTATTGCTGGGCCATAGCACGACGTCGCTGGCGGAGCTGACGCTGAGCGAGACGGCGAAGGGGAGGGGGTTCTCGCTGCCGGGGCTGGTGAATGACGGTGTCGTGCCTGTTACCGTACCCGTACCCGTTCCCGATAGCAAAAATGGTGATAGCGATAGCGGCTCTCCCCACTCCCCTGCCACCAATACAACAAGAACCCTCCCCATCTACAGCCCCCTCCGCGAGCTCTTCCGCAAAGAACTACTCACCTACCTCTCCCTCGCCGACCCCCCACTACCCCCTCCCCTCTTCGCCTCTAGCAGCGGTGGCAACAGCGGTAAGATCGGCGGCGCGGTAATCTCCCACCGCGACCTAAGCATCGACGACGTGCTGGCGCGCTACTTCGCCGACGTCGAGACCAGCTACCCGTCCGTCGTCGCGAATGTCGTGCGCACGACGGGGAAGCTGTCGCGGCGGCCCGACGGCGCACCTGCTTCTTCTTCTTCTTCCTTGCCAACCCCGCCGGCATCGGTAGCTGCGGGAGGGAATGGGAAAGAGGAGAAGGGAGGAGGAGAAGGTAGACGATGTTGTGGTCTCTGCGCCGCGGCGCTGGACGAGCAGGGCGATGAGCGGTGGAGGGGGGAGATTGGGGGTGGTGTGGAAGAGGAAGAGGAAGAGGAAGAGGAAGACGCAGTGGAGGAGAATGGGGAGGGCGAGGACAATAAAACTATAAAGAAGAGGAGGAAGAGGCTTTGCTACGGGTGTGAGAGGTCGGTTCGTGGGTAGGGAGAAGGCGTTGATGATGATGATGATGATGATGGGGAGGAAGGAATAAATAAATAAATGAATAAAAAGGGGGAGAAGATCTAACTACAAATCTCGAAACCAAATGCGTGGACCTTCGTGGATAGATCAGATCATAATGATCATCATTTTGGCATTTACTCACTTCGCTACCTACTAGGTACTCTAATACCCTTTCGCATGCAGCTATTCCACCTACCTACTCCTACCTTCCCCACAACTAGAGCCTCAATATACCATCTCTCACCATATCCTACATAAGAAGAACCGTACCTAGTAATGTGTCGCTCAAGTACCTAGGTACACCTAGGTACACCTAATACATCAACTTCGCCAACCCCCTCACCATCCATCCATCCATCCATCCATCCAGCGCACCTCGTTTGCTAGAAAAAAAAACCCCCCCCGGAAGAAAATATATCCCATCCATCCCAAGAACCTGGCATTACCATCGCCATCGCCATCGCCATTGTCATTGCCCCTCGAGGGGTCATATATATCTAGTTAGGTAGGTAGGTAGGTAGACCTGATAACTAACTACCTAGTACCTAAGTGCCTAACCAAAAAACCCAAGTCTACTATGTATGTACATGTATGTATGTAGGTACGCGCCCATAACTATTTTCGAACCCAAAGAAACCGACCACACCCCCCCCCCCCCTCAAAAAAAAAAGGGGGGGGATGGGGTAGTTATAGAAAAGGGAAAAATCTCATCTCATCTCGTCTTCCCACACATAATCTTAATCTTAATCCTCAGGTAAAGCTTTTGAAGATGCTTCTGTTTTTCTTTTTTTCTTTTTTCTTTTTTATAACTTTCATTTAATTTCTTATCTCTTTTATTCTTTTCTCCCTTTCTTTTTTTCCTTTGCCTCTAGAAACAAACCATACCATTTTCTCCGTTCCGAGGGAAAACAAAAAACCAGAGAAAGTCCGAAAAGGCCCCCCCCTTACCTAGGTAAAGAAGAATCCCACCTCTACAGTACCTCCCCATCTGCCTTCTCCTTTACCAGACCCACCTACATCAAGCCCGCCAACCAAAAAAAAGCGCATTAATTCAACGACGACTCAGGCAAGAACCTGCGCTCGACCTTGCGGATGAGCTTGTTGGTCTGCTCGGCGAGGCTGAGGGTGAGGATGGTGTGGGGGAGGATGCGGGCGAGGTGGGGGAGGAAGCCCTTATAGATGGCGAGGAAGCCCTCGGTGCGGATGGTCTTGCCGAGGCAGTCGAACACGCCCTTGTATAGGTTCCCATTTTGGTTGTAGAGGCGGGACATGATCGTGTCTGCGGGGTTTTGTTAATAAAAGTTCCATTGCGTAGGTAATTATAGAGGAGGGGGAGCTGATTTGGGAGAGGGATGTAAGAAATGAAAAATACGCACCAGGAGGATGCATGCAAAAGCACACGACAAACCCAGACACCGTACTGCTAGCCAGATGCAGCGGCGCGCCCTCCTCCATGCCCAGATGCTTGACCAGCCTCCTCTTCGCAAAGAAGTACGTCGGCAGCTGCACCGAGCTGCCGAACCCCGTTCTGATCATCGCCGCGCCCACGCCCCTATACAGGCCCCTGAACCCTTCTCCCCGATAGATCTGCGCGAGCCCATCGAAGGCGTTGCGGTACTTGTGCTGGGTGCCTACCGGCAAGAACGGAGAAAAGCTCTGGAGCCTGGTCTTCACGAGGAAAAAGGGGCTACCCGCGGCGGCGCCGATGATGCCGGAGGAGGCGCCGCAGAACATGTTGATACCCAAGTTCTGCTTGGCGCCGTCGCGCAGGAGCAGGGTGGCGAGCCCGTTGCGCATGGGCTCGTAGAAGCCGAGGCGGCACCCGTTCAGCAGCACCTGGTAGACGTAGGCGCACCCGATGCCGCGGTAGATGCCGCGCAGCCCCTCGTTCCGCACGATGACGCCGACGCCGTGTAAAGGCCCCCGGTAGTGGTGCGGCTGGTGGCCTTTGGTCTGGAGCTCGCCCTGCAGCTGCATTCTGGTGGTTTGGCGAGCATTGCGTCAGCCAAGCTTTCTTATGTTCTGTTCTCTGCATTCTATATTCTTTTCTTTTCTTTCTTTTATGCTTCTTCCTCAAGTAATTGTGGGACTATGTATGTAGGTATGCATAAGATCGCATATCTGCCAAAAGAACCCCCCCCCCAAAAAATAACTCTTTGTGTAATGGAGTGTTGTAAGGGAAAAGGGTATAGTAGGACAAAATGGTATGCGTACCGAATCTTGACTGTCTCGAAGGGATGCGTAGCCGTGACGGCACCACAAGCGGCTATGCCGCCAGCTATGAAGGCCCTACAGGTCGCATAGAGAGCAATATTAGCTTATAGAAGCTTGTAAGCAATTGGGGGGGGTCATTTGAGGGTCAGTCATACCCAGCAGTCGTCGACATGGTGTCGTCCCGAGCGGTCCGTTCACCGCGCAATTACTCCCTGTGAGGCTCTACAGTGGATAGGTATGTTATTATGTAGGTATGTATGTTATGTTGGTAGAAAAATTAATTAAGGAAGGGTATAATAGTATAAGGTTAGTTAGTTAGTAGGACGTAAGGTGTGTTAATGGGAGCGGGATCGGCTTAACACGGCGTACGGTACGTCGGATCGACCCGAACTAATAAGGTTAGGTACCTAAATAAATTATACCAGGATATTTCAATTGCTGGTTAAATAACTCCAACTTAATTGTACCGTTTCCAACGTTACCCAGGTAAGATCAGGTAAGATCATTGATATCTCAAAGATGAGACAAAGTTGAACTTTTGACTTGAATAAATCTAATTTTGTGTCTTTTGTTGCGTCTTTCTTTTTAAACTAGATACCTACTATTTAATACCTCTGGTACCTACATAGGTTAACAATGAATCACTCTTAAATCCATTGATACACATGGATATGCATTTGCTGACTCTTTGAGTGAAAAAGAAGTCATGTTGAAAGAATTTAACAGTCCCTACACTAATAATGCTTCTCCGAGCTCGCAGGTCTTTTTACATAGATAAGATAGTACTACCCTAGGATAGTACCTAGGACGGTAGTAGGACCATGTATGTACATACATGTAGGTACAACATTGAATACCTACAACGTAAACACGGACTAGACCGATGATCTTGGCTGATATCAACTCAGTTTACATATGTAGATGCCTAGGCAGGTACTTACACATCACCCTGAATTGAATTAACTTGAAGATAATCTAAAACACACCTGATGTGTATGCCCCCATTACGCCTCGCCATGCAGTAGGTACTATGTAGACCGCTTCTCTTGGTGACCCTCCATGCACATACTACGTACGTTGCACAACAGGTCCCTGATCTCTCGTCATGTCTGATCTGATAATTGCTTCGAGCCTCGTGATATTATTACGACTTGAATGCATTCTATACCGCGCGCCTTCCATCGGCACGTGCTCTGCTAACATCGTATCCTATCCCCCCAAAAGAGGAAGATATATATAAAAAGCTTAATAAAAGGTCTGCGTAGGGGACCTAGGGGACCTAGGGAACCTGATGTCCTCGGTGCTAAAGAATTTCCCATACTTCTTGGTTGGTTTCTAGATAGCAGCTTTCGACTATCCTGTCTCGTCGCCATATCACACCGTCGTACTCTCACTTCTGACGATTTTTCTTTTCGTCTGAACTCGGCATTAGGTTCGCTGAGCCTGTGAGCTTTGTCTTCTCACTCACCTTCTTCCTCGGGCAGGAAGTAAGACATGGTGCGTGTAATATGGATATAGGCGTCGACACTATGTCAGCTAATGACATCCATGATCCCTCCCCTTTGTATCCCTTCCCTCCCCCACCATGGCCCCCCTAGGAAATCCTTGGGGAATTTCGCGTAGATCATTAACTGAACCATCGGTAGCTCATCTCAAAGACTGCCAAAAAGGGTGTTTGTCCCAAGCCGCCTGGTATTGGTATGGGCTGAACAAGTCTTCGGCTGCACATTAGGTAGGGAGGGAGTGCAGTGTGTAAGGTAGTGTCAACGTAGACAGCCCTTTCCCCTTAGATCCTTCGTTCAAATCGACGGATGAAGGTGGCAATAGGCTCAGATAATAAATATATTGAGACAGTAACAAAGCCGATAACCCTTCTACGATCGATCGACTTCTCCTTGTGCTGCGGCATCTAGACTACTCATGCCCGGTTGTCTGGTGCTTTCTTGGCTTACTCGTTCGGGATTACCATCAAACACCCACGGACCCGCATCGTTGCGCGGTGTGATTGGACCTTCGTGGCCATTGGCTAAGAGGTTGCTGTTCGGTGATGGCGTGCGATTGGTTGCAGACCGATCACCCTCAGTTGCGCGGGGTGTTGCATTGGGTATCGGGACCGGTTCTACCATGGTGTGCCTGGACGGACTTGGTTGCACCACCGCGCTCGGGTTGATAAGCATTGTCATATCGCCCGCCTCGCCCTCGATGGTCGGCGGCTGTACGCTGCCGTTGGTATTCGTTTGCGAAGTCTCGAGCGCCACAATCTCGTCATTGTCTGGAGCTGCGGGGCCCGCCGACTTTTCTTCCTGAGTATCTTCTACGCCCGAATCTAATTGTTGCCAGTCATCTGATGGCTCGTCCACTTCTGCATCCAGGTCGGCAGTAGCTCGGCAATTCGGGCATATGAATATTGGCCACGATGGTCCACTTAACATTTCACGAATGCACTTGTAATGCCATGTATGGGAACATGGTGCAACAAATAGAGATTGGCAGGGCTGTAAAAACAAACTTGTTAGTATCCTAATCATCGTAGTAATCGCATGGAATCGTATTACATACTGCAATCGCATTCAGGCAAATAGAACAATCTTGCGCATGAGATGATGTGGATGTCGAGGTTAAGTCTCGTAAGCGCTTGTGCGTTGCCATGCTGCCAACTTGTTAGTCATTTAGGCCTTTAGAAGGTAGGAGGGGAGAAAACCGGCCATAGAAGGCCTGATATCAAGTATCGTGAAATGAACTATCCGACAAAAAAGGTAAGAGGCATAGGATGATGCATACTTGAAGGTATTAGGCTTGGATTGCCAGCCCCGATTCAACTCTATCCGCATCTTGACGCATCGGTAGATCATCTCCTCTCCGCCTTTGAAGTCTATTCCAAGTTGGACAATGTCACCATCGTTGATAGGAAATGGCTTAGATTCGGTGCCCGGAGCGCTGAGACGAATATGATTGAGAAATGTCCCGGAAGAACTTTTGACGTCCTTGATATACCATTTTCCCTTCTCGAACCAGAACTCGCAATGACGGCGGCTCACTACCTTACTCTTGAAGCCAACGGGGGCCGCAGATGGTGTATTGATAGGAATAGGGGCATGATTTTCTCGCTCGGAATATCGGCCAACCTTGATTGTTTCCTTGCCGGTAGGTAGCGTTCGTGAAATTGGGGTGAAGGATAAAGAGGGCCGATTCGATCGTGCGTCGTAGAATGCCGAGAATCTTATGGTGGGTAATACTTCGTGGGCCATGTCGCCTGTTGTTGCTGATCTTGTCCGCGTCATGTCTGCTTCGAGTGGTTGTTCCGTAGTTTCAGCCTGGGTCGGATCTGATCTTGAATTCAACAGAGCTTCAGAAGCAGCTTCAGAAAATTTACTGGTTCGGCGGCGGTGGATCCTGTTATATTCGTTGATTGAATCTGTTGTCGTGGTGATCGGGTTTGAACTAAGTTCAGGTGCGGCCAAAGTCGAGACGGGAGCGAATGATGTGGGGGGAGAGGGTTGAATTGAGGGCGCAGATGTATCGTGGGCATGGGAGGAAAGCCTATTGTGGTGGTGGGCAAGGCTACTAGAGTTGTCGCGCGACAAGATATGGAGATGGATCAAACCTCGAAGACGACTACCTCTACCTGCAACAGAAGTAGAAGATGCTGGTGCAGTTGTAGAAGAAGTAAGAGGCGGGAAAAAGCCCGTTGAAGACGGCGTGGATTGTGTAAACATTTAAAATGATAAGACGTGGGACTTTTAAGTGTAGGAAATCCGGGGGGGTCTGTGGACAAGTACGATCCGCCAAAAATTGTATGTATGGGCCAGTATTATGGCTGTATGGCTTTGTATGGTTGGCGAGTAACAGACCGTTATTTTACTAATATAACAATAGCGAATAAAATAGCGAATAATAATGGAAATAACACCAATTTCGAGTGGGGAGCAAAGGTAGGGAGAGAGGGGGGGGAGAGGATAAATCGGGCTTTCCTTTCTCTTTTTCTTTTCTTTTTCTTTCCTCTTTTCCTCTGTTATTTCCCTTTTTGGTTGTATGTAGGTAGGTAGTCTTTAGGAGAAGGTAGTAACTACCATTGACTTAAAGTAGTAGACACACTACTAGGTAAGTAGATAGATACTACTAGGACCTAGGTAGGTGTACTATAGTAGTATGTACTAGACACCAAAGTAGGTAGGTACTATTATGGGTAACTAGCCAGCCAGCCAGACAGACAAGACAAGAAAATGAAGAAATAAACAAGCACAGCGACAACAAAACAGCAAGCACACTGCAGGTCAGGTAGGTAACCTAAGTAAGTAGGTAAGTACCTGATGTCTTGAAATGACCTTTTGAAATGACCTTTCGTTGTGGGGGGGGGGGATGGGGGAATTGGGGGTTCGCCGTCTTTTTAGACGTCTAATATTCCTCAAGGATGTCAAGCAGCGATGCGGAGTTGAAGGTCAGTTGATTGATCTAATCATGGGAATCTAGGCCAGGCTAGATGTGGACCCAAGGAATTGCTTGCATCAATGTTGATCTTGTGCTTAAATATGAGGGATCATGGATGGCAAGCTGGGATGAGTAACTGATAAAACGATTTAAAGAAGGGAAGTAAATGAGAGAGAAGAGAATAACTACCCAATTCAATTATTGTTAGATTCAGGTTCAAATCCAAAAGTCTAGGTTAGAAGATATTGTATAATATGAGATACCAGGTAGGGAGTTGGGAACACATCAGTTCTAACGTCAATCTTAATCAAGAACACATTGCTGTCTCTATTTATTAAGGTTCCATGCTACCTACCTACGACTGTCCTACGTACTTGATGTCTGCAGAAGGTACGTCCGCATAAAATACGCAACAAGACCAGTTCGTACACGAGGCGTCCCGCTATACACCTGCCTGATAATAATACGTACATACATACATACTACATGTAGGCAATGCCGCGATGGAGTACAATTCCATACCTTAGGTATATGTAATACAAATCAAGGTAAGAGCTGACCTGACGGGTAAATTTTTCAGAATCGATCACCATGCCACACATTAGGATACATCCATGGATGGATCCTTCAACCAACATACCTTCCCTTGTGGGCAATGTAAAGTATTGTACATTGGAATCATTGGAGCGCTAAGCCCGTATGGGGTCTTAAGTAACGATTCTTCTGTACAGGTACATTTACTAGGACTTTTTAATGTCACAACTGTTACTGAGGAGTACATACATACATAATATACCTCCTTTCTCCGAGGTCTTCTTTCGTACATACGTCATAACCAGCTCGCCTCACATTCCGCGGTCGAATGAGAAGCATCAATGTGCATGTTTATGTATTGCATTGTATACCTAACATCTAACTAACATGCCCTTGTAATGCGTACGTGTAGTACTACATAAGCACTTAATAACTACATATATATAGAATGCTCAATGTTATGTATTGTACATAGTAAACCACATCACGCGACTGCATACATGCTGTAGGGAAGTGAACCTTCTCAACGTTGCCCGAAGGTATATTGCTGCCCGTTTAATCTACTAACCTTAGGCACTTTAAGTCGGTGGAAACGAAAAACCATGTTGTAAAATGTTACAACAGCGTCGAATGTTTGGTCCGCCATTGGTGGGGATTTAACTGCAGGCGGCGTCAGCTAAATAAGCTACCAAGTCTCAGAACTAGCGTCGAATAAAACAGTTAGGCGCACCGATGGTTCGGAAGACCTCCCAGAGTCCCAGGGCTACTACGTAGTAGTAGGTATTACTGTACTAAGAATAAACAGGTGGAGGCTGAGCTAAAACATCGATGCCTTTAACAGACCTACAGGGCTACACACATTAGTATACTAATGTACGTAGTACGCCCTGTCAAGGGAATCCAAGGTAATACCTTGAACACCATGAACGCTTTTAGAATCTTCAATGGCAGACATCACTGGCACTTATCCATTACGTATGAAACACCATAGTATCTCCGAATCATCATTCTTACTATGTATCATTAGTCCGATAGGATTTTAGCACCCCCTAGGCACTGTAGTCATATCTTAGAAATCACCGAAATACATAAGCGTATCTGCCCCTGGGAATCCAAGTCTCAAAAATCATTCATACCATTATTGACCGCCCGCGCGTGTCAGGGAGATTGCCTTTCCGGGTTGTGATTTATAACCCGAATTGCTCCGGTAGTTTGGTTGCTTGATTCCGAATCCTTGAGCCGTATGAACAAAGTGTAAGTCAGTCGTAATGGAGAGACACTACGGTCCAAAAAGAAAAAGCCACCGTAACGCCATTTGCCGCCGTGCCCGGCCCTTGATCCTTTCAACGACGAAAAATCGAGAGTATACCTAATACCTATGCCACGAGGATGGGACGGATGAAGGAACAACTGACCCTTATTTTCCGGTCTTCTGTTTCTTTGCTTTGGGCTTTGCTGCCTCTTCCTCCTCTTCATCAACCATTTCCTCATCCTCATCCTCCTCACCTGCTCCGGCCTCGACGTCGCTTTCGCCACCTCCGGAGCCTGATGACTCGTGAGCCGAATCGTATTCCTCTGCCACATCACTTTCACTCTCAGCCTGGAAGTCTTCATCCACGCTTTCCTCATCTTCGTCGGCTGATCCACGGTCCGCTCTGGGACCAACTACTTCCTCCTCAGACTCATCCATAGCTTCTTCACGAAGGGCAGCGGCAAGGAGGTTAGCATCCTCGTCGATCTCGTTCTTAACGCGTAGTCCTTTAATTTTGAAGAAATTCTCAAGGGCTTTCAGATCCTCCCTGTTAATGTTGCTGAACTGATGTGGAGCCCCGCCGTTCTTCATATGAACCGCGATGTCAAACGTCGATAAAGCAGATACCGCGCCACTGACACGGGAAAACACGATAGATGACGTCTGGTCGTATGACACGTATGTCGCTGGCTTCGGCACGAACATGAAAGCCTTCTCCAGGCAGTATAAGAATCCCTCAGCTGCCTTGATCGAACATTTGATTCCACACTGGTTTCTGTGGGTCTGGAAATCATTTGCCGGAGTAATGATCTTCTTGTTAGCGAGGCCCTTGAAGATGTACGTAATAACTTGGTGCAGCGGCTGCTCGTAGTGAGGTTGTAGACGGCCCTTGTACTGCTCATTTAACTGCTCTTCGGTAAGGTTGAGATCAATGGTGACTTCTTCGTCCTTCTTAGCCTGCATCACTAAGAATGGGTATCTGGTTTGCCCTTGGCGGAGGGGTGGGTCCAATCCGATACATAGCATGCAATGCAATTCGTCTGGCTTCGGTAGGACAATAAATTTCTTAACGGCATCGTACTGAATCTTGTAATCGTACGTCTTACCACGGAGGCGGAAAGACGCTTCGTACATATCCATGTCAAAACGTCCACTGTGTAGTGATTAGAGTCCAATACGTTAGTAACAGGGGTCAGGTGAACGAACCGTGGCGTAAGGTGTAGGACTTCTAAGAACGTAGCGATTGCGTCGCCTGCAGTCTCGCCAATCTCGGCCTTATCTATGAGGGTCTCGTAGAACAAAGTCGCAGCGTTCTTCTCTTCCTCCCCACCACTCCCCGCATCCTCTCCTTCGGTCTCCTTGCGGGTGGTAGTTCCGGGAATATAGAAGCGCATCTCCATGAGTTGATCTTTGCCCGCACCCGACTTTTTGCCTCGACCTCGAGCACCGCCCAAGTGCCCATTCGTGCCGGTATCATCCTCGTTGGAAGCGGCGAACTCGACAGCCACCTCATTGCGACCAGCTAAGTTGGTGTTGGAAATCTCGGAGTAGGGTATCTCGAAGGAAGGCTTGTTCTGAACGTTGAATACGAGCTCGGCTTTGCTAAACTCCGTCTTGCCCCAATTCCAACCTCGTAGCGCATGTTCCTTGGGGTCCAGGTTAATGCTATACCAGTTCTTAAAGATCTTGCTTAAGCGTTCTAGATCCTGTGATAGGAGAAGTACTAATTAGTAATGCATAATGGGAATTTATGATGAAGATATGGTTTTGCCTACCTCTTGCTGGAAGCCATCTAGATGAACAAGCTCGGAAGATCTTTTAAGAATCTTGACCTCGTAACCCTTTGCAGCGCGGCTCCATTGGGCGCTAGCAAGCTCACCGCGATCCAGTGTGAAGGTGTTACCGCCAGCTGAAGGCTTCCAGCCCAATCCATTCTCTGCGAATCTGCACTTCCCGGATTCCTTGGAAAGGTCCAGGAAGATGTTGTCGAAGTTTTCACTATTTGGCCAATTTGATTAGTAGTTGGTTAAGCAAAGTCGCGTGAGATTTAACTTACAAAGCCGCCATGTCGATGGCAGAGAAACGGGAATGGTAGGGCTCTTGATAAAAAAAAGGTGAGGTTAATGAAGTGAAGGTGTAAAAAGTTGGGGAAAATCACCACTCAAAGGAAAAAGTGGGAGTTGAGTCGCGTCAACGCGCTATTGATTGAAAGGTTAGGTACTAACCTACCTGGGTAGGTGCTCTGTAGGTGCCTTAACTGTACCTAGTATTGTACAATACAATACAATACACTAGGTTACATATGTATGTAGTACTACTAGTAGTACCTAGGGCTATTAGTTGAGGTATGTACCTAACCTTGAACTTTAAAGTTTGGCTGAGTCGAGAACATTGAAGTTTTGGGTAAATCGGGCACGTGATGCTAATACTTACTACTATGTAGGTGTACTATGTACTACAGGCACTTTAACTTTGAAGATTCAATACGAATGTTCAATGTTAAAACTTCAACATCAATTAAATCGTTAGGCGGTTGCAACTTTCACCATTTAAGGTTACCTAGGCATCGCAGCTTAGTCACCAAGGTATGTACTGGAGGCACTTACATGTAGTTATACATATAACATATGTGTAGTTACATACTTGCATGTGTGGAAACCAATCATTTACATAACAGCACTCGAGATTCTTCAAAGTACGGTAAACTAGGGACATAAACCCCACCTCGTCTTACCTATGTTTAATAGTCGGACACATTAAGTGACATATTAAGTACTCGTAGTTGAGGTTGGTAAATTCGTGAATTTCATTCTATTTGATGAATATGATGTTCTCATTCATTCCAGGAGGCTGCAAAGTGGGCTGGGTGGATCTACAAACAGTCGACGGACTACGAATCTACGCTAGTACTTACATGGATTTTTGCAGTGGATGTTACCTAAAGCGTTAGGGGATACTTGGGTACACAGCCAACATTCAAGTTTCATCACCTGGGCTGTTCTTTAGAATCGACTGAACCTACGTTACTTAATAAACTCCTCTACCTAACTACCCTGTGCTAGTACCTACCTGGTAATACATAACTACCTCCATACTCAAATCTTTAATTCCTTCGTTCTCCCCCCTATCGTTACTTATTTCTCTCCAGATATCCCAATCTTCCTCTCCTCTTCACTGTGTCATATATTCCTTCACTGAAATACTTAATTCTCCATCTTATTAACTTTCTTACTGATCACGGCCAATCATGTCTGGTCGCTTTGTTCGAGCGTCCAAGTACCGTATGTATTCTCTGCGCTTTTCTTGCTTGCTTCAATGTTGCTTGCGATCTAGATCTGCATACAATCTGCATACATGTACTTGTATTCGATCCATTAGGTACTCTACTAATCTTCCATTTCTCAAGGACATGTGTTCGGCAAACCCACGAGGAAAGAATTCTGTTACGATAACCTACGTATAAGTCGAAATGCTTGGGATACAAACTTGGTCAAGGTCGGGCTCCTTCTCCACCCGTCTCTTATTCGCCTGCTTAAGCTAGAGGCTGACGATTCCCGTCGCAATAGGTCAACCCCGAGTATATCTCTGTCAATTGGGAAGCCAGCGGTGGAGGTGCATTCGCTGTCATCCCTCTAGGCGAAAGGGGCAAGCTTCCCGAGATCCTCCCTCTCTTCCGTGGCCATACTGCTGCCGTCCTCGATACCGACTGGTGCGCACGCGACCCTTCGAGTGGCTGACTCCCCCTATTCCGAAGACCTAAACCTAATAATACTAAAGGAACCCTTTCAATGATCGTCTAATCGCATCAGCTTCCGAGGATGGCAAAGTCATGTTATGGGAAGTCCCCCAGGGCTTTACCTTGTACACCGACGCTGAAGAACCTACCGATGTATCTCCTGTCTCCAAGCTGACTGGCCATTCGAGAAAAGTTGGCCAAGTCGTGTTCAATCCTGCCGCCGAGAACATCCTCGCTTCTGCATCCGGCGATTTCACTATCAAAATATGGGATGTGGGCACCGGCTCTTCCTCTCTTACATTGAAGCATCCCGACATCGTGCAGAGTTTATCATGGAATGCCAGTGGTTCTATGTTAGTCACAACCTCTCGGGACAAGAAGATTCGCGTATGGGACGTCCGACAAGAGCGACCCGCACACGAGGGTACAGGTCACGAGGGTGCCAAGAATAGCCGAACAGTGTGGTTAGGTGATCTGAACAGATTCGTCACGACAGGTTTCACGAGGATGAGTGAGCGCCAGTTCGCCCTTTGGGAGCCTGGTAACACTACACCTATTGGCGGCTTCACTACTTTGGATAGTATCTCCGGCGTTTGCATGCCCTTCTGGGGTGAGTAGCACTCAAACCCCTGCATCTAACCTAGCTAATCTCGATCTAGATGATGGCTGCAACTGCTTGTATCTTGCCGGAAAAGGGTAGGTTTCGTCCTCTTGAGGGTAGTTTTTGATATGCAACTAAGACGCGCCATTAGTGACGGTAACATCCGCTACTTCGAATACCAGAACGACAAATTCGAGTTCCTTTCTGAACACAAATCCCTTGAACCCCAGAGAGGTATTGCTTTTGTTCCTAAGCGCGGAATCAATGTAAGTTGCTGCATTCTATTCGTAGTGACGAGCTCGAAACTTAACATATGTTAAAAGGTGCACGAAAACGAAGTCATGAGAGCCTATAAGACCGTCAATGATTCATACATTGAGCCTATCTCATTTACTGTGCCTCGGCGCGCAGAAACGTTCCAGTCGGACATCTATCCACCTACTACGGGTCTCAAACCTGGTGTTAGTGCTAGCGAATGGTTTTCAGGCAAGTCCGGGTTGCCGCCAAAGATCGATTTTGAGAGCATCTACGAAGGCAACGAACCTGTGGAAGTATCGCCCGATTACAGGCCACCGACGGCAGCGCCGGCAGCCTCAGCTCCGGTGTCCAAGCCTGCTCCGAAACCGGATCCAGAGCCAATTCCAGCGGCAGCGCCAACGATGAAGGACCAGAATCGCTCTATAGCAGCGATAGCTTCTAAGTATGACGATAAAGACGAAGGCGACGACGACGAAACGTCAAGTTTTGAGGAAGTCTCAAAGCCGTCTCAGCGCAGCGCAATGCCTGTGAAATCTGAGCCCTCTCCGACGAAGACTACGTCCGCACCAGCACCAGCACCAGCACCAAAAGTAGCACCAGCCATTAAATCGCCTACTCATGCGCCCACTCCAAGTGTAGTGGCTTCTGGCTCAGCTCCAGCAGGCAATTCGACCAATGGGCCGAAAGTTGAATCCACTCTAGAGCAGATCAAAGAGTTACTGGAGACGCAGACAAAGATGATCAGTGTACAGGGGAAGCAGATCGTTCACTTGACTGATGAAGTGGATAGTCTGAAGAAGCGGGTCGGCTCTGGCTCCCAGGATCAGAGCGACCGTATTCGACAACTAGAACTCGAGCTAGAGGAGCTGAAATCGTAAGGACCCGGTTGTAAAAGATTCGGGATATAAAACAGGGTTGACCAGTTAATGGATAACGATTTTGACGAAGCTTGTACGTACAGTCAGTGGAAAATACTGGAAAATACTTTCTCGTACATGGGAGTTTACGGACCTGAATTCTCCTGGCAAGCCACGTTTGTATTTGTGCCTAGGTCCTCCACCGATATTCTTGTGAGGGATATGGTGAAAATCAATTTCGCTTCTACAGTTTATAGGTAGTTATCATAAGCAAACTTATTATTTGTGCATTGCTTGTTATCTGACTAGTTGATCCAGAGCAAAGTGAGGGCTGCTCTTTTTTGCCCCTCTATCGTTGTCAGTCAGTCTTTAAGGTTGTTCAGCATTCCAAGCGACGCAACTGTCAAATTTGACACCGGTGCCACCAAAGCAATCTAACGCACTGCCGATGGTAAGATCGACGGTGCCGTGACTTAAAGTCTTCACTAGTTCCAAGTCAGCAATGTTTCTCCCACCGCCAGCATATGTAACGGGTATATTGCACCACTCGGCAAGTCGCCAGACGAGTTTCTCATCAATGCCCCTCTGCAAGCCTTCATTGTCAGCGGCGTGGATGAGAAACTCGGAGCAGTACGGTTCCAGTGACCTAATAGATTCTACACGGATGGTGTTAGCCGAGCCATGATAAAAAAGGGGGCAGGTTAGCTATTCGTACGGACCTCGATTCACTTCCATGTCTGTGATCGTTTGCCATTTATCCATAGCCACGAACCACTTATCATCCCCCTTCTTTCTACAGCTGAGGTCGATGACAAGATGCTCTGTTTGTCCACCGAGGGCGGCCAGCACAGCGTCCAGGCGCTCTTGACTAAACTTTCCTTCTGGGAAGAGAAAGGATGTGACAATGACCTACTAGGGCAAATGCCTGATCAGCTATGCTTCATTTTCAAGAATATCTATTTTATTATCTATAAGGCGGGTAGGTAGGTATAGATATGTTTGGATGCACCGCGTATAAAACGGGAGAGTCACCCACCTTGCTCGCGCCCCGCTCCATCCACATCGCCGCATTCTTGTCGTTGATGCCTCCCCCAATCTGGAGATTTCCGGGCCAGGCTTCTAGAGCTTCCTTCGCAGCATCCTCATTGCCAGGGCCTAGCATGATGACGTGGGCACCCTCGAGATTATGCTCTCGATACAGTCGAGCGAAATGGCCCGCCGAGTGCTGCGAGACATAATTCGTCTTCAGCTCATCAGTGGAGCTGTCGAGGGTCCCGCCCACGATCTGCTTCACCTGTCCTGCATGCAGGTCTATGCAGGGTCTGAAGCGAGTCATGGTGGTTCTTTTTGGGGGTTTCTTTTAGATTTATGTGGCGTATATTAGAATACTGTAAGCGTCAATGAATGAGTTGGTAGCGGCGGGTCTATTTGCTGAGAGTCTTGCCTAACCTTAGGTTAGTGATCGATCGCGAGGCTTTTCTTAGCGCTTAGATAATGGGGGGTCACTCTTAAGCTTGTTCTAGTTGAATGATTTCTAAGTCAAAATCATGAAGCCTTTTACTTAATGGCATCAAAGTTAAGTACATTAGCTAAAGTACATTACTAACCTTAGTTCAATGAAAATATATACTACTAGTAGTAGTATCTAGTAGCTAGTAGCTACATGAATATAAGTGTAAACAGTATAGCTACAACTGCACTTCATGCAAATTATTCAATATACTACTAGTAATACACTTAAGGTCACGTACGACACGTGACTGTATCCACATTTGAATGATTTGACAGGTTACCTAATGCCCCGCGGTTGACAATATTCATTAAAAAAATACTAATGAAGTCACCATTTTTACCTTCTTTATTCTTGACCATCTTAAACTCTTTGTAAATAGTAATACTCTTGATGCCATACAAGATATTGTTTACTGTTTACTCTTTTTCTTTTTGGTAAACTTTACTAAGGATTAACTAATAGACTTAGAGTTATCTGAGCTTATATAAAAGCCCCCCCATCTCATACAAATTTGGCTGAAATCCAGTTGCGACAAACACCCCACCAACCTACACACTTATCCTATCCACTCATTGCTTTGTGGATAGACGATTTGATTTCTCAGGCAGGCCCATTATGGAGACTACCTCATCTACGACGGCACCCCATGGGTCGCCCACTCATCTCACAGACGATGCCAGCCATGTTGAACCAGTGGATCGCCAAACACCTCGGGGTCTATCTAGTGTTGGCCTCGACGCTTCAGATGCTTATGAAAACGATGACACTGATTTAGACTCTGTTTTCGACGAGGATGAGGATACCGATGGAGGTATTGGCCTAGATGGTGAAGCAGACGTGACGAGAAACTATAACCGTCAACGACCTTTACACTCAAATCTACAAAAACCTAGTGCCAATACCCGTGCGGGTGTAGATGACCAAATGGCCGCCCTCTCGAAACACGCTGCTAAGATCCGACTGGACGATGTCAAGGAGGGCCAAGATCGGGATAAAGACAAGGCCAACCGGGCTACCAGTGAGCAAGTTCTCGATCAACGGACTCGTATGATTCTCTACCAGATGATCAACCGGGGTGTGGTTAGTGAGATACACGGCGCAATCAGTACCGGTAAGGAGGCCAACGTGTACGGCGCTGTTTCATACCCAGATGTCGACAGTCCGCCTATTCAACGTGCTGTGAAGGTTTACAAGACGGCTATCCTCAGCTTCAAAGACCGAGAGAGATACATCACTGGCGAGCATCGTTTTAAATCTGGCGCAGACAAAGGAAACAGTCGGAAGATGGTCAAGTTATGGGCAGAGAAGGAATTCCGCAACCTGAGGAGAATCCACTCCGCCGCGATTCCCTGTCCAGAGCCCATACAGCTCAAGCTTCACGTTCTCGTGATGAGCTTCCTCGGGGACAAGAAGGGATATGCTTACCCACGACTACGGGATGCTAGACTTTCAGGCGACGACGCCGACCAACTATGGAGGGACCTTTACGTCCAACTCCTAGGAATCATGCGACGCTTGTATCAAGTTTGCAAACTTGTCCACGCAGATCTAAGCGAATACAACATTCTTTACCACAACAGACAACTTTACATCATTGATGTGTCTCAGAGTGTCGAGCATGATCACCCTCGATCGCTTGAGTTCCTTCGAATGGATATCAAAAATACCGGAGATTTCTTCCGTAGGCAGGGGGTTGACACGCTACCTGACCGAGCTATTTTCGATTTTATCACTCAGTCGGAGGGTGCAGTGGAGGAGCCAGGTCTATCAGAGGCCATCGAGCAGCTATACGCGTCAAGATTGCCATCCTCGAACGACGACTCAGCAACAGCCGAACGGGAGGTTGACAACGAAGTGTTCCGAAATCAATATATTCCCCAAACTCTAGAGCAAGTCTACGATATCGAGAAGGATGCGGAGGCTATTGGCGAGGGCGAAGGAGACAAGCTTGTTTATCGGAATCTTCTAGCGGACCAGGTGGTGTCAAAAACAGCTGCGGAAGACAACAGTTTGGGAGATGAATCGGATGAAGGAGCATCACTAGACGATGATAGTGGGAGCGACGATGAAAGCAAATTTGAGAAGGGAGCCCCTCGTGGCAAACGATTTGAAGACAAGGATGAAAAAAAGGTATGTCATCTACATTATTACACCACTCCACCTCGTTTGTGCGGATGGGAACTTAGCATACTAACGTCACGATGTAGCAACGCAAACACGCCGCAAAGGAAGCGAAAGCCGAAAAGCGGAAAGAAAAGATGCCGAAACATATCAAGAAACGCCTCGTAGCTTCAACCTCTAGGAAAAACAGGTAGATGTAACTACGTAAAGGCCAAACCCAAAAAAAAAAATGAAGTATCATATATGAAAACTCGTCTAATGTTCCTTCTTTGGCCTCGACATGCGTGTGTGTGTGTATGTGTGTGTGTACCGGACAACCAGGTATGTGGAAAGTACCATACCAAGCTTTGATACCCCTACAAACATTGAACGCTCTGGGCAAGAAACGAGGCGATGATTAAAGGGGGGGTTTTTTCTTCCCTCCACTAATCAATTAGGTACTAACTAGATACCTACCTACTACTAATAGTACCTACTCTCCCGTTTAATATTGTTGATGCTCGCATTCGTAAAAAGTGCTAACCTTAGGCACGCACGTATGTACATTGCTGGTAAGTTCATTTTCCTAATTCGTTTGTTTTACCGTCTTGGTTCTTTTTACTACTTTTTTTTTTTGGTGGCTTGCCTCTTCTTTTTTTTTCTACGGAGGTAACTATGTAACTTTCAGAATTTCTTTCCACAGGGCACTCCTGTCAGGATCCCCGTCGACTGCCAGGAAGATCTGCCAGCTGGGTGGCAAACGTCCCTGCCACCTGGCCGTCATCTGTCAGTATCCCCTCCTGATCAATCAAATACCTGAAGGAGGGCCATGGCTAGTCAGTGATTAGCAGCTTATCCAAGGAAACGATTGACAGGTGGTAGGATACACAGTGCGGCGGGTGGCACACTTAGTTCAACAGCTGACGGAATAAACTACTACCTATTGGCAGTGCATGGGCTGGCAGGGATGCCCTATGGAAGCGAACGAAGACAATTGCAACAAAACGCGACAATCAAGTGATGAGAAATCCAAAGAAGCGCATTTGCATACATAAATACATCCACCATACGCCTAAACCTACCTACCCTGCCGTTTTTGGATGCTCGGGTTCAATCTGAATCAATTTTGGTTTGGTTTATCCCGTATAACCTAGGTTAGATACCTATCTATCTACCTATGTGTTTTATGGGAAGTAACCATTTGAGCCCTTGCTTCTGATTACGGTGGGTGGGTTGAGTTGGGCTGGGGATAGTTACGTATATGCAGCTTTCCGAGTTAGTGGTATGTGTGTATATGTGTATGTATGTATGTGTGTATGCATGGTAGGTATATGGCTGTATTAGAGAAGCCTGGAGGAATTGAGGTTCTCGTACATCATACATACCTGCACATACGTACATACATACATATCATACATTACATTACATACAACCCGTGCGGATCAAAGAGAGCCCTGATGGTTGTCGCGTTTGCTTTTTTTGTAATTTTTTTATCATTTCATTTTTTGCTTAGTCGCAGGCTTGGTTCTAACGTCTCGGTCTCGGTTAGGAAGCATTGGATGGATTTTGATGGCTGGTATGTAACTATCTATCATGCGTAGATGGATGGGTACAAGACATATGTGGGTGGAGCGGAGGGGAGGGTGTATGCATTGATTGGACTGCATTTACGATCGTCAGTGTGATGGGATGGGATCACGATATCACGATAATGATGTTCCTTCATGCTTGATCAACTTACCGGGTCCTCGGTAAACCGAACCTGTGATGAATTCAATGCGTTTGGCTGCTTCCTCCAAGTGGTGGTGTAGCCGGAGAGTAGATTTCTCTTAGCATAGCAGCATAGGGGCTTGGCTAACACATGCGGTCTACTGAGAGGAAGCGGTGCTTACCAATCTGCATATCAACCAACCTACCATGAAGATTAGGTATCTCCAAGCCATACGGATATTAGTTGTTCTTCAACGTCAATTTGCCCATTTACTCAAGTGATTAATAGACTAATTGGCAAGTAAGTAATAGATTGGTCACACTTCATGTACTTTAATTTAGTTTGTTTTATTTCTCTCTTATACGTGTTGAACGATTCTAAGCGGGCCGGTGTGGGTTGTGTGTGGTGGTGTTGTTAAAGGGTATACTACATCTCATTCATTAAGGGTTCTTGTTTGCAAAGCCAGCTTTTTTTTTCTCTTGCTCTTTCCTCTCTCTTCCCCAGAATACAACAACAACAACGTGATAAAAAAAAAAAGCTTCGAACTTTGTTTTCGTTAATATATCCATTTGTGACTTAAAGGGGGAGGGTGGTGATGGGGGATAGGGGATGGGGGGATTCTCTCTCTCTTTCTTTCGGACAATGGGGGGGAAGAAAAAAAAAACTTGTGAAAAAGGGAAGTTTGGTCCAGAATTTCCAACATATCATAATAGCCCTTAAAATAGTTCCATCACTCCTCCCTTAATGTCTTGCCTTCCAAATAATACCATAATATATATACCTGTCTTTTCCTCCTATTTCTATGGTTCGTAATCGTCCTTCGTTCCGGGTAATGTAGTCTATACTAATCGAGCGGTAAATTTTTTTTTTCCGTTCTTTGTTTTTGTTGTTGTCGTTGTTGGGGAGATGGTGGTGGTGGTGGTGGTGGTGGTGAGGGGGTTTGACACAATGCATGCTGTGGCGTATATATTGTAGATGTATATGCGTGGTGAAAGCAGGTTTATGGCAAAAGCACATCATCACATCCGCGTAAAAAAAAAAGGAGAGAAAAGAGTAAAAAGCCGAATCGTTGTACTCGTGACACAGACTCGTGTACTTTCTGCTCTTGTTGTTGTTGCCGCTGTTCGCTGTTCGCTGTTCGCTGCTGCTGCTGCTGCTGTGTGATATAACGTCCCACGGTTTATTTCCTCCGCCTTGACTGTGACTGTAGAAACCCAAAATCCTTAACCATCGCTAAAACCCTTCGCTTTGCAAAAAATAACATCCGATGATCTAAGATTCCCTGTTGCAGAGTTAGTGCCATGTCCATCATTAATAAAGAGATGACGAGACAAGATATCTTACCTTGAGATGCCGACACTGCCTCTCCGACCCATCAGCGTCTCCAGCTCGACGAGCTCAAAGGCATACTCGGGCTCTCCCTCAAGTGTCTCGCGGATCAGGTCGACGGCCGCGATCGTGGTGGTCGAGTGGTTCTCGGACGAGCCCGTGGTGACCTGGAACTCGGCCTGGGGGTCTGCGCCGTGCTGGAGCATGGCCTTGATGGCAGCGACCCACTTCTCGCGGTTCTCCATGAGCTTCTGGCTGGACGAGGTCTCGAGCAGATGGGTCATGGTGACGCTGCCGCGCGAGAAGTAGTGTCTGCCCGCCTTCAGCGCGCGAATAAACAGCTTCTCGTCGTCCTTCATCGTCGCGCCCGCGTCGAAGCACAGGTCCAGGAACCGCGAGTCCGGCATGTCGTGGTGGAAGTCCCAGTAGTCGCCGCTGAGCCCCGCGCAGGCACTGAAACCTTCGGCCCGCGGGCACACGATGTACGGCAGCAGCTCCTGCGCCTTCTTGCGCCGCGCCTCCGGCTCCATCGCCTGCAGCTTGCGCGCCGTGTACTGCACCAGGTTGGCCTGCACCGTGAGCGCGAGGAAATCTTTACGCTTCGGGGGCTTCCCGGCGTCCATCGGCTCGAAGGACGCCCAGTGCTTGCGGCAGAAGGAGGGCAGCCGCACCTCGTGCCAGTCCGGGTCCTCGTGTAGGGGTTTGTGGTTCTGTAGGGCGGTCACCCACGCCTGCTGGCACGTCGCGTCCAGCTCGTCCAGGATCTCGCAGTACCTCTCCACGTCCGGCACGTGGCTGTCGATCTTCTCGGCGTACCGCAGCGCGTTGGAGATGAGCAGCCACGCGTCGGGGCGGAAGCGCCAGTTCGGCCACGCTAGGATGGGCGGGCGCAGGATCTCGAAGACCTTCATGTGTCGAACGCACCCGCTGAGCAGCGAGAAGTCCAGCTCGATGGGGTCGAGGGGCGCGCAGCCGGGGAGCCGCTTCCATATGTCCTTACGGCGCACCCATTCCTTGGTTGTCTGGTGGACGAAAACGACGCGGTGGCCGGTCTCGATGGTGTTGTTGTGAGTGGACGATCCGGTCTCGGCGATGAGGAGACTGGCACAGTAGGTTTGCAGGCGGCGTTGCATCTGGTCCGACAGGCGCTGGATAGTGGCGTTGTTATAAGGGTGCCGGTTGTCCTGCATGATCCTCAGTTCTCCGGACCTCTGATCCAGATATCCTTCCTCGGCGAATGCCAGGGTGATCAAGCTGGGCGGTTGCAGGGCCATGAGGACTAGGTGGAATACTCGAGAGGCACTGTACTGGCCTTCTCGGCTTAGGTTTTGTAGCATACGCATATACAGACCGTCGGGGCCGCCGAGGTGCGAGGGGAGGGAGTCCAAGGTGCTCCTTAGGGTACGGAGACTGCAGCCGACTACCATGTCGATCGCCAGTCTGGCCCAGAGGATGTCGCCGCGGCTCTTCTCGGCCACCTCCTTGCAAAGGTTCTTGGAATCGGGCAATCCAGGGGCCTCGTCGTCGAGACGACCAGCTACGTATTGGGTAATGGACCGTTCGGTGTGCTCCTGAAGTCGGATCCTGGGATATTGGGCGAAGGCCTCTTCGAATACGGGGAGTTCGCGCGAGGTAACGACGTATTTGACGATATCTTTGGAGGCCATACTGTTGACCAGCTTCGATATCTCGATGTGCGAATCCAGAGCGAATCTGCTCTGGCCCCAGCTCTCGTCGCCGGTGTCGTTGCCGTAGGTGATGTCGAGCTCCGGTTGGTCGTAGTGGTCCTTTCGCTCCACGATCCGGTATTCGTCGAGCGCGTCGATGCAGATGAGGAGGCGTAGTCGCTCCGACATCCGGGCAAATAGGGAGTAGAAGGCCATGTTGAGGTTGGACGCGGACGTGAAAAGTACAGGTGGAGGCCACGGTCCGTCGAAGAAGCTCGGGAAGGCGACCTTGATGAGATCGCGTCTATTTGATAAGATTTGGTATAGGATACTCCTTAAAAAGCCCTCGTAGGACTTCTGGAGTCGGCTGCCTCCTTCGTAGTAGTAGAAAGAGGTCATGTACAGATCGCCGTCTGCTGCCCAGCCTTCGAGCAGCATCTGCTTGAATTTCTCGGAGTGGTAGATGTGCTTCATCATGGTCGACTTGCCAGATCCGGCGTTGCCGCTAATCCACTGAGGGTAGATGATCAGTCAATAAATATACTCCCAGAAATCAACTTACAACCCATTGGGGCGTTATAGTACTCTTGTCAAGTTCTCGAAGGAGGATCACTAGCCACGAAACTAGAGACTATTTGGCTCTAGGTAAAGGGGTAAAGTGGTCAAGGGGCAAAAGTTGCTGGATTAGACGGGGGATACTTACGAAGGTAGGGCCTTGATCTTTTGAGGAGAGAAATTTAGGTAAAGAGGAGTGATTAGGCGATAGAATCCAATCGCATGTTTGGCCGTAAGCCGGATCTATATGGGCTTCGCGTTCGGTCATGGTGTCGTAATAAAGGGCATTAAGAATTTCTACACGTCCAAGTTTTAGTTGTCATGATTTCGCGAAGGGTAAGATATGAAAATAAAAACACGGAATAAACGTGCAGGAGTAAACATGGAGATATCGTACCTTGATTTCGCGGTTCCATCGCCTCGACCTCCGCAGGCGTTGGGCCCGACGACGCCTTCGTGATGTATGCAAGCATCTGCGAATAGCCTTGTTCGTCCCGACTCCGAAACCGAGCGAGATCCAGGTGAGTTGCCGCCATGTCATGAACGGTCACATTGTAACTGTCGTAAGCTGCACAATCTTTCGGGACCATTACCTGCACAGCCCCTTTTCCTAGCTCCAATCCGTCCACGTCCTTCATAAGCTCGGCCGAGACGGTTATCGTCGACGGTACCTTCTCCCGGACGCACACCACCCTTATATCTCTTGATATCATCAAAAATGTGGCGTGCTGGTTCTCGAATGTCGAGCTGTTCTCCTTGAACGCTCGGAGAAGTTGGATGGGCGGCGGGGAGGGCGATAAGAGCGCGGTCGCTGCCATACATTCGCCCAGTGATCTTTTCCCGCTCCTCACATGAGGAGTACCTAGAAACACACATCCGATGGTCCGCGGGAAGATGTTGCCTAATTCGACGTGTGCGCCGTAAATTCGTGACATGGCCGCGGCGACCAATGCCTCCTTGATGATCATTCCACCCAAGCCATGGCCCACGAAGATGATGGGACGTGTCATCCCGATGCGAAGACGCGATAGGTCTGCGAGCAGACTGTCAGCCTGGTCGGAAAAGCTGCCAGAACTGCTCAAGGAGCCCGTCCATCCCCAAGCGACGACTCTGATGCCCGGTATGTCCAGCCCGAGAAAGTCGCGGGGGTAACAGACACCGGCCTTCGTCCAGGAGCCGGAGCGGGAGCCAAAAAGGCCGTGTACGAAGACGATATCCAGGCCGTCTTCGCCATCTTGGGTTCCGTCGTAAATGATAAGGGGTCCTCGACCATCGGCGCGCACCAATACTTTCTCTCGGGAGTCCAATGTCGAGCTACTCGAACGACCCACACGATCCAGGCGCAGGCTAGACGATGCCGACGATGACTCCCGCGATCCACGAGCAGCGCGAGCTAGTCTAGCTAGCGTCTCTTTTATCCTATTCATGATTGTTCCTTGAACGGGATTCCCCCTCTCTCTGTCAACATGGTCTAATAAGAATATTGCTGTCGACGATGAGCAGCAATATGATAAGAAGGAGGGGGGGTTAGGAGGGAAGGAGGGGAGGCTAATGGCAGGAAAAGGTAAAGAAAGAAAAGGTACAAAAAAAAACTTCAATGTCCACACAAATCTAGTGTTTTGAAACGGTCAGACCTTACGATTGGGCGCCGGGCCAGGGTAGATGACTACGACCAACGACCCGTGCCGAATTGTAGGGAGCCATGGACAGCTAACGGAAGCTTGCCGTTGGAGCCGCGACTAATGACCTACCTGGTTGAGGGTTGATAGCCGTAACGAAACCATGTAGTACCATGTATTTACCATGTATTTGCCATGTATTGTCACGTATTATCATGTATTATCATAGGTATAATATCATATATTACCATGGAAAGGAACCTGCGAACAAGGGGAAACTCGGGTTGCTAGGATTCGTGGCTATGCGGAGCCCAGCTGCCAAAGTGATACCGACGCACGCGCAACGCACGAGATTTTTGTCCCCCTTGATTGCTTGCTTGCTTGTCAGGGCCAGTCAGGCTGCTTGACAAGCGTTGCTTTCTATTATCCTCGTCACAAGTTAACAAACCCTACCCTAACCATTGGGCCCATCTCCTCTCCCCCCCCCCCCCCCAGCCGAGCCCCAGTCCCCCCAGTTCGTTCCCAATCCCCGGTCCCTGGTCTGGTCTTTTTTTTTCTTATTACTGTACACTAACTACCACTGCCTAGGTATTAGGTATGTAATACTAGTTAGATACGTGTGTATTCATGTATTTCCCCTGCTCTGATACGCCACAGACGTACATGAGCTTTGTTTGGGCTCCCGTAATCTGGGTATTGCAACAGTAGCATCTGCGGAAGGCAAGGTAGAACGAAGCCGCACACGTGCTGAATACTGCATGTCATACATAGGTAGTATACTAAACTATCCCAACGGACCGTCGTACATGTATGTCTGTCTTTTGTGATGACGGACGCGTTACTACTGCCCTAGTAGAAGGGGAAACTGGGAGAATGAGAGGAAGGGATAGAAGGGAAAAGATGGAGAAGAAGAGGAGTCGGTTCATCTGGGGGGTCCACAGGCTTGAAAGGGCCGTTTTCAATTTCAACGGAGTCGTACCAACTCGGACATGATAACCCTAGCTAGCTTCCTCGGTTAGTATACATACATTACATTAGCCATGTGTATGCATATACTACAGTACATATCTCGTGCTATCCTGGCAGCCTGGGTAGGCAGTTATTATGTACATGTGTCTAGTCTGTTCCGGTCTGTTTAGTTCTAGTATCCTACACGATACTCCAAGCAGCACACTAACTAAGTAGGTACAAGTATCTAAACTGCATAGTGCATAGTTATAACTAGTACCAACTAGTCTACACCCAGTATCCCGAGCGTGACCGTGATCCCATGTTGGTGGATATGGTTTATGGTTATCTAGACTGTATTCGGCTAGATATCTGAAGTATGGAATATTCTTGCACTACTAGATAATACTACATAGGGATGTATGTAAGTTATTATTAATAATACACTATATGTTACCCTACCCAGAGTCCAGAGTCCAGAGTCCAGAGTCCAGACTAGGTAATACCCAGAGTTCTGAGTCTCTCATAGGCCTATCATACAGATTCATACTACGTCGTACACACATACAGAAGACTATGTAAGAAGCACGTCTTTGCATAATTTGCACACCTTAATACAACTTGTCTTGAAAGTCCTAAAGTGGTGCTAATTATCTTCATAACTACCGGGCAAAATGGGTCCGAGCCCCCCCAAGTCAAGGCAAATTTTCAAAATTACTTAGTAACATCGCGAATAACTACCCCCTTCTGCCCCTAGTAAAGCTACAACACCTAAATAAATAAAGAATAGGCGCGATCACCTGATCACCCGCGATCCCCATGAAGTCGGGTCCATCTTAGTGTCTTACATGAGATGAGGTGCCCAGGTCAGGTAGTGTAGACCGATTAAACCTCACACAACGGTCAAGAAGAAGAGACAGAGAGAGAGAGAGAGAGAGTAAAAAAATAAAAATAAAAGATCCTCTACAAAAGATCATCTACATACCTACAAAAGAAATATCCAGAAAATAATAATTGCCTCTCGTATTCTTATGTATGCATATATGCACATACGTAACTCTCAACCAGCCAACATCAGCTTTTCCACTTCACAGATACAAAGGTGGATCTCGTGTCCCCGTCTTCCCCCTTGTTAATGCCCCGATTATCATCAAACTTCTCCAGGTATTCCTCAACAACCCTGATCACCGCCTACAATATTTGCCATAGCGTATTGTGTCTAGGCAGGACCAGACTGACGGCTGAAAGTTTTCTTCTTCTCTGCCCAGCAAAGCCCAGCAAAGCCCAGGAATGCAAACTAACCAGTACCTACACTAGGTGAAATAAATCCATGGCTGCCGGGATCGCGGAACCGCAAGCCGCCCCCTATCAAATGCAAGGGGAGTGTCAAATAACATCACCAACGTACATTCCACGTGTTGGTGATCCCGTCTTAAGCCTAACGGACCCGAGAGCCCGGCGGACAGGAAGTGGAGTGCCGTCATCGCGTTTATCAAATAAACATACATACATACATACCAACCTACCTAGGTAGTCTATTATAATCTATTCCATGTGGCAATGTGCCCAACACTTGCGTTTATGTTACCCGCGGCGTTACATAGTTAGAAGAGCCGCAGTCCCTAGCATCTTTGTCTACACTACGTCTTGGTTCTTACTGGCTACGTGAGCCCTTGCTTACTGGGGTATAGATATACTAGGCTACGACCATTTTGATAGGAGAGCAGGCCTTATGTTCAGATTGAGTTGCGCCCTATTTAATGCAATAAGAATACTATTCGAACTACCGAGAAAAAAACGAAATGGAAATGCTATATTAATTTATAAGCAGATTCGATAACGAGATAGACATTGTAGTTAATGCAAATCACAGATCAGTGTGCTGTGAAAATCCATAGTACATACAAACCCTTGCGGATGGCCATACGAGGTAAGCAACATACAACTTTTCCCCCCCTTCCATTTTCCTTAATTTATGTACGTCCATGGACTCGTGTCCCAAGTAAGTTACAGTAACTTCACAGCGCTAAGCATTACAGCTTGCACAAACTTGAGACAAAAGTTCTTTGGCTAAGCAAATCCTTTTAATCTACAATGCATTCATGGAAGAATGGGGGAGTAAGGGAGGACGGCAAAGAGACAGAAACATGCCCGGCCCGTTCTTGTCCGATAGGCCGCCCAACACAAAACAGCACAGGCTAGATCAAGATACCCCCAGTACCTCTGAAAATACCAACAGATCTAGTACACTTCAGAAGGCGGGCGAGCCCTAAAACTATTTGCTTTGATGCCTCCCTGCCCTAAGTCCGGGGCAATGGCCTCTACTCATAGGTAGGCTAGGTTGGGTAGCAAACGGACGAGAGCTCTAACTACTCGGCGGTGTCTTTGCGGTGAAGTCACCGTCTTAGTCTCTCTAAGGGGGGGGGGGGGGGGGGGGATTCTTCGATGCCTAACATCTATAGACGGTCTTCTCGGGATGACCCGTCTATTGAGAACTCAGCAAACACACTTGCTAGAAGGACTCTCAATCACAAACCGCTGGACAGGCCCAGCTCGTCTCCACGTAACGTACACCTTAGGTATGCATAGTCGGTCCAACTGCAGCCCAAGTTTCTTGGAAATTCCCTTTTTCAGCTTCTCAGGGACCTATACAAGTTAGCATCTTGATGCAGAAAAAAGGTCTGCGCATGAATTAAAGCTACTAGCTACGGTTTCCCTTCCATACAAGATATTCGTAAGGAAACGGCAATCTTGACGTAAGTGATACCTGTCCACTGACGTGTCTTGACTCCAAGAAACCCCAAATCCAATCTTGTTCTGGGAACTTTTTCCTCTGTATTATCCACTCCTCCTCCTAGGTTAGGTCTTGCTTTCCCACCCAAGAGAGGGAGGATTAGAGGGGAGGGGAGGGGAGGGGGGCAAAACCCATTACTCTTTGACACAGGCCAAAATACTAACTCCGAGGTCACATCCCAACTTGGGGTTCCTAATATGATTTTTTTTTTCACCTTTACCGATGCCGGTCATGTTATGCGCAGTGGGACGGGAAGAGCCACAGCAGGGAAAGGATCTTCTCCGAACTAGGGAGGATATGGTTCGAGTTGGGTGATGTTTCGTTTTCTGCTTCGAATAAGGCAACTATATGGGGAAAGGCCCTATAGGTCTGTGGGTTGTGCATTACCCAGATCGCCATCGCCAAGTAAGATAACGGGCTCTGATAGTGCAAGGACTAGTCCTTCCGGGGTTCTGGTTCCATGCTCATAATCAGCCCTAATTATCACGAATAGGGGGCAGCAACGTCAGGTATGTATGTAGGCATGTAGGCACAAGAATCTTTTGGAAAAAAAAAAAAGGACGTGTCTGTCCCATTTCCAACGGAATAAACTCCGCGCAGAGGAGTTATTTGCACGAATGCATGCGCTAGCAGTACCATATTTGAGGCACAGGGGTCGTTTTTTTAACCTTGTCCAAGGTGGTTTTGAAAATATTGTCAAAGGGCACTTTAATATCATCACCCACAACCTCATCAACCTATTAACTTTCAATAGGGGTACAATAAACACCTTCCATTTACCTACCTAGTTAGTGCCATTGAATATATTTCAACAAAATGCCTAATATCTCATATGAACGCCTTTCTTTTGCGTAGTGTCACTGGGCTGTAAGGGAGTTTACTGAACACCTTGGTGAGGAGGTTAGGGCTTTGCTGATATCTTTATCATAATTCAGCTAGCAAATAAACACACATTAACTTTGTAACTTTGGAGACATTATCACTCTTTGTCTTGCTACAAGTATAACCTTTCCGGCTTTGCTAAATAGACATGCCTTATGAGACTTGTTATCTCTGGAATCTTTCTGTGAATCTAGATTAGTATAGACATTATACTAATAGAGCTATTGTACATACAAACTTGTCGTAAAGTTGTTTTGTCCTCTTCTCTTACTGCTTAATAATATAACATAAATTTAACATACTATCGGAACATACCTCATATGAGCCTCAGAGCACTCGTACAAAAGGGGTTTCCGTCATTATCTCTTAACACTCTGTCTTTTGCTAGTTGCTATTGTAAGGTGTAGGTGGACGGTTATACAACCAATGATACTCATCATGCTATCAGACAGATGCCACGTTGACCATCACTGGTTAGTTCCAAGCCCTTGGTTGCTGCTGAGAGTGGCGAAAGCAATGATCTCTAATGCGTTGGCTATAATCTGATAAACAAACAAATTCAATATATTATGACACATCGTATATCTGTCACATGTGCTATATGCAAACATTCGTCGTCGATTACGTACTGTAGTAAGCATCAAGTATAACAGATATTATAAGGCACACGTAACAAACACCTTATCACCCACACGAATATGGTTATATTGAGTTAGTCGAACTGGTATAGAACTTCTGAGGCTATTCAGCTATAGCTGTATATCAAGTAGAATAAGCATGCCCATTTTCAGCCTCTCCACGTGGTTGATATCCCAAAGGTCAGCCGTAAATTGACCTCCTTCACCGTAGCCAAATGCTGGTGATACATCTCAGCATTTCGCCATACTACAAGTATCAGATTCACACGGTTCTCTTCCGTACAACCGAGTCAATAGTTTCAACGGATCAAAGCCCCCTGGACCCGCGGGACTGACCAGAATATGACATATCACACATATGTGCCTAGCTGTTACCGACATGTAGGTAAGGACCAAGAAACACACACACACATACACACACACATACATATACATAACCTTGACAACTAAAACTATGGGGTTTATCGTCACCGCTACTATTGGCAAAAAAGTTCCCTTCCTCTTCTTCTCCTTTGCAGGATTCTAAGATACCTATCCCAGTATATACATATGTGATGTGACAATGTGACATAAGAAGAAGAAAAAAAAAGGAAGAAAAAAAAGAAGGAAAAGAAGGAAAAGACGCGGGCCGAGTTTAAAGTTGGCTAGGGGCGGCCCGGCCCGGGTCTTCCAGTAGCATTCAAACATACGACCAATCAGTATAACTACGTCTTGAATAGTACTAGACCGGCACTTTAAAACTAATACATATTCGGCCATGTAAGCAGATATGCCTGGCAACAATCGTAACAATCGTAACAATCGTAACAATCAAAGACCTCAAGTACCTAGCCTGTTTGTACCTACTACCTAGGTCAGGCATATGCATAAGTACCGGCAACTACCTCATCAAGAAAGTGTGAGGCCAAGAGTTGAATTCAAAAAGCCATTACATGCCTAGGTATGATGTACCCTAGGTAGGTATCAGAATATTCACACGATCAACACTTATCCCAGGTAGTGATTAGTAAAGACATTCATGGATGTATGAATATGTAGGACTCGTTTCGAACTCCCAACAATACATGTAGGTAAGAAACACTGAACCAAAAAGAAGAGACTTGGGAACCATGACTCCGCTCTGAAAAGGACAGAGAGATACATATGTACGCTATCATGACCACACGACGTACATTACATATACATAGGTATTGATTGTATGTAGCAGCTGGTAATCGTGGCGTGAAATCATTCGGTAGTAGAAAGTTCCTAGTACCATACTAGGTAGATACAGAGACCGGTCTGAACGCAGTTTTGATAATGTGGCTCAGCAACAGCAACCTCTTCTCAGCATCTGTCTTTCAAGGCAGTCAGACTAGACATGCCGTGCCAACCCTAAATCAGAAAGCCAGAACCTTCTAGTTATAGTCTCGTGAGGAAAATAAGGGTAGCTTCTAATCTAAAACCTGCACTAGACTGTGTAATGCCGTGTACAAGAGAATATAGAGCAACCTAATATGGGCTGAGAAGACGAAGATTGGATTGATGCTAACCTCGGAATAGAAAACATAGCTTGTAGAGCTAGAATTCCTTAGAAACACCTTAAATACATACTTCAGCTCTGATATCTAGCTAGTTACCGTGATGATGTTAGCAATAGTAGGCAGCGATAGTGTGCGACGAAGGCTAGAATATGAGTAAACAAACCCCCTTTCCATAAGCCCTATTCCAACTATGATGCCTCTCAGGTACACGAGGACATTGCTAAACTCTGATGTAGACGCTACCATAGCAACCATGGCCAACCATGGCAACTATGACACTCATCAAACCCTTCTCGACCCAAGAGACGAGCGTAGATTCAGAACAAATTTCTTTCTTGACAGAGGTTTCTTTCTAGACAGAAGCAACACCAAGCATCTGCACCCATGGATATATCTATGGTTACAGAGTATCCTCGCATGGACATCTCTATAGCTATCATCATATTGTACCTCGGGATTCTCTACTTCCCCAGCCTACGACATCTCGCCCTAAACATGGCACTGACCAGGAGACGAGTGCTCCAGATGCACGACGACTTCGCGCTGTGGTGGAAGGGCATCTACGGCGAAGAGCCGGACCCGGAGCTTCCCGTTGCCCTGAAGCTGCCGCCCAACGTGATCGCCCAGATCGCAAGCCACCTCACGCCCGTCGACGTGGCGCTCTTCGCGCAGACGAGCCGCGGCGTGCGGGCCGCCCTGGGACCCGACGCAAACGCCTCCCGCCTCCCGCGCGACCAGTACTTCGCGTACCTGGCGACGCGGGTGCGGGGGTTGCCGAAGCGGTGGCTGTGCGAGGGGTGCATGGAGCTGCACCGGACGTGCGAGAAGGACTGGCCGTCGGCGAGCTGGGACACGTTCTACTGCCCGCGGGGGTGGGCCGTCAGCGCGCTGACCAGCAACCCGACGGTGTGGGCGACGACGCCGCGGCGGAGCTGCCGCCCCATGCGCAGGCACCACCGCCACGTGCAGCTCGCGCTCAAGTACACGCGCCTGCGCCTGCCCGAGTACCGCGACTACCTCGGCCACCTGATGGCGCCCCACAGCGACATCCAAGTCGACAACACGGGCATCTGCGGAACGCACTACATGTCGGAGTCGAAGATCGTCGCCGTGGGCGGCGCTGATGATGACGACAACAGCAACACCAATAACACCAACAACAGCCTCCGCTACCTCGTCCACGCCAGCTGGCGCTACCACATCCGCGACCGCGGCCCGCTGCCGCTCTCCCAACTGCGCCACCACATGATCTGCCCGCACCTCGAGATGAACCACCACAGCGCCGCGCCCTGGTTCCGGGCCTCCCCCTTCGCGCACGACGCATGCGAAGTCTTCTCCCTCGCCGTCGAAGCCTCGCTGTCCACCCCCTCCCCCTGCGAAGACACCCTCCCCCTGCAAGAGAAGAAACAGCGCGAGCTAGGCCAGTGGCCGCAGGCGGAGGAGCACAGGGGCGCGTGCCCGCGGTGCGCGACGGACTTCTCCGTGCAGCGCTTCGCGGACTACTCCTTTGTAGGGTCGCCGCACTTCCTGCGCATACAGTCGTGGCAGGACCTCGGGCCCGAGGGCTCGCCGACGGACCTCGTGTGGAGGGCGCAGGCGCACGGGCGCAGCCTCGCGGGCGTCGAGAACTGGCGCCTCTCGGGCCCCGTGTACTATCATGAGCCGGGGAGCGTGAGGAGGTGGTTTGAGGAGAGGCCTGATGTTACGTTTTAGATAAGAAAAAAGGAGAAAAAAAAAGAGGGTTGGGGGGGGGGGGGGGAAGGGTTAAAGCTGTTCTGGAATCTTTGGTCGAACAGTGTTTTCACATAATTATAAAGGAGGCAGTTAGCGAGTTGTATTTTAGGGTAAAGACTGATGATACTCCCTGCATTAGCAATACTAGAAGCGACCATTACGAGAAATAACAATATTAATATCACCGTCAATATCTCATCTCAACTCGTAATAAGACCTTCTCGGTGTGATTTACCTAGCATCAGGATTAAAATAAACAAAGCTGCATACCTACACTTTGAATCAACGAAGGGACGTTAGTTAGGTAGTTAAGAAACGGCCCGAGGAAGAATAGGAGAGTAGAGCTCTTGTATTCATATAGCCATCAATTGCATCTAGACGCCCCCTATCATCCCCCCTTTCCCCTCCCTGGAGCCATTTGCCATTCTACGTCACACTCTTTTTTAATTGGTCATCATCCATCAGAACATCAAAAGGAATGAAGCGGAATTGGTTGGACATAGAAAATAAGTAGGTGGTATGCAGGAATGTCAAGCGTGCTTCCCAAAACGCCACCCCATGCCTTACGCGTATGGATTTTTTTTCTTTTTTTCTCTTTTTCTTTTAGGCAATGTTCATGCCGACCGTGGCCTGTGGATGCGCATCAAGGTCAATGTCTTCAACTAGACTGAGTTGATGACCGCTCTCGCGCACGAGGTTGCCAAAGTACTTTAGTGCCACCTCGCTTTCGGTGCGGACCTTGAGGGTTTCCTCTCTTCGCGTGCCGAGCTGGTCTGCCGAACGGTTCAAACCGACTTGGAGGGTTTCGGCAGGATAACGAAGAACCTTGCGTACGGAAGCTGAGACACGTGTGCTGTTCGAATGAACATAGTCGATAGACTCTAGCTGCGTTGAGATCTTTTCGGATAAACGATTAGGTAGTGAGTGTGGAATTTGCTGGACAACGTAAGCTGCAGCGGAGACAACTATAGGTAATGAGAGTTAGCTTCTGACTTAGTACTAAGAATTTACGATTTGACATACCTGCTAGAACTACACCGGGGATAATCAATTTTCGAAGATTGTCATTGCCAACAATTTTCAATGCAGTCACCGTGTGATCCATCCAACCCATGCCACCAATGAGACGTCCACCGAGAGCAGTAGCAACGGTGAGCGCCATACCAGTGCCCGCAACCTTCTCCTGGCGTTGCATGAGTGTAGACCAGTCGACAAAATCCGATAGCTCTGTGGTGACATCAATCTGTTTAGCGAGCACATCACGCCTTCTGCGGAACATGACGTCTGGGCGGAAGTTAACGGCGTGATACTCGTTGCCGAGGTGCATAATGCCAAGTTGCTTGATAACGTTCACACCACCGACAGTCCTCGTTCGGGCATAGTCCTCGCAGGAAGAGACCGACTCTGCTATGTGCGATAACATCGCTTCCTTCAGCTCTTCGGCGTAGTCAAAAGCATAGAACAGACCTGGGTAAGGTACACCAAGGTTGCCCTCACCAGATTGTGTAATTGCCGAGCGGAGGGCGTCGCGAGTGTGGTCGTATACTTCCTTACACGTCTCCTCAATAGTTTGGTCTATTTCGTCGCCCACGGAGGCCTTTGCCTTGAGAGAAGATTCGAGCTGAGGCTCAATCTCTTCCAACTCTTGCGTCACTCGGTCTAGTTCTGACTGAGCAACTTCAGCATTGACTGTGGCGAGTACGTTAACATCGTTGAGGATGTTGAGGAGATATGTTTTAGCTGGTGCAAGCTTTGATCGTGCACGTTTTTCCAAGACGAATCGTCGAAGTGACTGTTCCAACTTCTCAAAGTCCTGGACCTTCTCCTTCTCTTTACCCTTTCCTTTGGGGTCATCGCTGGGGTCACCTCCCCCTCCACTCGAGCTACCGCTACCTCCGCCATCCGGACCACCAGGGGGTGATGATACTGTTGGAATGGCGTTGCTGGATACAAAATGCACAAGTTCTGACGAGTCCTTGAACGTGTGAGGGCTTAGGCCATATACCTGATCCAATATCATCTTTTGGCATCGTTCCTTATCTCTGATCAAATCATAACCATTCACAACCATGAAGATGTACGCCTTCTCGGATGCAGCAGCCCAGATGAATTCTTTTGCTGACTGAGTGAAGTGGTTGGCAGCAGAGACAACAAATACGACCACGTCGATCTCCTCCTGCCGCGCAAAGACGGCAGTCGTCTTTGTTGTATCGGAGTTCAGTCCTGGGGCATCGATCAAGGCAATATCCACCACGCCGTTGTTGAGCAAGGACTCGTCAATAGTTCGCACATCCTTGATGTATACCTTGCATTGCATATATGTTTCGTTGTCGATAACAATATTCTCTAACTCGCTTAGGGAGAATACATCGTAGGTCGATTCGTCGTGTCGGTTATAGATTGCATCCAAATGGACCGCATGCACCTCCTCGATGCCGGCATTGTCTCTCGCATCTAATACCTCGCAGAAGATGCTCGTGCAAGGCTGCTGGTCTTCTGGCAGGACTTTTCGGCGTAGCAATGCGTTGCAAAATGTCGATTTTCCGGCGTTAAGATCTCCAGTCACCAAGACCTTGCTGGATGTATCCTCGATCCTCTCGCGTAGTAAAAGAAGGTGATTGATGCTAGAACTAATCTTCCCATCAAGTAGCGCCGCGATCGAACTCTTCTCGAGAGAATGGACAAGTTCAATTTGATGCAAAGCACCTAGCTTGAGGTCCAGTTTCAAGACGGAAAACTGCTGTGCAATCTGCGGAGAGACTAGTCTGGGCATATCAGTCACGCTTTTAGTTTCGGCATCCTGGCTAGATCCTGCGGCTTCGTGATCCTCGACGGTCGTCATTGATCGTCGCAATGGTCGTGTGTGGTGGGGCGATGGGTCTCCATTCATAGAGAAGGCATGCTGTAATGCTGGGCGCGATGAGGAACCATCGGGTAAGAATGCTTCTGTTCGCTGTACTGATGGATAATGCGCTGGCCAGGTAATGTTCATCTCCTGTAGGGTTTTGAGAAGCTCAACAACTCTGGTGATGGATCGATTCAAAGCAGCTCGATGCTGGTTGTACCATAACTGATGAACCGCAGCTGCTTGGTTTCGATGATTGGTATCTGAGCCGTTGGCAGAATGATGCTGTAGCGGCATGTCTCCGGACAAGAGATCGGTGCGGGGAGAACCAACGGGTCGTCGTGAGGAAAGGACATCATCTCCTGCGATACTTCCACCGTAACCGGAGTCATTGTCGATGAGTGATTGGAGTCGGGCGGCATGTTGAGAAGAGGAACCGTTGCCGACAGTCATGTAACCAGGCCTGTTGGAAGCAGAGGGAGACTCTACATGTTCTTGATTAAGGTCATGGGTTTGGTTCTGATTTTGACTCTGGTTTCGGTTCCGGTTTCGTCGGTTGGACGATTTGCCCTTGTTGTTGAAGTAATCTTGGCTCATGATGAAATCTCCGACTCGCGGTTTGCGGGCATTACCGGGGTCGGATGTTGGTTATTCGGAGCTTCGGTATAAGCGGCCAGGCTTCAAGTTGGTATGTTGTAGGTTAATAGGCTGTAAGAAGGTAGTTGGTAAATCGAAAATTTGCGCTGATCGACATCACCCGTGATGTGCGTGATGTTTGCAAGGTGTAAAGTTTGAAAGTGCGAAGTGTGTGTGTGACTTGAATAATGAGGCGAAATTACGGTATGGAGGAAATGAGACGACTCGATTTGATTGGTTGCGCGCTTTACAATTTTACAATCGTACAAGACATCTGTCGGCCCATTTATTATGTAAGTAAGTACCCAAAGTCAGTGCCCCCGCCTGACCCCTGCCTAAGGTGGTTACGTAACTTACGGATTACGTTCATGTCCAGGGTCTCGTATCGTACCGTTGACTTTTAGTAACCTACGCAGTACTGTACCTTCGTATCTCTTCTACATACTCCAGTCAATACTATGTACCAGACATACATACATACACACTGCTATCTTTCATCAAGTCTTCGTCACAATCTAGGTTACATTTGTTACATATACCTATTCATCTTTGCATATTGCGCAAGACATAAAATCAAATCGAAAAACCCAACCAGAAACCAAGCAAGACCCATATCCCCAAGGCTCCCCAATACTAGCACTTACGTTCAACCCACGAACACATCGGAAACAACCCCTCTCCGTACCTAGACACCTGTTCTAATTGCCTTGTGCAAATTACTCCTATTCCCGTTGTCATGAATGTAAGCCACAAGAGCATTCCCATTTCGCAACTTGTGCTTTAAATCTACGAGGAACTAGAAAGCTAACTTATCTACGCCTAGTTGCTAGAATATGCCTTCGGCAAGCGCATGACGCCCGCGGAGCGTCTACGCAAAAACCAACGCATGATCGACAAGGCCATTCGGGAACTAGACCAAGTGAGAGTCAAGTTGGAGAAACAAGAGAAGACCCTCGTGGGCCAGATCAAGCAGAGTGCCCAGAAGGGGCAGATGGGAGCCGCCAAGATTCAAGCAAAGGATCTTGTGCGCACGAGAAGGTAACAATCCTCCTTATGGCCTTATACACCCAGTAGCACTTGGCTGATCACTGGCAACTCTTACAGATACGTCGAGAAGTTCTATGGAATGAGGAGCCAACTGCAAAAGATATCCTTACGACTTCAGGTTAGTCTTTCCCATTCGCTCATCAAGAGCAACAAATTAACGAACTCGCATTAGACCCATCGAACGAACGAACAGATGATGCAAGCCATGAAAGGGGCTACGGTGGCTCTCGGAAGCATGAACCGATCTATGAACCTCCCCGCATTACAACGTATCGCCATGGAATTCGAACGAGAAACCGCAGTCATGGACGAAAGACAGGAAATGATGGATGACGCCATCGACGATGCCATGGATGTAGGCATAGAAGAAGAGGGCGATGAAGTCGTAGAGCAGGTCTTGGAGGAGATTGGTGTTGATCTCAACCAATCCGTAAGTGTATCATTGCCAACTATTCCAGAAAACCGATCTTCTAACAGCAGCATAGTTTGGGGAGACCCCGACCGGTTTGCAATCCGAGAAAGTTCCAGATGCTCGCGTCGCCCAAGCCATCGGTGCCCCAAGTGGTGGCGGGGGCGGAGACCCCGGGGACGACGATCTTCAAGCCCGACTTGATAGTCTGAGAAAGTAGACATGAAAGCATAATTATGCTTATCAAAAAGGGGGGTTTATTGAGAATGAATTTGATACGAGACACGCGTTTTTTTTTTGAAAGCATGGAGCATGGAAACTTTTATTGGTTTGCTTTATCGGGGTCGTCCCGTCCCATGCAGCATAATACAGATTTCGAACATAGCTCACTCGAGCACCATTCTAAGTATCTCGAGTACGCCCTCTTTATCTAAAGGAGCTGGGTTGCTTTGAACCCACCGATCCCGTAAACTATGCTCGGCAATGTTTCCAAGTTTACCCTCCCCAATACCAAACTCCTGCAACGTCCTCGGTAATTCCAGCGAACGGATAATGGCATCCATTAGATCCCCAAGATCGGCTGTGTCCCTTTCCAGTTGTCTTTGGCTGAAGATTTCTTGCGCCTTGGAATCTTCCCATAGAGCTTTTATGACAGCGTCTTGCCGGGCAACATTAGCCCCCCTTTTATAATTGTACTTGCATACAGCAGGGTTTAGGATGCAGCTCGTTTCGCCGTGGCTTACGCCAGCAGGGCCCAGTTGATGGCCAATACCGTCTGCATTATCGAATTTAGTAATCATCATTATACATGGGTTAGGTATCATTTAAGGTAGATGGTACTCAGATTCACAAAGGTGCTTTTGAGTAGACATCCCAAGCAAACACGTCTTAGGGGCGATGGAAAGGATATCAGAGGCATAAGAAGGATACATACGGCTTGCCCCAAGTGGTACACCCCGGGTACAGGCGCTCATAGCATCTCTGGCGCCAAGTTGGCACTTTAACCGCGCTTCGAGATCTTGGGGATTTTGCTTGCTGCTTATCAAACCCGGTATGAGATTCGCTAATCCATGCCTGGCATCTTGGTCCGCTGCATCATCGCTCTGCAAGGAACAAAGAGTCTCGATACAATGATCGACGGCCTTGATGCCGGTACTCAGCCAGACTCTAGCTGGGGTCGTCGTAGTAAGCTTCGGGTCGAGGATGACCAATGCGGGACCCCGCATAGCTCCTGAAAAAGAGTACTTCTGTCCCGTCTCGTCGTTTGTTGCTCCTGCAAAGGCCGAGTATTCGCCGCCCGAGAGTGACGTGGGGATACAAACAACGGGTACTTCCGACGACTTGATTTCATAACGCTTCCGTGGGCTTGTTGGGCAGAGAGTGTCTAACTCTGAATGCGTTGAGACGTCGTTCGCCAATGCCTAGGTAGTACATATCATTGAGCACCTATGGCCTTACCCTTATTGACGGCATGAGTGGCTTGCGGGATATGAACCTACAAAAGAAACTATCTTGGCCGCATCTGTAAGACTCCCCCCGCCTAGTGTGACGATTAAGTCCACACTGCACTTCCTCGCATCTGCCACGATTTCGAGGATCTCGGACCAGAGAGAATGCGGTTTCATGCCAATCCTAACGCCAACAACTCTATCTCCAAGCTTCGCCTTGAGTTCTTCTAGACATGATGTGTTTTTGGCAAGGGACCCAGAACATATAACATAAATTCTCGAGGCATGGAAGAAGTCACCCACGTGCTTTAGAATTGACTCGGCGAAAGGCAAACCGAAGCTAAGAAGCGGTTGTTCCCGATCTGTGAACGCTGGGCCAAAAGATTCTGACATGATCAATACCGGGCAAAAACAACGGATCTTTTGTAATACATATACAGCTTATGAAGGTGGCTGGAGAATAAGGTGAATAGTAAATCGATAGTATGTGCTTCTGAGAACCCACCTAATTTGATGTCATCTTAAAAGAACATTGAAGTGGATGTGATGATTCTATGATAGCAGACAAGAGGACGATACCTACATAGTACTAACTACTAGGTAGGTAGTAGAGAGAATTACATACATACGTAGGTATGTACCTTTAGGTAGGTATCTAATATTAAGCGAAGAAACATCGTCATCTTGAGATTTTAGCAACTTGAACCATGCAGCCCCATATTTTAGCCTTAAACATTTGGAACTTCAACGTTGACTGGAAATGTTCATCGTTGGGTACATTGAGCTATGTATACATTGTATTATCACATATCACATAATCAAATGAAAGACTTGGTGATGCATTTCTGTTCTATTTGGATGACTTGAAAGAGTATTGATACCAATCCAATATGTCATGCATACCTACTAGATCCTACCTAATACACTATGCACATGTGTATATAGTAGGTACAATACCTACCGAGGTAGGCATCAGTGCTGTGTAGTCACTGTAGTGTACATACTATGTAGGTATTCAGGGTCCTATTATTAGCACCGAAGCGCCGACCTTTTATGGTTGCGGTACCGTCATAATAAAATATTGATACCAACAAATGTATTGTACATAACCTTGCACCCCTCCCCCACATGCACCAATCTTACCTACATAAGTAATCTAGCTTTAATCGCACTGGTCAACGCATTCATGTCTACCTAGGTACGTAAGGTACCTATCGTGTTTAGCACTTAAATCCATACACCATTGACCTGGGCATACACCCAATATACCTCCAACCTACATACTACATACAGCTGTCCCCTCCTTCACATTTTCCGTTGCATCACACCCCACGATTCATTAGCCACTCCTAACCTTTGCAAACATCACAGACCATCAAGTTCGCGACAACATTTGCAACCTTCTGATGCTAGGTTGTAAATGCTGATCTCGCATTGCTTCTTGGCGTGAATGTACCTAGTAAATACCTACATTGGTTGACTGGTAAGTCTTTAATTTGTTCTCATCTATCCAAATCCTCGAAATCCTCGAAATCCTCGAAATCCTCGAAATCCTCGAAATCCTCGAAATGTCCCAAGCAACAGCAGAGCAGAACAGCAGACCTGCATCATCCTACCCTAACATTGAACGTTCAAACATTATGTATGCTGCCATGTAGTTAGTGTATTGTACATATAGATGTACATATTCCCTTCAAATTATTCCCTTACCTGCACCACCTTGCGATCCATCATTACCTAACGTTATTGTGTGGCTCCAACTTGTTTACAGACGCCCAATCATTTCCCATTGTCCTATGGCCTTCCTTCTCGTCCCTCCGTCCCTCCATCCCATCCTATCTATCGTTGCGTTTTGTCTAGTTTCATTTGCCCTCGACCGGCAGTCCTGATTGCCCTGCGACTTTCCTCTTTCATTGATTCTATACGGCTAAACCCTTTGTACCCCCCAACCCCAAGAAACATATTATTCGATACTCATCCGCATACAACAACGCACTATACTGCACACTATACTGCACCCTACACGTGCATGTATGTGTCTATTCTGTCCAAAAGTGCCTAACTTACAAGAACTTAGTCACTCTTAGCGCCTCGACCCGTCACAAGACCCTCGTTCAACTAGTTCAGCCAGCATTCCGTATATGACGACAGCTCTGTACTTCAAATCTTGAACAACTGGATTGCCAACTTCTTTGACGCTTTTCCTCCACGCACGCTATCTCACCCATTGCATCTCCCAACGCCCTACCCACACAACCCAGTAAGGGGGATCTGCATCTTTACTCCGCACCGGTTAACGACTTTGGCGCATATTCTTCATACTTCCGTAACATATCATCCTTTCCCCTACCGAAAGCTTCAACCTTCGAAATCCTGGCAGGAAGCAAGCGTCGCAGTCTCTCTTCCCAGGGAGGTCTGCTCAATAGGATGTTTGGTGGCGGATCTAATTCCGCTGCTGCGAAATCCGATCATGCTGTCATGGAATCAGGAAAATCAGATAAGAAATCTCCATCGCCAGACCCGACCCGAGACTCTCCTTCGGGTAGTACACCTACAAAATCGCCCGATCGGGCTGCCAGTGGAGAGAAGCGTAGCGGAAATGGCAGTCCCCCCGGAAGACAGAATCCTGACACAGGTAGTGCCGAGAAGAAGCGCAGAAGTTCCGGTGTTGGAAGTAAAGCTAGCAGTCTTATAGCCAGTGCCAAGAATTCTTTGAATTTTGGTCAAGTTGGTAGAGCGAATAACGACGTCAACACCCAAACTCCTCTACAAAAATTGGGCAAACAAGACCAGTCGCTAGCCGTGCCTCAAGGGCAGCACAACAATTCGGCCGGTGATTCCATCCCCGGGCCGCGATCGACCTTCCGTGTTGGTGTCTGGGAAGACAGGAACAAAAAATGCCGCCGCACTATGGAAGACACGCATGCATTCCTCTACAATTTCCTGCACACACCGGCACCTCTTCTTGCCACGGACTCGGGCAATAAGAGCCTCAAGTCTCAGAAGTCTACGTCAGAGGACTGCGATACTCCATCCGGATCGACCCCATACGATGTGATCGAGACTGACAATGGCTACTTTGCAATATTTGACGGCCATGCCGGTACCTTTGCTGCGGACTGGTGTGGCAAGAAGCTGCATCTTATTCTGGAAGACACCATACGAAGAAACCCTAACGTTCCCATCCCTGAACTTCTCGATCAAACTTTCACCAGCGTTGATGCTCAGCTGGAAAAGCTGCCTCTTAAGAACAGTGGTTGTACCGCAGCGGTTGCCGTCTTGCGTTGGGAAGATAGGGTTCCGAGTTCAAACTCGGCGACAGGTTCTCAGGCCATCGCCCCTGCTGCCGCTGCCGCGTCAAAAGCGACAGACGCACATAAATCTAAAGACGGCAAGTCTGAGCACGAAGGATCCAACAACGCGATTCCCGAAGCTGCCCATGCAAGACTAAAAGGTGCTGCAGTGCGCCAGCGTGTCCTTTATACTGCAAATGTGGGTGATGCTCGCATCATCCTATGTCGAGCCGGAAAGGCACTACGTCTCTCCTACGATCACAAGGGCAGTGATGAGAACGAAGGGAAGCGTATTGCTAATGCTGGAGGCTTAATCCTGAACAACCGCGTCAATGGTGTGCTAGCTGTCACGCGAGCTCTTGGGGATACATATATGAAAGATCTTGTGACGGGACGTCCGTATACCACAGAGACGATTATCCAACCGGATGCGGACGAATTTATCATTATTGCTTGCGACGGAGTAAGTGTTATGTTCTTCACTGATTTTACCGATTTGTTTTATATATTTACTAACTCATACCTAGCTTTGGGATGTTTGCAATGACCAAGATGCAGTCGATCTCGTTCGTGATGAGCAAGACCCCGTAGTTGCTTCCAAGAAGCTTGTCGACCATGCTTTGGCTCGATTTAGCACAGATAACCTTTCTTGCATGATTGTGCGGTTTGACAAGGTTGCCCTCCTAGAGCACCAAAACAACAAGGACAACCCTATCGGCGTGGAGGGAGATGCCGTTGCTGCAGGTGGTAAAGTTAGCGAAGCTGACAAAATTGTGAACTCTACCAAGCAGAAGATCGCTGAGGGTGACACCCCGGCTGTCGGCATATCAGCCAGCAACAGCGGTCGCGGCCATGACCCTATACCTATCGATGATGGCGATACCACCACCTTCAAGCCAACCATCATTGAAGGGCCAGTCGAGGAAGAGCCATCATCATTGGAAGAAAGCGATGCGCCAGAGGTCATTACAGACGCCTTACCCAACCCAGGAGGCCCTGTCACCACAGAAGAAACCTCCCCGAAAACCACCAAGTCACCGGAATCTTGATACCCATCTTGATCGTGCAACCAGGGTACCTCCTTTTCTTTTTTCTTGCCTGCGTACCCTTTTCCATCAACGGTTGTACACGTGTATCGTTGTTTCGTTTATTTTTGGGGTGGCAGCCTGTTGTTCTGCTCCGCGCTATCTGATATGGCATATTGAATGGCCGAGCCCGACTAACGGGTGGCAATAAAGATACTATGATCGAAACGATGGTCTATGGAAGTTGACTGGTTCGGTAATCTCGTTTCACCTCTCCATTGGCTGTCTATTGGTGGAGGCAATATGTGGAGTGAGCGGACTCCAACTACCTACCCAGTGTCTCTGAAAGACGAAAGATGAACTGGCGAACACGCTGGGAATGACGATTGAAGGTCTAGTCTGGTCTGGACCGATTTTTTTTTTAAAAAAGTGTACGTTACTGGGCTAGCCAGCTTCGATACACAATGGAACTGTGATCATGTGAAGCCGGAGGTTCTGACATCGCTCCCTGAGGGGGAGTATCGTGGAAGAGTAAGGATCCTAAAAAGGGGGGAGGGCTAGGGGGTTCTTTGACGTCAAATACCAGCCGCTCTGGTTCATTACTACTAGGTTAGATATTGAAGGATAATCAATCAACATCTGACTAACTAACCTCTTGCGTCCCTATTTAAACCATGTAACCTCGATGTGTGGTAAAGGGGTTATATAGGCTATACTTGCCGTCGCTGGGCATTTCCCTTTCCTCTGGTAGTTCAGGTTATTATATATGTAATGCTCGATTAAGCTTAACCCCTCACCAAGGTGAGATTTTCAAATCCTTGCCCATCCCGCCCCCAATGTGTCACTCGATTGGACACGCGCTCGGACCTACATATGTAGATGTGCTATGCCATGGTAGAACAAACGAAACACGCACATATGTAGGTACCCTACTGTACATAGTCGACGAATGCGCGCGCGTTGATGAATCAAGAAAATGTACATATATGTATGTACGTGGGGGAGGGGAGGAGAGGAGGGGAAAGGGGAAGTATGTGTGTAAGTAAGTACATAAGTGTAGAAAGTAGGTCAAAGCGTTAGAAACCTCGCAGAATGTTGTATGTATGCCTACCTATATGGACGTGTCACATAGGTTGATCGCCGTTCTTGGGAATCTGCTTATCTGTCCAGGAACTTGGAAGCCGAGTCTTTGCGCTCTTGGTATACGAAGTAGTTAACTGTTGATGGATGTTGCAGATGCTGGGGGATGTGTAAACTGGCATTGGGCCAGGTACTTAATTTGTCTTCGATGCTGTTATATGGGCTACATTAGGTATGTAGATGTATATCGGATCGTACATACGTAGGGTATTTTGTTAAAGCATTGAACGCCCTACATATCACATATCACATACCTCTTCGGGATTCTGCCTACATACATACCGGAGTTTCTGAGCACATGGAAGGGTTACAATCTATGTATGTGCCGGTCGTGCATGGTGTGCTGCCTTTGCTTGCTTGCCTGCTTGCTTGCATGCAGGAGAGGGTTCCGGCGGTTGTACAAAATGTTGTAGTACGGACGGGGTCAAGGACTGAGAGGGAACCTTAGAGGGGGGAGGGGGGTCGTTGCCTCGAGGTGTAGGTTGCTCAAGCCGATTAATAAAGTTTTGGGGCTTTCTTTTTTTTATTCTTCTTTCTCTTTTGGGTGAGCTTTGAGGCTTGGTATATGGAGGTCTTTTGTCTTGAATGTTGGGGATTTGTAACGACTTGCCGATATATACAGAGGGAGGTGTATACGAGAGTTTTCGGCCATCTGAATATAAGATGAGAGACATCTCATCTATCGAGATGGATGCATACCTCCCTACATATATCCACCATGTCCGTACTCAAAAACAAACAACATTGGATATTAAAGACAAGATGACATACTCCGAGTCGCGGCAATATTTAGGCAGGTCGATAGACAGAACACGTGAAATTCCGATTTCTACATAAATAAGGTCCACGGTATCTTCGGTACCAAAGTACGTAACCCTAGGGCCTAGGTCGGGTTGACATTCCCATATTGCGTGTTTCCCAGCATCCCTAAGATAAACCTAGTAGGTATCTATCCATAGTATTATGATAGCAGGTATGCATGTAGATCAAGAACTTGTATCGTTCCACGTGGTGAACAGCATTGATGAAAGACATCGCATATATGTGTAGGTATAACTAGTAACTACTGGCATTGGAAAATATACATACATAGGTAATGTTAAATAGCAATACTGATCCACGTAAGGGGCTGATGCTGGTTGGTCCCCCTTAAAGATCTTTTTTACCTTATGCAGCTGGATGTAAAAGGTATGGATGTTAACTATAGCGTACCTAGTACTGTGTAAACCCCATCACTGATATACTCATTTACCCTAAGAGATCAATTCCAACCGCGGATTGGTCGAGTTCTGTTGGAGCTTGAAGATTTATGTCGTGCTACAGTGCGGGGGTTCCACCTAATCAACTAAAGCGAGGGTGGTAGTAGTACAAGATTAGCGTCTTTCCGCCTATTACAGACTTTGCAGATATTTGTTGTAGGCCGATCAATACATGGATATCATCAAACTCTCTTCGAGTTTTTTATTTAAACAAAATTCATTGAATGTTTGAAGTTTGCATGTAGTCTGTATTACATAACTAGTGCTATTAATGTATCAATATGTACACATACATTCTATGTAGTATATTCCAAAGTCTCAACTTTCAATGTTGTTCTAACTTCTCAGGACTGGACCAACTCATCGATTCATACACGTATGTAGATTAGTCTCATTGATAAGGTCAGCTCAAGTCATTTCTGGCTCTAGTCCAAGCTCAATCACAACATTTTTGCAGCTAGCTATGTATGTATATATGTGTTCTAGCCTGAATAGCTAATCTTAGGTACATACTACGCAGTACATAGGAAAATGGTGCGATGAAACACTGAACCCCATACATCATTGATACTAGGTACATAGACATCAGTACGTCTAAAAACACTACAACTATTTTCTAAAAACACTACACCTTCCTATTTAAGTCTAGCAATTATATGCGACACTCCACCACTTAATTTCATAACGTTTTTGTCTAACTGCATAATTTAATATAATTTATAAGAGTTTTGCTATATGCACTACCTATTTTTGCTATCGGGCCCTTAGGTGCACTACTATTAAGTATTGTATATCCCATAAGTCCACTAAATCTTAAAAGCCAGGGCCCGTCCAAGCCATCCATCCCATCCACCTAAATAACTCTTCAATCATATATTGCACCACAATGCAACCGAATTCAATTGAAAGCGCATTCAATTACCGATTGATTGATGTAGGTTTCAAATTGAGGCGATGGGTGGTCGCTGAGTTATTCAAGTAAAAAGGTGGCAGCCCGGGAGGCACGTGACTACCCTTGGAGCCACACTAAGACCTCTTAGTGCCACGCTAAGGAGTGCCACGTGACTGTTCTCGAGACAAATACCAACATAACTTTTCAACCACGTATCGCCTCAAATTGCGGCCGGAATCAATCAATCAGTAATTGAATTCTCTTTCAATCAAAATCGGTTGCACGTTTGTAGCTGATTGCTTCAGGGAGTTATTCAAGATTGAAACTGTTGAATAAGGTTTGGCTCTAAGTGGCCTAAGGGCTCTTAGCGTGGCTCTAAGGGTAGTCACGTGGCCCCGGCTTGCCATCTTATTTACCTGGATAACTTTACGACCACAAATTGCCTTAGTTCCAGACTGGTATCAATCAATTGGTAATTGAATTCTCTTTCAATTGAATTCGGTTGCATCATGGTGCGACATGTGGTTGAAAAGTTATTTGGATTGAATTGATGTGGGCAGCTGGGGGCGCTAGAGGCGCTATTATGCAGTTAGACAAAAACGTTATGAAATTAGGTGGTGGAGTGTCGCATGTAATTGCTAGACTCAAATAGGAAGGTGTAGTGTTTTTAGAAAATAGTTGTAGTGTTTTTAGACGTACTGCATAGACATACCTCAATGATACATACATACATATGTAGATGTACCTACATATTACTTACATCAATGTATGTGCCAGGTACCACTGTAGAAGCGGCAGGTGAAAAATTACATGCGTTCATGTACCTGCATCAATGTGGACATGGCTAATTTCTGCACCTATCCAATGCCCAGTGTTGCTTCCGACATCTGGACATCCCTTTTTACTTTCCCCGGCAGCTCGGCCACCATTTGCATTCGATGTTTTATCATAGTTATTAGGTATTCAAAACTAACCACCACATTCTTCCATTCAATGTTCCTCTTCAACCAAGTCAAGTGTTGTTAATCAATGTTCTTTGATACATACCTACATCATTGATACATACCCATTAATTCCCCCTTTTCATTCTAATAGTCTTTGTACACGTAGGTACGTAAAATACATACACATTCACATACACATCACTCATAGTGGACGGGTAGAGCACTGTCTCACTTCCTAATTCTAATCATTACTTATTATTACCTACTCATTCTACTAGTTTTTTTTCTAAATTTCTATGCCTACAATACCCTCGTTTTTATGCTGAATTTATTACTCTATCCATACATACCAACATTGAATGTTTGAGATTTGTCAACTACAACTTGTATCTTTCATTCTTCAACTCGTTTGCCCCCCCTTTTATCCCTTCTCCCTGTCCTAAACACCTTAAACAGTGATCACTATTACTCTTCTTCTATCTTCCCTCCTGTTCGTTGTCATCCTTGACAATAGGGGTATAATTCTTGTCCTCTGCTAGCTCTACTACATAGTACTACTAGTAGTACTAGGCTTTATTACGGTATTTCAACTGTCGGTATAATTGTACTAGCGTTCGGGCTTCTACAACTGGGCACGACCCCCTGATCCCTAGATCCCTGGTCTATCAATCGATGTAGTTTAGTTCAACTTCCAAGGTTACCTATCTCACGGTGTTATTACCTAGTACTTATCCTTCAACCCCCTATCGAAATTTCCGGCCCCTGGTCCAACTCCATACTTACTAGTCCACCTTTCTCGTTTCGGCCGCCTCGATTCTCCTCCACTTGTGTTAAAGAAAGTTATTCTGTGTTATGCGCCTTGTTCGCGACACCACTTTCCAGCAGCGCGTGTAAATTATTCCTTCAGCGTCTTTGCATGGTGCTGTCTCAATGTCGAACCAGACTGCCGGCCCTTTGATTTGGCTCTGGTTCTGGTTCCGGACGGTCCTTCCGATCCTTCCTGTATATCGACTTCCGATAAGCGCATTGTAATTCCGACAAGGCAACCTGAAAAGTAGGAAAAGAAAAAAAACGAATCTAAAATTTGGCCAGCGCAATACTTTAGAATTTCTTAAGCCAGCCGTCGCCAAAACCGGCATTGCAATAGAAAGATGTCGCTCAATGGTTTGGATGACCCGAAGGTTAAAGAAGCCCACGAAGCGGCTGCGGCAGAGCCCGGAGGATGGTACGATTAATCACTTTTTTTTTTTTTTTTTTTTTTTAATTTTTGACCGGTTCTGCCGGTCATGTAGCCAATTGATACAATTTCGGCAGGCTTCAGACTTGGCCTTTTGTCGCTAACATAGTCTGACTTAATTTAGGTTCCTACTCAAATACTCCAACCGGGACGAGGTCGAGCTGTACGAACGTGGAAGTGGCGGCATCGTAGATATCAGGGGTGCAGTTGCGAATTATGGGGAGAATTCGCCGTTATTTGGTCTTCTTAGATACAGACGGAGGAACATTTTGGTGAAGTACCAGCCGGAAGATTGCTCAAGGCTTGTCCAAGGTATGCGCATTTACTCTATTACCTTCTCCTTCCATGATTGCGCAATGTTCTACGGAACGTGACGAGAGGAAAGAAACTGCTAATCTAACGGAAATCGTTTTCTACAATAGCTCGAGCGGCGGTGCATTTCAATGCAGTTCGTGAACGGTTTTCGCCATATGATACCACCTTTGAGATTTCAGTAGCCAAAGACTTAAAAGATAGTAAACTTTCGGCAGCATGCTCGCTACATGCTGCCTCAGGTTCGGCATCATCTTCTACGAGTTCTTTGCGCCGGCGTAGATTGAATGAGATTGCCGAGGAGGAGGAGGAAGAGGAAAGAGAGAGAAAAAGACAATCCACAGTTAAAGAAGAGGACAGACGGACTTCTTCTATATACTCAACTACGCCGTCGTCGCCGGAACGGCCTGCAGTATTGGATCGTGAACAAATTTCTTCCCCACAAGAAACCACGTTTGCCTCGACAACCGACGTGCCTGAATTTACAGGAATCGATAGGCCAACATCTTCTGCACAATCCGAGGCTGCCCCACGTACATCTTCTCAGTCCACGCGTCCTGAATTATATAGCTACGCGACTTACACGTACGGTAAACCCAAAGTGAAGCTTGGTCCACGGCCATCTTTGGATACTAATAAACGACCTTCAACCGCGGGAAACTTTCGTCCAATTGCGGCCTTGCCAGCCGGGTTTAAATTTCACAAAGCAACCAAGAAAGGACATCCTCCAGGTTCGGAACACGCCGAGAAGGTGGAAGAAAGTATCGATACCGGCCATAAAACGCCCTTCGCTATCCCCGAAATTCCACACGATTCTGACCATCAGCTTCCGCCACGGCCCGCGACAAGTTCAGGCGCATCTGTAAAGGGAGCCATGAATCCATCCATAGCGTCTTTATCGGCGAAGGAAGCCAAGGTGACGCCCGAAAAGGCAAGGCTAATGAAGGCCATGAAATTAAGGGAAAAGAAAAAGATGATGGGCTCCACGCCTTTGGCACAGGATGTCGCCTCAGTAACCCCACCACAGCGCCACGAGGAAGACGATAACGCCGAATCCAGCGATCCTATACATACCAATCACAATGACAACCAGCGTTCCGTATCACATGCAGATTCTGGTATTGCTATTGACCCTCCCACGCCGATGATAGCGAATATCGAGGACAACATATCAGACTCGCACCCAAATTCTCCGACGGCTGCAACATCGTCATCAGAAATAGGTGCATCTACAAAAGCTTCATCGTTGTCTGAATCAACAGATGAGACAGTCCATGTGACGAAAGATGCACTTGAGAACGATAATGATGACGAGGATGAGGATGAAGCAATACCAGCAAACATGGGTGAATCGGAACACAATGGAGAATCTCGATCTGATTCGAAGGATAGTGATGTCTCGGGTGTGAGAAATATGAAAGTTGGTGAGGAATCTGGTAAAATTCCAAAGCCCAGCCACCCTCCACAATCAACAGAACCAGCCATCCGAAGATCCATAGAAGTGGATGATCCCCCTGAAAATACTCCACAGGTACCCAGATTAGGCGGTGAGCAAATTCCGAGTGAAAGGGACACGCCAAAATCACCTTGGGGGCTACCAGTCTCGAAGTTCTCATCCAATGAAACCAAATCCTCAACCTCCCCTAAATCACAGGCAATTCCCAGCCTCAAGTCGAAGTTCTCCATACCTAACCTTGTTATTCCTTCCGCACCCGTTCTAGTTCTACCAGATGCATCGTTAGCGTCTTCCATAGAAGACCGCGATACGACCAGAGGTGAATCATCCCCCAAAATAGGCCCTGAGATTCGCCTTCCTGCACAGCAGACTGCTACGCGAAAGGGCCTTGTCGGAACTCGATCCGAATTTGGGAAGACGACACCTCGTTCTGAAGTATCCGATCCTCTTCTCGATGATGAACTGATGGACGAGCTGCAGTCGGCAACTGTGGAAGAGGCCAAGCCTATGCTTGTATCCAAGTCTCCCATAACTCCCGTCTTTCCTAACTCAGGTCCCCTTAAGCCATCCCCGCCGCTCTCCCGAGCGGTCTCGAACCCAATGCGTTCAAGTTTCCTGGCCCCCAGTGACGTGTCCGAGAGTAGCGCCAGAAGTGTTTCGGCAGGTGGTGCCGCGTTCCTGCATAACATCACAAAACAAACATCTAATGCTGGTTTACAGGCTAAGAAGAGTAATATCGGATCGAGTATCTCGCAACGAATCAAGGCTCTAGAGAAATTTTCGACAACTCCCGGTGCCGAAGATGCCCGCCCGAAAACCGCTGCCCCTTCCTCGACCTTCTTTGGTATTAGAAGGCAAAGCATTCGAGATCCTGGAGGAGCGCCTTCCGTATTAGAACGTACGGGTTCCATGCGGAATGGACCTACGCCCGACCAGACTAGGGATGGAGCACTCGAGACTCTAAGCGCGGGGGGGCGTGGGAGGTCGCGTTCTGTCGCCAACAGACTGTCTATGTTTGAGATGCCATCGCAGAGTGCAATTCGTGGACAGGCCGAATCAATCCAAGTCACTGCGAGGATCGTACGAGACCCTAAACAAAGCCTGCCGACGAAGTCCGATGCCAATACCAGCCAGGGAGATATCGACTTGAAGCAATCACCGTTGGTTGTCGATGTGCATAGGGGAGAACAGTCGCAGCCACTGGAGAAAATTCCATCGGTTGAAGTCTCTCAGGACTCAATTCAGGATAGGCGTGATAAAAAGACGGATGGTGACGAGGGCGAGAAGAAGAACCGACGAACTTCCTTGAGCATAGTTAAGGGTTTTATCAAGGACCGTCGTACATCCATTGCTAGCAAGTCAACTGATAATCTGGCCCTGATATCCCCCAACGGAGCGAAGTCTCCCAATAGACCCCCTTCGGCACACCAGAATGCTGTCGCTTTCGCACGCCGCCTATCAGTTTCCAGCCGTCGTTCGTCTGTGAGTCGCGAGCGAGACAATGCGGGATCTCTTCCATCGCCTGCAGTTCTCAGTGATAGTGGCTGCAGCGAGGATGACAAGGCAAGTGAGAAGAAGTCTACAAACCGAGCGTCTCGATTTATGAGGCGTTTATCGAACTCGCTCGCTAGTGGTGCTCGCAAGAATTCAAGCCCCAGCATTTCCCCCACCGTGGCCGAAGAAGAGGTCGACCAGGTTGCTGCAGCCACAGTACCGGAGATCTCTCTCTCTACGTCGTCCCAGCCAGCTATTGTGGCGTATATGGGTGATGTCAACGTGCAATTCCCTGACAATCTGTTGTGGAAACGCCGCAGCATGAGTTTGGATACTCAAGGATTCCTTTTCTTGAGTGCCATTCAAGGGAGAGATAAGGCAGTCGGAGCCGGTATGAAGCGATATCATCTCAGTGATTTCCGCTTACCGTACATCCCCGACGTTGAAATCCAGGAACTACCCAACAGTGTCGTTTTGGATCTCGTAGAAGGCTCTTGCTTGCAAATTGCCTGTGAGGACCGGGCTGGTCAGCTAAACATGCTGCAAAGTAAGTAGACGCCTTCCTTGTCACCTTCCTTGTTTATGTTCTCGAGTAACTAAAGTACTGACATTGGTATTCAGCTCTTCAAGATGCGCACCGAACTCACAATTCTTTCGGGCAATAGGCTTTGGAGGTCTTTTGTCTATTTATTACACTTAAAAACAAAACTTCCAAAGGCCCGAAAATTTCCTTGATTACGACAGATACCCAAGACTCTTTTCACCATTATGCCAACAAAACACATTCTCTGCATTTCCTTTTGTGCTCTCAGATTCTTACAGTCTGACGACCTTTTCTATTCTGGCCGTAGTTGCCATAACTATTTCAACCTTTAATTGAGTCTTGTACGGCTTAGGAAAAGGCGTACACTTGCTTGAGGAGCTTCTTCTAAAATCTTGTACTTTTTGAAGATTTCTTTTTCTGCCCACTACCGTGTGTGGGGGGGTAACTAGAGGGGTGTGGTGAGGAGGTCTATTGTGTTATCCTATATCTCGCCAATAATGAAGAGGCGGCGATGCTTCCTATTCTAAAGTCCTAAGACTAAAAGGAAGTTTACGGAACACAATGGACCGAAACTGTATGTAAAAATGAGTGAGTGGTATCTACTAGAATAATGTATATATCAATAGCATTCACATACATCATAGGAGCATACCACGTGTGTGCCTACCCTAGGAACCTACCTACCTACCTATCTGGGCCTAGGTAGTTATCTGATTATCGTGACCAAGCTCGTACTGAGACCACTTGATACGGGTCATTTTATCTGATCCATGGGTGGCAATTGTGAATCACCCATAGTTGTTCTCATAGTTGTTCTCATAGTTGTTCTCATAGTTGTCACAAACTTTGCCTTAGGTAGTAGGTAGACTCTAGAGTCAGAGCTTGTCACAAGTGCTCACCTACTAAGTACTTGGGTAGGTAGGTACACGTTCAATATCCTTTGTGGCTTTACACTTTAATGTTTAGGGTATAGCACTATGGGCCACGATGCGTCGTTTTGTGTCGAGACTGCACAGCAAGACGCGTTTTAAGCTTGATGTCGAGGACTAAGTTTAACTATATAGGTATCTAGTAAATATGTATATTTCAAGCCTCGTTGCTGCTGTTTTCCTCCGGAGAAAGATCGATCAACCACTACCAATACCTTTCTCGAAAACATCACCCAAGACATTTCTTCTTCTTCTTCCTTTGACCAACTTCATACCATAATTCACAACCTATCCATCAACATTCTATTCATCAACAGCATTTCTATTAAACTCATCAACAGCCAACCCTTGCTAGAAGATACTTCTTCAAGTTCTTTGATAACTTTCACAACAACTTCAGCACCAAATACAACAATCTTTTTATCATACCGGCTTTAGAAACTGATTGTTTGTTGGTATTTACACCATCAGATTTATCAATAGGGACAAAGTCTTGAAGACTGTCAGTGGCACACGTGCTCGCGCATTAGCATCAAGGAAGTAAGTATACACGAGACCCTACGACATTCCCCTCCAATCCAAAAACTGCGCTCTCTGAACACATAAAGTCAAACGCTCCTGAAGAGAGGGTCAGGCTTGCGGGTAGTAGAGCTCCAAAAAAAAAGTTTCATATATTGCGCTGAAGGCGAGGAGATTTTACGCCGAAAATAAGGCGTTAAAAATATTACGGTAATACCTGCGACTGCTTACTCAAGGACAACCCTTCCCTCAGCAAACATTACAAGCCAAAAAAAAAGTCTATCTCGAAAACAAGTTCACTAACAAGTATAATACAGGCCTAGCTATTCTTTACTGCTACTTCGAATACTTCCATATAGGACTAGTGTTATAAACACGCGGGCGAACCCCTATCGCCATAGCTGTAGTCTCAAAACACATACATACATACATTGAGACTCAATACTTGACCTAGGCCACGATGGTAGACAACAACCCCTCCAGCCGTCCCCAGAGCATCCTCAAAACGTCAAGCTCCGATAGAGCCACGAGGACACGGAAGTCTAATTCTATCGTCATATTCGATGAGGTAGCGGTCAACCTTGAGACTGGGGAGCGTGTGTTTCCCAGTCTCAGGACCCGAGAGGAGTTCAAAGAGGTAAGCCACCCGAACTTTGAGTGAATTGTCTCCTGCCCCGCTACCCCTATTTCGATCCTTTTAGGACTGGTCTTGGCCAATAGGCGTCCAAACCCCTGGAGCTACACTTCACTGTTGTCCAAGCGAGGTATTTAATTGCTAACCCCTTTCCACAGTATAGTCATCGTCGTAGAGCTGAAAGGATGCTCGACTTCTTCAGAGGTTTTTATGGTGAAGATGATGAAAATGGTGAAGAAGAAGGGATATCACCAAAGAGCCCGATGGATTCGGAAGAGGGTGCCGCTGAGGAGAGTGATAGCGACGATGACGACGACGACGGCGCTTGTCATGGCAGCTCCAGAGATTCTAATTCCGAAGCTGCCGAAGGCGATGATGACTCAGATGGGAGTTCGTCAGAAGCGGATAGCAGCGACGAGGAAGACATCGACTCCGATTCTGACGCTGCTGAAGATGATGATGACTCAGATAGCAGTGACGAGGAAGACAGCGACAACGATGATGACGACGCTGACGAAGACGAGGATAATGGCGAGGAAAACAAGGAAGCAGATGAAGAAGATGAAGTCGACGAAAACGCCGACGCCTGTGAGATTGATATGGAGGATATTGGCAAGGAGTACACAGACGAGGAACACGTAGACGAGGAAGACAAAAGCAGCGATGAAGATGATCCTAATGAAGACGCAGCTAGTGAAGCCGAGTCTCAGGGGGCAGATCTAGTGAGAGATTGGAAAAAAAGGAATAAGAGGATAGAGAAGAATCTCAATGAATAGCCAAGGCCATCATCTCATCGCTGCTTCTTTGTCGTTCCCACTGAATGGCCTTGTTTATACTTGTCAGATACCCAGGTATATATCACTCAAACGTGTATACTTTGTAGATCGAGGGGTTGGCGATTTCTCGTCATGTATAGAATCTCATCTTGCTTCATTACGGTTGTTGATTTAGGTTAGACATGAAATACTTGATTACGGGATATACAATTCAATGTTGTCTTGAATGATATACTGCCTACTGCCTACTACCCCCAAGGTACCTACACTAGGTGGGTGGGTATGCTTACTACTTGTACTTGGGCATGTCTTATATCGAGTTATTGCAATTGTGGAAGGCGTCATCACGAACAAAGGCAAGGTCGCAACAATCGGAACCTCTTTCGCTTTCGAATTGCCCAATTAACTAGCTATGGTATACGAGTAGAAACTACGGAAAGAAGAGCCGCACGATGCCGCATATCACATCGCTACTGTGCTGTTACCCATGCGTTGTTGTGCGCTGCTGACACCACCACACCCCTCGCTAATCACAGCTCGCCATTACAATTCCCTTGCTAGTCAACATGCAGTGTTACGCTGGCTAACCTTCCTAACTGAGGTCGTTTTTTGCTTGCGATCGTCCTCGGTCGAATTGGTTGCTCGATTATCAAAAAAAACCGGGCATGGATGGAATGTGAAATGCTTATTCCCCGTTACGAGGAGTACTTTTCTTAAGCTGGCTACCTACATACATGCCTACATACGCCATTGCATCATATCATCTGCCGAAGATCCGGGTTTCTTTATGTACCGACCGCTTCGTATGGCATAGCAGGTAGGTAGGTAGATAATTACACATAGGTACCTATATAGTATTATATTTATATTTGGACTCTTGGCCCACCTTGGTTTTAAAATCTGCCAAGTATCGTTACCGGTACCTACCTTACCTTACCTACACTAATACCCTCCCCCTGGCAACATGAAGTCGGATTGGTGGAGGTGTATTATCTCGCTGGCCGCCGTGCTTCCTATAGGCATTGGTGCGCTGCAGACAAGACAGCAGGACGAGACGACGCCTCGCGATCAGCTTCAGTATGCGGCGCACTATTTCGACCAGCAGATAAACCACTTCCCCGACGACGAGCAGTTCGCAAAGTCGAATCTGAGCCATGGCACCTTCACGCAGCGGTACTACTACGATACCTCGTATTACAAGCCTGGTTGGTATTTCTCGAACCCCCCGAATATTTATTTTAGCACCTATATGATAGCTAACGATTTTCTGCAGGCGGTCCGGTATACCTGTACATATCCGGCGAGACCAGCGGGCCCAGCCGGTTCTCCAACCTGCAGACGGGGATTATCCAGATCCTGATGGAGGCGACCGACGGCCTCGGCGTCATCCTCGAGAACAGGTACTACGGGGAGTCGTACCCGTTCAACACGAGCACCACGGACGAGCTGCTGTTTCTCACCACCAACCAGACCATAGCGGACAACGCGTACTTTGCGCAGAACGCGGTGTTCCCGGACGTCGAGGGCGACCTGACGGCACCGGGGACGCCCTGGATCCTGTACGGCGGCAGCCTCGCCGGCGCGCAGACGGCGCTCTCGGTCAAGGTCCACGGCGACGTCCTCTACGGCGGCATCGCGTCCTCGGCGCCGATCCGCGTCGATGTCGGATACCCGGAGTGGTACGCCACGATACAGAAGTACGCGCCCCAGGACTGTGTGGCCAGGATCAATGGGATCGTGGATAACTTTGATCTGCTCGTGTCGCGGAACGAGACAGAGGCGATCGAGGAGTTCAAGGCGCTGTTTGGGCTGGAGGTGCTCGAGGATCATAGGGACTTTGCGGCGGCGATCGCGGTAAGTGCCAAGCCTCCCCTTTCCCCCCCTTTTCCTCTCTCCTTTAAATATAAATACATAAGGTATATATATATATATGAGAGGTTTAGGTACTGGTGGCTGACCGCGCGACAAACACGAACAGGACCCCATAGGCAACCCGGGCTTCTACCACTCGAACACGTGGCAGGAGCTGAACTGGGACGACACCTACGGGTCGCGGGACTTCTTCTACTTCTGCGGGAACGTGTCGGACATCGATGCCCCCGAGGAGATCTCGCAGGCGGATTATGTGTTGGCGAATTATACTGGGGGCGAGCCTTGGGTGTAAGATTGCTTGCCTCCTATCTCCTAACTTGCCTCGGGCTTCTAGATCGAGCTTGTAGATCGAGCTCTTGGGTAATACCGGTACTTATATTGACTTTTGCTTGCAGCGGCCTCGGCAGCTACGCCAACTACGTCAAGAAGTTCACCCTTCCGCTTTGCCCGTCGGGGGATTATAATAGCAACGATTGTTGGGTAAGTGGCAGTTGGTCGTCTCTCTCTCTCTCTCTTCTATAGGATTCGCTCCCCTTAATATTTGCGCCTACTTAGGCATCTGTCTGTCCTCGATATGTTTATTAACCTTCACTGCGACAGGGAACACAAAATGCGTCGGCGTGGGCGAATATCGAAAACACTTCGACGCGGTCGTACCTCTACACGAGCTGCGTAGAACAGGTACGAATCCCCATCCCCATCCCCAGCAGCAGGGAGCGCACCGATGCTCTCGCCCACTCCCCCCCCCCATCTATAAAATCAGGTAACCCTAACATCATCTTCTTCTCTCCACCACCAGGGCGCCTACATCGCAGCGCCCCAAACCGGCCCAGCCCTCCTCTCCCGCGTAATCGACACCTCGTACGAGCAGCAATGGTGCGCCTGGGCCTTCGCGGCGGGGTCCTCGAACGCGATCCCGGGGTCCCCCAACATCGACGCGTACAACAGCTTCGGCGGGTTCGACCTGTCTGCCGACCGCCTCGCGTTCATCGACGGCGACCAGGACGTCTGGAACGATCTGTGCTACCACTCCGACTTCGCGCCGGCGCCGCGGGCTCAGGGCACGGATCTGAGGCCAGAGTACCTGATCACGGGCGCGGGCCACCACTGGGACTCGTACGGCGTGCTGGATGTGGAGAAAGAGCCGCAGTTCATAAGGGAGGCGCATAGGTGGGAGGTTAGGGTCGTGAGGAAGTGGCTTAGGGGGTTTGAGGCGTGGAAGGGGGGGAGGGAGGAGTTGTAGGTATGTAGGTAGATGTGTTGGTGGCGGTGGCGGTAGGGGGTTAGGGGGTTAGGGGGTAGGGGGTAGGGAGGCCCTATTGATGGCCTGAGTTTTATAGATAGGTCTGTATGTCCTAGACAATATACATACCTAGTTATACATTCAATGTTATTTGTTATTTTGGGAAACTTTGCCTCCATTTCAAGATTGTTACAGTAGTCGACATTGAATTTCTGAAACCCAACAGCATGTGAAAATACAGGAGGAGCAGGCAGTGAGTGATAAAGGCGGCAATTGATGCTGCATTTCTGTTGGCTCACAATTTATTCAATGTTATCAAATGTTATCATTGAATGTTATTATTATCTGGTACAAGAAGTGGAGACAGCTTGATAAGTTGAAAAGTACGGAATCATGACGCGATTGGATGACGTGATGGGGCTACAGTGGGGTCAAATGCAGACCATCATCCATCTGTGGGCGCTTAGGAGGGAATAACTACATAACTACATAATATAAATAAAAATATCGCACCGAAATTCAACAATGAGAAACATTGGGCGCATGGCCTAATGGTAAGGCGTTAGATTTCGGTTCTCCTAAGATGATCTCTAAAGATTGCAGGTTCGATCCCTGCTGTGCTCGATTTACTTTTTTTTGGCGTTTGCAATCTCTGTCTCTGTGTTTGCCCTTTTCCACTTTCATGGATTATGGAGCCTTGGATATTATTATGTTTTTTAAGGTTCACTTTTCTTGTTTCTTTTTACTTACTCACTACTTTGTATTTACCGTCAATGAATAACTACGACTTGACAACTTCTTTTCTGCTACTCTCAATCATTTCCATTCCCAGTTCCCATTTCCATCGTGCATATGTGGTTTTTTATCAGTTCCTTTTCTCCTTCTCACTTGCCTGGAATGTGTATTCAAATGACGCCCCACTCTGTGTCATCATGTACGATGACCGAGATCGGCCCACTAAAATTTCGGGTTTGGCAGGTCCAATCTTTGAATGTTCGGCTGTAGTTACTATAACTATGTATTGTATTATATTATACATACATGAAAATTATACAGTGCTACGTGCATGCATAGTGCAGTGTGTACAAAGCTAGTCACATACAAAGAATTGAATCTTTAGAAGTTGCTCGGCACATCACAAACCAAAGAGAACAAGAACTCTTCCAAGTCTCACTCAACCATTTTTTAACCGTCTATCAACGGGCCAGAGTGAATTAGCAGATTGATAGAGTCGGCTCTCCATTCCGTTCTTTTTTATTTTTTATTTTTTTTATTTTTTTATTTTAACTTTTCGTAGCAGGCGTAGCTGAATCCCTGAGTGACGATTTGCAAAATAATTGGAAGCTGCTGTTTTCGCTTTCGCCTTCACTTTCATTTTTATACTTACTCATACTCAGCATGTCTGCTTCCTTGCCAGGCAACCGAGAGTTGCCCGAGTCGCAGTATGACTTGACCACGTACTGGGGCCGTGTCCGCCAAACTGCAACACTCACTGACCCGAGGTATGAAGCTCACCTTACCGTATCTTGACCGTGGTGTCCCTTATTCTAACTTGGATTCCTTTATGATAGCACCCTCTTTGCGGGAAAGCATGGCTTGGAGCAGGCCAAAAAGCTGGTGGTCGCCTACAAGCGAGGAGAGATCAAGGACATGACCCCTGAGCTATGGAAGGCCAAGCAGGTTGTTGACTCTACAGTACATCCCGGTATGGCTACCCCCTGAGGCGCATACCCTACCCTGCAGCATCGAGTAGACGAGTTAATCGAATTTGCTAGACACTGGAGAGACTGTGTTCTTGCCCTTCCGCATGTCCTGCTTCGTTTTTTCGAATCTCATAGTCACGGCTGGCATGCTTACGCCCGGCTTGAAGGTAAGATAAGACTCGCGGCCCATCCCGTCTTTTTTTTCTGTATGATATCACTCAGACCAAAAAAAAAAAAAAAATCTCACATAAGTCACGATAAAACAGACTACCGGCACCGTTCTCTGGCAAGTCGCCAACCAGTCCTTGAACGTGGCCATCAACTCCGCCAACGCAAACAAGTCTACGCCACTATCGTACTCTAAAATCGCCCAGTCCTACTTCCTCGCCGTGGGAGCATCCTGCTCCGTGGCCGTGGGCCTCAACGCCCTGGTTCCCCGGCTGAAGCGCGTCTCGCCCTCCACGAAGCTGGTTCTGGGCCGCCTCGTGCCCTTCGCCGCCGTGGCGTCCGCGAACATCGTGAACGTGTTCCTCATGCGCGGCGAGGAGATCCGCACCGGCATCGACGTCTACCCCGTGCTCTCGGACGCCGACAAGGCGCAGCTCGCCAAGGAAGGCAAGGCCGAGAGCGACGTCCCCAGCCTCGGCAAGAGCCGCAAGGCAGCGACTTTGGCAGTGGGCGAGACGGCCGCGAGCAGAGTGTTCAACAGCACGCCGATCATGGTGGTGCCCCCCCTGATCCTCATGCGTCTGCAGCGGACGGAGTGGCTGAGGAAGAACCCGCGCTACACGCTCCCCATCAACTTGGGTCTGATCCTGGGCATGAGCTACGTGGTGCTGCCGTTCGCGCTCGCGGCGTTCCCGCAGAGGCAGAGGATCAGCGCGGATAGTTTGGAAGAGGAGTTCAGAGGCCGTGGGGGCGATGGGGGGATGGTGGTTTTTAATCGGGGGATATGAAACAGGAGACGAATAGATGTATTCACAGCATTTGCCGGCGTTTGTTTTATGGTAGGTAGGATAAGGTTACGATAGGTAGGTGGCTAGGTAGGTGCTATACCAGGGCGTTTCTCGACGTGAAAAGAGAGAAGAAAAAAGATTTTTTAAAAAAAGGAAAGAAAATTAAATTAAAACGTGGGATTATACAGACATATAACTACCGCATAGTAAAGCAGTCTTCGCAGTTGAGAGATATAGAAGGGAAAGGGGTTTGCTATATGCATTATATATATATATATCAAGACATCGGGACAGATTTAGAACGGCATCGTATATCGGACGGGACGGGTTTCATTCACGGTATTTGTTGTTCTTATATGATATATACACAGGAATAAGGTGTATAGGAAAGAAACGAAACGAATATGAATGAGCTCATTGGACCTCCTTGTATGTACATGCGTCTAGATGGCGGTTAGTGATTAGGTAAGTAGGTAGGTAGGTAGGTTAGGTACATGGTAGTTTGAAGCAGATACTATATGCCTAACCTACCAAGGTACCTTATGTAGGTTAGGTATGTGTGTATACGCAAGTAACTCTAATCGTGAGCTTGAAAGTTGAGGCTAGATGTCTGAACCTTGTTGCATTTGACGATGATATCGTGGCGTTGCAGGCGTGGATGTCTTTAGGGGGTCTATCCATACCTACCTCCTTACCTAAGGTACCTATGCAACTGGCTACTTACATAGGGCATGGGCATGGCTTGGTATAGCATTGTACATATAAGCCTTGCCGTGACGCATCCTATGTAGAGGATGGTGTGCCTCTAGGTATTGTACATTTTCAACCTACTACTGTAACTAGGGGCGTGGGTCTTGTTGCTAAAGAAGGGCTATGTATGTATGGGTTGTTGCTGGATAGATATGTAGAATAGATAGATGCCTTATGTATGGATACCTACGTAGGGCTTAGGGCTTGTTCGCGAGAGAAGATGTTCGCTGTAGATCATGTGGTAGGTATTATGTATGTATGCATATATGTGTAGGATTCTCAACCTACTTAGGTAAGGGCCAGAAACCTGGGTACCGGTTCTTTTGTGGTTTGGCTATTTTTTTTTTTCTTGGAGGGGCTCGTTTTTATATATATATTCTTCTTACGAAATGTCAGACGGAGAAGGAAGAAAGAGAACCAGAAGCTGGCCTGGCCGTTGGAAGGATTAAGGAAAGGGGGTGATTAATGGCTGACGGGCGGCGCTGTTGGGTTATGTTGGTGGCTAGGCAAGCAAGTAGGCACCTTTCTCAGGTTTCCCTACTAATTACTTCGCGTTTGGACTTGACTGGGTTATGTAGGTTCAATGTTGGCTTAGATGTGGTGGAGGGACGCATGCGTACAAGGTACTAGGTAGGTAGATATGTATATACGTATGTGTATAAAGCATGCTCAAGTTATACATAATACCTTCACATGCAGTTTCTAATGTGCAGTGCTGCAGTGTATGTACCGGTAGGCAACACATACATATCATGTAAGTCGATTTATCCATACCATGCCGTAAGGGGGCTAGGTGGTGTTACCTGTAGAATTGTATGAAGGAAACCGGCGGAGAACGAGCAGTTGTGTTAGGAGGCATACTTCGTACATGCTCTCTATTTGTGGCACATGAATGGGGGGGTTTCCCTCTCTAGGTAACTACATTGTATGTAGGAATTTGGCAGGTTTTGCCTGGAAGATCCCTTACGTTGGATGAGATAGTACATAAGACTGATGAAATGGTTTACACTTTAGGATTTTCTCGCTAGAGAAATTATGCTAATATGATGTGCCGGAGGGAGAGCGTAAACACTAGAGAAGCGACTCCAAGAGCAGTATAGACCTGAAAAGTCACGATGCTCCGTATATTTTTGCCACTGTTCCGTTCAAACCGTCTCACTGCGTAAAGGACAAAATAAGCCAGGGATTAACGGGTAATATCATGTCTTATCCAGGCTATAGATTTTTGAGTATGGGGCAGAATCGAAACCACTTGCCTAACCTAGTACCTATGACGATAGATATATGTATGTTCGGCAGCCGTGACGGAGATAGAGAGATAGGGATAGAGGGGTTCTCATCGTATAAGTATAGTACAGCTCAAGTAGAGCGATTTAATATCTTCCAGGTTGTAACTTGTCAGATGAGTGCAGGTCCGCTGCCCCGGCCCCCTGGACTGCTGCAGTGCAAGCCAATGAGCGGGGAAATGCGTCGACAGGTTCTAATCGAAAACGAACTCGACATAGCCATGATTAGGACAATTTGTACCTAGCCTACTTAACATAGTGGGTATGTATTGCAGAATTTGCAGCTATCAGTTATCCTGGACAGTTCTTCACTTCCAATGCTGTAAGAGGTATGTATAAAACCCTCCCCGATTGAATGATGGACGCGGTACACAGTATATAAACGCGAATGGATTTTGCAAGACTCGACTTTCTCAGGTGGTAGTAGCCGAGATTTCGTGTAAGTTAGATTGCAATTTGTAAGAGTAGCCAGACGTAGGCTTGTACAATACTCGAGAATCAAGGACTGCCACGCGGCACGAAAGAGTCCATCTGCTTACCTATTATGACGAGGCCCTTTCCCCTTCCCAACAGTCATTTATTCAGTCAGTCAGTCAGTCGGTCAGCTAAGGGAACAAGGGCCCAACCCACGGAAACCGATAAGGCTGCAAGTAAAAATCGTGATAATAATGCAGCAACATCCTAGGTGGCCGTGTTGTACTGAGGATGAGGGGAAAGCTAGTGCTGCACGAGATGCATAGGCGACACTAAGACCTAGGCAAGCCGGGCCATCCAAGTACCAATAGCAGTGTGGCAATATTTGCCGTCTGCGGTTCGGGAGTACATCGAGAATGGGCGCTGCTGCTGGCAGAGTTCAGAAGTTTAGGGGTCCCTGAATGGGCCCTGATAATGGGATCGTATGTAATGTAGTATTGCTGAAGGGTCCAGTGGTCCACTGGCTTAAGGTACCAACCGTATTAGCAAGCAACAAACAGGCCATTCCCATTTCGAGTTGAAGAAGGGCCTATTTAGATTTGCAACGCATGTGTACCTTACCCAGGTACGTAGGCACGTATGGATGTTATATATACCTATAAATACCTACATAATAGTAGGTATCCATGGACCATGGGTAGGTAAGTTAGGTCAAGTGCCTTATTTTTAGTAGGGAAGATTAGGAAGATTATGAACCGAATTCCGAGCCAAGTAAAGAGGCTCAAAAAAAAAAGGAAAAGAGAAAAAAGGGAAAAGGAAGATGATGTAAAAAGTTACCGGGTCGAGTAACTTTTTTTATTCTGATTGCGAAGGAACACGCTTGGTATATATAGAAAAAGTTTGGGAACTTAAGTGGTGAGTGACATTTTATAATGGGATTAGAAGATCCGTGATTACGATGAGATGGCCAGGCAACTCAATGAAAAGTGGGAACTAATCCATGGAAGTTTCGAACTTTCAATCATTGTTGCCAGGTGCCATGTAGGTGAGCTGAAATGTCAAGGAAGAACTTGAGTTAAGTTACATAAAGTTACATAGACATTACATACCCTAGGCAGTATGAAGTAAGTAACGTGAGTAAGGTAAGTAACTAATCCGTTGCCATGATAACAGCAATGAGCGATAGCAGGGAACATTGGAAATTGTACTACTACTAGGTACTTTATTAGGTTAAGTTAAAACCCCAGGATTCGGAGGGATGAATAGGCGCGTACGGTAAGATTTGGTCATTTCTACTGTACAAAGGTAAAGAACAGGACATCCATGCAGCTGCTGAGCTGCCATGATCAATCAATCAATCTGTAAATGGGTGGATAACAAACGCCTACCTAGGGTATTTCCCCGTACTCTTCACCGTGCGAATATATACATCACTCACTTGAATCACTTCTAGTTAGTTACATGTATTGAACTCTCATGAACATTAAATGTTATTTAAATGTTATTTAAATGTTTCGACTAGTTGTAAATAGGCAACAAATACTAGGTACTACTAGAACTGTAATGGCAATTTGTATGTATTGTACATGTAACAGAGGCGAATTGGCTAGGTACAAATAGTAAAATTGGCCCACCGATTACTTCATTTTCACCACACAACTAGGCAGCATGGGCAAAGTCCGAAACAAGCGGTAGACCTGTGAATCTGTGATGCACTGTACATTGCATAGGTACCTACATTTTCCATTCTATGTACAATTTGATTCCCAGCTGTCATCACACAGCCCGGTGCGTTGTGAGATCCGACAAGTAAATTCCCACAGCACCACAAGCAACACCACCTCATTCTGCATTTGCATTTGCGGCAATGTAGAAGGGTTCATTCACCACTTTTCGAATTACCATCTACCATCTATCATCTACCCTACGTAGATCAGATTCCATTAACTTCATTTTCACCCTCTTTTTTTTTCAATTCTGAGTTGACTTCTGAACTGCCTCTTGAGCACTTGAAAGTTCATACTTGTTGTTTACTATTCCTGCTTTTCGGACGGCATATTACCCTACTACTTTTACTTCTCTTACATGTAGCACAGTGCCTTTGTTACAGGCATGTTTTGTCGTGAAAGCGGAGAAAACAAAACCGTCAACAGGAACTCGGTCGATCAACGCTATCCAGTACTCTAGCACAAGCAAGACGGCTACATTTACCATCAATTACATTCAAGGAGTCATTTAATACTTACTATCCAGGTATACCACAATATCATACCTGTTATCCGAATACACCCATGTCCTTCGATTCGAGCAACTCTCTACTTCGACACATGATTTGCATACCTCAGGCACTGAAGTACGAGCCTATATTGTAACGACTAGACTCACCTACTGTCTACCTATTGGCCTGAGACTTATTTACCGTCGATTTCCGAAAGCTCTAAATTCATCCCCCTTTCTTCTATGTCATAAATCAATTTGAGCAAATTGAGAAGGAAGCCAAAAAATACAAAGGGGATACGAATATCGATTTGAACACCTGAAGGAATCTTCTTCGGGATCAACTCCTCACGCTTGTCCTGTTCCGAATTGAAATTCTTTAGCACTAGAACTGGCTACTGGGAGCTGGTTGCTACAACTTGGTTTTTTTTTCTCGGTTCGACATTGGGTTACTTAAAATATAATATCGGAGGTACGGTACTTTGCCAGGTGTTTTTGCCTCCAGGGTTATTGGTGGTGTCACAGCATACCTAAGTCAGCCGGAGCGTACGGACTTGGTCGTAGCGGCCTAAGAAACCCATTTCCCCAGGCAATTAACAAAACCATTTGGGGCACCTGCCTTCAATTACCTGTTAGCCACTAGGCCAGGGCTTACCTTCCAGGGACTACAGGCGACTACCGCAGTATACCAGCGCGAAAACACACTATAATTTATATCCTGTTAGGGCTCCAGGGCTTAATAATTTTCTCCCCCTCCCCCCCAAAGTTTCAGCACTTATTTAAGAAATCACCCCCCAAAGGGAGCGCGCAATTGGACCAAAAGCGTCGCGACCGGGAAAAGTATCAGCACAAGCTTTTAAGTGCTTAAAAACCTACAGTGGGAAAGTGCACACTGCACAGAAACAAATCCTGACTAGTCCCCCATCCCAAGGGACTCCACTGGCAGGCTTCTTTTACCCTCTTCTTCTCCTTCCATCCTCTCACACACATCACACAACATTTCTTGACATTGTTGTAAGATGTCAACGCCGACCACTGCAACAGCCACACTTCCTCCTCACTATCGCCATCACCATCACCCCTCACACCATTATCCGCCTTATCCAAACTTACAGAGCAGCGGCTCCTCTTATCGATCTGTCGCTGGTAGCGTTACTACTACTACTACTACTGCAAACCCTATTCTCCCCACTCCAACCTCGACGGCTTCGACGGCAACTATTTCTAATCGCCATCACGCTCCTCCCCCCTCTTCTTCTTCATATACTACCAATTCTGCATATACTGCCAGTAAATCTTCCCAACATTCCACAAATGGAGTAGCGGCGTCTGTAGCCACTACGAGACCAACTCAAGATTCTTCGAGGACCAATTCCACTCCTCAACTGGACGCAAATCACTCCAACATGGCTCCCTCAACAGCCTCCTCTACTCAAACCTATAACACCGATGGCCAACCGAGAAAACGTCGAAGATCCAAGGAGCCCGACTGGAAAAGCTTTTACAAGAATGGCCTTCCGAAAGAAGTAATTGTTATACACGATACTCCCGAGCCCGAAAATAACCCCCCCGCCGCCGCCGCTTCTTCGTCACGAACTTATGCGAATGGTACCGCGAAAGAAGTTATCGCTCGCCATACCGCCAAGAGACGCAGGAAAGACGATGGCGTCCGTGCTGAGGATGCATATGAAGCCAGCGTAAATGGCTCTTATCAACCCACTTCCATTAGCGGTTCGACTTCGACCGATCGCACGACGTCGGCCCACAACACTACGGCCGCCACCTCGCTTGGCTCGCTGTCTTCGAATGGACAGTACGACTATGAAGGTGCCCATGCAGGACAAAAAAGAAAGAGAACCAGACAGCAGATTGCTCAAGAGTTGAAGAGACGAGAGGTCGAGGTTCTAGCCGACTCTTTCGTCAGCTATCGCCCTCCCCAGAAGCCTGTGAAAAAGGCTGGTGATGTGACCGTCCGAGTTGTTAACGATGTAAGTGGTTCAAATCAAGTTTTTGTGAATCAACCAATTACTGACTGTTGCCTTAATAGCGATCCCACCAGAGTGGCGTAAGAGTGGATGACGATGACGGTCACTACATCGTTGTTCCCGATGCCGATCTCACACCCCAATGTGCGTTCACTTTATTTTTCAATCCATGGACATCTATGAATCTAACTAGGGAATAGATCAAATGATTAAGCTTCTTGGGCAAGGCACATTTGGAAAAGTTGTTCAGGCTCGTGATCGCAAAAGAAGCAAACTAGTCGCGATCAAAATCATTCGAGCTGTGCAGAAGTATCGCGATGCCTCTAGGATCGAATTGCGTGTGCTGCAGACTTTGAAAGCCAATGACGAAGAAAACCGAAACAGATGCATACATCTTCGAGACTGCTTCGACTTCCGCGGCCACATCTGTATCGTCATGGATCTCCTTGGATCAAGCGTGTTCGACTTCTTGAAGAGCAATAACTTTGTTCCCTTCCCGAATAGTCAAATCCAAAGTTTTGCCCGCCAACTGTTTACCAGTGTAGCCTGTAAGTGATCCTCGTATGGCGAGGACAACAATTTGCTAATCACTTCTAGTCCTACATGACTTGAATCTCATCCACACCGATTTAAAGCCGGAGAATATTTTGCTCTGTGATAGCGCTTATCAGACGTTTACCTACAACCGCAGGATACCATCCTCTTCGGCTGGTGTGAATCGCCAGGCCACTCAACGCAAGGTGCTTCTTGACACCGAGATTCGCCTGATCGACTTCGGATCTGCGACATTCCAAGATGAGTACCACTCATCCGTTGTTTCCACCCGGCATTATCGAGCACCCGAGATCATACTCGGACTGGGCTGGTCATTCCCTTGCGATATCTGGAGCATCGGTTGCATATTGGTTGAATTCTTTACCGGAGATGCTCTATTTCAGACACATGACAACCTAGAGCACCTGGCTATGATGGAGAATGTCTGCGACAGTCGCATTGACACACATCTCGTCCAGACTGTAAACAAAATGGCTACGCGTAGTGCAGGCAACGCCGCATCCAAGTAAGCTCTTTCTTTATACTTACCAGATTTACCCTTCTCAAGTTACTAATACATGATTTAGGTACTTCAAGCGACTGCGGCTGGATTATCCTACAGCAGAGACTACCCGAGCTTCGAGACGCTTTGTCAAGAATATGAAGCGTTTGAGTGTAAGTTTCACTCCTTTCACCTGTCGAGATTAGTAACTAATATGAATATAGGATATCATCCCCTCCTCGAGCCCGTTCCTCAGATCCTTTTTGGATCTTTTGCAGAAAATCTTTGTTTACGATCCTGCAAAGCGAATTACCGCTCGACAAGCTCTAGAGCATGAATGGTTCCGAGAGCCAGCTATCCCCGATGACGGCACCGAGGCTGCAAAAATTCGGTTAGAACGAATGAAGGAGCATGATTACCACCCTACCCGAAGTGTTGCAGGGGGTTGATGGCATAACAAACTCACCAGACACCGACAACACAATATTGATACCAAAACGAACCTGTATATTTGAGATGGAGATTCAGGCCTAGTACACAAAGCGTTGCAACAATAGTTTGCAATGCTCTTAGGCTTTGGGAAAGGGACAGGGGAAATAGGCGTTCTGGCCAGCATTTTGCGAGTAGTTATTATGGCATTGAGCTACGTTACATAAAAATGTCTACAGCCTCTGCGCCATCGTAGACGAGACGACTTGCGACGTTTTCTCAATATAGAACTCACTACTTCGGGCAGCATTTTGTGCTGGTTGAGATCTAATATTCCTGCATTCCTGCTTTTCTATCTGTCTACTTACAAACGTGAGGCCTTTGTCTACGCGCCTGAATAGCGCCGATAGGCCATAATGATAATGGATAATCAATATAATGAAAAATCGAGTCCGATTTCGTAAGTTACCTCACTCAAAGCTTCTAGAATACTACAGTTGACTTCGCCAGGGCTTAGCCATCGTCATAGATTCCTTTGGGGGGCTTTTGTCTGTCAAAGTCGAGCAGCATCGAGAACAATATCTTTGTCTCTTGAACGAACAACTTAGCAAGTATGCCGAGACGACGTGACAAAGGAGGTCATTGAGTATGGGAACCCATATGTCCCGCACCGATCGCACGAGTTTTCGACTCAACAATTCTTGTTTTTCTACGTTGAGGAACGATGCTTGAGATCGAATATTTACTTAATACGCTCGGTTCACCACCATTTCTATTACGACTGACTGGCTATCATACGTAACTCGCTTTACACTCACACCATTCCAACTAAAGAGTGCAGAAATCTAGAACAGTTGGGCAAGACAAACTTATAAACACAAAATGATGACAGTCAACATCCGAGACCTCTCGGACAAGCAGGTTCAACAACTGACAAAGCTTCTCTCCCGACGTCCGGAATATGGCATCGCTATTCCGTCGAGAAGATGGCTTCTTAGACAAGAGCAGAAACTCAAGTCCTTTCCTAGCGAGATGCTCCGTACGTCAAACATTCTAAAGCGATTTTTCCTTAGAATTGCTGATAAACTCGACCCGAGTGCCACTGATCCAAGAGCTATTTTATGCAAGACTCACGTCGTTCTTAACCCGTGGCTTATACGTCGCGTATTTTTGGCTATCGCTTACGAAGTTACGGTCCATACCGATATGCTACGTACCTGGAAAGGTAGAATGGATGTTCCAAGGCTTTCAGCTTTAGTAGGACGAATAGATGCCATTGCTGCCCTTTGGACAGAACCGGAACTGTACCGCGAATGCTACGGTACTCCACCCTTCGAAAACCACATGGTCTTCGTTAGGTCCGGCTGTGAGGCTTGCATTCTGAGTGCCATAGGAGCCAATGCTCGCGTGCTCGCAGACTTGCGATCCATTATTGTAGACCGAACCGAGAGGCGTTCACGTCGTTCAGACAAAGCACCAGAGAGGCCGGCCAGGCTTGCTCGCTTTGTCGAAAATTGGATTGATCATCTCAAAGAGGAAAGGGCGGCAAAGTGTAGGGCCATGAGCGATGATATACTCACGCAGCTTAGAGCTTCCCGGACTCAACTTTTACAGTGGCGTAGCCGGCGAAAGAAGGAACTCGACGGGTCTGGTAACTTACCTATGTACGAGTTGAGGAATTCAAACTCTGGACATCGGCTGAGCAACATTCCGGCTAGCGCACGACGCAAGAGACGGACCAAGGATGGGATTCCTGTAGCTATGACTGATCAAGAGAGTGCGGAAGAGCAGAGGAGGATTGCGATGTATAGCTTGCTTGAAGGTGAAAAGAGCATTTATAGACCGGACAGCATGAATGCTTTCTCGCAATTTGGCAATGGGCGCACACAGGCCTATGATGCAGCATATGAACTAGAACAGCAGGCAATGGAGGATAATTATGACCCATACGAGGGAGAAGAAGATGAGGAAGGACTCGAAAACTTCGAACGAGACCTTGAGATGGATGAACGGAGCCGCAGCAAGGTGACGGATTGGTACGCTACGCGACTGAGCGTATCCAATGGCAAGCGAACAGCAGATGACGCCAAATCGGTTATGTCTACAATCCATCCAGCATTTCAGCCATTTACTGGATTCAGTCACAAGTCAGCTGCCCCTTCGCCGCTCAAGATTAAGAAGGATCGTCCGCCTACTGCCCAACAACAGGCTACGCAAAAGTCCGCTTGGACTGATGCTACGGTATATACCGTAAGTCCTGGCTTTAATAGCCCCCATGCAACAGAGGCGCCAGCCATGCCAAGGATACCGTCGGCTTATCTCAATTCGGAGAAGGGTGCTGGTGATCAGAGGCCATCGTCGTCTCGTCCTCACGCCCCTCCACCCAACGCCTCATCGAGGCCCTCTAACCGAAACAGACGATTTTCAATGAGCTCCTCGGTATATTCCGAGCAGCTCTCACCGACTAGGCCGCACCCCACCGCCAGCCAGTTTCCGCCCAGATCACCATCAACGCCGTTGAAGCCTCCTCCCTCGAGGAGATCCCGGCAGCACAATTCGTTTGCCGCCTCCTCCATATACTCGACAGATCAGCGGCGACACCGCCACCACCAGCAGAACACCATGACGCCGGGGATGTTCGCGCGTGATCAAAACAACCCGTTCACAAGAGCGAACTCGACGCGGGTACCGGGCTCCTCGGCAGGTAGGAGTCACGGTATGCCTGTGCCCCCGCTGTCTCACGGTAGTTTATCACCTCCCTTGACCCCCGGGCACGAGATGTCGCCGCAGCAGGTCATGGATGACTATGTGAAGCTCCTAGATTCGGAGTTCGTCCAGCTCGTCGATCCCCTCGAGTCCGAGGCCGGGGAAACTACGCCCTGGCCGACTTTTGCGTGGTGGCAGCAGAATAAGAGGGAGTAGGTGAAGGTAAGATAGGGATGGCGATGGGTGGGTATAGTTGAAAAGTACACGTATAGTTAGACTTGCTTAGCCAAAAAAAAAAAAAGGAAACCATACCGCGTAGCTCGATAAGAGGAGCTTGGTAGGAAGGCCGTTGATCGGTCGTGTAGATAGATACCTAGCGTATAGAATTGTAAATATCATGTATCATCATTAGCTGTCTGGCTTTCTCGTCTTCCAAGTGCTATGCTAAGTGCTGTGCTTTCGATCCGGCGTTTGTGGGCTTTGGTAATACAAAACGTAGGTATCTAGAGCCTTGGTACGTAGATACTGCGCTAGTAGGTAGGTTGTGTAGAATCTGTATGTGGCGTTCCATGCTCGCCTTTTTCTCCTTTGGGTTTTTCTTTGACTCTTTGTTCGCGTTGTATGTGTGTATGTGCACTTTTTCTTTGTTTCCCCTTTTTTTGGTTTAGGGGGGGGGGGGGGGGGGGGGGGGGGTTTAAGGTACCTACTTAGGTTAGGTGGTTATGTTAGATGTATGCTGTCATTGCTATGTTGATGTGATGGTTGGTAAGGCCAGGAAGGTAAGGTATACTACCTAGGGTATAGGAGGCTTGCTTTGATCCCCCGCGCCTCTTTGTTGGTAGGGGGTTATATATACCTACCTACCTACTCGCATACCTACATACACACACGGCCATGTCCATGGAAAAATCTGCTCTTGCTGTCTGGGAGGGAGCGGTGGTTGGTGGTATTGTTGTAGATGTAGGTAGTATTCGTCCAGATACATAGCTCTCACCTGTAGGATACACATACGTGCTTCTCGCTACATAGTCAGGTAAGATAGGTAGTTGTGTAGTTAGTTGTGTAGCTGTGTAGTTGGGTAGGCAGGTAGGTAGATACCTAGCATCATCCATGATATAGCGTAGGTACATATTAGTCCCAAGATGTATTGTACACAACCTCCCTACAACACCTCTCTCCCCACCACCACTTCCCTACCTATCATCCCTCCATCCCTCCATCCTCTTAAAACCTCACAAAATATCTTCAAAAAAGGGCACGCCGCGCCATTTATCCTTCCACCACCAAGCCCGTGCCCAGTACTCTGCATGTTGCACAAAGGACCAGGTTCACCGCGACTGTATTGCAGTTAATTTGCAGTGTTTCTTTCTGCCTTGTCTTGGACTTTATTTTGTTCGGCTGGCTGGGGGTGGCGTAAAGAGGTTGTTTTGGTACGCGGTGATGTCATGGGTACCTACCTAGGTATGTGCAATAGCTGTAGGTAATGTATGTGTATGAGTGTAGGTAGGTAGGTATCTTACGGATACTAAGTATAGGTATGGTGTTGATGATTATGACAACACAGCTACCTGGGTGGATGATATGATGAGATGATCGATAGGTACCTTGGAATGCCTTGGACTGCTTCATAGGGGGCTTGTGGTGTTGTTATTTTGCCCCTATGTACCGACCGGGTGATCAAGTATCCTCAATGCCTAGGCACCTAATCGGCTAATCTACAACGACACAATTGTTTGTATATTTATTTTCATTTATTTCGCCTACAACTACTACTTAGGTGCCTACTACTTTCAAATAGATACCCAAGTTGTAGATATATAGGCAACTAAACTATCTCCTCATCTTCCACCTCTTCGAATAGCTTCTGCAGAGCCGGCAAAAATGCCTGCGCCTTTCTAAAGTCGCCAAGCTTAACGCGCATGTAGTCGAACGCGACTAGAATCACCTCGTCGAGCTTAGCCTTGTCGGCGCCCTCCGCGTTTTCAGCATCCTCTCGGATCTCCAGCTTCTCCTCGAGCGCGGGCACCTTCTGGTACCGCTGGGAGAAGTGCGTCAGCATGATCCTCCTGGCGCCCATCTGTCGACCGACGTCGATCGCTTCCGACATGGTCGAGTGCTTCTTCGCCTTGGCGTCCGCCTGTAGCTCGTCGTCGAACGTGCTCTCGTGAATCAGGAGCGTCGTCCCCTTTCCGATCGTGACGAAGTCTTTGTTTGGCCTGCAGTCGCCCGAGTATGCAATCTTGAATCCCGACGGAAGCGTCAACACGGTTGCGAGCGCGCCGAAGCAATGCACGACGAAGCAGGCGTCGATCTGTTTTAGACCATAGAGTTTGCTCTCCTCCTTGGAAAATCTGCGTGGCTTGCAAATGCGGCCAGGTAAACTGAAATCACGATCATTAAACAGTGTAGTCTTTAGACGTTTAAAGCCAAACTCCTCTATCTCAGAGTATTCTTGTAACCAATTCACCATGTGCCCATGAGACGCAAAGACAAGTTTTGCCGAAGGCATTGACTGTTTCGTTTCCTCGTTCCAGGCTTTGATGACGGATGCAGTACCGAGGTGATGATCTGCGTGTAAGTGACTAATCCAAATACACTTCAAATCTCGCAAGACTTCAGGCAGCTCATCACCAAAGACACGACGAAGTTGACCGAGCGTGTTCTCGCCACAGTCGAACAGGTAATTTCCATAGCCTGGAACGCGGACCATTGTGGATGAGACGTTGCGATACTTGGATGGCAAAGCGGAGCCAGTTCCTAGAGTGATGACTTCGGCATCACGATGCGGGATGTCCGATTCCACTTTCTCGATTTTTTCCAAAAACTCGGGATCTGAAATTCTTGCTCTGGCTTGACGACCCATCTCTAGCACTTCATCGTCTAGATCGGCTCGGGCTCGGGCCTCGAGATCTGGGAAGGGAACGACTTTATCATCTTGGTGCAAGTATTGTGGTGCGAATTGGATAGTTTTGCCAACCCGGCCGCTTTCGTAGAGAGGAGAAGTGGTAGTTAAGGGGTCTTTCGAAATCGAAACCTGATTATTGTAATTTGGCAGAGGGAATCGGTCAGGGTCGATACATCGTAACTTGAGGGCTTGAGCGGAAACAGAATCAAACGAGATTCTATTCGGGCAGCTGTCTGGCGAAGTCACGATGTGTCTTATTTCAGGCCTAGCCTCCATGAACTGTAGCAGTCGAGGATCCTCCTTGAGGCCAAGGCCTAAAGTCCAAAAGATGACGTGGATACCCTTCATTATCTCCTCGCTTCGCCATTCCGGACGATTCACCAACCCATCGATATAAGAGGCATCTGGTAAATCAACAATCGCAAAACCGTTTCCAGGGACAGTCTCTCCTAGAACCATGGCTGAAGTTACTACTACCCCGTCTTTGCCTACAACGTCTCGACCGCTCGCGAGGAGCTTATAGTCGAACTTTGCTACATTGTGCTGCTCAGCTACTTTAGGGTTAAATTTTCCTCGACGATCATAGGTCTTGACGATGTAGCATAAAGACTGATTCGAAGGTCTTGTTCGCGGTAGTGATGTTACCATAGCCCCGGGCCATGGTTGACGGACTAATACGGGTATGTCCGGTACTTTCTGGCCGCTTCCTGGCATAGGGCCTGTGTATGGCTGAATTTGACCTCCCTGATCTCGAACAAACAGTTTGGCGGGCATCTGCGCTTTAAGTAAAGTTGTCTCAACCAGAGCATCCATCTGCCAATCTGAATTGAACATCTGGGTTACCACAGTGTCGAGTAGCTGCCTGCCTTCTTCATCCTCGAAGATTGGTGAAGGGGTGCGTTCCTTTTCGGCTTTGTTGGATTTAACAAACTCCTCGTGCGTCCGTTTCCTAGAGCTCGACGACGGTTCCGTAGCTGACTCTACAGGCATATACCACACATTGATGTTGGCATCTTGCCAATCCGGTTTGAAATCTTGTTTCGATGCGCGAGGGTCCTGGCGAACCTCACGGGGGTTTAGAGGAAGTCCCTTTCGAAAGACGAATCGACGGGCAGTGGCTAGCATCTGGGTGAGGTTCTTTCCTCCATGGATTCTAAGTGTCGGTAGGCCATTATTTTCGTCTTTGGCGCGAAGAAGTTTCCCTTTTTTCTTGCGCTCTTCTGCAACGGCTTGGAGACTTTCAGTCTTGCCAGCAAGGGTATCGGCAAGCACGAGGATGGTGCCGAGGAGCCCCCCCGTAGTCTGCCAGCTGACTTTCCCAGTTACAAAGATATCTTCTACTTTCTGTATGCTTACACCACGCTGGGTATAGGCACGCTGAGATCCTTCAGATATGTTCCCAAAAATGTACCGCTTGTTATCGAAGTGAAGCAGCAAAGTGGTACCAGGGGTATCGGCGGTGGGGTGGGTGACTATCTGAACCCAGTTCAACATCTTCAGGACGAATGCCTGGGCTGCGAGCTCAGATGTCCCGCTTTCGTAATTTCTCCTACCTCGAACAATTAAAAAGCGGGCATTGGATCGTTGATCGATGAGAGGGGCTCGTATTACTGAGACTGCAGTGTCTGCAGCGTCCTCGGGGCTCTTAAAAAGAATTGTCGGGGGGATCTGGGCTGTCTCGAAGATGGAGTTTGCAATCCTCTCTGGTCGGGAGCTTTCTGGTAGAAATGATCGGTAGGGGTTAATTGTCAGAGAAGGCTGAATCAGCTTGCTCGTAGAAATAACCCGGCTTCTCATGGAGGTTTATATAGGGCGAGCCTATAGATGTTGACCGTGTGACTCTTGTACATGCATGCATGCGTGTGTTGATGGAAAAAGAAATAAAAATGATGAGCTCAAAATAATTACAGTTAATAATTTATCGATAACTAGCGCCCATCGCCAAAGAACGTGACCCCCTCCATCGATTATCTTATCTTATCAGTACCTATTTATAGGTGCATTCAGGCACATCATCCAAAAAAAAGGTCAACATTCTATCAACGTTCTACGCTAAAGAAAAAGGGAAACAAAAAATCTAAAAATCTAAAAATCCGCCCCCTCCCCCCCCCCCCCCCCCCCCCCAAAAAAAAAACATCATGAAAACATCGTCACCTCATTCCACTCCCCCCTTTTACACGTCACACTGCCCTCCTTCAACCCCAAAGCCCCCTCAATCGCCTTCTCACCACAACGGTCCCCAATGAGCAGCGGCAGTCTCCAGCTCGCGTACTTCTCCGCCTTGACGCCATCCTTGAACGCGAAGTCCTTCTCCTCCTCGAACTTCCACTGGGACTCGAGCCCGCACTTCTTGGCGCGGTCCCGGATGCTCCTCCCGTAGTTGCCGTCGTCCCAGTTGGTGACCTCGACCTTGAACCCGTACCACAGGTCCGACTTGCCGTTGTCGGTGCGCTGGCACGCCACCTGCCGGTAGCCCAGGTGGTTCTTGTTGCCGTCGGGGAACTTGGCGTGCTTGGCCCCGCTGCCGTTCTGGTCCCGCACGCCGACCTGGTAGAACTCGCCGTAGTTCGGCCCGTTGATCCAGCCGGCGTCGTTCTTTTTAGAGTTGATGCACGTGTTGACCATGCTCCACGTCGCGTCGTAGCAGTTCTGCCCGCTGTTCGTCACGTACATGTACAGCTCCTTGTCCGCCGCGATCTTCACCGTGTACTCGCACCCCGTGTCGCCCTGGCGCGCCGCCGCGAAGTAGCCCTCCGCGCTCGGGTTCCCGCTGTTGCCCGGCACGCCCTGGATGCTCTCGCACTTCCCCTGGCACGCTTGGTCGCGCATGCGGTACAGGAGCTCGCTGGCCGACGCCTGCCCGTCCGTCGTCACCCACGAGGAGGGGAAGTTGGCGTTCAGCCCCGTGCCGCTGCAGGTAGGCTGCTGACCGGACGGGAGGGGCTTGAAGTCGCCCGAGCCTGACGAACTGCTGTCGCCACCGCCTAGTTCCTTGATCCATTGGCTCCATTGGTCCTTGTAGTCGGACGAGTACTTGTCCTCCTTCGTAAACGTGTCGATTTCCGTGCTAGCTCCAGCGCCTTCGTCGTCCACGAAACAGGCCTCGGCAACTTGCGAGACGATGGGTGCGGAACTGTTGTACAGCACCGTCCCGTCGTCTTTCATCTCAATGTTGTCGCTCCCCTGGGCGTCTTTCAGACCGTTTGGCGAGATTTTTATTTGAGGCGCCAGAGGAAGATGCGGATAGATGCCACCGATCTTGGTCTGGACGTATCGCGACAGAGCATACAGCGTAAGGCTGTCCGCGTTTCGCGAGGTCCAGTAGCCCACGTGTTTGCCATTGCGGGCTAGGATTTTGTTGTTCAGAGGGCCCGTCGCAGGTATGTTCTTCTTGTTGTTGTTGGTATCCTTCATCACGAACTTGATGTCCGTGACATGGTTATCCGAATTGGTGGCCTTCGTAGCCCAGTCGATGTGCAGAAGCTCGTGGTACCAAACATGGCCTAAGCTAGCTGTCAGCATTATACAGGACTATGATAATACACTAACAGAAGAGTGAGCTGTCAGGTACCTACCTTTGCTATAAGAGTACGTGTTCATGTTCGCCTTTTCTAGGAGACCTGCAGACTTGCCCTTGGCAATCTGGTCGTCGAGGTTGGGGGCGTTGAAATACTTGGGGCAGAAGTTGATTCTGGCCAATTTGCTGCTTGCATCCTTCTGGGTCGTGTAAGCCCAAGGTCCACCAGTACCATCACTGCCACATTGATCGCACTTTTTAGCAGGATCGTCACAGCGGACGTGAAGTCTCCATGAAAACCAATCGGTCCAACCCCCTTGGATAGTAGAATGCTGCGTTATTGCCTCTGTTATTCAGCGTTATTAGTCTGACTGTTCTACGTTAAGGTATCTTGGTTGTTGGCTTAATCACCTTGAATACGGGCCTGGTAAGGCTGGTTTGCTACCGGCGGACCCAGGTACTCGAGAGCTGCGGCATGGTTGAAGTCTATCTTATTGTCGGCAAAGAATTGCTGGACCGGCCAGATGGACTCCCATCCGGCCTTGATGGCTGCCTTCTGGTCACTAGAGCATTTGTTCCAATACACAAGTCGTGTGTAGAAATCGTCCAGTTGCTGGCTCGTGAGAGGAGCAGCAAAGCTGGAGACGGCGAAGGAAAGTAAGAGAGTGGGTAAGAGCATATTGGAGGAGTACTTTAAGTAAATAAATATGTCGAAAAGGGGAGGAGACGGTAAGTAGTGCTTGCAGTCGCAGAAACTACCAGTGCCTATGTTGAACAAAGAAAAAGATTGGTTTCACAGGCCGAAGAGGTGAAATATATACCTCTTGGTGTTTCTCGTCGACCATCTATTCATAGTACCCAGGGTAGTTCATGAGGCCTCGCGACTCGAGTAAGCTCATTCGCTACCTAGGTCTAGTATACCTAGGCATAGCATCATGAAGTTACATTCACCAATCATATGAACCCCCTGGGTTCAGCCCGAGTATGACATAAAAGGGATACAGCTTTCCATCAGAGCGGGCCCATCAGCCCTACCTACGATGAGACGGGGGACATGGGCTACGCTTATGGTATAGCAGACTATGTAACCAAATAGAGATATTCTTGGCTATAGAAAAGCTTGGCAGATGACGAGGGAAGCTCTCACAAATCAAACTACCTACTTAAGGCAAGGTCTATAGTTTAGTCATACAAGTTTAACAACAGCTTACATGGAATTTCATTTACTTAACTAGGTAGGTAGGTATCTAGCAGTCATCTTTTTTACTAGGGGGATGGGAGCTATACGTTTTGCTGACGCCAACATGCCTGGGTATAATTTTGCGCAGACAGACGGGATGAGCGAACTAGCTGGCTCACTACGACGATGCATTGGGTAAAAGGTATCCTAGGCGCCTAGGACTATAGCTTTTTTTTGATTTTTAATCATCGCCAAGGCCTCGGGATGATCGTAGATGCTTAAATTATAACTATGGCCTGTAAAAATCACGATTGCTTCGGGAGGTTACATTTGGCTAGGCACTTTATGGGTCAACGGAATAGGTGCAGTACGAAGCTAGATGGGTAGTCTTATGGTTCAGGTGTTTTTGCAACGGTTAAACTAGATACCAAAACTACCTAGGTACCTAGAACAGAACTGTTCGATATGTCCTGGGTCGAGGAATACCCGAGTTGTAGCTGCTTGAAGAAACGCCACAGCCATTCTTGGTACCTAGAGAGGTGGCATACGAATAACCCCTTGTCTTTACCTACCCAGCACTACACCGCGTCCTCGCTGCCTAGGGATTATAACTCAAGACCTCGAGGTTTCGAACCTGGTATAGGGTGTCTATTTCATTCCTCGTCAGTGAATTTCTCTCTAATAATAAAGCTAAGGATCTTTGCTTACCGGCAGTAGGGCCCGGGGACCCTGAAGAGCCTTCCATTTGCAGGTTGATGATGCTATCAGGCCATTGTCAGCAACGATACGATACGACACGACAGCGAAGACAGGTAAAAATAGGTGTATAGCTTACAGATACATGGCCTTTCCATAGAAGTTGCCGCCGACCTGTGTAGTCACGAGCTGGCCGTCCATGTAGAACTTGACCGAGACGTCGCGCTGGTTGATGTCGCGCACCTCGGTCTTGATGGAGTGGAAGTCCCCGGGGCTCGGGTACGTGACGTCCTTCCAGGAGAGGACGGAGGAGGTGTTGAAGGTGTTGAACGAGATCTTGCCGGAGCCCTTCCACTCGGCCATGTCGATCTCCGGCGGCCAGCCCTCGACGGCGGTCAGCCAGAACGCGGGCCAGGTGCCCTTGGTCGTCGTCGCCTTGAACTCGCCCGAGAAGTCGTACCCGCCGCCCTTGCCGACGGTGAAGTGCTCCTTGGCGGCGATGGCGCCCGACAGGTAGTTGATCTTGATCGCCTGGCCGCCGTGCGACGCGTCCTTCTGGCCCGTCACCTTCTTCGCCGTCAGCGTCACCATGCCGTCGCCGAACTTCACCTGCCCTCTGTCCATGCGCGCGCCGCCGTTGTGGTCGGTGCCCCACGGGTAGTTGTAGTTCCAGTCCGCGTCGAAGTCCGCCTGCGAGTTGAAGCTCGTCTTCGGGATTATCGTCCGCACTGCGTCGGCGCAGCTCGCGGCCGCGGCGAGCAGCAGGAGGCTGGTCCCGGATAGATGCATTTGTCTGTCTGTCGTTTGGCTTGGGTGTAGACAAAATCGAATAGGTGTATAGGGTGGCTTTTGCCTACGGAATGGAAAAGGCAATGACCAGAGCTGCCTGTGAACACGGCGCAACGCTTCGGTATAAATAGTCACCTACCTCGAGATCTAGACCCTCAATGCATACCCCTGAATTAAATTATACACATCGGGGAATGTCTGCATGGCAAGGATATAGGTAGGCATTCTTCTGGATAAATACTTCACCGAAGTACATGATAGGTCCACATCCATTGGGTTCAAGGTTATAACCCAGTGGCTAGGTAAGTATATAGGTGGGTTATTAACCTGCAGTCAACACAAAAGAAATAGGAGAACGAACGCCCTGGGGAAAAAACGTCAATACGATGAGGGGTGGTCTCATGGCCGGTACCCAAGACCTGTTTATCCAACTGTGGTCTACATATCGTGACAAGGACCCTTGATCGGCAGTCGTGCCATAAACACGAAGTGTCGTATCCGGCCAGGGTTACATGGTCTAGGTACCTGGGGCAGTTAATGCGGAATCAGAACACCTGCATTCCTAGTGCCGATTCAAACATATACATACGGTGGTTGCTCGCCCGCCCTTTCAAATCGTTGAGCTTTTCTTTTACTCGCGCCAATCATGGAGCATCAATTCGCTTGCCCAGAGCAGTAGGTTTTTGGGGAGGGTTGGAGATAGGAACCTTCCCCTTAGAGATTAATTCCGGTGTCATGAGATGAAGGAGTTTGCTAACTGCGACAGCTCTCATAGGCACGGTTAACCATCTTGTGAATGAGCATTACTCTGAGGTCGGGTATGTTGGGTAGAGAGTCTTATGGTATTCGGTTAAGGCGGCAACACGAGAAAGATGAGACAGAGGCAATGATGCGCAATGGAAAGGGGCTTTCAGTAGTCATCTTTCTTGTCTCGTATGTTCTTGCAAAGATGCTATTTGAGCGTTACTATGACCTAGTATACCAACATCCACAAGTCGACCTACAACAGCCTTTCCCTTAGCCCTCCGAAACTTCCCTCTTTCCCTCTCTTCCCTAAGCATCTGGGATACAGGTCAGCTGCAAAATGCCATTATCCATATTCCTGCACTCATAAACCGGCGCCTCTCCGCTTGGAACCGAGATCGTGATATTTTCAACCTTGATGTTGCTACATCGCTGTTTCCAGAGTATTCATCAGCATGGCCACGCCCTCACAACATTTGGGTAGTACTCACGTCCGGAGCACTGCAAACAAGCGTTCCTGCCAGTGGATCCAGCTTCGAGGAAGTAGTCCCAAAGATGTTCTTCATTGTGACATCTGTGATCGTCAAGTTGGCCTGTCGGTGGTAAAGTAGGTAGATATCCAAAGGTCAGCAGCCTATTTCCCTAATACCCCATGTAGTACGCAGCTTGGGTAACTAAATTATCATAGTAGGCACACTTACCGGAAACTCGTTACACAGCGTCTCGTTTTTCTGCCCATAGCACTGCGTGATAGTAATCGCTCTGTCATTGTTAACGCTGTGCAAGAGATCAAACGTGACGTTCCGAACATGACCAGACCCTCCGCCGCCCCCAAGATGCGGCTGGAAGTCGGTTTCGATGCCCGGCCACACCTTTATCCTGGCGAAGTCGCTGGCGTTCGTCATGGATATGTTGTAGATGTGCAGATTCTCCACGATATCCGTTTCCCCTTTATACTGTCCGATGGAGCCGATGCTGATGCCGTGGGACCCAATGCATTCTAGGTTTTGGACGACGATGTTTGTGCTGTTTGGCTTGAAAGACACGCAGTCTTTAAATGGGGGAGTTAGTAGGTCGCTAAAGGGAGTCTGCAAGCTGCTCAGGTAGTTTGATAGGACGTACCGTCAGTGTTGCGGATGAAGGAGTCCTGTATGACTACCCGATCCGAACGATATGTATCCCACCCATCTGAGTTGGCGATCTTGGTTCCTTTAAGTGACTATTATGAGACGGTCAATACATCTCTGCCGGACAAGTCATTTGGGTACAGGAGAGTTGGGTACCTCGGCGCGAAGGTCCATGTTACTGATTATGACATCAGAACTATTTGCAATAATATTAAACCACTAGAAGCAAAATCAATCAACAGTACCCTGAAAACAAACCCTGAGAAAGGAGTACCTCACATTAGGCGGATTGCGCATCCGCAAGTTCGACATAGTCGCCCCCTTAACCCCGTCGAAGGCGAAGAGCATAGGCCGGAATAGCTAGCAAAGTTGTTCACATCAACAATACACAATTCTCAACACACCAAAAACCAACTCACATTCTCATTTACCATCATCTCCTCCCAATACGCCTGCCCCCTCCCATCAACCACACTCCTGCCCTCGCCCAAGCCTAAATCGCCGTAAATATTCACATCCTCCCCCCCAACCTTCCAAAACACGCTCTGGTTCTGGAACGTGTATTTAAAACTGTGGCTATCCCAGTAGTACACATCCGCGTCGTCGAAGGCGATGTTCCCCGTAATAACGATGTCGACGTGCTTGAGGAACGTGAGGTCCAGCGGCGAGCCGATCAGGTAGGACGCGTCGAGCACCACGGTGCCGCCGTCGTTGCACTCCTGCAGTGCTTGCAGGATACTTGGCGCGTCGTCTCGTTGTGGGGGGAGGACGGGCTTGACCTGGCAGTATCGGTCCGGGTCGCGGGGTAGGGAGATGGGCATGGACTGGCCGGCGTTGTAGGGGCTAGGTACGACGTCGGGACGGGGTGGGATCTGGAAATGCTTCGCCGCGGATGCTAGTGTAAAGAGGCCCGGCACACTCGCCAATGTGCCTAGGATGTCTAACAGTCGCATCTTGAGTCCTTGAAGGCTTGGTTGGGTTGGGACTAAGCTCGGGCTGCCCCTATCAAGTGAACGAATCCCAAGAATAGTGGATTTGACGATTTACAGCCTAGTTGTTAGTTAGGCAGTTAATTCAATACCGCTACTCCTTAGTAGGTATCATAGGTATTCCACCTGGTTTCCGAGTTGTAGTAAAGTTGTATGAAGCTTCTCCCCACACCTACCTACCTACCTACCAACAGTCCCAAGGTTAGCTTAATCGGGGCCATATACTCCGGAGTGAAGTTGAATGTAACCTACCTCCGTTTAGGCAAATATCAGATTACCTACCAGGAAGATTTCCATGGGCGCTGTACTCCTGGACACAGAGGGTATAGGTATCACTCTTAAACCAATAACATTATACCTAACCATCTATCCTACGTAGCTGCTCCATCCTTCTATCGCTCTAGACAAATAACCAATACGACGAGCCAAAAATTACAACGCCAGCCAAGCAAAGCTTGCTTACCCCTATTTAGTAGCATCCGCAACCCCATCCACCTCCCCCTCCCTCCTCTTCCTCAACCTCTCGTACCCCTCCATCCCGCCCACATCCTCCTCAAACCTCGGCCTCTGTATCTCCACCACATCCGTCAGACGACCATAAGTAATCCCACCAAGCCTGCTGACGGGCTTTAGAACCTCCGGCGCAACCAGATTCCTCTCCTCGTTGAGCGCGTCCTCCCGGACCCAGAACCTGGTCCCCTCCAGCACGACCAGCGACCCCGTGATCTTCCCCGGCGTGGCGCGGCTCTCGAACTCGCGGACGCTCTCGAGGCGGCACTCGACACTGAACACTGCCTCCTTGACGCGCGGGGCTTTCACATCAACACAGTCGCTGACGGGTGTCAGGCCGCTGACGTCCCACTCGGAGACGGCGTAGGGGGCGTCGACGCTGGTCGCGTTGGCGGCCTCGAGGATGTCCTCGCCGATGATGCCGACGACGCACTCGCGGGTCTCCGTCAGGTTGCGCAGCGTGTCCTTGGGGGCGGCGACCGCGGACGCGAAGCCGAGCACGAAGAGCGGCGGGTCGTGGTTCACCATGTTGAAGTACGAGAACGGCGCGAGGTTGCGGACCCGGCCGTCGGCCGACTGCGACGACACGAAGCCGATCGGCCGCGGCACGATCCCGCTGATCAGCAGCTTGTAGTTGAAGGGGGCGGGGCGGCCCGGCTCGTACGGGTCGATGCAGATGTGCTTTTTTTGGTTGCTGGAGGCGTCGCCAGCGCCATCTTGGTCCCGGAGTTCGTTGGCGCCGGACCCGAAGGCCCAGGAGGGGCTGGCGGTCTTGGTGAAGCGGAGCCCTGCCGCCTTGTCCCAGTCCGGCCGGGACTCCTCGACTTTTTTGAAGTCCGGGTGCGGGTTGCGCTTAATCAAGGCTTCCTGCTTGGTGGAGACGGACATGGTCCTGCAGCTGTAGTTGTCGTAATTCAACGCCGAATGAGGGGAGGAAAAGAGGTGAGGGTATCTACGTGAGGCACCGACAATGACAATGCGAGGTTTTATCCCAAGCGTGCGGATTGACAGGCTTGAAGTGAATGGTGGAAGAAAGTGCATGAAGATGGATGAAGTATATATATTTATCATACGTGCCGTTAATAATATCCAATACAACAAAAATTAATGGAGTTGATTGCTCTAAAGCCCGCTCGGCGGAAGGCGGGTAGAAACGGTAAAAAGGCCGAGTTCCGCTTGGTTTGTAAGAAGCTGCAGAGCAAACGGAAACATGAAATATAACGGGTATATGACTGGTACTGTGACTGGGTACTGTGACTGGGTACTAGCTGTCATGCAACAACGAATATACCAATAACCGGAAGGGGAAACACAGCATGGATATTATCAATGTATACTCGCGTGATGACGTATTTATCTTGTGTCTTGGAGTTATTTTTAAACTATAATTAATAAATAAGTAGCACTAGAGGTACCTACACCTACCTACCCTAGGTACTGAGTCACATTGAATAGAGTAACGAGGAAAATAAGCTCGAGTAACCCCCTTTAATTATCTCCGACAATAACATTTAATAGACGAAGCACTCAATCAATATCAGAGACAATATCGCTAACAAAAACCACTGTCTCATCACTCTCGTTTCCTTGATTGCATTGCCATGTATTGATTGTGTACTACTGTAAGCACTCAACCCCATGAATCGATAATCCCAAAAAGGTGATTACCTACTATGAGGTAGGTATGATCCGAAGTCCCTCAAAACCATATTTCTACCAACCGACGACCGTACGCCTCCAGAAGCACATGAGCCCGCCCCGGTCCCTGGTGCATACCTATCGTACCTAAATATGCAGGTAGGTGTTGCACTTGCCTCATCTAGGTACATATTCCATAAACGCCGCCACCGTAATCTAGCCCAAAAAATAGAATAAAAAGGTGATGAGAAAGACAACCCGACCCCTATTCTAAATAAGTTGCATACCACCTGCACCTACACCCGCCCACCCCGCACGCCATATTGCCGTTGTGCTATATTGACCACAACACCTCTCGCCCCCCCGCCCTTTCCCCCCCTTTCACACCCTTATATGCCATAAAAATCAAAATATAAGACTTTGTCCCGCCTTTGATACAATAAACTCGCAGCCCAATTCCATTTCCTTTTCATGTTCTAGTAATTCGTGTAAAATCGTCTCTCCTGGTGATACGCCTTCACTAAAATCTTCCTTGACGTGGATAATAACCACCTTGAGCCCCTTTAGAAGGTTGGGTATATGTTGTGGGGCTAGAGATGGGCTGGCATTGGGCTCAAAATCCCTCAGACTCATTTCGGCGGTCGGGGTTGTGATACGTGGGGTGTTGAAGCCGTAGTCACTCGGCACCGACGGTGAACCTGAGTTCCTCTGAGGGCGTGTCGACTTTGGTGACACCGGCCCATCGTCTCCACCAGATCTAGCTATGGCTCGGTTCGCTCTCCTAGTTGTTTCTCCCAGCTCTCTTTTGCGTTTCTTAGTCGGCTCAAGTTTGACTGGGGACTGGCGATGCATCTCGACTTCTGCGGCGAGTACTTTGAGCTCTTGGATGATGTAGCGCGGCGTGAGGTGACCGAAAAGTCGGTCATCGGTCCGGCTGTCATCGTAGGAGCATTCGATGAAGATTGCTGCGAGATTGCCATTTGCTATTCTCGGGGCCGCTTCTAGCCAGACCCCATGATTCCTTGGCGATAAAGAGAGGCTATCAGGCTCCACATCGCCAAACATCAAGATTTCACGACCACTAACAGCGTCCCGGATGAAGTACGCACTTGAGTCATAGACACACACGGAATCCCGTTCCTGTCCCGATAACGAATGGCCAGGGGCTGTCGGTCTGAAGAACGACGACGCTCCTGAAGCAGCATTGTTCACTTGAGGTCTAGGGGATATGAGAGAAGGCGCATCCACGCTACCAAAGCGAGAGGACGACGTGGAGCCTCGATGAGCGTGCCTCTCCATGCAATGTCCGTGGCTGACGCTGAAGATTTTGACCGTGAGGTCATCGCTAACCTCTAGGTATCCTCTGCCCTCACCTTCCCCAATAGCAGGACTGCCTCCCTCGACAAGGCGTGTATATGTTACGAGTCCGGCACCATTATTCTCGTCAGATAAGTTTGGCCAAATAATGTTATTGAAGATATGGGTCTTAAATGCCGAGATGGTAGAGGGCAATCCGGCGATCCGTTTTGGCCGTGTTCCTGGTAGTCCTGCGGTATTGATAACAAACCCGCTAATATGATCAAGATGGGGATGAGTAATGAGGTAGGCGTCAATAAGATGTCTTGTCATATACGCTGCATTTGCTGACGCGGATGCTGAAGAAACTTCCATTCCGGCAAAGGGACCTGACTTCAAGATATGCGGTAACGCAATTTCGGTACCGAGTCCTGGTGGTTGTGTCTCCTCCAGTATCCTAGCTATGGCAGACATATGGACACCAGCATCGAGAGCGATCACTGAGCCTCTAGTCCAGCCAGATCTGACTGACCTTACGAGAAAAGCGGTAACATTATGTTCCTGGGGTCCACCGCCCGAACCCTAAGATACTCACGACACATTAGCAAGGTCATTATAATCAAGTCTAGAATGCTTTAATCAATCCTAGAATGGACAAGGAAAAATAAGAGAGGTCCTGGTGTTTCGTATTTCCAGTAGGTTCAAGTGGCATTGTTAAGGGGTTAAGGGGGTTTAGGGGGTGGGTATTCCGAGTTAGGGGCTTGGTAAGATAAAACAGATAACCCTATGACGTCAGTGGATATTGTTTCCCCAGAATGGATAGGCAAACCAGAGGGGAAATTTGGAGATTACATTAGTATCGGCAAGCAATACACGTGACCTATCTCCTCACCCACTGGCTGCCATCTGTCTCCTTGGACATTTCGTTTGTTCAACCAACATATATATCCAGCAGGGGTGGCAGGGAGCTTTCTTCCATTTTTAGGTATTTTACCAACTGGTCGGATACTGGGGTAGATATTCGAAATAATCCAAAAAAAAAATCCAGCTTTGGAAGTATTTTGCCACCAAAGAATTAGTGGTTCATTGCGTGGGTAGAACATGTACCCTCCTTTGTTGGTCTGGCCATCCTTACGCAAGCGCCCAAGTCGGCCAATAATAATAAGGCACTCAGTATCCGAACCATCCATTCAAATGTAGTGGCATGCCGCGTCCAAGTCGAGATCCTATTCGACTTCCCTTCTCCGGGGTTCAAATTCGTCTCACGTGCGTACGGCATTAGAGGGTTGATGGCACGACGTGAGTAGCGGCGCTGACTTGGCTCCGGAGGGGCGAATCAAACGTCATCTTTGTCGACATTTTGATGAAACGAAGATTGATACATATGAAACATAAAATGCTTACCAGCACGATGACCTGCAAGGCAGGCTGACTTGCATTTCCCGCGCTGTCTCGTCTAGCCATCCTTCTTTGCGACAGTCGGTTGCGACCGTTGTACTTTCGTCTCATTTGGTATCTAGTCGATACAAAAAGATCAAAAGATCCAATGAGAGATAGAAAAAAAAAGAATTTATAGAAAAAAGGCCCCTCTCCCTTCCGACTTCGACTCTCTCGGTATTTTCTCAATTTGAAAGTGAGATTGAGAGGTTGTGGCTTGGGCAATAATACAACAGCACAGCGTCGAGGCCGTTTATTTTCGTCCTTGGAGAAGCATGCTACGGCATCGAGTTTTCGTCAGGTTACCTACTTCCAAAGTTCTTATAAGTTATTACACCTCATAGCTCATACTTGTTAGTAGGTATGTACCATACCTAACCTTCTGTTTCACACACGTGACGTCCAGCTGACTCCTGCGCCTCTTCAATATGTATCCCTTAGGTACTAAGTATAGGTTTACCATCTACCTGTAGTACCTGACGTACATAAGGGTACATGTACTGAGGCCCTCGAGTCGGGTATTTTCGTCTATTTTCTTCTTGTCTGTTCCGTCTTGTTTATTAGATATTTATCGTCTTGTATTCTGCCAATATAATTACTTTGAATTACTAACAAACACTAAAAGGGAAGAGGGAGAAAAAAAATAAAGATGAAAATGAAACAAAAATAAAAAAGTATATTATTGCCAATCGACGGTCCCAGGAACTTGGGGAGCTTCGGAACTTTTAAGGTTTATCGCAGGACATGGGGGGGTGAGCATGGGTGGCATGGGGTACATACATACATCTGCTATGTAAGTACATATCGTACATAGATTGGCAGTGTTCGGTACATACCTTGTACTGCTAGTAGTACATACCTGCCTAGGTACATGGAGCATGGATGACATTGGATGTAGCGCAATCCCCATGGCTTCAAAATTCAAATAGCCCTGGAACCCTTGGAGATTTCCCAATTTAGTTCTAGCGCGCAAGTACCCAGTAGACAGCTAACAAGAAACTCCACTGTAGGAACGCTAAACGCCTTGGATTCACAGTTACAGTGGATAGTGGGCTAGATAGTGGACTAGATAGTGGACAGTGGACAGTGGACAGGGCTGACAGGTTCAACACTATGTATGTAGTATGTACATGTAAGAACAAACAACATTGAACCTTGAAGATAGCTAATGAAATGTCACTACGTAGGATCTTGGTGGTTCCTTCAAAGTTCACCCCTCTCTCCTTCGTGTACTTTCTCGGGCTCGCCGATATCTTGCAAGCTTTCCGCTTCCCTTTGTCTATCTTGGGATCTTTGTTCGCAAACTCTCCAACCTGAAGTTCAGTGTTCCTACAGCGATCCTATTCCTTTGTTGGCAAAATGTCTCATAATCCTTTGTCTCACACCCGTCAATCTTGCTATTGTTTACCAGTAAGTAGTGTTGGCCTGGCCTTGATCCTAGACTCTGTGCTGGAACGATGGACATTGTTATCACACATACAGCAGGTAACTCAAAGTCAACGTCACCTGTGTATTTTCAACTCTAACCTGTTCTGCCCTGTCTGGGATACATAATATTCCACCATCACGCACAATTAGAAGTCATTATAATGCACACATATTTGTCATGGTTATGAATATGGATTTGGGTATCTAACTAATCTACTGGGCAACTGCCTACCTAGGCAATTCCCTATTATGAGAGTAATAAACATTCAACTGCCCCCTTTCATGCATCTTTCATTCATTTCTTTCGTATTGTATTTCGTTCCATCCTCCCTCAAGCTGACCAGTTCAGCTATTCATTAAACCTAGAGTGTGATGTTGTGATCCCTCGAGGGTGGTCTAGTGACTATGACTTCGGGGGTCGGGAGTTTATACTCATTCTTTACCATGTCCCTATCAAAGCTCTGCCCCCCACGCAAATGAGAAGAAGAAAACAGAAAAAACAAAAAGAAAAAAGAGTCAGAGCTTACTTTTTTGTTCTTTTTTTTTAAAAAAAAAAAAAAAAAAGAACTAAGCTGTATCTATAGGGCTCACTCGCGAGGCATCATCTTCCTCGGCGATTGGCTCTTCGGCAGCCGCTGTCTCGTCGAAATCAACCACAGCATCTCCAAAGAGATCCTCTAAATCTTGAGTCTTCGCCTCCATAAACTCTGAAAAGCTTTCGTCCAAGATAAACTCAGGCCCCGTGCCTTCGTCAACCCTGTTTTCATCGACATTATTCTTCTCCACATTGTTTTGGTCAACTTTGTCGCTGCTAGAAGACAGGGATTCAGAAGGCGGCTCATCTATTATCTTCGCCGGCAATGATGTATCATGAGCTTGCTGTGCCTGTACTTTAGGAGTTGTGATATTGTCGATTAACAGAAGCCTAGGATCTATTGGGATAACCGCTGGAGAATCTTGTTGCTGCTCCTGGCTCGGACCCGCCTTGTTGAACTCCTCCACGGCTTGTAGCGCGTGACTCGGAGTATGAGGGCTATTTGGCGTCACCATTGTGGCCGGATTTTGAATTGGCGTAATCGGTGAATTCATACTCTTTGGCGAATTCATCGTGGAAGGCGTACCTACCTGCTGTTGGTAGTAGGGAGTGATGAGTTCTTGATACATTTGCGGTGAATGCATCATTCCATAACTAGGACTGTAGGGCAAAGCCGATGGGGTTGATGGGTAGGCAGTCGGTGAAGGAGGGTATTGCGTCTGATAATCATAAATTCCGTAGCCGGAACCGGGAGTAGAAGGATAATCTTGTCCCGCGTCCTCGTTCTGTTTCTGTCTCTTTGCGGGTTGGTTAGGCTTACTCTCCCTCCTGCGCTTCCTTGACATGAGTTGTTGTAACTGCTGCTCAGCGCCGGGAACCGGATCACCAGCTTCGTCCGTCAGTTGCCAAGTCAAACAATCCCTAAGGAATTTCTGCCGAAGGAGATCCCCCTTATGCTTCGATATATCCGCCCCCGCCCGAGTCTCCCGTACCCTTTGGCGGGTCTCGCTCGTGTGTTCCAGCGCATGATTGACGAGGCGGTAGCTCAAAGAGTTCTCGTACGCACGATTTCTCTTCCCCCCCATCTCCCGAGCCTTCCGATACTTGGGCAACTCCGTCTCCCACCAAGCGTCTACTTCACATCGAATATCCTGATATATCCTCGATATCTTGCCGAGGTTTTCCTCGCGCTTGAAATCTCGCTCGTCGGGCCGCACATCGAGGCGCAAAAACGCATCGACGAGGTCGAAGTGGCGCTCGAAGCAGAACAGGTGCGCGTACCCAGCGTTGTGATACGGGTCGAGGGCCTCACCTTCCGTGTTCATACGCTCGTCGAAGATGATGCGCGGGAACCCCGACCTGATGGTGCGGTTGGGGTCGGCGCAGTCGGCGAATCGGCACCGTTGAGATTGCTGCCCCTGGGGATATCGATCGTTGGACTGAGGCGCCACCCAGCCAATCCAGAGCGTCAGCCCCTGACGCACCTTCCCCTTCACCTGACGCACCCCCGGTAGTCGTTGAGGGAGCTTGAATATATGCTTCTCACTTACCTTGGGGCCGTAAAGATACCAGCGCATTTCCGTAACGGTATACGTTTTCCCCCGCTCAAGCTCACCGTATTCTGTGTACTTGAAAAGGGGCCGTTGGCTTTTATCCTTGGGGCCCCAGCTCTCGGGGCGAGGCGGAGGAGGCCCATACCATTCCCGAGGGTCGGGCCTGGCCTGGTCCTTTCTCGTGACCCGGGGTATCCTGCCGCTTCTTAGCAACTCCCCATTAGGCCCTTTCTCGGCTCGCTTTAAGGGGGGCTCATTGCCTTCGAGGATTGGGGAGGGAACCCTGTGACGCTTGGAAGCAGCCTTCTTGTGGTAGCTGGAATACGTATAACCCGAACTGCTGTTACTCAGTCGTTGTGCGTCTTCGATGGACTCGCCGTTCGCAGGCACATTCGCAGGCATACCACTAGGAGCTGCGCTCACGGGTATTTCGTTGATAGGTTGTGGGGGCACCACGAACTCATTATTCGCCGGCTGCGGAGGATAATACTGGGCAGAACTTTGAGCGTAGTTGTTAGCCAGGGGAGCATAGCTAGACCCGTAATGATGGACATTACTAGGGTAAGAAGGATTGGCAACAGGATAGTTGATGTTATAGTTCAGCTGCTGTTGCTGCTGCTGCTGCTGTTCCTGGAAACCATTACCTGCGTAGACATTGGTATCATTCAGAAATCTGGGATCTATATAATCCGGAAGAGCTGCGGTCTCTTGGATTGTTGGAGGCTGTGTTGCCGAAGAGTCGATTAGGGAGGGCCCAAATGAATCTAACGGATCTTCGATGAAAGAGTCGATCAAAGGTTCGATAGGTAGAGGAGGTAGAGGAGGTAGATTTTGCTCAGGAGGTGGCTCATTGAACGTCAAGAAGTCCGCTGGGAGATCTGCGTCGAAGTTGGTTTGGTTGAGGACGTCTTGTTCTTCAATGTAATTACCTAGAGGTTCTAGGTCGCCGTAGTCCGTCGTGTCATAACCCATTATTGACCAAGTGACCCGTCACTGAACCTCCACAGATTTGGTGCTAAAACAATCCCAGAACAGATAGCCAGCTCAACTACGCTACCAGAGAAATCGTTCAGTGAGGGGGCAATGACACACTCATAGATATTGCGAAAATTCTGTTAAAATTATGACCGAAGAGTCTTGCTATACTATATAAAACGAAGAACAACGCCTTGTTGTCCCGTGGCTGTCATTGTCTGTACACAATGGAGACACAATGACCTGTAATATTTTTACAACAACCATATTGTTGGACACAAAGGGGAGCGAAGGAGTTTTTGAAAGTAAGTAGGTAAGTGAGCAAATTACGAGGACAATAAATCACAATCATGGCAAGTTAACCCCTGTCTACCCAGTATTAAACACTACTGCATGGGTTCCTATTTTCGTAGTTAGTACTGGTAGTAGCATTTAAATTTAGAAGTTTTGCAAGAGTACATAAATAATCAGTAGAGCTCAATGCGTTTTCTCAACAATTGAAGTTCAGAACAGGTCTGTGAATGCGATTGATTTCATCAAGTAAGAAGGATAGGATAGCAGAATAGAAAACATGAACTTACTATAGTAGTACTCAAAACCTATGACAAGTGCCAAACGAGAGAGAAGAGAAGAGAGAGAAGAGAAATTCAGAGCGAGTTGGGGATCAGAGATTCAATATAAGTAGGCCCAAGGCACATAATCATTGTTGATCAATATGACGATATTGTCTAGATATAATCCAAGAAACTGTTGACAGAATCCTCGTTGCGATAACTGGAAACCTGCGTAAGTGGCGCCAATCTTCACCTATCAGCAGTACCTATACGGAACGGCAGACAAAGGACAATATAAACTTGTTCTGGGCTGTCTCTCATTCTCATTAGTCCGAAGTCAGGAGTTACTATTCACCCAACCCCAGGAAGAATGTTGTAGCAAAGAATAAGTTTTCCGAAGTTGGGTATGAGGGGGGGGAAGAAGAGACATTTTATACGTAGTTAAGTAAACATTGAAGTTTGATTCTTTTGTTCAAGAAGAAAAAAATAGTTACTATGTTAACAAATAAAAATTAGGTAAACCGGCCTGTTAGTTTTACCGTTCCGTCCACACCTATTACCGTTGACTCTAGTATAAAAGTATACGTAGTACATAGGTATGTAACGTTAGGACGGTTAGGTTAGTCGTATCGTACCTCCAGAAACCGTTAATACATAACTAGACCCTGGCGGCGGCACGTTAGATTTGTTACAGGGCTACTCCACTTCTACTCATATTCCACCAATTAAATCACATTATCACTCCCAGCAAGCTCAGGCTTAAGTTCGTATTCCTCACCGGGCGTCCCGTTGTAATGTGCACCTTATTATCGATACAAACCAGTGAGAGTAGGCAGTACTAGGCACACCTTACCAAAATTGGGCCTTGACCCGCGTTGTGAAAACGTAAAGCGTAAGGCACAAAAGCGTAATACCCGCCTGCTCTTACTCTGTACCCGGACTGCTGGAGCGAAGCTTTAAGCCATTGGCATTGGCAACATTGAACATTGAACTTACAGGTATTAACGTATTAACGGCAACATCAATCAGGGTTCATTCAACTGCCTTAAGCAGCTTTAAGTATCCATATCACCTATCATATGTACCATCATACCTACATTGGGTAGGTACATACTTCGTACTAAACTACCTATACATAGTACTAACCATATTCTAACCTAGGTACATCCATACATCCATACATCCATAGGTACATCCACATAATAGTGCATAGTATGCAGTTGAGATCTCTCTATCTGGAGAATCCCAAATCACCTGCATCCTGCGTTCCATTTTAACCCTTCTCAAATGATTGATTCACCTCACGTTTATCTCTCCAAATATACATTTCCCTACTCCTCTCTCAGTCCACAATTGTGTTACATTTCATGATACCCTCTTATTCTTATTTCCAACCAAAAATATTATTTGGTCTATTTAGCCCAATTTAGCCCCTGCGAGAAGGCTAGAAGTGGCTGTAAAGAAATATCAGAATATCACTCCTCTCCGAAACAATTTGACGTCACGGGCTTTGTCTGGGGCTTTGGCTTGGTTTAATTTGGTTGGGTTGGTCAACCTATTTACCTAGGTACCTAGCCTATGTAGGCTGGCTTGGTTGGTAAGGGTAGGGGTTGGCTACTACTTTTGAATATCTGGCGATTCCAGTGAATGGTCGACTGCCAGTTCTGCGCTCTTCTTCTTTCCAGTACTTCCAGTGCCAACCCGACAAGGACTCGACATGGCGCAATTGAGCTCGGATTTACAGGAGAAGTTGGATGAGTTGGAGAGGGAGTTGGAGGTAAGCCTAAGCCCTTTTTTTTTTGTCGGTTCGCGATATCTTCTTCTTATTACTAGCATCAACAGCGGGGTACAATAATGACCAGCCTATCGGAAGTAAACTAACGATTGTGTTTGATGTAGGAAGGCGACATCACAGCAAAAGGGTAAATCGTCTCTTCACCTATTTGTCGCATATGATTGTCTCGTTCCGCCCAATACTAACGCATCTCGTCACCCCCTTAGCTATCAAAAACGACGAACCCAGTTATTCTCTCAGTATGGTCCTAATACTTTGGCTGATGCGACTGGAGGTTTACGAATACACACACCTAGCGATGATACTCCTTACACAAGCGAAGGCCATCGAGACGCAGCATATACCGCCCTCAGCACCACCAATTCCGACTACAATGACCCATACTCCCCCTCAACTATTACGTCTCCCGGTGACTGGCGGCCCCAGTCGGCCGGACCACCACCCAGTTCCTCTCATGGCGCCGAACATCCAGCCGGTTTAATGCGGCCGGGCGGACCAATGGCTGAACAGCGCCCTAACTTGAGCCAACGCGATTCACTCTTCTTAAACCCTACCAACTATGCGCAAACTATGGTGTCCGACTCTCCTACGCGATCCGGGACCATGGTATCGGGCGACTATGCCTTCAAACCAGAGCATCAAGGCGGATATGCGCCCCAACCACAAAATACATATGATAGTCGAACTGGAACTATGCTGGACTCGCAGGTTTATTTCTCTGACTTTGCCGGCCAGCAGTCATACGATCATGGCCCCAGTGGTGAATATACCGGAGGAGTCCATAGGTATTCATCCAGCGATGCCTTTTCGCCCACTGCTGCGATGGCTCCTCCCATGCTTACTGCGAGCGACCTGCCTCCCCCAGAGGCCCTAGAGTATCAGATGCCCTTGGAGCCGCGGGAAGTACCCTTCGCTATACATGACCCACATGACGAGAATACGGCCATGTCCACATTCGACAACATTGCCGCGGTACTAAGACACAGGGGACGTACTATCGGGAAACTACCAGCCTACTGGGTCCTTGATAGCAAGGGAAAGGAAATTGCATCTATTACTTGGGATAAACTAGCATCTCGAGCGGAGAAAGTGGCACAGGTTATTCGAGATAAGAGCTCCTTATACCGTGGTGACCGCGTTGCTCTGATCTACCGAGATACGGAAATAATCGACTTCGCAATAGCCCTCCTAGGCTGCTTTATTGCTGGTGTCGTAGCCGTTCCTATCAACGACTTACAGGATTATCCCAAGCTTAACCTTATTCTTACATCTACTCAGGCGCATCTAGCGTTGACTACTGACAACAACTTGAAGTCATTTCAACGTGATATCACCACACAGAAGTTGAACTGGCCCAAGGGGGTCGAATGGTGGAAAACGAATGAATTTGGAAGTTACCATCCCAAGAAAAAGGATGATGTACCTCCTTTATCCGTACCAGATCTAGCATACATTGAGTTCTCTAGAGCACCAACAGGGGATGTTCGGGGCGTCGTTCTAAGCCACCGCACAATAATGCATCAAATGGCTTGTTCCAGTGCCATAATACAAGCCGTTCCTAGCCACGGGCCTGGCGATACCTTCAATCGTGCCCTTCGCGATAAGAACGGACGCTTGATTGGAGGGGGTGCCAGTAGTGAGATTTTACTTTCGTATCTTGACCCACGCCAAGGTATTGGAATGATCCTTGGTGTCCTTCTCAACGTTTACAGCGGCCATACGACAGTGTGGGTTGAGAACAAAGCAATAAACTCACCCGGCCTCTACGCCCATCTTATAACCAAGTATAAGGCAACGCTTATGGTTGCTGACTATCCTGGACTGAGAACTGCTGTCTTCAATTATCAACAAGATCCCATGACAACACGAAACTTTAAAAAGGGCATGGAACCAAACTTCCAGCACGTCAAGCTTTGCTTGATCGACACGTTGACGGTTGACAGTGAATTTCATGAAGTGTTAGCTGACCGGTGGTTACGACCTTTACGAAACCCTAGGGCTAGAGAAGTTGTTGCGCCAATGCTGTGTCTGCCCGAACACGGGGGCATGGTTATCAGCGTCCGAGACTGGCTGGGTGGTGAAGAACGCATGGGATGTCCATTAAAACTGGACATTGATGCTGATTCAGGATCGGAGACCGACAAGGAAGAAGAGAAGGATAAAGACAAAGAAAAGGAGAAGGAGAAACCCGCACCATCGAATGGCTTTGGGAGTCTCTTAAGCGGCGGCACGGCGACGACAAAAGAACAGGAAGTCAAGAATGACCTCGGTGAAGTGTTGTTGGACCGCGAGGCTCTAAAAACAAACGAAGTGGTTGTGGTCGCCATTGGAGAAGATGTACGAAAGAAAACGACCACCGAACCGGGCACCGTTCGTGTTGGTGCTTTTGGATACCCCATTCCCGACGCTACCCTTGCCGTTGTTGACCCTGAAACGGGGTTGCTTTCTTCGCCACATTCTGTTGGGGAAATCTGGGTTGACTCGCCATCCTTATCCGGAGGTTTCTGGGCATTGCCTAAGCATACCGAGCAGATCTTCCATGCTCGGCCGTACAAATTTGAGCCAGGAGACCCAACACCTACCCCAGTAGAGCCCGAATTTCTCAGAACCGGTCTTCTTGGAACGGTGATCGAAGGCAAGATATTTGTGTTGGGCCTGTACGAAGATCGAATCAGACAAAAGGTTGAGTGGGTTGAGCATGGCCACGAAGTTGCAGAGCATCGATATTTCTTCGTGCAACATATCGTTGTCAGCATCCTTCGGAACATGAGCAAGCAGATTTTTGATTGTTCAGCATTTGATGTCTTCGTTAACGATGAGCATCTCCCGATAGTGGTGATAGAATCATCGGCAGCCTCAACGGCTCCAGCAACATCAGGTGCTCCGCCTAGGCAGCTAGACACTGCTTTGTTGGACACCCTCTCCGAGAGGTGTATGGAAGTCCTCATACAGGAACATCATTTAAGGGTATACTGCGTTATGATTACGGCGCCAAACTCCCTACCACGAGTGACCAAGAATGGCCGCAGGGAAATAGGAAACATGCTGTGCCGTAAGGAGTTCGACCTCGGCAATCTACCCTGTGTTCATGTCAAGTTCGGCGTCGAACATGCGGTGTTGAATTTGCCTATCGGTGTAGACCCTATAGGTGGTATTTGGTCGCCCATGGCATCAGATGCCCGAGCCGACTTTCTCGGGCCTGCCGATAAGCAGTATTCTGGAATCGATCGCCGTGAGGTTGTCATTGATGACCGTACATCCACTCCATTAAATAACTTTTCCAGCATTACTGATCTCATTCAATGGCGAGTAGCACGTCAGCCGGAAGAACTTTCTTATTGTACCATTGATAGTAGAGGCAAAGAAGGGAAAGGCATTACGTGGAAGAAGTTCGATACTAGAGTTGCCGCGGTAGCCCTGTATCTCCGTAACAAGGCTAAGATACGGCCGCGCGACCATGTCATGCTCATGTATACGCACTCCGAAGACTATGTCTTCGCTGTCCACGCATGTATAAACTTGGGTGCCGTGATTATCCCGACTGCGCCGATGGACGAGCGCCGGTTACACGAAGATGTGCCAGCCTTCCTTCACCTCATTAATGACTATGGCATTAAGGCTGTCCTGGTCAACAATGAGGTAGATCATTTGCTCAAGTCTAAGACTGTCTCCCAACACATCAAGCAATCTGCCCAGGTACTCAAAATCAGTGTCCCAAGTGTGTTCAACACCTCCAAGCCCCCGAAACAGAACAGCGGACTTCGTGACCTCGGGGTTACCATCGATCCCGCCTGGATTCAGCCAGGATATCCTGTCATTATCTGGGCATACTGGACACCAGACCAACGGAGAATCTCAGTACAGCTTGGCCATGAAACGATCCTGGGAATGTGCAAGGTTCAGAAAGAAACCTGCCAGATGACTAGCTCCAGGCCAGTACTCGGCTGCGTCAGAAGCACTACTGGTTTAGGATTCATACACTCGTGTCTAATGGGGATCTATATCGGCACGCCTACTTACCTCCTTTCGCCTGTCGAATTTGCCCAAAATCCCATATCCCTTTTCTTAACCCTGAGTCGTTATAAGATCAAGGACACATACGCAACACCCCAGATGCTTGACCACGCGATGAACACAATGCCTGGCAAAGGTTTTACTATGCACGAGCTGAAGAACCTCATGATCTCAGCCGATTCTAGACCTCGTGTCGACGTATTTCAAAAAGTCAGACTCCATTTCGCGGCCACAGGGCTTGACAGAACGGCCATAAACACGGTGTATTCTCATGTCTTAAACCCGATGGTTGCATCGCGATCATACATGTGTATTGAGCCTATCGAGCTTTGGCTCGACCAACGAGCACTCCGAAGGGGGTTAGTGGTGCCTGTAGATCCCGACTCCGACCCGAAGGCGTTGTTGCTTCAAGACTCTGGCATGGTTCCTGTGTCAACTCAAATAGCTATTGTCAATCCCGAGAGCCGACTCCTCTGTGCCGACGGAGAATATGGCGAGATCTGGGTCGATTCAGAAGCCTGCGTGAAAGCATTCTATGGATCCAGAGATCCCTTTGACGCTGAAAGATTTGATGGGCGTACTGTTGACGGCGATCCCAACATCAGTTATGTCCGAACTGGCGACCTCGGTTTCCTGCACAACGTCAGTCGGCCAATCGGGCCGGGTGGAGCTCAGGTAGACATGCAGGTTCTCTTTGTGTTGGGCAATATTGGCGAGACTTTCGAAATCAACGGTCTGAGCCATTTCCCAATGGATATAGAGGCTACAGTCGAGAGGTCTCATCGAAACATCGTACCTGGTGGCTGGTGAGTTTAATTTTGGCAATCAAAGAGATGAATCTATACTAACATTAACCCAGCGCCGTCTTCCAAGCAGGTGGTCTTGTAGTGATTCTCGTCGAGGTATCACGCAAGGCGTATCTGGCATCTATAGTCCCGGTCATCGTGAATGCTATCTTGAATGAGCATCAGATTGTGGTGGATATAGTGGCTTTCGTTAACCGGGGTGACTTTCCTCGTAGCCGTCTTAGTGAGAAGCAGCGAGGCAAGATTCTAGCTGGATGGGTCACTCGAAAGATGCGTACAGTCGCTCAGTTTGCAATACGCGATCCAGATGCGTGCAGTGTAGAAGGTGGCGATGGCACCGGAGAGAACCATCGCGCCAGCGTAGGTAGCGTCCGAAGCAACAACATACCCGGCGCCAGCTCCCTAAGGAACATGGAACACGCGCCCCAGATACTAGAGCAGGAAGAGCTGAGTCATCAAATGGACAAGATGTCGGCCTTGCCTCAGCCTATGGAACTTTCGACCAACAGCGATCGAGCAAGCAGTTCGGGGCCGATGATGGACATGCCCACAGGTCGGATGCGTACGAGCAGCGGCTACGAATATGACCGCTACGGCGATGGAATGGTGCAGCCGAGACAACAGCAACCCCAGCCCCCACAGATTCGCTTACCAAGCGTTGATGGGCGTGAGTTACAGGACGAGGGTATGTGGGCTCACGAGCAAGGCGCAGGTCGAGGCCAGCCCCCTATGGATGAGGACGAATGGCAGCGAGATGCCCTGATGCATATGAATCTAGCCAGTCAGATGCCAAGGCAGGACTAGTGGTCAGCTGCCTCGGAACGAAGGGCGTTCTACAGAGAAGCAAGGAGTGGCTCCGGGCAATATCATGCTTGAGAGGCAAACTTGATTGGTACTGGTTGACACGATTCAACCTCGGAGTTAACTTGGTTCTAGTTTGGTGTGTTTAATAATACCTAAACCGGTTACTACTAACTTTCCTAGGTACAATACATACATACCTGGGTCTGGATGCTTTGGGTTAGGATACCAATGTGTGTAATTCCCACAGAGCGTCCCAAGGGGTCACGTTTACTAGCATTATTTTTAATGTACTCGGGTATACTTAGAGAGATAGCATGGAATGGAAAGCCTAAATACCTTATTGTCGTTTTCTTTTTACTTTTATGGGTATTTAAAAGAACAACTACGTGATATTTCCAAAGTGTTTACTGAATAGTGTTTATGCCTGCCGGCATATGTATATCTCGGTGCCTGTACAGTAGGTACCTCCCACTACGGGCTAACTACTACTATGCTGTCTTGTACATGTGTGGCTACCTAAGTAATATCATATATCACAATGCCCTGCGTGTCTAGCTAGGTACCTAGGTAGTAAGTCAGTCACCTGTCTGTATATATTTACACGTAGTTGGGGCTGCTGACTGATTTTCAAAAAAACAACAAATTGCAAAAAAGAAAAAAAAAAAAAAAAAAGGGGGGGGGGGGGGGGTGGTTAAGGGGTAGCACTCACTCACTCACTCACTCACCCCTCCCTACAAGCCTACCTATGAGGTATACCTACTTACCCCCCTAGGTATATAGGATATAGGAGTATCTACAGTAGGTACAGCCTCGAATATCAATACCTTAGTACCTAGTAGGCAGGCAGGCAGGCAGGCAAGTATGTAGCTTCAACCATCTGCGAATAGCGTTCCCTCACGTTGCAAATTTATATAACACATACCTACCTACCTACCTACCTATCTACATGCACCAAAACAGCTAATTCATTTTATTTATTTATTTATTTTGCCCATGTGGGTGTATGTATGTATGTATGTATGTATACGCCGATAGGCTGTTGTTATCTGGCTGTTGGTTGACTGTGTGTGTGTGTGTTTGGTTGTTGTAGGTAGGTAAGCTGTTTGTTGGTTACTACCTACCTACCTACCTACCTACCTACATATATACTTAGGCAGGTATGTAACCTACATGTACCTAGTGCTTACCTACTAATGCGGCGTGTACATTTGTAGAGATGCATACATACATGCATACCTCCTGCTCTAGTGCTACATACATGTATCTCTTCCTGCCTAGGTACGTAATCTTAAGTTGCACGAAGGAGCTAGGTCTGTTTCTAGCGGTAGGTGTTTAGCCCTATCTACATATTATGTACGTTTATATCAAACCTCAAAAGGCATACGTGCAGATGACGAAGTTTCCAACTGTTGCCGTTGTCTCCTCCGGGTGCGACGATTTCTAGCGCACATTGTTCAGGGGTAGTTATTAAGCCAGCGCTGGGTTTTATACCTACCCACTTACTTAGTAGGGATGCCATGGTCGAGAAATGTCACCATAAGTAGTAATTCATCAAACACATGTGTATTGTGAAGTAGCTACTGCTAGAATACATCGGCACCTAATTATACGGGTATTAACGACTTTGATTACAACCCCCCCCCCCCCCCCCCAACCTTCGACTTTCAACTTCATTCTTGTTTTCCGATCCAAGATACCTAGGTATAACCCATAATGATACTATAATGGATGGATAAGTACTTCACATTCTTCCTAAGTACCAGATAGCTACTCATACTTCGCATCCACGGTTCCGAATTCTTTGCCTCCTATCTCAAAGGAAAACTTCATATTCGCCGTGGTGGTAGAGATCACAAGATCGAAATCGATTTCGTAGTAGAGTTTTCCATTGGCGCCCCTCTTGACCGGGAAGAGCGACTTGTCTACTTTGGCAAGGTTTGCCGTCAGGGTGCAGTTGACCCCAGTTTCCTTTCCCGGGTGAGTAGGAGGTAAGGTAGATTCGGAAAAGATGAGTTCGTCTTCAAAGACGAAGGAGTCATCGGTGTGCTTGCTGCAGTTGATGGTTCGCTGGAAGGAAAACCTGATGGGCTTGTCGCGCTTGAGGTCTTCGCCGGAGTAGATATACCACGTGTTCTGTTCATTTTTCGGTTAGTTTGACCTAAAGGTTATTTGTAAGAGTTGTGTTGGGGTATGGTAGGTGTCTTACTCTCAGCACTCGTGAAAATCCATCATCAGGGAAGAATCGCGTAGGTTGGCCTAGATCTGTGGTAGGCTCGAGCTTAGCCCACGCCTCCACGCCGTAGTGGCGGACTGCCTTGGTCAAAGTGACGGCCGCCTGTTCTGGGACTCGACTTAGGACGGCTCCTCTGTGGGAAGAAAGTTAGGCAATTAGCAACATGTTTCGCGTTGAAATTTGGTGATAGTCTTGCTTTGTGTGTTACATGTATACGTAGGTAGGAGGTAGGTACTCACTTGACAATAGCAGCCCAAGCATCATCCGGCTGAATGACCTATAAATTCATCAGTAAGGCTCTCCATGCATTGGATATAAGGGTATCGCCAACCTGGACATTGGGGACAGATTGCTCGACGCGCTCTTTAAGGTATTGGCTTGAGCCAAAGCCTCCTACCAAAAATATTCCCTACAGTACATAGGCATGAGTTAGCATCGAACTTCCCTTGGTCCTTTTGATATTTCCCTACCTTCACCCCTTTCCCTCGTCGTGCTAGTTGGGCTTTTTTTACTTGGTCGTTGATTAAACCGAGCACGTCCCAAACGAGAGGATCGAAGATATCCTCCACGTCCATGCCAGTCATGGTCCAGCAATTGCCGACAAGATTCTCTATGGGGTCGTCTTGGAGCTTGGCCTGGGGGAAAGAGACGTAGAACTCTTCGTCGGTGTCGCCTCGGAAGGCAAGCTTGATCACCTTATCGAATTCTTCCTGCGCCTTGAACCAACCTACGCTCTTCTCGAGAGTTGCCCACTGCTTGTCCCCTACGAGGTTGTGGACTGCCTCCGTGAACCGTGTATTAAGTCCGAGTGAACCGGCCATACCACCTAGTAGTTGTTCATCAGTTTATCTATATTATAACAAAATTTGGTTCCAAGAACTTACCAGAGCCTGGGACGACTTCTGCCAACTCAAGAGTTGGTAACAACCTAGTGACCTCATAGGTAATAAGATCAACTGTGCCTCCTCCGGCATCACAAACAAGGAATGCATCGCCAACCTAGATAAAAGGCTTGTGTTAGCAACGTCAGCTGTCTTACTAACTAGGGATATATAGTGTGGATGGAAGCCTACGTTCAACGCTCTTTCGTGTAGGTGTAATGTGTATAGAGCTGCAGCTTCGGGCTCCTTAATCAACGTGACGGGGTGAATGCCGGCTTTCTTGGCAGCCTAACCCGTAGTTTAGTATCTTTATTACATTTGAATCCATAAACCATAACTTCTGAATACTCACCCGAAGAGTTCTATCTTTGGCCTTGTCGGACCAGACGGCTGGTACGCTTAAGACGAACTGCTTCTGGCAAAAGTCGAAGTAATCCTTGATGCCGGCTGACTCGATCTTCGAGAGCGCATGCTTATAGATGGCACCAATAAAGTCGGCAACAACGTCGACAGGATCCTTGGGCAACTTCTTAAGTTCAAGCTTCTTGTTTCCTGTCGGCAGGTATAAAGGCTGGGGCTGGTCAGGATCAAGAAGCAACTTCACTCCCTGGACCTTATCATCCCGCCAGCTAACTTGCCCACCCCATTTGAACTTGGTGGGATCATCAGGGTCGTAACATATCAATGATGGGACCTTGGGCTGTCTGTGACCCTTGAGTCCTAGAATGGGTATCAGTACGTCTTCTTCCGTACACTAGCATGATAGGGCACAGCATATGCAGGCGAGGATGATAGACAAAACAGAAGTAGATCTTACCTGGCCAATCTAAGATCGGGACGATTTCCGGTTTCTTGCCTGGATTGCAGAATGTATAAGCAATCCCCGAGTATGTGGTGCCAAAGTCTAGGGCGATGATGATTCTGTCTTCCGATTCGGAAGCTCTGGCATAATTAGCCATGATATTCGTGGGGCCTGCAATTTTCTGTTGCAAAATGGTAAGGTTAGATAACTTTGTCGAGGTGAGGTGAGGTGATGGGGAATGCACCGATGTGTCTTTTTAAGTAGTCCATCAAATGCACATCCAATACACAGCTGATATATATATGTACGATAGGAATGGCGACTCCAGCTTCTAATGAATTCGGGAGAGCTAAAGAAGCCAAGATCTCAAGCTGGCCGCGTTTGCCTATTTCGTGTTTGAGCATTCAATGTTGACTTGACTTGAACTACGTGTAAGTCTGCTTTTGACCCAGAGCTGACTGTATGTAGGTTAAGATGGTTTGAAGTGTAGTAAAATTGACCTGCTGTACCAACCCGAAATTGACACGGCTGGTTAGTCCATTAGATTCTTCATGTGGGCACATGTATGTTGGTTGCATCGGGCTTCGATGCTTCAGTGTTTACATGTATACTACATACATATGTACTACCTACATATATGTATGTATGTAGTATGTATGTAGTATGTAGATGTAGGTTAGGAGTGGTCGCCCCTTCCAGTCTGTTGCTCAATTCCCAACAGTTACATCAGGTACTAGGTATGTACAATACATATGTACCTAAAGAAACCAGACTGCCAGTGCAAGTGCCAGCCATATGTAGAACTCAATGGTAACCAATAGGGGTGCTAACAGGAATATTACATATCGTATGGAAAGAGCGTTTGAAAGTGTTTTCCATGTCGAGAAACATCCAATCAATTCAGTGCCTGAATCTGGTTCGTCGCCCTCTTTTAACCACAGCACACATAAAGGGTCAAACGACACACATACCTAGTATACCTACATATGTACACATGTAGACACCTACATGTATGTCAAGTAGTATTACCATGTCACGGCTAGATGCCGCAGGAGGCTGATGACCAGGGTACATAGGTAGATATGAAAGAGAGAGGCCTTGGAGACACTCAGTTCTATCAACTTTACTACTAACTACCTGGGTACCCAAATTAGGCATCTACCTTCAGCAGAATCAAATCTGCCGTACCCGCACGAAAAATGTCAGCCGCCCTAAAGAAACTTAGGAAATCTCTCACGAATTACACCAGTCCCTTCAGTAAATCCCCCACCCATCAAGATTACGGACCTCGTTCCTCGTCCGACATGACTCAAACCAGGCAGAGAAGATTACAAAGAGGAAGAGATAACCCAGAAGCGCAGCGCCATGATCAGGCCTCACAACAGATGGAGTATATCGACGACAGCCTCGAACTGATTCTAAACAACCATCTAGACAATCATCTAGACAAGATGCAATCCTCCATCATAAGCACCATTAAAGATGAGATGCAGAAACCTGTGGTAAGTTATTCGACTCTATAATGCTTGCTTCAGCACAATAACAAGTAATTTAGTCGTGGATAATGGGAGCCCTATTCGGCCATTCCAATGAGCGTAAGACATCGGGATCCCAGCAGGCCGACATCCTCGACCGTATTGCACAGAGAGTCGTTCGTGAAATAGATGACAGGGAAACGAAGGATGTAAACAGATACAAGAAGGAAAACGACGCCCTTCACTCGCAGGTGGGCCGGCTTGATTCTGAGCTGGAAAGGGCTCAGGCTCAAATACAAGGCCTCGCAAGCCAACTCGAGAGTGCAAAACAAACGAATCGTGTTAATGCCGAAAAGATTGCCAAATTTCGGGATATGCTAACTAAGCAACCCACGAACATCGTCATGGACAACGATGTCAAACAGAAATTTACCTTCTTGCGCTCTCATATTCTCGCCATGGTCAAGAAGACTTATGAGGTGCACCCAGGTTCTATCAACTTTAAAGCTCTGAGGAACCCATTTCAACAAGAAGTATTCTCCCCGTGCGCAACTGAAGAGTGTGATTCTCAGTCCATTACCAACAGAATCCGTGGCGTCATATTCTATCATCTCTGCGTCAGAATACTCAATGAATTCCTTTATGGACCTGGAAACCTCAACAACCTCCAATTGGCCCTGGCAAATTCAGAGTTTTTGTTGCTTCAAACATTGCCCAAAGGTAAGAAATATCACCCAATATTTGGATAGCCTGTGATTAACATACTTCTTTCTGTTCAGAGAATCTGAAAGAGTACGTGGACTGGCGAACAGCCTCGATCAAGTGCGCTTGTGTTATTGGCGGTAACACAAACCTTGCGCGGGAGACGGCGAGTGAAATATGGAATTTCCTTGAACCAGTAGCTGTGATAAAGGGTGCAGAAAATAAGGGGAAAAAATTACTGCTCGGGCTGTGCGAAGAGGCACTGGAACTGGCAACCTTATTAAGAAGCTCTCGGGATGTTTTCGAAGTCAGGCGGGTTTTCACCGGTCCTCTGGAAGCACATATGGATTACGCGGATGTAGAAGCTGAAGTGGGGTTTGGTGGAAACAGTGAGCCTGCCAAAAAATCTGGTGATATTTCATATTGCGTTTTTGGTGCGTTGCTGAAGCGCACTGAAGAGGACCCCTTAGAGGAAATAGTTATGGAAAAGGCCAGCGCCGTGGTTTACAAGGAATGAGGCATTCAGCTCATTAAACATGTCTCACTGACACTTGTCATGAGCACTCATTCTATGGGGACCGGGAAGCTATCTGCTGTATATCCACTTAGATTGATATTCATAGGACGATGAGAGCAGGTATCTTGGACAATTGGTGACGGAGATAATAGGGCTCACTTGAACTGACAAGAAAGACAATCAAATCATAATCATAAAAACATGCTAGGTTAGATTCATAACTCAATGTCCACAGTATATTAACTGAATATTTTAACTCAAGGCAGCGAGAGTGAGTTTCTCATTTTACACACATGTCCTTTTATGCCGTCCCGGCACCTCTGCGGGAACATTCTGGGCTCAGAGCTTGACGTTCTTCTCCGTGGCAGCCTTGATGGCAGCGCCGAGGTCCGGGCTGACCTTGGTGAACATGTCATAAGTCCGCGCCCGAGTGTCCTGGTGCGCGTCGCACAGGTGAACCGACACGTTCTTGACGAAGTTCTCCTGCTGGCCGGGGGTCCGGCCGAGGACGTTCCACAGGCCGTTTGCCTGCTCGTAGTCGTGGGGCTTGATCTCGTCGAAGAGGTCAGTCACGGCGAGGCCGGTCCACTTCTCGTGCTGGTTGGTGGGCTTGATGGGCTTGTACGTCAGGGAGCGGTAGCTGCTGGGGTAGTTGGGGTTTGCGCCGTAGTTGCCGTTCACGGACATGGCGCCGTCGCGCTGGAAGGGGTTGAAGGCGTGGAGGGGTGCGTTCACGGGGATTTGCTGGTAGTTGACGCCGAGCCTGTGTCTGTGGGTGTCGGGGTAGGAGAAGAGACGGGACTGGAGCACGGGGTCTGCCGAGGGCTCAACGCCCGGGACGAGGTGGGATGGGGAGAATGCGACTTGCTCGATCTCGGCAAAGTAGTTCTCCACGTTCTTGTTGAGCGTCATCTTGCCAAAGCGTCGAAGGGGCACTTCGGCTTGCGGCCAGACCTTCGTCAAGTCAAAGATGTTCCATTTGAACTTCTCGGCTTGCTCTGGAGTCAATGTCTGGATGTAGACGGTCCAGCTAGGGTATTCGCCCTTCTGGATGGACTCAAAGAGGTCTTGGGTGGCGAAGTCAGGGTTATCAGATGCCAACTTGCCAGCCTCCTCGTTGTTGAGGGTCTTGCTTCCTTGGTCGGTCTTGAGATGTATTTGGACATAAACATAGGAGCCGTCAGGCTTCGTGAATTTATGGGTGTGTCCGGAGTAGCCATTCATGAACCGGTAAGAGTATGGAGTTCCTCTGTCAGAGAAGAGGTGCATGACCTGGTGAACAGATTCCTGGTGCGTAGACTGTAGTGCATAGTTAGATATTGTTATTCATGCATAGGCATATATTTAGTAGCCCATCAATAAGTGGAGGATACTAGAGGGTATAGGTAAGCAAAGCTTTGGCAACTTACTAGGTAGTCCCAAAACATGGTGGCGTCCTTCAAGTTGGTCTGAGGGTTACGCTTCTGGGTGTGGATGAAGAGGGGAAAGTTGGTGGGGTCTCGAAGGAAGATGATAGGGGTGTTATTGTAAACCCAATCCCAGTTTCCTTCTTGAGTGTAGAACTTGATAGCAAAACCTGTAGTTGAGCAATTAGCGTTTGTATCTGGGTGTTGCGAGTAGCGAACTTCATACCTCGAGGGTCTCTGGCACTATCAGCCGAGCCCTTCTCGCCACCAACGGTAGAGAAGCGAGTGACACATGGAGTCTTCTTGCCGACACCAGTCAACATGTCAATAGAGGTAATGTCGCTGATATCATCGGTAACCTCGAACTCGCCATAGGCACCGGCTCCCTTGGCGTGGACAACACGCTCGGGGATTCTCTCCCGGTCGAAATGGGCGAGAAGATCAATCAAGTGGAAGTCCTGAAGCAAGAGTGGACCATTGGTGCCAACTCGCTGCCAGCTAGAAGGATGATGGATGGGATAGCCATTGGAGGTAGTGTACACAGGCTTCTCATTGTACCGAAAGGTAGATGCGGGCTTCTCGTTGGCAACCATGATTACGATCAATGAAAAGCCAATTCAATTATATGAGATAGTGGTGGTGAATCAGATCCAGAGTGCCACTTGGGCTTTAAAATTAGAAGAAAGTTGAATACTCCCTAAGTACAGAAGAAATATCTCTCTCTTCAAAGGAACAGTGCTTCCAAGTAGATAGACAAATAGTCGATTATGTTGGAGCAACCGGAGGGAACGGAAAGACGAAAAACAAACAGAGGAAAGGGGGATGAGTAGATATAAATACTTGAGCTACCTACCTACCTTGTGCCACCTGCCGAATAGTACCCTCCTCCCTACCTAGGTAGATAGGTATGTATATACTAGAGCTTAGCAAGTAGCTACATACTGCTTGCCTATATTGCATCTGTTCTCGACAAAGGCAAGAACCCCCTCTTTGCGGTTTGCCCGAACCCCAACTACCTAGTACCTACCCTAGGTAAGGTAGGTAGGTAGGTAGGGAGGTAGGGAGGTAAGTAAGTATACACATACATAACCTACCTAGGTATAGATTAGTAACCTACCTACATACGTATGTACATATATGGACTACATTATGTATGTATTGGTCCATCTGACCACCTACATATGTACATATATATGGGCTGCACGGGTGTCGTGCTTGGTTTGCGGGATACATATGTACCATGGTAGGGGGATACATATGTAGGTAAGGGGATAGGATGGTGAAGAAACAGAACTGCATGTGGTAAGACAAAGGAAATGGAGAAGCGAAAGAGCAACGGAAGGAGGTGCAAGCCCAGGCTCGGGGTGGAGTCCAAGGCAACATTTGAAGTTGGGTCCCTTCCTGGTTTGGTACTATGTATGTACTATGTATGCCGCTACGCAAGTGCAGAAAGTGGGGTAAGCAAGCTTGAAACCAGATCAGCCAATCAGACAATTCCTAATTGTGAGCTTGACTGCCCCGCCATTTGCCGGCATCCCTCCGATGCTAAAAGTATACCTACCTTACATATCCTAGGTAGGTGGTAGGTAGGTGGTAGGTAACCCTAGGTAGGTGCTAAGTATGGGGGAATCCACTTTCATCTCTTGCGGTCCTTCAATGTTCACTACATACACTACACTACACTACACTACACTACACTACACTACATAGTTAGGTTAGTAGTTACACTTATCATCCACGTATACGTAAGATCCTCAACAACATCCTCGTCTTCAAGTTACAGTATCGCCAATGATACCATTCCTTTTACACACAACACAAGCTATCAATTACCAACCTAGTTGAGGAGTAAGTTCGGACTACTTCGGGTTCACATTTAACCTCCAAAAAATCCCACTCTTACTCTTCTGCTTAGACCAAGTTGAGACGAGCTCCTGCATACGTCCTGCACGTTCTATTACGCGACGCGTGTGAAAGGCATTGCCTACAGCGCCACCCATCGGTTGTCTGCGGAGAAGCTTGCGAATTGTGTCTAGACTTGGTTGTTACAGCCTCTAGCTCAAACATACTAACTATGTAGGTCCGACACACATGACCTGTCTTTCCTGAATTATAAATACAAAACAAAGAAAGGACCCTGGGTTAGTGGCAAACATCGCGGCCCCTCAAACTTGCCATCAGAGAAGCATTTACTGCTAGAAAGGGAGCTTGCCTGGTACCTATATGTGAACTTAACCATCCATTCCTCGGTCATTCTAGTGCATTTTGCCGGCAGATCCTTAGTGAGCTGTCCTAAGCATCTTTGATCAGACCATCCATCAAGCCTGCCGATGCGCCAATACACCAATATTTCGGTACCCCTCCATTACCTGCACTAGACTTGATAGGACAGCAGCGAAAGTGTCGTATGGAAACCTTCGGCAATACGGTTGCCTCGTCAGTCCATACATACCTGCATACCTTAGGTGGGTAGGTATATGAAGGATGTAGCTTACTATAGCTAAAAACATCATCGGGGAAACTCGATGTAAGCTTCGGAGAAGTAATTGCTTCACCCACCTAGGTAAACCCGAGCCGAGAAAGATCAATTGGTCCATGACATCATGTACCTAGCCTATTCACCAGATTTCGCCTAACACTTGAACTAATATAGTAAGAGTCGCGCAATGGACTAAGAAGATACCTCCGCCTCGTGCCGGCACTTGTCAACAAAACTATGGCATATTACCACTCGACCTCCAATACCCCTGATTACAAATATTGCTTCTCGGGGACGCCTCAAACAATGTACTTTGAGGATATATACTTCCTGCCTCGCCGCCTCGCCACCTCTCCTACTTTTCAGCCTTTATTAATAATAAGGCCTATACAAATCATTGTCCCCACATAACGGGGGTCTATCGTGGTCGGGCAATGAGCCAAGTGGGGCCGAACAAATACGGCTCCCGAATATCAAATCGGAGCAAACCGACCGCTGCCACCGCCTACAGTTATAGTTATTGGCAAGAAGGCATCGCCTTTAAAAGTCTATGACATAACTAACCCGCCTGCTTCAGGCTGCCCAAGCCTCAGCCTTGAACTCGCATCCATGTTAAGAAATAGCTCAAACGGTCATCAAGATATATATAGGTATTGTCAAGAAGCGGGCGCTCCTATATCGGCACGCCGGTCTCTTCACCATCAAGGTAGGTTGAGCTATATAAATAAGTACCTTACCTTCCAATGCCCCCTAATAGATATGAACTTCCATATACAGTACAGCAATAAAACCAATCTGGGACCAGGTATTGATATCAATGTAACTATTACTCTCCCAAAACTGCTATGCGAATTAGACGGTCGTTATTCTAGGACCTTGCCTAGCACAGCACCACCACACCGCATAATACCAGGTCAGAGAGCAATGTCTTAACCTAGACGTTATAGCTGCTTCGCATCCATCCACATCCACATCCACGTTCATATTCACAATGGTTCTACTGTTAGGTACCTAATGGCGTATTCAACCACCCTGACTATGTACTTTACGTACATACAGTACATGTAGCTCAGCGAAAGAGCATATTCTTCTCTACGCACTTAAAAAGTAGGTAGGCATCTATATATATGATACATCTCCTTCAACAATCAGAACTTGAACCAAAGACAAGTATCAGCTGCCGAGGCATTATCCACACCTACCTACCTACCCAAGTAGATAGCAGTAATCGAGAAATCTGTCACTGAACTGAACCACCCCCTAGGTAAGCAGGTAGGTTAGCTAATCTATGTATAATAGCACCGAGCCTTAAACATCTAACCTAGTGATCTACCTACCTACCTACCTACCCATAACAACTACCGCCCAAAAAGTCCCTGTCTATCTTTATTATCCCATCAACGAACCCCACGACCACTCTACCCCTTATTGATGAATATATAGGTAGATAGATAGATAGATAGATACCCAAGTATATATAATAGCCCGCGGCCTAAAAGCTCGTTGTAAGTAGTATATATGTATGTATATGGATATATATGTAAATATAAAATCTACCGTAAGACCCGAGACGCAGCCAGTTACGGCCAGGCCGAGTAAGCCCGACACCATCGTTAAACGCCTTGATATGATGCACATGTATCTTTGTTGTTGTTGTTGTTGTTGTTGTTGTTGTTGTTGTTATAAAAGCTCTTCATCAAATTTGATATTCATCCTTACTACCTGCTTTCCCCCTCTCCCCTTCCCCTTCCCCTCCCCCCTTTCTTCCCCTTAAATCCCCCCCTTAATCGAGGGAGTTCCCGTAGAACGCCTGACTCTCTGCTCTTAATCACAGTGTCTACAGTACCATTTTGGTGGTGGTCCTGTCAAACTCTGCTCGCCGGAGCTGTTTACCCAAGACGACGCGGATGCGATACCAAGAAACACAAAGTTGGTATTGCCCAGTATAGGTCTTGGCGCCTTTTGATGTTGATGCGGTTTATTATAGTGTTGTACAGAATGCTTTGTGTTAGAGTGAAAGGGCGTTTAGTCCTGCGATACCGTTTGCTGTGTAACGCTTTAGTATAATCCCTCAACTTGGTCGGCCAATGGACAACGAGATAGGTAAGAAAAATAGGGATTGGACAATGACTTACCACCAGCCAATCCATGCCCTCGTGGACACCGCTCCCGTCAACGGCTGAGCACGCGACGATGCTCCAGTTGCGATCCCTCAGCTCGCCCAGTCGCAATGCCTCGGATATCTCGCCCGCGCCCTTGGCTCCCGGCTGGTCTTGCTTGTTGGCGAATACTAGAAGGGCCGCATCTCGCAATTCCTCTTCATTCAGCATCGCCGCTAGCTCCTCGGCAGCCGTCTGTAGACGTTCGATATCTGTGCTGTCGACGACGAAGATGACGGCGGCCGTGTTTGCGTAGTAGCATCGCCAGTATGGCCTAATGGAGGTCTGGCCACCCAAGTCCCACACATTGAAATTTAGATTCTTGTACGTTACTGATTCGACGTTGAACCCGATTGTGGGGATCGTCGTTACTACTTCGCCTATCTATAAGCTTGACGGTTAGCCCCGGATGCTACCGCTATTAAGAGACCATTGAACATCTACTGAGACTATAACGGAAGAAAAGGCGATATATGAATGGCTTGAACTGACCTTTAGTCTGTATAATAGTGTTGTCTTTCCGGCGTTATCCTATACAATGATTTAAGTCAGCTCTTTTATTCGGCGCGACTACGAAGCTCGAACAGGGGGGGTTCTGTATGTGTAAGGCTGTGTGTATAAGACAGTAGATGGTATGCAAGCTCGTACAAGACCTAGGATTAAGATTCGTATTTCCTTCTTCGCCCATAGCAGGCTAGACAGCCACGACACACTCTGACCCATATTGTGCGCGTATGTTCCGTGTTGTAGGTACTAGGTAGTAGGTACTCAGGGGTCTGTCTAGTGGTTGGTCTTGTCGGAGATTGATAGAATGGCGACAGGTGAAGTTATGCTGGGTAAGCAGTTTACAAGTTATAGGCAGTCTAGGTGTATTTGATCAATGGCTGTCCAAATAAGTAATGAAGAGGGTCAAATTGATGGTTAGATGGCTAGATGGTTAGATGGATCGACGAAATCGGGGACTGATTCTTGGGTCGTCGGAGTAAAAGAAACGATGTCGTAAACGCGTTCAAAGGTTGGTTGAAATGGATGATTGACTATCTTGTTTTGTACTTGTACAGTTGTACAGTGGTGTGTACAGTTCCAAGGGTTGTTTAATGTTCCAGATGTTCTTTGCTGCCTTTTTTTGAAATCTTGCCAATCTCAAATTGGCTTTCTAAGCAGGAATAGGGAAAGCAAGGGTCCTCCAAGCTTTAAAAGAGGCCGCCACAAATCAACACCAATCGCCTTGGCGCGACCCCATTTCCGATACTCACTAGCGTAGCAGTGTAACAGTGAACTAATTACCTAAGCCAATTTTGAACCTTGGAAGTTGGAAGTTATGTAAGTTGGAAGTTGTAACTTATGTAGTTATCTGGTCAAAGCTTTTCTTTTCTTATCTCTTATCCTTATCAAGAACCACATATGTACATAAATAAATGACAACGAAGAATCTGATTTATGTATGCACATAATTATGTACTAACCTTTAGGTAACTACTACAACATTTGAACTTCTCAGGCTGTACAGTAAAGATCACGTGCACTAGTGCATTCAAACCATCAGCAACGCACACAATTTGAATTTTGGGGCTGCAAAACCCTGCGCGACCACCCAAAATTGCCAGCCCGCAAATATCCTAATCTGACTTGATTTGAGTCTACCTACTCAAACTCCACCTTCTCTTCCACCAAGACAACCACAAACACTCTCGACATTGACAACAGCACAAGACTGTCAAGATGCCGGTATGTATTATCTATTCTATTGATGAAAATGATGATTTTATTTCTCCGCAGTCTATGTACATTATGTCCTCGTTCTCAAAAGCGAGTTGCGACACATAATGATGCTCTTTTCGTCTAGCCAGTCGGAGGATAGACAGACAGGCAGACAGACAGACATCCTTCTCTCTTTTTATTTTCTTTCTCACATTTAAATTGAAAGCCTACAAATTTGCTAACAAGAAATTCTCAATCGCAGAGCCACAAGTCTTTCCGAACGAAGCAGAAGCTCGCTAAGGCGCAGAAGCAAAACAGACCTATCCCACAATGGATTCGTCTTCGCACTGGTAACACCATCAGGTACGACGAAATTCCGATGATCCCTTTTCTTCCCTTTGGCATCACAACTCCGGATTCTATAATCACGATTACGACCACAAGAATCCACTCCATATCGAGGAAAATGAGCATACTTGGACAAATAACCTAATACTAACCTCTGCTGTAGATACAATGCCAAGCGAAGACATTGGCGCAAGACTCGTCTCGGCATCTAGATGCCTCGCCCACTTCCCTACATCTTCTCTATCGGCTACCTCTGTTCCTGGGGGATTCACCGAATACACCATGTCGCCATCACGTACGAACCAATGCAGTTAGGCAGTTTTCGGGGGACGAAATTAGCAGTGGATGAACAACTCTGGCATGGTTCCGGTTGGGCTTCCCTCCAGGTAGAAAAAAAACCTATGGTATCCGTAGCAGGATAAGGGGGGTGGAAATACATCATGCTTAAGCCGATTCATTAGTTTTCTTCAGGGCTCATAATTCGCGATTTGCATGGTACCGGTTATAGGGAATGAAAACAACACGTTTGCGACGATAAGAAACAGTGACCAATGCCATGCTAATGTGATTGACTCGTAAAATTGTGTTAGTAATCGTCTATCAGAGTGCTCCAGTGCGCATACTACTTGCCAAATATTGCGAGGCAACTAACATAACAGGACAAGCTTCAATGCGTTTCGTAAGAGATACCAGCAAATATCTAGGAACTCCTTCTTGAACCCTCCAACTATAAAGCCTATCATTGCCCATCAGCATTCAAATGTCCCGTCGCAATACATCCAACCCCCCTAGAACACAGTATAGTATATCTGAACAGAACAAAGCACCGCTCAAGTAAACAATTCCGGAGCACCTAGTACCATGCAACGTTCAAAGCAAGCGTACAGCAGAACACAATGGGAGATGGAGGAGCCTTTTTTTTTTTTTGGCAATGCCGTGGCCATGTTCCTCCATCTCCCGGGATAGAGACCTAGTGCCTAGTACGGAGCAGCGTTTGAGGAGGAAGTGGGCCAAACAGAAGTGCGATAGGCTTAGTTCAATGCTTGTAAGTCGGCCAACATGATGTATACCGGGGGGCTTGATGATCCTCGCCAGTCAGTGTATTGCAATTAGTCATGAGTCCACACCGGTACCTAGATAGGTTGACGAGCCGCTGCGTGGATATTGCTGTACGCGCCCTTATGTTGCTGCTCAACTCTCCGCTAGACTTCTCAACCAAGCCAGGAGGGAATACCTGTAAATTACCTAAAATACCTGACGAGACGTCTAAGAGATTACATCCATAGCCATAACAAGTACTGAAAAGACTTCAATGATGTGATCATTTCCGTACAGTAATGGAGCAATAGCGGGCCCCCATTGGAACAGCCCAGCGGACCTAGGTAGAGTAGGAGTAGTATGAGTGGCAACCTTAAGCCGGGCAAGCTTCCCAACGACAGCGCTAAACGAGAAATGGGGAGCAGTGTATTAATACACTGCTCCCCATAGCAGCTGTCAGTGAGCGGCACCGTCATGAAGGAGCCAGACAGGGCGCCCAAGGGGGGGTGTGATACGTGTGACAAGCACACCACCACTCAAGGACACCCCGCGTGGCTCGGATTACCTATTAGCATCTTGAGAAGGTCTTGCAATGTAGTCAAAGCAAGTCCCAACCCCCCTAGGCTTTCCAGTGGTCTTTGCCAGCGAGCCTTCGAGAGCTCATATTATCCTCCTCCTAAGGAGAAAAGTGGTCTCTTCAGCGCTCAAGTCCAAATACCAGTCCTTGGCTTCCCCCTTCAACCCCTTTCTGAACCCCATCCGCCGTCTGGTATCGTGGCCTGTATCTTCTCCGTCTCTAGCCCTTGCAGGCTGTTGAAGAATCGCGATGAGACATCTATATGCGGAGCTATAGTTTCTATCATCCAAGGGATTGCCTTATGCGTGTGAAATACCAGGAAACGCTTTCGCACTTCGTGCACAAGTATTCCTTTAAGGGACCTGATTTCCTCTTCGTCTAATTCAGGTTGCTTGCCAAATCCTGGTGTCCAATTGAATAAGACGTAGTCACTTCTTTGTAAGAGCTGAGGCATATTACCTCTCGTCAAAGGTAAGAATAGCTGAGGATATTTATCCTTGATCGTAATATCCTCGTCGTGCACTTTGGTCTTACCGGATGTCTTCTTCTGGGCAATAAGAGGCTGCCGAGCGACAATTGCATTGTCTTGTTGGGGTTCTACCCCTTGTTCGTCGATAATGCCTTCGTCGAGGGCGTTACGACCCTCACCGTTAATCAAAGAGAAGAGGAAAGAGCTATACTTGACGAGGCAAGAAGACTATGGTGACAAGGCTATAGCCATAGAGGTGAGTCATGGAGGTGATGTGGTCCTTGCAAGTTCTACCAACTACCTTAGAATTCGGCACCGTGAAGACGTACAAAGTGTCGTCGACGCTAACGACCGGGTTCTGCGAGCACTGTGGGGCGCGTGTGTTCCTGTGTAATGAGGAGAAGGAGAAGGAGAAGGAGAACGCGGATAAAGAAACAAAGGTGCTGAATGTTGCGCTGGGCCTGCTGAAGGCTCCGAAGGGGGCGAAAGCGGAGGACTAGGTTGTGTGGAAGGCGGGGAGGTCCGAAGGGGTGTAGAGGGGGAGAAGGTTTGATAGGGAGTTTGTGGATACGATGGCGGAGAGGGTGAGGAGGTGGGGGGTGAATAGGTATGGGGAGGCGCTGGAGTTTGATCTCGTTTAAGTTCAATCAGAGGGTTTTTCAACGCCAACAGAAGGAAGCTTCGTTTGATGTTTGATGTTCTCGGTAAGGTTAATGGAACATTGAAGTACATACATAGTATATACCGAGATACCCTAGGTACCAGTGACATTGCACGTACCTAAGTCATGCTCGCTGAGAAGGTGGATGGACTCTCCAGTCAAACCAGGCTAATACCTCATGGCTGGGGGAGCAGGCATCGGTTGCAAAGTTGCAAATCATCAGGACTAGTCATGGTCTTCAGGTAGGCTTTGGAAGACTCGACATAGATGTTCCAGGTGACGCTTAAGAGTTCTTGTCTGACGCCTGAGTTAAGCATCATTGAGAACAGCTGTGGCAAGAACGCTAAGGCGATTGGAAAGACCTGGTATGGGCATGGAGTACATCTCTAGCATAGACCGCACCATTAATGTCTGCAGGAGAGTTGGTGCTGTTGGTGGAAAAGGGGAACAGAAGTACCGAGGTGTTACGTGAACTTAACAAAGAGTACACCACTGGACATGATGGGATGTTTGTCCTCCAGCCATCGTCGAGGTATTCGAGTAGTTGCCTCCGGGGCTATGAGGCATGAAGAAAAAGCACACCTCTTCTCGGCCAACTGAAAGAATAACACTGAGATATGCGGCAAATGGATCTCTGCAGCCACGATGTTGTCATATAACACGCAATCAAGCAGCACATCAAGATACTGATAAACTTGCTCCTAGTGTAGTCCTTGCACCTGTTGAGTGACAACATCAGCTCCAGAGTCTGTCAGCTATCCCCGGGGAAGTCCCGCCAGGGCCCAGTCATGATGGGATTCTAACCCATCGTGCCTGGAGCCTGGGCTGGTGTCAAAGGGAAGGTAGGTGTTTGTTGGACCTAGACCCTGCGACAGGGTGGCCGTGGCCGTAGCCGAGTTGCTGTTTTGGGCCGTAAGGCGAGTATTCCTTGCCCTGAGCTCGATTAGAGCGCCCCGATTCCCCATTTTGGGCTCTGCTATGGTCGCCCCTTAAGAAATCACCCATGAACAGGGTTGAATTGGGAAGACAAACAACACATTTCCCGTATAAACGGGCGCGTGGTGAGAGTTTAGAGCATGCAAGGTACTTGGTAGCAGCAATCCTGCTGGCTTGGTAGGTAGGTCGCTGAACGGAGATGCGTTGCGAGCGTGCTTGAGCAGAACAATAGGTATATGCCGTATATCAGCTCTTGAAGGACATACCCGAAACCACTTTAGCTCATCATTATCTGGTATGCAATCAATTGGCAAGAGTGATATAGGGAATAGTCTGTCTGCTATCCGTTCCTGGAGCCGTTGCTCTTCGTCTTCCGAGGAAGGTGTGTCGAACAATTGTGTCAATTGTTGCTCGACTGCGTCTGAATCGTCGCCTGAGTCTGGCGATGGTTCGACGGTGTCGTTGTTGTCTGCATTGTCTTCGGCGTCAGCTGTAAAAAGGACCTTTCTGGAAAGTTGTTTCATGTTGGTCCTCATTCCGCCCATCTTGCGGACGGCCTCCCGGTACAAGGTTCCCTTGAAAGTTACCGGCTGTCCTGACTGGCTTGACTGACCTGATTGGCCTCTTCGGTTGGGGGTGTTTCTGCTCTGGAAACGTCGTTTCTGCTTGCAGTCCTTGGCCCAGTGACCTTTCTTTCCGCAGTTGAAATAGGTGTTGGTATCCTTCGTTGGATAACCTTCCTCTGTGGCCGCTCCGACCTTTCGGTCGTCGGCTCTCGGACCAGAGATAGTTGATTTACGGGCACTGTCGGGAATAGTCTCGGTGGCATCCGGTTGTTGGATCTTTGCTACTCCCGGTGCGGCAGGGGTGGCCTCAGTTATATCCAGGTGATAGAACGGGGCTGATCGTCCTTGTAGCTAGACTGTCGCTTCTGGGTTCTCATAGATCTTGGGTTCGATTGACTGATTTCCTTGGAATCCGTGATAATGTTGATACCCTTGAGGCACCTCCCAGTCAACAACCCCAGGGACCAGGCCCATAGGAGAATAAGTTGGTGTTGTGTACCTAAGGTTAGAAGAATAACAATATGCATTTTCGTCAATGGATCAGAGGAGACCATGGACAAGCAAAGTGCCATGGATAGCATTTCACTATGCTTAGTGTTTCTCGCTCGTTATTTAGATAGCGTGTCTCTGAACCCGAAAAACGGAACGAAAGAAACATAATCGGTTTGATGTCTTTCATCAATTTGTTCGTGAAAGTGATTCCCACCGACGCCTGTCGGAGGAATTGGTCGAAGCATACGGTATCATGTCTGTTTCTGGCTGACACGTCCCAGCACGTTTTGCAGGCCTGCATCACAAGCCCACATCACAGTCTGGGGTTTGACGTTTGACTTAACTGGAGAGATTACTACAAGGCTTAGAAGTAGACGCTATAGCATCTAATACCTGTAGTGTGTGCCATCTCGTAAGTCTAAGTGGATAGTAAGGGACAAGCTCTGTAAGGTCTGGTAGAGCCATCAAGCGACCGAAACAAACGATGGGTGTGTGTATGTGTGCGGTAAAATACGAAATCTTGTGCGTGAAAAAGAGAAAACTTTCTGGTTAACGGGGACGTTGTGCTGTCTTTGTGGGTTGAATTTTCTGGCCTTGAACCTTAATATTAAGGCGTCAAGTCTGTAACTGAAGTACAGTTAGCGGAATACCTGCAACAAGTGCTATAAATTCACTGTAGATGTATATACTTACCAGTAGACGGCACCCGTAGGCCAGTATGCCTCCAACGCTTGTATACAGGGTTAGGCCCTAAGCCACCCTGCCCCTTCTCGAGGCAGCTACCTATGTAGAACGGTGAGAAGGTACAGTGCTCCTGTATGGCGTCTTGCCAGGCACCTGTCTCATCTGTTAGGTAGCTACCCGGGTTAAAGTTCTGTCTGATGGGATTAGCACCACAGGGTACTTACATGTACGCACAGCACTGGGCAATGTCTCAGATCGCACCTTCGCATTGAGTTGGGTCCTATACCATTCCGGAAAAACACATTGTCCACGTTGTGGGCTCTAGTGGTGCCCCTCAGTACTGTAGGCACCCAAGGAATGCCCTGTATGGGCGGTACTTCTTCGTTATTGCATGTATCGTAGAGGAAGAAGTTGTTGGTGAGTGAGCACCACATCATCACAAGACGGTCCAGTCTCGGTCTCATTCCCTCCACACCTTCGTAGACGGCTTAGCCACATGAGTGGCCGCTATCACCTTCCGGAATTCGACACTCAAGTAATATATTTTTATAGGTAGTATTATACTGTAAGTATGAACACGAACTAGATAGCGTGCAGCATTGGCAAACCGTCGCGATACTAGGCTGTGAACCTGAGCAGGTCTACAACGCTGCTCATGGTCACGCCCACAGCATTAATCGCACCGCCGGTCACTTTCGTGGTTAAAAGAACGATCGCTATTGACCCGAGGCTTGCTTCAGTTAGTATAAACAGCCAGATAGAATAACCAATCAAGGAAAAATGATCAAGTACTAGCCAAAAAAGACTTACCTGGTTGGCTTGTTTTATGTTGGTCTATTGTGATATAATGATGGAAATTCGCAGTTGTAGTTTGGATTCGTCGTTGTCGTGCGTGAAGGGGAATAAGCTAGTAGTAGCGTGTGGATGAAGGAACAGGAAAGTAGAAAGAGGCCGGCGGGTCGGGAGAGGTGAGTGTAGGAAGAGGAAGATGGGGGCGGTGGGTAAAGGAAGAACGAAACCCGTGGGTGAATAGTGGCTGGCCAGCTGGGCGCTGCCTTTTCTCTGTAGTTTTTGTAGACATGTGAAGGAAGAAGAGACGAGTGTGTTTAGCAAGAACGAAAAATTATTTGCATATAAGTATTCAGAGGGATGGCGGGTCTGAGGATGGGATTAACTATACGTCCGTGGAATAGGTACGTAGGTACGTATAGTACGAAAGAGCTTTCACATAAATTCCAGATGTCACGTTATATATATCCCGAGGCACCCAGAATAAGGCAGAGAAAAGAAGCGTTGCTATTAATCGTAACGATATATAGATTCCTCAGGGGCTAGTACTTATATACACGAACTGCAAAATAGGGGTTATATGTACCATGCTTATGTAATCTACTAAGGTGAGGTACCGTCGTTCAGCGTTTTCTCACACATAACTACAGCTAAGTCAAATTCCCTAAGTCATAATCGCATCATGTTACAAAAGCAATATTACACAAAGTGTTTTTCATTCAGTAATGCATGCTGATACTTTGTTCCCAAAGGAAAATGTGCACGTTCTCTATGAATTTATTCACATAAAGCAAAGGTCCTGTTGACTGTGAATGCATAGCTAGGCCATGGACCATATTCTACCTACCCTAGGTAAGTAAGGGTTTATCCATCCTAGCTAATACTCATTAATCCGTGATCAGCCTCCAGAGAGATCCTCAGATCTCGCTACTAGGCGCCAATATGAATCCGGTGGTATTTCTATTTAGCGACCCCTAATTGCCAGCTTGTTTGCTAAATATGATGCTGCTGAACTGGGATGTCGCGCCAAAAGGGAACCCGAAAAAAGCATGGTTATATGGGCGAGACCTTTATCTGTCCTCAGCCCACTCGTTCTCGCGGCGGATCTGCTCTTCTTCCTCCGGGGTGAAATCATTCGTGATGTTGAATGTCTTGCGGATTTCCTCCGGAGATTTGCCCTTGATCATATTAGCAACGGTCTTGCACCCGACATCCAGAAGCGCTTTGATGTCGAGGTAGTTGCTGGCCTAGAAGATATTCAAGTTAGTCATAAATAGGAGCGAAGAGGAAAATATCTATTTAGGTTGGACCTACAAGAATGATCTCGAAAAGCATTTCCTGGTCGACCTGCATAAACTTCTGGTCCCACTCATCAATGTCGGTAGTCTTCTTGCGATTATCCGACTCGTCCTCGCTAGAGGCAGGGGGGTCGTTGCGATGATGCTCGCACCATTCGATGACCTTGCGAAGGACAGGCTCGGTAACCTAACAAGCAAAGTGTTAGTATGATGGGCACTTATGATGACCGATGATCATCTACTAGGGAAGTGAAGAGAAACTTACATTGGGGATGGGGATATCCTGGCCCTCAACGTTAGGGCCGAGATCCTCCAACATGTTTTTGATGAGAAGCGATCTCTCGGCAACAGCCTTCTCTGTGATAGACGTGAGCAAAAGGTTCCTTATAGACAAGGGGGAAAAGTAAACTTACCGACATCAATTTTGATGTGATCGTTTGACTCAAGTCGGACATAGTTGGCCGCGGGGGCAGCGTCGGTTTCACCCATGATGACGGTTTACGGGTGTAGGATTGTGTGGCGTGCTGTGACTAAGATGAGAATACGGTCGCGAATAGCTAATCGCGAACGGGGTGGTGTTGTAAAAGTTGGTATGGTAGAGTAATGGTTGTAGATGTTTGGAAGGATGTAGATGGGTATTGTGGCTTCGTTACACGTAATTCGATGCGGGTGGGGAGATAGAAAACCTGAAGTCCAAGATGAGATGGATGGATGTTGAAGAAAGATGTTTGGTTGGATCAATGTACGTGAAATGCACAATGGATATTAACTAATAAGTACAAGGTACAAATAAGGTGGAGGGGCAGTCTGGGCAAATTCCTTAAAATACCAGGCATGTACTTTTAGTGGGTTTAGTGGGTTGAGTGGGTTGAGTGGGACATGTAGCTGGGAAGGTAGGAGCGGGCGAGGAATATATATAGCGAAAGAGCAGGGGGGCAATAGCATCAGACAGCCACCAACTGGCAACAATGTCTTTTTTGCTCAGTGAATCAAATGATAGTGTACTTACCTAAAGTTTTTATGATTGATGATGATGAAAGAGTTGGCGAAAGAGTTGGCGAGCTAGTTAGTTCCTTGTATGGATGCGAAAGAACTGTCGATGGAATATGTAGTGGTACCTATGTAAGGCAAAAGAACATTGAAAGATGGAAGTTATGTATGTAACTATCTGTTGCTTGAAGTAATTGTACTTGACTACTTAGTGGATGAAGATAAAAGTAGAAAAGTTTATGTCAAGCCGGAATACTAAGATGTTTATATGGTAAGCTCGGAAAGGTACTGGGCATCTATGCACTGGGTACATAGGTATGTACCTAATATGTAATGCCTACTATGTACCTAGTACTACTAGTAGTCAGACTGTCACGGTGTAGTGGTTACCTACATGTGGCATCTACGTTGATTGTTTGGCAAGAGACTGTCATACAAATCGTACTGGGTACCGTGTTAAATACACGTATAATGGGCGCTGAGCAAGTACATACCTACCCTAATCATGTACTGATAATAGGTGTATATGGCTGCCTCAGACACAGTATAAAATTGGGCAAAGCTAATATACACCTCAGTGCTGCCTTCAAGGTCAGCCGCCGGAATAAAACTGTAGGCACGTGTACAGTTTATGGATATCGCCATGATGCCATCTTGATGTACTACATAGAATGTATCTAAGGAGGTTATGTAGATATACATGGTGTTACAATTATACATAGTACAGCACCTTCCTACATCAATGATCTTATAATAGCAGCAATAAAAGAAGCCATTCAAACATTGGAAGGCTGCACTAAACAAGTACATCTTGATAACTACAGGTATTATCCCCATGCAACCCCATTAAGCCCTATTGAACCCACTGCACTTACCTACTAATAATCCATACTAACCTACCTACCCTAGGTATGTAGTTACTTGGTACTATGAAGTACCCACAATGTTCAAGTTTTAAGAATTGCTCCCATCAGCCGCACTTGTACCTCGGTAGCTACCTATGTAGAATATTCAAGAACAATTGAAGTTATGAGTCAGAGCGATTACACATACTACCTACATGTATCTACATACCTAATGTTGCAGGGCAGGTACTGTATTGCCTACAAACATGAATCCAAGGCAGTAAATGCTTTAGTTCTTACCTGTTGAAATAACGTGAATCAGGCCGTTTAAAGGGAGAAAACAAAAAGAAAAGAAGACGCTCCACAAATCCGCGAGTATCCGGGAAACATACATCGCTACCCATTCCTTACATAGTATCATGGAAATCATTGGCTCTAGGTGTTCGTAAACTTATAAGGTGCGTGTGGGCATGGGGAGACTACCATCATATTTGACATGTCGTTACTTTATACAATATGCTTGGAGATACACACGTATGTATGTATGTCAACATCTCAGGAGTCAGCACACATACCTACATAATCAAGTAGTACTTGGTAGCATTTATATTCAATGTTTGTATTTATTTATTTATTTATTTATCTATTTCTCTTCCCTCCGCCCCTTTTGCCAACGCCGTGGCTGCCACATGGACTTTTGTTAGATACACGCCTTGTATGGTATCTTTGTGTGCTAGCCTACATACATACATACCACTATATGCACCCTACCTATCTATCCACCTTATGTATTTGTCCATCCGAGTGAAACTCCCCTCATGGCAAATATAAAACCTGGTTTCCGCCAGCTATTACAGATTAGAAAATATGTAGCGTAGGTAGAGAAAGAATCAAACCCAGAAGGTTCTGGTGGGGTTTCTCGAATGTGCCGTAATAGACGTGAAGTTGTTGTTGCTGTTGCTGTTGCGAGTTGATGCTGATGTAAAAAAAAAAAAAAAAAAAAGAAGAATAAAGGCGTTAGGTGGGATTAAATGAAAGAAAAAGATGAACGGAATCAGAGAAATAAAGGGGTATCAAGTTCCTTCCTTCCTTCCCTCCTCCAGCCCTAAGCCTGACCTAACATAAAGAGGGAACCCGTATATCCGTGACCACATCTATGTATGCACACATATGCTCATAGCATTTAATACCTCCTCTTCTTTTTCTCTATCCTCCAAGTATACCCTCCCCCTACTAATCTCTTACGGTGCCTTGCATCCTGCGAATGGCTTCGCGGTGGGCATCCATGAGATCTCCACGGCGCATCATCTCCTCGAACGCGCGCTCGTTGCGTTCTTTCTCCCGACGCTCAAGCTCCTTTCTCTGAGCCTCTTGCTCCCTCTGAGAGAGAAGCAGATTCCTTTGCTGGTCAATGCTGTTCTGGATCTCGTTGTTTCCAGTCCGCATACCCGTGGCTCCAAGCAAGGGGGTCGAGGAAGACCGAAGAGGGGTTTCCCGTCCATTGATGCCGACGGGCAAAATTGGCGTACCAGCTCTTAGCTCTGCTGCGACTGATTGTCGGAAATTGGCAAGCTTAGAATCGCGGATTGCCTGTGGAGAGACCGTCGATCGTCGCTGAGGCTGATGCGAATCAAATTTTAAGTTGTCAGCCATAATCGGCGCACTGGGGCTGAGTGTAAAGGATGCTCTCGCAACATTACTCGGCCTATGGTTTACCCCGATGGAATTGTCAGAAAGCATGCTATTTTGGCGCATGAGTTCTTTCCGCTGACTGAGAGGAAGATCGTCGGCATCCTGACTAGCGAGGGGCACAGGTGGTGAGTAGTTATAAAGGTCCATCTGAGTAGCTGGCCTGGGGGCGTATTGAGTAGCCTCAGGTATTGGCGGCGATAGTATCAAGGTGGATTGAGATTTAGTGCGTATGTACGTCTCTCGCTGGCCCATTAATGTCTGTGGGCTCGAGTATGAGACGACGCCTGGAATTGATGAACGGCTTAGATTCTGTGTATCAGGCCTTCCAGGCAGAGGTGGGCTAGGATTCGGAGAAAACTCCCGGAGATCTTCTTGCGAAGTTTTGGTGCTAAGGTGTTCATCATTCTTCTCTTCTAGAATTGGTTGAATGATAGCATCGCCTGGCTGTCGGCGGTTCTTCATTCGTGCGTTGTGATTTGTCTGAGAATGTAGCTGTGTACCTTTCGTAAGTCCTGGCCTGTCGGTGGTTTCTTGCATCTCATCCGCTAGAGGCACAGAAGGTGCTGCTGATTGTAATATGTTCGACCCTCCTGGTATGGATGCCCCTGATGGCGAACGTTGGAACGTCACGGCTGACTGAGTATGTGAGAGTGAGGAAGGGGATCTCACTATAGGGGCCGCTGGAACTCCACTTTCCGATGTCTGCTGAAGTTCGTCGACTTTAACAGGGACTGGTGCTTCTGCTTGCGGGCTTGCAATCTCCTCTTGCTTGGGGTATTCATTCAACTGTAAGTGATCGGGCTCGGGCTTCTCTGCTAGACTCAAATGTTTTGCCCACTCGTTTGTACGATATGATAGTGCCACACGAGATAGACTGGAAGGAAGTCGTTCCTTAGTAAGGCTTGCGGAGGACGTAGACTTGGCAGCCTTTGATGTGTCGGAGGGAGCCTTCGCTTCCGTCGCGGTAGGAGAGTTGTGTAGCTCACTTATCCCATATAGAGATGGCTTTAAGATATCAGCCGCCGCTGTCTCGACTGTGGAGTAGGGCCGAGTATTCAATTGTGTCCCAGGGTCAGCTGGCTCTGGTTGTGCAGCCGACATATTATCTGCAGCGATTTGCTTGTCTGTCGGTAATCTATCCGCCAATTCTGCTTTGATCTCCATTGCCTGATTCGATTCACCGACCTCTCCTGACTCTGTTTTCTCATCGCCATTGGTGCTTAATCCATCAGCAGTAGCAGCGATCGAGCCAGAATCTTCAGGAACACTTCGTTTCCTAGGTACCAAATCTTCTACACTTTCTCCATTCTTCAGCGACAGTTGTGTTGATTCAAATTCACCAGTCTGTCGCTTAGACTTTTGAGATCGTTGAGAAAAGCTTCGTAATATATGGGCCGAGCCCATTGAGAGCCTGTGCGACAGAGATGCCCTTGAGGCTCTCTTGCTCAGGGTTATAGATCTTTCATCCTCGTCTGCAAATGTTGCAACTGTCGAACGATCCTCGTCATCTTTATCTTCCTCCTCTTCTCCATGCGGTTCGGGGACCTTGAAGGGCAAGGGGGTAATATCGGGACCAGCCAAGTTCGAAAACCTTCGGGAGTTAGAGGGTGATATCATGGATGATGGCCGTCCTTTCTCGTCAATTCCTGCTATCCAAGCTTTTTCGTCCGGCTCGGGCATAGGTGAGCCGTCATCATCACTATTAGGACAGTCATCCCTTGAAACTCTGACTGTTACTTGATTACTTTCATTTTGCTCGGCAACCACAAGGCCATTTTCCACCCGTTTCGCCACTTGAGAAGAAGTGCCATCCTCAGATGGTTGGAGATCCGTCATCTCGATGGTGTTTTCGTTATCGGTTGCACTTGGGGATATAGGCTGCACTGTAGATTGGCTGAGCCGACCCTTCTTTTCATTCTCTATCTCCCCAACACCCGAGTCACGGGATGACTCTGACGGTGGGAGGTCTCCGTAAGTCGTTTCCCACTGTCTTCTTTCGCGCTCGTTATTTTCCTCGATTTGTCGTCCGATGACGGCCTCCTCTTCGTCGCGCATCCTTTGAAACTCCGCTTGCTCTTCATCTCGTTTCGTGCGATGTTCCTGAACTACACGCCATAGCTTGAGCTGAGATATCAGACCAAGAACAGTCAGCACAACGATTATTGCGATTTCCACTCTTATGCCCTTAGTCAGTGGATATGTATCTGCTTCAAAAGGGAAAAGGTTGTCGTTTAAGTTCCAGATGTAAGCCCAGAATTCCTTCAAACCAGCTCTGCTGAAACAGTCGATTCCCAAGACCGAAACAGTTGCGCCAGCGAAAGACATCAATCCGATTAAAGCGTACGGCCTCGTATGACGGCTGAAGTAGAACGCAAAACCTACAAGCGTGAAGGCAGTGATGAATATCACTTTACCGACGGTGGTGGGAAGAAGGCCGCCTTCGCGTAATGTTAATAACCACATGGCAAAACAGAAGCCACCTAGAAGACATCCAAGACCCTCGGTGAGTTCCTTGAAAACAGTAGCAGCTCCACCAACGATAATACCGGTGCAAACCGCTGCCACGACGTACGCTCCCTGAATTCCATCCGATATAGGGGGGCTCATGACATATACGATCAAAACTGTAACAGACAGACTAGCGAGATACGCTGAGGAGAAGAATGTATGTAGCCATGGGTTTTTAATACCGATCAGAGCGTATACAACACCAGTGATGAGCATGATCGCACCAGAAACACCCCATCCGGGGGTAAGTCGAGGCTGCAACGGCAATTCGCCATCTTCGATGGGGGCTACAAGTTCTTAAGTTAGACCTAAATATCCATGAATAACTCGAGAAAAAAAACACATGAAATACTTACGCTGTTCAGAAAAACTCTCGTTACTAGGATTATTTCCATTGATAGCAGATGGTATCGCAGTTGATTCTGAGGTACTACTGGCCGTGCTAGTCGTAACTTCGACAGAGGTAGCCTCTTCCGAGTCAGTGGTAGTATCCGAGCTAATCGGTGAAGTCGTCGTTGTTCCTCTATCTCCATCTCGTGTCGTTGTTGGGGCCTCTGTTGTCACAGGAGAGGCATCTTGTCTCGGATATTGTCTATATGGACCCGCAACTACCAAGTCGAAGCAAATGACCAGGTAGAGCAAAGTGCAAACGCTGGACCACCTCGGGAGCATTGTATTAGTTGTAAGAGGCACCCAAGGGCCAAAATTTATGCTATTCGTGGAGCGCTCTAAGAAGCACTTGTCTTATCTTGCTTCACTGCCTATCCAGAGTCATGACTGACTTAAAAGGGCAGGGATAGGTGAGACGATCTCGCCAACGAGACGAAGGGCGAGCGTGGGGGGTCAAGGTGAGGGTCGTAGACAGCATTAACAATTATAATTATTAGAAAACCCCAAAAGCTCCCAGACTCGCAAGCAACATCCAGAGAAAAAAAAGAGTGTGAACAACGTTGAATGATGAGTGAACTGGACCAACTGGCTGGGTGGCTTCTGGAATGAAAAAATTGAGCTTTAGAATCGACTGATAAACCAGGGGGTCCAAACCGCATGCGTCCCAAAGAGAGAGGGGCACTACCTGAATATGAAACTTATCGAGGAGCCGTGATCAGACTAAAGACGTCAATAATAGCCTCTGAGCCTCCTTCTCGTTCATGCAACGGTATCTAGCACGAACGGGTGGGAAAGGTGACTATTGGAATCTAGCGACCCGACAGTAAGGAACAGGAAGAGATACATGTAAAAGAAGAAAAACCGAGACACCTTTTTTTTTCTTTCCTTTCGTACTGCCGCTAATACTACCTACATAGTATGGATGGTGAAGAGATCTGCCTACCATCAGACTACAGACTACATACCTCTTAGGTATGTACTTAGTATACCTAGTGCCTATGTTGGTCGCAGCTCAACCAGCCAGCCAGCCTACGTGACTGAGGTCATGTCTATGAAATTGCTTTTCGTGCCCCAGTAGATCAACCATCCCCTGGTTAGTACTGGCAGCACAGGTTTTCGGAAGCTCCCTTGGGAAAAGGCCAGGCTGCTGGGGCGCATGCTGTGTGATTGATGTGCGTATGACGATGACATTACCGTCCAATGGTGCTTACGGAACCGGCTCGCGGGAGATTAGCAGCAGACGAGTGGACATGAAGCCGAACAAGTTGAGACGCAAGTATGTTTAGGTACGCTCAGATACGTTCTAGATTGTATGGATAGCATGTATCGGTACAATTCTCGCAGCTTTTTTGCTTAGTGTACATACTCGGGACTCCGGAAGCGAAGAAGAGGATTGAAGGAGAATGAGCTCCCTAGAGTCCCTACTATGTAGGTACTGATGTAGGTACTGCATACAAGGTACTAGGTACTAAGTATGCTAGCAGCTACATTATGTTAGCTACATTATGTACATGTAGGTGTAGAGAAAGTAGAGAGATATCGCGATTCGCAGCTACCTCGAAGCTCTCAAACTCAAAGCCGGACCCAGTCTGTCAGTTCCAATTCCAACCACTGGCAACCAGGAACGCGGCGGGAGCTAATACTCAATCGGGCAAGCATCAGTTTAATTGATTCATTGATTGGTCAATCAGATATGTGATTGGTGTTCAACTTCCAGCTCTGGCAAACCCTGGCCACCGGAAAACCTTAGTGAACCCAAAGACCCAAATGTCTCCCCTTTTCGATCCATTTTTTGAATTTTTTATTACTTTCCCCTTGCACTAGGCGGTATCTACCTAGGCATCTACCTAGGGTAGGGTAGGTAAGCTGCTACATAGACAGCCTAGACTACGACCTACTATCATTGTAAACAGCTGCTAGGTAAGCCTAGGTTAGGACATTCTTACCCGATGTCCCTTACTATTTGTTGATAACTTCAAACTTCAAACTTATAGCTCATCTTTTGGTGCGATGCTAAAACCAACCTACCTAACTTCAAGTTAGATATCTTGCTTCATGATGTACGAATTACGTAGCTTGATAAATACGTCGTATGTATGTACACTACTAGCCTCTAGGTGCATTATGTAGGCAACACCCGTATTTAACCCCAGATATCTCGCAAGGCGGCGAGGCACAACACGTGCAGACTCAATTCAATATATGCCCAGTTTGGGTCAGATTGGCGCATCTCTTAAGCCACCAGGTGGTCTGGGCCAGCAGCCAGATATCAAAGCGGTTTGTCCTACCATTCAGCCCATTGTAGGGCAAACGGGGAACTGGGGAAAATTAACTCATTCTTGGGAACTTCCATGTTCTCCCTCTTTGCCTCTCGAAGCTCCAAGATCCACCAAGTCCACTCTCGGCCACCTTGCTCACGATCGCTCATCTGGCATTGGCTGCTGATCCCGCACGTCCAGCCAACACCGCGTACGACACTGCAGCAAGGATGATACATAATACATACGTACATACACACATACATTGCAGGTACCTACCTGACTTACCTACAATGTACCCAGTAATTGCATCCAATATATCCAACAGGAACCAGCACATCAACAGGACAGGTCACACATTCGAACACGACTGCACGCGCGGTTCGGGCTCCCGTCGAATAATACCTAGCCCAGCTTGACGATCTGTAATCTCACCGACTTTGATAGATCGAGTGACTAATTCTATTGAAGGATAGGCGGCACTCTCTTGATTATTGGATAGGCAGGCAAACCGGTCAGATAGGTAGTGGTAGTGGTTGGTAAGTTCATCTCGTTGCCAGGTTCAAGCTTGAACGTACCACAAAGAAGACGATAACATTATCATTCGAGGCACGCAGGCAAATTGATAGAAAAAATGATCGAAAAGAAAGACTGGACTAAAAAGAGTTAAAATTACATCCAGGGATCTCCCACACCTTTTTCAACGACAGCTTCTACTAGTGAGCTCGACAACGCAGTAGCGAGACGCCTCGTCCGCCTTGGCGATTTATCCCGCGTCGTAAAGGAGGGTAGCAGCGGCGGGATCTTGCTCATTCTACCAATGTAAGTCATCTCATCCGTCTCCTCTCGCTAGGTAATGGGACGTATGTTCCCCCATCACGAGATTATTCACCTACCTGCATACCTAAACCAGCCCATGGTCGCTTTTTCGACATGATAAAAGTTTGCTACGCGAGGGTAGTACTGCCTGACGTGTAACGCCGGACACGCACAGCGATTCCCCAACGTTCGGTTCGTAGGTGATACAGGTGATACTTGAGGTCCCTACTTAACCCAGGCGGAATAGAACAAAATTTACACGCAGGTCACACGTGCGAGAAGGAGGACGATAACGCACTTCGCGTTGACTTGATTATCCGTTCTCGTTCAACAATCCCTGCAAAGTCTTAGAAATAGAAGGAAAAAAAAAGTGTGTGGGAACAGCTACAGCCGCGCTATGGCGTGTCTCTCCTCGGCCTGCGCTCTTCAGGGGTTAGCAGTACCACCTACTACATACTACATATACCGTCGTAGGCGACATCGAGATATATTACCATTAGTAAGGTGCCTTAGGTAGGTAGAGTACCTACATACAGTACCTTGCATACAATAATCATTAATGAGAAGGCAACCCTCCAAAGTCCAAAGCATGAGAGACAAAAAAGAAAAAGAGGAAGAAGAGAATGTAACCTAGAATTAAAAGTGCCCGGATGTCGGCCAGGAACCAGGAGACCCAATATCACCCAGCTACTGCAGGGCCTGCATGATAATACAGGAATGGACATGCACCGGTTCCGGTCCGTGGGTTCTATATTGCTTGGCCTAGTGTAAGCAGTAACTAGGTCAGAAAGAAAAAGCCACACTTTTTTTTTTGTCTCTCCGTCTCTTTTTTTTTCCCCAACCCACCATCCATCATTATCGAAGATGATGGATGGGCTTGGGAAAATTGCGATAGGCAAAAGATCCTCTCCCTATCATACATACATATCATCATTCCAGCCCTTTTTTTTCTTCTTACTAACCTACATGTAGGTAATTAATTGATTAAAACACTTGCAAACAGGAACAACTAATAAATGCAGCTAAGTCTGCCCCGCATTCATGACGTTTATTGGGGCTAGTGGTTAGGTTAGTTACCTGTCCTAGGTATTGTACAATACAATACATAATAAGTAGTAACTACAGTACTAACATGCATCCATCCCATCTGAAGATGTGCAGGACTTTGCTTGCCTCGAACTTCGAACTACGTAAGTATGTACATACGTGCGCATGAACGAAGCTACGAGACCACTATGTGATTACCAATGCAATGTAGTGTTCATCGCGGTGCTCCTGAAAAGATCTCCTACCGGTTGTGGGAGAGGATGATCTACTACTGACCTAACCTAGGCAGTGTAGGAAGGTAGGTAGGTAGGTAGGTAGATAGGTAAACGGGGAGGAAGGATATACAAATTTACGAGTTGCTACATACTCTACTGAAATTTATTACCATCATTAGTACACACGTACCTACATAGGCAGATTGGCAATAGACGATGATTCGACGCGGGGAGCTCTAACCTTAAGCTTCTTTTCCTTCCAAGGAATTAAAAAATAAAAATAAAAATAAAAAAGTGTTGAACGATGATTGTGTATCTGTGATCCCTATCCCTATCGCTATGAAAACCCTCAACCAAGGTAAGCAAGCAAGCGGCGACGTACATACATACGTGACCAGAACTCCATTTTTTGATAACCCGCCACCTTCTTATAACTACCTATACCTACAATATCATCGACGACGCCCATTGTTGTATCAATTAATCAATCATTCATCCTTCCCGTGATCATAACTCGTAGTGGTACCGTACCCTCACCTCACCCACCCCCAGCCAGACCCCCTAATAATGCCATGTTAATGACGACAACGCAACGCAACACAACACAGCACAGCACAGCGATTTCACCTCTTAGGCATCCGCGTAGACAAACGATCGCCCCCATTCCTACCCTGGGCAGAAGACATTCTCCCATTGCGGGCACTCTTCAGCGTCTTCTCCGGCAACGACGACCTATTCTTGCGGCTGAGCAACGTCGACGCCGTGCGGAACGGGAAGGTGAAGACGGATACCACGGCTTGGAATGGGAACATGACGGCGGCGACGGTTTTCTCAATGAGCCAGTTGCCGACGCCCCATTGCGCGCTGCTGTTCTTGGCGGCCACGGCGGCAAGCGCGATGGCGTCGCTGAGCCGTGAGTCCATGTAATCGATTCGCGTGTCGGTTTGGCAGGCGAGTAGGGTGAGCTTCTTCTCGTAGCGGCGCATGGCGCGGTTTAGCGCGTCTAGCTCCGGCTGCATGCTGTTGCGAATCTCCTGGGCCACAGCTGTCTCGATCAGCTTGGATTGTGGCACGTCCGGTTGCTTGCTGGAATTTAACATGGCGTCATCAAGAACGCCACGCGCCTCCAGATGGTCTAAGCGATTTGTGAGTGCTTGGAACTGTTCCATGGTAGCCCCCAACCTTTCGTGGGGATTCTTGGCGACTATTTGCTGGATCCGCAATGTGCGGTTCTGTAGCATCTTGATCAAGTGCGAGACGGGACGGACTTCGGCGGCACAGAGGAAAATAGTGAGATTGTAGTCTGACACGAGGCCCTCGGAGGGCCTCGTCAGCTGCCCGCGAATGGTATGCAGAAGGTAGGCGCCAAGCATAGGAAAGGCAAAGCACCAAGCCAAAGCGGCCATCTCGTGAAAGTACAGTTCGTTGTACGCTGCCTTTTGCCGCTTATTCCATGGTCGATCGCGTTGATCGGACGGCCTCTCCACTACTCCGTCAGACTCCCCTTGCTTCTCTGTCTCTTCGGGAACATTTTCGAGAGTTGTCGGACTCGTAGGTGCGGCGAAGGGCTCGGAGTCGCTATCAGATTCGAAGACAGGCTCGGTCATGATCTCATCTCTCGCGATCCGCACTTCCTGTGCAGACTGGTACCAGTCCCATGGCTGGGTGACAGACCAGTGGAGAAAGACGGCAGCTAAGCTGAGCAGAATCAAGTCGGTGAAGAAAGCACTTCCGTTCTCGAAGAATATGCCCGCTACGGCGGGGAGCAGAGCTAGTGTAAGTGGGATGTATGCGAATGGGGACTTGCCCGCCGTTTGGGAGCCATATCTGCTTGGGTTGAGGATATCATCTGCACTAGCCTCCAGGTCCTTCCTCGCATCGCCCAGGCTGAAGTCAGAGTAGGTCGAGCTACGTCTCCGAAAATCGGGAAACCCGTTCTCGGCAGGTGGTGAGCCGGTAGTGACGGTGGGGCGTCGACGAACCGGGGTTGGCTGACCGACTGTCACAGCTCGACGCAGGCCGAATCCCGGGGGTGCATTTGCATTTCCTGCAAGGGGGGATGCCCGACCGGTGGTGTTGGCTATGGAGGTTGAGGTAGTCGCGTGGCTTTCATCAACCATGATGACGTTCCAAAATGTGTGAGGCTACATGGGATCGTAAGCCCCGACTGACGTTTATGTTGAACAAAGCCACCCCGTCTAAATCGTTCGTGTAAGCCAAGTTTGCTTGGAAATAAAGTGGTCTCCTCAGCCCTATGGGCTATGAGACAGACAGATATGGAGGAGATGGAGAAAGAGAGGTAGTATTGTAGGTAATAATGGAAGATGGAAACGTTAGCATACCTACGCAGTACGTCGTATGGCAGTATGGGATGGCAGTATGGGGCACAGGATGGGTATCTAGGTTCTAGGTATGCGATGGCAGGGATATAATGGGGGGAAATGGGTGACAGCGCTGGGGGTGATGGATGATGGGTTACGGGTAGGTACAGTACTACTAGAAGTACTTAGGTAATTAGTGGAGATTCAAGGGATTCAACCTGGATGAGGTCACACAAACTTCGACCCCCCCAGCTTTTTTGTTGTAAAGTGTCGTGCACGGACCTCTAGTTAACTTATGTATTAATTGTATTTATTCATTTTGAATTTCTGATCTCTCCATCACCCCCAAAACTTCCCCAATCCTCCTACGTCACCAACTACTATGTAGATTCTCAATCCAATGGGATGATTTACGCACTTGGATGTACGATTCAAGACATTCAACATTATTGAGAAAAGAATGTGGCATTCCCGCATTCCATCCGCAATCCTTTGAACATGGGCTTGTCATGGTAATAAATGGTTTAATGCGATGATGTTGGAACACCGTCAAGGCGCGGTTCTCATTTACTCCGATTGCCATCTAACGACTCGGAAAGGCCTAATGCTTTGGAATATGGCAAGTATACTGCATCTCATGACGAAACGAAAGAAGAAAAAACCGTTGAACATCCCAACTATCTCACAACGGATGATCAAAGTCCTAGCCCACCGAAACATACTTAATACCTTTTACCTACTCATCTCAAACAAAGCCCGTGCTTCAAGTTCCACATCCTTAGGTGCATTCTTCTTGAATTCGTCTTAGTTAGATCTGTCTAGTGCTACTTGGTGGCTGGTCAAAGCCTAAGATCTCATCATCATCCAAAGAATGGAATTGAGAGGAAAGCCGCTATGAGCCTATGTCGAGAGATAAACCTGGGGAGTCAAAGCGGTTTGCATTAATAGAGATCCGACGCATGTGTGTATATACACGTATACTAGGTATTATCTACTATTCATAATCTATTAGTGTGCATCGCGCGCAGCAGATGCTTATTACTACCATGTGCATTATTATCCTCGTGCTAATGCTACATAGTAGGTGTTTTATTTTTGGATGACAGCAAGGGTTATCCACCATACGGGAATGGTGCTTAACTAGGGACCATGGAGATTGACTATATCACGCCCTTGAATTTCCTCTTGCTCGTAGAGTAGTAGAAATAGGTGAGGTATGACCACTGACGTTAATTATAATAAGCAGAATGTAACGGCGACCCCGATGCATCGTATAGCACACAGTAAACCCGAGCAATCTCGTAGCCTTGATGAATGCTACTGTATAGCTCGTCACTACTAATAAGTAGGTAGGTAGCTATCTTCTATATAGTTAAGCATATGCATATGTACCTGCATGTAGGAATTCTTAGTCTTGGGGGCTGGTAATAAATATATAAGAGGCGGTGGACGGCTGAGTGTACTAGGCGAGGCTGTATGCAAATAAGACCAAAAAAAATCTATGCTATTCATCCCATACAGTCGGGCCTCAAGCCAAGACTAGGTCTAACAGGTTGTACCACTTCGTTAGGGCGTGGGTGGAACAGATGGGCTGACGAGGATGCCCCTGAACAACGTGAAGGGTATCCAAGCATTGGCAGGCACCATACCTGAAGCTGGGGCTTTGATAGGCGACGTTGGGCTCGACGAAAGAGAACCAAAAATATTCCGCAAAATAAGGCAATTTAAAGCCCTGATCTATTTATTAGTAGCTGACTGGTTGGCATGTTCGGGGACTACGCGAGAACAACGCAGGAGAGCGGAGTACGAAAGAAGCACGACCTCTCTCTTTAATGTCTTAGTATATGATTTGTAGTGTTTGCTCTAGACTCTCCCTTCGTCATAAAAAATAAATACTGCCGAGGCTGAAAACTTCAAACAAGACATTATCCAATACATACATACCTATCTTATTATATCGTACCAAGTACCAACCTCTTGTCCATCAATCCTTTTCCTCTCCTCTTTTGCCCTTCTTCGAACGGTAATCTATATCATACATCAAAAGTGCAGGTTCAAGGCAGAATTCTGGATGAAACTCGCCAAAGCAAAACAATTAGTGCGGCGCTCATAGTAACTCGGTGTTTCGCCTGAAAAAAAAAACATCAGTCAGAAAGAGGATGGTACCACGTCGAAGATATTAAAAGAAAGAAGCATGCCACTAAGACGATAGCCCCCAAGGAAAACAGGAAAGACAGAAAGCAGTTACCCGTCTCTCTACCTACCTGCCTGCCAGCCTACCTATATTAATAGGTATCTGTTCATCACTATATAACGGTGGACCTGGACCCGGACGAAGAGACGCGAAAATTTGAAGAATGAAACTTTATGTTTGAGTTATTGACGACAACTCCAATGATTTACAACCAGATTTGACGATAATTGCTACTTGGAACTTGAAAAGAGCAAGTGAGTTTACTCAGTCAACTAACCAATCAGTATTATTTTTCAACATTGAAGGTTATTTGATTGGAGCTGCGGTTACGGTCACGTTACGCTGCAGTTATTACCTGCCTATTACAATTACAGGTGGTAACCTTGGAACCTTGATTAACCTTGAATCCAATGCAATCACAACGGACTCCAACCAGACCGTAACATTGCCCAGGTGAAGAATAAGGGTTTGCCAAAAGAGCCGTCAGCCAGCTGGTGGACCTTCTTTTAGGCCTAGACCAGCTGTGGGCTCAGCATGAACAAACCACTGATCCCACTAAATCCACTGTGGTATTCATCCTCACTAGCGCCAAAAGTGCCAAATTATTCACAGTGGCAGCAGTGGCAGCAGTGGTTACAGTGGTTCCAGCCACTCAGAAGACTTATTTGCTCGTCTGAATCCTCCATTCCCATTCCAATCACTCCAATCACTCCAATCACTACTACAATTCCACCTTGTCGCGTCAATATTTGTCATACACGACCGCATCGCCAACATCGACACCAACCTCTGTCGCAGAGTGTTCATTTACATTTGCATCACCATCACCATATTCAATCCCTATTCTCATTTTTATTTCTATTATTAGCATTATTGCCCTTGTCATTCCCTACCACATTCCCTTCAGCGGCAAGGCTTAATAATAATAATAATAAAGTTAAGGTTCAAGTGGAGGTTGAAGGGAAGGAAGAAATCTTGATTCGTTTTTACCGGCGAATTCAAACTTTTTCTTATTCTTTCCCTTCTTCTTCTTTCATTATCTGTCTGGCCCTTTGGGAGGCCAACTTGATCTCGTTTTTCAAACGGCTTCGCACGCGAATAATCCCTCTACGAACTTGTCATCGCCCGCCATAGATGCACACCAACACGAAGCAAATGTCCCTGTCAATTCACCTTCTGAACAACCTGACTATCCCATTGTTACCATCACTGCTCCAGAACCAGCAGCTCCCAACGCCCATCAGCGAAAACCCTCTACCCCTCGCGCTCGAAGGAACTTATTAGCGACAAGGCCACCTCGAATCTACCCTTCTAGTATTCAGTCACCTTTCCTCAATAATATCGCTGCTGCCACCGACGGTACTACCCCGGCTGCATTTTACCGTCTTCCACTTCGATTTGCTCCTGGTCGCCTTTGGAATCCAACCAATTCAACTCCGCGGGATACAACCAGGCCTCCACGACAACTCCGACAACCTCGACAATCTCGTAAATCTCGCAAATATCACAAACGTCGCCCGTCCACTCCTCCACCTCCACCTGTTCCTGTCAATCATCCTGAGACTCGAACCTCTCAGGAACCCATCGAAACCATAGGGTTTGGGGCAGGTGATTTTCCACTTCTCTCGCTGCCGGAACATTCCAAAAGAAATAGCTCGCACATCGAACACAGGACAAGTGTAGATAAGAGAATTAGTCTCCCCGCATCGCTTCGGCACTCCTACGATAGTAAGCGGATCTCTAACCCGCCCTTTCAGGAAGCCGAGGCGGGTCCGTCAGAACCTAAACTTAAGCCTATAATCACTGGGTTGAGAAAACGTGGGCACAGTGTTACTAAGCGAGCACGAGCAATCAGCTTTGGGCTCGTTCGGCCAGGTACCTCGGAAGATTCGCCTAAAAGACCCGACAAAGGCAAAGGGAAAGCAGTCGCATTCAACATGGGGGCTGACGAGCCACCGAGGTCCCTTTCCAAAGATCTGGAAAGAGGGCCATCGGCTTTAGGTCGACAGCAAAATGGATCCAGCGTATCGCTTCCGGGTGGTATTGGATCGCCTGTGTCTTCGAGTGACTCTTCCATAATGGGCGATCCCAACCAGCCAGAACTAGGTGAAGAATGGGGTCCTCAACACCCGTGTTATCCGCATCTGAACCCCCATGTGCCTTTGAATTCTCCGGAGTATGCGAACACGCGTATCATCCGTATACGGAGAGACTGGCTCATAGAAGGAGATTTGGCTCCTACCTTTTCGAATCTTTACCCAGAAATTCTTGATCCAGCTGGTGTATCAGAGCAACAGTTCCGTCTGGTCATTGAGAAGCTCAATGGAGATCTCATCACGATATTCAATCCCTTCAATTGGAGGAATGTCATCGATGGTATATTAGGACTCCTCACCGGATGGATCTGGGATGATATGGGCTTTACATATGCCAAAACTAGACTGCAGAGCTTGGAAGATTGGATCGAAAAATGGAACGCAGAAATGGAGAAAACAGTAGGCTCGGAGGAGGGTGCTCTTGCACCTAGGATTGTCTCCTTAAGACGAACGGGATATATGAGCGTGAGTTCCCCCCCCCTATTTTATATTTTAATATGTTGAATCATCCTAACACATTCTTAGCTCGACTTTCAAATACCAGATCCAGAAATAGCCCCTGCTTCAAGTGAGCGGTCAGGCTCGAGATCAGGACCAAACGTATTAGCTGAACCGAAACCAGCAGTATTACCCGAATAAAAAAATGTGGCATGTGTTGCCATCATCATAACCCGCACTCGCCCAATGTACAAATACCTTTCATTGCTCACTTCTACCTTACAAATCAGGCCCGGCCATCCTCCCGGGTTTGTACGAATTACGAAGATACCCATCACACCAGACTACATCATTTCCCCGCCTTTAATGTAACTATTTACAGACATCCCGATCTATCCTTTTCTCTGATAACTGCGAATTTATTGGATTCGCCGTCCCAATATCACGGCATGGCATGGCGTTTGAGGCGTACCATTCGCAGTTGATTTCCTGGACTTGGTCCAGGTTGAACATAAGCCAAGAGACGATGACCTGAAGTGTCAAGGATGAGAGACGGATCATCAGTTGTATATTGCCAGTTGGAAAAAGCACCATTGAGAGACTTTGCCTGCGAAGGCATTGGCGATTTACAGGTATTCAGATAGAACCATTGTCGATTGTCAATAATAATAATATACCTATTAGGCACCACCCCCTCAACGTAACGTATTTCGTGGACTCCGTCCAACGCTACTATCATCATACCCTAATGACACTTCATTTAATGTATAGCCTTAGAAGCAAGTATCAGAAGGTTTAATACCTGGCAGAATTCATCGAGAGCCGTAAACAAACTAACTATCTCGCGTCTCACAAACAAGCCTTATCACAAATGCCCAAAGTAGTAATTATAGACGAGTGCGTCCCTGTTGAGCGTCATCCGCGGATGAATCCATGTGCATCATGCTCCCTCACCAGCGCCAAACTCCACATTATAGTACTCATGGTCTCATAATTACCCCTTTTCCGTTTTCCTGGTATCATGCGACACTGCCCCTTTCCTTACTTCCATTTTTTACTAATAGTCATTCTTGCTATAGTCAACAAGTTGAAGTGCTCTTGAATTAGAAAGTCCCATCGTCATCCTCATCCACATCTTCGTCCTTCTTCTTCTCCTCCTCCTTTTTCTCCTTGTTCTCATTCTTCTTGTTTTCATCGTTCTCCTTGTTCTGGTCCGCAGAAGAAGAAGCAGAAGCAGAAGCAGAAGAAGTCGCACGCTCACGCTCACGGTCACGCTCGGCTCGCACCATCACTTCGCGCGGGATCCGTCGGCCTCGGCCTCGCGTCGTGCGCATGGGCTCGGGGAGGAGGGAGGATGCGGCGCTGCCGCTACGGCTGTTGCTGCTGTCGCCGTTGTTGCTGCTGCTACTGTTACTGTTACCGTTACCGTTACCGTCGCCGCTGCTGCTGCCGCTGCCGCTGCCGCTGCCGCCGCCGACGGTTGGGACGCGCTCGAAGCCGTGGGTGTTGGTTTGCGCTGCTGCGGTTGCGGTTGCGTCGTTGCCACTTACGCCGCGGCTCGGCGGTGGCACGACGGTCGCGACCGAGGCGGGGGTCAAGTTGCGGCCGTTGACGAGAGGCCAATTTGCAGCTGCGGCAGCAGAAGCCCCGGGGTAGTATGGCATCGCGGGGCCGGCATTAACATTGGCGTTTACGCTGTTGCTGTGGGCATGGGCAGAAGAACCAAGCACGTCGTACGGCTGCACCGCATCCCGCGACGCCCGCGCGTGCAACAAGAGCGACGGCAGGTTCGGCATCACGGGCGAGTAGTCCCCGCCGTCCCCCGTGCTCGTGTCTCCTTCTGTTGCCGTTGATCCGTCCCTTCCTCTTCCTCTTCCTCCTACTGCTGCTGCTGCGACGTTCTCGTCGACGGGAGGCAGGTGGATTAAGGCCGAGGTGTCGCTCGCGTTGTGGCTGTGGCTGTGGTAGTAGTGCCCGCCCGGGTACGCGTTGCTGTGGACCGCGATGGCGTGCCGGCTCACGCGGCGCAGCGATGGGTGGTGTCGCGCTCCTCCTGCGGCAGCGTCTGTCGTGGGTGCGAGTGGGAGCGGTGGTGGGCGTGGTCGCGGGCGCGGGCGCGGGCGCGGACGCGCGTCTAGCGCTAGGGGGGCGAGCGGCAAGGGGGGGTGCGCCTGGTGGCCCAGCGAGGAGCGGCGCTCCGGGACTAGCGGGTCGATGGGGGTCTGCGTCAGCTGCTGGAGCGGGCTGTTGGTGTAGCGCAGGACGTCGGGGAAGGAGAGGCGGCTGCGGAGGGGCGGGTCGGTGTCGAGCCGGCGAGGCGTGGGGAACAGGTTCCACGGCAGGGGCTCGCTGGTGCGGGGCAGCGCTTCGATGTCGAAGTCCAGCCCGCCGGAGCTGGGCACGGAGTATGGGTCGACGTGCTTGAGTTTGCGGGGTTGGTTGGGCCTGGGTTGGTCAGTTTGCTCGTATATATATATATATATATATATTGGGGGAGGGAGTGTTTAGTCTTTTGCGGAGTTTCTTGGGTTATGGGGTCTGATGAGTGTGGGGAGAAAGGGGAAAGAAGGAGGAGAGGGAAGAAAAGGGGAAACCACTTACTCATTACTAGCAAAGGCTTGTCCATTGCTCCTGTCTTTGGGCCTTGCGCCGCTGTCGTGGCCGGTGTTGTAGCTCATTAGTTCTATCCAGCTCTGCTGCGTGTCGCTGGAATCGGGAACACGGCCTCGTCTACCATGGGCCTGGAATGGTCTGCGCAGTTTGGGAAACAGACGGTGTAGACCTAGCGCGGCCGCGTAGCGACGATACATCTCGATACCGTCCTGGGTGGTGCCGAAGAAGGCGACGATGACAACTGACGTTGCAATGGTGATCCACGGCTGGTTCAACTCGGGCGTCGAGAGGTCCCACGAGGGTATGAATAGGATCGCGTTCCACGGGTAGGGGGACGCTTCCCAGTGGATGCGAGTGTAGCTGTACGGCTGATACGTCGACCCCTTCGCCACTGCGATGTTGTACGCCATCAGGTAGATTGACACGGGAAGGTACACGATCATGATGGACAACGACATGAGATACAGACGGAATCGTGTCCGGTTTGAGCGCGCGGATGCGGCGCCACCGCTTCTGCCCTTCAGTACCTCTCGTGTCTCTTTATCGAAGGCTCTGTAGCGCTTGAATGCGAGATCTACAAGGCAGTATTAGCAACTTTCAGGGTTTCTCAATCTACTGATTGCTACCTACAACCATAAGGAGCAGATGCCAGCACAAAAATAGGGTTAGGCGCGTCATAAACCACGAAGCGAGGCCAGCTGTTGTCAAACACGGCCATGCATCCGATAAGGGTGCCGATGTTGTAGCGCTGGGCGAGGTCGAACCAGGTGAACAATAGCTGGAAGGCCGGCAGTGGGAAGATGATGGCGGCGTGTACGAGCACGCGTTTCCTGCGCTCCTGGCGGTTCAGCTGCGTCGCGCGCGAGACCTGGACCTGCTTGGAGAGCTGCCAGACGATGGTGAAGATGCAGGCGGCGTAGATGGTGTGCAGCGGCGTCACCAGGTAGACCTGGACGTCGCAGACGCCCTGCCCATCCCACCACTCGTCCCAGTTGTCGCTGTTCCACGCGATCGAGTTGAACACCGTGAAGGCGTTCAGCACCAGCACCTGCGCGACCAGCGTCGCCGCCGCGAAGTCCCCGTTACGCCAGAGCAGGCGCAGCGGCACCCAGCAGAGCACGCTGCTGATGATGGCGAAGAGGACTCGGAAGACCATGTTCGCTCGGAGGCTGGGGTTCGGTGCGTACTGGGGAGGTGTAACTGCCATTTCCTCTGGTTCGGACGCAGTCACGGTCATCGCGGCCACGAGGATCATGGCAATGACAATTATTTGCTTGTTCATCATGAAAATGGTGTTGCGGAGAGTGTGTAGCTTTGAGCTACACCCTCTCTTCTCTGCAATATTAGAAGTGCTCGTTATAGGAGCGAAACGAAGATGCGAATTATAAGCAGTGTTGTCTGTTCATCAGGTTGGTACCATACCTAGACCTGCTGTTGTGTCTACTTGCAATGCTTGATTGAGAAGGTGTATTTATTTTTCAAGATCAGGTTTGGGAGTAGGAAGTGTATGGTGGGAGGATTGAAAGGTTGAGATTGAATGGCCCGTAAAATCTCGATAGTCAACAAACATCTCATCCCATCTTGGGGTCGTTGGGATGATAACAGTGTATACACTGGCTAGCAGCAGCAATCATGGCGGTAGCTAGGTAGAAAAACCCCGTGTAGGTGGCCCATGCTTGGGCTGGACTGGACTGAGAAGCGTGAGCATGTTATGATTGCTAGCTAGGCTGTTTACTTTGAGCAAGATATGAGCCTTAGTCTCGTAGGCGACTGGCCGTCGACCAGGTGCTACGGAATGGCTACGGCAAAGATAGGTCGAAAGTCACATACAGGAACTGCTGCGATGCTTTCTCGTACAGGATATTCAGGTGAACACAAGAAGATATATGTTAGGCTGGAAGCTAGTTACGTTCGGGGGGGTCGGTTCTAGCACTTTCATGATAGATACATTTAAGAGTTCGAGCCTGGAAGTGATCCCTTTATTGATTTGGTATGCCATTTCTGCTTGTCTTTATTTTATCTTGTTGTGTGATATGATGAAGAATGGATAAAGCCCCTTTTTGAGTGCCTTGAACGGAATAGGGGTATGTTACCCCCTATTAGAAGTGCTACATAGGTACAAGTTACAACTGATACATCGAGACATGATGTTGGTGTAAGGGGCAAAAGTTGGAGGCAGGTACATATGTACGTAGTCGTCATGAAATGCAACTAAGAATATTATTCGACAATCCCATAGATACCCAAGTACCTACAAACGGAGATATGAAACCCTACTTTAGTCAGCCAATCAGTATTAAACGATAGGGCTAGCCAATTTCCTTCGCGTTGCTTGAAGTGCAGATGTAAATTGACTGCTGCATAAACTTTAGTGTAGGCACTAGGTTAGCCTAGGCTAGGCTAGGTACCTATGTAAACCATAAACCGCAATCGCGAACTTGCACAATTTAAACAAATTTCTGACGCCCGCGCAACCTTCAATTCCTCCCATCCCCCCCACTCCATTCTATTAACCAGAACACGCCAATACGTTAACCATACCAATAACGTCAGCAAGTCAACCAACTTTCAACCCGAAATCTACAAACATGTCTTTCCTCGCCCGTAGAGCCACCGCCGCCGCCCCGAGCCTGGCCCGCGCATTCAGCGCCTCTGCCCGCCGCGACATCGCCAAGATCACGCTGGTCGGCAACTTAGCTGCCTCGCCCGAGGTCAGGCCTACCAGCACCGGCCGCGAGATCCTCGAGTACTCTGTCGCCAGCAACAGCGGGCCCAAGGACAACCGCCAGACCAGCTGGTTCAAGGTCGCTGCTTTCATTGAGGAAGGCCCTCGCCGCGACTTCCTCACTAGCTTACCGAAAGGGTATTTATTTTCCATACATACTTTACCCTCTTGCCTATACCTATATGTAGAATAGAATACACGCAAGACAGGGCATGAGACTAACGCGTTGGCTATAGTTCTACCGTTTACGTCGAGGGTGACGCTGTTATGAGCTCCTTCACCGACGGCGAGGGCAAGACGAAGACTTCTCTTAGCATCTACCAAAGTAGGCCCCTACCATCTCTACCATACCACTCACGTCCCTTTTTTTCTAACAATGTGTCTCCCCCTTGAAAACAGAAAATCTAGAGGTTCTCAAGCGACCAGCTCCCACCGAGTAAAAAAAAAACAGAAGAAGAATATGGATGATGCGTGCGGAGACTCTTTTCAGAGCAAAACACTTCGAGCCAGTATCTTCTTGGATCGTGGATCCTCCTCCTCCTTACTGCAAAAGTTTTTCATGTCTAATGGAACGATTATGGGGGGAATGTCATTGTATTATAATGTTACGATAGGACGTGATACCAAATGTTGCTGAATGTCCTCCCTTCACACAAAAGTTTTCTACTCTACTCTTAAAACGATACTTTTCCCATATGAGTGCCTCCCCCCCTCGCCTCCCCTGTTTCAACTTTGTACTGCAAGCCTACATGCATACATACATACTACTAGGCAGGCATAATGGCTGTGTGAATACAGGACGGAGGGTTCTAGTATCTCCTGGAGTGGCCTCGCCGACAGGCTTCCATGGTTTCCAATTCGCAAGAATGGCAATTTGAACATAGTGTGTATATCGGCAATGGGGTAAGAAAAAAAATGCTGTTCGATGATTCTCATCTAATCCAATCCATCCAGTTCCCCTGACCATAAGGCCCGTTTGACGCCTCGGCGCATGAGACTCGGAGGATACATATGTAGGTATACAGGTACCCAAAGTATGTAATATGGATGTACATCCATGTATAGTATGATTGAGTGATTCAATGTTTCCAACGTACATATACAAGACACGCATTTTAATATATTCAACTACATATGTACGTACATACCCTTCGACGCCCAAGCTTGACCGTATCACGGCCTTATGTACATACCTACATATGTCGCCGTTTGTTTTCCTACCCAGGTACTTAATGTACATTAGGCACATACATACTGCCTCCCTACCCCTCTGCGTTTGCAGGCACCTATAGACATCTCGTATGTCTTGTTGGTATGTGTATTTAGTCACTCCTCTCGCACTGCGTTCCCCATCAAATGTTTTCCTTCCTTCCTACCTCGCCTTCCTACCAACAAGCACGAACAAGTCTTGCAAGCCATCTAACCTTATGCAATCTGTTCCTGGTATCATAGCAGGCTTCGCCATAATCTCTACCATCAGCCACATATCCACGCATCCATCTACCGACTAGAAACGGAGAACTCGGCAAGCAAGTAATCTCGCGGTTCATCGATGAGCTCGTAGCCCATAGTCCCACTATGAGCGACGTCGCCGTGGCCAACCGCATGCTGGTCACTCTCCGACGCGAGGACATCGGCCTATTCGACCCGCGGCGCCCGGACAGCAGAAACTCTGGCGTCGTTACGGAAGGGACTATCTTGGTCTTCACAGACGTAGGCTATTTCATTGATCGCGTCAACTCCTTCCTAGAGAATCCGATCAAGGAGACCTACAGCCACTACATATATGAGCACGAGGCAACTATATACGAGGTCCAGATCCAAACGCTCTTCGGGTCGCTCCTCCTCGGCGCGGCCGCCACGTGGTGGACCTGCGAAATGAGCAGCGCCGAGCGCCGAAATCTCCGATCCAAGGGCCTCGCCAAAGTCCTCGATGCCCTGAGGACGCGCTTTGCGAAGAAGTGGGTGGACTATAGTGAAGAAGCAGACTACTATGATTCGTCTACTATTATTAACGAGGACGAAAGCGTGAATGGAGAGCACATCGGCCTGACCATCACAGAGTTCGACAACGACGGGGAGAGCCTGCCGCGCTGGATCCTAAACACCATCCGAGACCGGCGAGCCGAGGTGGAGGGCTGGGATTGGCATGGGATTAGTACCTGGCACCCCTATATCTACGACGCGCCCCCGGAGGTCGTGTCGGTCGTGCCGTTCCCCCTCACCGACATGTCGCTCAGCCAGTATATGCGGCATATCGAGGAGGCGTTGCACGACATCGCACGCACCCTCGATCTCATATGAATAGTGAATCATGTGGACTAGGTAGTGTATAAAGGCTGGGGTACCGTCCCCTAGGACAGGCAGTAACTATGTACGATAGCAAGAAATGGTCGCCGCTCTGATACCTGTAGTTAATCGTTTGTATCGCCGAGACGATGGCTTAGTTCGATCGTGGAGAAAACGGTTTAGCGGCTGAGTATCAGAAAGCAGGGAGGTAGTCATGTTGTTGATGAGTTTTCTATGCTTGGTGACCTAGACTAGGTTTAGTATAGATGGTTAACGAAGACGGAGATCACCCAGCCTTTTCCCCGGTAGGATGATTCAACAACTGTAGATTGGCCATTCTTGAGAATAACATAGCTATCTATAGCCATACATGTAGGTAAAGCACATCGGTTAACTACGGTATACGTATGTGTCCTGAAACAGGCTATGTCAACGAATACCTACTGAATGTACTTCAAGATGGAAACTCCTCAGCTAGATCGCACCGCCAACTACATCAACCAAGCTACAGCTGTCCATACATCCAAACCCAGCAGCTACGCCGCCTTCCTCGCTTTGGTCTCCCTTCGTGCGGAGGAGATAGCCTGCCTGTTTGTTATGCAGTATCTCCCCAGACTGCTGGTTCCAGATGCAGGTTCCGTATATGCCCAGCTCGCAGATAACGCCGCCGTGCTCTAGCTTGCCGTTGCGCAGGATCGTGTTCTTGACGGGCGGCGGCGTGATCAGCTCCATTAGGATGTAGGATGGCCAATGAGATTCCGGTATGGACTTGAGGAACGGCGGGATCGCAGACCGGTATATGTTGTTACCACCCCCCTCCCGCTGTGGCTTGAGGACGTAGCCTTTGCATAGCTCGGGGTCGGCGGCGATCTTTCGGGCCTTAAGTCCGGATTCGGAGTCATCTAAGGGATAAATATTCGTAAAGGTGTTCTTTAGGTTCGATAAGGATACGGTGTCTTTGGCTACGACGAAACGCGGTAGTATGGGTGGGTTGGAGGGCGTCTCGGGCGTTGCTAGGATTTGCTGGACCTTCTTCGTGCCGGCGACCTGTGTCAGTACTGTCGGGCACTTGATGGCTGCTGATCTTTCCAAATGATATCGACCTTCCCAAGCTGACTGGTTGGGGTAGTCCGACGGTCCATACCCTGATCTCATGTATATGACGGCCACCTCAAACGTATGGGAAGGTAGTTGAGGCGGGTGATATAAGAGTTGACGACCCGAGCCCTCGGCAAGTGTTGTGTGCTCCAAAACTTCTGAAAAGGGAAGTCGGAATACGGGAATGTGTACGTCCCCAGACCGTTGGAGTTCGTATTCGAGATGACGTTGGTCAAATATATTTCTCTCGCCTCCCTGGACAAGAAAGACAACACAGGTCGGATGGCTAGTAGACGAGGGCCCGTATTGGATAAACGCCTCTTTTATACCTGAAGCGAGCCTGGTAGCACTGTCATTATCAGGCAATTGCCAAGATCCTCTCCCTACAGGACTCTCCAAGAATGGATACTCCGTCGAAGCTAAAAACCTAGGCTGAGTTAGCATTCTGGGTCTTCTATGTGAGTTGGGGGTACTGACTTGTGAAGTGATGATGTTCGTGACGATAGGCCTCCAAAGGAGGAAGCGATGGTATTGAACTCGACCTGTTTGATCTGTGGAGTAGACCCTTTACTATCTTGATGAACCATATAATCGGATCTGAAGAGACCGAGACTTTTGTGCTGTACAAGGGATGAGCTAACAGAATATAACGTGACGGAGCAGACAATAGTCTCATCTCCCTACCTGGACGTAACCTTCTTCCTTGACTCTGATATGAACCTTCCATAACTCTGTTATAAAGTCGTCACTATCACCAATTCTATTTCTCGTTAATTCCCTAGCTTGTAACACATGGTGTACCTACACCGAGAACGTTGTAAACTTACTCTTTCACAACTTGAGCGAGAAAAGCTTCATCTTGGCTGATGGACGCATATAGCTCATTGTAAGTTTCCTGGACAGCGATTCCCTGGTCGAAGCATACTCGAGGAAAGGGGCTCGGGAATAGAGTAACGGGAACGGCAGTTGCCAGTATTCCCGCTGGATCAGCCTCAGCGGCAATAACAGCTGGAGGTGGTCGGACGGTCAAACCATGGGCTAATGACCAATCCTTGACGACTTCTGTCAACCTTTCACCCTCGTTAGGTGTAATTTCAGATGAAGAATCTTCAGACATGCCTCTGGCTGCGATGAGTGCCGATGTTGAGCGTGATATTAGAAAAGACTTGTGAAGTAAGGTTTATGTACTTAGGTACGTTTTTACCAAGTCTTTTGAATGTTGTCTTAGTTTTAATTCTTCAAAGGTTGGTACAGTAGGTTAGAGATCTGCTATATTTGGGTCCCTGTCTCGGTCCCTAACTCAGTCTCACACTCCACGGTTTGGGACATGAGGCTATAAATACCTAAACCACCTACACTAGACACATTTTTGTAAGCAGTATAGTACAAGTATGTATGCAATTTGGCTACTTATGTACGGAATGGCTATATAGGCCAGGTACTTGGCTCAAGGTACTGTGTACTAATCATTGTGCCAGATCCCCATAATGATTCTCTATAGAACTTAGATTGTCAAAGTACTGTTACTTGTATTATAGTTGTATGTACCTACCCCCCGCTTAGAGATATGCATGTATTATTATGTGGAACATCCCCGGGCAACGAGGGGCTTGATTGATTTAAAGTACATACTTTAGCCCGGATGACGTGATGACAAATTGAACTTTGATAGAGGGCATTCTCATCGGTTAATATTCGGGTGAAGGTGTATTATGTATAAGTACATAGCCATTCAAAGGTTTCACTAAGTTGAATGTCTATCCATTTGTCTTAACGTTATAGCATCAAATAATCTATAGAGACGCTATGAAATACAGCACTATAACAGGCACATATAGAATTCAATACCAATGATAATGATAGCAATACATTTGAGATGCCAGTACAGATTTATCATTGATCTTACCTACATAGCTCATAAGTACATACATGTGCATATGTGAAATGTTTGCTATGTAACTATAACTACCTAGGTAACTATGTATTTGTAGAGGTATAACCTTACTAGGTATACTATGTCCACGTGACATATTCTCTTGGCAGTGCCGCGTTCGCGATGGGTTAATTGGGCTACCGACCTACCTAACTACCTACCACACATACTTAGTTACATTATGTAGGAAATGCGGGACACTCTCGATACGCGCGCGTTAACTCCAGATATCGTAACCTACAAGAGGATCCTAACCTAGATCGCAACATTCCATCATACTATATCTTCTTCAGGCCCATTTGCTACTGACCTAGTATGTAACGTCTTTTCCTACTAACTTGTATAAGTATATCTGTTGTTGATATAGACAACCGGCTTAGTTAGACAGACGTTGCTGATAAATTCGAAGCCCAGAAAAAAAATTGAGAGAAAGAAGTAAAACTTACAAGGCCATTTATCTATCACATAAAACTCAGCATTGCCTATCTCTCTACCTACCTATACAAACATATTACCTACATACCTAAGGTATATTCCTAGTAATACTATCGATTGATCACCTTCAGTGCAATGGAAAGGAAAGTGCTATCCATGAGCTGCCAGCTGTCAGTTGGCTCTCTCATTTTCCTGTAACGAGAGTTGCCATCACCCATTCTCCATCTTCCAAACGATTATGATATCTTCCCTTCGCCACATACCCCAAGTATGTTCATCAACTATCACCGACGCAGCCACTACATATTGTTTCTCTGCCTCACATACCTGCCTCTCTATTAGTAACAACGACAATAACCCTTGTTTCTATTTATTATTTATTTGTTTATTTTTCACAGCGAACGTGAAGAGCTGATACTAGGCTCGTTACTCGAGTCGATAATAAAGTCGATGATAAAGTCGATGATAAAGTCGATACCAGAGTCGATACTGAACACCATATGCTCTAAGAGAGTTACTGTTTACTCTCTGAACCCCTGGCAATGAGTTGCCCGTTGCCTATCACTCAGTCGACCATACTCAGTCGACCTTACATATGAACAATCCCCGTAACGTATCTTTTTATGAGACGAGGATAATCTCTGATGATTTTTAATTCTTCAAGATTTATTACATCCATATTTACATCCAGATTCTCTGATCTCATTTTCTTCACCTCTACCATCTCCATCACCTTCATCTTACTCAACTTCATCTTACTCACCTTCTCTGCATACCTGCCACCTAGGCATAGCATCTTCATCTTCACCTACGCCACAGCTTCCTTTTTGCTGCACCTTCCCATTTAATGTAACTTCCATCGTGACTTCCTTATTTCTTTTCCTTGCCTATTGGTACTAGACCTACTAGTAGTGCCCTACAGAGTACATCACAGGCCTTCTAGGTACCCTAGGTACCTAGCAACGTCTGGTATATCACTGCAATCAATTGATATTTCTTCGAAATACATACCCAGCCTACCTACATCTTCCTCTTCCTCTTCTACATACCCCTTCTCATCATATCGTCATTCTCATCCCGTCCGCGCAAACTCTCTTTAAACATATCTCAATACATCTCACCAACTTCAACTCCTCATAATCCCTTAAGCCAAAGAAACAATATCCGGGGTCTGATACCTAGAATCCGTTGTTTTACGGTAAGTGGACACTCCTCATATTTCATTTCGCTATCTTGTCCTTTCATCGCTATATGACGGTTTCGTTTCGCGATATCCGTGACTTTCTAATTTTAAGTCACCTTAAACGCCGCGAGTCAATTCTAATACTGATATTATTGTTGAAAATATTAGGTCTTCTAGCTTTCAAAAGGTCATTTCATTCGTTTGCTATATCTCATTTTTATGAGTTAAGCCGTGAATATGGATGACCCATGGGATTGGGATGTCGATAGGGTGGTGCAAGAACTCTGCTCCGAATATCGATCTTGGGAACCTCCAACATCCCGATTCAACTTCGCGGCCCCTGACCTACTTGCACCTGTGTTGCGAGAACAGGAAGTCGATGGCCATACACTTATAACATATGGCCACAAGGATCTGTGCAATGAATTGGGAATCAGAATCGTGAAGCATAAGGCTATTTTGAAACATGCTATTGACATTTTCCGCTCGCGTAGCCAACGTTATCGACTACATCAAAAACGTCTATCATCCGACTTTGAAAACGACAATGAGAATCAGATGAATGATTCCCTCAAGCCACAACTTGCGCCTACTCCTACCACAGCCACGTCAATCAATGGCCAGTCTGATAACCCTCATCTGGCCTTTGATTCCTCCGAGCCAGAAATGCCTGCTCGGAAAAAGCGACGAGTTGCTCCTACGTCGTTTAAACCAACTCGCAACATTCCAGTCGAGGTAAATGGGAAATACCTCGGTCAGGATTCATATACTAACCTTGATGTCACTACGGATATCGAGTCGTTAGATGAAGGTGACTCCCACTTCAATAGTCCAGTCAGGTTTATTCAACGCCGCCATCTACCGCATGGGCGGAAAGTGCAAGTTCATCGACTTTACAAACGATGGCTATTGCGCGACCAAGGTTTTAAGAAAGACCTTGTTATGAAGGCTGATACAATGCCCAGGGGAAGAGCTCACATTCCAGCCCACGACGATATAATTCTCCCCTTGTATGGGGATTCGGACCAAGAATATGATCCGAAGTCCTGGAAAGAGGTCAAGGCTGAAAATTTGGAACGAAAGAAAGCAAAGAGTCGACGCGGGCCCAGTCTCGACGAAATTCAAACTGTGCTCGACCAGGCTATCATGCAATTTGCTTCCAATTGGAAAGAACGCAAACTCCCGAAGTTACTTAATAAAGGCCATCAAATCTGGACAAGTGCTCGAAAGGGCGGCCTGAAGATATCGCTTAGAGAAAACCACAAAAGCCTTCATAGGTGCATATCCCGCATTGCAAAGCTTCGTGACGAGTTGATGGCCCAGTCTTGGGGTAGCATAGCCAGCTTGAAGGAGATGACCCCAGTCATGCAACAGACTGTTGAAGACAGAGAATACTATTCATCACTTATTAACATCATCAAGGCCCCGAATGCACCCGCAAAGATTAGTACGGCTCAGCCTCGCACTTCTGCAAGAAGCGTTAGAAAAACAACGCAGATTGCAAGCGACGAAGAATTATTGACAAGCGAATCTGAAAGCGAGTCTGAAAGCGAGCTTAGCCAATTTATTGTCGATGACGAGCCTTCTCCATCCGCTCAACTTCACGATGATTTCCTTATGGCTACCGGCGAGGATGTTGATACTTCGCACATGCAAGAGCAGCCCGCCAGTCAGCGCCAACAGAAGGAGGTGGCTGTAGACGTGGAACCATCAGTAATCATCGACCTTACACAGCTCGATGATGATGATGATGATGATGATAGTACTGACTACCCCAAAACCCAAAGTGAGACCCAGAAGCCCGATTCGAAGTTCGTTACGCCTTCCAAGCGTTCGAAGATAACTAGCCGTGAGACGGGAGGGCCGACAAGAGTCAAATCACAGAAAGTTGAGCTTGAACCCAGGAGATCGCCAATCATCCTTGGAATCGATGATTTGGAGCCAAATAAGAAAATGGTAGCCGAAGAAATTGCAAAATTCTTCAGGGAGATTATATCCATTCTCTTCTCGGTTGTTCGATTTCAGAAACCAGACAAAGTCTGGGCAGATTTTGTTGTTCTGCCCATACGAAAGCACCAATACCCGCGTACTGCCAACAGTTCTTGGGAGCATAAGCTTACTATCGTCGGGTATACACTTCTCCGCACGATGGAGATTTATAGAACCGGTGTCTGCTTCCCAATAAAAATGTACAAAGAATTCACGGTTGAGACTAGAGAGAAAGTCGAAACTCGCAGGTTATATGAGGGAGAGGATACTTTAGGAACATATCTGAAATTTCTAAGTGACCTCGCTGATCGGTTTGACTGGACACCGATAACTGATCTTCAGCCACTACAGGCCGATAAACTTGAACCTCAGCCAGAGTCAGCACAGGCTGATGAGTCCGAACCCCAACCACCACAGGTCGATGGACTTGAACCTCAGTCAGTGGAGCCTACGGAGATTGACGAAAATCAAATTGTCACTTCGGACTTCGCAAACGATGATGATGAGGAAGAGGAAGAGCTGTCCCCATCAAAGAAAAGGAAGAAATTTAAAAAGAAGCCTATTCGCAACCAAGAAGCTAAAATCCTCAGAGAAGATGATCATGCACGAGTGGCAGAACAGGGTCGTCGGCGGAAAGTTTTGCGAGACAAACTTGCAGCAACGGAAGCGTCAGGTGTAACGAACCTTGGCAGCCAAAGGGATATGATCATCAACGAGATCAAAGAAGACTCCCAAGGATTCATCTACATTCATCCCGAGATCGCAAAGCGTATCAAACCTCATCAAGTAGCAGGAGTTAGATTTATGTGGGATCAAATCGTTGATTCAAGGTCTAAGCAAGGCTGCCTTCTCGCGCACACCATGGGTCTTGGGAAGACCATGCAGGTTATCACGCTCTTGGTGGCCATCGCAGAAGCTGCAGGATCTGATGACCCGACAATTTCCTGCCAGATACCTGAAGAGTTGAAGGAATCCAAGACTCTAGTTCTTTGCCCTCCCGCCCTCGGCGATAACTGGATGGACGAGTTGCTTTTCTGGACTCCTGAAGAACACAAGCTCGGCGAATTTTTCAAGGTCGATTCAGCAACTCCTCCCGAAAAGCGCGAGGCGGGCATACTAGCCTGGGATGAGCGTGGTGGCGTTCTCATTATTGGATTTCAACTCTTCAAGGACTTCGTTAAGATCGAGCAGTATCGAGAGATATTGTTGGATGGCCCTAACCTCGTGGTGGCCGATGAGGCGCATTATTTGAAAAATCCCAAGGCGCAACTACATGTCGCCGCTTCACGATTCAGAACCCAGAGCAGGATTGCCCTAACCGGCTCTCCTCTGGCCAACAACCTGGAAGAATATCATTCCATGATCAATTGGGTTGCCCCAAATTACTTGTCGGACATAAAGGAGTTCAGAGCAGAGTATTCGATCCCGGTTGGTCTCGGGCTTCAAAAAGACGCTACTCTATATCAACGTCGAAGGGCTTTAAAGATGCTACGAGTCCTTACGAAAGAAGTTTCCCCAAAGGTTCAGCGTACGACAATTGCAGTGTTGAAGCATGATATTCCTACTAAGCAGGAATTTCTCATAACTGTGCCGCTCACTAGCCTGCAGCGAAGAGCGTACGAAGCCTATATCAAATACCACCAAAGCTTGGCGAATAAACACTGTGCGTTAGCCTCTATAGACATACTCTGTATTCTCTGTGCACATCCTTCCATATTCGTGGATAAGTTACAGAATGAAAAAGAGGACGCCTCAAACGAGACTGTTAAGGACCCTACTCTGACTGAGGAGCTCATTAGCAATGAGCTTACCCTCCTCCGCAAGGAGAAGAACTTAAATTCAACTTCTCACTCTTGGAAGATCCTCATCCTCGTCGTTATTCTAGAGGAGTGCAAGCGCGTGGGTGATTCGGTGCTTATCTTCAGCCAGTCTATTCCTACCCTCAACTATCTAGAGCAGATTCTACGAAAAGGCAAATTCTCTGTCGAGCGACTAGATGGATCGACTCGTATGAACACACGACAGACCATAGTCAAGGATTTCAATCAAGGCAACACAGATGTGTTCCTCGTTTCTACCAAAGCCGGCGGGCTCGGCCTTAATATTACCGGAGCCAATCGAGTTGTCATCTTTGATGCTAGATTCAATCCCCAGGTAGAACAACAAGCAGTTGGTCGAGCATATCGTATTGGGCAGAAGAAAGCTGTTTTCGTCTATCGCTTTTTGTGTGGTGGCACATTAGAAGATTCGGTGCATAGCATAGCTGTGCACAAGAAACAGTTGGCCGACAGAACCATCGATGCTAAGCACCCGATCCCCAAATCGGAAACGCTAAGCACGAATCTGAAGATGCCCACGGACCCTGAGCAAAGGGATATCAATGGTTATGTTGGTAGAGATATTGTGCTTGACAAGGTAATTGAAAAGCACGGGCGCGGTATTAGAGCCATTACAACCATGGACACCTTTGAGGAAGAGGCCCTTGAAGATGCGGTCCTAACACGGGAAGACTACGATGAGGCTAACAAACTCATCGCCCAGAATGCAGCACGCAGGTCAGGGGTTGCACTCCAGATTCCCGTGGAAGACCAAGGAAGTGCCAACGGCTGGCAGCCAATACAATCACCAGCATCTTCCACCCAGCGACCTAATCCGGTCAATTCTATTCATAATGATCAACGCGTCTCGAACGCGGTACCAAACTGGGAAACTACACCTACGCTTCAGGTCCCGCAGCCTCCCCTGTCCAATGCTTCCCATCAACATCAGCCTTTGCAACCTATTCAGGGAACTTCAACGCACATAGGACGCCCTGCCGAACCGGACTTAGACAATGGTAAAGATTTTCTATGGGAGTTGGGACGACGTTTCTCGGCAAATGGCAGCACAAGCAATAAGCTGATAGGTCAACAAATTGTGCACGCTATTGCAGCAGAAGTCTCGAGCCGAGATCTCGGAAGGTCGGAGAGAAAGGCTATTATAGATGCTGCATCATCCGCACGGTTTGTTGAGGCCATGTGTATCCAACTTTTCTCGCCTCTTCAACTTGTTGGAATGAAGCCGTTAGAAATCAGCATAATACGCACTCGCTGGGACAGCTTAACGGAAGCCGAATGGGAGACGCAAAAGATTACCAAGGGCCGCCAATCTAAGGTAGATTCTCAGTTACGGCAACATTCCTCGTCACACTTGAAAGGGTAGAATCAGCTAATCGCCAAATCTGATAGCATCTCGTAAACAGCCCCCGAAAAGCCTCGTCTACTCCAGAGGAGCAACCCAGCAGTAGCCATCAGAAATCACATCGATTGGACGATCGAGGGGCAATGGAAGCTATAATGCAACGCAGAAAGCCGAAAGACCGAAAACCCGCGCGTCTTCCTAGTTGGGCTATAGATGCGGTCTCTAGACAAGGCCGCGTAGCTTCACCTTCGCCTTCTTCTTCTGGCGCTTCGCCTTCGTCTTCACATCCTTCGTCGTCACATCCCGTACGCAAGACGCCCTTCGGCTAATGCCTAATGATATAATGCCTGTAATCACGGATAGGAACCACATGAGAGGAGAGGAGGGGAGGGGAGGGGAGGGGAAGGAAATTTCGAGGGAAGGAAAGGAAAGGAAAAGAGGCATGTTGTTATGACTTCTTACACAAGACGCTAGATTTAATCTACCTCCTAATCTACCTGCCTACATACCTACACACTGGGTACCTTGGCAGGTAGGCACCTACCTGCCTGTATTGAGACAAACTGGTTAGCTGTCGCTGGGTATACCTACAATACCTACTTGAGAGCCAAGTTAGAGCTACCTACCGTACTGAATAAATGTTGACTGATACTCACAATGCAATGAGTTAGGTACCTACCTTATAGATGTGAAGCTCTCTCTACGTGAACATGTTTCCCTTTGAGGCTTTTTTTTTTTACTTCCCTACGGAGTACGGCTAAGCAAGCAAGGGGCTCTTGTAGAAGTTCTTCTTAATATATATATATATAGCCCATCCCTTCTACCCCTTTACTTTCCTTATTTTCTTTCCTGTACGATTCCTACTAAGTTGTAACAATATGTAGGTACCTACGGAAAAAAGCAGTTTCGGTACCTAGGTGTAGATGTAAATTAATCGTCTTTGATTCTCCTTTTTTTTTTTTTTTACCTAGGATCTATTAATTTACCCATCTCTTTTTTTTCTTCCCTTCCCCCTCCCCTTTTCTCTCCGATAGCTGCCTATCCTAGGTTCATAGATAGATATCACGACTTTCTCTTCCGTCCTACACCACTACATAGCTACCTACCTACTATGTCACGTAGGCAGCCGTAGAGGCTAGGTAGATAGATAGATGCCTAACACGTAGGTACGTAGTAGCTAAGTGCTAACTAGCTACCCATCGCAAGGCGCTTAGAAAAGGGGGGAAGAAGGAAAAGAGTAGGAGAAAAAGATTAAAAATTATCACAAACCACCAACGCCCTACATAAAACCCTGGCCGAACTTATCCCCGTTTGGAAGTATGGCGATACATGCCTACGTACGTACTCCAGATATCAAAAACCCAGCTTAACTTCTTTTGGGCTTTTCATCTTTGGTCCTATACCTCTGTCTGTCTACCCCATAATAAACGGGTGAAAGAAGAGGGGCATGTTCTATGGCTATTCATGGCGGCGATGTCCGCTTCCTTTGATATTAAGACACATGTAAAGAGAAACTTTCCCCCGATATTCAGCTCAATATTCCTCGTAGCGGAAATTACCATGCCCAGAGGACCTTGTGGTGCAAAACCCTAGCACCAAGCTTCTCGAATTCGAAGGGGGTGATCCAGCTATCATTAGCAGGGAGCTTGGCGAAGACGCTAGCGCCCTTCCAGGCCACAACTTGCTCGTCCATATCACGGGCGGAATGCGTGATGAGGATTCGATCCGAGAGCTCGGGACGACGAGTTTTCAGCTTCTCTTCGAGGACTTGTGTAAACCCCGTAGTCTTAGATCCACCGCCTACGACCATGATGCTGCCGAGATAATCACGCAACTTCTTTTCGTCACTCTTAGCAGCATTCTGGATGCTCGTCAAGATCGCGATGTCGAGAGGCACTACCGGTAGAACAGCATCGCGCTCGGCAGCAATTGCCTTGGCCGTGCGCGCTGCCGAGTCTACAAACATACCAGCCGGTGGTACCGGGGATGCGCCGTTACGCGCCGTCATTGTGCCATTGGGCGCTGGGCTGCCAGTTCCCGTCACCGAACCGTTCCCACCGAAGTGAAAAGTAGGTGGAACTGGGGTCGCAGCACCTTCAGGGGCTGGGGATGCTGCGTTTGAGCCTGCGGGTGTGCCGTTGTTAAGATCGCCTCTTAGGAAGTTGGAGAAAGGCTGTGATTTCTCTTTCATAGGCGTTGCAACGTTCGGGTCAGTAGGTAGGTTCTGGAATCCATTCGCATTAGAAACCACGGAGGGCTTGATAAGAGCAAGTATGGCTAGTTGTGCTGCTGATGTTGGGTCATCAGGCACTTCGACATCGTAGGCATTATAGGATCGGTCTAGAAGTTTTCGACGGCCACGAAGCTTAGCCGAATTATCAAAGATGGCAGGGTCATAAAACCCCATTGGTGCGAGAATGACTTCGTCATAAGTCTTGAACTGATATAAACGGGTCGGCTGGTTTGGAGCGCGGAGATGGAATGAGTAGAGCTGTACTGATATGTCGTTTTGTGCCATTGTGCAATATTTAGTCTTCAGTTCTTCAGCAAGGAGGAAGTCGTATCGTCTTCGAAGATTAATATCTTGATAGGGAAAGTTGTCGTAGAGCATCATTTTCATAAACGTTTCCGTGACGTCGTAGCCACCGTACTTGAGATTGATGCGAGAGTCCTCAACGCATAACCCATCTTCTACACACGCAATCGATGTCTTCTGAGCACCAACGTCAACGACGCACGCTTGCGTATAGCCAGCGCCGAAGGTTGCCGCCATACTTTCTTGTATGAAGCATATCTTGCTGAATTCGAACCAGGTCATGCACGACTTCAAGATTTGTTCAACGTACTTCTTGTCGTAAAGATCAGGGATAACGACCACACAACTGTAGTTCCTCCAAGCGCTATTCCTTGTCAACCCAAGCTCTTGTCTGATAGCTTTATCTAGCAAAGTCTCGAAGTCGTCATATAGGTGCTCGGCAGTGGTATAATCGTCTTCGTTGAGCAAGCCATTCTGCATGGGCCACCATAGTTTGAACTTGGGATTTGAATCGTCGGGAATACGTTGTGCGGATTGGCCGATGAAGCACGAAGCTATCGAGTTGGGGTCATCTATAGATTTGACATCTGTCCATTCGATTTGTAGAGGGTCGTTGTGTAGCGGAATCTCTTCAGACTCTGTTCGTCTGTTGTAATTGACCACTAACTCTTTCGAATTGGGGAGCACTTTGTGCTTGTTGGAACGCATCACCACCTTCAAATCATTGCACATCTTCTGGTACTTCTTGGACCACTCCTCGCCGTATTGTTGATCGGTCGTTTTAGCCTCGAACTGACGACGAGGGAGGGCCTCATACATCTCAGACTCGGTCTGGGGGAATTTTGTGGCGATGGCCATGGGTATTGTCTTGGGCAGGGCATCGCTTGCAAAGCCTATTCTAAGATTTTGGCTTCCCGGGTGTATGACAATCACCTTGGAGGAATCTAGGCCATCGTTGGCGGTTGGGGCGCCATCCTCCTGCTGAATCTCGGGGACTGGGAGTGGTACTTCAACGTGTCCATTGCGCGCAAGGGCTCGGTCGCGATCTTTCGCAGTTTGGACAAGCCTTTCCCTGTTCGCCTCGGCTTGCAATCGAAGTGCCAGTACTTGGTCATCTCGTTTCATGTAATCCCTAAAAAGAAAGCAAGGGAATCAGCTTCGCGACCCAAAATAATATCATTTTTCTTTTTTTTAGATAATATTGAGACTACACGTACGTATAGTAGTTCTTTTGGTTAATTGGAGTGACATCAGGCCAGCTCGTCTGTTTCATGCCATTATCGGTTCGTTCGAGCCCTTTCGTGAAAACGCGTTAGCGACTACTTGGATGGAGGATGCGCGCGAAACAAAAGCGACTAACCTTCCCGTAGGAGGACCTTCTCGCTAACTTTACCAACCATGACTATGCCTGTTGATTATATGGTCTTGATGGTGGTGCTGGTGTTATATTAGATGCATCGAATTTATCTCGATGTGCTTGTGTTCTCTAAGGAATGTGTTGTGGGGGAAAGAGAGAGTTGTGAAGAGGAAGAGGAGGATGCGATTACATTGGTGTTGTGTTGAAAAATAATAATATTGAGTTTGTTAGGTCTCCAGCTTGGTCGCTCTTTTTTTTTCGCGTCTACAATAGAATTTATCTTTGAGCTCTCCGCCCTCCGCCTTCCACTTTCCTCACTCTTCTTACGGCCGGGCCATACCAAATCACAGATCAAATCAATGACTGGTAGTCGCAGCTGTGGCCGATAAGTAACTTCAAGGTTCAGCCTACATACTGTAGTCTGTAGGACCAGTGTAGGTACTCCGTATGTTTTGCTAGGTACAATACCTAGGTACATACGTTACTGCTCAAGGTTCCTGGAATGGACCCCGCTAAGCCCCATGCGGAACTAGAGCAGCGGAGTCGGTAGCTTAATTCTCCTATCATCCTTCTAATCAGAAGGTACGAATATTAGTTACTACGAATATTGAATACTGAAGCTATGTATTATCTGATTAACAAGCGGAACATGAGAATAACCTACTACGACATACAACATTGAACTATATAAATCTTCATTTTGTCCTACTGAGTTTTCAAATCCTCAATCATCTGGATACATGTATTTGTACGTGTACATCAGCTTCCAAACAACATTAATAGTACCTACCTAGTAGTAACTTGAAGTACATAGCATATACCTCGATGACAACGGTTCAACCCCAAAATTCTAGTCCAGTGAACCAACACTGTACATCTCTTCTTTCAAGAAAACGCATAAAGACACTCTCTATCAACCAAACCTACGAAGCCTTTCTATTCCAGAATTATATAGCTCATTTTTACGGTCTCTGTGGTTTATGGACATTGAAGAGGACTACTTGGTACTTAAAGGCTTCACAAAGTCACCTGACAACTTGAAGTTTATGACGTCGTTATTTAACCAAAGCACCATTCCCTGCCAGCGCTGAGTCGCAGCCTGTGAGATCTGTCCATGTCTCAACTTCAAAGGTTACGCCACACACATGAGTCAAACGTAGGTAACCAACTTTGAAATCACTTCTTACGTAGAAGCCATTAAGATCATATCAAGATTATATTACAGATCTTTGTATTCACAAATCCTGTCTGTACCTACCTCTTTGCCTCATTCTGTAGTCCCATCAGCATATATCAAGTTCACTTAGACTTGCTGCAAGTACTCCATAGCCATGGCACCCATTCCAGTTTACACCGCCAGTCCTATTGTTGCTTCAAAACCCGATGGAGTGACGCCTCAGACTGCTCAACCACCCTCTGCACCCTCTGGTGAAAAACCAGCGACTTCTAGTGCATCACCCACCTCGACTAGCCAGTCTTCATACCCGCCTGCTCAGCCAGGTGCTGCACCTTCATTGCCAGCTCCAACAGGCACCACATATGCGCTTCCTCAGCCAACCCAAACCTTCAACTATAATGGTCCCCCAGCGCCACAGCCTGGAGCCTTTCCGGCACCGTCAGGTGCTACTAGGACGCATATCCCACCTCCACCAAAAGCGGGCGAGAAGTATCAAACACCTCAGCAATTGACTACACCGCAGCCCGCGAGTATGCCATATCCTCAACAGATGTCTATCCCCACGCCTACTGCGTCCTATCCATCCCAGCAGCGTGGTACTTCTACAGCCGAGGCACCTAACAGCTATAGCCTAGAACATCCACCTGGATACCATCAAAATGCCAATGCTTCCGAGGTCGATGGCTATAAGAGGTTAGCTACTCAACAGAGTGAGTTAGAAAACCAGACAGACAGTTCAGAAGGGGTTTGGGGAACAGCGAAGAAATGGGCTCAGCAGACGGGAGAGAAGCTTGCCGCGGCGGAAAACGAAGTTTGGAAGAAGATCAGCAAGGACTAATATTACGACAATAAGACCGAGAATTCGGAACGGTTTATGCTATGTAGCTAGCTGGTCTATTATGTTCTAAAGTCTCGGCGCCAAAATTAGCTATTTTCGGATCTACTGGAATCGTTTTCGTAGCGAAATAAGTATGTATAATATCAACGGCATTCACGGGACCTGATTCTGAGACAGTCAGATGTTGTCGAGGTATCATTGACTGTGCCTGAAATTCGACGAAGAAATTAATTTTTACCTATTAGTGTAGTTCGCAGTTCGCAGCGAAGTTGGGTTGCAATGTGAAGTGACGATAGTTACTCAGGTAGTCAAAGATAACCAAATGAGCGGATGAAAATTCCACTTATAAAATATTTTTATAGTGCTTGGTTAATGCTAGCTACTAGGTAACCATGACTGAGGTACGCGGCACTTACAAGCTGTCAGTCTTCTCAACCAGGTTTTCCCCCTTCGCTATCAAGTTCCGTTTCCATCAGATACCTGGGTATTGCAAGGTATGAGGCGGAATGCATTGATATGATCTCCCAATATGTTCACGCTAAGTACTAGGTATCCGGGGAAGTGATCTCGTCATCGTCGACCCGCGATTTTCGTGATAAGATGCGAGCGTTGCTAATTTTAAGGAGGTGAGCTGCGCATAACAGTGAGCATAAAATAATTTCCCAAACAAGCCATCAACTTTATGCAACATGCCGGGCCCATCCCGGAAGCCTAGGCCGGGGTGGAGTAGACAGCGGCCCCATAGAACGATCCGTAGAACAAGTGGAAAGACTTAGAGCCCACAACCTACCCACTCCGACTAGGTATACGACGCGATCTGGCAGGAATTGATTAAAATGACACCCTCCATATTCGGTAACCTAGCAGCGGTCTACAGGTCAGAATTCTTGTTTATTGTCAAGTAGGGCTGGCAGCCATTGATAGCACACCGAATCGTATTCGGCCATGGACCCCTGGAATAGGAGTTTTGGCGGGATTTTCCTTTCGGTAGTTCCATAAGGCTACCACTCCCGCTGATAGACGATGTACACGTAAGGGAGGCTTGGGTTCCGTACCATAACCCAAGTGCATACACATGCAAGCACTTTGAATTATTAGTTAACGCAGCCACACTCGGGGTTTGTCTGCGCCCCGATGCGTAACCCGCAGCCACGACTACGTATGTAGGCAGACTTGCATACGCCTACATCTGCGATGGGTGCGGGGGGGTTGTGTCCATGAAGCATGAACGATCTATTATTCGATGAACAAGACTCATCTCACTTATGTTTCCAACACCATTACCCTAACCTAGTATTCCAGACACTTAGTAACTAGTAACCCAAGCAATATTTGATTTTAATGCAAGGGTCCTTCATTTATGCTTACGTACAATACATACATGTCTACCTATGTAGGTCCTAGGTATGTAGATAGTGGTAGATAGTGGTAGATAGTAGTAGATAGATAACGGCGTGATCGATAAGAATGTTTATGGTTCCTGAAAATCAGGTACGTACGCGATCAGGGATCTGAAGATCCCCCGCGTGCAAACAATATGACGATTGCTATTACAGCACGACAAGGTCGTAGGGTGATATGTATCTCCCGGGGAGAGTTCCCCAGGCGCGCCAGAGAGGGGCAATACCAAACAGAAATGACATTGAGGGATTGTCAATCCCGGTACAAGTAACTATTTCGTAATATATCTCTCCTAGGGAAACAATAGCCTACTGATTGTAAATCTTGATAGCAGCCTCGCTTTTACATCTGAAGTAGCAACGAGAACTTGGAAATGGCAAATACACACATGTAAATCTACCAATACATGCCCAACATACAGCAGACGTCTATCACATCTCCATCGTAATCATCTCTGATCGCAGCGAGGTCAACACAATGGCAAGTAGGTACCACAAGTGAGATGAAGGATGTGTGATATGTACATACCTACCAGCATAAGACAAGATTACGTTCAATGTTGCTATGTATTGGCCATAATGCCAGGACCTCGGCACCATGTTTCTCTCGAAATTCTGTCAAAACAGAGAGGGGCCGAAAGTGATATCGAATCATCTAGTTCATAATTGAGATGGGGGTACCATAGTAAGCATAAGGCGGTAGGGTTCAATGTTAGCAGCCCAACTTTCTCGCCTGTGAGGACACACAGGAAGCACTGACCTTCTCATCGTAGTTACTGTATGTATGTACCTGCGTTCAAAACCAGTTATTCAGATACACCGGTAAGGTGTTTTGGTACTAGTGTAGGTATGGATGTTTCTAAAAATGACTTACAGATACTAATACCTACTGTGCCCTATCTAGATTCAACTCGGTTAGGTATGTATAGGTATGCACGTGAGGACTTGATAGACTTGATAGACTTGATACAATTTGATATTTTTAGTATTTCCCTGATTGACTGAGGAACAACAATGCCACTTTAGGTCTTTTGACGATTTATTTCCTTTTTTTTCCTTTTCCCATTAACTACTTCTTCACCAAGGTGGTTGAGATGCATACATACTACTAGTAGTGTAGATACATAATAGTTAGTTACATGTAATGAAAATAAAGAGACAAAAAGCGCCAAGAAACAAATGTCGAAGAAAGGTGGGACTGTACCTCTTACCACATTCAATAAGTACCTAGGTACATAGTACTACATACATACAATAGCACTGAGGTATGTAAGCGGGACCGGACAAGGGACAAGGGACAGGGTTTGTGTTACAGATCCTGAGACGCGTCAGGGATAAGACCCCTGACCCCTACACCCCCTGCCTGCATATTATTCTCCGCCGGGCCAATCACGAGACTGCCCGATGCAACTGAAATTCAACTTCAAACGCGCTCCGCTGGCGAACGAGACGACAACTCCTAATACAATTCTCTGTTTTTGACTCAGAAATCGTCCAATTTCAGAGCCTCTCGGGCTTTCGAGTACGCTCAGCCAACAAAAAATAAAATAAAAAATACTTCAGTCTGCAGTTGGTTGTTTATGAACCAGAGCTTACGAATCCCCACACTCTCACTCTCATTATTATATACTATTACCTATTACCTATTACCTATTACCTATTATTACCCATTACCCAAGGTACGTATTACAACTTGTATCTACATACCAAGACCTTCCTCAAGTGCGTACATGTATGTATGTATGTATGTCCTTGTATACATATACAATATACCCTACTATGTGTGTAGTATTGCCCTGCTTCGTCTGTTATACCCCCCCTCCCCCCCTCTCCCTCCACGATCGCGCCAGAGTTTTATCTCGTCCCTCCGGCTACACCATCCCAACCATTCAATCAGGTCGCTTCGCTTCTAGGCCTGTCTGTCACTATTGGGCCGCTGTCGGTGCTCCGGTGCCATCCATCTCATAGCTTCATCAGCTGGTTCTTCCCCTGCAGTCCTTAGCTGTCCCATCTGCAGATAAGCTCACTCAACTCCTACTAGGCATGCGTACACTGATCAAGCCATCGGTCTCACTACTTCAGCCTCCATCCATCAGAGTGCCGCATCTAAGTCGGCTAAATTGCTGCTACTTGTGTCTTCTGGCTATAACTTTTGACACCGACGGGTGTTAGACTTTGAGTGCTCGTTCATCTGCATGCCTCCTGACGTGTTGGACGAATCCGCATGCTCCGGCGTTGCCACCCAAATTGATTCGACAATGATTACGGCCCTACCCAACATTCCCGGGCTACCTAGTTAATATCTTATAGATGTGTTCGCGGGAGCAAATTCATGCCGCCAGGCACAGAATAAACAAACTAACCCAACAGGTCGGTTCGTGGGGCTTAGTTTTATTAGTTGTTGTACCTTCAACTAGGTATCGTGATGACTTGTGATGACCGCAATTATATGCAATGAGTAGTGTTTAGCAACAGGCAGTACGAATTCCCATGGCGATTTTTGCTAACCCTGGTTATTTCACGAGACCCCAGGTATAATGTGTTTCCAAAACTTTGCCCCTGGCTGATAGTACTGTATTGTGTTTTCGAAAAAACCTGTCTACTCCAGATCGACATATCCGGCTACATAAGTGTCATGGCTGTGTCATACGACTACATGGGAATCTTGTCTGCGCACGCCGAGCATACGAAGACAAGGTACATGTCCGGAGCCCGCTTTCGCGGCTCATGAGGGTCGCCGGTCGTTGCATCTCTTCAGCCTTTTTGTCAACCCACAACGACCATCTGAGCTTTAGAGTATGATCTCTAGCTTTGTGCCACATGGTCGGACACTAACATGAGACCATTCTTTCACCTCATGTGCGGCTCAACGAGTTTAGCTAAAAATAGTGAGTGATGCTTTACTTACCTACCTAAAGAGGTAGAGCTTCTTCTGAATTTGGTCATCTCAACCAAAGTTCATTTCTTTGAGGTAGTCTGATGAAAACCCATTTTCTGCTCGACATCAAATTGCGTTTATCCTGTTATATCACGATCCTTGTTTGACTATTCCAAAAGAGTTGGAAATTCCATGGGTCATTCTCCGACTAGGGCAATCCCTAGTCAGTGGTCTAATCGATTTCTGGTCATCTCTTACATGCTATGTACCCGAGCTCCATCCAGCTCTCCGCTCCCCCATACGCTCGCTTTGTACCATATTTCAGAGGCTTGATCATTCCTCGCAACACATCATCGAACGAACAGATGTAACCCTCTGAACCCTGGTATTGTAAATCCTTGCAGAACCCGCCCGCCGGTCCGTGCCTGGCCCTGTCTCTCTCGCGTCTCCCACTCTCTGGTCTCAGTGCTCACTTTCACTCATCAGCAAAGCCAAGCTGTACATGTACTTCTTCACACCCCATCTCTGATGTCCCTGTTGAGCTCACAGACGTGGCCAGGCTTGTATCAAGAAGTCCCGGCTTAGCTCCTACCGATGTTCCGAGCCTGGCCCAGCTTAACCGCGTTGAATTGAGAATTGACTGTCCATGGATAGTGCCTGTTGCTCTCAGAGCCTTCTTATACATACCATACCTCCTGGTGTTCTGCACCGCCCCTCCATTTACCTGCTCTTTTACTCCTCCTCTCGCCTCGCCGCGCTCTCCCTCACCCACCACTTACCAAGGTATTCTACTACTAGTCACTCCTTTTTTCCTTATTTTCTAAAACTTGAAATCTATTATATTGCCACTCTGGTTCATAACACTGGGAGCTGGCTCTCTTCCCACCTGGACATACAACAGTCTATGTGAGCAAAGCACTTTCTAGCTTATCTAACGAGCCGTTCTATTCCTAGACGACTCACCACGCTCCTTACAACGCCTACTCATTTTTGGCCTTCGGCTCAACGCTATTATTATTATTCTTCGATTTACAACTTTCGCTTTTTTTATACCCTCAATTTTGAGACATCGCCTTTCTTTTTATGTTTTGCCTGGTATTCGATATCTACCTCGATCCTTTTTTAGAATATCCTAGTCATATTTTCGGACCTGTTCACCTTCGTGGCTAGGTAGCTATAGTTGATACTATTATTACCCTGTAAGTTTCGGGGAGATCGCCCGGCCGCTTCGTAACACGCTCAAATACGTGGAGCCTGTCGCCACGTCTGGCAGTTCACCGGTCTCTCAACCAACATGCCTCCTCGTCTTGACTAACCTTCCCTCTCGTATTTAGTATAGAAGCCGGAATATACCGAGCCACCTTCACTTCTTTATCCAGTCATATTCCCAGCCATGGACCCAAGCCAGGCGCAACTGTATGCACAACTAAACTTGATTTTTATCTGACTCGGGCTCACAACAATAATAGGAGACAGCAAATTCAGACGCCTACTTTCACTCTTAATTCTAACGACAAGTTCGTTAGAGAGGTTCCGCCACCTCACCCACCGCCATTAACCAACATGAATAGAAACGAGTTGTCTTCTCGGGGAGAAGGTCAAGTGGCGCCTGTCGGCGTATGGACGACGCCGACCTCCCAGGAAACACGAGCAAGGCCTGCTACTATCCATGAAGGCTTCTCATTTTGTACTGGGGACGAATTTGGAACAATACCTTCATGGGGAACACCGTCGGGCTTGACAATTCACACGCCAAGCGACACGATGTCACGACCTGTTTCGATGCATCAAGACTTCTACCCTGTCACCACGATGGATAGCAGTGAGTATCGCTGGAGTCAGATCGAGGCTATCGTTAACCATAGTTCAGGCCCATGGGGAACTAAGTCGTGTGAAGACCATATTGAGATGCCCAACTTTGACGTCGATATGAATATTGGCCAAGCTTATACGGCAGATGAGGCTATTCCAATCATAGACCTGAGATATTCCGGTGCTCAGATGGAAAATGATACGATGGGCTTCGAGTCGGGTCCGAACCCTCGCCGCATGTCGGGCTCTTCGTTCACGGTATCTACAGCCGGTGGTTTCTCTGATATGACTTCATATGATGAATTCTCGGCTGCGCTATCCGAAGCGCCGTCTTTCACCTCGGACTACCCGCCACCCTCCAATCGAAACTCGCTTATGTCATCGACTCAGCTGTCGCCGGTAGCCTCTCCTCGTATGACCCCGCAGGGTCGCTCTGACCTTGTCCGGACTCAGAGTCGTGGTCGTGGCGCCTCACCTTCTCCGCGGCCAACCATGAGATCTGCTCCTTACACCGTGGACAGCAGCGCCAGGAACAAGAGGTGGTCTACTGGGTCCTACGGTACCTCCAACAACCGCCGGCCGTCGCCTTTCGTTTATCACCATACACACGAGTCTTTTGGCGCGCGTTTGTCTTCGAGGCATTCATCGCCTACGATCCCGAACCATCCACTTCCGCTAAACTATGGCAACCTTCAAGCTGTGCAACACCATCCCTTCATGGTATCGCAACCGCCAGCCTTCCGGAATAGCATGCTCCTTCCGACGCAGCTACCCTCCCAGGCATTCCACCCTGAGCCTCGTCATTTCGAGAACCCCCCACCGTTGTTATCTCATGGATTATTCAGGATGTTGCAAAGCAATGCCGACCCGCATTCGCTACATGCACACTATACAGATCTATCCGACCCACCGGATCTATACGCCTCCTTACAGGAAGAACAAATCCCCCCGCCTCCTGAAGACATGAATCCTTCTGATCCGGACCTGATTCCCCACGAGCAGGAGTTGAGGTTTGAGGGCGATTTGTATACTCCGAAATGGGTTCGCGGACACGGAAATAAACGCGAGGGATGGTGTGGCATTTGCAAGCCCGGTCGATGGCTGGTGTTGAAGAATTCTGCATTTTGGTATGACAAGAGTTTCACCCATGGCATCAGCGCGGCCACCGGCAATCCGTTCCAAGAGCCTCAGGAGACGAGAAGAATGGATGGTAATCCAGACGTCTGGGAAGGTCTTTGTGGAAGCTGCAACGATTGGATTGCTCTGGTAAGCAGTAAGAAGAAGGGCACAACTTGGTTCAGGCATGCGTATAAGGTAAGAATATTGAAGAGAATTGACGTATGACACTTGATTTACTAACAAAAATCCAGTGTCATTCACACCCCAAGGTCAAAGACGCTCCTAAGCGACGACGCGAGAGTAACAATACAAGAGCTGTTGGGGGCGGCGTTCCAATGACGAGGCCCAAGATCGAGCCGCAGCCTACAACACCCCAGGCAAAGGCTACGGCGGCGTCCGCAGGCACAACGCCAACCCCCAGACCAATCTCTGCCTCGATATCTCACGAACGGATGGTCTTGCCAGAGCAACCTCAACCGCAGAAGACATTTCCTCCTCTTGAGGGGTTGACCAACATGATCTAAACTTTTCACTTCGCCCAAACCATGACCTCGAATGGTCTTTTTTCTATCTGGATATATTTTGGACGAGCAACGACATATTTCCTTGGATTCCCCCTCTTTTTGTCCCCCGGACGGTTTATAGACGGATAACGGACCTTCAGCTGGCTAGGTAGCGCATCCTGGCAGCATTTTTTTGCTCAGCTGGCTTCTCATTTCACCAATCATTGAATCATTTATCATTAACATTCGACATTATACCCAAATTACAACCAAACCTTTTCATCCAACTGGAGCTGCTATGATGAGTGAAAAGCGCTACCAGTTGGTTTACGACCGATGAGAATAGACTGGGACAGGAGAGTAACATTTTGCGGTGGTTACGACATAACAAAAAAGATTGCCTCTTCACTTCTTTGTTTGCTATATTTTTTTCTTCTTTTTCAATATTTTTTGCGTTTGCTTTACTTTAAGCAGCTGCGGTTGCGGCTCGCTCACCTTCTCTGGCTTAATTTGCCCCCTTCGTTGTTCATATGGCACCATACGAAACTTTCTTTCCTTTACTAATTAATGTAGATAGTCCAAATAGTTGATACCCTCGAAAAAGTTAGGGAGGGTGAAATAGGGGTGTGTATAGGGGGAAAAGGGTGACGCAGGTTCCACTCAAAGGATGGTATTATATATATATTATATATGCCTAGGTATATTGGTTAAATGTAAGTTTTCGGCCCTGCTGGGCAGAGGTAAAGCTTGGAGGAGGAGGAGGAGGAGGTATGATACCACGGGATGGTTTCCCATTTTGCGATATCCGTAGAGATTTAGCTTGAATTGATGATGCATGATTTCTTCATCGTGGGTTTTTTCAGCAGCATAGGGGGGGTGTGACTAATATTTTCTACGTCTGATATTCGGAATTTTTGGAAAGGTCCGTTCGTCAGATTCGATACACTGATGTTTTACATCTGAAAGAAAATCGCCTGATTTTTTCTTGCCTATCAGTCTGAACGTAAACCAGACGACTTCACATGGGAGCCTCAAAACCCCCCCCCCCCCCCAAACCTGATGCTATCGATAGCTGTAGGTCATCCCAAAGGGCTTCGTATATCGTAAAAAAAACACGACGATCGTCAAACGAGGACAACGGGGGAGGCGGAGTCAAGGGGAGGAGGGGGGCTACCTCGGCGACATTCGGGCGAGGGACCCATCTAAGGATCTTTTTTGTCTACTTACCTACCTACCCTAAATCTAGGACTTTGTGTGTATGTGTGTCGTTGAGAAAAGAAAAAAGAACACACTGACCACGTAACTACAATAGGTACATGCGTGAGGCTGGAACAGAAAACGAAACGCATAAAGATGACGAGCCTGCAACAACGTGCGGGTGCGGGTGCGTGGCTGCTAAAGATAGCACAGGAGAGAACGTGCCATTTTGTTTTTTTTTTCTCTTTTTGGCTCGCGATTACGTACGTTGTGTGGGAAGGAAGGCAGGTGTCTGTTGCTGTGAGGAGGGGATAATGGGAGAGGGGGGGAGGGGTTGAGTTGAGTAGATCTTTTGGATGAAGGATCGTGTACCTACCTACCTACCTACACAGATTCTACCTCCTGCGTACCTGGATATCTGCTTCGTACAGTACTTGCACCTTTCGTTTCCAACCCAGCCTAACTTGAAGCCGCTAGAGTAAATACATTGTTCTAGAACCTCGTGAACAATCTACCGATAGCGAGCGAGTTTCCTCCTGCGTCGGGTCCTTCGGGGGAGGGGGGGGTCAGAGGAGAATGGGGGTCCTTTCGCCAAGACCTCCGTGTGTAGCACCTATGCCTATCCTTCCTCCGTCCAGGACCGGACCACCCTTGCCCCCTTACCTAGGTGGGCATTGTTGCGTACTCGTACAATACATAATACCTACTTAACCATGTAAAAAGCAAGCAAGCGGCAGCCTCGTTCCCCTGGTGTCGGGATCTTCACATGGTATCCCCAGGTATATGCGAGTACGTAGGTAGGTGTATGATCGACCTGCTATAACTAGTGGCTAGCCTAGGTCATATGTAGGTAGGTAGGGTTTCTATATTTGACATCGTCGCTCAGCTGGTCTAGGTTGTGTAGATAGGTAGTCACGGAACTAGCCGGTGCGCTGCGGACTTCACGGAATCATTGGAGACGGGGAGAGGGCGGTTTGGTCGTTGGCCTCGTACTTTCCTACCTATCTATATACCTAACTATCTAAGTTACTATATTCAGCGCAAGGGCTGAAAAGAATAGGGCAAGGGATGATGTATGTAGGCATGGATGCCTAAAGTCAGCATCCTCTCCCCCAAACTACGCAGCTATATACGTCTCTTTCTTTGATCTATATACATACACCACCTGCGTTACTTCTTCCTTCTTCCTACTTTCTTTTGCTTGGGAAGGAAGCTCTCTGGGCTCCTATATAGGGCTGATGGGAAGATGTGAGAACAGGCAACAAAACCAGGGCTAGGTGCCTGCGGGCGTGTCCAGCAGGACCAATCCGCCGTCCATAAACCTATATCCGCGGCTTTAGCTCTTCCCCCCACGTCGGGCTTTTGGGTATTAGGGAATCGAGACGTTTATTGGTCCCTGAGAGCATCTTGGTTGGAAAAGTTGTCTCTATTAACCTGGCATAGGTAATATGAACCAGAGGGGTCATAGACGAGCCTGATAAAGGATCTGCCAGGCCCAACCAAGCACGGCGCAGGCTTGAGTTGAGAGGTATAAAAAAAATCAACTTTTCAAGCTTATAAAGGAGCGTTCAGGGCCAGCAAGGAAATCACTCTTAAAAGTTGAATAAAGGTTGTATTCAGCTCGATTTTCAGGCTGAAATCTTGGATAGAGATACATACATACTGTACGTTACCTTGGGTGGTCGTATTATGTAACAGCAATGATATGAGATCAAGCTTTTTTTCTTCCTTCCCCCTTGTACGACGCAGCAGCGGCTATTTATCTATGAGTGATCTCATATGTGTCTATGATCAGGTACCTTAGATAGGTAGCACTGCGCTGGCACGATCCTTCGGGTGACATGTGCGACAGTGGCTTACATGATCAGAATTAAGGAGTCAAGTATTTACCTACCTACCTGCCACATTCGTTGGCCACACGTGCTTCCCAGCTATTACAAAAGGTCCAACCAATACGGAGGTGGTTTGGGATCGGCTAATCTTGTCTTAACTGGCGATGTTATTACAAAGCCTACCTAGTGCCCGAGCCTGAGTCTGACGACTGGGCTGGATATTGTGTGATATGGATTTTGTGATCACGACGTTATTCCCGTCTCTCTGTGTCCCCCTTTTCAGGTATATATAGAGGCCCGTTAACTTGATGTTTAAGATGATAATCGCTCATTAAGCCACAGATACCACCTACATAGCATTTTGAGTGTCGTCATGGAGGTGGCTACTCTATCGAGTCAAACTCGAGTCAATGGGAGCTTAAGTAATTAGTACCTTCCCATTACCCCTTTCTAGTTCGTTCTTGCAGCCCAACTTCCCGCACTCTAAGATAACTTACATAATGGGGATTTGGTGGTTTATCTTTGTTGTTGGTTGATATTCAGACGTATGTTAATATCGCCAAGCTGGATATAGGCATGTTGGCGAAGTGAAAAGGCCCAACTACATAGCTTGCACTCGCTACTATAGCCATATATGCCTACCTAGTAGGTATGGATAAAATCCCAACAACGACATCGTATGAGCTACACTTCTTTGTCATGGAAATTGCCAGTGAAGCGGAATCAATATCAAATCTTGAAAGGAACAAATGAAGGAAATATGAATGATGACGTTGCACAAACCCCCTAGCCACATCCCAGTCGGGAGGTTAGTGCCAGGAACACAGAAAGTCAAAAAGTCAATTTCAGGGGAAGGGGGAGGAAAAGTGCGGAGGTTTAATGGACACGTTTTGGGAAATAGCATAATATGGGTTGGCCAATCGTACAATGGGATATCAATCTTGTTCCTCCTTACTTACTTGCCTACCGGCTGAGGTACATGTACATAACCGTACCTTTTACATACCTATGTAAGTTACATACATCGACATACATCGACATACATCAATGATATCCCTTCACATGGTTGATGGCGTAAGGGTTTGGAACACATGGACTTTTTGCGGAGTTAATATCTCTGTGTCACGGTGACGATCCAATAATAATAGAAAAATGATAGAAGAATACGGGGGTGCGCAGATCCGAAGTCGATGGCTTGCTACCTGATTAGGAAATATCATCGCTCGCAACTACACCTACCGTCGTTTATTAAACATCAATGCTCATCTAGGTGCATAGTAAATTGCCCAGCAGTCTGCTTTCGGTCAGATGGGATATTTCCACGTACCCGAACAGGCATCATGAATATGTAGGTATGTAGGTATGCATGAATACTACATGCACAGCCCTAGAGGTATGTAGATACTATGTACTACACATGTTATACACGCGCTTCTGTTGGGTTTCGCAACGTCGTTTGAGTAGGTATATAAAAGGAACACAAGACATTTCAAGACATCTAATCATAGATCAAAGACTTCAATAATAGGTTACCCACGGCGCGTGTTGTGTCAAAGGAGGCGACAATGGCGCCAACGAGTCCAAGCAAAAATAAAAAAATAAAAAATAAAAATAAAAAAATAGTGAAATAGCGAAAAGGTAAGAAAAAGAAATAAAACGGCAGAAATTAAAGTAAAATACACCAAAGGCGGCTTATGAGATACATATGTAGGGCTGGCGGTTCAATCTTATTTTAAATCTGCTGCAGCCATCACTGGGCAGAAAGCCGACTATTCCCCTCAGCGGTCAGCCAGGCTTACCAGCCTGCCAGCCTATCGATGACTCGATAAGCCAAGAATGCAGCATACAATGAATGCCAACGAATCAATAAACCCTCACCGGCTTGCAAGCTTGCTATTACTACATAGGTAGCTTGCTGCCAATTCAAGTTTCCGCTTTCTTGGTAGGTTCCAGCGTCTTCTCATTGCCTACTAGGCACGGGACAAACGTGAGCCAACTAGCCTTGCTACATACATAGTAGGTAGACATGACGAACCACTTTGTGGAGACGGTTCTTCCTGCCCAGCTGCGTTGACTCATATCTGTTCCATCTAATGCAGGTCCTAAATCTCAGAATGCCATAGTACGACCCATCAGTCGATACTTCTTGGATGGCTTTCTCTTTTCTATGGTTGCGATAGGCCGAACCGCATCTTGCAGAGCCTTAGCGCGACCCGCCATGATTCGACTGATGGACGAGCATTTGAACATTTGAACATTTGAACATCCGAACGGCAATAGATATGTATAATGTACATTCATATTGATGTTTCGTTTCTATTATTATTTCTGTGCCTACATACCTACATACCTACATACATACATATAAAAGGGCTCGATCATCTAATTTGCTCTGCATAAAACAATTGACAACTCACAGCTTCAACAGCGGCTGTTGGGAAATATTGGGAATATTCCTCCGAACCCCTTAAAAGCTGTAACTAACCGTAGTATTGCCATCAGATGTCATTCCCATCTCTCTTTCTGGTAAGAAGGTTGGGTTGATAGGGATGAGTATAGGAATAGGGATAGAAATCAATTTAAGTAAAGTCCGATCTAGAAGAACAAGACACTAAGGTTAGTAGTTAAGATATCTGGTGAATCTAACGAGTTGCGGTCAAGTTCAAAAATGAAGCTCGCTCTCTATTTGTCTTGTCAACCTATACGTGTATACTAGGTACGCAGTATGCAATAGTAGTATTATAGTACAGCTACGATAGCTATATAACCATTGCGGGGATAATCCCAACTGTCTGTCGATACCAAGTTCCAAGTTATTCAGAGCTCTCTTCTGCAGGGAGTCTTTTACGCGCCGCTTATCTACCTTAGCCAAGTTACCGTTCTCAAGAACGTTGAACCTCACAGCCAATTACTCGTTTCTACTTGACTTCTATATGCATTGCTGCGCCCTGACCAGAATACCCAGTAAACCCATTCGGCATTGCTTTCATTCCGACTTTCACGGGCTCTCGGAGTGTGTTGAAGGCTCAATAAGCATCCACCCTCCCCCTGGAGCGTACCGACCCATTACCCATTACCCATCAACCGTGCCCCCATTTGCCCCTCGTTACGATTTCAAACGATTCCCGTACCGGCTTTTTTCGACTCGAATGAGGTATGCACTTTTTTTTTTTTTTTTTTTTTTTTTTTTTTTTTGGAATAAAGAGCACAAGATTGAACACAAGACAGCATAATACAAGTGTACAATACAAAATCAAAATCAAAATCAAGCAAGCACAGACCCCGGGGCCTTTTTTATTTTTATTTTTATTTTTATAGGTACCAAGATAGGTACCAAGATAGGTACCTACATGTGCCTATCTAACCTAAAATTTACTCGACAATCTAATACGTTACGGAAAATACCTTATGTCGAACTAAGTTCAACTAGGTACCTCGTACCTACTTTATACCCCTGTAACTCGTACCTTCCATTAGGTACCTAGTAGACAATCCATCCGACTTACTATGTAAAGGCATCCGCTTCTACCTGGTCCGGCATCTTATCCACTTATACGTCTTCTTCACCACGACAACCGCCATCTTAGCTATATACTTTTTTTTTCTTCCTTTTCATCCCCTTCCTCTTTTTTTCTGTTTGCTCGCAGTGGGTAATGATAAAAATTTACTTTATTGACGTTACGAAGTTTTTTCAACTGGTTCGTTTTGTATTTTCTAAACTCAATTCGAAATAGGCGGGCTAACAAATACTCGTTTCGAATTGTGCTATATAGCGACATAGCTGTGCCTAGAAAATTGTCAACGAGTGTCCTTTTTGTTCCCTTCACTCACTGCCTTTCCTGATCACGCCGCTCCAACCCGGTCGTAGATATGATTATGTGTTATGATATACGAGCTTAAGAAACATAATCTTTCCAAGGGAAGCATATTTTACATTGCCTGAGAGACTTTGCTATGAGTGGAGACCAACCAAATTCCAGGCAAGACATCCTTCATTCTCCCTTCTCTCACCTGTCTCGGCGCTGATATTCTATTCACAGCTTTGGTGATCCAAACGCTCAACCTCCCACCCCCAAACAAACCCCGACGTCCTCTACTTTTCCGAATTCTGTCTTCGAGACTCCCAAGAATAATCGGTCCTCGTTTGAGGATTCGTCTGGCTGGACACCTAGGTTTGCTGAAGAGTATTCTGTCTTCAATTCTACTCCAGGCAACTTGAGGGGTTCCCAGGCCCCGTTTGTCGACTTTTCGGTCTCCACGCCTTACCAGTCTTCAAACCATAAGAGACCTCTATCTACCGAAACATTTGCTGCCGAGATTGCAACCCATGTTACCCACTTCTCGCCGAACACGACTCTACCTCTGCCGCCCGTTGATCCGTCCAGACGGCTATTATCGTCTCCGGGTCCCTTAACGGCCGACCATATTCCATCCGAAACGACCCCCGGCACTGGCTCACTACTTCAGCCCAAGAAAATTTGTCGAGAAGCTGCGCAAGAGGCTAAAGTTGAAGCCCAGACGGCCACACCGCCACCGTCTACACACAAGGGAAAGAGGCGGCTTGCTCCAAAGATACAGACAGACAAGATGCAAAATGATGGCTTCGACCCAGAGTTCGTCGCCGGCACGCCACAGCAACAGCACATTGGCAGCTACATGACCACCCCCACCGACCTCTTTGGATACCCAATGTCCGCACCGGCTGCAGCTCCCAGTTTTGGAGACTCACGCATGTACTGGGATACGGATATGAGTGGGATGGATCTGGATTTTTCCACTGCCAGTGGAAGCATGTTTCAGACTTCTTCTGGTCACCGGCCTATGAGTTCTTTGGACTGGAGCAAGTCAAATGAGATGTTTCAAGACACTGGCGTTGTTCCACCCCAAAGTCAGGAGAGTAACCTATCCACGAAGAAGGGACGGGCACTTGCGCCGAAACCTGCACCACCAAACCTGGATACCAATGCTACAGACTCGTCAATATTTGGTTCGTCTTTCCCTGCTTCCGGTGACAATTCTTTTGGTATGATGAGCCAAAGTGGCGGCGTGAATCCTGGTCTCTTATTTACGAGGCCGCCATCCTCGGGCATGGAACCTGCTTCCTTTAACCCTATGTCACAATCTCCCTTAATGCAATCTTTCCCGGCACCAGAGCCTGTGATATTAAGTGCCAAACCGCCAAAGCGCGGGTCAGTTCGTCGTACAGCTAGCAACAAGGATGTAGGCGCCGGCAAGAAGGCGAACCGAGCATCAGCAAGCTCTCCAATCAAATCTTCAGATCGTCCTGGATTGTCACGCAGTTTCAGTGAGAAAGTAGGGCGCAATTCCGTCGGCAAAGTAGCTAGTCTGCCAAATCTAGCACCTGCCATACATCCGGCGCCGCAAGGGAATGGAAGGTCAGCATCGCAAGGCTCTAGACCAAATGGAAGGATATCGCCGTTAAAGAGTCACCACCACCGATTACCCAGCTTGAGTTCTATACCCGAGACACCACCGCCGCGCACTCAAACGTCAGTTAAGTTTACAATCGACTCAAGAGGTCGGGCTCGAGCAGAAACAACGACCATAGTCTTGGACGAGGATGATGATGATCCAACGCCAACTGCTATGCGACGTCGTAAGGAGAGCCACGGCAAAGCAAAGAGTTGGGCATCTTCTGAAGATGAGTCGTCGTCGACGGACGATGAGCCTATCATCATTCCTAGCCGGAACACATCGTTTGCGTTACCAGAACCTCGAAGACTGTCACCTCACTCTTATCATTCCTCGCAAAGAAGTGTCAGCGACCAGAGCACAAGTAGTCTTGGCATTTACTATAATGAACCTGATGCCGGTAACGATCCTGAAAGTGAAGCTGAAACAGTAATGAACATGGCTGGTGGTAACAACCGCGGTGATGCCACGAGCGAATTGCGCAAGGTTGTAGAGAGTCGACAGAAGAGGACTTCGAACCTGACTGGGACTTTGCCATCCCGGTCAGCACATAGTACCAACTCAACAACGACTCCGGCGTCCCATAAGACCAGCAAATTATATACCCCATCCACCGACCGAGGTAGCCAGATCCGATGCATTTGCAACACATCTAATAGCCATGCCAACGCTTACATGGTCCAATGGTATGGTTGCGCCCCCTTATTGCTTACTTGGAAGGCATGGCAGATGTATATATATGTAACACGGTGACTAATTTTCGTGGTAATCTAGTGAATCGTGTGAGATGTGGCTCCATGGCAAATGCATCAACATCACCCGTCAAAGTCTTCCCCGCGTCTATATCTGCGCGTTCTGCGCAAATACGCCCAATGCTCACGGGGCAAGAGGCCGAGAGATACGCAGGAACATGGGAGGCCCGAATCCCAGAGCGCCCGCCACGTCTCCGTTGGCGCATAAATCATTCAAGTCATTTAGATGATGAGGTTGGTGACATGATTGCGAGCATATTCGAATCGGAACTAGGCTATGATAATAGGGATGGACATCTATAAACGGCGCTTACCGGATATAAACGGGGATAGAATGGTTCTGCCAGATCCAAGCTAGGGATAATACTTGGGTACATGATACCCTGGTCTATACTTACTTCCAAGTAAACGACAAGTAGCTATGAGATACGCTGAATTGTGATAGCTATGGTCCTATGGATGAATTGAGACAGTTGAGGTGTTCCTATATGTAGTAAGATGCGTGGCGTACTTTTGTGAGCAGTCATGTACAACTGTACCTAGTACTGTACATACATGGTACATATGTAATGTGATGTGTATGTAGATGTATGTGTATGTGTATGTATATGTGTATGTATGTGTATGTGTATGTATGCATGGTGCATACGACCCAAAGGCTGTAAGTGAAGGGATTGATATTACCACGGGGCTGCAAGAGCAAGGGAGGAAAGGAAGAAATATAACTGGTCAAGTTGGTATCATCGGTTTAATTCTTAAGAGCTCTCCCTTAATATCATATGTTGAGACCAACAAAAGAATAATAAAAAGAAGTTGAAGTAGATACATCACGTTCCCTAAGTAGAGGGGATTTATTAGAGGTACATGTATGCGCTGTTACTACATACATGTATATATTATATCATTGTACTAGGTGATGTAGTACTACCTATGTACTACGGTACTAGGCTAAATATATCAAAGCAAGGGCCGATCTCGGGATTCCGACCTCGGTACGTCCGTAGGGCCGGGTAGATTTCGGAGGAGGGAACAATTGAGCGCGGGGCAGCTAAAGCTTGTGCAGGTACGCTAGTAGCAGTTGTTAAACCCTGGAGCTTCTATATTTCTTTTATGATTGGGTTTGATGGATTTTTATATATAACGTACCTTGATCTAGTTTTTTCAATCTCCTCCATACCGAATATCGGATATTTGCAGTGAATCTTACAAAATACCATAACCATACAATTCCTTCCTACGTATCTTATCACTGTCTCAATTGATATCTGTGGTTGTTCAAAATGGCAACACATAACATCGTGGTCTTTGGCGGAGATCACAGTGGCCCCGAGGTCGTAGCGGAAGCTGTCAAGGTACGTTTACCTTGCCGAAATGACGCAAGAAAAGCCGGTATGCTAACGTGTATCCTATATTAACAGGTCATAAGAGCAATTGAGTCTCATAGCCCTTCCGCCGGCAAGTTTAACCTCCAGGATCACCCATTAGGCGGCGTACGTTTTTTCTCATTTGTTCTTCCTAAGATTTAATCTCTCACCCACATATCCTCAAAATCTATATTCCATTCCCATACAAAGAAATAGGTGGGGATAGGTAGGCCAATAAATAAAAATAATACAAACTAATCATTACCCCTTTTCGAAACGCAGTGCTCGATCAATGCCCACGGCACACCCCTCACAGACGCGGCCCTCGAAGCGGCCAAGTCGGCCGACGCCGTCCTCCTTGGCGCTATCGGCGGTCCCGAATGGGGCACCGGCGCCGTGCGTCCGGAACAGGGAATCCTGAAGCTGCGCAAGGAGATGCAGACATACGGCAACCTGCGCCCGTGCTTCTTCCCTTCGGACTCGCTAGTCGAGCACTCGCCCCTGCGTGCTGACGTGTGCCGTGGTACCAACTTCACCATCGTTCGCGAGCTAACAGGCGGTATTTACTTCGGCGAGCGCAAGGAGGCGGGCGAGGACGGCGATGAGGCTTGGGATACGGAGCTGTACACGCGCGCGGAAGTGGAGCGGGTGACGAGACTTGCGGCGAACCTGGCGCTCGTGAGCGACCCACCCGCACCCGTCTGGAGTCTCGACAAGGCCAACGTGCTCGCCTCTAGCCGGCTCTGGCGTCGCGTCGTCTCAGAGACCATGGCTCGCGAGTTCCCCCAGCTCACTCTCCAGCACCAGCTCATCGACAGCGCCGCCATGATCCTCGTCAAGAACCCCCGTGGCCTCAACGGCATCGTCGTTACCAGCAACCTCTTCGGCGACATCATCAGCGACGAGGCTAGCGTTATCCCCGGCAGCATCGGCCTCAGCCCAAGTGCTAGCCTTAGCGGTATTCCCGATGGAAAGTCTAGGTGTAATGGTATTTACGAGCCCATCCACGGTAAGTCTTTTTTCTTCCTCTCTTCCCCTTCCCCCACTTTGAATCCTATAAAGTGTTAGCAAGGAGTGTCTGAATACATACTAAATCATATTCTCTTGTCCAGGATCGGCACCAGATATCTCGGGCAAGGGTATCGTCAACCCAATCGGCACCATCCTCTCCGTCGCCATGATGTGCCGGTACTCGCTCCAGCTCCCGAAGGAGGCCGTGGCCATCGAGACGGCGGTCAAGAACGTCCTCGACAGCGGGGTCCGGACTAAGGACCTCGGCGGCTCCGCCGGTACAAAGGAGATCGGCGATGCCATCGTTGCCGAGCTGACTAAGATTCTTAAGAGCAGCAATTAGAATCTTTATTTCCCTTTCCCTTCCCTTCCTATCATTCAACAACAATAGGGATTTAGGCATTCGCCTATCTCATGGAAAAGGTTCTGGACGTGGTTAGGGGGCACGGTTTATAAAAACATAAAAAAAGGGGACGAATAAATGAATAAATGAATAAGGAGGCAATGGGAAAAGGTCAGATAGAACGGCTATCAAAGTCCGCGATGTCATTCCAATCAATTAAGCATTAAGTAAGCATTAACGAAGAAACATAAGAAAGTAAAGATACAATGTCTCTCGTGTTGGAAAGGGGCTTGGTAACCCCTGAATGCTTTACTTGTTCCTAAGCTGGACTCCAATGGTGGGTAGGTAGGCAGGTAAGCTTCATAAATTGTCATTTCATTAACACGTAGCTAGTCTTTCTTATTGATCCGTCTCTCTTTCTCTCTGTTTTTTTCTCTACCTATAAATTTATATGGGTATAAGTAAGTCTCAAGTAAGCAACTCAACTCAACTCAACTCCGCGATCTTTTTTTCTTCTCCTCCCACCCCCCCCATCCTTTTTTTCTTCTCTCGTTCAGGAGAGGGGGGGGGGGGGAAGATACATATCTGTTGCGATGCCAACCAATCCCTCCATAGCTTCCTCGCAACAAGGGGACAAGGGGGAAGAAAAAGGCACGAAAACAAAAACAAAAACGCCTAATCTAGCTCGTGCGTTGTATCCTTGCAGCGAGTGCCTAATAACTGACTGGCGGCTGGCGTATTTTTCCCTTCCTGCTTCCCGGGAGGCCACTGAAGCTGGCGGGTTTTGGGGTGATGCGGTCCTTGGATGGCGAGGAGAAGCTTTTTGTTGAGCTTCTTGTCGATGTTCGTTGAGCTGACTAGATGAACCCCGTGACTACCCTGGGTAGATAGGTAGATAGGTAGATAGGTAGATGGGTAGGTAGGTATCTACTGGTTAGGTGGCGGTGTCCACGCGCAATGCGATACGATGCGTACCTAGCCACCCCCCCCCCTCTTTCCCACCTCACCACCTCCCAACGCACGCTCACCTCTTCACCACCCCCGTCCCCGTCCCTACCGCACTCCCCACGCCCGTAACCTCAACAACCCTCCGCACATCCGCCCGCAACTCAGGCATCGCGCGATCCATCTGCGCGGCCAGCACGTCGCGGAACCCCGCGAAGGCGAGCTGCTTCCCCCGCATGAGCTGGTTGCCGCGGCGCGCGAGCTCGACGAACTCCCGCGTGTAGATGTCGGGGTTGCGGCCGTTGTCGACGTACTGGACTAGCTCGGGGGGCACGCTGGGGAGGGAGGAGGAGGTGGGGGAGGTGGAGAGGGCGTGGATGGCTTGGAGGTTGGTGGAGAGGGTGCGCAGCTCCGAGGCTATGATTTCGCGGGAGGGGCGGGGGGAGGAGGAGGAGGTGGAGGAGGAGAGGGTGGGGTTGGGGTTGGGGTTGGGGTTTGGGGGGGAGGAGGAGGAGAGGGAGGACGGGGAGGTCGCGTCGTAGTTGGCTACTTGGACCATTATGTTCGTGAGGGTTTGGATCGTGTCTTTGAGTTGTTCTGGGTTTGAGAGAGTGTTAGTTTGATTTGATGATGTTAAAAGGGAGCGGGCGTGGAAGGGCGGGGATGCGATGGGGTGGGATGGGAGAGGAAAGAAAGAAGCTTACGCTCGAGAGCATCGTGGTCGACGCGCGAGGGTGCCATGGTGGATGGATGAATGAATGAATGAATGCGGCTGTGTTGCGTGGGGTCGAGGATATGTTTCGCTAGCGTATGTAGATATTTATTGGGCTGTAACTCGTATATGGAAGTTGTATTTGTATTTGTATTGCTCGATGGAATGGCGATGGATGTTGAAGAGGGAAGCTTGATCGGTTGGTTGGGACCGTTGGGTTAGTTACTTGGCAGGTAACTTACTTAGTTATTGGCGCGAAATGCATCCTGATCACCAACCAATCAAAACTTACCACTTTACCCCGGGTTTTGTTCAATGCATGCATGGCGCTTTTGCATTGTACCTTTGTACCTTTTACGTGTTGATGTAATAAGCAGCGATCAGTTGAGTAGTAGCCAGACGAGTTTGAGTTGACGTTACAGTAGGTATATAAACCACAATAGTCCACTAACCTTTCACATACGACCATAGGATTCGGAAAACTCGGGATCCCGTCCGCTCTCCCATAGATAAGCCGAATACCGCCAGATCAGTAGTTGGGTCGGTGACGACCAGCGAATCCCTGGTGTTGTATGTCTTTTGCTGATTTTTTTTTTGTTTGTTTGTCTATGGTTTCTTTCTTTACACGCTGCTATATGCCGTAAATATGTGATAATACTATACTAGGTATATATTAGTGTATTATTGTTGTTTTTGAACGTATATACTTGCTTGTAGTCGAGCTTTCTTGATGTTGAGGCGAAGGGGGCGAGTAGCATGGCAAACAAAACTCAAGGGACCAAAATTACACCCATCCCCCTGAACTATTTCGGCTTAGATCCAACAGTCTCGAAATAGTAGAATATTTATATTTAGGAATATCATCGATACTGATCGTAGATTCAAGTGCAACGTACCTACTACTTCATACGTATAGCGGTACTATTGTTTCAAGAAGCATACATTCATCCATACATCCAAACACCCATGCAAATGAATTGATTGGCCAATGAAAATGGGCTGCATGTTCCTAATCAGGAAAGCCGACGTCATACCTAGTTACTTAGCAGAGGCTTTGCTTCGCACCTACGACGAGATAGATTAGATCAGCTCACATTCGTTCACTATGGTTTGTTTAAATTCATAGCATGAAATAGAAATAGGTAGGTATGCAACCTATCGTGAAGTTCTCGAAATGGTTACTAGAAACATAACTATACATTATATAACCACCCTAACCATTACCTAAATAGTAACCAGACCACATTCCAACTCTAGAAAGCACGGCACTAAACCAATCCAACGTCAACAGCCCCTATATCTATACTCGTCGAACTGATAGGCAACATAGGCAGCTTGGGTAGGTAGGTACCTATTTCTGAAGACATCATATAATGTATTCAATACAATCTAAGCATACTCAACTCTAATCCTACTCTCTACCCCTATCTTCCACCTGTATCTTCTTCCTCACCCTCACACATCCCCATCACCGCCTCCCCACCCCTCCCCCTCCCCGTCCCCCAAACAACTTCTTCAACTCCCCCTGCAAGCTTGACCTCTTCCTCATACTCCTCGCATCCACCATCTCGCCCCCCTCCGCCGCCATCACCACCGGCTCACCAGACGGCGAACGCTCGCGGCCCAGTATATCCCGTATCTGCCGTCCGTCGCCCATCTGCCTCGTGCGCTCGCGGCCCGAGATCGCGATGCTGGGGCTGCATTTGCTGGCGGGCTTGTGGGTGTGGTACAGGTTGAGGAATTCCCGCGATTGCGCCGGCGGGGTGCGGCGGACGTACCGCTGGATGTGCGCTGCCACCTGGTCCGTCAGTGGAGATGTGGAGCGGGGCGGTTCTGCAGTTTCCCGTGGTGGAGGGTTGGCTTCGCTGCCGGGTTGGGAATTGTGCGTTGCGAGAGGTGACAGACGGCGCGGTGCGTAAGCTGTGTGGGTACGGGGTGGCATTGACTCTGGAGGGTTAGGTGGTGTGATGAATAATTCCCCCGTTGTGGTTCTTGGACTATCGGGGGCAGACTGAACGATCCGCGAGGATGGACGCTTTAGTGGCTCGTCTGATACGAACGAAGGCCCCTTTAAGGCTTTGATGGTTGAATTTGTCAGATTGCTGAATCCGATATCTTCAGGCTTGTGGTAGTGCTTTTGTCGCCGTGGAGGTGTTTTGGAACGCTGCGAACTCTGAGCTGAACTTGTTGGACAATAAGTGTACAGCATAGCCCTTGAATTGCCAGGCGAATGTATAGAATGTGCCTCTCTTGATAAATGTTCGTCCAGAAGGGAGTGATGTCGAGCTTCTCTCTCTCGTCCGCGGCCCCGTTGACTCGGGAGCCATCGCATCCATCTAGGGATCGGTTTCGTAGGACTAGGCTTAAAAGCAGACTCGCCAAGAGGGTCGAAGATCGAAACATATATGGTAGAGTCTAGAGGAACAATGCAATCTCCACCATCATCACCCGAGTCTGCAGAACCACTGAAGGTGCCATCGCCGGTGAATCGCGACGAGTATGAGACATGACTGCGATTTTGCGGGGTCAAGGGGGGCCGCCTCAAAGACGATGAATGGTTCTGTACCTAGATAGGTAAGCTGCAACACACGGCTCAGAACTCAATTATAAAATTCTCACCTGGCCAGGTCCGGATGTCGCAGCAGGAACTCTTTCTATCTTCCCCTTTCCCCGTTTACTGACCTGCCCATTCATCTTCTCCCACCTCTTCCTAGCCATCCCTCCATCGATCTCATCAGCTTTGCGCAGCGCATTCTGCACGATAGTCTGCTGCCCCGCAGCGCTGTCTCCTTCACACTCAATCGCGCAGTTGGCACAAGTCGGCACCTCCGTGATCTCCCTCGCCTTTCCCCAGCCATCCTCCTCCTCCTCCCCTCTCTTGCCTTCACCCTCGCTATCCCTACTCCCCTGCGCAGAAGAAGATATAAATTCGTCGTCGAACACTTCAGCAAGCTTCGGCCCCGTGACGACCGACCTGCTCCCGCACAGCAGACAGCCGTAGCACATGCGGTGCCAGAAGCACCAGCCCAGGCTGACGCAGTCCTCGCCGCGGAAGATGACCTCGCCGCACACCTAGCAGATGGCCAGGTCGATGATGCTGCGGTAGCAGGGCTCGCAGGTGAGGCGGGCCGACCGGCCGAGGACGTGGGGAGGGCCGCGCGATAGGTGCCAGCAGAACGTGCAGGTGAAGAAGTGTGTGTGTGGTGGCGGCGGCATCTTCTGTCGTTCTTGGGAGAAAATGATCGGGGGGAGGTTATTTACTAGTGGTGAAGTAAGTAAGTACCGAGCAAATGAATATGTATGAGGGAACGAGTGGCTAATGCCAAGCGAGGTTTAACCACTTCTCTAAGACCTTGAAGAAAGGGTGAAGTTTGAAATGCTATGTGAATATACGATTATGGGTCAAACTTAGGTATAAAATAAGAGGAGGCTGAATATATTACATGGTATTATGTAGGATTTGGAATTGAAAAAGGGGGAAAGAATTTTGGTTTAGGATTCTTACGTACATGTACGTGGAACATTATGACAAAGACACTTCAAAGTTACTAGGTACCTAGTAGAGTCCCTACTACATGTAGGTAAATACATTACGAAGTAGACAGGCAAGAACAGAAGGTGCAATGGTCAAAAATGTTCATTATCGTTATTAACCCTATGGGACCAGACCTATGGACCTTCCCATTTACGCCGGCAAATCAACCGAACACCAGACATGGATATTAATTCAGCAGAGTGTACAATCAAGTGACTGAACTCTTAGTAAAAGCCTTGGGGCCTGCCTGTTTTTGAAGTACCCCGTTTCCCGGAATCCATTATGCAGTAAAACAAACCAATGCGGCTGAGAAAAGCACACCAGCAATCATCATCTTCTCCACCATCTTCTCCACCATCTTCTCCATGAGATTCAACCTCGGGTGTGTAATCTACACCCATCTCAAGCCTCCGAAACAAGACCGGATACCGAATACGCCATTTTTCTTCTGCTAACAATTTAAGTGCAGACTATCTGTCCAATGGTCGCATAAGTAGGAGCCGTCGCCTTGTCCAAAGTGCTGATTGTTGGTACAATCTATCATTATGCTTTCTCTTATGCCACCACGTGCAAGTGTAAGCCATGTGACGATTACTTTCGGACCTTGGGTCGAGCGAGCATGTTTAGTCGACTAAGACTGATACCACCCTTCTTCTTCTGCGGACTTGGGGTACCAGGCGGTCCGCTAGTCTTGACTGGCGATTGTCGGCCTGCTAATCGAGGCGCAACAAGCGCATGTCCTTGAACTGCTGCTGACGGAGCCTTTCGCAACTTCTTTGCGCCACGCTTAGCACCTTCGTCCATCTCTTCATCAGGCGAACTGGCTCTGTGTCTCTTCTTGTTCGACATTCCATGAGGAATGCCAGCCCCAATCACCGGATCTTTGTTCTCCTTGTTGGGAGATACGTCAGACGAATTGGCTCTGTGTCTCTTCTTGTTGGGCATTCCATGAGGAATGCCAGCCGCAATCACCGCATCTTTGTTCACCTTGCTGGGAGATACGTCAGACGGGCTTGGGAAACCTCCAGGCATTTGGGTCGCGGGCACAACAGACTTGCGAACGTGACGAAGACTGGCTTGACCAGCAGCAGCACCAAAACCAGTACCGGAAGTGCCGTCGAATCGGATTGTGTGGTCGCTTCGGAACGTAAATCTACCGGGAATTGTCTCGGGGGGCTGCTCCATGCTGGTCTTATCGGTATCCTCCTTGATGTCACGGCAGTAGGCCGAAAGATCAGGATATGTAACTTCACCCTCTACCTCCGGTTTCTTCGCACCCACAAACTTGGGAACAGCCGGCTTGCTGGAAGAAAGCTGAGACATGGCCTTTGAGCGTGGCAAGCTTGATTTGACAGGCGACGGAGAATTCAATAACATCGTAGCGCGTTTGGCCGTCTGGGTAAAAACCATATGTCGCTCAAGCTTTCGTCCAGGAGTGGTAAGAGGGGCATTATGTAGCTCCTCATCGACACCTGGATGGAGAGAAGTCTTCGATGGGGACGCGGCAAGCGTAGGAATGCCAGACTTGGGCTTGGATCCGCCCATCTGTTTCTTCAAGATCGACTTGACCCTAGCAAATCGACCGGGAGTTTGAACCTGAGTGGGCGCTTTGCTCGCAGCTAGGTTGTTCGTCGTCATGGATCTCTTTAGACTATCAAGGCCTTTCTTGAAGGCTGGTCCGGTAAGGCTAGAAAGATCCGGCTTGCTCGCAGACGTAGGAAGACCGCTAAGATTGGGCTTGCTAGGAGACTTCAGCAAGCCTGTAGTGGGAATCTTAGTAGTAGTAGTGACAGTACGTGTCAGAGATGACTTGGTTGGGGTCATGAGATTGGACAAAGTCTGCGAGCGAGGAATGGTACTGTAAATCGAGTCGTTGCCGCTGCTCTTTGGTCGAGGAATGGAGCTTGCGTCTCGCGAGACGGGACGAAGGGTGGATACGTCTTCCTCAAATCGCTGTCTAGCACGCTTGACGGGTGACTCTGGTTGTTCCGGTTGTTCCTGTTGCTTCTCGGGCGAGCTTGATACTGGGCGCGCAGAAACTTTCTTAGATCGTACCGACTCGGGTTCATCAAGGTTTGCTTTGGACTGGCTGCGTTTGAGTCCTCCCTTCGCCGGGGTGATACGTCCAGGAATTGCACGGTAGGCTGAAGGGTGGTTTTCAATAGAATCCATCTTTTTGAATTCGGCCATATGAACGGCGCTGTACCGACCAGCCTTGCCCTTGGCCTGGCGAATCTTTCGTCCGTCTTTAGCGGCGGCCTCCTCCTCCTCCAACTTCTCTTGCTCGCGTTGGGCAGCAAGTTCAGCCTTGAACTTTTCAGCCTCTTCGCGAATATCCTGCATCATTTTCTTAGCTGTGGAGGTTAGTTCATTGTCGGCATCGCCCTTGAGTTTAGTGTATCGGAAGGTGAAATCCGATGCCGGCACTGCTGGCACTGCTGGAGTCTTGGAAGGGGTAGATTGAATCGCGCCAGGAGTCCGTTGCGTGGGTTTTTTGGTGTAGTCAATATCGGAGAACCCAAGCTTGAGACCGGAAGAGGGCGCAGCAGTGGTGGGATGAACCTTGCTGGGATGCATCTCTGACATAGGTAGCTTGACTGGACTAGCTACAGCGGGTGTAGCAGGTTGAGGAATTGATGGGTAAGAAATGGCGTTGAGGGGATGAGTGGCACGCTTCGAGGGCGTTTCTGCGAGTTCATCGCGCTCGTGCACAGATGCTAATCGAGGTGCGGGCGAAGCAGTAGCTGTCTATTCGGATGAAGAATCGCATGATTAGTATCGCATAGAAAGCGGAGCATGGCGCGCGAGATTATGTGTGGTGTTATGCGAGAATTGAAGCTCAAGACGATGTGTTTGCTTACCTTGGAAGCGCTCGCGATGCGAGCTGAGCGACGCGCCATTGTTGATTAACTACTAGGTAGCGACTTTAGCCTTTAGTAGGGGTTCGATGATGTTTCAAGTGAATTGGATTGACTTGAATAAATTAAACAAGTTTCCTCGAAGCAAATTGGGGGTATGGAGCCAATATGCCAGCGTGTTAAGGTGATGATGATGAAATAGAAAAGGGGAGTTTGTGGGGGAAAAGGAAGACAATTGAACTGACATCAGAAATTCAATGCTTGGAATTTGTTTACTTGACGAAAAGTCAACAAAACTTTGGGGCTAGCGTGGTGCACTGGCCAATCAGATGGCATAGTTACTAGTAGTACAACATTGAATCATGATGCTACAGTGCAAGTTACGGGTATATGCCACAGGTGCATACTACCCTAAAGATGGTGGCAGGTATGCCAGAGAGGAAAGTGCGAAGCATTGTGGTTATGTATTTAAGAACATTTCAGTAGCAAAATCTGATCCTTAGATCTTATCCTTTTAATATACAAGTCCACCCACATTTATCTGGTACCCCTATATCGGAAGAGCTGTGGTAATAGCCTTATTTTTAATTTTTAGTTTTTTTTTAGAGTTTTGCTATTCGTACCACCTCTTTTTGCTATCGGGGCTTATCCGTACACCCAGTACATCCCTTAAAACCTTAAAACCTTAAATCCAGGCCTAATCTAGCGCCCCCAGCGCCCCCAGCTGCCCCCATCAATTCAATCCAAATAACTTTTCAACCACATGTCGCACCATAGTGCAACCGGATTCAATTGAAAGCGCGTCCAATTCCAAATTGATTGACATAGCTCTCAAATTGGGGCGATCCTCGGTCGCAGAGTTATTCAAGAAAGTAGGTGGCAGCCCGGGAGGCATGTGACAGCCCTTAGCGCCCTTAGACCCCTTAGACCCCTTAGACCCAAACCTTATTCAACAGTTTCAACCTTGAATAGCTTTCCAACCACATGTCGCAACAGGATGCAACCGGATTCAATTGAAAGAAAATTCAATTACCGATTGATTGATACCGGCTGCAATTTGAGACGATACATGGTCGAAGAGTTATGTTGGTATTTGTCTCGACAGCAGTCACGTGGAACTCCTTAGCGTCGCCCAGGCGGCTTTAGGGCCCTTAGGCGGCTCTAAGGGCCCTTAGCGTGGCACTAAGAGCTCTTAGTGTGGCTCTAAAGGTAGTCACGTGCCGCCCGGCTTGCCACCTATTTACTTGAATAACTCTGCGACCACGTATCGCCTCAGCTTGAGACCTATATCAATCAATCGGTAATTGAATGCGCTTTCATTTGGATTTGGTTGCATGCTTGTAGCTATATGTTTCAGAGAGTTATTTGGATTCGATTGATGTGGGCAGCTGGGGGCGCTAAATGAGGCCCGGATTTAAAGTTTTAAGGGATGTACTAGGTGTACGGATAAGCCCCGATAGCAAAAAGAGGTGGTACGAATAGCAAAACTCTTTTTTTAATAATTAGAACCTTTATTGTTTTTAAAGTTATTTTGATCCTTTTATTAATTAAAACGTTATTGTTAATTGAAAGCTTTATTCTAAAAATTAACGTTTATTTAAAAAGTCGTTTATTCTAAAAGCCGTTTATTCAAAAATCGCTTAATCAAAAAGTCTATAGTCAATTTATTTAAATTAAAAAGTCTAAAAACCGTTTATTTAATTCAAAAAGCCCACAGTTTACTAGCCATTATAACTCATTTTGTTACCTCCCATATGAGATATACTATACCTTATTTATCCGATTAACCCCTTACTTTAAAAGACCACATTTTTGGCATTTTGTTACTATTCTAATATAGCGTCACCTATCTTTAATACTTATTGAATGGCTGTATGGTTCGAGAACGTTTATATTAGAGTTTGTTGGCGCTGTTGAAACGAAGCCTGGAAATGCCTAGGACAAACACTATTATCCCCTTCCAGTAGATGGTGGCAGGTACGCCAAAAAAGAAAATGCGAAACATTGTGGTTATGTATTTAAAAATATTTTAATAACAAGGTCTAATCCTTAGATCTTATCCTTTTAATATATAGGTCCACCCATATTTATCTCTTAAGTAGGCTAAGGCTATTAACCTAGGTTAGTACACATATGACAGCGGTCAGTGGTCAGGTCCAGACTCTCAAGACTCTGTGCGTTCGGCAACGGCCGGCTGGGTATCTCGTACCCTAATTATATCATATAATTGCATATGCACAGTATGTAGATAATAACCCGGTCTTCATTTGATTTCTCAGCTGCCCATGTCCACGAGACTACCTAAGCTAAGGTATCCTGATTCATCATACTGTTGATATCAATCTATTGCGATGTAGTATCACCAACATGGTCGGATTCAAATTGGATATATACACACATATGTCTATGCATATAAGGTATAAGTAATTGCGTGTTTCTTTACTCCAAGCCAAGCCGTGAATGATTACATACGACGCAGTCGCCCCGGTAAACTGTGCATCATGCATGCAATCAGGCAGCTCAAGGTTGCAATCGAGGCCATCTCGCGCCCTTCCAGACGTCATACTTGCAATAGAGCGCGCCCATCGATGATTGGATGCATGCCTACCTAGGGTGCTCTAGTACATAGGTAACCTTGATAAATCGTCAGTATCGTTGTGTGCCTTGAACCAGAAAGATAAAGTGCTCTTTCATCTTCTCAACGACGTATAAATAAGTAGGCGATGCGCATCGTGTACCTACTTAGGTTAGGTGTTTATAACGTATAAGATTCTTTTTTCTGCATTCCGAGCAAAGCTATTACCGAACCAAGGTAGCTGTCTTTTTTACCCCAACACATCCCAACATGGCTGATATCAAGCCCTATACCATTGCTGTTGATGACCAACGGCTGAAGGACCTAAGAACCCGACTGTCTCTAGCCAGGTTTCCCGATGAGCTTGACGAAGCTGGTTGGCATAGTGAGTAGACTTTTCCCATTGTTGTTACCTTACCCCTAATGAGATATACGTCGATTAGGCTCTATTATGTGGCGGCAACTTTTACCTTTTGAAACTTAATGCTAGCAGTTCGGTGGAATGGAGGTGGCTAACACCAGCTGATTATAGTGGGAGCCCCTCTTGCCGATGTTAAAAGACTGACAGCATACTGGCGAGAGTCGTATGATTGGAGAAAGGCAGAGAAGGAACTGAACGAGGTGCCACACTTCGTCACCGAAATCCAGTGCGATGGGTTCGAGCCTCTGGATATCCATTTCATCCACGTTCGGAGTAACGTCAGAGGTGCCATTCCTCTCCTGTTCATGCACGGCTGGCCCGGCAACTTTTGGGAGGTCTTCAAGATCCTGAAGCCCCTAACTGAAGGCGGTGACGGGGTGAAATACCCGGCATTCGATCTGGTCGCGCCATCATTGCCGAATTTTGGGTTCTCTGGGGGCACCAGGAAGCGAGGCTTCGCAATGGAGCAGTACGCTGAAACCATGAATAAACTCATGTTGAAGTTGGGGTATAAGGAATACGTCACGCAAGGAGGTAAGGTGTTCGTCCCTATAAACCATCAGTATGGAAGACGACCCTATTGACATAACGAGTAGGTGATTGGGGTTGCCATATCAGCAGGACTCTCGCTCATCTGTATCCCAAATATTGCAAAGCAACTCACCTCAATTTCGGTGCTGCTAATCCCCCCGAGTACGCCAAGAACCCCATTCTTGCTCTCCAACATGCTACCACGCCTTACAACTCGCGAGAAAAGCATGGCGTGGATCGTAATCGGTGGTTTGACCAAGAAGGCAGAGGATATAATCTAGAGCAATCTACCAAACCGCAGACTCTTGGCTACGCGCTGGCGGACAGCCCGGTAGCCTGTCTAGCCTGGATTTACGAGAAGCTTCATGATGTAAGTGAAACCTTGAGCTGTTTCCCCCCCTTTCTCTCAACCTGTCTCGGGATCTGGTACTTTCTGGATGGACTCTCGATTGGGAATTATCCTGCGCAAGACATACATGAAGGCCCCCTTAGACATTTTGAATGAAGATGTACTAACATTCACATCCATTGCAGTGGACGGATGCGTACCCCTGGACTGACGACGAAGTCTGTACCTGGGTCAGCATCTACTGGTTCAGTACGGCGGGCCCCGCCGCCAGTGTCAGGATTTACTACGAGACGCATCACAACGTCGATGGCAGGAGGGATAAGGTTGATGTTTCCCGGATGAAGTCTTGGTCCCCGGGCGTGAAGCTAGGATTCAGCCACTTCCCCATGGACATACACGTTCAACCCAGTACCTGGGTGCGTACATTGGGCAACGTCGTATATGAGAAGGAGCATGATAGTGGCGGGCACTTCGCCTCCTGGGAACGACCCGACGACATTGTCACTGACGTTAGGGAAATGTTTGGGAAAGGGGGCGGTGCCTTTGGTGTCGTGAAGGGTGCTACAGGTTACACTTCGTAATTACTAGGTCAGGTATATATCGCGATGAAGAAAGATACAACCTGAAACCAACACCGCTTACTAGCTGGGATTTCGCTTATGGCTTTTAGACACAGGCGAATCTATTGGAGATTATCTGAAATAAGATTAATAATTAATAATGCCTGAGTGGTTGGTGAGTAAAGCTGTCGTTGTAGATGTAGATAAGGGGAATGACCATGTCAGTTGGTCGGTTGGTAGTAGGTGCTACTATTAAGATCGGACATCGGCGTTGCGTTCCTAATGGATGAGACCGTGTTGTAAAGTGAGGCTGTCTCCGGGGCTTTTGTCAGTGGCGTATTGATATTTACTTAGTCTCGCGTGTGGCATACTATAGCAACCCTCGTCGGAAATGAATCGATAGTTTTTTTCACTTCATCAATAGATACATACTTATGAGAAGGTATAGTACATGTACAGATCTCGAGATCGCTGGTTAGATGGGAAGCTAGCAGGATAACAAGTTAGCTAAAAAAAAAAATCCATTGGGAGGATCTTATATAATTGGATATTCCTAACCTAGGCGCAAGGGTCAGCTTTGTCCAGCTCTCTGGGCGTGGGGGGATTTCTACTTTGTTAGTAGCGCCAGCTGATGATCTGATAACGTCGATCACCTGGGACAGGGTCGCCGGAGGTTATGTATGTGCCTACCTACTAATTATGGTACTGTACATTAGGTAGCTCGTTGTTTCTAAACTTTCTTGAGGTCCAGGAGAATTACATGTATACATTATATCTGACCACACCAGTTAATTATAGGTTTGGCCTAGGTTAGAGGATTACATAGCTTCATCTTCCCGAATAATCATCAATCACTCACTACGCCGTATAGTATAATGGTTAATACATGCGCGAAATACTGCCGAAGAATTCGAGCATCTCCGAAATAGCGAGATGCGTCAGCACCGGTCCTTTTCCACATCTAGTGAGGCTGTCTTTTTTAGGCGGTTGAAGCAACTGATACAAGAAAACGCCACGATCTTATGGCACGACGTCACCGGCGAGAGCAAGATACTTGCTCTATGTCGCTGCTGGATACTAGATCTGCATTACCTTAGCAGATGTCTCAGCTCGCAAGACATCATAGGGCTGGGGTAGAACAGCGAAATCGGGGGATTTCAACAACCAGTAGCGCGGGTTCCAACCCTACACTTGCATACCTACATGATCAACCTAGTATATATATATATGCATCCTTATGTAGTAGTAGGTAGTAGTTTGTTCATCAATTCCCTTCAGGCTTCCCCCCCTTCCAGTGTGTGACGTTTCAATGGGTCAAAGGTGAAGAACTCCGGCCAACTTGGCATGGTGACGCTAGAAGGTTTCTAGAAGGTGTCAATCGACGCCTCGAAATTTGGATTGTTGGCTGACCCGTTCCTGTGGATGCTGCCAAATGGAAAATAGGATAATAGTTGGGGTTACACGTGGTGGTAAAAAAGGGTTAGAAAGGAATATTCCAACTCTGGCGACCGACGAGTGGGTGATGATATGCACGTATGTACATGTAGGTACTGTACGTATGTGATGGAGCTAGGTTAGTTTTTTTAGGGGTTTTTTTTTTTAATTAGAGGGGCTAGCTAAAATATAAAAAGATGTTCTAAATCAACTGGTAAAATGAGGAAATAAAGATAAAAATGAAGTTGATGACGCAAATAACTACTGGACATGTTGAGTATGTACAGTAATTGAGTGTGTATTATGTAGAACAGTAGCGTATTATGAACGTATCATGAACGGAGAAGTAAAATATTAACTTAACGTTACTTCAGTTGAACAACCTTGGAAGTTAAAACGTTGGTGGTTCAAGTAACTATTATGTACCCAAGTACTCAGGTTTAGTGGTGGTAACGGTGGTACGTGCGCAGGTTCGTCTGAAAAAAATTCCTATTGCGGAACTGTCCGGCCTGGAAGACGACATGATTGGTCCGCAGCTCGCCTGAACATTCCCGACCACCACTGGCACCAGCCATTAATGATTTGTGGTCCACTCTTTCTTCCATCTAGCTTCTAGAATCCTTGCCTCCTCGGAGATGCCACGCTCAACTTATCGATCATCATCTCTCCACATTTTCACTTTTTCACTTTTTTCAAGGGAGCAAAATGTAAATGATCTGCTTTAGTGTGAATAGTATGGCTGTATGGCTGTATAGCTGTATAGCTGTATGATAGTTATGGTTCTTATCCCAAAAGGTCTGCCGGCCTATATGCAGTACTACATACAATCCTAACCTACAGCTGTGTACTTGCACAAACAAACACATCAGTAGTATATGACATACACACCTGACCTACCACGCAGGCACTATTATGTCTAGCTCTTCTATATTATAGTAAGTAGAAGCAATAAAGTGTATAGCAAAGCACTAACCTAGTTATCTCCCTCGGCATGGGTTTTAAGGGGAAGCCTATTCGTTCTGATACTCAGGTGATCAAGAAAAAATAAATCCGGAGGCAAGGCCGTTCTCGGCCTCTAGAATAGAATCTTGGCATCCTCCACCGGAGTCACCGACATTTCAACTTCACTCTCTACTATGTATATTCATACATACATACATACATACATACATACATACATACATACAATACCTATCACTTGCTACACTACTATATGTATGTAGGTATAACGAAATCACTAATAGGCACCAACCTACGACGGACTAGCCAGCCGTAGACCTTTCTGGTCTAATAGGCTAACCGTACCGGAAATATAATCTAGCAATGCCTATTGGAAGCCGTTCGTCACCTGAATGACCTTCTGACAACGCCTCTCAGCCGTCAGCTCATTCTTCTCTTGACAGCCACTGCATACAGCTCTCTCCCCGGATTTTCGGCTGCCTACCTCATGCAAGTGGTCAGGGGAAGAGTAGTTAGTCACTACGACACCAACGGGGCTGTATCTGGGGTTGGTATTAAGTAACGCTCGGTGACCGTTTCTAGACGCGTCAAAATGTTCAGACGAAAACCGTACTTATACGTGTATACATACATATAGGTACCCAGGTGGATTATAGCTGGGTGGGCTTAGTTAACAAGATTCCATCGGCACAGAGCTTGGGCCTATGTACGCATCGTACAGTAGCTTCATACCTGAACCGCTGGACCGGTCAATTGTCTTGCATCCCACTAAATGGAAATCTCCATACAATCTGTTAAGACCTTTAGTGTCTTGGACTCCGCATGACATATTGCCACCTGTAGAGTTGACGTATCCTGTCTGTTATGTTCTATTCTTACCGTCAGCTGAGATTGATTCATACGTACACCGCGTCAACGAAATTTGGATACCAGTTACCAGATACCAGATATTGGATATATGGTTATAGAATTCGTATTCGAGGTAGTTAATAGGTAAGTTTAGAAATCGCCATAGCCAACCTTGGAATATCCGACAAGCCCTGTTCACACTAGTTCCACATACCGGACCACCAAATAAAGTCGCCTTACGGGAACAGGGGCGGGATCTTTTCAGATCCTACGAGATGAAACATGTAGGGACTGATTAAGCCGAGCAAATATCCATAGACGTAGAAACAAGACATGGAATAAGTCATGCACATACGTAGGGGCGGGGCTACCTAATCAAGTAACTGCGCTCAGATATTTAACTTGCGGTCCGGGTTGACACTCGGGAGGGACCCGTTTCCAAGATTGAGTTCAAGATATGTCGTTGGCAACTTCAATGTCGGTAACTATGCATAGGACCATAGGACTACAGGTAGTTAACTGTGTAGATATGTAATGGCCCTAGGTAAGGAGGTAGGTACCCAAGTATCTAAACTAGATGGGTATACAATACATGGATCTATGGATATTGAGGAGAACTGTTGAACATCATCTACGTAGTTATACATACATACGTTCGTACCGTCCGGTGTAAGCTGCCCGGCTGCTTAGCATCAAGTACCCTGCGCTTAAAAAAGACTGGCATACAGATCACATAGCACACACCCCACTCCGCTAACTTCAAAGTGTTCACGCTTACCTGTTCAGCAGTTAGAGCCTACAAGGTATATTGCCTTGCCAGGTTTGCCCTACCCTAAGGTACATGGGACCTACATGGGAGATCGCCTAGGAACTACTAGGAACCTGGGAAGTTGGAAGCATCAAGGTTGTAGGTTGTGCGGAACCTACATGGACTTACATATGGCTCCTCAAGAATCAAAAGCTAGCCATCATCCGCTGCAGCTCCAACTTTCCCACTGCAGCAGTACTCCACTTGAGATCATCTTTCCTAGTTTGCATTTTGATATTCTGATACTTTGATATTTTGACATTTTGACATTTCGATATTTTGAATAACCCAACAGCGCTCTGACGAAGAAGAGTGAAACCTCTTGAAGCTGCTGTATTTACTATTGTTGTGTTATTAGTATATACCCATTTTATAGCTTAGTCGCAGTGATCAACCAAAAGAGCCTCAGTCCGAACGGCCCCGTTTCCATTTGAGCGTGAGAGACTACGCCCGTTTTCACTCCACAGTCTAATACCATACCGTATCCTCTTAACGCTCGCACCTTGACCCGCAGCACGTACGGTACTAAAGGTTAGGTAGGTACCTACCTAACTACTGCATAAAACCGGAGGGGCGTTAGGTGGTATTGGATTTTTTTCTATTATACTGGACTGGGAGTGCTATACTCGAAGGACTTGAAGGACAACACAAACATTTCCGCTTCCATAATTCGCTTAGAGCACAACCCCCCCGGAGGCGACCCGAACGTTCCAATCCAATACCTATTGTCACTTACATCGAAAGGTCCTGTCGTGTTCTGAACAAGGGGGACTACGTGGGTAGTACAATTGAGTTTAACAGCATCGACACATAACGCACCACGACTAAATAGGGAGCAATAGACCCAAGTGGAAGTTTGATGACAATTGAGCCAAGAGACGGCAATAAAATCGACCAACAGTCACCGGAAGACTAGCCACTTGCTAGTAAGACTGGATACCGCACCGCCAATTCCCATACGGAGAAGAAGGAGAAGGAGAAGGAGAAGGCGAGAAGAAGAGAAAAAAGAGGAAAAGAGAAAAAAAAAAGATCTACCCACCTCCCGTGAAAATTGATATCCTCTTTTGCCATCAACCTTACCAGTCCTACCTACCAGCCAGCCAGCCTACCTACTTACCTACTTACCTCCATCCATCCATCCATATATCCATACAATCATCTCCATAATATCTACCACCTAACCTTCCAGGGCTATACATACATACATACCATACCTAGATCTACCTACTAACCTACCTGTCTACCTACCTACCTACATACTGTCATACATCCATTACATATAACCTACCTGCCTATACCTAGTACAGTACAGTTACAGTACCTACCTTAGTAGTTAGCTGAACTTCGAAGCCAACCAAGCAAATAAGCCCAAGTTAACTTACCTATTCCTACCTATTACCTGCCTAGCACCTAAGTTAACATTGGCCATTAATACTTTCGATTTCAATTACATAAAACCAAACAACATTTTCCCCTTCCATCTACTTTACCACAACTTGTCACCAACCCTATACCCCTCACTATTTCCGTGTATCTTCATTGTTACTCTACTTAACAGCTTAACAGCTTCCCCTAGAGCCGCCTAGATCACCCTTATCTGTTGAATCTTGACAGACATCGCTGTCCCCATCTGTCGGATCCCGTTTCCCCAGATTATGTACTGATTAGCGCTGCATGCGCGCGCTTCACTGCCGAACGGTTTCTTGTTAACCTTTTTTTATTTTCATTCTTCCTATTTCAAGGCGTTTCGGCAATATCTTTAAGAGCCACACGTACTAAATAATATTTCCCTACCTACCCAGGGTACTTAAGCCACACACGCGCGCGTACACATACATACACACGCACTTATACCGGACAAGCCTATTAGGAACCGGTAGCAGCTGTCCCTTCACAACGCATCTTCTTCTTTCACCCCAACCTCACTTGAGAGGCGTTTGCCGCCGCGCGGTAATCGTCTCCTCTTCTTGATATTGTCATGTCAGACAAGATGTCTATCGACAAGAAAGAACACTCCAGAGACGACTCGGATGAGTCCATTGGCTCAAGCCCTGAGAATGATCCCGGCCCGTCAATACCGTCAGAGAACCAGCCAGCAAAACGGAAAGGAGGGCGCAAGCCTGTAAGTTTACTCATACATGATATCCCGTCCAAGCTCGCAGTCTACCTTGCCCAGTGCCAGTGATTTGCGCCGCGTCCGGGGTCGTTGTTGTTCTGAGGACTACAGTTTGGGTCTGTAAGCTAACAGTGAGCAAAAAGATCTACGCCACTTCAGAGGAGCGGAAGCAGAGAAATCGCCAGGCGCAAGCCGCTTTTAGAGAGCGTCGAACAGAATATATCAAGCAGCTCGAGGAGACCATAAAGGCTCACGAGTCAAATTTGGCAAGTTTGCAAGCTGCCCATCGCAGCGCTGCGGACGAATGTTTGATGCTTCGGTACAAAAACTCCCTTCTTGAACGCATCCTTCTTGAAAAAGGTAGGCTCCACCCCTATTTTAGTTTGAATCGCAAAAAAAGGTCGCATGGCATGTGCTAACTTGGGAATAATTGTTAAACCTATCTAGGTATTGATGTCCAAGCTGAGCTTCATGCCAAAACAGGCAGTCCGAATCTTGGTCCAACTCATATGCCCCAGAATATGGTGCAGCCGCCGCCAATGCCGCGGGCGATCCTTAACAGACATCACCACGCACGCAGGTCTGCTTCCAGCATCGCTCCTAAGCTCGAACCTGGTGTTTCCAACCTTGCCCAGTCTGCGGGTGTGCAGGCTTTAGCCTCGCCCAAGACCAGGCCGACGCCTCCTTCTCATGCCGCTTCTCCTACTAACCCTACGCCCCCTTTTGGCACTCAGGCAACGTCTTCCCCTGCGCCCTCGGAGCATACGAACATGCGTTCGACGATTCCTCCGCCTATGAAGTCGCAATTGGCGCCAATGCCAGGGATGGCAGCAGCAGCGCGCCAACAAATGATGCAGCAGCAACAGCAACAGCAACAGCAGCAGCAGCACGCCGCTGGTCCTCGGCCGCCAACCTTCTACCCGACGCCATCCTTCCAAAATCATTTCCAACAACTCGGCAAGCTGACCCGCCCCCTTGTGTTTTAATAGAACTTTGTCGTCCTATGTCTAACCCGTGAGTACAGAACAGGAGTACGACGCACCGACCGACATGCTGGACGAGCCCGAGCCAGACACCCCGGGTCCGGGTCCCTATCCTTCGACGTTCCAGCAGGTTGCCCAGCAGCACGGCATGTCCGTCCAGCCCGCGACCTCGGGGCCGACTGGGCAGCCGTCGATGGCCTCGGGGGGCCAGGGCAACCACCAGGCGCACAGTCAGGGACAGGGCTACCCTAGCATGACGCAGCTACTCGACCCGGCGCTCGACTGGGACCCGTTCGGCCTCAGTGCGTCTATGGCCTTCCCGACGCAGTTTTCCTTTGACACGAGCAACATGAGGTAGTATTAGTAGCAGTAGCAGTACATACGCACGCACGATCAGCGCTTAGCCCGAAGCGACAAACGTATCAGCGAGACGATATTTAAGAGAGCCAAGTTTTGATTGGAAAAAAAAGGGGGGGAGGGGGGGGGGATTGAAAAAAACAAAAAGAACGTAGGCCCATAATTTTACGACATTATATCCAAACGAGCCAATGGAACATATTCAGCGAGGCGGTTTCAATGGCGGCGGAGTTTAGCAGAAGCAGAGGGAAATATGGCGCCATATATTCTTTCCGGAAGATATTTTTATCATTTACAACTTGAAGAAGAATTCGACGGGAAGAACGACTACGAACGATATACCTTACCTACTCATGGCATTGCTAAAAAAAAATGCCATGAAGAAGGAGAAGGAGATGAAGAAGAAGAAAACAACAACAACACCAATGAATTATTGCGACAACTACAGCATCACGGCGGGCAAACAAGGGGGGGAGGGAAAATGAGAGAAAGTTTCGATTCGGTACAATGGTTATTATCTTAACGAAGAGTACGCACGGAAACCCTTATATATCCAACGACGACAGGAGTTGAAAGGAGTTCAAAAGTCATGATGTTTTGGGTCTACGGATTAAAGAAAAAAAAGTTTTTTACAGTCAAAGGCCTGGAGAAGAAGAAGAAGAAAAAAAAAGCCTTACCTATTTGCGACAACGAAGTGAATTCCTCGGTTCGGAATATTACTTGGTATATATACATTGTATACATACCTGCCTATATACCATTATTTTGTTTGAGGGGAGGAGAAAGATTGCCACATAGGGCTTCTGCCTTTCACTTGTAAAGCCGTGTAGCCATAGGCGTTATATTTGTTCATTATCACACAAACCCCTATCGAACCTGTATATACCCACCCAGAGGCAAATTTGGGGGAACGGCACGGCACACAGAAGAGTAGAAAGATGAAAAGCCATGGATTAATTGTCTATAGTTTTATCACGTATGCATTCTAGTTTTTAGAAAGATAATTACTTACATGTATGCATGTATGTATGTATGTATGTATGTAATGTACTACTAACTACTTACCTCCTCTACTTACCTAGTATTTACCAGCCTACAACATACCTCAGGACCAAGAATCTCAACTTGGACGTGACCATTGACAAATGACACTGGATGGACGAAACAGAGCCATGGATTCAACCACGCATCCATTACGCGCCATGTTCTCAGTTTCACAGCAGGTCTTGGTATAGCATTCATTACCCGACCTCCTCCTCCTCCTCTTCCTCCCCCCCTCTCTCTCCCCCCTTGCCCCCTCCCTCATTTTCTTTGTCCTCGGTCTGGTTTTTTTTAAAAAAAAATCGATGGACTCGAGAAAGCGAGATGAAGGGATTAATTTTGGCGAAGGTACATTAGCGTATAGCTGCAGTCTGATTTTGAATTTGTTCTTGTTCCTTCGAAATATTTGATGCAGAAGGCCAATCCCGGCAAAGCCCGAGGGGTAAAGTATCCGTGATCGGAGATATATTTTTTTCTTCCCTAAATTTTTTTTCCTTCCTTTCGTCGGAGGCAACAATTCCAAACCGAAGAATTATAACGGCAAGGGAAGGAAAGGAAGAAAAAAAAAAAAAAAGAAACCGTTCGAAAAAAAAACGGTCACATCCAAACAAATTCTCCTCTTTTACGGTCGTAATGTACCTGCCTAGTAGCAAGTTTGGGAAAAACTGTTGTGAGAACCACCTGAGGGGAAGGAGGGGTTTGCCTGGTATGATCGCTCCACATGGGATTGCCAAGGCAGGAAGTTGTACCCGGTTCGTGCACAGCTTGTGAAGTCTTTACCCAGGCAAGTTAGGTCCCCTAAGCTAGGCTGGTAAGGGTTAACTTGGGGGGGATGTAATTAGAAGGGTCAAAGCTGTGGGCTCCGCTATTCGTGCCGCTTGTACCGACCGGTTATCGGTCACATAGGAAAGATGTAGGTTCAAAGATGTTGGTACAAAGATGTTGGTACCCAGGTAGTGTACGTAGCCTTCCAAGGTTCGGAGCTAGATCAGATTAGATCGTACCACTAAGCCTGTAGCGAACCTGTACATAACCTGTAGTGTGTACCTACATGGCCTGTAGCAGGCTAGCCAGCTTGCTGTAGCCTGTACGTAGTACTAGATACTACATGTACCTAGGTAGGTAGTGTAGACCAGTATAGTACTAACATAGTACGGGTGCTAAGGATGCCCCTTGCTCGACACGCTTCTATGTTCCCGAAGCTCCATCCAATTTTCAAATCTCCTTCCTTAGCTTCCCCCCCAAAGCGGTCTGGTGGGTCTTCATTCGTTGTCGTGGGGGTTCATAGTAGGTTCAACTTGGCTTGGTTCCTTCGTGTCTTTACGCCGTAGTTCACTTCACTTCAGTTAGAGAGGGCCATTCCCAAATCCAACCTTTGGATGGATCTCCAGACTCCCACTCGATCGTATACATAGTTTGCATACTTTGTATGGTCTACTGTCTTGTATTGAAATGTATTGCCTCCTCAACGGTATTAAAGCCCGAGCCTCTGGAAGGAGCTTGCTTTGGTGGATTCACATGGAAGAGCTGGCTAGGAGAAAGAAAGCTGTTCAGTGGAGTTTGCTGATTCGGTGAATGGCGGTGGGTGGCTGGTCGGTGTTGGAACTTGGTGATGAGTTGTGCCGCGTATGAGATTGCGGAGTCATCGTCGTCGCAAGTGGAGTTGACCATCACGGGTTTATCCCACCTAACCCATCCTACCGCTAAAGAGGTCCAGCATCATCGTCAGCACCCAGCCAAGCTTTATTTGCTTTTGAGCGCTCCGCATCAATTCCCGCACAACAAAGTTCCAGCTAGCCCAGGTAACTGTACTCCGGACGTTAAGATCCTCGGTCAAGCTCCCGCATGAAAGGGAATAAATCGCCAAGTGGTGCCAGAGAGGACCCTGCAAGGAGACACATGTCGCGTGACTCAAGGGGAGGGGGGAGCCACCTTCCCCTGAAAATTGATCTAACACGCGACACAACGGCCCAAGTCCACGTACGAGCGGGAATGCATCCTTTTTTGGACCTGGCAGGAAAGTACCTGCGTGTTGGGAAGGCAATGTCCATAAACTACCGGATCGTCGAGTCGAAGGTGATCAGGTACACGATAGCCGTTCCGCTTGGCAGCCCCTCAAGTACCATCGAAGGATAGGTAGGTATTGATGCGTTCGAAATCAAGGGGGCCACGATCATCCCAAATCGACGGCCTCCAAACTCTGGAGCCTCTTCATCCTGTATGATGCGCTGCTGCATATTTCTGTCTTCCCGTCACCTGATTGCCTTGCTCTTTTTTCCCAACTCTTTTCATCCTTAATTGACTCTGATATCCTTCCATTCCCACGATGCAAGCGTTAGGGTCATCTTGGACCGAACCTAACTGTTTCATGACATCTTTTTCCTCCCAAGACTCACTCATGTCTTGAGGTTTGCTTAAGAGGAATGCCAATACCGGTTTAAGTTTCCAAGTCCAGTCCAAGGGCCATGTTCATGACAAATACCTCACTCGAGGCAAAAGACTATCTATGTCTTGTTAGCAGTGTGAGAGCACTGCATCTCGATAACGAAGCACAGACAGAAAAGATAAGGATAGCCAATAGTGACCATCAAAGGACACTTGTCCTAAACATATTTGTGAGAAAAGGAAAAGAAGAGAGAGAAGAGGTAGGAGTTTATTGAACTATTCATCATGTCTTTCTTAAATACTACTTAGATCAAGAAGAGAAAGAAAGTTAGGTAGGTCATGAACACGAGCAGCAACCCGGATATTTACAGCGTCTGCTTCTCAACCTAAGCACCGACAGCAAAGTTACAAAGACGTTCATCAGACGAATAAAAGAGAAGATATCCTGGATATTCTTGGGAACCTGTCGCAGAGTATTTATTTGGATGGGTGGTAACCTGTGGCTGGCTTATCTCTGGTGTCTGTGTATTGTTTGGTATGATAGGCGAACCAGAGATAAGGATGCCATTATTAACAAAAATCCGAATCCCTCCCGCGATACCCCACGATCTAATGGGTTGCGAGGTATCTTTTGTCTATTTTCAGGCCCAACGACGCCTTTGCCGGCGCCCCGTCTTGCAGATGCGTCAATCCGCTGATGAATGTTATGAACTAGATGAAAAGTAGTTACATAAAGGTTAAGTAAGATATAGCTCTTAGGTCCCTGTCTGAAGATCTATCCCTACGTACAGACCCTACAAGACCCTACGAGACCCTACAAACCCTTACAAACCCCGTCTATCTGAACCTATCAGAGTCAGACCCTTGACACCTATCTCTAATGATAACAGCTCGGTTGTGGGACCTCGCAGGCCTCTCGCAGGTCTTGCCGACAATTTTCACGGAAACTATAAGGTAATATGCCAACTACACCGAAATCACGACATATCGACGCGCTGTCACCTGCTTTCCCTTTACACCTGCGGTGAAGCAAGCAATTATAACTTGCAAGCACCGGCGGACGTACATAGGATGGATTATAATAAGCCGAATGCGGCTCTCTTCTCGCCCTTTTTCTGCAGCGGGAATCCTCTTTTCTATATACATGCATACATCTCCGCGGAATTCTTTCCCTATATCAAAACGATGGGATCTGGCCTATTAACGCCTCTTGAGCTTCGTATCCCTTCACAATCAGGAATTGTGTCCAGATGTCACATTTTTTTTTTTTCGTCGCCTACTTCGGCGTCGATGCCGTGGTCTAAAAGGGCCTTTGCTGATCTTCGAGTTTTTCGGTGCTTATGAGTTATTAAGGCATTATTAGGTAGGTAGAGCGCAACTTGATCCTTTTTTCTTTCTTCACCACCACGCAGCTTCACTGGACTTCCTAAGCGTTTAGTTTGTTTTCGAAATCTAGAACCTACATAGGCCGATATAGCAGCGCGCTTTCGTTTAGAAATGGCAACTGCCACCCGAAGAATAGGATGGATCTAAATATCTCAACCCTTCTCTCTCGTCACCTATGCATGACTGGGTGCCTGCCTATATATCAGGTCTATCTTGGGTACTTTGGGCCAGCAGCAAGGAAGATCGACATCCTATGTTAGTGAAATTTCCCATACGGAAAGCAAACATGAGAAGCGAATTTTAAGTCTTAAGCGTCCCGTTGGTCGGTGTTGACATCGAATCTGGTCGATTCAGCTTTTTCATGATGACTTGGCCGCAGACATACATTAGGTGAGGTAGGCATACGAGATGATTTGGACATGTCATGTTCACGTTCGTTCTTACCTATTCATGCCTGCCTGTTTTCAACTCAAGTCCCCCTATGTAGTCAGGTCAAGAAGTCGTGTAGGACTTGGTAGGTATGTGACCTGGAGGAGGCAAGGTAGGAGTGAATCATAGCGAAGCTCGGCGGTTTGGATGTAAAATTCTTTGCTAGAGAACTAGCTCACCGATACAGAGGTAGAGGTCGTATCAGATGTCTCATGATTGTAATTGGGGCAAGTGTTGATATACAACCTGGTCTACCAACCTAGGTTACATGTTTGTTCTATATCAGAAGGTAGAGAGAGGTAGCTCATGGCAATGGCCATACTCCTGGTATTCACTCTACCTGGTTCTTGAAAGAGCGAATGAAGAGTGATGGCTTGTGGGAAAGATGTTGGTATATCTCGAGGATTAGGTATTTGCATATGTAATGGTATAACAAAAACATTCATAGCTTATCTGCCTGTGTAAGGTGTGGCCTTCGGCGACAACTACAGCTCTAGAGTCTAGAGATACTTAGTAATCTTGGGGGGCTATTATTAGCTACCCTATCCGCTATCTGACTGCACACTCCACATATATACATACATAGTATGTAGGTGAGGTAATCCCTTGTGAAGGAATGCATGTATGTAGGTAAAAGGAACCTCGGCTCATCATATTAGATACCACATAAGGGGCAGCTTACATACCCAAGACATGTATATCTGATAGAATTATTGACGAAGAATACATCTTGTCCAATGAAGTCGTCACATGGCCCAGGCTCCTCTTGCATCAGAGAGTGGCTACCAGCGGCTAAGGTATGCAAGTGATGTAATTGTGGGATCTGGGGAATCACCCTAGCTACCTTTATAAAAGAATATACCCGGTTATGACATATGTAGGCTGTAAATTGCAAAATGCAAACAAAGGTGCCCTTCGAGAGATGATTAGCCATGTATGTCTCCTCGAGTCCTTGGTACCTGGATTGATATGTGATTTCTGATCGAGGTAAAGAGATGCACGTCAAAGATTATATATCTACATGCATGCCTGCCAAGGCACCTAGTGTCTATAATCATTTCGAATGAATAGTAGCTCTCGAGTGAATACGATCTACTATAAAGTAATAGTTGAATGCATGTATGAAAAAGGTATATGAATGAAGAAGGCCTTAACGGCAAGTGTCTTGGCTAACAGATCTTGAACCCTACTTGCTGGTAAGGATGCTTATTCAGCAGCGCACTAAAACTGGCAATTGCGAACACACAAAAAAAAACCTGAGGGAAAGCTTAGAATTAAGCGAGTCACGGGTCTGCCTAAATGCTAAAGGAATTTTAGAAGTAAAAAGAGCTCTGGAGAAGCTTAGAGGTGCTCAGGGCTTAAAGTTAGGCGGTTTTTCTAGTGGTATAGCACTAGGGGAGCTTCCCAAGGTTTGCAAACAAGCCCGCGCAAGGCCCCAAATCTCATCCACACATCTTCCTCTTACACAACCCGAAACCCGCACAACAATAACCAAGTAAAGTGCAAACCCAGCAACCAATTCTTTACCCAACTCAACCCAACCTCATCTTGCGACGAGGATACTGACGAGATAATTTATTTTATTCTTAAGGATATGACCTGCTAGGCCATATCCTTCTTTCCCCTCGTTGCATTCACTCCTATTGATCCGACTGTCGTTTCCACAGCTCCGCCTTGCTGAAAGGCGAATCAATTGGCGACACAATGTCGGTCGTCTCACCGGTATGCTTCAACCCTAACAATTCACAAGAGATTCAATTTCAACCGACAAGCCTTGCTTGTCCCTTCACTTATTGTCTCCCATGACTATATATTCTTCCCCCATCGTCTCATTGAAATATATATATAGCTCTACCGCATATGAAGCTAACTTTTTTCGTTGTTAGAATTTGTTCGACCTCCTCGGTATGACCATAACTATTGTTTGCCTTTGGCGAAAATTTTGCAGCGCGGGGATACCGAGTTACTAACATGAATCAATTGCTTACAGGTAACGATGTCGAAGGAGATGAAGCGCCGTCTGGCCCTGTGAAGACGGTTGACAAGACCATAATGCGCGGTACCAAGCGCAACGTCGAGCCGCAAGCACCAGTAAAGCCCGTTGCCAACACCGGAGCTCGTCGTTCTGGTCCTGGAGGCAACGAGGGAGGTCAGTACCCTACATATTTGCTATCTCTACATCTTCATCGACACTTCGATTTTTTTTCTTTAGCCCTATTTTCATTACCCCGCCTTCCGATGAACCCCGCTAACATACCTTGAAAATAGCCTACCGCGACCGTAACGCTGGGTCCGCCAACAACCATCGCAAGTCCACCGATGAGACTCCCCGAAGCGCTCCTCGAGGTGGCCGTGATGCCCGCGGACGAGGAGGTAAGATCAGAACAACATATGGCACTGGAGCTAAAGGAATACGTACTGACATAATAAAATAGGCCGCGGCGGTCGATTCCCTCGTGAACGTGACGACAAGCACACCAAGGGTGTCGCAACGTTAGCTCCCCAGGAGATCCCATTCGTCATTTACCTATGCTAATCAGTATTTAGTGGGTCGGAAAAGCAAGCAGCCCAGTCATGGGGTGCTACAGAAGGCGTTGCCGAGCAAAAGGACGAACAGGCCGGGGAGGAGATTGCCCAAACTGAATTAAAGGAAGCCACCGCAGAGGATGCCGAGAACCCCGGTACTCCCGTCGAGCCTGAGGACAAGCATGTGTCCTACGCAGAGTATCTTGCCCAGCAAGCCGAGAAGAAGCTTGCTCTCGGCGAGACCCTCGAGATTCGCAAGGCCAACGAAGGTAGCAAGGCTGACAAGAAGTGGGCCAATGCTAAGGCCCTGACCAAGGAAAACGATGATGATTACGTTTCCGGCGTCGGTGGCAAGGTCAAGCGTGAGCGTGAGCGCAAGGCCAAGCAACTTCTCGAGATCGACCAACGATATGTCGAGCCTGAGCGTACTGGTGGTGGTGGCCGTGGTGGTGGTCGCGGTGGAAGAGGAGGACCTCGTGGTGGTGCTCCTCGCGGTGACCGTGGTGACGGCCAGAGCCGCGGCGGCGCTCCTAGGGGCGATGGCGCTCCTCGAGGTCGTGGTGGTCGCGGCCGAGGCGAATCCCGAGGTGAACCTCGTGGTGAGTTCCGTGGTGGACGTGGAGGAGCTCGCGACAACTCCTCTTTCGCTCTCAACTCGGATGCCTTCCCTAGTCTGGGTGCGTAAGTCTATAAGACTCCTCCAGAGCCTTACGCTTTAAGGCATATTGCGATGGTGATGTATGCGCGTTAGGGTTTCGATGATCTAGGTATTCTTCGGGTGTCCGAAATTGTCGACGAGGCTCATCATTCGGAACCTTCTGGCTAGATACATCCCGAAGGGTAAATGATTTTCTCATTAATCCCAATAAACAAAAGTTTCTTTCAAATTTACTGAAGCAATGGTGTGTAAAATTTCGGTCGCGCAGAACGGGTATATCAATCTTCTATGGCAGTTTCTCATTACCCTGTATTGGTAGAAGGCTCGGCAACTTCCCAAGTGCTCGTTCCCATATTCCACGCTTATCGGCGATTATCTCTCGTGATACTCTCAATGAGACTTGGTGTCTCTTTCAGTTTAAGGTAGGTCCAAGATACAAGAGTAATTGTCTTGGATAATACCCTTGTCTCTTTCAGCTGTCGTCCGCATGAATAGCCTTGTATATATATCATCAAAGAGATTGTAATGTTCATTGTTTCTCTCATGACCTCTCTTGACAATATCTTTATCTACGCTGCGACTTATAGATTGCATCGCAGGCCCGATTGAAAGTACGAATTTCTGCTCGGTAAAACAACCCTACATAACACGCCTCAATCTCATGAGTAGGCCGTTGCACGAAGACTATATATCCTAGAAACTGTTAACTGTCTACCAGTACTCTGCGGAAGTTTTTCACCATCTACTTCGATTCTTGCATTATATGCCTACTTACCCGTCGATATAACTAGAACCTCTCACCTCTTCATCTCTACCTCGCAACTCTTACCCCTAAGTACTAATTACTACTTACTTACCTTAGTACCCATCTACCTACCTACCTACCTACTTACCTACTTACTCACTCACCTAAAAAAAAAATGGACATCAACTCCCCCCTCCCGCCCCCTCCCACCCTTGCCCTTCACGGGGAGCGACCTCCGTCTAGGCTCGAACGACGCGGTACCATGGGCGCGGAGATCCGCGTCTGCGTCGAGGAGGTCAGCGAGGTGGACGAGGAGGAGATCGGTGTTGTTCCTCAGGGGGCAGAGAAGCGGGAAGATGATGAGAAGGAGGAGGAGGAGGAGGAGGAGGAGGCAAAGACGGAGAACGAGAAGGCGTCAGTGGCGACGGGGTTCGCGTCGTCGCTGTCGCTGTCGCTGAGGGGGGGCTTGGTGGCGGTCCCGCCGGGGCCGAGGTCGCCTGCTGTTGTTGTGAGCGGCGATGGCGGCTGTGCCTGGAAATGCAGGGGTATAGGTGGGGGGAGAGGTAGAGGTAGAGGTAGAGGTAAGAAGAGTAGGGATAGAGCGTGGGGCTGGGGCGAGGATGAGGACGAGGATGAAGAGCATGTGCTGCAGGCGGCGGGGAGACTCACGATCCCGCCCGTGGGACAGAAACACTTCTTTCATGGGACCCCGGGTGCGGATGGTGATGGTGGTGATGGTGGTGATGGAAGAAAGGGGGAGGGGAACGGGAAGGGACCGGTTGTGCCGGTCATGGTGCTCGAGGCGGTGGCGAATGCGTGGAATGGGTGTGGGGAGTGTAATTGGATCTAGGTATAGGTACTGGGGGAGAAGGGGTGGGTAGGTAGGTGAGTGAATGGATGGATGGATGGGGCGTACGCTGGATGTACGGTCAACTGTTCAGTTCGTAGCATAGTAAGGCGAAAATTTGGGAAACGAAAATTGTAAGGTTGGTGTTTTGAGTATGCTTTATCTGCCCAGGTAGGTAGGTAGGTCGACGGCAGGAAGATGCATAGGTGAAAATAGGCAAAGTAGGCACCTCTTTGTTAGATAGGTGGGTACTAGTGTGTAATCAAGACTAGGTACCTATCCCGCATCTCTTTTGAGGAGTACTATATGCTTGTTTTCTGATGGCGTTGGGGATGGTGATCAATGACTTATCCAACCTAGTCGGTTGTTGCGTGGTGAGTTATTCTGTGAACGAGTGAACATGGTTATCGTCAACCCGATCGATCAGAAAGGGGTAAAGGGGGGGGCAGCTTGGGAATAAATATTCCGCGACACTACACTGGCTGCTCCTTGTTTACCTCCTCGGATTGATATATGCTCTAGTATCTGCGCCACATTTTCTTCCCGTTAATATCAGGGGATAGTCAAAGAAGCTATCTAGGAAGTAGACGGTACCTAGGTAGACAGGAAGTAGGAAGTCCTGGTAAAATCCCGCGAGATATAGAGGATATATCGTGGGGTATCCCTATCCAGCCGTTCTGGAGAAGTACCTAAGTAAACTCCTTCATTCCCTTCCCTTATTGTCGTTGATTATAGATCTCACCCATATTTCTTTCTTGCCCCTCTTGGGATTGGTTACCTAGGTAGACATCTTTTTTCATTAACTATTCATATATCCAAGAACCTATATACCTAGGTAGTAATAGGCTAGAAGCGTCCAAGCCTCGAAGCTTTGGCATCCGAAGAGGATATTCGTGAGGTGAAAATCACGACGGAGCTCACAAACTGTTGGAAGCGACTCCCCTATTGAGGCGTATCTAGAAAGTATCCATAGATCAACTGGAATCCCATTTGCCTACAGTAAGTAAGTGCCTTTTCATGATTCCCAAGCGAAACCTACATCGACGCGTACCTACTAGTGTATGTAAACGAGGAGACTCCCTTTATTTCCTACTGTTGGGGGTTAGCATCTAGGTAGGTAGCCAAAGTCTGATGTGGCATGAAGCCTCTGAACCAACTTAGCCTTTTAACCCCCCTTTCTCCTATGCCTTCTCTTACTTAACACTCGATGAAATAGGTATACATCTGTTCTCTAAACCACACTAGCTAGTGATGACACGTGTGGGAGAGTGAGGCCATCGATACTTTTATTCTTCATCCATCCTACTCGAAACAAGCACTTGATAGTGATGGCAGCTACAGCGAACTAGAGACACTGCGGAAAGTTCTCTTTCACCATCGTGGTTCGTGAGAGCCTATTACCACCCCCTCATTCTTTTCTTGTGTATTATTCTGCTATCAGATGTTAAAGATTAATTGGGGGTCTACCGTGTCTTCATCAAGGCTTGCCCAAGATTACCTACACAGGCCTATTCTTGCGAGATCAGCGCCTCACTCTAACAGGAGGGTGTGGGAAACAGGAGCTAACGGCCCAGAAAATGTTTAGGGTGTGATACCCGAAGGATGATTTGGAACACAGACATCTACCTATATGAGGATTCAGTGCTCATAATGATAGATCGGTAATATCGACTGTTGTATAATAGGTAGGCCATTGCTAGTGGCTGGTCTAACATAAGAAAAGCATTGGTAATGTACTATCGTCTCATGAGCTACTATGTAGGTACATGTACACTTCTCTATGAGATGAATATCAGCTAAGGGATAACACACGCCATATATGTACATAGTCCTACATAACTACTATGTACTAATGTAGTGTCTAATGCAATTGGAGCTTTCAATGATATTAGTGATGTATCTTGACGAGACAGATTCGATTGGTGATACTTATATACCTGTTTTCTATATGTAATTTTGACGATTGAGGTGGTACTTCATACTACATATGTATTCCGGGTATACTTGAGGCTACATAGTACATACTACTAGGTAGGTACCTAGTAGCCTAGGTAATATAAATGCTGATAAGAGGTAAATAAGGTTTGGGACTATCAATTACGAAAGCTTGGGTGACCTAGTAATTAAGCCATCTATGTCACACAGGAAGTTATGTTACGAACTAGCGGGTGAGACAATACCCCCCCATCTCTCTCGGCCCCCTCCCCCAAATCTGAATCGGGCCTTGACTGGTAGTCTGGTTTGATGGTTTAGGAGTTGCCAATAGCAGGTAGCGCTGGCAGAACCAATTGCCATGGCGAAGTGGGGTATAAAAGACCCCAAAAGACGCTAAAATGGAAAACTAGTACACTATGTGAGCGCAATAGGGCAGTTTGCAGGGGTCCATTAAACCCCAAAAAGTCAAGGGTCCTTTTAGAGCTTTTCCCATTCAAATGTTGTCCCCAGGTGCTTTACCTTGCCTAGCTTTACCAAGGTTGATACGCGAACATCTCACTTTTGTTTCGTACCTTTTCCTCTCTCCCCTACTCCTACCAACCAGACCAACCAGACCAACCAAACCAACTAGACAGCCATCTCGTAACCCCCCCTGCTCAGGGTCAACAGTAACCCCTTTTTGAGTTCAAACAAGACCGAACAAGTAGAATGGCTCTGTAGCAGATCATGTCTCGTCCATTGCTTTCAAACTTCATCTTTGCCGCCCTTACCTTTTGATCTACTCGTACTCACTTATCCGAATTTCGAATTTCTAATCTCGAATTTCTACTGCCTAGCCTATCTACACTGTCCACCTAGCCTAGTAGATAGATAGTACGTATGTAGTAGTATACTTGGCGGATACCAACCAAAAACTGGGTACATAGTACTGGCTATTGGGTAATGAGATATCGACATAGCGACATAGCGATATAGCGACATATCGACAAAATCGACATATCCACGACCACCGCAACCTCTGATGACTTGTGAGTGGTACTGTTGACGCTGATCGAGCTTCCCCCGCGTACACGGACCATCGACTTGCACTAGTTGTCTTCCCAATTCAAATTGACCTCCGATTAACCTCCAATTGACTTATCATTTTTTTCTGCGACACATTTGGGGGCTTAGAATCCTTTCATATCGTTCGGAACAGGAAATCCGGTCGTCAGGATCAACACCCCGAGAAGAAGCTCCACCTTGCGGCGGATCCGTCCAGTGCGACGATCATACCAAACGAGAAATAATCGACTATTTTTACTATGGCAATGGCGTTCCCCTATCTTACGCGAACCAACACCAACCAATCCCTTTCCAATGGCGCCGTTGGGAATCATCGCGCATCTCTCTCCTCTTTTTTATCTTCGCGCTCCGCCTCGCAGATGTCTCACGCTTCGCGCCCCCCGAAATCCCCCCAACCTCCTATCATGAACAACGATCGCACCTCCGATCCGAGCAGTTCGAAATCTAAGACTTCATCCCTCGGAAGCGTAACCGCCGCCTCGTCTCAGCACTCCTCTCTCTCTGCGCCGAAACGACCCAATCCCAATGGCCTGTCACCAAGAAAATTACGCTCGCAGTATCCGCGAGATGCTTCCGAGAACCATGTCGAATACATCTTGGTCGCGTCCTTTGACATTGATCGTGGTCCTGTCATGGAGCATCAGTACCCCGTCGCCATAACCGGCGACGAGAATATGTTGGCCGAACTCATGTTACCAGATCAGGTTCATTCTCGTACGCAAGATTGGACCATATTTTTCCTGCACAAGGACACCAGCCAAGAGGACGACGATGAAGAACGAAAAGACAAGGAAGAGAGGCGAAAGCGCAGGAAACGTAGAAAGGACAAGGCCGCCGGAATAATCAGCGAAAATGATGACACGAATGACGAACAAGGCGACGAAGAAGACGATGAAGATGAAGACACAGATGATGACCTTTCATCAGACTCGGAACCTGAGGGGGGGGAAGGACCCCCGTTAATATACGTATTAAATTTAGTTTACACGAGGCACGATAAATCAGTTAAGAGAGGTGCTGTAGTCAAAGCTATGGCTATATGTACGAGGCATCCCTTCTTACATATCTATAAGGTAAGTTACGTTACCACTTAGTTTTATTGGGCTCCTTTTTCTAACCATTGCAGCCTCTCTTGTTACTTGCGCTCGAAGAATATTACAAGTCACCGGTTCCTGAGACATTGGCATTACTTTATGATGCCGTTAATAATATGGACCTTTCTCTTTTGCCAAAGCTGAGTCTTCTCGAGAGGTACCTCTTACAATCCAGTAACAACCAGGATCTCTTTGTTGAGAAATTCGAACGAATGGTGCAAAGGCGAATTGCCCACGATAAAACCGAGGGTGTTGGCGAGCCATTCGACGCAAGCAAAAGCCCCCCCAAACCTCAGAACATCTCGCGAGCAGGAACCAAGGCATACCTTGAAGGACAATCTACATATTCGGTTCCAAGAGACACGCACGAGTTCGAGAGCAAAGTCATGTACAAGGGCATCCCAATCCCCGTCAAGGTTCCGACAGCGGTCATGCCTGAAACTGTGGGAGATTTCTCACTTATCAAACTGATACAGACCTTTTCAGAGCCGCATGCGAAGTCTCCACAGCAGTTCCCCATACATACCCACCTAACCACGAACGGCCCAGGGACTCATCCTATAATAGTACTGGCTAATGCGCTTCTTACCCAGAAGAGAGTAATTTTCCTCGGACATAATATGCCGTCAAGCGAGGTGGCGGAAGCCGTGCTAGCTGCGTGTGCCCTGGCGTCTGGCGGTCTCTTGCGGGGATTCACGAGGCATGCATTCCCCTACACGGATCTTACCAAGGTTGACGACTTGCTGAAGGTCCCTGGCTTTATTGCTGGAGTGACCAATCCAACCTTTGAGTTGCACCCAGAATGGTGGGATCTTTTGTGCGACCTCCAGACTGGGCGAATGAAGATTAGCGAGAGGATCGAAAACGCGGCAATAACGGAGGGACTTGTATACTTCCAACAGCAAAACCCATCGTTTGCGAACATGCTCAGCGGTTCATCTGGCACGTCTGCTGACTTCACCGGTGACATCATATTCATGAACGACATTCTCAAGAGCATAACAGCGAGGCGTGGTGAGCGAGTCATCCGGGCCAAGTGGCGTGACTGGGTTATTAGGTTTACACGAATAGCCGCGGCATTCGAAGAAACCGTCTATGGGGCTAGTGCGTTGTACATAGGAGGCGACGAGTTCGAAACTGTCTCGACTGAACACGGATATGTTTGGCCGGATGATGGTGCCAAGCAAAAGGAGCTAGCCGGTAATGTGTGTAGGATCGAGGGCTGGAGAAACACTCGAAGTTATTATAGTTATATCCAGGTAAGAGGAACAGCCTTGATCAGGGCACCAACCCCCTCTGTCCCTAACTAACCATTTGACCCCAGGACTTGGCCAAATTATACACAGTGAGACCACTAAAAGGCCTAGATTTGCATCATATGCACGATCGCTTAAGGTCACAGCGCCTAAGCCCAGAACAGAGTCGAGAAATCTACTTAGCATTCTCAAAGTACGTCTACTCGTATGACGAGGTCTGCCTACTGCTCTCAGTGGCGCCCGAATCGCACGCCGGGCTCTTCTATATAGCCCTCGGACTATTCCACAAAGACCGAGACGTGAGAATCAAGACGTCGGAGCTTATCGAACGCATCAGCGAACACGAAGCCGGTCAGCACTGGTGGAAGGGCATGAGCCGATTCGAGAAGCTGGCCTACCACCGCATACGGCGGGAGGTGGAAATGGAGACCAAGAACAAGCTAGAGAAGGAAGGCTTCACCCCAAGCGTGGAAAAGAGGAATAGCTAGCGGAGAGAGCTTCATGGGAGAGAAGAGGAGGGAAAGTAAAGAACCCGATGATATGAGTGTAGTTACCAAGGGAAAGGGGTAGGTGGGTGGGGGTTCTCTTGTCTAAAGATATCCGTCACTTCGTGTGTCATTTATTTATATATATATTGCGTAATCTGAACAAAGAAAAACAAACTGAACTTTTGGATTTCTCACGAAGAATAATTGGCCACATATAGGTGCTATCACATGGCCCACGTGGTGTTTGTTCATGATGGAAGATAACTAATTTTTTTATTGTTTCGGATTCGCCTTGGGAACTAACTATATTGATTCCTACTCCCTTGCCATTGTATGTAAGTAGATACGACGTTAGTCATCATTATCATATCATGAACCCCCCCAGGTACCTATGTAGGTAGGTAGGTTAGGTAGGTTAGGTATGATGCTCAACCATTATTCCCGCGTCTTTTAAAACGAGAAAATCCTGGCTTATATACCTAGGGAGTCAGTCTATATCCTGGAAAAGAACCCCCTTCTTTCATGTGACTCGTGGTTTTTTGCAAGACTGTGTGTGTGTGTGTGTGTGTGTGTGTGTGTGGCAATTCGTCATCTGCCTTGCCTGTATGCCTGTATGCCTGCCCGCCTTGACTTTTTTTCTCTTCCAGAAAGAAAGAAACCACAGCAGCAGCAGCCAGCCTACGCAAACAAGTACTTGGCGGCGTGTTCGACGTGGTCCCCGGAGAAGCTGGCCATGAAGAAGTACGAGTGGTCGTAGTCCTGGTGAGAGAAGAAAGAATTAGCTCGTGAAAAAAAGGGAAGTGGAAAGGGGGGTTGCGTCTTTTTCTCCTATACACTTTTCCCTCTTTTTTTTTTTTTTTTTTCGCTCACATGAAGAAATGGCAGATAATGGTGAATAGGAGATATTTTTCAAGAAAAAAAAAAGGGAAAAAACAGGTCGGTAGGTAGGTCAACTTACAGGCTGATACCTCAACTCCAGCCCCTTGACCCCCGCCTCCTTAACAGCCTTCTCGAAATTCTCCGGGAGCAGCTGACCGGCCTTGTAGAAGTTATCGCCGGTGCCGACGTCAACGAGCGCGCGGAGGTCGTCGCCGGCCTTCCACGCCTTGACAAGCTCCGTCGCGTCGTGCTTCTTCCACTCGGCATTGTTGTCGCCGCCGCCGCCGCCGAGGTATCCGGAGAAGGCCTTCTGGCCCCAGGGGCACAGCGAGGGGTTGGCGATGGGCGCGAAGGCGCTGACGCTGCGGTACTTCCCGGGGTTCTTGAGGTAGAGGGTCAGCGCGCCGTGGCCGCCCATGCTGTGGCCCGTGATGCTGACGCGGGCGCTGTCGAGGGAGGAGGCGAAGGCGGCGAAGAGGGCGGCGGGCAGCTCCGAGGAGATGTACGTCTCCATCCGGTAGTGCGCGCTCCACGGCGCCGCGGTCGCGTCGATGTAGAAGCCGGCGCCGGCGCCGAAGTCCCAGCTGTCGGTCTCGCCGGGGAGGTTGGCGCCGCGCGGGGAGGTGTCTGGGTACACGACGGCGATGCCGAGGCGGGAGGCGTGGGCTTGGAAGAAGCCTTTCTCGGTGCAGTTGTCCGGGGTGCAGGTTAGCCCGGAGAGGTAGATGAGGACGGGGACCTTGGTGCCGGCGATGGCGGCGGGTGGGAGGTACAGGTTCACGTTCATGGGTGTGCCGGTGCTGGTGGACTGGTGGGTGAGCTTGAGAAGCTTGCCCCCGAAGGAGGCGATGGTGGCTTTGGTCTCGAAGGCCATTTTGTTTTACAAGTTGTGTTTGGTTGATTATATGCAATGGGAGATGTTTGTTTCAATGTTAAGTTAATGTCAGTAGTATAGTATTGAAATAAGTACAAATAGGTATAGTGATTCTGATATGTACAAAGGCAAGTGAAATGCTCCAGTGATAAAAGTAAGTAAGAGCAGGCAAATAAATGGTCAATGACACAAGAGCTACTTCCCGGTGCCCCTCAAGCTCCTCCTCCCGGCAGTTTCGACACACACTCTCCCTCTCAAGGAAGAGGGGGGAGAGAGTTACATAACCCCGCTGTCAAATTGGAAAAGCAACTTCTCTTAGGCTCTTAGCCAACTCTTGTGTATCTATCAACCCCACATTTCATGTGTCTAGACCGACGTCATTGGTGACTTTCATAGCGTCTAAGATCCCGAATTCCGACTGGACTCCGTCGTTGATAACATTATAACATTACGATAAAGATAATTAATAAATATGGAATAAAGTACTGTATGTATCGTACTAGGTATCGCTCGTTTCAATGTTGCCATGTGGTATTATAATGCTATTATTAGTAACGTTGGAACGTATAGGTTTTTTTTATGTCGTCGACGACGTCTGGTTCAACACGCAGCTGAAAGACTCCAGGAGATGGTCCCACTGTATCGTCGATAGGTCCCATTTTACAGGAGTGTTGAAATCGACAGCACCGAATGTACATCCTGTGGGTGAGGTGCAGATCTCTTCGCATTGGCCTCTACATGATAGCAAACGGTGTTTGTTAGCTTGTGACAGCAGATGGAAACAGTGATGGGATAGCTTACACTCTAGGCCAGCAGTAAAAGTTATCACCGTCGGGGGCAAAGGTCTTGGTGTTCCCAGAGAAACCATCGGGCATGTTGTGGCAGACTTCGAGGGAATAGACCTCATAATGGCACGCGCCTGTAGCGTTGGCGCCATTGCAGATCAGGATCTAGAAGATTTTAAAAAGATCAGTATCCATATTTGCTATACAGCATGGAAGGACGTCGGCTTAGGAAATGGCCATGGAAGGGCAAAACTTACACCTCCGATTTCCCTCTTGGCTAATGGTACATGGGGGAATGCAGAAACACAGGCAGCAGCCGCAGCAAGGTTCACGATAGTTGAGAGCTGCATGGCTGTGATAGACTGATTTATCTCGCGACAACAAGATTTAGTGGATATCTTTTGCGAGTGAAGGCTCTCGTCTAGTGTTGAGTGTTTCCTGATGTCAAGTCAAGCCTGAGATAAGCAAAGGAAGGCAGCTACTTATTTATATTTATATGTACAACTCGTGCGTTAAGTAAGGTATGTGCTGGGTGGAGCCTTTATAGGGTCGTGCCTGACAACTACATACATGTACCTAGTAGTTCAACGTTTGCTCTCCCTTTCTATTGCTTACCCCTACAAATACCTCAGTTGGTCTATTTATAACTTTATATGCCAACTACTACAGATATTGTACCTATATGTATCCAATAGCAGCCATGTACAAGATGACATGTGCTTTTTCCGTCCTCACAAGTTCGTATTACTCCTTATAGGCTTTAACACCTAGGTATCTACTTACCTCCTTACCTACTTGAGATATATATAAGAAACACCATTTGCCCAAATGGTAGCGATACAATCTTCAAAGGAAGTCCGACGCAAAATTTTCATATCACCTGTTAGATACATCCCTAGATGCAACCGGTGCGATATTACGAGATTATCGAATGCGGCTGCATGAGCTGACATGCACATCCAACGCTCATGCGACGTCATAGGCCCGTTCCGCTGGTAAACTGGTTGCCATCTCATGCTTTGTTCGTTGTATATCCCGGAGAGCCGATTGGCTATTTGTGCGAAGGGGAGATATCCTTCGATAACCTAGCCTTACATCTTACAAAGGTCGCACCGCATTGGATACTCGGGACTTATTAGCTATGAAATACGAGCTGATCACCGCCCTTTTTAAAACCGACATGGGCTGGTCACCTCCCTATCTACCTAAGTATGTAGGTATGTAAACCCTTACATACATCAGTACTAGGTACGTACCTGTCCATGCGGCTTAAAGGAAATTATCCGGCTGCTGTGGGTGTTGTACATATGTTGAAAAAGAAATAAGATTTTCTGTTATAGTTGATATACACATATCTAGTGTCGAGTATTATGAAATTATATAGTATTCACGAGCGAGTTAATCCAGGGCTGACGGCAGGGCTAGGACTTTCATGTAATCGTCTATGAGCTCGGTGAAAGCCGTCAGAATTGGTATTAATCAACTACCAGCACCATGCGGTTATTATCACAGATGCTCATCCCTCACCGCTCCTCTGGCCCAGCTGATACCGAGGTATACATTAAGCCTATAATTGAGGTGAGGATGAAAACGCGGCTCATGACTACCAAATAAAGTAGTTTTGATTCGATACCGCGCAGTCGATCAGCCAAAGATAATTACCAAAGTAATTTTCCAAAGCGGCAGGCATGGGGATATTCTGGTATATTCCTTAAAGCAACCACTAACTCCGCGCTCATGCACACATCTCTGGACTATCTGCCGGCTGTCTTTCGCGTAGACCTGAGTCCTATAACCTTGGCCTTCATATCCACGATCTAATCGAGAGGGCTGCTCAAGGCGATTTGGAGGATGGTTGGGGTCTACCTAGGTAAAAGGGTATGACCAATGAGGTCCTGTACCTAGTTCCCTCACTGGAGAAGCTCCTCACATGACCAGTCCTCGTAGCTGTTTGGGAATTAGTACTGACTATTCAAGTTTGCGAAGTGGATAATCTGGAAGACATACTAGCCATCAGGCAGATATCGGCGCACGATCAGAGGGATCTTCTTCTCGCGGAGCTCTTTTATAGCAATTTGCAGAGGATCGGATTCTCCCTCCAAGTCCACTAGGACTGGGGCGTTCATGCTATACGATTCCAGTTAGCATTTATCATCTCCATCAGCTATAGTTAATTTATTCAAGTTGCCATACCTGATCTGCAGGGCGCGAGTACCTAAGACACGGGCCCTCTCGTATTTTGTCATGTACGGAGTCGTTGTTCGATCTTCATTGGGGATCTTTTTGTCCTTGTTCGACTTCGTCGTGGCTTTGGTACGATTGGCAGCGGCGGAGGGGTCGCCCGAAAGGACTACGTTCTCTTCTTCCTCGGCGCCTCGGGGGTTTACATCATCATCCTCTCCCTGTGGTACTTCGGGATCGAGCTCGTCGTCGAAGGGCTCTTCGTCCTCGTACATAGGCTCCTCCCTAAGATACGTCAAAATATTGTTCGCTTTGTCCTAGATCGAGGTATGCGCCATTGCGGAAGGTTTCACTTACGGTGCTCCAGCATCACCATCATCACCGTAGTCAGACATCTTGAATCAATAGAAGAGAACTGGTGAAATAAAAATGAAGGGTTTGTTTTATTTTCGAAGGTTGGTGTGGGTGTTGCGGGATGTTGTGTTGTGGTGATTTGCAAACTGCAAGTTGAGAGCTTGACTTGGAGATGCGACGCGGAAAGAAAAAAAAGAAAGATGGATAACTAGCTGAAAGAATGAAGAATTCGAGGTCAGGGATCGTTTATGGTCACACGCCCACCGCGGGGTTAAAACCGCGCTTTTGTGCTCAGCAAGTACTCATGTACCGCGCCTCCCCGCTAATGCACAGTGCTACATAGTACAATTAGTAGCTTTGATGGAGTTAGCGTAAACTTTAATTTTTATCTGAATTCTTATCGGTTACCTCGATAAAACGGCTCTCCACACAATATTTTCAATATTCTTTAATTCTTCAATTGAGTTCAAGTTGCATCTTGTTTTTTGCACAATCCATCTTACACTTTACAATTGCACTACAATTGCACTACAATTGCACTGACTGCTCTTGAATTATGACCAATTACTCGCCTATTCATCATGAAAAGAAAGATCGAAACCCAAGCCGAGGGCTTCTTGGTTCCCGATGCTAAAAAGGGCAAAACCAATGATGCAAATGGTAAGATTATTTATCTGGTCGCAATACATTGACTAATGGCTTGCTATCCTCTAGAAGACGTTGAAGACGTTGAATATGACCCTTCTGCAGACGATGTAGCTTCTAATGAGGAGTCGGACTATGGAGATGCTACCTCGACTGCTCCCACTAGCAATGGGAATGCGACGCCGATGACGCCCGCCTCTCCTCACAAGCATCCCTCAGACCTAAAGACAATCAAATGCCCGTACCCAGATTGCGACAAGACATTCAATCGTCCAGCACGCCTTGAAGCGCACAAACGATCGCATACCAATGAGCGACCTTTTAAGTGCTCATTCGAGGGTTGCGACAAAGCCTATTGTGAAGAAAAGCATTTAAGAGGGCATGTGAAAAGCTCTCACACTGAAGAGCGCGACTATCCCTGCACTCATCCTGGTTGTGATAAAGGCTTCACAACTGCTACTCGGCTCCGACGACACCAGAAAGTTCATGAGGGGCAAGAAAAATTCAAATGCCGGGACTTCCCACCTTGCGAACAATCCTTTCGCAAGCACCAAACCCTCGAACGCCATATCCGCTCCGCACACCTCCATGTTCACCCCCATGCCTGTAATTATACAGACGGCGTGTCGGGAGTTGCTTGTAAGGCAGGTTTTGATACTTCAAATGCCTTAAAACGCCATGAGCAGAGAGAGCATGGCGACATCAAATTCTGGTGCGAAGAGTGTAACCAGGAGAATGATGGGGATGACAGCCTACAGATGAGGGTAGGATTCCCCACACGAACTCTGTTGGAAGCTCACATGAGGCAAGCCCATTGGCATTGTATGTTCTGTGGAGATCGATTCGACAACCGAAAAGACCTTGTTCAGCATATCGATGTGGAGCACTCGAACCCAAAGAGTCTCGAGGAACGTAAGACGGTTCGGTGCACATGGCCAGGATGTACCAAGTCGTTCACCAAGAAGTCGAACCTCAATGCTCACATCCGTAGCGCCCACGAAGGCTTACGTTTTGTCTGTGGGGAGGTTGATCTCACCAGTACCAATGGCCTCGCCCATTGGGATCAATCCGAAGGCTGTGGTGTAAGCTTCGCCCACAAAGCCGGCTTGGAGAAACACGTTCGCCATGTGCACCTGAAAAACAACAGACCCAAGCAGCCTCGAGACGTTTCCAAGTCGATACATAAACCCGAGATAAATGTCATAGATGAGCTCACAGGTGTGGGAGAGAAGTTACGACGCACTCTGCCTTGCACAATCTCTGGTTGCAGCGCCAAATTCGCCCATAACGGCGAACTCGAGATTCACTTGCAGAACAACCATCTCATGGAGCAGGCAATCATGGAGCAGGGACTACAACAGGAACGAGAGCAAGCCGAGCAAGCCGCCCACTCAATGGCACCGCTAACGGCATATCCATTAACGGAAATGATGCCGGAGGCGATGCCCTTCAATGGAACTTCGGCGCGTTCAGATGATCCATTTTGGTTTGGAGAGGGTGCTGAAGGAGGCATCGGAGCTCAGGAACCTCAGGGAACCCAGCACGCACAAGGGACACAAGGATTCGATAACCTGGGCTGGCATAACGGCGAAGCCGAGATGCAACCACCCAGCTATCCTTCCGACTTAGAAGGCCTGATTGATCCGGCACTGAGTCAGCTTCCTAGCTTTGGCCCTGAATCGAATTCTGAGCCAAACTGATTGGGATGAATAATGAATAATGGGATAGGACTACGGATGGATATGGACGGATTAAAGACATATGGTGGGATGAATAACGATGGGATATGGAAAAGTTACGGGTGGGCTGATGTTTTGGCGATGATACCCTTTGATTTACCAACGAACAAATGATCGAATGATGGCTTGCATAAATAGTACAATCTAATACCTATACCAGCTGCAGTGTCCCCTTGGACGAACGCAGACAAGACGTTTCCTGTGTCTATTTTCCTGCATGTCGGGCTCTTTAATCTCTTCTTTGCTGTGAATTTCATCTGTGCTGTTTCCTATTGAGGTATATCGTAATCTCTCTAACCTACCCAAGTATCGTAAGTGCGTCTATCTACTAACAAGCAGGTAGGGTGAAGCCAGAAACAGCGTGAATGAATGATCTTTCATCAGTGTTGCTACCATGGTCTGTCTAGAGACACTGCTGAGTGAGGGCTTGATTCATTAGAACGGTCGTTTGACTTACCTGGGTTACAGCTATCTGTAGGTAAAGAGATATGGATTGCTAGAAAAGTACCACTGCGTGAGAAGTTGAGGACTTGTATATATATATATATATATACCTATAGTAATATTCTACCTTAGTGGTCTATCTTACTAGGTTAGGTACCTAGATATGCCCGCGTACGCGCGATGTCATGTTCTGTTATCTCATTTGGCCATTGTATATGTTTTGTTCTCTTGTTTCTGGCTTCCCCTTCTCACTCCTGTGCTGTTCAAATGCACCTACAAAATGGCGGTAAGTGATTCACAGGTATACTCTAGTCATGGGTGCTTGCCGACTTCATACCTACCTACCTACCTCCCCAATGCCCTTTCGTGATTATGAGTAACTTTGCCTTCCAAGACAGGCCCATGTACTAGAATAACTATTCATTGATGAATGCAAGCATCGTCACGAATGAGTTCTGCCGTGGTGCTCTTAGGGTCGCCGTCAGGAAAAGGGGTTGATTCCGATCGTGTCAGGCTTTGCAGGAGAACGAATACTGTGTAGTCAGCATATCAGCCAACGAGCTTCGGTGTCCACCTTCGACTTTTGGTTGTCTGGCTTTCCAACTGAAAGCCATATTGAGCACTGTCTTAACACTCATTGCTTGGTCCCGACCATCGATTTTTTGAGCGCTTATCGTCGCTACTTCCTATCCCGCTGCCCGCTTCATCGGCGCGAAAGCCGGGGATGATATCATCGAACAGAGATTTGCCTGTTGTGTATGAAGCTGGGTGGCTGGGTGGCTTTGCATGCCTCCGATCTTAGGAAGCCCACCGGGGCTCGACGATCTGCAACATGATGATATTCAAATCTCACACTCGTGTAGAGAGCGAGGTAGGCAATTGTCATCGTAACCTTTCATATTTCTAAGCGAAGAGTAATGATGAACCAAAAAAAAAATCGAGAGATTGCGTCGTTAGTATAGGAGGCAGGTAGTCTTGTGCAACCTGCTCGGTCCGTTTAATGTCTGATTGTCTCTTTTTTTCCCCAGGGGAAGGAAGGAGGGAAGGGGCAGAGAGTCATTATTAAAGTATTAATGCTCCGAATGTGTCGTTGGATTTGGAATTCATCCAGCCCAACTATAGGCCCAGTAGTCATGCAGCGGCCCCTTTTTGCCGGCCCCAATGGACAGGGGGATTGGTGAGGAGAATTTGGGGGTTTTTGGTGAGAGCCATTAAATCCATAGCACTGGAGCGAGAGGCTCCCGGCCGTGTGCATGTCAATGCCGTCATTGGGTAGGTTCCTGTAGGCCTTCACTTCAGCGACCTGCTTTCGAATACGCTTGAAGATCTACGCCAAGGTGTCGCCTGGCGGACTAAAATAAATGACGTTGCGGTGCTTATTAGAGCGTGCATGCGTCAAGCTAACCCTCCACGGCATTGGAAACGGCACTGGGAAACGGGAGGCGTATTTGTTCTGGTCATTCTCGAAAATATTCTGCGCGAAGTATTAGGGTGAAGAGAAACCTGGAAATGGTAGGCGCTACTATGCAACTGTCAAGGCCTAGATTCCGTAGACCATTTAACCTACCTACCTGAGGTTAGCAGTTTACCAGAATGTGGCTAAAAAAGGTTCCGGGGGGCAGAGCGTAAGATAGAAAGAGAGACACCTGTAGTTACCTGTTGACAGGCTGTTGTAGGATCAACATTACAAGTTGCTACATTCGAGATGGGTGATGGTGGGGTCCCCAGGGTTAACTAGTTGAGCTTCTGGAAACTATCCATGATGTTTACCAATAAATTGGTAAAACTCGCCCAGATCTAGTAAGTCGCCATTCAAGAGGCTAGCAACCTCGTGTCTCTCTGTATTTAAATGAAGATGTACGGACTGTTTTCCTCGAAAGGCACCAATAACCTATCTGCTTTTAGTTGATTGGATACCTGCCTACCTCGGTAAGTTTGAAAGGCCTTTCAGTAGATCTATGGATATATGAGTGGATGTACATAGTATGAGGAATAAAAGTGCGGAATTTCATTAATGAAGGATGTAGGATGTAGTACATACATAAATGATGTTCGGATGCAAGTTTTTCAATGTTGTAAAAGGACATGATAAAGGTAAAACATTGAAGTGAAGAAAATAGTAGAAGAAAGGCCTGGAGTGGTACAGGGAACTGCAGTAGCCAGCAGCCTGGCAGCAGGGACATCAATCTCAATATTCATATGGTTCGTGCACAGGAACGGGCCGTTCAGGTACTACACAGTACTTACCACAAGATGGTCCGTGCGTTACATAAGGCGACGGCCGCAAGGGTACTTGTGTAGGACCTGTAGGTATACAATAATGGCCTTATGTTGACGTAACCTTTTTCGGTTTGTTGGATTCCAAATGCATTCCTTCTTTTTTTTTCATTCCAGATCACATCATATCATCAACCCCGCGAACATTACCTATGTAGGTACCCAACCCATCTCGGAATTAAGAAAACATTAATGTGCTAAACGCGACAACACGTGATGACATTACTGTATCAGATGGTCTGTTCAGACTTCAAAGATGCAAGTAAGAAGTAAGACACTTCTAACGGCAACATATCTTATTTATGAGTCAATACTACGCGTCTTATGTTGGACACACCAACATTGAACTTTGAAGAACTACCTGGGGAGGACCGGTAGGTATGCCGACTACTTATACCGGTACCTACATACACCTACCGAATATCGTTACCAAACATTGAAGCTACCTAGGTACCTAGTACTGAATGAGATCATCACCACTTACTACTATGTAGTACATACTTACCTAGGTTAGGCTAGTATTGTGCAAAGCCAAAAGCCAAAGCCCACCGGAAAAGGCCCAGATGGAAGATCCCAGTCTTCCCTATCCTGTGTCATAGGTCCGGCACGCACCATTAGGGGATTTTATTTTACGAATCATTACTGGCCACATGCGTTTCCGAGTTGCTTCATCACACTATTACATGCATACATATACATACTGGTATGTTATATGTTATTAATCACTCTTGTGATAGGTCTATAAAACACGTGGGAATCACTACTACCACATAGAAAAGCGCTCCGGAAAGTGATCGCTCGGAGTTTCCACATCGGCCAGGCTTGGCTAGCTAGCTACATACGGACCTACTTAGGTAGGACCTGGTAGGCTGGTAGGTGGCTTACCATCTACAACCCCAGTCTCCATCTAGGAAGGCAATTTCATGCAAGTGCCGAGAGTGTTTACCACCCTTGCAAGGATACCTACTACAAAGTAGCATCGATCATCAACCACCATCGCAACAACACTGAAAAGAAAAAGGAGGGAAAAAACTAGAACGATTCAAACCTTAATATCTACCTACCTACATACCTAGTAGTGTAGTAGGTAGGTAGTGTTCCCATAACTTGAATACAACTGTGATCCTAACCACTAGTATGACCTACCTAACCATAGCAGGTTGTGGCACGCAAACACGCCTCCCTCTGTAACTTGACGACCGCCGTGGAAATGCAACCCTGCGTGGGACTGTACCGCTCGTAGGTAAGCTCTCCCTTCGTCTATTCAAATCAAGTTGCTTAGTTAGCTACTTGGCTGCATTACTATACACTGACTCGGCTCGCCGCTCTCCACTCGGAACAGGTGGAGACTGATATATCGGTGCAACGCAAGGGATCTCACCCTCGAGCTATCCATTGTGCCATACCAAGAAGTATTTGCTAAGCTACCTATCAATTCCGTTGGTTGGCTCGTTGTTTAATTCGGTCAACCTCGGCCAAGACAACTGAGCTTGGCTCGGGTGACATTTCTTTTTTTAGATGTTCACATCATCGCGACTGGTTGGCACTAGTTAGTTATATGTAGATGGGTTGCTTATATCTGTACAGGTTCAAGGAACCCCCACATTCGGATCATGATAGGTAATGTACCTGACAGCTACGATTACATGGAGGTATGTACGTCCTATAAACCGCAACAGGCCACAATGATATTACACCCATCCTATTACATTGGTCTTGTCGAAAACAGGCAGGTGATCTTCTCCCCTCCCAAATAGACGCTCCTGGCAGAAGCAAGAGAAATGAGCATAGGTAGTCCTTATTGGACTGTGGCTTTCTGACTGTTGATCCTGTTTTGTATGGGACATGCAAATCTCAGCACTTGAAAGCGGCATCTCTGCTCTTGTCTCAATACTAAGCCCTACAATGATCCTCTAACACCGTACTATATAACGCCGAGACGTTCTGCTCTTGTGGTACGTACAATACAAGACGCTTGCGATCGGGTAGACAAAAGCCAGAACGTGAACGGTGTGGCATCACGTCACTACCGAGAAGCTAATTGTTGGTCATTCACCTTGGGTGCTTTGTCACACTTGAGTTATTGCCAACCATCTTGCAATTTCGTGTTACAAGCGCCTGGATTTTCCACCCCTGTGGTACATTGGAGGTTCGCCTAGTCAAATCACAGTTTCCTTTTTCTGATCTGTATCATACATACCGTACGCCTCAAGCTCTTGCTTGCAGGGGTCCCATCACATCTATATCGAGGTATTGGACTCGGTCGTATTAACCATGTCTGTATTTTCTTACGATTATCTTCAACCTTAGTGGCAGCCGTATTTACCAAGTGGCCCCTTTTGTGGAGATGATCTTGGCCTACAGTGCTAACCTAGGGTAAAGAAGTGCATAGTAGTGTTGATGGACATCACGTCTTTTGAAAGATGTGTACACTAGGCACTAGGTTAAGTAAGTAGTTGGAATGACTGTAAGACCTCTGATTACTGAATTATGCCCGCCTTAGAGCCTCAGGAAAGTGCTTGGCTCCAAATTTCCATGTAAGTCTATTCTTGTTTGTCTCGTCCGTTATAAAGCACCGCAGGAGCCCCTCCATTGTCTACACGAAGTCGTGCTTCTCTTTCACGTACTCGACCCTCTACCCTCCTTTAATTTCCTATATACCCTTCAAGGTCAATATGGGTCATATCATCACCCAAACTGCCCTTCTTGGGCTCTTGGGTCTTGTCTCTGCTGGAGGTTGCCCTTTTGCCGACCCGGGAGCTCTTCGCGCTCGAGCAGAGGGAGCCGTCGACACCCCAGTGTCGGCTGCCATGATCGATGACAACACGGGATACTTTACTGATGACGTAGGTGGACAAATACAAGAACAAGACAGCCTGAGAGCTGGCGAGAGAGGTCCTACCTTATTAGAAGACTTCATTTTCCGTCAAAAGATCACCCACTTTGACCATGAACGAGTAAGTTGATGATGTCTCTTCCCATAGCCAAACCCGCAAAGCTTTGAGAGGTCTATACTCGGCGGTCGGGTTTGGCAACCACCATAACGGCTATACTAATACGAGTACAGGTCCCTGAACGAGCAGGTACTTAATTACCCAGCCAAACAGTAGATGTTGACCATGTTACATTTTAACTAATTCTATTACCAGTCCACGCCAGAGGTGCCGGCGCGCACGGCACATTCACGAGCTATGGTGACTGGAGCAACTTAACGGCAGCCTCATTCCTTAGCAGCCCCCAAAAAGAAACTCCGGTCTTTGTACGGTTTTCTACCGTAGCAGGATCCCGAGGAAGCGCCGACACGGTGCGTGATGTTCACGGTTTTGCTACAAGATTGTAAGACACCTACTTCTCTTCCGTTCTTATAATGAAGGCTTACTAATATCCAAATTAGCTACACCGACGAAGGCAACTTTGACATTGTGGGCAACAATATTCCAGTGTTCTTCATCCAAGATGCCATCAGATTCCCGGATCTCATTCACGCGGTTAAGCCGAGTCCGGATAGTGAAATCCCCCAGGCAGCCACTGCTCATGACTCGGCATGGGACTTCTTCTCCCAACAGCCAAGCACATTACATACCCTCTTTTGGGCCATGGCCGGATTTGGTATCCCACGAAGCTTTAGACACATGGTTAGTTTGGCCTTAACTCGGTCCCGATATCTCTTATTGGCTCAAAGGACTAACTTGTGACTGGTAGGATGGCTTTGGCGTCCACACATTCCGCCTGGTTACGGACAAAGGTGAATCCAAGCTTGTGAAGTGGCATTGGAAGAGCAAGCAGGGACGCGCAAGCTTGTACTGGGAGGAAGCTCAGATTCTCTCCGGCAAGAATGCAGATGCCCATCGTCAAGACTTGTTTGAGTCGATTGCGGCCGGCAACGGCCCCGAGTGGGAGCTTGCCGTCCAGGTTGTTGACGAAGACCAAGCCCTCGCATTTGGCTTCGACCTGCTGGATCCCACCAAGATTATTCCTGAGGAGTACGCACCACTCCAGAAGCTGGGTGTGATGAAGCTACACACGAACCCCACAAATTACTTTGCCGAAACCGAGCAAATCATGGTATGTCTTGACCCCTGGAAGAGTCCCTTCCTATGCATGTGATAGCCAAGAGCCAAGCAAGTTGACTTGATTTTCCAGTTCCAACCGGGACATATTGTCCGAGGCGTAGACTTCACTGAGGATCCGTTACTACAAGGCCGCATCTTCTCCTATCTGGACACTCAGTTGAACCGACACGGCGGTCCCAACTTCGAGCAACTCCCCATCAACCGGCCAGTGGTTCCCATCCACAACAACAACCGTGACGGCGCTGGTCAAAACTTCATTCACAAGAACACCGCCGCTTGTAAGTCTTGCCTTTCGCACCATCTTATCCATAGCCTGGATACCTCTGAGCCCTCCTCATTTCTTCTTTTTTTATGGCTAGGTGTTCGTACTAACTATTCACCAAGACTCGCCCAACACGCTGAATGGCGGATACCCGCAACAGGCGAACCAAAACCAGGGCCGTGGATTCTTCAGCGCGCCATCTCGCGGCACCACCGGCGGGCTCGTGCGCGGTCTCTCGTCATCCTTCGATGACCACTGGTCGCAGCCACGACTATTCTACAACTCGCTCACGGCGGTGGAGCAGCAGTTCCTCATCAACGCGATCCGCTTCGAGACGAGCAACCTGAAGTCGACCGACGTGAAGCAGAACGTGCTGGGCCAGCTCAACCGCATCAGCCACGACATCGCCGTGCGCGTCGCCTCCGCCATCGGCCTCGAGGCCCCTGCACCCGACGACACGTACTACCATGACAACACAACCGCCGGCATCAGCATCACCAACGAAACCCTGCCCAGCGTCACCGCCTTCAAAGTCGGCATCCTCGCCACCCTCACCTCCAACAACAGCGCAAACGCCTTGGACTCAGCTACCACGGACCTAGCCGCCGCCCTCACCGCCGCCGGCCTAACCCCCATCATTGTCGCCGAGCGCCTGACCCCCGACGGCGCCGTCGGAAAAACCTACTCCGCCACCGATGCCACCGACTTCGACGCCCTCGTCATCACCTCGTCCGCCTCCGGCGCCGGCCTCTTCTCCTCCACCCCTACCCTATCCCCGCTGTATCCTCCTCAGCGACCCCTCCTCGTCGCCTCCGCCTCCTTCCTCTTCGGCAAGCCCCTAGCGTACTTGGGCAGCGACGCACCTGCCGAGGCGCTTGTCGTGGGAGCGGGCTTGGACCCTGAGACCCAGGAGGGCGTGTACGCGAGCGCGGATGTGGAGAAGTTGACGCAGGATTTGGTCGCGGGGTTGAAGACGTTCAAGTTTACCGGAAGGTATCCCGTTGACCCGTCTTCGTGATTGCTTGCCTGCCTCCTAGGTAGGAAGGTATGGGTTGTGTTACGCTATATAAATGTTTATCTTATTTTATTTTTTCACGACGGTATGATATGAGGATTGGGTTGGGCTTTTTCGTGTACCTAGTTTGTCCCTACACCGAGTTTTCTTCGGTTCGATTTTTTTCTCCCCCTCCTTCCCCCCTCCCTTCCCTTTTCCCACCTTGAGATACCAACCAACTCACATACCTGCGTAACCTACCTACCTACCTACCTACCTTAGTTACCTGTGCACCTAAATGAAAACTCGATATCAATAATTATGCTGCTGCTTCGGATTTGATGATTGATATGTGATAGGTATGCATCCGTGAATCTGATATATATGTTTCATCTCCCTATAACTAACTAACTAACTATGCCCTAAACACCACACGGGTTCTGTTCTCCGCCGACGACTTTTTTTTTGTCACGTACGCACTAACCTACCAGCACCGGCCCAACTACCTACTTTCTTATATCCACCCATTAATACTAGTCTTCCCTCTAATACCTCTAGTGGCTCTACTACCTCTACCCAGGAAAGTATCTAACCTAGGTTACCTAGTGAGTGATAGGCTAAGCTAACCCTCCTACCTATATATATATACCACAACAACCCACCAAACAACCACATACGACCACAGGATTCGGAGAACTCGGGATCCCGTCCGCTCTCCCATAGATAAGCCGAATACCGCCAGATCAGTAGTTGGGTCGGTGACGACCAGCGAATCCCTGGTGTTGTATGTTTTATTTTCTTTTTGCCCTTTTTTTCTCTTTTTTTTTTATTCGGCTTGCCTACTATATTTCTCTAATTCTCTCAATTACCTACCTAGGTTAGGTAAAAAATAAAATAAAAAAATCCTTGTCTGGGTTATGTGAGTAGGTAGGCTGTTGGGAATGCACTTTCACGCGAGAACAGTGGCAGTGGAAGGTCCTGTCAAAATAGGGGTTATGTTGTAATTTTCAACACACCACCCAGTAGGCAGGCACAGCATCCTCAAATACTTTTGAATTTTTGTCTGCAATTTTTAGATCGTCTCTGTACCATCCTCCCCTTTTTCGGCTCTTCCTACCTTTTTTCCGTTCGCCTTTCGTCAAGGTAATGTACATCCAAAATCTGGCAAGACACCCCGTCCCGAGCTACCTACTCCGTCCGTTTCCACTCAACGCACCGCTCAGCCCCTATGAAAGATGACGATAGAGCATACAAGAATTCCTCCTTGGCACCAGGCTCCCCCAGACGAAGTTTGAGACGCGTAGGCCACGGATCTCCGATCGTGTTATGTTCCTTCATCTTTACCCGCAAGTCCTCTGCAATCCGGTGGAATTCAAGCTTGGTCATGTATTTGCCAAAGAGTGTGTCCGCGTCTAAGATAAGAGCCCGCGCATCCCAGACACGATAGGTTTTCGCACCTTGGCTATTCACAATGAAACCTAGGCCATCCTCGACGGGTAAGTAGTCGAAAATGTCTTCGAAGCCTTTTAGCGCTTCCAGCTCTCCGGAAAATCTAGCGGCTTCCATAACTGCATTCATATAAATTGTTATGAGAGTGGCATATTGACTGATCTGCGGCGGCTTGAGAAAGGGTGACAGGCAACGTATGGTTCCGTATGTTCCAAGGTAAGCAACGTCCGAAATATTTGATGTCTCTACTCTGTCGTATACACCCTTCTCCGCTAGATGGTATAATTCCATGGCATCAACATTAAAAAGCTCAAAGTGCATTTTCACGGTAGCAACTCGCTTGATAAAAGCTGTGAAGGTGGTGCGAAGATAGGAGAAAAATCTCCCATACAAGTCTTCGGCAGCTCTGTATGGTGTTGCTCTGACCTTGCTCGGGGGCCAACCATTCATAGGGTTTGCCTGGTCGTTCAGAGGCCAGGAATCGGCTGCCTGGAAGATAGTCCTAGTACACATCAGATTAGAGGAGTCTACTTAGTGAGGCTCAAAATGCAATACGCGGCCTAAACTCACGGGTTGGGACAGTTGAAACCGAGCCGTGGATGTCCGAAGGGTAGGAGTAAGCCATCCTCTCTGAACCGCTGTTTAGCAACCCTCATAGACGGCGTGGCATCTTTGAAATACCACCGCTCTCGATAGTCCTGTCTCTCTGGTGCTAGGACGATGGCATGCCGGACCGCGCGAGCACCTGACGCAGATAAATGTTCGGGCACTTCGAGAAATGACAGTACACGAGCCCAATCCTCTTTCTTTAGAACCAAGCGGAGGGTGCTTCCAGACTTAAAGCTCCAGGTCTTTCCTACCGAGACACCCGGGCTTTTGTTTGAAATCTTCTGGCACACTTCCTCAATGAGTGGCTTCACACTTGACTGTAGACGAGACAGAATATCCTCAGTGATCATGGCCGAGTACCAGACATGAATGAGGGATTCAGCCAAACTCTCGGCGCTTATTTGCTCAAGCTCCTTGTCGAGAGAGGTGAGAGCAAACAGTAGCAGCACAACATTTCTAGCGACGACGCTGAAATCTTTGTCATTGATAGTCAACTTGACTTGTTGGTCAAACTGATCTGGTAGGCTTTGTATAGTCTCGACCACATTCCTCAAATCTCCCGATGCTATACTCTGTCAGTAATTCCCTATAACGTATTGCAGCACAGTACGATTGCTGGCCACGTACCTGCAAACATGATAGCTAAATCCTTGCCATAAGCTATTCCCTCATTCTTATGTAGCTGAAGCACATCCATTGCAGGCGTGTTACCCCAGAGATGTTTTTCCATCCCGAATGAGTTGAAGAAGTTGGTGGCGGCCTCTCCGCGAGCCCAGGCTGGATCTCTGCCTTCCCGATCCCACGCCGGGAGCCAATCAGGCTTCATCAGTGAGGATTTGCAAGACTTCTTGTGCTCGTTCCAATGCTCAATCTGGCAATCACGACCACAGTACTTGAGGTTTCCAATTAGATTCAGTTACCAGAATCTGGGATCGTATTTGGACGTACCAGAACTAGCTTGCAGTCCCTGCAAGCATGTGTGCCCTCGCGAGGGCAGATGTTACCACCATCCTTCCAATTAGCACATACAGGTGGTGTCACCGGGATAGATTGCATTATTTCTTGAACAAGTATAGGCTTTAATTTTTGAAAGTGATGGATGGCGTTTTCAAGTAATGGAGTCCGATTGTAAAACTCTATACACAGTTACCCAGTAGGTAGGTAGGTGCTTGGCCAAGCTATATGTAGACAGGAATTCAGTTCAGATGTATGTATAAGACTTACTTAGGTGCCTATGTCCCCGTTTGTCGATGTGATGATCGTGGACCATGTAGCATACATAATACGACCATGGCAACTTGCATGCCTGGCAAGCATCCTTTTGCTGCAGCTCGGTACGGGTAGCTCTCGGACTCGGGAGGCATCTTGGTCCTCATTTGGTAGCTGCACACGACGGCTTAATCTACCCGAGTATTGACAGGTCAAATAGATAGCTAGGACTGCTAGGTAGATACCTACACATGTAGGGAGTCTAGTATGCAGTGAGCTGGTGTCATTTGCTGCATAGCAAATGTTGTTGGTACTTGGTGCATGTACCCGATGTTGTTCGTTAGCGGTTGTACCGAACGACTTTTGTATGGATGTAGTTGATAGGTTGCAATGCATGATGTGCGAGTTCTGGATGTTCCCCAGAAATACTGCAGTTATATGTAGGTATGTACGTCAGTGCAGCCAGTGCAGGTCTTGAAGGCTTTTGTCCAGGGAAGAACCACAGATCTTAGTCAAGTAAGTAGTCAAGGATGTTGAAGGGAATAAATATTGAGAATCAAATCAGGTACAAATCAGGTACAAATCAGGTATAATACGATTTTCTCTTTAACTTTATAAACGGTACAACTTTACCACATGGAAACTACGATGGAATCGGATGGATAGACTTGACTACGTAATATGTATCATCGCGCCCCTCCCTCCCCCCTTTTCTTATTAATAACGTAGGTTAGTACACTCATCCATAGATTCCATACCTATAGGCTATGTGCCATCGTGCCATTGTGCCCAAACAAACAAATCCTCCATTGCAAACTCCATTGCAAACAAACAAAACAAAGTCCTCGGCATGTCAGGCCCACCACCACCCGAGCAATCGCATGACGATAACTACATACATAGATAGTAGATACATTAGTAGTACTTAACTTAGGTACATACTTAAGCGTTACGAAAGATAAAAAAAAACCCCCAAAAAAGAAAACCACATGACCAGCACCCCATGTCCCTACCCGAGACAGCCTTTGCACACATGCACGACATAGCTGCGCCGCATGCGACGGACCGTCACGTGGGGCCATACCAGCCGAGTCCTCGGAGGTTGCAGAAAGGGTTGCAGGATCTGGGGTTGCTTTTTTTGGCCGGAAGCGTAGGTTGGGGGTGTGTGTGTGTGTGTGAAAAAGGGGGAGGATGGTGGAGGGAGGCAATGCGGAGAGGTTCAACTTGTAGGATGCTACGTCCTGCTTACTTACCATAGCCAGCCTATTCTTGGAGGTATATATATTCCCTCATATAGGTAAGTAGTTACCCTCCCGGCCCAGTTGGGCAAGAAGGGCACGCCGTATTTTTGCCTGGATGTTGGGCCCCTCCCGGATTGCCTAGTTGGTAGACTCTGTCTACTTACATTATTGGTGTATTCGTCAGGCCAAGCCACCTCTCATAAGACGTACCTGTCTACTGGTTAGGCCTACATGTAACCTTCGTCACATTGAAATAGAAGACGGAGCCTACCTAGACAAGTCTTATGTAAACCGACAGCTACCAAACTACGGAATACAGTGCGGAGGAAGAAGGAAAAAGGGACGTGACCCCTCCCTCTTATTGTGAAAACGAAACCCGCCGCCTCACTAGAAAGCCACAAGAGACCTATGTATATAGACTACTACGTAGACACAAAGCTAGGTACTCGCCACCTTTTACAGACAGACAGATATCTGGGTGCCTGCCTGGCACTTACATATATATATCCTGCCATAAACCACGCCCTATTACCCAAGCTGTGCTATGTATGAGCTCTGCCCTCTACATCACAGGCCCCTCCTACGACTTAAGTAACGCCAGCATGAGTTCTAATAAGTAGAAGAAAAGCGCTCTACTCAAAACACAGAACAAATACTATGACTGAAAATACACACGCATGCTAGTATGTAAGTAACCATGGATGTGAGTATAAGTTACCAGATACCTAGACAGGTTAAGCTCTCAGATTTTCATTTTCACTGCTGGCTGGCTGGCTGGCTACCTATCTAATTGGACGCTACAGCTCTCTTTCAGCAGCCACAATGCACGATATGCCTAGATACGCACCTACCTACTTACGTAGGTACCTAAATAAGTAGGTAGGTAGGTAGGTAGGTAGGCACCGAGACAGAAAGCCGAGGTGCTAAGTTGCAAAGTGTGGTCCACCTTCAAGCATCCAAGCAAAACAAAAACAAAACCAGTCCCAGATGAAAAACGCCATGCCAAAGCCTTCCTTATTCAGTTAAAAGTCCAGACTCAATTAAGTATAGTTAGGGTGCAAACTGGAGCGTCTAATCCTCTTCATCACCCTCGGCATCCTGGTCTTCGTCTTCCGCTGCTTGTTGTTGGCTAGACGACCGTCGGCTTCCTCCTTGCTGCTGCGAACTGCCCCGACCATTCTGTTGGTCGACGTCTCCCTCTCCATCCTCGGGGTCCTCCTTGCCGTATGGGTGGTCTCGATACAAGTTCATCCACGCTCGGAAATCATCCGAGGGGTCATCTACCGTGACATCTAGTTGATCCACGTTGCGTTCTTCCAAGTCCACGCCTGCCGGCACTAATCCGATAGTTCGGGCGAGGGTCTTGGAACGTTGAGGTTTGATGACGGACCGCTGCATGATGGGGTAATAGAAGACGGCCTTTTGGTCGATCATGTCATCGTCGTTGAACGCAAGGACGACCTCCTCGTCATACTTGGTTTGATTGTTCAACTCTAGCTCTTGTGCTGTCTCATACGAACGAACCCGTGGAATCTGGAAGTTGGGGTTACCATTGCTCTTGTGTGTGTATAGAGAATCATCGTCGTGATCTGGGTTCTCAATGTCGAACTTTTGTCGGAAACGATCGGATGTGTCTAGAGAATCGTAAAGGAAGAAATCATAATCCATAAGATTCTGGGGTTTGGGGACATGCTCCGGGTCTCTCTCATGGGCCTGAAGCGCCATGGTATAAGCGGCCTCCTCTTCATCACTTTTGCTAATAGGCTTAAGAATACTGTTGAGAAGTCGCTTATCATAAGTGCCAGACGAGGTCAGGGGATTATGAGAGAATTTGAAGGTGACGTAGGCACCAGAGTCGGGGAAGGCTTCAAGATCGGGAACCAATGGGTAAGCGTCAACGAGCTTCACGTTGCGCTTCGAAGGGTGTTTGACCCTATTCTTGTCCTTCAAGTTTGCTGCAGCTACAGCAAAACCTTGGTTAATCTTCCGCTTAATGTGGGCGGGAGAGTCGACATCAGGTTCCGGAGAAGGACGCTTCAGAGGACGCTTGGGAACTGGATGGGTGCTTCGTAGGGCGCTTGATTCAGTGCGAGTCTTTGTGCCCACGGAGGAGATATATTCTGTACGTCGGAGGAAGGACACGTTGGCCTCAGCAAGCTTAGGGTGGCCTAAACTACCAGCACCTCGAAGGAGGGCTCGATCGTGAGGGTGGATAGGCGGAGGTTGGGAAGGGGCTTGGATGGCTACATTTTCTTTGTTAGTTACTCGAAGCTTCAATAGGTTATGCTTTCAGAATCTACTCACAGCTTTCGTCGCCATCAAACACGCCTGGCATTCCCACCAGGTCCAATGGCATGCCCAATTCCGCATCAGCCTCAATATTCAACGGCTGCTCTCTGGCAAGTCTGGAGGCGAATCCTGGCGCCGTGTATTGACCGCTAGCAAGGCCAGTGTTCGGGATGTCGAGAAGCTTTGGGGGATTGGAAGGCGGAGGTAGCGCATTGGAGAATCGGATTCTGGCGATGAAATCCTGGTGGACAGGGCGATGCTCGCCATTGCGGGACGCGGACGCCATTTGTTTGTGATAGTGGCAGATGTATCTATCTACCTCCTAGGCAGGAAATTGAAATAAAAAAGGGGTAGTAGTGCTCGATTAAGGGTGGTAAGGCGTGGAAGTTTGATGTGAGTGGAGTTTGGTTTTTGGGATCAATGTGGTTGTAAAAAATATTCGGCCACAAGGTTGTAAGTTGGATGCTATTCGCGTCGCGCGACCTGTCTTACGGGATGTTGGTCCGCTAAAGTTCGGCGGTCGCAAAAAAAAAAAAAAGTGGTAGAGAGTTGATGTACGAAAGTGGCCAAAGCTCCCTATAATTACTATAAAGGAAGCTATGTTTTATTAGATAAGCTAATGAATATTCTTTAAAGAGGTTTAGTTATGTATGTATAAGTGATTGGCGCTCCTGCTCGTCTCTACTATGATACCATGGCGATTCGCCTACCTACACGGTACTAGGTATGCATTAGCCAACATCTACAAAGACCTTTTAAGCTGATTAATTATTCTGCTCTTAGGCATTATATCTATTTGTTAATGATCCTGGAAGATTCAAACCTGCGCCCCTGTCTGCCTCCATCCATGCTGTCTTCGTTCCTCATCCCGGATACGCCAGCATTCATTCCGAAGCTAACAACAACATTACTCCATACAGACCGTCATCTTCCTAATAATTCATACAAAATGCCTGTAATTCTATACAGTTGAACCCAGAGAACTAATGCTCGACTTCTTGTGGAGACCTTATATCATTATAATGTATCGTACCTAACTATGGTGGGCTACTCGTTTCGTTAAGACTATATCCGTATTCCGTATTCCCCTTTCTGAGTGTTGCCTTGAAAGGTACATTTGCCCCTTTGTCCCCGTATGGCCAAGGGATCTAGAGAAGGACTCATCTTCACGAGGCACTGGCCTTGCCGTATCGCGCCTTGCCGAAAGTGAAGGGAACGTAGCGGTACTTGATCATGTGCTGGATTTGCTTTCGCACTGCAAATATGGTTAGTAACTTTGTTCAAACAAGATTTCAGCTAAGTGATAATGCAATGATGGTTTGGACTTACTGGTGAGCACGAAGAGGATGATCCAGTACATGACCAGAACGGGCCAAAAGACTGGGACGTCGAAGATCTCAAACCAGCTGCATACAAACGCGATAGTGATAGCACGGGTTGCCTCGTGCCAGAACTTGAACTCAGGTAGTCTTCGAATAAAGGGTCGGAACTCCTCGTCTTGCTTCGTCGGCAGACCACCGGCTGATCCATCTTCCATCTCATTATCTAATAGTTCATTCGAGGGGTCAAACTTGGGCTGTAGGAAGGCGAGGAATAGGTTAAGCAAATAGATGCCGAGCGCATAGGCAACTAGATATAGTCAATAAGCAAGTTCGCCTCCATTTTTTGCTACAAAAAGAGCCTGTCTTACCGATGTACCAGCCTTTGGCCAGGAGCACGCGGAGAAAGAACACGCCTAGGAATGCGCCCGTGCCAACCCATCTGTAAAGGACAAATGGTGTTGATTTATCTAATAGAGCTTGGTATTGCTATAAAGTGTTAGATTACAGAAAAACTTATATATGTTTACAGATATCTGCAGTCGCTGTTGGGTGCGCAAACAAAAATAGGGACATACTCTCTGGATCTTGGAGGTATGGGTGGTGACGGCCGCAAAAGGGCTGTTGTCCTCTTCGATATTGTTCATGATGCGAAGATGCGATCTCGAATCTGGAAATAGCTGGGTACGTAGGTAGATTGTATTTGATAGACGTGAATGGTGGCTTGAATAGGATGACGCAAGTATAGGAAGGGAGTGAATTGGTCAAGTTGTCGGACGGTATGAAAGAGAATTGATGAAATGACTTCTCTTTGATGGTATGTAATTAATTTGCAAGTCGCGACTTTTGGAGATCTGCGGGCCCAGGAGAGTGATCGTTTTGGGACAATGTGGCAGCTAAATTAAAATTTACTATGCCGTAGTTAACTAGTTCCAACCTTGATTTTTTAATTAATAGCCTACACAGCCACACCTAGCCAGACATATGGAAGTTGAACCTTGGGCCACGCAAGCTGAGAATTAGGTAATTTGGCATGTGGGAACAGCTGGCGGGAAATTGTTCTGTATCCTCGGCCAGCTTCGGCTTCGTGACCTCATAGGACTTCGGAGTACATAGGCTTAGTGATCACTGATAACATTTGAAGCTCTTTGGTACATTCCGATTATCTGAGCTTCCATTTCTCAGCTTCAACAACTGATGCCACGAACTTGCCTGAAGGATTATATGAACTGCATAACCTACATAACACATACCAAAAATTCTAATTCTAATATACTGTGTTTATCCTTGATTAGTCTCTTTTGAAAAGGCTTTGAAAGAAAGGGTTATATAGAACAATTCCATCATATCTACAGCTCATTAGCACCAATCGTTAAAATGAATACATTACGGACCTTGAGACCGCTCGCCTCGCGCCTTCAGCCGTACACCCTTCCCAGAACAGTCCGTCAGTTTTCTGCTACGACAAACAGGTCCTACGAGTATCTCCAGGTATCAGAGCCTAAGCCAGGTGTCGGACAAGGTAAGACTAGATGATGGTAGTAGCTTTGTTAGATCACTTTTAAATTGACATAGGCATTTCCATCAGTAACGCTCAACAGGCCCAAGGCTCTCAATGCCTTGTGTACACCTCTTATAAACGAACTTAATGAGGCCCTAGGCGCCTTTAACAAGTCAGACAGTGTCTCGGTCATAATCTTGACCGGGTCGGAGAAGGCCTTCGCTGCTGGCGCAGATATTAAAGAAATGGCACCTCTTACCTTCTCGGAAGCCTACACAAACAGCTTCATCGAGTCGTGGTCCCAACTCACAACCCAGGTCAAGAAGCCAATTATTGCCGCCGTGTCTGGCCATGCCCTCGGCGGTGGCTGCGAGCTGGCTATGATGTGCGATATCCTGTACTGTACGGAAACGGCCAACTTTGGCCAGCCCGAAATCAAACTAGGCACCATCCCAGGAGCTGGCGGCAGCCAGAGGCTCACACGTGCAATCGGGAAATCGAAAGCCATGGAGCTGATCCTGACAGGCAAGTCCTTCACCGGTGTGAATGCAGCGGAATGGGGCCTCGCTGCAAAAGCCTTCCCTAGCTACGAGGCGTTGATGGAGGGCACGTTAAAGACGGCGGAGACAATCGCGAGCTATTCCAAGGTTGCAATCATCGCTGCTAAGGAAGTTGTGAACAAGAGTCAGGACCTACCCCTGAGGGACGGGGTTGAGTATGAGAGACGGGTGTTCCACAGCACCTTTGGCAGCCAGGATCAGAAGATTGGGATGAAGGCTTTTGCGGAGAAGAAAAAGCCCGAATGGACGCAAACATAAGCCACTGAAACATCATGCACATTCTAACATGTAGATAATCTACCACAGCATCAATACTTCGTATAAACCACCCAAGGTACATACATAATGTAACTCATAGGGGTGACCTATGTAAGTACATATGTACGGTACCACTCCATTGGCTGTACATGTGAGTTTAGGTGGGGGGTTTATCGGATAGGGCTGATCGGGGGATTTTGGCCTCCAGACTAGATCGTGGCACGGCCCATATACCCAGTAGATGCAAATTGTATAACGGAATATCTAACTTGATCAGGTCAAGATTTGATTTTCTTTTCGGTTTTCGTCTCGTCTCTCCAAATCTCCAAATCCATATCCAAATCTAATACTATTAACTCAGTCTAACGAGATAGTACTGTATATGTAGGGTAGTACTGCACAGTTTCCGTGTTCTCACCGCTGTTGCTACCTACATACCGTTAGATTACTAGGTATGTATGTAAACCGACATATGTAGTGCTGACAATTCCATGCTGTGAAATACGAAGCCAGCAGCTATTGCTATTCATCAATACGTTGTGTTAGTGATTCTCAGACTCTCTGTATCCTTCTATTTTTCATCCTTACATGAGCTACCTAGGTCCTACACAGTACTAAGCGGGCGGTTCAAGTCAGATGACAAGCATAGTCACAATCACTGTCCCTGTCTCGGCCCCCTGTTCTTAGCATTATGTAGCTTGTCAACGCTGAACATGGTGGGTGACCTAATACGAAGTGACTTTCAAAGTTGAGGGCTCGGCAATATATATCCATCTATATACCAGGTATATATTTATTTCGACGACTTCCCCCACCATTATGCCTGAACTATTCCGATAGTCGCTATTGGTAAATTTTTTCTTATAGATCCCCTCAGGGCTCACTATCCTTCTTCATCACCTAGTGCTACCTTACATAGGTATTATTCGGGAACAATCATTTATAAGCAGCAATGGCTTCTTCAGTGAGGCCTGGGGTTGATTTGGAGAAGGAGCTGACCTGTTCAGTAAGTTCATATCCCACATCTCATTAGGATCGGTATCGTGCCTGAACCATGACCATGAACCGAGAATGGTGGGCGATGGTCTGTAGAAGTAAGAACTAACAAGGCCGAACTGTTACTAGATCTGTACCGACATTCTCTTCCAACCCTTAACCCTCCTCGACTGTCTGCATACTTTCTGTGGCTCGTGTCTAAAAGATTGGTTTGGGTGGCAACAGACGGTAGCGGAAACATCACCCAACCCTCCAGCCCCCGCCTCGAAAAGGTTCACCTGTCCATCTTGCCGCGCATCGGTTCGCGATACTCGCCATAATGCAACTGTCAATACCTTGCTCGACATGTACCTAACCGCAAATCCGGATAAGGCGAAACCCGAAAACGAAAAAGAGGAGATGCGCCAAAAATACAAACCTGGAGACAATGTCCTGCCGAAAGTACGCATACCCGAAAGGTCGCCCGAGGAGAGACGGTTAGAAGAGATAGAAAGACGGATGCTTGAACAAGCGCGCCACATGAGTCTGCAAGATGCAGGTGTTGAGTCGGCAGAGAGTTCCAGAGCGAGGCGACATCGCCAACATAGTCGATCGGAAGATAGGAGGGGTAGATCGGACAGGGATGGCAGTAGAGAGACACGGCATCGAGATACCCGTGATCGCCCCCCAAGGGATGAGGGGCACAGGCGCCGCGCTGGCTCGAGTGCGATGCTACAACCCGATTCAGCTGCAGATGAACGACGACGTCCTCGTAGTGAATCGCACCACCGCTCGCGTGACTCGTCTCAGATTAGGAGGAGACAGGTAGAACATCAGGCCTCGATTAGGTCGCTGATTAGTTCGTCCGACGTTGACTTTCGAGACCTGGAAAGAGAAATAGAGGAATTTGCTCGCCAAATTCAGGAAGAGGGTCTTTTGGATGGTTTGGATTTGGACAATATCGATTTAGCACAGAACGACGAACTAAGCCAGAAAATCACCGAGGCATATCGACGGAGGCAGAGGGAACGAGCTCGCCCCCAACCGCAACAGCAACCGCCGAGACGAAGCGACCCTGGCATCACGTCCCCGCACCCCGAGCCATCCCAGCCTGCCTCACGGTTTCCTTTGGCAGATATATCCCAATCTAATAGCCGGCCAAGATCAAGCTCGGCCAATACCAGACCACCTAGCCAAAGCCAGGCGGAAGGCCGCAGTCGCCCCCCTATCACGTCAACCCACCTCGAGGTTCGCGCAGAGCCGGAGAGGCGGCATAGAAGGAGGACTTCTAGCGGTGGTGGGAGTGCAACCGACCCAGCACGACCGAGGACGACAGATATCCCACCAGCGGCAAAGTCGCAAACGGATTTGAGATTAGCCCAAAGCGTTGATCCATCATCCTCTCGCCGCCCCTCCATTTCTGATTCGAGAAGCACCAGTATGCCCGTCTCGAACACCAATGGACAGCCGTCGTCGGGCGAGGGATCTCGACCACGAGACCTCTCTTTCAGCGAAAGAGCATCTGCTTCTCAGATTCCACCACCGTCCCCCGAATCACACTCCGATGACTCAGGCAACGAAGTCCATAAACGAGCGCGGCGGCCATCAAGCATCATAGCTCCCCAGTCCCCCTTGCCCAGCCTCGGACTGATTCCATCCCCCACCCACAAAACGCATCATCAGCGGACGCGATCTCAATACTACTACGAGCCGTCAATCACGTGCTCACGATGCAGGCGGCCGCACATCGAGTACGAGCTCCACTACAACTGTTCCAAGTGCGCCAACGGTGCGTGGAACCTCTGCTCGGACTGCTACCGCGCCGGGAAGGGATGCGAGAACTGGTTCGGCTTCGGCTACGCGGCCTTCAAGAACTGGAACCGAGCGCGGGTTGCGGGGGGCAACGAGAGCCTCGAGCAGCCGCACATGCTGACCTCGTGCCGGTACAGGCAGCCCAAGGCCGTGCCGGGCGGCGCGGAGGGGCGCAGGACGCTCACGACGGACAACCCGGCGAGCCGCCTCGAGAGCGGCATGTTCTGCGTGCGGTGCTCGGCGTGGGCGAACGAGTGCTACTGGCGCTGCGAGTCGTGCAACGAGGGCGACTGGGGCTTCTGCAACAGCTGCGTGAACCAGGGCAAGTGCTGCACGCACCCCCTGCTGCCTCTCACCTACGTGTCGCCCCCGACGAGCCCCGGCGCACCACCCAGCAGCAGCAGCAGCCCCCGGGTCCCCGCCTGCCCCCGCGGCGCGACGCTCTCCACAGGCCCCGACGCCGTCAGCCTCGGGAGCTTCAAGTCGCTCACCTTCACCACCACCTGCGAGATCTGCCGAGACGCCATCCCGCCCGCCCACCGCCGCTACCACTGCTTCGAGTGCACCAGCGCCGTCTCGCCGGACGCGCAGCCGGGCGAGCACGACATCTGCCCCGACTGCTACGCCGGCACCGTCCACAGAAAGCGCATCTCCGCCGAGAACGGGCACCTCGGGTGGCGGCGCTGTCTGCAGGGCCACCGGATGGCCATCGTCGGCTTCGCCGAGGGCGCGCCCGGGCAGCAGCGGCGGCGCGTGTTCCAGGGGCTGGTCGGGGGCAGGAGCTTGCGCATATCCGAAGACACTGCTGCTGCTGCTGCTGGAGAAGAAGAAAAGCCCCGCTTGCAGAAATGGAGCTGGAAAGGTGCGGGCGGGGCTACGGTGGAGAGGCTGGTGGCGGTGGACCCGGCTGCGACGGCGCCGCCCGCGGAGACGGACGAGTTCCCGACGTCCGGCGGCGCGGGCATGAGGGGCGTGGCGAGGTGGTCGTGGTACCCGCAGGCTGAGAGCACGGACGAGCTGCTGTTCCCCAAGGGCGCCGAGGTGCAGGAGATCGAGGATGTGAATGGGGATTGGTGGTTTGGGTACTACATGGGCGGCGAGGGATTGTTTCCTGCGCCGTATGTGAGGGTGCTGGAGGGGTGATGCCCGGGTGAAGAAGAGGTCACGTTTTTCTATGACTGTTATGAAGCGAAGCCTGACACATGCATATGGTTGGTTGGTTGGTGGATGGGACTATTCATGATATAATGGATCTATCTGGTATTTTATACAGGTTATATTGCATGAGGCAGGCAGGCAGGCAGGCACATACTGATCCTGGATATATGAAGGGTGCGTTGAATGATACCTATTTTTATTTGTTTAGTTATTCGTAGCATTGGGAACTGATTATGATGGTGGAATATTGGCATGAGTATATGTTTCTACTCCCTACTTAGCAGGTAGGTTTTTAGTACACATGTACTATGAATATACTGGTATATACGAGTGAGCTTAGGGATAAATATGTTTAGTTTTAATGAGTTTCTACGAGCCCCTTTGTTGGTTAAGGGAATGCCTACATTTACGTAGAAGATATAACCTCAAGTTGAATGTAAATAAACGAAGCCCCTGAATAATACCTTGAGGATGTAGCTATGTATTGTACCTTGATTAGGTAGTTATGCAGCTCGAACGGCCCGAGCAGCGGCAGCCGGGATGACGTGCTCAACAGAGCGCCGCCCGCCCGGCTAGCTAGCTAGCTACCCTCTTACCTGCATAATGCTACAACTTGAATGCGACACAACGCGAACCATTGTTGCCCCCGCCAAAAATAATTTCAAAAGTAACTGGCTTCTTTATTTCTTACATGTATCTATAAATATAGGTATAAGGTACTAAGTACTCTTAACTCATACTCGTTGTGATTGGGAATACTTTGAGGTACCTACCGAACCTAGGCCAGCAGCAAGTGAGTGAGTGAGTGAGTGCATACTTACAAGAACGGGAGAGGGAGAGGGAAACATACACACACACACACCATGTTCCGACACGGCGTGCGACGAATAGCCACGACGGCGGCGCGCAGAGCCACGGCGGCGCCCGTTGCTGCTAAGGCACCGAGTCCGTACACGCTGGCTGTCTCGAAGGCACAGGGGGTTGCGAAGGGGTTGACTGGCGGTATGTTACTTTTATTCTACTTTTATTATTTTTATTTGATGGTAATGGGGGGTGGGGGGGGCAATATTGTATTTGGTTCCCGTTAAATGCCTGCTTTAGAGACGTGGCAGAGCGTTCGTGAGAGAAGAAGAAAGAAAGAAAGAAAGAAGGAGTAGCGTTAAGAGAGGTCTAGCTGACAAACTGAAAAAAAAAAAGCCATCGGCAACACCCCACTCATCCGCCTAAACACGCTCTCCTCGCAGACCGGCTGCGAAGTCCTCGGCAAAGCCGAGTTCATGAACCCCGGCGGCTCCGTCAAGGACCGCGCGGCCCTGTACGTCGTCCTCGACGCCGAGGAGCGCGGCCTGCTCCTCCCGGGCGGCACCGTCGTCGAGGGCACCGCGGGCAACACCGGCATCGGGCTCGCGCACGTGTGCCGCGCGCGGGGCTACCAGCTCGTGATCTACATGCCGAACACGCAGTCGCAAGGGAAGATCGACCTGCTCCGCCTGCTCGGCGCCGAGGTCTACCCCGTCCCCGCCGTCCCCTTCGACGACCCGCAGAACTACAACCACCAGGCCCGCCGCCACGCCGAGAAGCTCGGCGCCGGCAACGCCGTGTGGACCAACCAGTTCGACAACACCGCCAACCGCCGCGCGCACATCGAGACCACCGGCCCCGAGATCTGGGCCCAGACCGCCGGCAAGATCGACGCCTTCACCTGCGCCACCGGCACCGCCGGCACCCTCGCCGGCGTCACGCGCTACCTCAAGGAGGCCTCGGGCCGCCGCGTGAAGTCGTACCTCGCGGACCCCCCCGGCTCCGTGCTGCACTCGTACATCCAGTCCGGCGGGAAGCTGTCGGACCGCAGCGGCGGCAGCATCACCGAGGGCATCGGGCAGGGGCGCATTACCGACAACCTGGCGCCCGACCTGGAGCTGCTGGACGGCAGCCTGCACATCGCCGACGCCAAGAGCCTCGGCATGGTGTACCGGTGTCTCGACGAGGAAGGCTTGTACCTGGGCGCCAGCAGCGCGCTGAACGTCGTGGCGGCGAAGGAGGTCGCGGAGCTGCTTGGGCCCGGGCACACGGTGGTTACGATGCTGTGCGATGGCGCGTACCGCTATGCTGATCGGCTTTTCTCGAAGAAGTGGCTCGAGAGTAAGGGGTTGTTGGATGCGGTGCCGAAGGGGTTGGAGAGGTATATTGTGTTGCCGTAGGGTGTTGGATGTTGGATGTAGGATGGGGTACCTATGTGGTGAAAAAGGGGGATAAGAGCAAGACGAAAAGAAAAGAAAAAATGAACCAAAAAGGGTTGGCCGTGGTAAGGGGAGGGAGGCGGCGTTTCGAGAGAGGTGCATTGATCGATCGATCTATTTATCATATCGTATATAAGAAGCAAGCAAGACACATTCAAACAAGTCAATAAGTCAAATCAAGAAAAGGTTCGTCAAGGAGGATTGATCATCTGTATATACACATTTGATTTCTTCGTACAAGTCATGATAACATCTTATCTAATCTCTCTCCCATAAAGGGGGTTTTCTTCTTTGAGTTTAATTTGATTTATTTATTTATTGACTCTCTTCGGGCAGATCTGTGATCATGGTATCAACATCGCCGTAGAACTTCTCGGCAGCGGATTCACCCCTCCAAGAAATATCCGGCTTAGCGGCTCTTAAGTCGGCTGTAAGTTGGTTCCGCCGGGAAAGGAGTTGTTTTGCGAGTTCGGGCTCAACGACCTTGATCGCCATATCGAGGCCGTGCAAAAGTGGCGTGCATAGGGCGAAGAATTTGTTGGGTTCTGCCAGGTATTTCATCTTGTTGTCCATCTCGTACGCCTTTTCTGGCTGCACAGCCGTCAAGCTCTTGCCTTCGGGCCATACCCTAATAACATCCTTCGCGTAGTCCGTCGCCTTCTCCAACATGAGGCCCACGTCCTCGCTGTCTCCATTATTTACAACGAATCCCGCGGCGATGTGTAATGGCGCCAGAAGGGTCATGGGGTCTCGGTACAGGGGCAGTTCGCCGTCGAGCATGCGCCGGTCCTCTGCCTTAGCGGGAATGTGGCCCTCGTCCTGTAGTAACTCGATGACTAGCTCAGCTTTTCGTAGGGCCCGTTTCGTCTCAGCTTCGTCCCATTTACTATCAAAGGCCTTCATCTGGATGTGAAACAAGGCCTCGTTGACTTTCTCGCTTGTGTCGAGTTTGAAGCCGGTGCGGCGGACGCTGCGCGCGCAATCAAGAACATCGTAGATCTTGCCCTTATTGCCGCAGGTTCTGAGAACCTTGCAGTAGAAGTCGGATCCAAATTTGCGTTTCGCGTAGGCGATTCCTTCGAATAGAGGCCGTAGGTTGGCAAAGTCTTCATCAGTAGTAAATTGGGAAACAGCACTGACGACGCTGCGACGAGTCTGGGGCATCTCCTTGAAGGGGTTCATGTAGCGAAACTTGATAACCTCGCCGTCGATCTCGATAGTGATAGGGTCGGATTGTAACTTCTTCTCGTACTTGAGGGAGAATATCTTCCTACGCTGGTCGGGTGGTATGTAGGAAGGTAGGATGATCTTCTCTCGGATACTTTCGAGGAGCTTGGTGAGTTCGGGTGTCGATGCGGGTGTGAAGTGTGCGATTCCGGCTATATAGCATGTATGTTAGCCTACGAATACAAGTTATATAGCTAGGGTACCTTATATGTTAGTAAGTATCTATATATAAGGACATACATACCATTTTGCCGTGCAGTATATGAAAAGGCCCTTCGGTGGGTGGCCGTTATGGACCGTGTTATCCTCCCCGCAGCAGACTCAAGAACGCCATCGCTTGCGCGAAAGGCGCTCAGAGTCGAGTTTCTGAGCATGCCTCCTCTAGTTTATGTGTCAATTGTCAAGGCCGAGTGATTACAATTGCTCATTCCATGTGGGTGGACCTCTGAAGAACTTCGTTATCCGTCTTTGAATGTCTTCAATCTGGAGGGTTCTAAATTTCCAATTTTCTTTAACAAAGTCGCAAAGTTGAAATGGACTAAAAACTATCTTTACATAGGTACTATGTACTAGTAGTACTGCCAAGATTTTGACCCGCAACAAAATTCCTCCATCCGGCTATCGATAACAGCCAATCCAATTGCTACAGTAGCAGATAACTTACCCATGTCAGTTATCAGTGGGTCCCACCAAAAGTGGTGTGTCCCTCTTAAAGATTTCAATGTTTCTTTCCGACCTCGAAGGAAGAAGGAAAAGGATATAGAAAGCTTCGATAGAAGGGGAGAATCGGCCACAATGATTACCCAATCGACGTCGCGGCCATTGAGCAGCTGGAAAGCTGTCTTAAGACGAACTCGCCAGCAACGAGACCAGCGAATACCCATTGCATTCCGCTCCCTCACCACCGCACCCTCCTCCTCCTCCTCCACACAGCCAAACGAAGCTTCCATACCACCGCCGCCGCCACCACCACCTCCCGCCGCGCAATCGGCCTCCAAACCAGCCCAAAAGCCTTCATTCCGTACGTCTCACCAATTATGCGACTGATATCCCAATATCCAATCTTTGAGCTTTTGTAATATACATATACATATATATATATATATATTTCTCAAAACCCCGTCGAGCTAACCCATCCCAAAAGACATCATACGATCCCAAATCCCCGAGAAACCCATCCGCACCGCCTTCGCCGTGTACCCGCGCGTCCCTTCGGCGCGCAAGAAGAACCCCTCCGCGCTCGCCGCCTTCCACCAGCAGCAGGTCTCGCGCCTCGACCGCACGGGCGCGCGGCGCGCCCTGTTCTCGAAGGCGAACCCCGACGCCGCCAAGGTGGGGGACGTGCTGCAGGTGACCACGCGGAAGAGCGGGGAGCCGTTCGCGGGGGTGTGCCTGTCGATCCGGCGCGCGGGCGTCGACACGGCCATCCTGCTGCGCAACCACGTGCTGCGCGTCCCCGTCGAGCTCTGGTACAAGGTCTTCAGCCCCAACGTCCTCGGCATCGAGATCGTCTGGCGCCGCCCCAAGCGCGCCCGCCGCGCCCGCCTCACCTACATGCGCCGCCCCAAGCACGACATGGGCAACATCGACCACCTCGTCGAGGCCTGGCGCCGCACCCGCAACGTCTTCACCTCGAAGGGCAAGGGCGTCAAGGGCGGCAAGGGCGGTGGTGGTTTCGATAGAGGTGGTGCTAAGGGTAAGAAGCGGTAGCTGGTAGCTGGATGAGGTAGTGGATATGTCACGGATATTTAGGAATTAAAAAAAAGAAAAAGAAAAAGAAAAAGAAAAGAAACCAAACAGATCAGTCATGGCTCAATCCCCCGTTAAAGAGAAGGAAATTTCTCAAGAGCTCAGGGGGGAGGGGGGTGGGAAGCTATCGTGTACTAGGTTATACGAATACTACTACCTATATTATGTATCTCACAATCCAAATTATCCCTCATTGGTTCGGCTTCCGTACATATGTAGATAGGTAGGTACCTACTTATCTAACCTAGGGAACTTGCCAATACTAAATAGTACCTACAAACTGATATCAATACACCCACCCATACGAAAACATCCGTCAGACAACTACTGCATAGCTTGACGAATCAACCTGCTTTCCTAGACGGCCTACCTACGCGGCTATACCCTGATATATTTAGGACATATGTACCTGACTGAAATAGCATCTATATTTATTACTCCCAGGTAGGTAAGACAAATAACGGCAATATATAACTACACATGTGTTTCAATTGAATATATATATATATATATATATATATATGTACCCATGAAACGAGCTTGCCCCTTTTCTATCTCAATAATCTCATGAACACACCAGAACTCTAGGTATGTAATGGATGTATGTAGACAGGTTTCCAAACACTATGTACGATGTATGTATGTACCTAATAAAAAAACATATCTCTCCTAGTAAAAAAAAAGAAAAGAGAGACAAGAGGGCATTAATCCTTCAAAACATGCTTTCGCCCATATACACAAGACAGTCAGCCAGTCAGTCCAGCTCCCATGAATTTGCCCCAAGAGCCATGCGATCAATCAATCCAACGAACGCCATGTACAAAAGCAATTGAAAATACATGAATATACGCCAGCCTAATGGAAAATGTAAAAAAAGATGATATGGAAAAACAAAGCCCCTGGCGTCTATTAGTGAAAATCATTTCTATCCCAGCCCGAGCCACCGTCTCTATTGTGTTCTGTGCATTGTATGTATCTCTAATCCAGTTCTGTCCGTGCCCTGGAAGGAAGCAAACAAGAATAATTCATACAAATCATCCTGTGCTCCCGAGATACCACTGTACTTTCGACCCCCTACGGCGCTGCCACCAAGGGTTTTGTGTCACTGGCGGCGGCTCATCTTGACTGAGATCGCCACTGGGGGCTGGTGTCGGCTGCGAGGCCGTCCGTCCGTGTCGGCCCATCAAGGAGCCCCTTTCTTCTGGCCTCCATACCCACCCATTCGCGCTTTGTCTCCACTAGCGATGCACAGTCGGCTGAGTATCGGCTCTCTTTCTAGCTCTTGGGAGAGGCTCCTGTGTCTCATCAATGTCGTCTTTGCCAGGGTCTGTAGTATGTTTCCTAAGGGACTCCATCCTACTTAATCCCGTTGCGAGCTCTGCATTCGTTATCGAGTGATGAGGGCCATGGGGATACGTTGGCCCAGGATGTAAGAGCCCAGCAAACACATGTCTCCTGTCGATGCTACGACTACGACCTCGGCCTCGGCCTTGGCCCTGACTCGAGGGTCGTTGGGGGTGTTGCCCTACGGACATGGACATGGCCGAAGTGCGACGTTGTAGTCTCACCTCGGCTTCCTCGGCTTCCTTACGGTTGAGGTGTTCGCTGGGAAGAAGAACGGCTCGGTCAAGACCGTATGGTAAACCACGGTGACGGCCGCGAACTTGCATAGCAATAATAACAAGTTTGCCAAGGACCGTGAACTGGGAGCACAGGGAAGCGTTGATGCCTGTATATCCCAGGCTGAGCCCCACTGTGCCGTAGGCACTGACGACTTCGAAAAGAACGGCAAACATCGAGAAATCCCCTGACATGAGCCGTGGGCCCTCGGTGATGGTAAGAATAAAATAGCCCACAAATATGTACCACAAGTCAAAAGACAGCTGTCGACGTAAATGGGTTCCCACATACGACATGTTACTTTGTTCGTCATCGACATCATAAGCCGTGCTGTAAACTCCGAGGGACTTCTCCTCATAAACGTTCGTTCTACGAATCGATATGGCAACAGGGAAGACCGAGATATACATCATAATAAGGTACGACGTTTGAACAGCTGGGTGTACCAGGGATAGGTTTATGCAGGAAAAGCCAGCAGTTCTGGTAGCCACAGCTTGAAACCATCCATCAAGAAAGCGGATGTTGAGCGGCAGACTCGAAACCGACTGGTCATGGAGCTAATATGATGTTAGTTGTTGAACGTAATCCAAAATATGTCAGAGATACCTACGTCAAGAATGATAAATAGTATGAGGTCGATACCATTAAGAGCGACTAGAATGAAGAATAACCACCAGGTAGCATTAGACGGAAATAGAAGCGTGAAACACCGCCGCGGGTGGTCCAAGAGAAACTTCAATTCCTCCCAAAGGCCTGATCCTCGGGGCGCAACGAGAGAGAACAGCCAAATCATGAAACGAAGCATGATGGGGAACCCGGTATTCCCAAGGATGATCAGAAATGACATGACGAGCAAGGGAAAGATGGCCGTGTTGAAAGAGTTCATACTATCAGGGGTAAGGGTCAAGCCAAGATCCATTAACGCCGAATTTGACGTAAAGAAAGCCCACCACACTCTGCTTTGGCCGGCAGCATCAATAATCTGGCCATAGTATTCATTGTTGTGAAGGATCCAGGGCAATAAACAGATAATGCCGAAGATAGTGTATCCCCAAAAATAAATTGTGAGGACAAGGGCAAGCGCTTTCAGCGATCGATATTCAATACCGCCTAATTCGTCTCTCTGCTCTTCTGTGAGCCCTAGGAAAGCAGAGTTCCGGCCCATGGTAGGCTGCCAACTGAGGTATGGCATGGGGTCCTCATCTTTGCCTTGGGTCAAGACCGACTTGATTCGGTTGAGAGGGTTGACGCGATGCAGCACCGACGATGCAGTCGTGTCGGTGTGGCTCAATTTCTCTCCTTCTTTTCTAGGTTTTCGATTTCTCGGCCCACCGTTAGCGTGGGAGGTCACTTCGTCAACTTCAGCTATCTCTTCCGGCCAGTCATGTTCCTCTCTCCGGGGTTTCACTGGCTCCTCGATGGTGATGGTTGGTTGGCGATCCGGGCGAATCCGTAGCGGTGAAGTTGGCCGATTAGGCCCTTCAACGCTCGACTCTCTCCGTATTCGGTTCAAATTATCAGGGCCGTCGGCGCCCTCGTCATCTAGCTCTTCTGGAAGCGCACCCCTATCGGCGTCTCGTGGACCAGGAATTCGCAATACACCCTTGTCTGCCTTGCGCTGTCTTTCTAGAATAGCGATATGCTCGGCGTCAGTCCGTTTAGAAGGTATTAAGATCTCGTCATCATCTGACTCAAACGCATCGCTACTCCTAACTTGGTCCGAGAATTTAATTTGCAACGGAGGTCGCTGAGAAGTTTGATCTGGAGTTTTAGGATCCGGCTCATCTTCGGCCGGTGAACCATCAATGGGCACGTCTCCTTTCGTAGCCCCTTGGATAGTGTAGTTATCCAATACGATGCCATCGTTAGTTATCCGAGAGGCTTTAGCGGTGTTGTGCATGACCGTGATGTGTCGGCCATTGACGCCCTTCTCCAAATCTGCGGCACTCGCTTTTGCCTTGGACCGTGATTTGGCGATCGATACACGTCGCGTTCTTGCCTCCTTCACGACATGCTGGAACCTTTTTTCAAACCAGTATAGGCGCAAGAAAACTACAGAAGAGTGGATGGTGATAGGATTGGTGAGCATAGTAAGAAAGTAAATGACTATTTGTTGAAAGGTATTGAGCAGATTTGCATCAACGGTATTTAGTCCTGCCTGAGTATTGGCACCGCTGGCAAAGAAGAGAGCATCGATATAAGCTAAATTGCCCCTTCCAGGAGCAAAAATCAGCACGGACCCTATGATTGTCCATCCAATGATCCAAAAATCTATAGAACATTAGCCAACCAAGCATATAATAGTAGTGAGCAGCTACAACATACAGTGGACTGTGATGAAGTTGAAATGCGGATCTCTAGAAAGGAACGAAGGACGAAGGGCCTGGATAAATCCCAGGAAGGCCTCACGAGCTCCGGCCATGATGGTAAGTTAGGTTGTTGTATAGCTAAAAGACTTTGACTTTGTGAGTCTAAGATTGAAACAACAGGAGAAGCCACTGTTAAAGGGCCACCGAGTCGAAGACTTGGCTGGTAAAGTCGGCGATGAGAAACATGATGGTTATCGGTCGTTCCGAAGCTATATAAAATGAATTATTAACATGATGCACGGCAGGTGTTGAGATGTCGTATAAACTAAAACATTGTGCAATCGCGAGCAAGTGTAGAATCAGAATAAGTTGGTAAGAAGTTGGCCCTGTGGAAGGTGAGGTGATGTTTAAGAGAGCTGCCGGGTAGGTACTAAGCCTATTAGAAGTAGGGAAGAGGTAACTCAAAACTGCGTAGACACCGAATAACAAAGAGGGCTGAGACAAACAAGACGAAACAAGGGCAAGGGACCATAGACCATAAGGTTTTTGGGGGTTTTTTTTTAAAAAAAAGCATGTCCGGAAGTTTTCTGTCTGTGAGTCTAGCACAATCTGCCCTCTGCCGCAAACTTGATATTATGTCTGTGCCAAAGGGAGAAGAAAAAATTGAGATGCGGCTAGTATAGACAAACAATTGTACCGAGACACAGTATATTCATTCAAGGTCTCTTGTTACTTACCTCCTTTACAACGGATTCATGACACCAAATATCAGATATTGTCGCGAAAGAGGATAGATTTGAGAAAATCTCAATCGTCTTCAATGTTGTTAGAAGTATGAAATATGTATTACGCGAAGTGGGTAAAAGTAACTGGGTACCGTGTAAGCAACATTGAAGATTGAAGTATGTATTGAGGTAAAGAAAAGTGAAAGATTGATGTTCAATGTTGGCTCAATGTTGTTAGTTAAGGGGTTAAAAAGGAATTCTTATCCACTTGCCTTTAAGACTGACTGCCCGCTGCTACCGCTGCTACCGCTACCACTGTAGTAGCATGGAAGAAAGGAAGGAAGGTTCGGCAATGTAGTGTAGTATGTAGGTGAATAGCGTACGTAGGCAGTGTCAATACCAGGTAGGTAGTAGGTAGATAAAATGGAGTGGAAGGAAACGGGAGGCAACACCTTCCGCCGACTCAAGAAATTTGAACTTGAGTGGATCTAGTTTAGAATATCAAATCTTGATTAGAAAGTACCTACCTCACTTCTTTCTCACCATTCGATCTTGATCTTCCTTTCTTTTTCTGAGCTGAGCTGAATTCCGACTTAGTAAATACCATCAAATATTAAAAGGGGCTTATATGCCAAGCCTGGTAACACCAGTTTTCCTTTCCCTTTCCCTTTTCCTCTTTATTTATTTTTATTTCTATTTTACACTTTCTTCAGAGAGGAGTAAAGGGATAGCCCGGCCGTGATGATGCATTCGACATGGGGGTTGGACCACAGATAGCCGACCAACAGCGTGTTTCGAATCATTATGTTTTTCAGGTCGACAAGGATTAAAACACATGTCTGACTGACTAGACGCAATTCGTCTAGCTTGTTAAATCTGCATGCGAGGGAGACAGCCGGGGTAATAGTAAGGTTTGACCCGCCGGCAAGTCGTAGGCTACTACCGTACGATATGTGTATCCATATGCTTTATGTAGGTAGGTAGTAAAATCGCAATGAGCCAGGATGGACCCTTCTTCTGCCAAAAAAAATCATATAAGCTGCGTTGGCTCAGCCTGTCAGGTTGTTCGTGCTGCTGCTGCTACTCTGTAAGCACCCGGCATCTGAATTATCTGAATCAATTCGACTTGCCCAATGCACTCGAAGTGGTCTAGACTCGTCTTCTTCTACGTCGTTCTCTAGATATCGTCTACGCGGTCCGTCTACGCTACCTAGGATGTTGCTTTCATCTGCGGAATTTGGAGTAGTTCGAGAATTTCCGGAAACTTTTTTGTAGATTATAAAAGCTACCTATATAGTACCTACGTACCTACATATAGGTGCGCATTAATCGATGCTACATAGCACAAGGGACTATGATTGGCTACATGATACCCTACAATGAACATGTGAAAACTTACATATGTACTTGGTACTTGGCAAAAATCTATTTTTCTTCTTGGTTCTTCTTGGTTGTTTATGGCGTGAATGATGATGTCACACGTAAGAGCTACTCAGTATAAGTTGATAACTATACGATTATTAATTTAAATCCTAATTCATTATCTGGCATAAATAGGTACCTAGTATGTACCAAGAGTCCAAGACGGATGTAGTCCAATTATGTACGCGCTAGCATCATGAATGATGATATATCTCATGAGATACTTTACCGTCCGTCTTACTTAAGATATCTACTTTTTAATGTATGTTGTACGATCACAAATGAATATTATCCGAAAAAAAAATCAAGTTTAAATTGATGAGGTTGAATTGAAATCGAATACAAGAATAAATAAAAAAAAATAAAAAATTTTACACACCGACAAATTGTCGATATTACCGAGAGAACAACACCGAAGAGAACAACGTTAAAATGCAACTCGAGATAAGCCTCCCCTTATCCCTCAACGCAAATGCGACCCCAATCGGATCCCGTGAATGTCAGCCCATGTCGTGCAGGCTTTCTTTTGAGCAAATTTCACATATCCCGTAGCCACGCAATTTACGCTAGGGAGGTTGCATTTGATACGTAGCACTGCAGCTGGGATCCGTGGGATGGATGCATCTTGCCCATAGTGCCGGATCACCTATGTTAACATTGTTAAGGCTTAGCTCTACGGTACATAGTATATCCTGTACTCCTTGTACTCCCTGTATGTATGTACTTTCGGTGCTCTGTGCTCTGTGTTCTGTGTGCTTCCTATTGACATACCTAATAGGCAGGTAAGTCAAAGTATTTGAGGTTCTCGAGCATTTTTTTTTTTATAAAAATTATATAGATTACATGCAGGTATCACCACAGGCACACCGCAGTCTCCATCATCCATAATATATCGCGTTTTGACCGGCGGTGAAAAGGAAAAACCGAAAGGTGAAAATCCCTTCCTGCTTCCAGGGGTATACCTCATGCCATGCCCTGGCTTGTCCTGCGCTGCGCTGCGCTGCGCTGCAAGATGGATCTCAGTAATCTCGTCCGCCACCCATCACTTGCCGATGGCCATTGACGCCACCCGTTTTGTTCCGTATCTTGGTGTTGTACATGAAAATAATATAACGCAAACTACCGTTGTGTCTTGAGCCTTTCCTTTTCTCTGCCCAGCTTCTTGAAGAAAGCGTTACTTTGTGCCGGTTTCTTCTTAAGCGCCTTATTGGCGCCCTTCCTCTGTTCTATGTACGCCATATCCTTTCCTCCACTAAGATCTTCGAGCTCACCGGCTGTACGCTTGAAGCGGGGCTTTCTTCTTACTCCAGGGCCCCAGAAGAGATCATCTGCAACATCATCATCATCATCTGCTCTCCTGGAGTTTGTGTCAATCACAATCTTCTGGAGAAGCTCGCGACGCTCCTGTGCCGTGCTAAAAACAAGCCCCTCCATCTGTTCCATGCCAGTAAGCTGCGTGATGACTTTAAATGAGTACCCCTGATCTACCAAGAACGCTTGCCGCTTGGTGGAGTAGTACATTTCAGGTGTATCCCGTGAGACCAGGGAGTAAAAAAAGGCATTGAACCCTTCGTCCGATCTCCGCTTTGCTCGAAGGATACGACCTAGTCGCTGTGCTTCTTGACGACGCGATCCGTAGTGCGACGATATTTGGATAAGACAGGTGGCTTCAGGGAGATCGAGAGATGTATCGCCAATCTTCGACAGGAATATGGTTTTTACGAGCGGGTTGTGCATAAAATTCTCTAGTACAAGCATTCGTTCGTTGTTGCTCGTAGACCCGCAGATGTAAGCTTTATTGAGAGCCAAAGCAATTTCTCTGAGGGCATAGACATTGTCCGAAAACACGATGATCTTGTCGCCTCGCCTCTCGTGGTAATCGATGAGGAACTGACAGGCCTGTATCTTGCGTGGGTTCATGACATATAGATTTTGTTGTAGACCTCTGTTTTTCTTTTGTCCGTTGAACTCATCGAAGAATTCGGCCGTCATTGGACACCAGACCTCAGCGCATTGGACCTTGGCAATATGACCCTGTTCCGATAACTCCATCCAATTTGCCTCGTATAGTTTCGGTCCAATTAGGAAGTTCAAATCCGAAATCTTGTCATCTTCTCTAAGCAGCGTTGCAGTCAAGCCAAGCTTCGCGTGGCTCTTGATCGAGTGTGATACCTTGCGGAAGATGTTGGCTGGTACGACGTGGACCTCGTCTAGCAGCATCAAACCCCATTCTCGACTAGTAAGAAAGTCCATCATCTTTTGCGAATCATGAGCTCGCTTCTTGCCCGAGTTAGTAACCATGGGATATGTCGTAACAATGATTCCAGTATTGCCCGGAAATCTCGATTTGTGATCTGACGTAAAGAGGGCAATATCCTCAGGTCTAATGTTAGACCATTTCAAGAACTCATTGCGCCACTGATTAGCCGACATGGTACTCGTGCAGAGAACGATGGTACCCTTCTTGATAGTGCATGCGGCGGTGATGCCAACCAAAGTCTTGCCTGCCCCGCAAGGCAACACAATGATACCGCTTTTTGCTCGCCCATTACCAAACATTTTACTGAGACTCTTTTCCTGGTAACTGCGAATTTGCGTTGCTGGTCGTAAGTCAATTTCGAGACTCGCGTTTCGGTCGTCATTGCGAAAGTCGTACTCCTCCAGCATAGGATATTGGATTTCTAAAGCACGCTTCTGAACCACCTCAATGGAAGTGTCCATGATTTCGAAAGCATGTACAGCCTCCTGGTTATCATCGTCATCGTCTTCTCTCAGCGCATCGAAAGGATTTTGTTTCTGGGCGCCTTCAGCTGTCTCTGTCTGACCCTTTTCGCCTTGCTTGATTTGCGCCTGCTGTACTCCTGCAGCATTTGACGTTCCAGGAATGACAAGGCCAACCATAGAAGGAGCACTGGTAACTGTTTCAGTGCCCTGAACTCGGCATGGTCCAATGATAGGATCCTTCAATAGCTTTTGCAAAACTTCAGGGTCGGTACTTTCCACGAAATATTTCGTATCTTTGATTACGAGCTTCACTTTGCCATAACTAGATGCACAACTGCCAATAAAACTTATAATGGAATCTGGCACGGGAGTCTTGGAAAAACGTTCGAGTGTATTGATGATATCTCGGGGTTGCAATCCAACGGAGACAGCAGCGTATAGACTATGACTTGTAAGGGCATATTCGTGAATAAAGGTGGGTCGTGACAAAGGCTCGGCGACGGTAATGAGGAAGTCTTTTGCTTGTTCGGCTAGAGGGCTGAAATTTTCGAGTATGATTCGTCCTCTCTGGGGATCTATGAAAATAGGACGGCTCTTAAAATCAGGCTTCAGTGGCAAATAAGAAAAGTCTCGTCTGCCATCTCTGAAGAATCTCCTCGATGTCCAATCTTCTTCGTGAGATCTCGTGTTTTGGAATGTTGCGAGCGAGAAACGATCTACAACCTTTTGTAGCTGCTCTTCATTTTCGGCGGGTTCCTCTGGAGATGCTGGATCATCGTCACTAGCGATAGATCGAGGCGTAGAAGGGCCGGGCGTGGACGTTGCGGAGGCCCTGCCCGACTTAGAGGGACCCGTAGCATCTTGCCAGTGTTAGTATTCTCAGTTCCTTCGAGAACTAGGTACATACATGTGGATAGGAAGCGAAAAGGGAGACATACTAGTTGTAGCCTTTCTCTTCGCTGGCATCTTGATGGCAGCAGTAAATGATTCGTGTGTTGAGTGATGGATGAAGAGGCAAAGTAATAAAGAAGAGAAAGGATGTAAATGTGAGATGTATGGATTGGTCATATGTAAGTACCTAAATTCCTAGAAAGGTACATGTAGACGTTTAGTAATGCCATTATGCTACTAGGTACTAGGTAGACAATGAGCATGAGCCAGTCGGAGAATTTCCAACAAATACCTTGTATTTTAGTGGGTCCAATGGCGTAAATGGTGGGGGCCCAACTTTACCGCCTTTCATATTCATAGGATCTATCTTGACCGCCCACTGTGTTCTAAATTTCATTAATTTTATGCCGGCAGAAAGTTCAATCGCATATCCCGCCAACACTAAAGCTACCAGCGACAAGCTCAGTACATACCTAACCTACATATGTAGTAAGTAGTAAGACTTCATTCAGTATTGAGTCTCTCACTCACTCATTCAATCCCTCACATATAGGTTCAGTGCCTACGTATCTACCTATTATTACCCATCTTTCACAAATGGAATTGTAAAAAAAAATAGTCCGGTGATTTTCCAACGTATTCATCAATACCTACTGTTCTTTTCTACACCCTCACCCCTAGCCTTACTCACGATCAAAGATGGCGACTCATACTGCTATGGCCCAAGGCAGCAATGCCTCAATGCGAAGCTCTTTTGAGCAACGTATCGGTATCCTCAATTATGTGTCAGAGAAAGAGCATGGCTGGCACGGCCAGATTCGCACAAGGTAAAAGAATGGATAAACTAACCCTTAATGCCAATCTTTATTCATTTATACAAGTTCATTACTTACTTAGAACTCTCAGATTTACCGATTTCCAGGTTCATGAGATCAGCAAGGATGGCGAGGTCATCCATCTACACGATTTCCAGACGAATGCAAGGGAATTGGCAAAGGCTGTAAGTCTGTTGACGAAGTTTATTATTCCACCAGCAAATAGCTTATTCTCACATAGGGAACGTCCCGCCAGTCGACAGCAATGCCACAGGCTTCCCAGGCATCTCCAACAGACAATGGCAAAACTGCAGCCGAGGATGTTAGCACCGTCTCGGAGACTCCCAAGGAGCCCCAGCCAGATAACGTAGAACAGAAGAAAAATGAAGACACATCCACTATCATATCTCTATCCGACCGTACAATCCTAACAGAAATTCTCGGCCAAGGCACTGCAGAGGAACTGATCAACTTGCATGAGAAATCTAGTCAGAATAAGGGGGTGCGGCCTAAGAACTCTGACTTTGTAAAGATTGCTGCCATAACCGACAAAGCGCAGAGATCCCGAGTTCATACGGTAAATTCTCTCAATATTTATATGTATTGAATAATCCTACTTGCTAACTTTATGTAGGAAGTTCGTCGAATTTTTGGAGGTAAACTCGACACTGCCACTGAGTCCGATGGCTCTATCAAGGCAACAGTTGTCAGTAGAGGTAATTTGCAATGGGGCAATCGTTCCAGAAACGATAGATCCAGGAACAATGGGCAAGATCCTGGACAAGCCAACGAGGGTAAATTCTTACACTTCACCCTTTACAAAGAGAATCGAGATACCATGGAAGCAATCAATCAGATAGGCCGTGTTCTCAATCTCAAGCCTTCCTTCTTCGGTACTGCTGGTACCAAAGATCGCCGTGCTGTGACAACCCAGCGGGTCAGTATGCGGAGACGAAACCCGCAGACTCTGATATCCATCAACAATGAGCGAGTATTTGGTGTGAAAATTGGAGATTTCAAGTTCGAGCACTACCCGATTCATCTAGGACAACATAAGGGAAACGAGTTCGTCATAGTTGCCAAAAATTGTTACTTTAGCGGAACCAAGGACCTGGCATTCGAGCAAAAGCTCAACATTGCAAAGACAACGATAGACTCTGCATTGGCACAAGTTAAGGAAAATGGGTTCATCAACTATTATGGCACTCAAAGATTTGGTACACACCAAATCGGAACTCAGGAGATCGGTATGAAGATTCTTAAGCAAGATTTTGAGGGTGCCGTACGAGCTTTGCTATCCTTCGATCCTCAGTTACTCGAGACTTCTGAACCAGATTCTATGGCATCAATGCGCCGCGAGGATGCTGCCCGCGCGCTCGCCTGTTCGATCTTTTCGAATACAGGAGATGCTCAAGAAGCCCTCAAAATTCTACCCAGAAGGTGTCATGTCGAGTCAGCCTTAATGCGCCAGCTAGGTAAACATCCCAAAGATTTTCTCGGGGCTCTTCTTTCTATTAACCGCGGGATGCGCTCGATGTATGTCCACGCATACCAGTCGCTGGTGTGGAACTTTGCCGCAAGCAAACGCTGGGAGCGTTTCGGTCCTTGTGTAGTCAAGGGAGACTTAATCTTCGTCGAATCCGAAGCCTCTGTCTCGCAAAATGCTCACCAGAATGGAAACGATGACGAGGAGATGATTCACCTTGTAGATGGAGGTTCCATCAACGAAGAGACACACGGGCTGAAGGTGCATGCTCTAACGGAGCAAGAGGCTGCGAGCGGGAAATATTCAATTTTTGACATCGTTTTGCCTTCTCCTGGCTGGGATGTCATGTACCCAGATAATGAGATTGGTCAATTCTATAATGAGTTTATGGCCAAGGAAGAAAACGGTGGACTTGACCCTCAAGACATGCTGCGCCAACAGAGAGATTTCAGTCTTCCGGGATCTTACCGCAAGTTAATGGGGAAGTTCATCGACACTCCTAGCGCTTCTGTTCAGGCCTACTCAAATGATATGGAGCAACTAGTGCCCACTGATTTGGACATAATACGATCTCGCAAAGTCAAGGAGGAGGGAGAACGCGCAGCCGCCCGACGAGAGATGAAGACTTCCTCGTCAGCTTGGCAGAATTTTGTCGATAACGTACAGGAGATCGATCTTCAGACGACGAATGAGAAAAGGAAAGCTGAAGACTCCTCCCACGTTCCAGAGAGTCGAGTGGAAGACACGTGGGTGCAGACTTCGGTTGACGAGAATAACAAACGAGTCAAAGTTTCTGTGCAGCATGATACTTTCAGTGCCGGTATGCAGAAAGAAAACAATGCCTCCACAACTGCCGGGGATGAGATGCAAGTAGACGTGGATGCAGCGGATCAAGTAGACAAAGTCGAGGTGCCGCAAACGATGAATCCGGATAATGGAGATTCTGTTCACTCAGTTGTGCCTGAATCTGGACCAGAAGGCCATGCATCAAATGCCGTCATAGCAGTCCCTGTGGAAGAAGCAGCCCAGCCCATCGAGAAGAAAATTGCAGTGATCCTTCGATTTGCGCTGAACACGAGTCAGTATGCAACTATAGTTCTTAGAGAACTTCAAGGAGTGGTTCCTACGAGCGAGGATGCGGTCAGCCTACCAAGTTCATCAGCCCCTCTGAGCGAGGGTGCTATCGACATCTTGTGACGAACGCATTGTATCTATAAACTGCGATAGCACGAATGAGTTGAGGTCCCCGATATTTGGTGAAGAGAGGGCTTGCAGTATCGTGTCGTTATAAACTAGATACCCATTGTTGATGAACTAAGTAACGCACGGAGTTGAGACCTAATATGGTACCTATGCCAGTGTGTATGTGACTATTTTGCGTGATTCTAGGCTGTAGATTCGAGGTTCGAGTGTGCCACCGCAAAACAAAGAGGGCACCTAACCCCTTACTGTAATTCAATGAAGATATGATCCCGTGTAAAAATAGGGTTCTTTGTCAGATAGGGCTATCGCTACCTACGATCTCGATATGCGACTTCCCTTTGTCCACGAGGCGGGAGTCGCCCAGGTTTGGGTTTTGCTTGAAAGCTTTATATACTTGATTTGCGTATGCCTCAGATTCCTGAGACAAACATCATGTTTGCCTAGGATTAAAATAAAAAAAGACATCTGATCTCACGAGTACTATGCACCTAGTGATCCCACGTCCTAATTTTCGCTTACCTACTTACCTTTTCTACTTTGATTATCGTTGTTATAATACTACCTAGGTAGAGCAAAACACTATTCCCGTGTGTTACGGATACAGCGCTTCATACTGACCAAGAGGACAGAGACCGGACGGGGCGGTATCCCTATCAATCATCTCAAAATGAGCATGCTCGAGCGGATCGCGGGGTCCAACCGGATGAGTCGATATCTGGAGTTGCCGGCAAGACTACACATGAGGCCCAAATCCACACAGATTAGCGGCGAGGTGGTTGGAGACTCGATGTTTAGGAGGCAGCGGGATGTTATGGATCATGTGAATACTTCTCCCACATAAGGAATAATATCCTTGATTACCTACTACCTAGTATTGGTACTAATGTTGTTAGCTCATAAGCCCGACCGCCAAACACTTCTCGTTTGACGGAGCCGGCACTGGCAGTGGTGCGCTGTATATCAGGAGAAACCAAGCCACAAGATGTAGTTATTGGAACTCTATAAAAAAAATAAAGGTATTAGGAGTGCTGGCTAACGAGATATACTAGCAGCTCGACCAACGGAATCGGTGACACCCGAGGACTATGACGAAGTAGGATGGGGCGAGAAGAGTCTGCTAGAGCTCTCGGACTCGATCCGCGCGTGCCTGCGACACGACGGGTCCGGGGGGCCGGACATCCCGCGCCTGAGCAGCTTCCTGGTGGCGGCGGTGCAGGACGAGGCGCAGTGGGGGCAGCCGACGCTGGACCTGGCGACGATCGAGCACGCGCGGCTGGACAAGCTGCTGGCGGAGCTGGTGCACTTCGGCGAGTCGCTGCGGGCGAAGAACCCCCACTTCCGGCCCGTGCCGGCCCAGGAGCTGCCGCTGCAGCTCCGCATCGACGTGTCCAATGCTAAGAGGCTGCGGCGCCTCTGGCGGCGGCGCTTTCGCGAGCAGTATTTCATGATGGACCAGCACCGCTGCGCCATCCTCGTCGAGGGCGGCCGCTTGAAGGACGTCTCGTTCGACAACTCGCTCGCGTATGACCTCGGGAAGTGGCTCACCAAGGTCGGCGATCCGATTTCTGAACTCGAGGGGAATCTGCAGTTCGATCCGGGACAGTAAGCTTTTCCCCCGAATTTTCTTCTACCTAAAATCTCCATGACAGCAATACCCCTCGTTTCCTCTTCCCCTTCCCCATACTGGGTATATGTTTGTTTTTGGTCTTTTTTTTTCAGAGGAGTAGTTGACAAAATAACTCATCCTTGAAGCTGGTGGTTGAACATCACGTGTGCCGAGCGAGACGGCATAGTAGCATCCTCGCTGGAGACGCCGACGAAGGGGCGATACGGGATCACGGCCCTCCCTCTCCTGACTGGTCGAGAGGAAATAATTCGTCCAAATGTGTTTAAATACATACGCGAGGGCCGAGCCGCAGACATGCACAACAGTCTGATCGGGCAGGTAGGCCGACAGATCCGAGTGCTACGGGGGTACAGGTTGAGGAGCATTGTGGCACCGCAAGCTGGGATCCGATACGATGGGCTGTAAGTCGTGATCCTTTCTACCTACATACCCCTTTAATTCACCTCTCTCACCCCCCTTTTAAATTACCACTTGATACGTTTCAGTAGCATAGCCGCTTACATTACTTTCCCTTCGCTAAACCAAAAACAGGTTCACCATCAGACAGTACGGATACAAGCAGGACAACAAGACCAACGTCTACCGGCTCGAGCTCACGCTGGAGCGCGTGCCCGAGCAGAAGAAGTCGCAGGAGGAGATCGAGGACATCCCGCGGCCGTCGCAGCTCGACGACTGGGCCCTGTACGAGAAGCTCGAGGGCGACCAGATCAAGCTGCTCAAGGGGGAGACGACGTACCTGGGCTGGAAGCTGAGGCGGCAGGAGGAGAAGATCGATAGGGATGAGTGGAGGCGCGCGCAGCTTTTTAGAGCGTCGTTTGAACCTATTGGGGGGGTGTAGGGTTTGTGTGTGCTTATTTTATTGTTTCTTTTTTAAACCCCTTTTTCCAAGAAGAAAAAAGGGGTTGGGGTAAAGTAGATACCTATGATTACAAAAACATTACGTACCTAGTTTAGGGAATATCCCTATGAAATATACCTCCGGCTACTTGTATATATTTCATGAGTCTTTTTTGCTGTTCTCATTACTTATGACTTTTACTCTACTATGTACATAAGTTCCAAGTTGTCGTTGGAGAGATGACCTACCCGTGAACCCCGACAGCAGCATATGGATGGAAGGTCACATACCTAGGCCTAACTACATAGGTAAAGATGCTACTAAGCAGTGAGTGGGGGGTATGCAGTGGGGATTTCTGCATCCATCCATCGCACATGTGAACTTGTAATAAGTACATACGTACCTCCACCAGTCTCTTTCTCATCCAACCAAACCCTCCCTCAGAACTTTTTTTTTTGGTCAACCATCAACGAGACAAGCTTCTTCTTTTTTTTCGCGATGGCTCCAAAGAAGAAGGCCGAGGGCAAGTCGAAAGACACCGGCGGCGCAAAGGGCGGCAAGGGGAAAGACGACGCCAAAGTGAAAGGCGCTCAGCGCATCGTCGTCCGTCATATTCTGGTGCGCTTACATAACCGCTTACATGCCTACTTTTCCTTTTGCCTCGGTAGGGCACCGAAGTACTGACCTATGTATATCATGCAAAATAGTGTGAGAAGCAATCCAAGAAAGACGAGGCGCTAGCCGAGATCAACAAAAACCCAACGCTGGACAACTTCATCGCTGTGGCGAAGGTGTACAGCGAGGACAAGCCAAGGCAAGGTAAGACGAAGAAATAAGATGTGTTTCTTTGGGGCTAATAATGCTCAACTCAACCCTGTTTTGTCTACACCTACCTGCCCTTTGATTTTATAGTCTTCATGAGTTGAGGGTCAATAATGTTACGTGGATACTAATGAATATGACAAAAACTATCAGGTGGTGCCCTGGGTACCAAACAGAAAGGAGAGCTGCATGCCGAGTTTGAAAAGGTTGCTTTTGCCCTCCCAGAGAGCAAGGGTAGTAACCTCAACATGGGAGAGGCTAAGACAGATTTCGGATATCACATCATAGTGGTAGAAGGCCGAAAATAGGACATATATGTAACTGATGTGGATGTCTCTTCACAATCGAGGGACGAAGCATTCATTGTAGCATGATCTCATGATGCGAATTTTTCCTTGATTCCGATGCAGTTATGATTCCCCGAATTTCCAGCTCCATACAGCTGGAGGAGCTGGTACCTAGATTACATGCCAAGGGTCCGTAGAGGATGGTCTGAAAATCATTCCGTCTCACTGTCTATATCCCCGCACACAACGCCGGTGAAGATCCCTTACTGCTCGGTCTGGAAGTAGTTAAGGAGGATAGATCGCTCGCTGGATTCCTCACCCCAGTCCTTAACTACCACGCAAGAGCAGTTGACCACCTTGCGCGCATTGCCTTCTCGGTCCAGAACACCTGAGTTATACTATCAGCTTCAAGCTCGCAGTCTAATAATGCTAGGGAGGAAAAGACTTACAGAGGCCAGCCCATTCGCCTAGTTGCTTGCCATCAGGAACCTTGATAAGAGGGATCTTGTGTTCGGAGCAGAGAGCAATGACTAGCTTCTTGTAGGCCTCCTCTTCGCAGGACTCGTTGAGGACACACATGTGTGCTTGGCGTCTGTCGAGAGCCTTGGATGCTTCACGGAGACCACGGGCAAGACCATCGTGCATGAGCGCAAGCTTCAAGACACCCTTGAGGGCGTCCAGAACGGACATCTGGCCTTTGGAGGCATCGGCAGAAACTTCGACCTCCTCAGGGGCTTCGGGTGCGTTGTTCTCTTCTACGTCCGACTAAAGTTCGCAGCAAAATATTAGTATTTTTTTTGTGTGGTTTCTTGTTTGCGCGCACACAATCTTTGGAGAAAAAAAGGCTTGGTAGACACTGGATGCAAGGCTACCAAACTTCGGAATGTCTCTCAAACGTGGGAATCTTGAACGATAGCGACAGGGAATTTCCAACGTACCATCTTGAATTATATGATGATACCGGTGCGATCCTCGAAGAGTGGATTTGTCGTGTGTTGGGTTATGTGGGTGAAATGTCGTGAGGTGGGAAGTGCGAAAATCTAGAAATGTTGTAAAGTTCAATTGAGCCTTAGAAAGCCCAGGAAGGTCAGTGGGTGGGATGGTGGAGCTTAGGGGGGTAGTAAATTGTGTTATCGCTTAGGGTTAGTTGGCCGGAATTCACCCAATTGGATGGAGCCTTGGTCATTCTTCAGGTAACTTTCGCCCACCAGAAATTCCTCAGCAAGCAAAAAAATAAAAAATAATAACCACGAAATTTCTGGATGGCTCCACTTCTATTTTCTTCCCCTACCAAATCTTAAGTTCACCTTCTTTTCTCAAAAATTTCAACTCCATCACAAAACTTCCTCATACACAACAAATTTCAACGTCGAGCGCCAAGCTATTTCCCAACGCTCCCGACTTCTACAGAGGTAGGTACAAAAAAGATGAAGATAAAATAGTGCCATGGATTGATTGAATCCATCCCTTCCCCCCAATGCGCCCTTCAAGAAGCCGGGGGAGAGCAATCAGCGACCTTGCCGCCGGCCTTTGTATCATCATACAATAGTCGAGTTCGGGTCGCTGATACGCTTCTCCCCTCCAGTACTGAGCGGGCAGAACCCTCCCCAAGCGGCACATTGGGGGTGGGCACTCTCCATGCTCATGGCTTTTGAAGGCTAACCAAATCACTTTCCAACCAGCAGATACCTCATTTCCTTTCCACGGACGATCTGAGAATCTCACAATACCGCCAAAATGGTTAAGACTTCAGTCCTCAACGACGCTCTCAACGCGATCAACAATGCCGAGAAGACTGGCAAGAGACAGGTCCTTATCCGACCTAGCTCCAAGGTCATCGTCAAGTTCTTGACTGTCATGCAGAAGCACGGTATGTGTGGTCCTATTTGTTTTCTCGAGATTCTGTCACCATTCGGCATGATAACTGGATAACGGCCTCATAACTCCCCACGGCCGCAGTCTTTTAAGTTGCCGATATATCAATGTCATCTAGCGAAGGAATCTTACACGTTTCTCTGATTATATTCAACATGAAGTTTTAACGTTTAGTCTTTCGACACATTCAGCTAATTATTGCTCTTTAGGCTACATCGGCGAGTTCGAGGAAGTTGATGACCACCGTTCCGGCAAGATTGTCGTCCAGCTGAACGGCCGTATCAACAAGTGCGGTACTATCTCGCCCCGATACAACGTCCACCTTGCCCACCTTGAGAAGTGGGTCGTCAAGCTGCTCCCCGCTCGTCAATTCGGCTACATCATCCTGACCACCTCTGCTGGTATCATGGACCACGAGGAGGCTCGACGAAAGCACGTTGCCGGAAAGATCATTGGATTCTTCTACTAGGTGGCTGAAAAAAAGGGGAATGAAAAAAAGGGACTAAGGGATATGAACTGACTGCAGAGCATTTTCGGCGTTGGGGAAGGATTGAACGATGACCAAGTTTATGCTTGATTAGAATGTCTCAAGCCAAATACACCATGATACCACGAAATGCTACACAAGTCTAGTTCCAGCCTTGCATCTCTTCCTACAGCTCGTATTGCCAAGCCCCGCGGTTCTCCGAGGTGCACCAAAATGCCATGTGACATTGAGTTCAGCTACACACTGCACATTGCACACTGCACACTGCACACTAGCACACATTGCAGAACAAAAAAAAAACAAAGTTCTGGTGAATCAACTGACCCTTCTGTGCAACGGTGACTTCTAATTGAGCTTATTCGCAATAAGGTTCTGTCATCCCTTCCCAGGATAGCAATTTAGTATGCTCCGATGTTCGTGATTCTAACTACAATCCTTGGAATGCCTTTTTATTTCATGCCAAGATTTTACAATACGATAACATAACGTACACAAAATGGTGAATTTCAGGAATCCATGAATTTTATGGACATTCAAGGACATTCATGGATATTTATGGATTATCAATGGATTTAAATAAATTTCATGGGTGTTATCTTGGCAGATCTAGCATCAGAGACGCGTCACAGTGCGTCTCTCGCGCCATTGATTGATTAAATGGAATTATTTGATTGGATTAGATGAACAAGTACCGGGATTTTAAATCAGCCCTTCCCCCTACTTTCTTGCCAGGCTCGCCTTAGGTACTAAACCAGCACGTACAACTTGGAACAGGACGGGTAGCAGCTACCTGGTACCTTGCCAAAAAAGCAAGAAATGGTGACATTGAAAGGCAAGACAGTAAGTACCTAGTACCTGGTACCTTACCTACATAATACCTAGTACTCACTCTGGAGGGCCTGAACATGATCGGGCCAAATCAAATCCATTCTTTCTAAATTGAAGCCCATATATTCCATACATGTGTTTCTTGAAAGGCTTCTAGTTTTGTTTGACTTCTTATAATTACATACTTCCCTATCCTATTGGTATCTACCTACACTTGCTTTTCCTGGCCTGTTAGCCTAGGCTCTTCTTCTTTTGGCCTACGGTATTTTACAAATTACCAATGTCATTCTTTATATTCCTTACATCGCTATCCCCTGCCCCGAATAAGTCTCAACTGTCGCCATTGAGCTTGCTATTTAAGCCTTCCACTCCTTTATAGAACTACGGCGTGAGAGAATGAGGCCGCGCCAATATATCCTAATCGGCGGGTTCGTCTTCTTCGTCATCTGCGCCGTCAGTATATTCCGACTATCGCCCTCAGGAACCGACCTTAAGAATCTTAAGAATCTCAAGTCAGGCCATCTGTCGCATACTAACCCTGGCGTTGGAAAAGATGGCTCAACAGCGCCGCCGCCACCACCACCAAAAGTTCCCGGGCCTTTCGATCCTAAACCAATGCCCGCACCCGATGGCTCACACCCTATGTCGTATTTGATCAGCCAAGCCGAAAAGGAACACGAAGCTACTCTAGCCAGGCAATCGAAGACTCTAAAAGATGCTGTACAAGAGTACCGTAGACGATATGGGATACCCCCACCACCCAACTTTGACAAGTGGTTTGAGTTCGCCAAAGGCAAGAACACACAGCTCATCGACGAGTTTGATATGGTACATGAGGCGTTGACCCCTTTCTGGGGCCTCAAGCCTGCAACCACACGCACACGGGCAAGAGAGGCGCTCGGCTTCGACAACGCACTCCTGGGGATCCAAATCCGCAACGGCAAGATCACACATATCCAGGGTGGAGGCGAGTGGCAGCGTGAGGCCACCGCAGGCATGATGGGGAAGTTTTCGAAGTGGTTGCCTGACATGGACCTGTGCTTCAACTTGCATGATGAGTCTAGAGTCATAGTGCCTCATGACGACTTGTCTAGATTGGTTAGGAGAGCTGTTGAAACCAATATGCCGGCAGCCAACAGCCACGAGAATCCAAAGAACGAGTTTACCCCGCACCCTAGAGGATTAAACGACGGATCCAAATTTGAAGAGAGCAAGTTGACGCGATTCAATGTATTTGCGCACCAGCCCACCTGGACTCACTCGAGGCTGTCGTGCTCCCCTGATAGCCCTTCTAGAGGATTGGAGGAGGACGAGAAGAAAGACGACATCTCCAAGTACGGCATGGGGGAGCTGGGCTTCACTTACAATGTCACAGCCATGTCTGATGTATGCTACTCTCCATCACTGAGTTCAACATTCGGCTTCTTCGATCGGCCCAACGCGTATAATATCGTCCAAGACCTGTTCCCGATATTCTCACAGTCCAAGATTTCGTCATACTCTGACATCCTCTATCCATCACCCTGGTATTGGTACGAGAAGGTGAGCTACGATGAAGCTAAAGACGTGCCCTGGAACGAGAAGGAGGGCAAGCTGTACTGGCGAGGCTCCACGACGGGTGGGTTCAGTAGAAATGGCGGCTGGCGACGGCAGCACCGACAGCGATTTGTGCAGAAGATGAACGCAGCAGACAATGCCAAGATTTTGGAAAATACGGGAACTGCGAGCCATCAGAAGTGGGAAATCAAAACAGTACCGCGGGGTGATTTCAAGGACATTGTCGATGTATATTTCTCCGGTGTTGGGCAATGCGACCCTGGCGATTGCGCCGCCCAGAAAGAATTCTTCACCATCAAGGGGCACGCCGAGCAGCAAGACGCTTGGAAATATAAGTATCTGCTGGACATCGACGGGAATGCTTTCAGCGGACGGTTTTATGCGTTTCTGAAGAGCAAGAGCTTGGTGTATAAGTGGGCCATCTTCCGCGAGTGGCACCTCGAGTGGTTGAAGCCTTGGGCACATTATATCCCCCTGAGTTTGCAAGGCGACGACTGGCTCGAAGCAATCCGGTTTTTCGGTGCCGATGATCTAGGAAAGGCGGAGGCAGAGCGCCTCGCAAACCAGCAGCGCGACTGGGCGGACAAAGTGCTGAGGCACGAGGATATGGAAGTCTGGTTCTTTAGGTTACTACTAGAGTATGTCTTGATGGCGCAAAACATTCTCGTCTTTTGAGGCGCAAGCTAATTTGGGAACAGATATGGCCGGGTTGTCGACGATAATCGTGACAGTATTGGGTTTTCGATGGGCTCGGCCCCGAGAGCTGCGGCAAAACCTCCGAGCTGATGAGAGAAGCAAAAGAGGGATTGAAACAGATTTGGGAAATAATATGGATGGATATAGGAAACATTGGGTAAGCCCGGTGCTTCTTTGGCTGGCCGGCGTATGGTATGGTGCCTTATAACTTGCATGGCCGGATATTTTACGCACGAGCATACCTACGCACACCTTTGCATATATATACCTACATACACATATACACAACACACGGATGTATATGATGGGATGGGTATATATATGTATGTATTTGTATACAGAAAAATACCCCGGAGTTGTATAAATAAGGAAGAGATGGAGAGACACAATTACCTATGTAGGTAGCTATGATATTTTCCAGATCTAAGTAGCCTATTAGTACCAGAGGGTTTATGGAAATGTAACTACTACCTAGGGTAATGTAGTAACCTAGGTAAGTAAGCAGGAAAGGTTGGGGTTGTCATCTAAGCCACCATGAATACGGTCTGTTGCCTAGTAGGAGCTACATAGGAGAGAGATGGATTTAATGCTTAGTCCTACTTCGTACATAGTGCATATACACATTGACCACCTGAGTACCTACCTGAGTATTTTGTGTAGGTACCTAGTTTCGCAAAATACACCGTTGGTTTTAATTCAAACTTTGACAGATTCTGATTCCTTGTGTACATAGTAGCATTCGCCTCTTATCGTCGTTGTGTTGAGGTCACGCCGTCACGGTGTTACTGCTAGTAGTACATTAAATTCACTTATAGATAGATGTGTAACAAGGGGGGTTGGCTTTACAAGGTTTAACAAAGGTTCATGCGTCTTGGGAAGGGTATACGTGCATTAATATGTGCATATAACCTGGTAGTTATTCGTGTAATCCGTAACTGCATAGTACAACTTTAACTTATGTAATTTGTTAAGCTCGACCGCGATCTTCATTCAATGTTCCTTTTCATGTTTCTTTCTTTTTACCTTACCTGCTACATATAGTAACATTGAACTTTTTCGAGCTTATCTCGAATCCTGTAGCTTGCGTAACTACCAACCTTTCTTTTATAATCTCGTGTCGGTGAATTCATCACCAGAATTTCACCATGGCATCGACACCGATGGATCTAGATCCTCCCGATTCTTCTCCCGCCAATGGCACTCCATCCACCTCGCTAAACATCACTCGCACGCTCGGCAGTGGTCTACCTAGCACCTCCGCGGTTACAGACATCATTGGTACCTACAGACCTACCAAGGTAACCTCTCTCACTAGCAACAATTGCAATACCTTAACTTGGCTTAATTGCTAACGCGGGTCGTAGTTGTTTAGGCGCGACGACATAAAAGATGGCCGACCGCAACCTTACATTCTGAGTCTCGATTATGACGACCCTGGCGAGCTTTTGATGACATCTGAGAGCGATGAAACAATTCAGATATACAAGACTCGAGAAGGCCGACACGATAAACAACTTCTGAGCAAGAAGTATGGTGTTAAACTTGCCAAATTTACGCACAACAGCTCTAGTATCATATATGCCAGTACCAAACAAAATGGTACGATCCATGCACCTCTTGAATTACAGTGCTAGTCGCCCAATGGATTCAGTGTTGACGATAAATGTGTGAACAGATGCGATTAGATATCTCACCACCCACGACAATGCTTTTATACGATACTTCGAGGGCCACCAAGGTCCGGTTACCTGCTTAGCGATGCATCCCGGTAACGACGATTTCATCTCTTGTAGCAAAGATAACACGGTGCGACTGTGGAATGCCGGAACAAAGAACGAGACTGGAGTCTTGTATCTCAACACACCACATCTGGCAGCTTTCGACCCCAGCGGACAGGTCTTCGCAATAGGCTCACCTAGCAGCGGTACAGTTCTGATCTACGACCACCGAAACTTTGATAAAGCACCCTTTGCGGAATTCGACATTGTAGAGGCATGCAATTCCGTGGATGCTGCACACACTGTTCAAGGATGGACCAAGCTTGAATTTGCAAACGACGGGCGCTCCATATTATTAGGCACTAAGGGAGCAGGACATTTTCTCTTGGATTCGTTCACTGGAAGCCTAAAGGCCCATCTACGAAAGCCCGAGGGCGGAAGCAATAGACTGGCCGCTGGGGAAGAGTACACCATGAACGGTGGTGGCTCGAACGGGGCGAATATGGAGGGCAGCGGTGACTGCTGCTTCTCTCAGGATGGAAGATTCGTTTTTGGCGGAAGCAAGAAGGGCGTTGTTGTATGGGACACGCTCGGAAATCCGTCAGAAAAGATGTTGGACCCAATTCACGTAATAGAGGACGAGAGACCAGCAGCAGTGGTGGCTGTTAACCCTCGGTTCAACTTCTTTGCAACGGCCGATCAGGACTTGGTGTTTTGGTTGCCGGATCCGCATGCTTAATATTTACATGTTCTGCTGCCATTACATTTAACTAGCATAGTACAGGTATATATCTGAATGGGGAGCATCAGGAGCTTACGACGATATGGTGATAAAGGAGGGGAGACAAGGTGTGGTTAAGTAAGGAAGATACCCATTTGCATCATTGATGGCGTCTAAAAAGGGGAATTGACATCTGGTAGTTCGCGGCTTTTGATGGATTTAAGACTCCGATCTATGAAGGTGAATTCTTTCATAATAAATTGGACTGGATTAGAGTGAACCATATTCTGAAGCTATCGTGATATGCATGTGTTCTGTTTAAAAGGATAAATGAGGCTGATGCACTTAAGCTACCCCGCGGTACCTAGGTACATGTAACTCTACTAACTCAGCTTCTCCAACCCCCCCTGTCAGACCCCACGGCTGCTTTCAAGTTAACTTGCCATTTTAATTGATTTTAATTGATTTTAATTGATTTTAATCGCCAACAAAACTTCATCAACTCACAACACAAGGCGACACACGAGAGCACGCGATTAGCAACACCACGCCTGACAGTCGAACTCGGAGAAAGAAATAAAGAAGGAATTAAAGGAGCTAGATTAGAGAGTTTAAGAACTGGTGACATGCCGTACTACGAGACGAGCCAGGAATGGCTGCGCCAGTCGTCGCTGCTTCTTGAAGCGCGGCCGACCACTGTATGTTGCTGAACTTGTTCATCCACTCATTTTCACTTGCCCACTCGCGACCTACCTATATGCGCGATGATTCTTTGCGTGATGGTATGGCAGTACGTACGCTACATCATGCCACAGTATTAAGCGTGCCGTTCCCTCGACACACACACACACTCTCTCTCTTTCTTTCTCTCTCCTACCTTACCTTACCTACCAACCAACCCAACTAACCTCCCCCCGAAAAAAAAATAACAGACACGCATAACAACCAAATACCACATCTCCAAGCCCAAGCCCAAGCCCAAGCCCAAAGCCCGAAATCCACCATCTTCCTCCTCCACCGAACAACAACAACAGCAACAACAACAAAGCACGCCAAGAGCCTCCCTAACGCTGAAAACGTACGACCCGCACTCGGGCGCGTGCCTCAAGTACCGCACCACCAAGGCCGCCGAGGTCGCGCGCCTCATCACGAGTCTGGGGCGCCCGCTCGGCGCGCGCATGGCTGCGCTGCCGGTTGGAGAGGAAGGGGGTGGCGGCGGCGGCGGCGGCGAGGATGAGGTTATGGTGGATGCGCCGGCTGCTGTTGCTGCTGTTGAGGAGGGGGCTGTTGTGGGAGGAGGGGGGAAGGAAGGGGGGAAGGGGCAGGCGCAGGGTGGTAGTGGTGCTGGAGGAGGAGGAGGGAAGGGGAAGAAGAAGCGGGGGAAGAAGTGAGGAGTGAGGAGTGAGGAATGAGGGATAGGGAACTCATGTATATCCCTACTTAGCTGCCTGCCTTACCTTACTAGGTACCTTGCCTATTTAGATACCTACATATCCTAGTATCTATCTATCTATCTACCCAAGGCCACTCACTCACTCACTCACCATTCACAACGTTTGGAATCAAGTAACCAAAGAGAGATGGTATCAATCGATCAGTACCTACCTACCTACCTACCTACATGTTCCGATTTCGGTTACTTGCGTCATTGACAACATTGAAGTAAACTGTGATGGCTGGCTGGCTGGCTGGCTGGCTGGCTGGCTGGCCTAGAGTCCTAGACGGGTAGGGCGGGGTTGAGAAAAGGCCAACCAACTACAGTAGTTAACTAGTTACATGTCTATTTATTACCTACCTAGGTCCTAGGTAGGTAGGTAGGTAGGTACGCATCAATGATTAGGAAATGGGATAGAGTAACTAAGTAGAGTAACATCATAGGTCATGGACTAAGGGGGGTGAGCGTACATATGGCTTTTATGGAGGCATAAACTTCAAGACATGTTATATATATATATATATACGTTCATAGGTACCTAAGCACTGAGTTAACCTAATACATTGCTGACAGTCACATCACATCACATCACATCACAGATCACCGACAACAAGCAAAATAAAGGTTTCATCATATCCATTGCATTATATGACTAGGCCACCTACGTATCTGTCTGGCAACCAAGTTCCACGTCAACGTCCGTCCACGTTCCATGCATCGCATCAAGTCATTTTCTCCCCCATCCCATCCCATCCATTCCGAATCGACTGAAGCGACGATGATAATAAGATCAATCCACGGGTCTTTCCCACCTCCACACCTGGAAGATGGGCCTACTGGGGGACCAAGTAACAAAAAAACGCCTTAAACACCTCGGGATGATTTGCTCGTGTCCATGAAATAAAATGAAAAGGGGTGAAAGTTGATCAAGCATCTATCGGGAATCCATTCGCATATAGTGAATGAATACCCAGATTGATTATTGTCAACGGCCGACACCACCGCAATTGCTCGCCTATTTTATAGTATCGAAATTTCCGCAATCCGCAATAGTGAGGAGAGTTTTTTTTTTTTGGAAAGGCAGTGGGTGTGTTGGGAGAATATAGTACAAGGCGCCTTTGATGTGCAAAAAGGGAAGGGGTATCGCGAGAGGTAAAAAGAAACGGTGTCTTGCGAGGATGCTTAAAAGTCATCGTCGAAGGTGAAGTCACCACCGTTCTCGCCTTGGCCATCGACCGGCGCCGCGACGTCATCGTTACTGGCGTTCTTCTTGGTGCTAGCCATGACACCGGCCTTTTGGTAGTCACCTACACGCTTCTCGAAGAAGTTGGTCTTGCCGCCGAGAGAGATATTCTCCATGAAGTCGAAGGGGTTGGAGGACCGGTAGACCTTGTCATTGCCGAGAGCCACCAACAGACGGTCAGCGACAAACTCGATGTACTGCTTCATGAGGTTGGCGTTCATGCCCAGGAGGGCGCAGGGGAGAGCTTCGGTCAAGAACTCCTTTTCAATGGCGACAGCATCGGTAATGACCTTCTCAATGACGTCCTTGCCTGGGCGGTTCTTGAGGTGTGTGAATAGCAGGCAGGCAAAATCGGTGTGCAGGCCCTCGTCACGAGAGATGAGCTCGTTAGAGAAGGTCAATCCAGGCATCAGACCACGCTTCTTCAACCAAAAGATAGAAGCGAAGGCACCGCTGAAGAAGATACCCTCAACGGCAGCGAAGGCAACAAGACGTTGAGCGAATGTGGACTGCTTATCAGAGATCCATCGTAGAGCCCAATCAGCCTTCTTGCGGATGGCAGGGACTAGAAAGGTGTCAGTTATGTTAATTCGTAGTTGAGGGTGTTCCGAGGCAACTCACTGGTGTCAATAGCATTGAAAAGATGGGTCTTTTGTGCAGGCTCCTTGATGTAGGTATCAATGAGGAGAGAGTAAGTCTCGGAGTGGATGTTCTCCATCATGATTTGGAAACCGTAGAAGCATCGAGCCTCAGGGATCTGGACCTCGCCACTGAATCGCTCGACCAGGTTCTCGTTGACAATGCCATCGGATGCGGCGAAGAAGGCAAGAATGTGGGAAACGAAGAACTTCTCGTCATCGTTCAATCGGTTGTTCCAGTCATGGAGATCCTTGGATAGATCAATCTCTTCGGCAGTCCAGAAAGAAGCTTCGTGCTTCTTGTACATTTGCCAGATCTAGGTCCCATAATTAGTTAAATGCCGCGTGGGGGAAAACACTTTACGCGTAAAAACGCGTTACTCACCTCATGGTACTTAATGGGGAATAAGACGAATCGCTGAGGGTTTTCTTGTAAAATGGGCTCATCTTGTTCCTCTTCCTTGATAGTAGGAGCAACGGTCTTCTCTCCCTTCATTTCCATTGTGGGCTTCTGTGACTCAATTTCGGCAGCGATGGTATCAACGTCGGCGTCGTACGGCGCGTTCTCCTTGCCAGAGAAATCGATCTTCTTTACGGGAGAGTCCATGTTTAAGGACTCCATTGCAGTAGCAGCCTATAAAAATAATGCGTCAGTGGCAATTGGAAAAGTTGTGACAAAGGTATATATGAATTACCTTCTTGGAGGGCGTCATGGACATGTTAGTGGCCATTGTGAATAACTATGTTAATTGGATATGGGATTGAGATTGAGGATTGTATGAAGAGATGAAAGTGAATGTCTCTTTGTAATGATCAAATGATCGTCTTGTTAATTGAACAATCACGCGTTAAGTAAAAAGTGTTCGTGGTTGATGTGATGTGGAATGAAAAAGCGTGTTGAGAATTATTCGGGTCTAACATCTTTTAAAGGCGTCTCTCGCCAAATCACGTGCATGAACACACAAGTGTTTTTAACGCGACTAAAATTCTGATAACGCGTTCTTGCCCATTGAACTGTCCCCCGCCACTTTGTTTCGGCGCGTTGCTACAGTACATTTTAATGTAAAAAGCTCAAGTGCCTCTATAAGTGGGCCACAGACCCACTATAGCCCATATTATATGCAGGCAGCCCAGCTGTTCAGCTCCTCTTTTGGTAAGAAATGCAAGGAACGCAAGGAACGTAAGGAGCTCGGTCCTGACAAGTCCTGGGTTCAAGTCTTACAAGACAGGGGTGTTGACACCACTTAGATTTATCAGATCACACTCGTGAGATAAACACGGATCTTAAAGTGGTTAAGGCTTGGAATCCCTAGTTTCGAGCTGATTCAACATCAGGTAATAATTGCTTTCCCTCACGAATCATAATCCACATTCCGTAGCTCAGGGCTCGGAACCTAATATCGGTCTTATCGGCACGGCCTCATCGGTGTACGAGTATGTATACAGATTTGAACAATTTTGAAGGTCTTGGAATTATGGATACGTATAGTAAATGGGCATTTATTTACCCTCGAGTTGGTGGGACTACTATGTACTTCGTACCTACTAGATATATGTAGGTACTGCAGGCAGTGATGATATTAAAAAGCATTACATTTCAGTTTGGTATCGTAAGAATTCGTTCAAGTTCTCTGCTGCCCAAATTAACCGACCTTGCTCTATGCCCCTCCTCCTATTTTCATGGTCTGATCAAACAGGTCGGGTATCCAGCAATCGTAAAGTTCTCAAGAAAAAGCAAACTCGGCCGCGATACCGAGTAATTTCAGTCGAAAAAGTCCTATCTTCTTCCAGCCTCGACGTCAGCTGGGCGCGATCTCTTGCTACCCATGCCGAAGAATCCTCTTCGAGAGCCGCCCTGCCGATCATCATGGACCACTGCTTGAGCAGGCCGTGAAGGCTGAGTGTTTCTCGGAGCCACACCGCTTTCCTGCGGAGGATGAGTAACCCCTGTCTCAGCGGGACGCGGGGCTCGAGACGACGCGCGCCCAGGTGACTCAGAGTTGAACCGATCGAATTCGACTGGATCACTAGGATCCACGTCGGGCACCGGCAATTTACTAGCGCGGAGATTCTTCTTGCCCTTCTTACGGAGATAATCTTCCAACGCCACCGCATTGCGCGTGTTGGCGAGAATGGCGGCATCTGCAATGTCCCCGACGAAAGGAACAAGCCCCGCGATGAAGTCTATGATCACGAGCACGTACATCCAGGTGTAGACCTGAACAGGAAGATCTCCTTCAACCTGCCTGGCGGTGCGTACTACCATCATGGCCATGAACGCATCGATAATATCACCAGCCCTATTGCAGTCAATCTCCATTAGCGCGCGATCGAAATACCAAACGAGCAAGTTTACTCACACAGGGACCAAGCCTATGATGCTACCCCAACCGAACTTCAGACCTAGGAAGCTACCAAAGCTCATGTCCAATCTGTATGCTCTTCTCTTAACTTTGGTCAAAATCTTGGCATCGTGGTCCGAAAGGCCTGGCGGTAGTGCTTTGCGGACTTTCTTGAATTTGCCAGTGGGCGTGCCATCGAGTCTCGTCGCGGGAACTTGTTCGAAGTACGGGTCCTTTGAACCGGATCATACGTTAGTCTCGTCTGCGATTCAACCTCATCATAATGCAATATCGATTGATCAGCAGTTGTGTGGCTTACCTCAACTCCAAATTGGTTGCCCGCCGACTCCTTAAGGATTTTCTTGGATATTATCTTCGCGATAACGCCCGCCATGCTTAAGAGGGAGATTGGAGTAAAAGTCGGACGAATTTGTTTGGATGAATTAGTTAGGAGTAGGAATAGGAAGTGGTTGTTCGAAAAAAAGGAATTGAAAATAGTAAGGCTGATAGAATTGTAAGAATGATTGTTGCTTGAACTTTAAGGTAGATAGCTACCTAGGTAGAGATAGGTATGTATTAGTACGTAAGGCCGTTGCACTATGTAGTAGTAACAGCCAAGGCCTAGTACATGTAGTAGTGAACGAGCTAGGTGGCGGCCTCAGAAGATGACGAAAGGTGGCAATCAGACCAGCACCTTTCAAGCTACAGTCACGGTGACTTCTGAAACAGTAAACCTCTTGACAAATAATGCAGCAATGCGGGAACAAAGGGATGATTGAAGAGTTTTTATTATTACCCGAACAGTTTGCGATGGCGAATAAGACAATGCTACTGGGCAGAATAAATCTAGCTACATACGTAACTCCTTATGGTTGATTGTAACGCTTTTTTCAAGTTTTCTTCAATGGTTGATCAAGATGTGACTCGCCGATAGGATACGAGAATTGGAGAGGACCAAGAGGTAACCAACTTGTATTGTACAGCTCAGAACTATGTACATGTATGTACGCTAGACAGAAAACTAGACAGAAAAAAGTGATGATGTCAACCCAATGGCACTTGAATGCAGTTAACCGTTTATGGTTAATCAATCACCAGATCTGCCTTAGGCTTTTCATGCGCATTACTAGGGAGACCTACACTAGTTAGTTCCTTGCTCTCGAACGTTTCAATGTTGGTATAATTGTGGCTGTGTGGCTAAGCTGCAGCATGTCACTCAGCCACATACAACCAACGTGAACTTGTATTTTCACATGGCAAATTCAAGTTCTCAAGGCTACATTACATAATAACTACAGTTTATTAGTTAACCTAGAACTTCCCGTGTCTGTTCCAAGTCTCAAGAACTTTGACGTTCAATGTTGTGAATGCTCAGTCTTTGATCATCCCCTACGCACTTTACATACAACAATACTAGATTGACATTGATCTGCTTACTTCAAATCATTTTCTTTGTATCATTAGACTTATTTAATACCTATACGGCCAAATTATCCAATCCCATTTCCAATATATTAGTTATTATAGGAAGATCATTATCATGCTACATCTCATGACTTAACTCAACCTCCACAGCTTTTGGTCTACCTTGACCTTTAATCACCATCCTTATTTAAACCATGTATACCTTCGTTGACTTCCCCATTAGCATTCTCGATGTCACGAGGATAAGTATTCCCCCAATGACAATAGTTGATCCAGCCCAGATCTGAGCCCATATATATTTGCCTCCACTGGCATCAATGATAGCACCCATGGTCGGAGGCCCAGCCAAGGTCGCAAATCCGCAAATGGCAAACACCATCCCTATCCATGTACCCATTTTTCTCACGTCTTGAACAAAGCTACTCGCTGCACTCGAGAAGATGCCCTGGGCCGCTCCATTTACAAAGCCCATGACAACCGAATAAGCGTACATTTCTGGTCGGTTTCGAATACCTATCCAAGCAAAGGCCATGATTCCTAGGGCGATGCAGCTGAGGCCAAACGTGTTGACGGGACCAACGTAGCGGTCCGCGAGGTAGCCGAATATGGGACGCGCAGGGATAGCAACTGCACTCGTGATGAGTACAAAGTTAATGGACTCCCTCTCGCTTAGACCGATACTTTCGCGAGCGAATGAGTTGATCTAGAGCAAAAGAAAATTCAGCATTCAACTAACAGAGGTAGTAGCATAAGTAGGACACTCCAGAAACTCACATATATAAGCATTGTGAAAAGGGAGAAATATATAAGGAATGCGCCTATACAAAACATAGTATAAGGCATGTATTTGAAGGCACTCCAATCGACAATCGGTGCTGGAATCCTTCGCAATTCCCGTGGTTTCAAGATGCTGAATCCAATGAAGGCTAGAAAAATGGATATAAACCCGCACACTCGGACCGCCCACGGAAAGCCTATCTGTGGTGTGAGGAACTGGACGACGGCCGGGAATAGTATCGCACCGGTACTGGATCCGCATCCGTTGAACGCCACCGCGAGTGATCGCTTCTTTTTAAAGTAGGTGGCTACATTCGCAGTTGCCGGCATGAACATCAACCCGCCGCCAATGCCGCTGCAGAATCCCTGTGCAAGTAAGATCTGCCAGTACGATGTCGCTAAACTTGTCACAAACATACCAAACACCGTCAATGCAGCTCCGCCAATATATAGGTGTTTCGAGTAACCGGCATCAGAAAGCCGGCCAGACACCATTCCCACGACGAAACATAGGAATATCTGAATAGAGCCTATCCAAGACACCTGGGAGGCCGGCAAGCCAAGTGTCTCCTTGTAATAGAGCTGGAAAACCGCAAACCCAGTCCCATAGCCCCAGGACATCATATTGGCGATGTGGGCTGGCACGACTTGGGACCAGGCAAGAAATCCGCCGTCCGGTGGCTCTTCGACCGGTACAGCCGCCGAAACAGAGAGTGTTCGTAAGAGTTCGTCATCGGTAAAGACCCCTTTGGATGTATTCGAATCTGCCCCGGGGCTTATGCTTCCCTTCTCAAGAGTCTGGTCTGGCATTGCTTACTACTCGGAGATGGTAATTTGAGGCACGTCAATTTTCGTTTGGTGTCGGAGGCAAAGGAATAAGAACAACAGGTGAACAGCTCGTCAATTAAAACTGAAGACGAAGCTCGGATACCAAAAACAAAAACAAAAAAGGTTTGGAGCTACGAAAGCCACGCCATATAAACCATGCCAACAGACGTGAATACGCAAAACTCAAAATATTCCGCCATCTACTAGGTACAGGCTCCGACATCGCTATATTCTACATCTTTACCTCAAATGCGGTATGTTTTCACCCCTGAGGAGGTATGTATTCTACAAGGTATCAACCCTCAGTTGCAGCAACTCCACCGGAAGGGCGTTGGCAAAAAATCCACCAAAAAGGTGTTTTCAGAAAGATGCGGTATTTGGGTGGGTACAAACTCGTGCCCGATTGTCGATGAGGACCAGGAGTGCCGAGCGCTTGATGTCAGTGATTCATGAATACCGGAGACCGGCACAGGAACGGAGCACCGAACTTCTTCACATGCGTTACGTTACTATAAGGCCCCGCTTCGACCTACCAGGGAACCAGACCCTATTGATACCCAAATTGGTAATGGACCAGTCACGTCTTATCAAATAGATCAAAGCATCTGAGGATGCAGAAGCCGATTACGCGATTGCTCATAACTCAACGAGGATGGATATGAAAAATGTGAGTTATGAGACTTGAGCAATTGCTTCTCGGACCGACTCAATACTACGCACGATCTGAATCGATCGAGTGAGGGAGGTTTAATGTTTAGTGAAGTCCCCTTCATCATTTTGTCTATGGAAATGTATGGCTCGTGAGGTTACTCGGGCCGCTTGTAATGAGCCATGATATGATGTCTCCAATATTCAGCTAAATCGCCATCTAAACCACGCTGTCGGCGTTTAGCTTCAGGTACTGCATTTAGTTCAGGTACTAGGGAGGCACATAGTTTACTCAAGGGACTTAGATGTAAGTTCAACATCTGAAGGTTACTACTACACATACATAGTAGAGGCTCTAATATGGATGTATGGACTCTTACCGATTGGTCTTCTGGTTGCGTGCCTCCTAAGCGCGGAGCTTAATCTCTGTCGGTACCTAATGCTAGGCTAATGGGAATTACCAAACAATCCGAGCATCAGTCTGATAGGTCAGACTCATAGACCGCTTCTAATTTCGGCAAAGTAAGAGAAACCCCACAATCTGCATGTGTTCTTTCACCATACATGCCTTAGACCGGCCAAAAGTTACAGTCCTAAAAGGCAAGCCCTACCACGGTACTACAGTACCTCCACTCCCCGAATTATGTACCTAAAGGTATAGTAAGCTCTAAACGGAACTAACGTAGGATTAGGTTAGATTCAAGTACGAAGGGGGGGAGGGGGGAAGGGGGATGAGTTATATATATAGACCAAAGTAAGACGGAAAATTTCCAAGCAAGAGTCGCGTGGTCTAATGGTTATGATTTCTCGTTCACATTGATGTGTACTTCAAAAGCTCCGAGAAGGTTCCGTGTTCGATCCACGGCGTGACTACATCTTTTTGTCTTTTTTCATACCTATGTACTACCTATCACAGATATGAATCAATTATATAGGATAATAATAGGTATATATAACCTATTTAGGTGGGGAGTATATTGCGAGTTTGGATTACTTTTCTAGTTTTCCAAATTTTTTTCTTTTCTCTTTTGGCGTTTTAAACTCTTGTGCTCTTAAGGGTAGTAGGGTATCGGTTACTATGATAGCGATACCTAGTCATGGCTAACGAATTTATTAATGCTTAACTACATGCCTACCCGCCTAATTGAATCTATGGTATAAATTGAAGCAATCGAAATATCTATCTGCTGAATCATAACTACACATTTACATATGTAGCACCAATATTACCCAATTGATGTACGTACGGCGATATTCGATGAGATGAAATCAGGTGTTTTCTTTTTTCTCAGCATCATACATATAACATAACATATATACCTACCTACGTACAGTACATCATTATCAGGCCACCGGCAAAAGCTATTTTCTTAAAAAAGAATAACTAATAGGAAGGAGAAAAAAAAAAAAGAAAAAAGGAGGAAACACAAGAGCGAAGGAAAAGTGAGACGTTGGATCATGCGGGAAACCGCCGCAAGCGAGACATCGTGACAAGTCGCTTAGGCACGTTGTAGACAGACAGGTTATGCTCCCTGCGATGCTGTGCTACGCATATGTACCTATCTATCTATCTATCTATATACCACCCCAAGCCTCGCTGCTGCTTGCTGCTTGATAGGGGCAGTGTGGGGAAGCACGAAGAGAGAGAGGGGGGGGGCTAGGATCTGGGTATGTAGGTAGGCAGGCAGGGAGGTGAATACATAGCCCCGGGTGCTGCTAGATTAAATTACGATGGCAATTAGGAGCTTTTGGGTTTTGGTGTAGGTATTATATATGTACTAAGAGGGTAGTAAGGTACGTGGGCAGGTAGGCGTCTTATAGGAAAGGCGTCCAACAGACATGGATATGCGCGAGCGAGGCGTTGGGGGGGGGGGGGGGTCGTTGTAATTCATTGTATCGTATTGAATTTTTATAAACACGTCACAGGTAGGATGCCTACTATCGAGTCTCGGCTCGTGGCAGGAAGGAAGGAAGGGAGGGAGGAAAGGAGGGAGGGAGCAGGGTAGACTTGACGAACGCCCTGCTGAGACGGCAAGGGAAGGTTTCCGCTGTTGATTGAGTTTTTATTATTATTATTGCTCTTCGCGAACGAGTACGTGGGGAGGGAGGGAGGGAGGAGAAAGAAAGAGCAAGATATTCCGAAAGGGGAAATACCCTCGCGTCAACCATCAAAATTTTTCCCCAGACTACCACCGCCGCCGCCGCCGCCACCACACGGTTGGGGTTGGACAATGGACATGACGTCTTGGAAGGGGTTCGAAGAGGGACATGTAGGTAGGTACCTATGTAAGTTACGCACAGCTAAATACCCCCTCTTCCTCCCCTAAATCCTCATCCCTCTGCAATTCTACACTGTACCTAATACACCTAGGTTAAGTAGGTAGCAAAGTGGCTTAGGCAAGCCCCCCCCTTCTTATTCTTCTCGTGACATAACTATCTGTACCTACTTATATGTATGCGAGCGCGTGCTCAGCTTTTCCTTTCACCTGCACCTAGCCGGCGAACATGCTTCAGCTGGGCAATTGGCGGCTTAATATAAACCCCGTGTTAAGAAAGAAAGAAAGAAAGAAAGAAACTACATTGTGCGTATGGCATAGAGGGTTAATACCTACATGTAGGTAGTATGTATTGACGCGGGGGGCTATACAGGGGACACACACGTATAGGCTGGTCGATTAGGGGCCTTGGACTATCTCGTAATAGTTATAACTTCTATTGCTAATACCGAATGTAGGTAGGCAAGTCTCTAGGTTAGATAGGTAGGAAAGAGGGAGTGCGTGTATAAAACTCCAGGATGCAAAAGTCTTAACCTAGTTAGACACCTTGCCTACCTAGGGACAACTAATCATATATTCCTTGAATGATATCCGTACACATCGCCCTGGTAGCCTGGAAAGCCTCACCGATATGTCGGTAAATACCTAGCCTACCTAGGTATGTCTATATATATACTAGGTATATAACGTGCTTACATGTACCTACAGTACCTACTTACAGCACGCTGATGCTGCTGCTGCAAAGCCCAGCCCTTTCAATAGTAGGTACTGTATGTATGTATGTATGTATGTATGTATGTATGTATTGTACCACCCACCCCTCTCCTGATCCCCATCTCCGCGAAATGTGTGATGAGAAAAGCCAGTCAGACGGATGGCGCCCAGCTTTCCGTCCGTCACCTTTTATTATTAATCACGTCAACCTATGTAACTCACCTTACCTTATCTATCACACCACACAAAAAATAAATGCATTAGCCCAACGTCCGCCTGAGCTAGAAATCCTCTACCTATGCCAATGGTAAAATGGCGTTGTGTCAGGTAACTACATAGACTGGACCTCTTCCTATGTAGGTATTTTTTTACCTATGTACAGTACCTGCCAAAAAAAAAGGGGGGCGTCTTGAGCAGCGGCTTCTTCGTCCAACTTGGGCTTGGGAAGAGAGGCGGTGTCACCACCATTGCTATCTTTCTCGATTCATACCCCTACCTATATACCTGCCTAGGTAAAGGTAGGCTGCCTTCTTCTTTTCTCCCGCCCCTCCTTATCTACTTACCTAGGTGGGCAGGCGGGCGCCTCGTGGGCTTTAGTTCGTGTATCGTAGGTAGTAGGCGGCATCCGGGGATATGTGCCTCAATGACAGGATCTGATCTCCCTAGCGCGCCAATATCGCCGTTGAAGCGCCTCGGGACGGACAGTGTCCAGAGTCCCTAACTACCTAACCTAGGTACGTATTAGGCTGTATATAAGTGACTTGTCCTTCCGCTCCCCCTTTTCCCCCTATGTTGCGGGCCATGTTATCCTAGAGATCAAAACTATTTAAAATGCTCTCATATATCCGTAGGTTGCCGTATAGAGGGTAGATGTTGATTTTCCAGTGCTTCTATTATGGGCTACAGTTCTACTTGGCGCCCCTTGGTAACGCGTACGAACACAATGCCACTGTGACGAAAAATCTGATGTGTGAAATTAATATGAGTACGGTATGGCAGTTTCAATGAAAATAATACCCCCCCATCCTTCTGCCGATAACATGATCTTTTGCTACTCGTTTCGTGTAGCGCTTCTCCACGTAACACTAGATACGACGAATGCCACGACGCCCGCTCATGTCGAAAAAAGTACGATAACCGCCGCTACTGCAGTGTGACCACACATAATTCATACGATTGCTGATGACCTACTTTAGACTTGAGAAATGAGAAATCAAATATCCAATAACGTCTCATCTCCTTCCCAATCCTCCCAAGTTGGCTTATCATAACCATTTGGCCTTGTCGGTCTCACATGACCAATCTTGATTCCGTCAACTTTTAGCGGCTCCTTCGGCCATGTCACTACACCGCTAAATGCTTCGCTATACATGCTCTGCATGCTATGTTTCGCGAATAGCTTCGGGTATAGGTACTTGATACTACACAAGGCACGCTGGCTTACTTCGTCGACCGAGTCGTTATGACGCAGTGCAAAAAAATGACGATCGTGCTCGCGCCGTAGTTGATCTTGCACCTCGGTTGGGTATGTGCCAAGTGATAGGAGGAAGAGGTTGTATTGCGATAGACTGGTCCGGCAGATCCAACTACCTCCCTGTGTCGCCCGGCGGTAAATCCCCGAGAGTGCTGCGATAGTACCAACACATCCCGTACCGTAGTCCGACATTGGGAAAGGCGGCACAACCGGTTCATTGAGTCCCATGAACCGGCCCTGCTCCCATGCCACGCCCGTGATGCAGTCAGCGATCTGTTGCCAGCCTGGACGGCTCGCCCATTCAGCGCCCATTTCTGTGCCACCAAAGCAATCTTCGATCACATAAACAAGTCCCTTGCCACGCTGCGTCGCCTTTGATACAAGATCCTCGGGACGATAACCAAGGTTCGCTATAACCCCTGGTCGGTACCCGTCGATGATTACATCAGCTGTCTTTAGGAGTGATTCGAAAGTATTAACGTCGTCTGCGTTTTTGAGGTGCAAGGATGTTGTGTGTTTCCCCGTATTGACATCTAATTGGAAGAAAGGTACGTCTGGTACCTGCGACGAAGTGATCTTCAATACAGACGCGCCGTGTGCTGCCAGGCATTTACCGATCGTTGGGCCTGCAATCACCCGGCATAGCTCGATGACACGGAGACCCTGCAAACATTGGCTAGGTTCGTCTACGGATTTCGCAAATGGCGCTGGTGGCGTATCCATCTCCAATGGTCTCACGGTAAAAAGCGGCAGAGACGCCATTGCTTGCCCATGGGCAGTTTTCTGATACTTCTCATTGGTGAGAACAGAAGCACCTGCCTGACCATAGTCTTGGTTCAGCTTTTCTAACTCGAGCGCAGAAAATCGTTGGACAGCTCCCTCAATCGTATTGATGCAGTCATGGTAATCTGTCAAATCGGGACGGAACGCGGGGAGGCCAATCATTCTTAGAGTCGTACTGGCCTCCAGTGATCCATGTATGTGGTAGTATTCACCTGGATTTTTAGTCTCGTAGAGACCCGCTGACAGACGACGATATAGATTCGATTGCGCTTTGTTCAAATCAGTGTCTTAGATTGTAAATTGTTAGCCAAAACGTTCCTACAAGAATATGACGTGGATATGCAAGACGAACCGGGGATTCGCTCCTTAGTTTTCGGGTTGCATTTGTCTAAGCCGTCAATGTTGGTGATGTATGCAGACATTAAAAAAGATGCTACACGTTCGAGTGTGACATTGATGGACCTTTCGCGTTCTTTGCCCCGTATATTTGCAATGGCAGCAGCAGCGCATCCCTCTAAGGCTTTTAGAGCCGCCACCGCCTCCTGTTCACGCAGGGGACATGGGAAGCATACCGCGTCCCCCGTCTTGGAATACTTCAAGAATCTGACACGCTCAACATACTGTAGGAACTCAGCTGGAAGCTCCATCTTGGTGGACGTCCATAGGGATTTGAAAGCACTCCTTGCCCCTTCGCTGACCAGGTCTTCCCCATATCCCACATAAATCGGCACCGCTGTTACCTGTTGTTTGACGGTCATGATGGCGAAAATAGGGCAGAGCTTGAGGATAAGAGTCCATCCATATTCAAGGCAAAGAAAGGGGGGTGCATAGAAAAGCACGCTGCAAAGCTACTTAAAGCAAGCAAGAGCTTGTTACAAGGAAGACAAATGGTATACAACAGTAGGTATACCACAGCATATTGTGATCCATCAGTTTCGGGGGCACTCACCGAAACAGTCTGTTGATAAGATCGCGACCCGGACATATATATGTGACGGAATATTTAATTTTCTGGGGACGGCAGGGCAAATTCTGACTGATCAGTCCCATGGACGACTTATCTGGATTCAATGCATAGGATGACGGTGACATGTGGAAAAGTTCCATCTATGCCTACACATGACACTGGCTTTGTGAGCCGTGCCATAGCGAACCGTCTTTGTGTTAGACATACGTTGAGCTATTTAGATATGAACTAAGGAACTACCGAGCCCATCGGCAAGTCGTCAAATTGAAAACCCCATCGGCATGAAAGGCCCAATATGGTATCTGGGGTGGGTAGTAGTTAGCTGAATCTAATGGACGATCAGTCTCAGTGTTGTCTGACAGACTCCTGTTTCTGAGCATGGTATCCACGGATCTCTATAGCTCGGCTGGGCACAAATGGTTTGGCCATCTAGAACCGAGTTGTACTAGTTCAGCCCGGAATAATCAATCGGTAATATCTTAATCAGATTGACGTGTAGATCTAGAGCTTCCATCTGAGAGTAGATTGGACCGAGTCAAAGAAAAATTGACGGTCGAGATGGACAGACATTGGTTTGAAGGGTTACATGCAGGTGGTGTGCACCGAATTGGGACCCGGTGAATATCGTTTATTACCGTATGCGGTGACGGGAGAGCATTCAGAAATCCTGGATGACGAGCGGATGACAAACCAGACATGGAGAATTTGATACGAGGACGGGTGCATCATCCGAGAAATGGGAACCACCTATGATAGATATATTGCTCTATCGTAGGTTGGTAGACAGGTAATCCGAGACTTTGATACTTAACGGCGGTTGCAAGTAACACACTTGGTTGATTCAAAAAGAGACAAAGGTTGGCACTAACAGCTATCCAATGCTTGAGTGACAAAGGGTTCGTATATAAACGGTACTGGTATATGGTCCTTGTTCTGGATTTGGTAGTTGGTAGTTGAGACAGGTTGAGCCTCAAAATGGAGAAAATGGAGAAATGGAGAAGATCGATGGAACAGACATGGAATGTAGGACTCGCCCTACATAGTGTGGACCCCCTTGGAAGTTAGTTGGAACATTATTGTATGCTTGAGATACATAGTACATGTTGGATGTTCGAACTACATATGCTCGGTACGGGCGATGAGACAAAGAGTACCCGGATCTACTTAGCCCTGTGACACTTTACCTGAAAGCGTTCCGCCAGATTCTCGTAAGCTTCTAGCCTGGTCACGTACTCTGCGGTATCTCTGTGGTATAGAGTACATGACCCACCATCACTTAAACCCTGAACATTCTAGCCATTTAGGTGCATTACCCGACAAACTTTAAACTCAAGTGCTCTGTTTGGTAGCGACATCCAAACCCCTACGTGAATTGTCGTATTGGCGGAGTACGGAGTATTATATACATATGTAAGTATATATGAATGTACCTTGTTGAGTTTAAAGTTTGATATCCAAAGATTATTGATGATAACTGCCAGGACTACCTGGTAAATACTATCAATGTACCCATCTCATCATGTATGTACCTACAGGTCCTACAAGTTCGCGTAGGAATCACTTTTACATGATAAACTTCAATATTCTTATTCTTATCACATCTCAAAACCCCTTTTTTTCTTCACTGTGTACCTAAATTCAACATCATCCTGACTCGAGATGGGTAAAGAATCTAGCTATCAAAAAAAAAGCATAACTGAGACACTTGCTGTGGAATACGGAGTTGATCAGTCACTTTTTTTAATATCTAACGAAAGCCCTTGAAAGCCCTTGAACGCCTTAACAGAAATATCACTTACCCACTTCTTGCTCTCTTCTTGACCTTCCTATCATTTCAAGATTCTAGTCTGGGTTCTATCATATCAGTGAAAAAAGTCCGCACTCCTGATACCTGGTACTCTTTTGAAATCTCACCCTTCTCGAGAAAAATAGTCCACGTCAGAAGAAGAAATACCTATGTTAAATAAGCCCGCTATCTCCCGCATCTCACAATTGTAGGCAGTGCTAAAACGCCACTTAACTGCCTAACGGAGTCTCACTTGATTGATCTACGCCCAATCCACCCAATCATGATTCTACACCTTCCCAGCCATGCCTCAAGATCCTATTGCAGTCATGACCAGGGAAGCCTTGAGTGGTCGAGAACTGCCCGTTGTCCGGCTCTGGAGAGGGAGCCGAGCCTACCAATACCAGTTGGAGTGCATGGCTTTTACGTTGGCTCCCATCCATGAACTCCTCTCAAGGAAAAAAAAACAATTCAACAAACCGGCCCTTGCATTCTCTCCATTAAAACTTTCCATGATATCTTTTTCTCTTGTCATTCTCCCGCTTCCGACGCGTTCCGTTGGCTCCAAAGTCTTACATCTTTTCTTGTATCTCTTCCATGACACGACCATCCCTTGTCTGTCAACTACTGCCGTGACAGATTACTATAGCGCTCCAGTGAGCCGTCCGTTATCATCTGTGTACTCAGTTATGCTCTTCTCCGCTTAGTTCATCATACACCCCCCATCTACAACAGCCTTACCAAATAGTCCTAGCTATTCGTACCGAATGCAAGGCAACATCTATACACACTCTCGGGTAAACAACGCAGCTTCCGACTCAATTCCTTGGGCGATTTCACGACTCGAGATCTGAGCCTCCGTCTGGTTCCCGATAGGGCTGAGCCAGAATACCTATTTGTCCGCATCCGAGACCGACACCCCAGCGCCCGTAAGACCGGCGCCGCCCCCGAAATCATCATCTGTTTCTTTTATTCTCCTCATTGTCCGACTTAAATCCTGCCATCTTGTGGCGAGCTGTCGGATGGCGGATGTGACCTAGATTTCTTGTGGCTCAATACCATGACACGACCTAAGGTTGACCCTGACAAGAGGCAACGTACCGCCCAGGCATGTGACTCTTGTAAGCGTAGGAAGCAAAAGGTGAGTCAAACAGGGGGTTCTTTATCATATTATCCCTCGCCCTTTCGTCCCTTACTTCGTATGGAGCTCTTAGTCGTCTTGCCTTTATTTACACATCGGATCATCAAAGTTGAAGTAGCAAGTACGTGGAGTAGTATGGTGCACAATCCGTCGATCGGGCAAAGTCATTTTTCGTGGTTCCCATATATCGTACAGCATACTCTAAGTGGGCAGCGACGAAGTATGATATGCTGCTTTCCTTGGATAGTTTGTTGCGTCCCACAGCGGGTTGGCGTGGTTGTGTAGCCATCTGTGGACACGATGTTCGAGAAACATCGTACGATGCCCATGAGTATCGAAATTGGCGGTTATCATCTTCGCTAACATGACCGTCGTTGTAGTGCAACGGTTTGAAACCATGCAGCACGTGTATCAAGCGGAATCTAGATTGCTTATACATGCCAACAAACGGGGAGGCCGGATCACAAGAACCCCTCGGGTCTCCGACCAAGCGTCGACACGTTGACGATTCACCAAGGATGTTAAAGTCTGAGCTGGAATCACCCGAGTCGAGTCAGAAGCTCTTAGGGACCACCAGACCATTTCTCGGCAACAATGATCGCGACTTCGACTCCCGCTCTCGTATTAGTAGTGCCAGTGGAACGGCTGCAGACGAAGCCGAGCTTGTGTCTTTGCCCCGAATGCTTATGGATTCGACAGGCAGGTTACGTAAGTAAGACTATATAATGATCATTCACAGATAGACACCATCTGTATTATGTTTTAGAGATCTTGTGCTGTATCCCTTGCACTCAATGCATAATGCCATATCTTGGTAAATAAGGGCACAAGAAACCACGAGGATAATCTATCAATCTAGTTTCTACACTGCACCTAAATACCTCCCTATACTGAGACATAAGTCTTAAACCATACCCCTTTTCTAAGTTTACAGTTTAGTGGTCTAATACATCCTCTTAGTTTACGTCGGCGAGTCAGCAAGTCTATCATACCTGCAGTTAATTCGTATGATTGTTGAAAACGTCTCTGGGCATTCCGATTTCACCACTGACCCGCTGAGACATAATATCTTGGAAAATACTACTCAGCTTCCGCCAGGCACAAGAGCAACGGGAGTTCTTCCAAACAAGAAGACGGCTGATATACTAGTCCATTCATTTTTCACCAATGTAAGTATGCCACCCTTGAACTCTATAGGTTGGCTCATGAAATTATAGACGCCCGGCTTCATTGAAGTGTTGAATCAGAAAGACTTCCTTCAATCAGTAGAGGAGTGCTATAATGAGCCTCTTCGCATTAGCGAACCCCTACTATGTATCCTAAACCTGGTCTTTGCTATAGGCCTAGTCACGGCTCGCCCAATACAGGGAACCAGCGAAGCGACGGTGATACAAAACCTATACTCAGAACCTATTGACCGTGCCGAGTTATTCTTTCGTAATGCTAAGGACCTCTATGACCCAGTGTCCGGGTTCGAGGATGCCGACTTCTGGTCAATACAGGCCCTCCTTTTGATGTCTCTCTACATGTTGATAATATCAAGAAGAAATACTTCATACGTCTACATGGGTGAGTCACAGATCCCTGTCTCGCTAGCTTTCAGTTTACACAGGCTTAACAGCGTGAACAGGAATGGCAGTCCGGTCGGCATTTGCAATGGGACTACATAGAGAAGAAAGCATGGTAATCTTTTCGGCGCCCGAGGGTTGTCTTCGAAGGAACGTGTGGAGAACTCTGTTTGTCCTAGATCGATTCCTAGCAGCATGTCTGGGTCGTCCTATTTCCATATCAGAGGAAGATTGCTCGGAGCATGCACTGAAACCGCCAGATAGCCCGAGGGTTGACGAGCCCGCGATGAGCGACGAGACACAGATAACAAACTCAGTGGCATTGGATGCCTCTGTGCGAAGTTGTTATTTGATTGGATCAACTTTGAAAAAAGTCTATTCCAAGAGAAAAGTGTCAACTTTGGTGGCCCAGGAGATTGCAGAGCTCCTCGAGAAATGGGAGCAAGAACTGCATGAGAATCTCCATTGCGCACGACTTATGAATGGATCAATTGATCCAGCACAGGCCGTTGCTATCCTCCACGTCAATCTTCTGCATTGCCACTCCGTACTACTCCTAACGAGACCTTTTTTTCTGTATCTTCTCAAAATGGGATGCCATGAGATATCTAGGAGTTCTCAAAAACCGCCTCATGTCAGTCAAAGATTGGAAAAGTTTTCTCAAGCCTGCGTTGAAGCTTCGGAGCGTACGATAATTCTAGCACGACTTGCGTTAGATTCCGACTATTTGTCTCAATGTAATCCATTTATAATGTAAGGAACACTTGGCACAGTCTTACTATCACTACAACTGAGGAGAGAACATAGCTAATCGGAAGTTCACTTGATACGAACAGTCATTTTGTCTTCTCGGCGGCCCTCATCATAATGAGCAACGAGTTTGCCTCTTTGTACCATAACCCGGATGCGGAACAGTCTATTCAGAGTGCTTTGTTGATACTTGGGTATTGTGGGAAGAAGGACGCCCAGGCTAAGCGAGTCTCTTATATCATCGAGACCTTCCACGAAGCGAATATGCAGCGACCGTCGACGGCCAAGAAAGTATATTTGCCTGGCCGCAAGATCCCGACCTTGTTAGCGGCCTCTCAAGTATTCCACCAACCTGGGCCTTTGTCACCCTTCTTTCGCCACGTCAAACCCGAACGACAGGATATATACATGAGCGACATGTCCCCAAAGAAAGATCGAAATGTGATGAACTTATCGACAGCACCATCAGAACCTTCCGTACGTCCTATGATGCATTCAGCCCTCCAGCAACCCAGCCCTGAAGGGAGCGTGTCGCTGAGCAGCAACATTGTAGCTACGAGTATGGCGCCGGGAATGGAGACAATGAGCAGTAGTGACCCAGAGTTTGATTTTGACAGCTTATGGCAAGGTTGGAGTACTGTACCAACTACAACCAGTAGTATGGGCATTCCACACCCAATGCACCCAGTTGAAGCTTATGGGTCTTACGGGCTTCAGCAGCCGACTATACCGCAAGGGGACGGTCTTCACCCTCATTTACCGCCGTACCCGCCTTCGGACTACCGGTAAACAAGATTTCCCTATCATAAGATCGGATCAGGCGAAAGGAGGAGACGGTGAGCTTTGATGCACATTCGTACGGGGCGTGTGGATATCTAAGGGAAGTTTTCTTCACCTAGTCTACCAGCCAGAGCTTTACATCCTGGCAAAGCTGGCGTTGGGGTCTAGACAGAGAACTTGCGTACAGTGTTACGATAGTGAAGTGGCTAAGGAGACATCCAATGGAAGTTTGAGCGGCACTAGGTTCAAAGGGTACATATTACTGAGTGGTTCCAATCTTAATATTGAGCAGGTCTCCTTTTTTCGAGGGTAATGCGATACCGTATGGGAAGACCGCTTCCTCTTTTTTTTTTCTTTTCTTTTTTTTTTCTTTGTTCTTTTTTTCATCCCCATTCACCTATCAATGTTGTATACCCCTTTCTGATGCTTACTTGGTGACTTTTAATCGAGTGTGTTGGTCCTTCATCCATTGTATCAGCACTAGTGACAATTAAACCAATACTAAGGGATACACCTACTACATATGTAGGTATATTACGACTCCCTCGAGCTTAGGATGTACTATGTAAGGCGTCACGATCTAGCTAAGTGGATCAGCCATATGCTCCAACGAGCAACCAGCATACGGACATTGCACTGCCAGGGATGTGTGTGATTCGGTCACAATGATGCCTGTCCCTTCGATACCAAGAAAGAGTCCTACTCTAGTCTCGCATGAGGATGCAGTATGACAGGCTTCTCGACTTACCTACATACTACATACTTAGGTAGGTACGTTTTGGGTTCTGTACCTGTCACCTCCCCCATCCCTTTCCGGGTTAATGGATGTCTGTGTTGTTGTTGTTTTTTTTCTTATGCACGCCATTTGATGACATTTTATACCTTAGGTACCTATAATAGAGGTTGAATATATGACTTGGATTGACGACTTGGTAGATGTCTAAGGACCCAGAAACCGGGAATTGGGGTTTTGAATCGCAGATGCTGGCCACTGGGCACCTATGTACCTACCTGCCTAGGCAAGGAACTTCATATAATACGGTATAATATAGGTAGGTACCTACTTATGTAGGTATGTATGTATGCAGGACGGTACCGATTCATCTGCCAGGGGCTGTGTTCGAAGACATGTAGACGACCATTGACAAGGCTAAGGCGGCAGGCATATCAGCTGCTGGGTATTGTCATGTTCTTCATCATGATCTCTCTCTCTATCTCTCTCTATCTCCATCTCGCTTTTCTTTGAACTGAGCCGCGATAGACGCTCTATCCAGTATGTATCTATGTACCTACCTAGTCTACATACGAACTACCTGGGTAGGTACTTATTCGACTGACACTTTATGTAACTACCTACATGTGTAAGTACCTAGTACCTACGGCGGCTAGATACTTACCTGGCTAGAGGGACTCGCAATACTACTTACGTATTGTACATAGGTACTCATACCTAGGTACCTACCTACCTACCTTGCCTACACCACCTTCCCACTAGGGCAGCGTGGTAGCATGTACAATACATAGGAGTCAGACCGTTCGGCCGCTCCCGCTGGAGCCCGACACGACACTACACTACACTACACACAGGTACTGTTACGGTACCAGGGACCGGGACCGCGGGGCGTGAGGCGTGCTACCTCCCCATCCCCCCCTTGGAAACGCTAGGCTGGGCAAAGAAAGCTACATACATACCTTGGGTAGGCAGTCAGCTGCTTAGCCGTTCGGGTATCTTACATGCAGCAATCGTCGCGCGTAGAGCTGTTGACGATTTGTCGTCTCGGCATGGGGTAGAGTACCTATGTAGGCAGGCACGCGTTACGAGGGTCGTATCAGGGCATGGGGGATGGGTGGATGGGTGGATGGATGGGATGCTGGGCGTAATACGCAGGTCGTGGTGGTATTTTTTATATGTACCTACGTTTGTGGTGTATGGGGTGTCTAGTGTGTGTGTGTGTGTGTGTGGTTTGTGTGGTTTGTGTGGTTTGTGTGGTTTGTGTGGTGTATAGGCAATGCGTGCTTCGGTTTTATCGTCGTACATAGGTACATGAATGACATTACATATCGCCATCAATCTACCATTGCAGGACGCATGTACCGGCCGGCAGGCAGGCAGGCAGGCTATTGTCGATCCTTCTTTTTCTTTGGTTGTCTTGTCTCGCTCGTGGTGCTAGATGTACCGAGGGAGCGAGCGAGCGAGCAAGCAAGCGCCCGAATAGGTTCAGCAGGTTAGATGTAGGTAAGGTTTGCATGCTTGTAATGAATCTTCGGTCCAGACCGTCGTCGTCGTTGTCGTTGTCGTCGTTGTTGTTGTTGCTCACCAGGGAGATGCCGACCGACCGACCGACCGCCCGACCGCCCGATCGACCGAATCGATCTACCAACATCCCTCTCTCATGGCGTCGCAACCCGCGGTACAGCAATGTAGATGTCACCTTCTTTAGGTCTTCGCCGTGTACCTAGGTCCCGTACGGTTTTTGTTGGCGACTGTTGACTCTCGGGAAGGCCCGTTGGCGGGGGTCAGGTTACGCTCGTGGATGGTACGGTTGGTTTTGGGTTGATTTGGTAGGCACGGTGGTGGTAGTGGTAGGTATGGTATGGTATGGTATGGTATGGCCGCTAGGCTGGCATGTAGGTAACCTAGGTATGTCATATCATATCATGTTATGTCACATAGAAGGGTATGTCGTATTATCATCAAATCTTTTTTTCCCTCCCCAGATCTGTTAGATCTCCTTCCTCTCCCCCCTCCCCCTCTAAGTCTTCGACTCACCGTGTAGGTAATCTACCTACCTGTCCCTCGAATAAAGAAGGCTTACCTAAATGGGTAGCTTAGAAATGGGTGTTTTTTTTCTTTCGAATTATGATGGTGAAGATATTAGGTCGATGAGGGGGAGGGAGAAATATCAAGACCAAACGACGACGAGCAAATTGCTGCCTAACTACCGGTACTGCCGATGCATATAATGGGCCATCCTGTCCATCGATCCATCCATCGCGATTCAAACTTGCGGTGTAGAAGAAATGGTCCTCTCTCTCTCTTTTCTTTTAATTCACTAAGTTTTAGTTGTTTTTTGCTTGGCTGTTAGGCAAGGCCAAGCTCGGGGAATATCCGTGGGGTTGGTTTTGTTTTATTCATTGTTTGGGATGGGATAGGATAGGATGGGATGGGAGGACGAAGAGGAGCGAGAGGGAATGAGGAGACACAGAAAATTTTGAAAAATAAGAATAAACCGATTATCAATGTAGCGATGGGAACGTTTCCTGCATTTGCTACGTATGATGAACAGCATGATGATATTTTTTTTCCTACCATGATGATCCTTCCCCGCCCCCTATTGGACCCCCCTCGTCATGAAGGGACAGAAAAAGAGTCGATAAATTACATCAATAATCGTGCAGTGTGTAAGTAGGTACCTCGGTAGGTATCGATCAGGTCTGGATTGGATTGGATTGGAGGGGAATGGGTATGGGTATGGGGGTCCTTCGTGAATCCATCCCACTGACCCTTCTTTCCCCAGATATCAAAGGGAGGACGGACCATCAAGCACCCCGCTCTCATACATACAGCAACTCATACTCCGATGGGAAACTTAAGAGGTTACTTGGTAGGCGGTTGTAGGACATGAGAGATGATATTTCTTGTTTACTTCTTTTTAATTGGATGCTTAGAATGTCAACAACAAGGGCATGCGTTTAATTCATTCGTATAGAGAGAGTGAGATAAAAAAAAAGGGGCAACTGAGGTATTATCTAATCGGACCGACGCGGCATAGCCAGACATTCATACAACCTAAGCAACCGTCCGCGACCGACCGAGATAGAGACGGAGAGTGGCAGAGTGGCAAAGGCACGGAGAGAGATAGACGGAGGTATGAGAGAAATGGCATGAAGTAAGAGCCGACGATGAGTAGGTACCTGAGCAGGAACGCGGAATGAGAGGTGACAGAGAGGGGGATCGTTACTGGGGGTTCTGTCTCTCTCTCTCTCTCTTTCTCAACTGGATCAGCAGGTTCTAGACTCCTAGCCCGTTGGGTCTTCCCAAGCGTTTGCAATTCCAGCGTCTAATTCGCCCAAGAAAAAATACTCCGGCACCTTTCGCGGATCTCAACCCAGCAACTCTTGGTACTGGGGGGGTCTATCGTTACCGCTTCCGGTGAGAGCTGCGGCTTCATTTAGTACTTTGGGGAAATATGCAGAAGAAAGGGTGACAGTATTTCTTGGTGGATAGGGTTGGATGGATGGATGGATGGATGGTAAGCAAGTGATTGTTTCAGCTGTATGTAACCCTCATCTCGTCAACATGACGCGGAAAGCTTAGATCTGGTTGCTGCTATTGTTGTTGTTGTTGATGTTGTTGTCACGGTACGTAGGAGCGAGGCAGAGGATTTGAACGATGATGGGGGTTGGAAAGGAAAGGAAAAAAAAAAGAAAATAAGATGACTCACAGAAGGACAGACAGGTAGTAGACAGACGGGAAACCAGACAGACAGCTAAACAAGACAGAGAAATGAAAAAAAAAAGATGGAAAAATTTCACTGGCCTATCTGGCAGAAACACGCCGCAGTGCCACCTACCCAGCCAGCCTTTTCCCTATCTAGGTAGTTTCTGTAAAGCGGCGAAGGCCTTGCCATGTGGCCTACATAATAGACCGAACCCTGATCTGCAAAATAAATTATACTCTACATATCGATGCAGCCGAGTTCATTGGGCGCCAGAACGGGGATACGAGGAAGGGGGGCGGGTAGTCCCATGTGGGTACCGGGCACAAAAGTGACAGGCAGGCAAAGAGACAGAGAGAGTGTGTGTATGCGTGTAAGTGTGAGTGAGAAATAAGAAACCTGGGCAGTTCGTTCGAATAGAGTTTGGCCAAGCAGCGTTGCAGTATACATATAGGTGCCTATACATATACATACTTGCATATATTATATGTACCTAATGTATAGGTAGGCAGGTATGACGCGGATGTGTTCCATGTATGTGCGAAGAAGCATTGATGATGTACGTACGTCGTCTTCTCGGTAGCGATACCGACGAAAGGCGTCGCTGACGTATCCTAGGGGAATGGATCTCCCCCTGCGGCCCCCCCTTTTGGTGTGGACGCACGACAGTCTCCAGTTGGGTCCCCATCCTATTCTCGGTATGCCTATCACGATAGGAACCTTACCTAGTACCATGCACGTACGTGTTGGCCTAGGGAGCTTCGCCTTTATGACTGGGGGGGAGGTGGAAAGCGTTACAACTAAGCATGTAAGGCGAAAGATGCCAAGCTGCTTACGATCCTACCTACTACTTACCTACTATACCTACCTAGGTACAGTACCTACCAGACTAATATACCTAGTACAATATCGACGGTATTGACCCAACCGTGTTATCGAGATCTTGTGTCAAGTGGTTGTTCGTTGGTAAATCGTTAGTCTAATGGTGATAGCGTTACACGCATGCTCTTTGTTTACTCTCCCATACTCTGACCAGTTCTGGGTCCTGCCGGGTTCTGCGTCTCACTCTTAATGCCCTTTTTTTCTTTTTTTTCTTGCCTCGATTTGGGTTCTTTACTTCGGCAAAGGCCGTCTAGTGTCACAACAAAGCAACTTGGGGGTTGTCAATGTAGTTTTGGACATTGTTGGGATCTTTCTCTCTGGTTGGGCCGGGCCTCGCTGAATTCGAGTTTTTATCCTCTAGTTTAGCCGTTGGCTTCGATTCCAATTCGCTCTAATCCCTTGTCCTCCATGTCCCCCTCCTCCCCCCCTTTCCCGAAGTGGGAATCGACAAATCTGACACCCGTCTTTTTGCTCTACGGCATTTTGGACTCCGCTGAATAGCCCTCCCCTCCCGCAACGTAGGAATGCTAAGCCCTTATGACCCCTAAAAGAAAAAGCACCTTCTCCTATATCTGCTCCTCGCTATGTAGCAACCTGTATAGTCAAGTTCGGCTGGGTATTTGGAAGTATCCAGGAAATAAATGGATATGGGAAATATTTCTGCAGTCTGGCAAATTCGCAATCTGGTATCGAGTAAAGCCACCCCCAAGGACCAAAACAACAGAAATCAACGCGAAAGAGAAAAAAAAAACGCAAGATGCCATATAACTCCACTTAGACCCCATAACCAACTCCTTAAATCCCGGAACAGAAACATCCATGGATATGTATGTATATATATGTATAAAAAGCCACAAGCCACAAAGCCCGATTTCCAGTAGAACGATGATCAACCTGTGCATGCTGCCGAGTAGACAGGACAAAAGAAATACAACGGAGGGGAGGTATCTGGTGCACAGCTCGGTACTGGGGGCCCGTGAACATGTGACTGATAAAGCAAACTGTATTCGTTCCTGACACCTAAACCATGAAAGCAACACGATGCCTTTTCCCTTCCCGCCCGAAATGTCGGTTGCCCGAGCTATGCGAAAAGTTCTAATGACCGTTTTTGTCCAATGCTCGAATGATATGTAGTACGTTCCTAAGGCACTATCCCGCCCTTACAGCGAGATGTTCATATTAAAACTAAGTATATAATAAAATAACGCTTCATAAAACGAAAGTAGGGTGGCGAGTGTAAAGTAGATACTCGTCAAAAGTGAAAATCAGCGCTGGCTTGGATCATGTGGGGCGCTTGGTCTTGTCGCCCAACCTGTCTCATATGGTTCCCGCTTATATGGTGCAAAGCTCTGCACCGGTGTGTTTGTAGTTGACGGCCCAGTGCTTGGCGTCCCAGCAGGTTGATCCATCCGTAAAGGGGGGAGTCGCGATGTTCGAGCCATCGACGAGGGTGTTCCAGGTTGAGATAGGGGAGTGTGGTGGGAGGGTTGAGACATCGATGGTAGATTGGATTGAGCTGGAGGATAGGATGGACTGTACTCTAGTTGCGGATCCGTCCGTCGTCGTCGTGTAGCCCTCTCGCCCGTCATAGGGTCTGCGGCGCCATACGACGGCATGGGTAGCGTTGGCGGGTTAGAAGCAAGCGGGCTCCTTTCTGTGAAGGAGCCACCACTCCTAGTGGAAAGAGGACTTGGAGGTCCTTGGTAGGCGAGCTCGCTAATTCCGGGAGTTCGGTATACGATATCGCGAAGTCGATCTCGGTCACTGCGGTATCGATCACGATCGTTTTCCGCTTCTTGCTGCCGCTTCATGAGCTCGCGGTTTTGGCTCTCCAGCTCTTGTATTCTTAGTCCTTGCTGTATTTCCTTGTCCTTCTTCCTGGCTCTAAACCTTGCAGAAGCACCTGCATTTCGTTGTCGTTTCTCATCCGCCTGTTTTGATCCATTGTACATGTCCAATGGTACAATTAATGGCTCACCTCCAACATTCATCGCCGCATGCCCATCCATTCCCATCATACCTCTAACACTTGACGGGCCCCCCTGACTAGAGTTTCCAAGTACACCTGGCCATCTCGAATCTACTGGCATAGAAGGTGGGAAATTTCGGTTACTTTGCGGGACAGTCGTTTGGTAGGGAGGGGTCGGGCCAAACACATGAGATCTCATTTGTGCACCCGAACCTCCTTGGGACTGTTGGTGCTCTTGTCCTGGAGTGTTAAACTGACTGACAATTGGCTGAGAGAGAGATCGTGGTGGTGGTGTCGTCAATGGGGCAAGAGTTGTTGGAGGGCCAATCCCAGAGTGGTGAACCCGTCCAAATTGAGGTGCCAAAGGTTGTGGCCC